TCTCACTTCACGAGGATTGCTCCCCTAGTATATTGATCAGTTCGGCACTGGAACTTGAGGAGCAACAGTACGTCTTTTCGTACATTTTCGCTTGCGTGGTGACTCATACTTTCTCCCAGACGGCGCTTGAGAGCTGACAAGGATGGTCGTGGTTTACACGTCACGGACAATCAAGAAGGTAAATTAGTCGAGCGTAGTAATGCATTACAGCGTCACCTCGATTCCTGGGTCAAGATTCAAGAGCTCTATATGCCCAACGTCGCGGCCATGCGGATCTCGGACAATGCAACCGCTGCAAACCCTTCCTCCATCTCTTCCACCGCTGAAAGCTTCAAGTTATGGTTACCTTCGCAGATCGGGAGGTCTCTACCTTGCGATCAATCCCTGCAGAGGACAGAATGGCGACTTCGATATGCTCAAGGCCACGACGCGCTTCGCTCTTTGCGCTCCTGCCTGCGCGCTCAAACAGCCATTCTCAAGCACAAAGACCGACACCTTCGAGGCCAAGGGGCGAATACCAGAGCTCACAACACTCTCAAGGCGATTGACATCAGGATCGAATCCGCTACTAGGAGATATGAATGTGCGCATAAGGCACTGGTGGTTCTAGGTAATTTGTTGAACGAGTCCGGCTGGCAATCTTCGCTACGTCCCTTAAGCCGCCAAGACATACACTCGATGTCCGACATTCTTTGGGGAGAATCCGAAGGCAGACGAAAGCTCTCTTGGATCTGGAATATGCGGGGCGCTGGTGGAAGCGAAAAAGATGATAATGGAGCTTTGGAAGGTAAGCATTATCCGAGAATGAGTTCTCTTTCCAATGATGCTACCTACAGACATGAGGATTGAATGGTGCAAAGCGAGAGCTCGCGCAATGCGATGGGAGGAGGAAGTAGCACTCCTTCAGGAGGAAATGTGTCGCATAGGAGCATTCCTGAGGTGGGAAGCGAGGTATTGGGACGAAAGGCGCAACGAGGTTGTACCGACTGACGCGGAGCATGAGGACGGGTGCGTAGCGTATGCACATCGTCAGGCGCACTTGCGCATGCAACTGGCAGCCTCGTTTGAGGCGAATTGGGCACAGACACTATCTCATCTGAACGTGCAGGATGGGTCCGAAGAATGTATTATATAGCCAGTAGCTAGTAGTACATCTACCAATATATATCGTGCATCAAACAAGCAGCGGGAATGGCGGGGGATGCATCAAACAAACAGCGGGAACGTCGGGGGATGCATCAAAGGGATGCATCAAATAAACAGCGGCAACGGCGGGGGAGCATCAGCGACAAGGAGTCATGCATCAGAAAATATCGGGGGATGCATCAAAACAACAGTGGGAGCGTGCATCAGCTGGGAGGAGTCATGCATCAAAACAACAGTGGGAGCGTGCATCAGCTGGGAGGAGTCATGCATCAGAGAACACCGAGGGATGCATCAGAACAACGGCGGGAGCGTGCATCAGCTTCAGATAATGCATCAGCGTTATAGCATCAGGGAAAACCTCCCGTGTAAACTTAGAGCTTTTTATTGAAATTTTGATAGTTGTGAAAATTAGTGGCAGCTAGATCTAGGAATGATAGTCTAGCGCAAACTAAAGATATTTATTGATAACTAGTGCAATGTCACAAAACCATGTCAATCCAAGTATGTATTTACATAAAATGATGAACACTCGTCGAGAACGTTAGCAGAAGTCCACTCGCGAGGAGCTATAGGGCCGAAACATGGAATCAAATGGGAACTACAATGAATGTTGCTGATTGGTATAATGCTGGCCATTCATTCTCTGTTTTAATGATTCGCGAGACCTTGTGCAAGCCGTGGTTTTGGTCAGGTACGTGGAAGGCAGAGAACCATTTGACATATGCGAGTTGAGCGGATTAGGGGAGATGGCGGTAAATATTGAGAACACCAGATAGGACGAGCTTGAGTGGTGTGCCCTTGCCTCGAGTAGGCATTTGAGTGTAATATGCAGAAGGGTTCGGTAAACTGAAGACTGAGCGCAGGAGGGGGGGGCCCCGGGGGGGTATATACCCGTGACCTGTAAGTTTGCCATCGTCAAAAACGCTTGTTCAACATTTGTCGCATTCTTTGCTCACGTTGTCGATTCTTCAATACATGGATGGGCCAGAAGACTGGGTGCTTTGCGGAGGATCGGGAAATGGTAACCAGCTGTTGAGAGTCGTCAATGTTCGCTAGCACAATGGTGATGACAGCATACAAGCAAGTGGCATCACCAATCAACCATGGGAAATGGGCCGAAAAATACGGGGTTTCCTGTCAGAACTGATTTGCAGCGGTGGAAGCAAATATGAGACTTGTTGAGAACATCTGCGTGCCCACCAAGAAAGATGACCTCCGCCAAGTACAGTAGTTAAATGTGCCCAAACATAGATGGTGGTAATGGAGAGGAGACGACTTGCATCCGATTAGCACGCCACATTGGAAGGTCCGGCTGCCGAACATAAACTCACCAAATAACAAGCTAAGCTGGACAGGGAAAGGGCCAACCCTGGCTCAGCATTATGGTATAATAAGCGGTCTGTTTGAAATTGAATACCTGACTAACTTAAACCAAACCACTCACTCACCTCTTTGAAGCCGTCTTTCTGTAGCAGGACGGCACTCTCACATTCGTTTTTTCACTCCTTCTAGCTTTGTTTTGCCTTCAATGGAGTCGCATTCACGGCGTAAGGATTTTTTACATAACAACAAGTTCAAAAACTCACTTGGTGCAAGCATGACGCAAAGCCAAAGATCAGGCTCTCTGGAAATTAGAGGTAGAGAGCGCGTGAAATCTTAAAGGTAGGTGTGTCTCAGACTCTGCAAAGAACTGAATTAATGGAATGTCTGCCTTAAAGGTACATGTCTACGTTTTGCGGGCTCGCGAAACTATATACTGTGAGTCTGTCTTATCTTTCATATTTCTTTGAAACTTCTCTATCTTTTAGCATCGGGCCCGACGTCACATCTTCGTTGTACCTGGCACGTTGCCGTTTGCGCTTGCATCTACTGTTCATCCTCGCGTGCCTCTCCGTTGGCACTCTCGATCATCCTCATGCTGTCGGATTCCAACAGGCTCTTCCAGTAAGTCTGCATCTGAGTTGTTGTGCACGTTGCTGACCTAGCATTGCTTTCAGGCGCTTCCGTCGTGACATAACTGGAGCGTATGACCAAGATGCTGACCTAGCACTCTTGGACCTTGATGGCATGGACGATGAGTAGAATACCTCGCAAATATTGATACCACTCGCTATGTCTCTATCTCACCACTCGCTACACCCCGCACTCACTACATCTCATCACTCACTACGTTTTGCCTTGTTTTTGTTTTGCCCGTATGAGTTGTACACTACCACATTAGCCTGATACCCGATTTTAATCCTATTTTAATTTTTTTCGTGTACTCAAAGTGTGAAATCCTCGTATTAAAATTTCCTAGTTGTCTACTAGGACACATCAAATTGTACTAAATGGCAGAAAGGTGTGGCTAATTGTTCTAAATGGCAAAACGGTATGGCTAATTAAAAATCAGCAATAAAGTCTAGCTAGGGTGCTTAGCCCACCTAATACATTTAATTTGGATTAGTTGCACGAAATAGATCTAATCTAAGCAGTTTTGTCTAAGTTGATGCGGGAGGGTTTTCCTGATGAGGGAGACAAGTGATGCATTAGGGATGAGTGGGAGGAGTAATGCATCAGGTATACAAGTATTGCTACTATGCGGGGGCACTACAGCTGTAGGATGAATGCATCACAGATGCTCTACCATTAGAGCAAGTAATGCATAAATATGACACGAACCTGTGATGGATTCCTCAATTTCGGCTGCTGTTCCTCGCAGGGTTTGACCCTGTTTGAGAGGTGCGCGGATTCGCCCTTCGATGTCATTGCTGCCACGAGGGAATGCGGTGTCTGCCACAATGTAGTAGCCATCGGGGGTGTCGTCTCGAAGAATGGTATATATTTCCCTTGCCACCCGAGAATCATGCCAACTTCCTGGTGCATTAGTTCGAGCAGCAATAATGACACCTGAAATATGCGAGTTGTAAGCCTTCTAGTCTGAAAGTAGGAGTGAGGCTTACCTTGAGCTGAAAACGTGAGGACAGAGCTTATGAAATGCTCCGATAACCAACCGTTGAATGTTGCATTCTCAATATCATTATCGTCCGACGTCTGGACAGGAAGTTTCAGTCCATCGATGCTACCAAATGCTCCAATAAGTCATGGATGACGAGCTGTAACGAGAGTGTTGCATTCCTTGAATTCGGCTCCACACAGCCAACGGATCTTCGCATCTGGCATGCCTCGCAGAGTGATAAGAAGTATGTGTAGCCCGAATGAAAGATATCGTGAAACAGAGGATGGAATGATGGCAAATATCTGTTGTAGACTGATTTGATGCATTGTCGAGTTGAGGTAGTGTAAGACTAGGCCTAGGGCCCCACCCGCATCAAGAGATCAGCGCTCTGCACGAGGATTGGCATGGGTGCTGATATCGTCGCGAGGAATGGGTCTGTTGTACCACTGATTCGCGAAGCCTGAAGTAAGGATGGAGCTGAATGTCTCGACATCAAACCCCATTGTTGTAATGAATGCACGATCATTCTGGGTGGCAAATAGGACCTGCCATGGGGTGTCTTTCCGTGGGTTCGGAAGGAGCTGGGGACGGCAAAGGTAGAGCCGTCGTGGCTGTCTATTTTCGATACGATCTTCATCAGGAAAAACCTCCCCTGTGTATTACCTGGAAATTACACGAAAATTGTGTGGATTACTATGTTTTTTTATGTTTTATTATGTTTTACCAGGTTTTATCACAATATCTCACATTACTGACATTTACATAGTAAACTGCAGTCCCCCGTCGACACCGTCACGGTAAAGTGGAGGAAAACACGAAAAAAAACACGAAAAAACACGAAATGTTTGTATCATCCATACTGTGCCATTCACGACCATTGAATATCACACAGATGTAAACAAAAAACATTATATTGTCATCCAGACTCGATATATATATTATATGGTAATGATGGTAGGGTAGTGGTACTAGAAGTAATAGTAGATAGGAAGTAACTGGTGAATTAAATAAACCTAATGAGACTCACCGAGCCGCCCGCAAAAGGAACTTCAACGATGGGTGGCGCTGCGTGATCGAGTCGCCAGGTGAATAGGTGTCGTACGTGGGCTGTGAAGGTCATAGGAGTAGCAGCAAGTGGTGGGGGCGGTGGGCGGTGCTGGTGTGGGTACAGGTGGTGGAGAAACTGGACGAGGACTCCTTGTCATAGCGAGCCTGAGTTTCTTGAAGCGCCCCGAGTGCTGCTGAGGTCGTGGTGTGGAAATCTGAGATTGAGGAAGGAAGTACATGCGCCAAGACGACTCGGATCAGCATGGCTCGAGCTCGAAGGAGGATTAAGACACTCACAGCCTGCGAAGAGTGAGCAACGATCAGCATGGCTCGAGCTCGAAGGAGGATCAAGACACTCATGGCCTGTGAAGAGTGGGCAATGACTTGGATCAGCATGGCTGGAGCTCGGAGGAGGACCAAGACACTCACATACTGCAAATAGTGGCCTGCTGCGGCCTTGACGGACACACATATCAAGATGACTTCAAACGACTCAAATCAATAGACAGGGACAAGTCAAGTTGCATGCACAACGTACCGATGATGCCTAAGCCAGTCCAGCAAGCACAAATGATGCGGGTGTGGGCACAAGCCACTCAGTGGTGGGATCCTGCAGTTGGGCGCTGGGAGTGCAGAGGTCATCGGAGCGCGTGAGCATGCCGGAATGTAATGAGCGGACGCAGATGTGTACCAATGTGCACAAACATGTAAGGGGGGAAGGAATGGAAGAACACGAAAACATTGTCAGCAGGGTAATTGAATGCAGAAAAACAAGTTGAATACACACCTTTCCGTGATCACCAGCCTCGAATTCCTTCGTCGGGGCAACCAAGCAACATGGTACCTGCACGGTAATCTGACACCGGGGGGCTACTCGGACTGGTCCTTCGCGCTGGAGGACGGTCAGCACCAGATAAGCTGACTTGGTTTTATAATTCACATACCAGATAGTGAGTGCCAAGAATTCAGCGACATTGTGGCAATAACGACGAAAAATATCAAAGAGAGCAAAAAATCAGCCCACAGGCAACAAACATGGTAAAGACTCACCCTCTCAGGCTCATTCCTTCGTGTGTCCAGAGAGCAAACAAGCTCGCCTTGCCTTAACGAAGAGTAGTAGTTGGAGGGAAGGATGTTAATAACAATGTTAACAGTGCAAGAATCAAAGTTGCAAAGTTGAACCAAGATCATGTGAGCGCAGGCTCGAATAAATAAACATGTGCAAATATTAGACTTCAACATTTTGACTTTGTCAATTTCAGGAGACTATGTTTCCGCATCGATATCAACTTCTTCCTACACCCATTCGATGTCACCTAGTTTCAGCCCCTTCTTCTGACACAACCAACAATCCTTCCACAGTCGTCAACATTTTTCGATAGCAAACCTCGCATGATCCTAGCAATAAGGCATTCGCAGTTCAACTCAAAGTCTGTACCGCAGTAATAAGTATATCTACCCCCGAAACCAAGACCCCCAATGAAGATCCTGATGATGTCGTAGATGAAGGCTGTGTTTTTTTTCCTGATGTTGATGTATACTGCCTTATACAGGTGCGCAATCCTGATTAGTGTTGCGGAAGTCCGGTTCGGTCCAGTTCAACAGGAAATTTTGCGAACGCTGAACCGGACCTCACGTTCGGTTCAATCATTTTGCTGAACGCTGAACCGGACGCCGTGAACGTGTTCACGGCATCCGGTTCACGTCCGGTTCAGCGTTCGAACGTCGAACGCATTGTAAATTTACTCAATTGCCAGTGAAGCAGCATGGTTTGTGGTAGGGTACATAAAACAATACAATTGCATGTGCGAGCATACAGCCAACAATACTAGTAGTACTGTACAGTTGTATGGAAATCAATGCAGGTGCCAGAACGAGAATGAGAACGAGAACGAGAGCAGACGATAACGAGAATGAGCGAGCGAGAGCACACGAGAATGACAACGAACGAGTGAGCGAGAGGTGACAAGAACGTGCAAGACATGCGAGCAAGCGCAGACGAGAATAAAAGCAAGTATGAATAAAATGAAGATAAAAAAACTCATAAAGACAGGAAGGCAAGAACTCACATCGTCGACAAAGTCTCCGGATGAACCACCAATCAGTGTACTCTGCCTTGCGAGTTGAACGCGGGAGCAGATGATGAAAAATGTGTGCAGTCTGCGTAGGGGGTGCATATTTTGCCGTTGAGAGACGGTGGATGACGCGAGAGAATGGACGGTGCGGGAATTCTCATACACGGCTGTTGTAGGTGAGGCTATCATTTGCGCCCCAGGTGGCGGGGGTATGGAGCCTCCAATTGATGATAAAGGAAGTTGACTTACCTCCTACATTGCTCATATTCCCTGCCTGTGAGTGTTGATTCAAATACATGAAAGAGCTTTGGGCATGGTGTATCGACGAACGTATGCTGACACGAGACGCTGACAGAACGCGGGTCACATATAAATTGTGTGACCTGGCATTTTGCCTGCGTTTTGTGTGTTAGAGAAAACATCTTGATAAAGACGAGGCGTTTGAACGGTGGGGTTGTTGGTGTCGACCTGGAATAAACGACTTGGACAAAACGGCATGTAAATAAGTCACATGACAAGAAAGTGAAATCAACAAACTATATTTTCTATTTGTCACTAGGTATCAGCGTTCAAAAAGGTTCGAACACGTTCGGACGCATTCAATGCGTCCAAGGAATGCCGAACGCTGAACCGGACCATTGGTTCAGTTCAGCCTATACGCTGAACGTTGAACTGGACCGTGGTCCGGTTCATGAAAAGTCCGGTTCAAACCGCGGTTCAGAACCGAACCTCCGCATCACTAATCCTGATGCGCCTCCCACATCTATACAAGGTGACACCTTCTCGAGTCCGCTGGATCCTTTGCTGATATAAAATACTAATTGTTAGATTTGCATGTCGCGCAGGTTCGCGCAGTCTTCACTTTGCCACAAACATTATCAAAACGGTATTTCGACCCTCAGAACCCTCTACCTCAGCATCTCGCCTATGTCGAATGGTTTTCGACCTTCAGCGCTTTACCAGATCCACAGTCTGGGTTGTATAAGGTCAGGCGGGTGGTTCGCGATGACGAACGCCAAGTGTCAATTGTGCCCATATCTTTAATTTGTTGAAGTGCTCAATTATTGCCTAAGTGGGGAGGAGCTGTTCCTGCAGAGTGGACGAGTTTAGATGTCCTCGATGCATGCCCCTCATTTCTTTTGAATGTTTTCAAAGACATGTACACTTACTTCAATTAGGATAGGACACGCATCGTGAACATGTAGTTTTACATGGTGATGACTGAAAAAAACTGAGTAAAGTCAAGTAAAACAATGTGAAGTCGAGCAAAACAATGTAAAGTCGAGTAAAACAATGTAATGTTGTGGATATATGGGTAATTCCCTGGGGAGGTTTTTCCTGATGAAATCATCCATGGTGGTGGATGTAGCAGATATTCTGTATTATCTATTAGCCCGCGGTTTAGTATTTTGTACAGATTATCCTACAGAGTCATTTTCAAATTTGTTTTCACACTCCGGTATATGATATTCTGGATTATCTAGCCTACGGGAAGTCACCCAGTATAATACGACGCATCGCAATTCAATATTCAACCCCTACGTACTTGGGTGTCATCGGCATCAATGCAGTTGCTCCCAACTCGAGAAGGGTTAGAAATGGGTGGTGTGGTTTAAGGATGGGTTTGTTAGCCGGTGGGAAAGTCAGAAGCAGGGAAGAACAAACGATCAACGATTGATCAACTCCGGTTCATCTTGGAGCATCTTGGTACCCAGAGAAGTCACTGACAACAGATCTAGAGAAGGGCAAAACACACAAAATTCAAATGGAACAGAGGCCACGATGACTTGCCCGTCCAGAATTCGAACTTGGCGCATGACACCTCCCTTAAGCCTTGCACTTCCCTCACCGGCACGCTATCATCTACTAATAATAAGTACTACTTACCCGAAGAATTAAGATGAAGACCCGCAGGCCCGTCGACTTTACCTTCAAATTTACACTCTTGCTTCGCTCAAATGGGGTGTAATATCGTGACGTAGTGCTGCCAATGGTTCGGCTCAGTTCGGCTCGGACCGGCTATGTCCAGTTTTACCCTTACAAAATTTCAGACTTGATCTGAACCAGTTTTGCTTGGACCGGTTCGAGGCAGTTATAGGAAGCCAGCCGGTTAGCCAGCGGCTCATTACCAAATTAAGATTAATTATCGTTGTACAAGTCCTCGTCCACTACTAGGCTATCAATAAAGGCAGCAATATTTTCTGGAATTGAAGTTGCATCACTTGTCGACATCTCCATTTCCTGCAACACTGTTGCACGATCTGTTCCTTCTGAAAAATTTAGGCCGCGCCCATGTCGGATCGAAAACTTGAGAATCTGAAGTGCTTCCATAAGCTCCGGACTCAAACGGTTCCGACGCATGGTGATAGTCTCTTTACTGGACGAAAAAACTCTTTCACAAGGCACAGCAGAACCCTGCACAGGAAGAATATCCATGGCAAGAGAAAAGAGTGTTGGATATCGAAGCTGATTGTCCTAGTAAGCCTGGGTTAGTGTACACAAGTTTTCAACACAGTATTCCACGTACATTCCAATAAATCAGAGCACTATTCAAGTTACTGATCTGGGAGTCGAGCAAATAGGCATCAACCTCGTCTTGCAAGCTTCGTTGAGCATCCAAGGGTTGTTGACGAGTCGTGGCTATGCCCAGTATGGTTTCAGCCCAAGTATCTTCTGATGTGTCTGTCTCGACAACAGCAACACTTGAATCGGGCATGCATTTGTAGGTACGAAGCTATTTGGTTAGTCAGCAAATGTAATGAATATTACAAGTAGAGCACTATCACCTCAGATAACAGTAGATCTTTTGCCCATTGTATCTTTTCGGGGGCATGTGATGAAAACCAGTTGAGTTTTATCGCGGGGTTGACCACTGGCAAGAACTCGTCGAGGCCATAGTGTCATATTTATTGATACAATACCGGGGATGGTAGAACGTGAGTTATCCATACTGGCCAAGGATCCCTCACCCCCTACAAAGTATGCATACTCGGGAGGATCACTGCAAGAAGCATACAGTTGGACTTCTAGTATGACCATACCTTCTCGAACTTCTCGGTCGTCTCCGAGTGTCCTAATTTGGATGCACCGGGCCACTCATCCAAAAATATATTTGGGTTCTTTTCTTCTTTTGACGGATCTAATTTTCTGGCTGCCCCTCCCGCACTGGCACCTACTGGTGCCCTTGCCACCTGCCGCCACCCTCCTGCACTGTTGTGATGTCAGCTGTATGTCAGCTGTATACGACTGTAAGCCCAGTGCTCGTGATGATCATTTGGTTTGGCTCTTCGGCTCTTCGTAGATGCTGTGGTACTTGCCATTGTTGTGATGGCCCCCGTGGCTCCGTGCATCTGCGTCCTGCATCCTGCGGCACCTTCCCTTGCCCTTGTAGCCACTCTCTTTCATCCTGCACGCCTTCCCTGGGCTAGTACTAGCTTACTGCTGATTCTGAGCGCTACCCTCCCAGGCCTGCCTCGCTTTCGAATTTCGTGACCCTCAGGCCTCAGGCTCCATAGGACTGTGTTTTTCAAATGCAATGGACACCGGGAGTGATGACTCCTCCCCCACGCGCCCTCCCCTTCCTCGTGCGCCTCGCATACACCCATATCCCTTCCAGTACCCTCCCTCACGCACCTCTCACCGCGCTTTTCATGGGCGGTTTCATTTATCGTGGATCTAGGATCTAATGGTCATTGGTGTGTATTTTCCGGATATATTGTAGTACATCTGATCAGATGAATTTTACTATGGCTAGTGTCCACCGATAACTGCCGACTCTGCACGCACCTGGCGAGGCCTGAACTTGCAAATGTGATGGGCCCGCCAATACTGCCACTGGCACAACAGTACAACCCCATGGGCCATATAAAAGCCATCCGAGTTCACACTATCTCTACTACTACTAGTATTACTTGCTTTCGCATCTACTAGCTTTGTCTCGACTCCAACTTGAACCCTCGAATATTATTTGGTTCATCCTGGATCCGCGGTTGATGTGGTATTTAACTTCTTGGATTGTATACAACGGTAGCATTCAATATCCTACCGGCTGTAGGGTACATCTTGCATTGAACGGTAGTGCAGAATGACATTAATTTTCACGCACAAGTAGTGTCTTGTCGAAGTGCACTATCATGCATATGATAATGTCCCGAAGTAGTGGCTGTGCCCGCGCTGTTGTACACCCATACATAGTAATATGTGCGTGTCCAATGTTTCAACTTTCAACGTTCAACAGTCTCAGAGTCTCAATACTATCTCCCAGCACCACATCATATATATCACTTCTTGAGCAACCGAACCAACACTGTCCCACAATGTTAATCAATACCTTCGGAGTCCAACAGGCATGCACTAAAGATGTTGATACTTTCGCAAGTTGTTGTTTCATTTTCAATGGGTTTGTCTCTCCTATGCCCCTTCAATCGGTTTCGCTGACTCTGCACCCCCAAAACCTTTTGAATTCTCTCCTCTACATTTTCACGCAGCTACAGCTACCATCGTCGGCATCTTCCCTGCACCCAAGCGCCTGTGCACTGAGCACTTGAGACTCGCATTCTCCCAATCTGGCCCGTGCTAAGGTGATCTGCAGAGCCCCACTCAGCCGACTTCTTGAACAGGCGCTGCTCGAAGACTGACAGACATTCCAGGCCAATGTCCATGTGGATCATGTCTGTGCTTCTGCTGGTCTGTCAAGAACGCGAAGGGATGTGGTGCTTGGAATGAGCTGTGTCATTTTACTGGAGGTTGATGATGTTGAGCATGGCCGCAGAAGGATTGTGGGTGCCTTTTTCTAAGCTGCAGAGGTGTGTGTATTGTGCGTTTTTATGCTGCTAACTACCTTGTCCTTCTCACCTCTTCCATTGGTTCATCTTGTTCCTCTCCTCTTTCCTCGTCTATTTCTTGCCCTCTTCACTCCTTCTCTCATTCTGGTGCCTTCCGGTGTCGTTCGCATATGTTTGAGCCACGTCAACATTCGCTGACGTGTGCTGGGCATGCGCGTTGAGCACCAGCGGCTGTCGGGATTGGGTGGAGGCAGTAGATGATGGTCTGGATGCATGTGCTCACCGGCAGGCAGCTGTCGGGATTAGGTGGGGGTAGTAGATGGTGGTCTGGATGCATGTGCTCACCAGCAGGTGGCCATCCGTCAAGCAATGTGTACACAATGTATGTCCATCTGGAGTGTCGTGCGTCGTATCTGCATCGTACCTGGTCTCGTATATCTCTTTTCGGTCATTTCACCTATGTAGGATGTTTTGTTGTTTTTGTTATATCAATGATGTCAGTGTTATCTAAAGTGACAACATTGATATGTTTTACTACCTGTCAGATTCACTTTTTTTGCCCTTTCTGGGTGTGGAATACTCAGGAACATGGAGGGCAGAAGCGGAGGGCAGAAGCACAGGGCGGTATGTGATCTCTCGATCTCGATCTCCCGATATATATACTATTTGGTCAATATATACCTATTAGGACTGTCCAAAGAAGCACACTATGGCTCCCAGAGCTGTATGCATACAAGGAAGCCCTATGCAGGCTCCCAAGGTGTGTATGCATACGAGGAAGCCTTGTAGATAGCTGGTGAGTATGGATACATACCCTTCTACAGTAGCCAGGGGTGTATTAATACTCCTGCCAGGGTGTGGTGACTCGTCAGGAATCCCATGAATACGAGAGAATATGAACACTGACTCATAGCAAGAGCATATGCTGGAACATCAGCAATGCGTGACCGATAATCATTGAGTTTGTCGAGCCCCGGTTGAATTACAATAGCGAGATCGGGGTCATCATCTAACTGCTTACTCCATATTCGCACCATAGCCTCAAATGCTGGAATAGCATTGCACAATGTCGGAGTTTTCTCAGCCGATAACCGTTGTTGAAAAGCATGTGGGACCTATAGAATGATGGTGAGGCAGCGTACAAAACCCAAATTCCAACGACGCACACTAAGGACCTTGCGGAACACATCGAGCGCATCCCACTCGCTGCTTCCAAGCTTGTACTTCTGGAACTCGGGAAAGCTGTCACTCGACAAAAATCTATCAATTCCCTGATGGCTGCGACTTAGAGAGCATGGCTCGGAGGGTGCATGTAAACACTTACCTCACGCAATAAAATTGCACGTTCAACCATTAGTAAGGTCGAAGACCAACGAACATCAATATCTCTAAGCAATTGAAGGTCCTTTTGCTTCAAAGCATTAAGGATGCTCGTAAAATACTGGCGACGGAGGGATGATGCTCGAATCTGCATAAATTCAACCATAAGTCATCAGATATAATTACAATGAGACTTACAACACGAACCACAGTTCGAACTGTGGCAATAGGATCACGATCAATAGCATCCATAAAACTCCGTGATTCGAGACCAGGGGGAGCACTGGGAATAAAATCGGGTGCATCTTGACTGGCAAAATCGAGGTTTGTAATTGCCCCAAGTACAGCCTTGCAAGCTAAGTTGACGATGTGGGGAAAACATCTGTAACAGCTGAGCGTGAGTGATCAAGCGTCATCAGTGAATTTCTGACCTCCTACCGGATACGACGTAGCCTTCGATCAAACACGATATTGCGGCGAGTAAGCTCACGCTCCAAGTGATTCATGAAGGTGTCATTATTAGCTGCATTGTCCATAGTGATCCACCCAATCTGTATGACGAGCGTGACAGTACACATGACACTGATGACATCGAAAACAAACCTTATCAGCTATCTCAATCCGATCCAAGACATACAGAAATGCATAGGCAATATGCTCCCCATTATGACGACCAGGGACACAGTGAAACCCGATCAAGTCAGCACGTAATTTCAGTGCATGCTTTGTAGTACCATCGAGTTCATTATTCTTGACTGCTTGGATCCAGTGGGCCGTCGCTGCCATGAAAGGTGTGAGGTTGATGTCGGACCACAAGTCCATCGTCAATGAGATCTTGCCGAGAGAACCCTGTACAACAATCAGAATGCAGGCTAAATGGAAAACACGAAGCATACCGCCATTTCCGATGCCAACACATCCAGATATTCATTGAAGGAGTCCACAAGCCGGTTCTTCAGCGTGGTGCGACGCGGAATATCCGAGTCGTTTAACTCTTGACGCAGCATCAAAAAGATGGCTCGCAAACGTGGACTCTCAATGACATTCAGTGACTATCAAGTGCGAAAATGATGAGAGGTCAACCACACAGACAACCGATTCAATGAACCTACAATATCATCACCAACAACAAACTCCAATATGGCACCAACAAATGCTGCTGGCGAGAACGCTGCACGTGGAATGTTGTCGTTAACAGGTCCACGAGTCCCTGAATGGTGTTTTCGGTATAAGCCAATAGCTGGCTGAGCACACTTTGCTGTGATCACGATCTTAAGTTGATCACAAGCAGCGATCCACATGTCAGCATGAATTTCATATAGATGGCGACGCAGGACCCCCGTCGTAGTTGTGGGGCTGTATGAAGCACAAAGTTCTGCTTTGAGTTGGCCAGCTGCTTTGAGTCGCCTACACGAGTATATCTTGTCAGTTTGCTATCTCGAAGCCATGCATTAACTTACTCGCAGAATATACACTCATTCTTCTCTAATGAACGTTGGTAAAAAGTCCAGACATCGTTAGCTCGCTTGCTCGTCGAGGTCGAGGTCGATTTGCGATGATTGTGGCTATGACGGCCAGCACGTGGAGTAAGGCCTGATGGCATTGCCCTTACACGGTGTATGGACCGAGGGGTTACAGGAACCCTCTGCATTGCAGGAGTACGCACAGGAGTTGTGGGGATGACAGCAGGCGACGAAGGAGGAGCTCCGTCACTCAAACCTCTCGTCTCGCAAAGTCCAATGCCTGGCAGGTCAGCAAATGTCACAGTATGATGCCGACGAGATGGAAGCTCATGCCCACCAGCCACATGAGGTTCAGTAAAGATGAGAGGCTGAATGGGAGGCTGTATTGACGGAACCACAAGCTGCGGCGGGGGCTTGGGGGTTTCCGGAACTGCAGCTATTGCGGCAGTAAAGTCTGGAAAATGTATGGTGAGGATCAATGCACCTCGCTGGGTATCACGTAGCTAACCTTCGCCAAGAGATTGGCAGACCTGAAAGGTCGTCTGGAGGGCACCATTTGGAAGTGTGAGTGTGCTACTGCAACCCCGACCACGGCCACGACCACGGCCCCGACGACTACGGCCACCTCTTGCATCAGGCATGATAAGTCAGGATGTGATGCAAGGCGATATCGAGACCAAGCTGCCTGAATTGCGGGCCATAAATATGCCATGATTGAGACTCAGAGACGCCTCACCAATCATTGAGTCATAGACCAACCAATTTAAAGACACATAGCGCTCAACATGTAAAGATGCGGACGACTTTTTACGTTCAAGTGGCTGTTCTAAGCTCCGAAACGAATTAGCACATTGCAACTCATGGTATGCTAGATTAAACTCACGAGCATGCTGTCAAAATCCGTGTGTTCCTAGATGGATCATTAGCTTGTCAAGTCCCGAAAACCACGACCTCCCATGCAGACTCCATAAACTTTAATTGAAAAGACTCGAGAGTCAAAAAGTTAGGATTGACCAGCGTAGTAGATACAAAAACTCTATCTGCTACGACAGACCATGCAAGAGTTGCTTCTCTGGCTCAACATCCATCATACGTGCGGCAACAACGCCAATGCTCGGACTCGGCGAGTCATCAACCTGCGCAGCGGGACGATCAGAAGATGATTTGACGCTCATCTGCGACTTGCTCTTGGCTGTCACCGGCCGCTTTGGAAACAGCATCTGTGGTTAGTGCCGAGCCTTTCAATTGATTGTTGGTAACCATTGCGGCCACGGTCATACGATAGCACGCAAGATCGCCAAGAGCTTCGAGCCAGCCGGGTCGGAATGAGCACAGGGTGGGCTCCTCAAGAAGCCTGGTGTAGAAGGTGTAGGCATAATATATAAAATCTTGAAGGTGTTCAAGAGCTAGGGGCAAGGAAAACGAGGCACGTCTCAAGGCCTCGAGGAGTTTATGGAATGCGTGTGTCCAGAGGCGGATGATGATATTGTACTTGCTCAGGATAACGCGAAGGGAAGCCGGAACACTTGGGGCGAGGGAGATCTCCATCAGATTATGCATCATCTCAGCGAGTCTACATACTTTCAATCAATAATATCACGATGAAAATTGGAGAGTCACTTACCGTTTATGGTCTGAGGATCTTGGTTTCGAGGGTGGATATACTGCGGTACAAAGGGGAATGGTGGCGCAAGAAGGAAGAGCTTGCAGCGAGGTGTCACGAGTGGCTTTGGTAGAAAGTTGCGAACACCAGCAACTGCATAGATGATGCACGAGGTTAGACTTAAGTGCTCTGCAGGAGGGAGGTGGCAAAACGGGCTCACAGACGGAATACTTCAACAGTGTGGACTAAGGTAAACCGCGACATGCCCTGTCGGCCAATGGTAGGTCGCGAGACATTGTCGTTGATTTGGAGTGGGATATGTGAGATCACTGAGATCTGGCCAAGACCGACAATGATAAGTAAACTAGAAAGCAATAGTTCAGTAAAATTGAGTGTACCTCACTCGTTGCACTCACCGTGACTCATGTGGCGCTCGTTACGAGCATTCTGTTGGTGCGTAGAGCATGTTGCATGCGCTGGACAACGTCGAACGATTCATTTCCATTATCGGAATTAGCCGGAGACTCGACTGCAGCCGAGCTTTAGGAAACCGTAAACTTCGGTTCAAAGTCCAACAAATTACTTAAGCTGTTTAGTCAGCTCAGCTCAGCTAAAATTCGGCTCGGCTTTTCCGGCTCACTGAACCTAGCCGAACCATTGGCAACACTATCGTGACGGCCATCGATGTAGTCGGAAGCAGATGTCCTGGCTGTGTCACAGCTTAGTACGTTCAAGGCGCAGCTTTCACAATGACATGGAAGAAATAAACCACCTGGCAAAGGTAAAAATAGAACCAAGGGAAAAGTTTACTCATAAGCAGTACTTGAGCACCATCCTGTATCATCCGAGTCATCTACAAGCCTCAAGTCTCGGGCTTGTACCGTAACATGCAGCAGGAAGGTGAGCCCAATATTTATTGTCTCACATATCGTGAACTCACTGAGCTTCATGATTACACATGCAACAGCAATTGAAACATATGACCATGCATGGGAGCGTCTGGTCAAAGCTACAGTGCACCGTGCTATATACAATGCTGAACCTCGAGGACTCTCTCCGTGTCTTGAAAGCACACGAACCACCGTTCTGCAGAGCATCCGGCAGGTAGTGGATGAGAAGAGCCAGAAAAATGTCTGGTTGCATGGTTTTCCAGGCTCAGGCAAAACATCCATCTTGTTCACGATCGCGGAGGAGCTACGGGCACAGGGACGTCTTGCAGGAACTTTTTTCTTCTCGCACAACAGTGTGGACACAACGATTTGCGATTATATCGTACCAACCCTTGCCTACCAGTTGGCACTTGCATTCCCGTCGGTGAAAAGCGAGATCATCAGAGCCGTAGCTGATGATCCTGCATTGCTATCAGACCTGAAATCTCGACAAGATCAGATTCAACGTCTCATCATCAAGCATCTTTGGAGACTCCAATTCAGATCTCCTGTAGCATTCATCATCGATGCACTAGACGAATCCTGTTCCCCTCTAGAGGCTGTGCGGGTGGCGCGCTTACTAGCGGAAGCCATACGCGCCTACAGGGTCCTTGACGACAAGCCACTCGATGCCCACATTATTATAGCTAGCCGGCCCAGCCTGCACGTCGATGGAGGGCCCCCTGGGCGGCTAGGATTCGGAGATATCCAAAAAATATCTTTGCAGGATGATGATTGGGAGACACGCACAGATATCCGTCTCTTCCTCGCATGCGAACTCCAGCACGTTGTCAAGTCTCGTAAACTTAGTCTTGGAGACGTACCGCAGTGGCCCTCTCCTCGTCAAATGGATAATCTCGCCGCCAAGGTCGGGAACTCATTTCTTTGCGCATCCATAGCCATGAAATATATTGCCCACCCGAAAAAATACCCTCCTTCGAGGTTGGACGCATTCCTGACATCACCCGGTGCTACGGCAGACGCTTACGTCGACTTGGATCATACGTATCAGGAAATCATAAGTGGCAATAGCGCCTTGATCAGACATCTGATCGATATCGTCAATCTGGCGCAGCCGCTCCCACGTTCTCAACTCTTACAATTTTTCCCTTCTGATAAGCACGAGGGGCTCAACCTCGCTCTGGAAGAATTTTCGTCAATTCTCATCGTGTCATCTGGTCAACCCACGATTCCCATCCAGCCTTACCATTCATCATTAATCGAGTTTTTCGCGGATCCGATGCGCTGTCATGCCCATTACATCGAGCCTGCAGAGATTCATAGGGGTCTCGCACTCCAGTGTTTTGTGATTCTACATAAACTCAAGGCAAATTTATGCGGTCTCTCAGATCACACAACTATGGCCGTTGAAGACAGTCATTTCTGGCATACACGAGACGCCATGCTTCCTGAAAGCACGCAATATGCTTGTCGTAACTGGGCGCACCATCTGTCTCATGCAAATGACGATAAGAAGCTTGTCTCCGCATTGGAGCAATTTCTCCGTGTCCATATTCTACACTGGATCGAGGCCTTATGTCTCCTCGGAGAGCTCAGTGACGGTCCAATAATTTTACGGAAAGCCCGTGCCGCAGTTGACGTGAGTTCTTATATCTGTCTACAATGGGCATCTCTTCTCATTATGAAATGCTAGGGATGGGCCCCCAGTATGCAACATCGTGATTTTACACTGATAAACAGGTCGCTTGCGACTGCAGAACAAATTATCATCCTTTATTTTGATCCTATCAGCCTGTTCCCCCTCCAAGTTTATTATATTGTAGCAGCACTAGCAAATTTGTCCGGAAAACGTCTACATTCAAAGTCCAATGTGTTGGTCCACAAGTGTGGCCCGACTCCTGATAGTGTATATCAATTTCCCGTGTCTGGACTGCGGACTTCCCTGGTGAATCCAGGACCATCTCAAGGACAGAGTTTCAATAGGGCTTCTTCAGATGTTTCAGGCGTATTGGCGGATGTAAGCCTTTTCGTTCGATTGAGGCTCAGTGTCTGAATGTCTTCCAGTGTTGTCGCTGGTTGTCAAATTCTGAATTAGGTGCATTTCATCTGTCAGGTATGGCCCAAAGAATGCACCTCAAATGGTTATTCACTTGCATTTCTGTGAAGATCTAAATGTGACTCTAGACAGTTCCTTTCGGAATCTAGACGACCCCCCTGTGGATTTGGAAGGTTACCTTCTGGATCTTTGCCGACCCCACCTCGCCTTACGGTGGGTTTGCCTCCAGATAATTTCGGAAACCTCCCAAGAAGTCTCTACCAGTATTCAGCCCATCGCGTGGCATACACATGGATCGCGAGTGGAGTTTGACAGCATGACCATGTACGTTACGATATACCCCACGAGACCAACGGTTAAGCTAAGAGTATGTCTCAGCCTTGCCGATGCAGATCACCGTTGTCGACTTCGGGTTTTGGTGTCTGCTTCGAAGACGAAGCCCTCAAAGCCTGGTATTATTCTGGGGGAGTGGTTATTCAACTTTCGCAGTCTGATGGAGCACGCTGATTCCAACAACAGTGAGTGGTATCCATGTGGCTGTGCCTATATCTGATTATGGAGGTGGGGAGCATAGAACTCCGACTTTGTATGTACGATGGAACCGAGAATCCTTCAAATAACTTTGGGAATCTGTCGTGTACTGTTGGGACTGTGCCAGCTTTCAGCACTAGTAAACATGGGCAGATCGTAGGACAGTTCCCAGGACCGCATTCGTCAAATTCATCGCCCGGGATCTTTACTGCTCCTCTAAGACTGATCCCTAGACCGCATCTGTCAAATGCATCGCCCGGGATCCCCATTGCTCCTCTGGACCTCACCAAAAAAAGTGGCGATTCTCTATTTCCTGCTGTGGCTAAAAGATTAGATGACGGTTTTGTCACAGCTTCGCAAGCGGGCCCCTCGTTCGGATTGCCCTCTGTCTTGGATTTCAACCTTACTTTCAAGGAGCCAGACGAATATGAGATGCCTGACCCACCGCTTATTCGCCAGACTCGGATGACCACTCTCTTCCATGACCTCAAGAGAACACTACGTGTATTCAAGTTTAGAAACCGGCACTCCATCGACCATACGTGACATTTAATGGATCTTCACTATATCCCATGTCTCATAACGGAGCGTTATAGTTCAATTGGGATACACACTATCCAAAGATATATGTAGTATACATGTGTTCATGGGCGTTCACGCTCTGCTTATGATTTTATTCTAATTGCATGGGTCTGTTCATATTAGATACTTTATTTGATCGTGGATAGGTTTAATAACAAGGAAGACATGCATCTGTACATTGTCGTCCACAATCCTCAATGCACGAAAGAAGAGAAAGTGTATGATGCACGTATAGCATGTATCAACCATAGAGGGGAATAACAACAAGCCACGGCCAAAAAAAATATAGCACTTTCGTATCAACAAGATGCATTGTTAGACAACCAAAGTTGCAGCTTACACTGGCAATCCTTTGATGAATATAGGGGTCATGGTGTGTATTCCAGTGAAGTATCCAAGCCAAGTATGTTCAATGCCATGATATTTACAGATGCACATGTCCGAGTCCTCAATGATCACCAACTACCCCCTTTGCCAGCTCGCAACGTCTACTACACCTTCTCTTTTCCCCGCCTCCCTCTCAACACATCCATCAATGCCCTCGCCGCCGAGCTCTCCCCACCACCCTTCCCAGCCCTATCCCCCCGAGAAGGCGGACGTACGCTATGGTCATCCCGGGAAGACAACAAAGAAGAACGTGTGCTCCCCCCTCTCTCACTCCCACTCTCCCTTTCCCCGTTCCTTCCCCTCCCCCGCGCACCAAGCACAAGCGAAAATCGCCTCCCCCACCCATTATGCGAATTCCCAACAGGAGCAGAGCGAGCCACGACAGGCACCGTCTGCACCGCTACTGCAGGTAATGAGAACCGTTTCTTCTTCCTGGCTGTATCTTCGTTCTTTTCGTGGACATATCTGGGTGTGGGCTCGCGTTCACGGAGTTGTCTTGAAAGCCCGTCTTCAATCTCCCCTCCCTCTCCACCACCGTGTACATCCTCTCCCTCGTGCACACCATGCACCTCCTCATGATACCCCCGATCATCGATCCTCGATGCCCGCTCCTCAGCCACAGCCCCCAAGGAAGTCGCCACAGAACTAGCCACACTTCCACCCCTCGCATGTACCTCAAAATCCTCCAATATATCATGGTAGCTCCGCGGGCGCGGGCGCGTGGAGTGGCGGATGCGGATAGCGCGGGATATAGGAGCGCGGAGGGTTGGTGCATCTCCTTGGTGTTGCAGGTCGTCGGTGGCGGTGTAGGAGTCTCGTGTAGATGGGTTACGCACGCGTACAGTTGGCACGTCTGTGTCTTCGTCTTCGTATATGTCGTCTTCAGCGGTAAACCGAGAGGAGGAAGGAGAGAGCGTGATGGGAGATGGAGAGAGAGCATCATCAGTTGACGAGACCCGCGGGAGAAGGGCAGGACTGAGCCCGCGCTTGCTTGGACTCGCGCTGAGTTCACGTTTGGATGGTCCCGGGCTTGCGTTTGGGTGACTTGCGCTAGAACTCCATCTCCTCCTCGACGGACTCGCACTCATCGCGATCCGACCCCTACTAGGGCTCAACGTCATCGCCATCAACGCATCTGCACCACTGCTCCCTTCAGTGAGGATAGGTGTAGAGAGCCAGGCTGGAATACCAAGGAGGGTCGGGGATGGGCCAGTATGGTTTGAAGATGGGCCGGCGTGGTGTGAAGACGGATATGCGGAAAGAGTGGATGGAGTACTAGAACTACTAGTGAAGGAATGGACGAGAGGAAACGCAGCTTCGTAGCATTCGTTACATGCGCGTGCGGGTTTTGCTTTGGTCTTTTTGCTGGGCGAGGATTGTGAGGATGGGTCGGTGATGTAGAATGTCTGAGTTTCAATTGGGGTGTTAGTGTCGGGCGAGAGAAGGAGGGAGGAACAAGTTGGCACCAAGAAAAGCAAAAAAAAACGGAGCAGCAGAGCAAGTGCAAAACACAACGGAACAAAATCAAAATGGATGACTTACCCGTCCAGAACAATCAGCGCACACAACCCTCCCACAAAGCCTGCAATGATGCCGTCTTCTCCACATCCCTTCTCCACTCCCAGCACTCCCCTCTCCTCCACCGCTCTCGCCTTCATGTGCGCTTTCCTCTCCACTACCACCCAATCCAACACCGACCACTTCTTCGCCTGTACCCTTCCCCTCTTGATCTTGATTGACACTCCTCCCCCACTCAAACGAGGGAAACGACGGCAAGGAGAAAGATACAGACATCGATAGAGGTACTGTGAACCTCACAAAACCAAACGGACGGGCACATCGCATGCATGCGTCTGTCTTCGCGTCTGGAACCCAAACGGGGGGTAGGAAGGGGAGCGGTGCGCGTTGGGGTCGGGTAGATGGGGGTAGCCCTTCTACGCGGTTTGGATGAGTTATGTTTGGTGTCGCTGGGTCCAGGATCTTCCCTTGTTCGGTGTCTGTCGGGTCTTCGGGTTCTTGGATCTGGTTGTCTGTAGGAACGGCACCCTCAACATGCCCCAAATGAGACACACGTTCATCACCCTCTCCCGGCTCATATGCCTCCGCCCACAACACCCCACGCATCCTAACACCCCGGAGCGCAACCGACGGATCGCGCGCCAGGAGCGCAGATCGGGCCTGGCGCAAAAGATGGAGAAAATTGTGTAGAGTATCGTTTGATGTCGAGCTTAAGGGACGGGTGGCTAACGCGGGTTCTGAAGCAGAGGAAGAAAGACGTTTTGGTGATAATGACGGGGACGGAACCGCATATACCGCGAACGAGCCTCCAGGGCTTAATATCTCCAAGCGCGGCGGGTGATGCGACGGATCGAGTACCGCCTCGATATCGACGAGGGAGAGGTGGTTCTTGTACGTGTATGTATGCCGCTCTTCGCTAGCATCTGTGGCGGGAGAGTACCAGTGGGAATCGCGCAGAGTGGACGGGTCGTAGTCTAGCCATACCAATACGTCGTCGAATAGCAAAAATTCACATATGCGGTCTCGCCTGCCTCTTCCTATACCTGGGCCTTCTATGGTTACACCGCCAGAGTCTATCACTAGAGGGGCACGGAAGATTAAGGTGCGGCCTGGCTGGACGAAATGTAAGGTGGGCGGGAGGCCGAGGGTAGCACGTTGTAGGGCGAGGAGGGCGAGTGTATGCGCGTGTGCATGAAGAGATGCATTGAGAGAAGATGTTACTGGTGGTCATTTAATTTAGGGAAAGGGATGAATGAGCAAACGCACCTTTCTCAACAAGAGTAAGGACCTTCCCGAGTCTATCCCACTCTCCCTCCCCTTCCTTTTCTCTCCTTTCTACATTTATCAATTCCCTGAGCAATAACACATATCTTGGGCACCTTTGAACGATGCTCAGGAGCCAATCTGCGAGTTTCAGCTGCCCGCAGCGTGGATCGCGCTCTTGGGTTCGTAGGAATATAGCAAAAGCTGCGGGTGGACGTGCAAGGAATGATATAGAACTTGGGAATGCGGTTATGAATGGGGTGTAAAGAGAGAGGTAAGGAAAATGCGAGAGAAGGAGTGCTGAGAGGGGTGCTGGGTTCGGATTTGGAGGCGGGTGTGGGTCATCTAGGTGAGACACAGCAGGATGGATCAGTGCAGTCAGTGCACTGAAGTATGCATGATGAAAGTTCCAGATGTCAATAAAATTTGAGAAAATGGTAGTCAATTCTGTGCGCGTAAGGAGCGGGCGAGGACCATCGAGCGACGCTATGATCGGTATCAAAAAGTGCTGCACAGGAAATCAGCTCACTTCGAATCAGTGCCATCAATACTCACATCATGCACGAGATCCAGTCCCTGCACATAAGTTCTTTCTGTATCCCAAAACTCTCTTATTACTTTGGCGCGTTTTGCTTCTCGTGCTATATCTACTGGTCCTGGTGCCCTGGAATGTTTGCGGTTTAGTGAACGACGTTTAGGGCGCCTGACGACTGGCTCTTCAGGCAGAGAGTCAAATGATGCAAAACTGGCGACAGATTGACGGTGTTGGGCGGACAAAAGGCTCGAGCTGGGTACGCTTGGTAGTGAAATTCGCCGGAATGGAAGATGAGTGATTGGGGCAGCTGGAAGGTTAGCAGAATCAGTGCTTGGGAACGAAACTCTTGGTGTCATGGCGGTTGCATTTGAGGAGAAGCTGAACCAGGCTGGAATAGCCTGGGACACGCCTTAAGCTTGGAACACCCACCGCCCATGAACTAGCCCGTCTGCTATGAAATCACTGAAACCTAAACTTGGTTTGTTCCCGCGGCTTCAAATATTTCACAACCAAAAAGTCCGCGTTGGGTGTACTACTAAACGTGTCTTTCAAAGTTTCGGGACCGCAAGAAGGCGAACCTAGGCCCCCCAACGATAGGCAGAACTTCCGGTACCAGGACCCATCAAGCTTTGGCCTAGGACCGTACACGCCGATTGGTCGTGCCAGGTAATATCCGTTCGATCGGATGTGCTTGCTTACTACAGAAACGGTAGCCAAGCACGAAATTGGCGGTACTAGGTGCCCTTAGGTGCCTCGAAATCAACCAGAGTACTATGTAGTGAGTACTACACAATCCTCCTCTATCGTTTATTTAAACATGACTCGGACTCCTGCAGCTGCAACTTTGCGTCGCAGGCCACCTTTCCATGAACCAGCATATCGGTAGTGAGATAACGACAGCGATGCGACACCAAGTTGTCGCCTCATGTCGTTATGCACCACATGGCGGGAAAGGGGAACTAATGGTAGTCACCAATTTGCTGGCATACTCGAGCAACCTATAAAATTGTTCGGCCTGCATGCTTCACTCTCAGTTTGATTCATCATGTTATTTTCCTCTTTCCTCCTCTTGTTGGTTCCTCTCGTCTCCAGTTTGTCCCACACGCCTAGCATTGGTACACTCCGCATGCACAAGGTGAATGCGAGATCCGTCGACACCACAGCTATCTCCGGGCGATACCAGTCTGTCAATGTGGGACAGTACTCACTGCTCAATAACCTCTGGGGCGAGCTTGATGCTACCTCGGGCGCCCAAACCTCTCAGATCACGTCACTGACCGGTAATACTATTGCATGGAAGACACAATGGACTTGGAATGGCGCAGGCAAACAAGTCAAGAGCTACTCCAACATCCAGCTCAATACTGGCATCAATCAACAATTGAGCGCTATCTCCACCATGCCTGTGAGTTGTACTACATTGAAAGTGCCAGACTGCCTTGCTAATATTTCTGGTATCATAGACTGCCTGGAAGTGGAAACAGTCGGCCAACGGGACAGTCGTAGCTGATGTCGCCTATGACCTGTTCACATCTGGCACAGCTGGCGGTTCAAACGTAAACGAAATCATGATCTGGCTTGCAAACATCAATGCTGGACCAATCTCCGCGCACTACGACGCCGAGGGTAACGCTGTCCCTATCGTGACAAACGTTTCGCTCCAAGGCCATACCTGGTCAGCTTCGCGTCTGCACAATCATCTACGTGGTGTTGATGTTTTTTGCAGGAACTTGTACTCTGGATCCAACGGAGTCAACCAAGTTTACTCGTATGTCCTGACCAATGGCACCGTCAAATCGTTCAAAGGCGACGTTTACCCATTCCTTTCTGTACGTTTTTCCGGTCATTATATCTTCGTGAACACGTGTAAACATTTTTTCTATTTCTAGTACCTGATTGACAATGAGGGAATGGACCCATCGCAGTATCTCACCTGTGCTCAGGCAGGCACAGAGGCTTTCACTGGAACGGCTACATTCACTACGTAAGGAACACTTGATGGGCGCTCTGTGAAGTTGCTGAATATGTTTTGTCTCCAGATCTGCCTACAGCCTGGCCATTAACTGAAATTATTTCGTGTGCCCGTTGTACGGGTTCGATACACATGGTTTAAGGATAATATTCCTCTACGGCCGGACCGCCATTGAAAAAACACTAATATGTGTTGCGAGTGTAGGAGCTTCTCCTCTTACGCTCGGTGTGTCATCGGAGACATCCCCTTTATTCTTCTGGTTCCATCAATTCCACCCCACTGTCTTATTTCGTGCCGTGTACGAGCATCAGCACAGTACTTTGTCTTGCAGACATCACCACTCCTTATGACTTGCCTGTCATTTAGATATTCCACTCATTTCCTACGCGTTCGCTTTGAAAGCTGGTATTCGTCACATACAAGACGGCATCTATCTATTTGAAGTCTCGTACAGTATCCTCTTGGTCATCGCTAATCCCTTTGGCCTTTCATTTACACATCCCACTCGTTCGCTTTGAAAGCCGTTTTCCGTATTTGCTTTGAAAGCCGGTTCCCGTATACCCCTCGTTCGCTTTAAAAGCCATTTTGTAAGCTACGTACGGCAATTGAGATGACCTTGTTTTGAGACAAAGTACTGGGCCCGAATTCCTCTACCGCCGGATCGCCATCAAAAATATTAATATTGCGGCACACGTGTCGCTAGTGTAAGGGCTTCTCCTCTTAGACTCGGAGCGTCAGACTCAGAGACTCATCCGTAAGTTCTTTTACCTTCATCGCTACACCGCGTCACACCTTGAATAACTTAAGAAGGAACGGATCAATTGTCTTCCTTCTATGTGATATGCATAGGGGAGACTAGAATTTAATATCGGCTATTTACACTACATCCGTCCATTCCTCCAAGGCAGCCACGTAACGCACCCATTTCCCATTGTTCCAAGATGATACCTTGATCCAAGCTTCGTCTGGGCTAATGTAGCGGAAAGCTAACAAGAGACCTCCCAGTGTACAGTCCGCCAGAGATAAATTCGATCCCGTGAATAATTCACTTGCACCGCCCCCGGCCTGCATAAAAGTCGCAAGGAGGTCAAACGCGCCCTCAATTTTATTCCAGTGTTCCTCGCGCTCCTTGCCCCTGAGCTCTATATCCTCGAGTTTCTTCCCAAACGCCGCTTCGGTGCGCTTACGGAAGTGGATGCGATCCCGTGGGGTTTTCTTGTCGTACATGTGCATGACCATGACGGGTAGCAACTGTGCTGTTATGGAGTGTGCAACATGGTATTCGAAGAGCGCAAGAAGGGCACGGCTGATAGGTGGGCAGAGTGCGCGGGAGGAATCGGGGTCTGGGTAAGTGCGCTCTAAGTACTCAATTATGGGCGTCGAGTCTGAGAGGAGGGCAGGGGGGGAGGGATTGTTATCTACTAATGCAGGGAGTGTGTATTTCGGCGTCCCATCTGGTAACGTGCTCGTAGGTGGTATTCCGAGTGCCTTGCACACGGATGCGATATCAGTTGTCTCGACCCATCTTGTTTCATAGGCGAGTTTCTTGTAGTTCAGCGCGAGTCTGTGAGAATGGGAGATGAGGAGGTGTTAAGATGTGTTGGCTGCTGTCACCACAGACCTGACTTTCCATGTGTTTGGTGAGAAAGGCGCTGGGAGAACAGTTATGATGTCCAGGAATATGATGTTTGTCGCAGTCATCTGTAAGTGCTTGCAAGACGGAGCGTTATTGACGTTCACTGTGGGTGGCTAGTAGCTTAGTCCTAGATCTAACGGGTGAAATAGGACCACTTCTCGTGGAATCCATAGCATTCCCCTCGGTAGACAACTACCTGTAACATAGGTCCTAGCCCGGACCGGATTTTGAATGGGTGCTAAATTTAGACAACTAGAAGTGTCCGGGCTGGGATTGGCAAGCATCAGATAGTCTTGCATATTTCACTGGTCTCATTAATGCAAAATATTGAGTCACGACGCAGTGGTGGGGAGGAGCCTGGTTATTGCACGGTTAAGAGGAAAATGGAGATGGGCGGTTGCTGGTGATTGCCTGGGCAGGGAAATGAGCAGAGTTGGTAGTCTCGAAACCAATCGTTTTAGGAAGTGTGGAAAACTTCAGTGCTTTCCTTATAGTACAACAATATTAATAATAATCGACACCGAGCCGCGGACACATTCCACTTGCACGGGTATGTCGTAGTATGTCCGTGTACATGCTAGTCTACCAAGTCTGCTTGTTGCTGTAAGGAAAATTATTGACCTCGAATGAATGGCTGTCCGGAAAATGATTGGTAGGTAAAGTATAATGATTATGTGTAGCGTCCATGTCTTGTCCGTGATACATGCTGTATGCGATATTTGACGATTTAGAAGATGACATATGTGGATGCATCGGCGTCGCTTGTTCACCATGGTTCATCAACCAACTCTCAACAGGAAACTGTGGCACTGGCCTTGTCATCAGCAACATCTTCTGAGATTTAGTTAGTGACGAACTCACCTGCAGGATGGAAAGCGGAGTATTGTGTGGGAGAGCCAAGGGAATGAGTAGAGGTCAAAGCCGCGACATGTTCATGTTCTGTGAGAAGAGAACGGTATTGTCTATCAAGCTGCCTAATGATCTCAACAGCTACACTCGAGTCAGCATATTCTTCAATCTCTAGTTCTTTAGATCTGCTAACCTTTTATCAGGATGTCATGTCTTGTGGGGAGACACTCCTTTGTTATGTCTTGGATGATCTGTCGCAGTTGTTCAAAGTCTTCTGCCTCGGTTGAACGATAGATTCGCTGTGAGAGCTTTTTCCGACTCTTGCCATTGTGCAGGGTAGACATGCTTGGCACGGTAAGTGGACGTAGGGCTGCTCGGCGCTGTGGCTGGTAGATTTGACTTAGGTACTTATACTCTAATTTGCAAGACTCACCCGAGTGACCGATCAGCCGGTTAGCGCTTAATGGGGCGTAGCGTGGCCCAGGGGAACCTATAGGGGCCATTATTCACAATTAAAAGATAACCCCACAGCCGATCAGATGACGGCGGACATCATCAGATGTCGTAATTAGTCGATAAACGCTAGTGAGATTGAAAACTGCACAGCCTGTCCGCAAAGCTATACCCTAAGGCGCCATGCAAGCGCTCGTTTGCGTACCGCCTAGCAGAGCGTCATGTCAAAGACGAACATGATCATTAATCGAGCATCTCAACGATGTGTATCCTGAGCATTAGCGATGATTCACTTTCAAAGAGAACTGAGAGAATTGGTGTTTTGAGAGGGATTGAGGGGGAAAAACTAGCGCTGACTGAACCTACTTAACAGTGATCGCGTTCATGCAACAAGAATGCTCTGGGCTATGACGAATGATTTTCCGCAGCATAATTGAAACCTACAGAATATCATTGAACATTCATAATGAAATGCGGGGGGGCATTGCCTTGCAAGGACATGCTGTGCGGAATCCCTGTCGGGAGCGCGTATTGTCGTGTCCGGGATGCACAGCCACCCAGTCTTCCGTCGACCATAGCTTCGAAACTCACCGGCAACCGCGGTATACTCCACACCGTTCATATGGCAGTGCTTGAAGTGGGCTTCTGCTGCGCAAGAAGGCTGGTGCTTCTAAATGTTCATCTATAGTAGGAACGCACTGCAAAATAACATTGACTGCGCAACAAGCATAAAATGTACCGTGCAATCGCACAAACACCCGTACAGGACGGCGGCACCTTGCGAGGCCCGTGATCCACGCCAATCGCTCTCTTGAATGGAGTATAAGTTAATATCCGACATTTTCGTGGCAGGCCACAGCAGGGATATCATTGGTCTAGCACATATGAAATTCCTGTATCATCATTGATTGCAGTAGAATCCAACAGGGCATCAGAAACCTAACAATACATTGAGATCTAGCCCGTGACTGGATTTAACTTACTGACTTCGCAGCCGCCCGTCGCACCTATCTTTGATGGCATTATTGTTATTTCGGCATTCCGCGGTTGAATCGTTGCATGCCTTTCTTGTCCATGAATTGATACGAGCCCCGCAACGAGCGTTGGTGAGCAACGGTGTCTTCACAAACAAGCGTGCGTGCTCAGGCAATCAACGCTACCTGGAGATTTCATCTGGATTCAATGATTTTCGGAAATCCGGGCATCTATGCTACAGATCAGTGGACTGTCGACAGCAAAAAGTTGACATGCCTGACACATTGAGCCGACCTGATTTCTTTCAAAGGACCTGATGGGGTAGCGGTATGTAAAGCCTGCGGTACGGCGCAGCATCAGGTTGGAGCTGGTTGCACTACAGAAAATCATCTTCGCTCCAATATTGGGGCCATTGTGGGCGAGTGGGGTGATAAACAGTTGATTACAGTATGTATGGTTCAACTTCAGAACATTAACAACCGGTAGATGGATATCGGCTTTCGTCTTGGCGTCTTCTTTCCAGTCGACCGTGTTCCTTGCTCTGCAGACAGTGTGGCTCCAGTCGTGTTCGTTATGTTGACGGAAAACGCATGAACTGGCCAATGACAAGCGGCCGGCCAGCACACAGTATTGACCAGTCACGGTTCCATTAAGTCTCGCGTGGTATCGATGAGTCCTGGTATGCATATCGGCCGTCGTCTCTCTCGAAACCTAGTGGTAGGGAGGATGGCTGGATGTAAAACGGGCGATTGCCTGTGATTGCAGCAGGGCAGCTGGACTCCGCAGGAGCAGGGACTCACCGCAGTAAGGCCGTGAGAAATCAGAATCATGCTTACCAAGCATGGATCCTACGTGTGCCCCTGAAGGCATGTCATGGGATCCCTACCAGCCCCATCAACTTCTAGTACTTACCCTTCGCCGACACCTTGCTAACACCAGTCAACCAGAACCCGACTCACAACACGTTTTCAGCAAGCTTACACCTTTTAGACTATCTTTAAAGTTTATCCACTTACGTAGCTAGGCATTATGGTGTAGTACAGTACAAGATAGGCAGATGTTTACTGTCGGGCCTACCATTCGTGTGACACACAACCCGATAACGTCAAACTTTTTGTGCTCCAAGGAAGAAGGGAATATCTGCGGCTGACGTTCAAGTCGACATCGAAGTTCCATGCATATTTGAGGCAACCTGAAAGAACGCCCAGACTGGCGAAGTCGACTGAGAGGGATGATGTGGCAAGTAGCACGAGAGCTAACAGGCTGACATCTAATCCAGAATCATGCTCAGCCACAAAGGGGTAAAGCTGCTGATGGAGGGAGCATTTAGGACTCGGAGAGGCCGTAGAGCCTATACGAAAGCTCTCAGGTGGCTAGATTCTGCCAATAATACTGTGTGCAGAATTCACAGTTTCGACATTCGATTGTCTTCAAGCGAATATCCAGACGTCTTTGTTCGCGAAGCCACAGCGGTATGAATATCAGCGTGGACTCTGTAATAATATGGTATTGCAGGTTATATTCGATGAAGGAAGACACAAGAATGGGGTAAGCATTGATAACTTGAACTTGGTATTGTTCGCCTCGTCTGTAAACTCCGCGAAGGTATTGAAGCGGTTCAGGAACATTACATGGCTTCAACCGCTTGAATGACTTCAGAGCTTCTGGTTGGCTTTGATTCCCGAGCTAAGCGTCATAAAGGCAGTTGTTGACCGTGATATCACAGTGAGTACGGTGTTGATTCAGGGAGTGACTCTGCGAGCACGATAGCGCCAGGCTGTGAAGTCATGTTGGGAGATAAAAGGAATAGTTGCTTGTCGGAGTGCTTGAATCTTTGATGTAGTGTGCTGTCATTATGATAGGCCGGCGAGTGCAAGGTTCCAATTGAGCGCCATCTCTGGATGATTGTTTCCATTAAACGCTATGCAAAAGGAGAAACAGACCGTGTGGCCGGTATCTTTTCCTCCACGACAATTGCGCTATGAGTAGTGTGCAAATACATGACCAGAGCGCCATTCAGCGTCATGCTGGTACTATAATCGATCTGCTGTTCTGTTGTGTTCCGTCCATGGGCCGCTAGCAATGAAGTAGGACTCCGCGATCTGTGTTTTTTGGTCTAACTTGGATCCTTCGATGGCTGGCGAGAGAAATGCGAACCTCCGAATTACTGGGTTCCGTTGCTTACTCAGCGCTCAGCCACTGCCCCAGAATTGAATTTTGTGACCGTTGTTGATTGGAAACAACATTCAACCCTGTCACAACCATGTTACAGACTTCGCGGATAGGCCAAAGGCCCAAACCCCAGTTGTCACCCTAAACTGGGTGGAATTCCCAGGTGTTTCCGCGGCTTATCTCGACAGCAAACGGGAATTCCGCAACAGCAGCGCGCGCGTTGCACGCTGTTCCATACCGAAACACAACTAAAGCATAGTGCACAGTATGCGGCTCGATGATCCAATACTCATGGACAGTCCCGTTCAGTTCGGTCACGGTTTGAGTCTCATTGTGTCAGTCAATAAGCGATCGAGTGTTATGCAACTTGTTTTAGCATGGCAGATGAACTGGCTACTAGGGAACGGTAGGCAAGCATTTTAAACATCAGGGAATATCCTGAGCTACGGTCTGGTGGTGGCAGATACCCTAGTATCTACAAAGGTAAGCTCCAAGCCAGTATGATTACTAGCATGAAATCTAAAAATCTACAGTGTATCTAGCCATATAAAAACTCTTGCATTGTGGGGCGGGCGCTCAGATGACATTTGCTCCTCACGTCTGGCTGCATAACTACTGCGGCCATATGACAAAAACGACCCTTGAAAAATTAAAATGCGCGCCGCATATGTGCGTTCGATCATGTCACTATGCATTACCGAATGGCGGGGGAAGAATGGCTAATCATTTGCTGGCATGTAGGCTTCAAGCAGCCTACAAAAGCCTATAAATTATACGACTTGCATACTCTCGTTTTCATAATTATCGACATGCTGTCTCTCTCTGTCCTCCTCTTAATTGCGCCTCTTGTCTCCTGCATACCTCGCATGCACAAGAATCATGCGAGAGCCGTCGACACCACGTCGATTAGCGGGCGATACGATTCTGTCAATGTGGGACAGTACTCACTGCTTAACAATCTCTGGGGCGAGTATGATGCTTCCTCGGGCTCCCAATCCTCTCAGATCATGTCGCTGGCTGGTAGTACTATTGCCTGGAAAACAAACTGGACTTGGACTGGTGGAAATGAAGTCAAGAGTTTCGCCGACATCCAGCTCAATACTGGCATCAACCAACAGCTGAGTGCTATTTCCAGCATGCCTGTAAGTTTGTCGAAACTCCAGACCGCACGAGACTAATTTTTCTGGCACCATAGTCTACTTGGGACTGGTCTCAGTCGACCACTGAATCGGTCGTAGCTGACGTTGCCTATGACTTGTTCACATCCAACACAGCTGGTGGCTCGAATGTAAACGAAATCATGATCTGGCTCGCAAACATCAACTCTGGACCAATCGCTGCGCAGTACAACGCTGCAGGTCAAGCTGTCCCGATTGTGCAAAACATCTCGATCGAAGGTTACACCTGGTCAGCTTCGCATCTACACAATCATCTGCACAGTACTAACTATTTTTTGCAGGGACTTGTACTCTGGATCCAACGGATACAACCAGGTTTACTCGTTCCTCTTGACTAGTGGTACCATTGAATCGTTCAGTGGCGATGTTTACGAATTCATTTCGGTAAGTCTGGCCAGGCTTTGCCTCTTTGTGAACGCGCGGAAACAATGATTTTTTCTCCTTTTCTAGTACTTGATTGACAATCAAGGGATGAGCTCGTCACAGTACCTTACCACTGCCCAGGCAGGCACGGAGGCTACTTCTGGAACGGCGGAATTCACTACGTAAGTGACACTTGGATTGGCGCTCTGTGAAAGGGCTGAATGTGTTTTATCTGCAGTTCTGCCTACAGCTTGACCATCAACTAAAATTATTTTATATGCCCGTCGTACGGCACATGGTGTACGGATAATACGTCCTCTGCGGCCCGACCGTTGGTGTAAGAGCTTCTCCTCGCATACTCGGTGCGCCGTCAGGACCCGGGGACATCCACCTCTATCTAAGTTCTTTTAATCCTTACCACTCACTACGCCACCTTTATCACTCTACCGTCTCACCTCGTGCAGGCCACGAACATCAACACAGCACTTACAGCCATCATCACTCCTTTGAACCTTGCCTTGCACTTACATATTCCACTCATTTCCTGTCCGTTCGTTTTTCGTATAAAACATGGCATCCAATTCTCGTACAGCATTGGAATTCACCTATAATAAAGAAGGGACGACTGTCTTCTTTTCATTTGGTCTGCCTAGAATAAACCCGTTTTGACTCGAAATATATATCGGGTCCAAAGTCTATCAATGTTCAACTTCCCATTCGAGCTCGCAAAATTTCTGAACCAGCTGAACCCTATAGCAGTCCTCATAATAATGGAAAAGCCGACCCTAAGAAATGTTTGGTATCGACAGGCTATCTACCAGGTTCTACATCTGTCCAATTCGCCAATGCAGACATGTACCGTGTCCATTTCCCATTGCTCCAGGATGACACCTTAATCCAAGCTTCGTCTGGGCTATCGTAGCGCAAAGCTAGCAAAAGACCTCCTAATGTACAGTCCGCCAAAGATAGATTTGATCCCGTGAATAATTCACCTGCGCCACTTCCTGCCCGCATAAATATTGCAAGGAGGTCAAACGCGCCTTCAATTTTCTTCCAGTGTTCCTCGCGATCTTTGCCCTTGAGCTCTATATCCTCGAGTTTCTTCCCGAATGCCACTTCAGTGCGCTGACGGAAATGGGTGCGGTCCCGTGGGGTCTTCTTGTCGTACATGTGCATGACCATGACGGGTAGCAACTGTGCCGTGATGGAATGCGCGACGTGGTACTCGAAGAGGGCGTGGAGGGCGCGGCTGGCGGGCGGACAGAGGGCACGGGAGTAATCGGGGTCTGGATATGTGCGCTCTAGGTACTCGATTATGGGCGTCGAGTCCGAGAGGAGGACAGGAGGGGTGAAAGTGTTGTCAATCAGTGCAGGGAGTGTGTATTTTGGTGTCCCGTCTGGCAGCACGCTCGTAGGCGGTATTCCGAGCGACTTGCACACAGATTCGATATCGGCCGTTTCGACCCATTTTGTTCCATAGGTGAGTTCTTTGTAGTTGAGCGCGAGTCTGTGGGAAGTGCTAAAGATGAAGCAGTAGTGAGAGTGGTTGACTATTGCCATGACTGACCTGACTTTCCATGTATTTGGTGAAGTGGGTACTGGAAGAACGGTTGGGATGTCCAGCAACACGATTTTTGTCACTGCCATTTCAAGTGTTATAACGTTAGGTCCTTGAACAAGCGTCACAAACGCGCGTTGCTCGCTTCGTGTGAACGCGTCTTAGGGGTTATTAATTATCTATTTTCAATCGAAACTTAAACTCGTACTTACCAGGAAAGATATTCCCACAATTCATCTAACCCAAATTTTCGTATAGGCCTTTCTGACTGCAGAGATTGTTGTGATATAATAATGGCGACACTTCTTCCACCTCCGAAAAGACCAAAGCTATATCACGGTGTTCCAGAGCCTGAGCCTGAGCCTCTGAAAGTATCGCCCAATGTCGTGGTTCAATTCGTGAACGAGCATGATGGCACACCGATAGCACCTGCTGTGAACCTCCCAGCGAACGTTGCGCGTGAGGGCCTTGAAGTACTCGTCAATCAGCTACGTACAAAGGTTAGAAACTTGGGCTCTGTCCTTAGTTTATACCCCTTAAATTTTTTTTGGATCATCCAGGACGACGATGAGCACGTACCATTTGCTTTTCATGTCGCTCTACCTGAGGAGGCGACGAAACCAAATGCTCCAACACGAATCGTGATATCTAAATCTATAGAAGTGGATGTTCTAGCGCACGCGTCCCTCGCATTCTCAGAAGAAGACGTCCTAGTGGTACGCTGCGCTCCACAGTCTGTATTCAAGGTTCGCCCAGCTACTCGATGTTCTGCCACACTTTCAGGTGCGTCGATTGCCCAATGGGTCGCATCGATATTTGTTAATGTGATTGTGGTATCAGGACATTCCTCACCGATATTGTGCGCTTCATTCTCCCCTACCGGCAATCTACTTGCGACTGGTTCAGGCGACACTCATGTGCGCCTATGGGATCTTTATACTGAAACACCATCACACACATTGACCGGTCACACTGGGTGGGTACTATGCGTAGAATGGGATCCACTAGAACGTAAATTGGCAAGTGGTGGCCACGATGGCCATGTAAGGCTATGGGATCCTAAGTCTGGAAAACCGCTGGGCGATGCAATGAAGGGCCATTCAAAATGGGTGACGTCCTTGGCATGGGAGCCCCTACACTTGTGCGTTGTTGTCTATAGCATCTTTCAACGTTATTTACTTCTGATTCACCAGAAACCCATCTACCCCACGGCTGGCATCCTCGTCTAAGGACGGAACTGTGCGGGTATGGTCGACGGCCACACGAAAACTAGAATACGCACTTGGAGGTCACACTGCCAGCGTAAACGTTGTCAAATGGGGAGGCGGTGGTTTGAATGGTACCGGAGTACTTTACACGGCCAGTAGTGATCGTACAGTCAGAGTATGGGATGCACGAGAGGTAGGCATATTCTTACATCTTCACCATCCAACTAACGCTGTTCTTTCTAGGGCAAACAACTCCACATTTTGAAAGACCATGCCCATTGGGTCACCACTCTTGCTCTTAATACAGATTTCGTACTTCGCACTGGGCCATTCGATCACACCGGAAAACGTCCATCGTCGGACGAGGAAGGTAAATCTTCAACTGTGCGAGTTACCCTCCGTTAGATTCTCAATTAATCCAAAACTTTAGCTCAAGCACTTGCTCTCAAAAGATATACTGCACTGGTGTCACGAACGCCAGAACTACTGATATCAGGTTCAGATGATCACACTCTCTTCCTTTGGTCTTTATTTGCTTCTTCAAACGCCGAACCGGGAGGGGTTAAGACCAAGCCCTTGACCCGTTTGACTGGTCACCAACGGCAAGTGTCCCATGTCGCTTTTTCGCCCGATGGTCGATGGGCAGCTAGTGCTGGGTGGGATAGTGCAGTGCGGCTATGGGATTGCTCGGGTACGTTGTATGGCTGTCGTATGTCTGATGGCAACTTGACTAAAAAAATTTCGTCATCTCACAGGCGCTGGGCAGCTAGGGAAGTTTGTAGCTACCCTGCGTGGACATGTTGGCCCCGTCTACAGACTTGCGTGGAGCGCGGATTCGCGAATGCTGGTGAGCGCCAGCAAAGATGCGACTGTCAAAGTAAGTTCGACGTGCATGCGAGATATTCGTTTGATGGACGTGCTGTTATATTAGATTTGGGACCTCAAAACATACAAAATTAAGTCGGACCTTCCTGGTCACACAGACGAGGTCTACTGCGTGGATTTCGTTGCTGATAAAGTTGTGAGTGGGGGCCGCGATCGGACTGTGAAGATGTGAGTTGATGCACCGTTTTCATACACGTCAGTACTAACGTTTGTTTTTCGCAGATGGAAGAATTAGCTACAAAATTGTAATTTCAGGAGGGTTACCCTCACTTCTGAGTACGTCGAACCCACGCGCATAGACAACCAAGAGGCAGTTAGTTATATCAGAGTGACACGCAAATGCGTTGGCGTTATGCAACAGCCACGCGGCTGTATGTGGATTGGTTAACAGTCGAACGCAGAGGAGAAAACCTTCTGTAAGCCAAAGCAGCAACTGAACTGCAACAAGGCGAACTGTAATCTAATATCCACGGCCCCGCAACGAATGTCATGAAGTTTATTGAGAGCCCCAAGCAGTGGTAATACGGCCTGGCTATATTTGCCTCAGAACCAAGTTGGTCCGCCGAGGCATGCCATGGCTGAGCACGGGCGATCTCATCACAAGATCTCGGAGGAAACCCCGTCAAATTATTTGTTTGACAGCCGATGCCTTGGCAGGAGCAAGGGGGCGGCGGGAGAGAAGGGGTGAGAGGCCAGGAAGCCTGGGGATTGCTGAAGGGTCCCGATACGAAAATCTCTTTGCCAGATATGGAGTTGATCACACGGGGGCTCGGCCGCCAAAAAAAAAATTCGCGAAGACACAGCAAACTGAGATTCATTGGTTTTATCCGTCGTTGAGGGACATGGCGGCTTGGGGCAAAGGAATACAGCAAGTGCGAAGCACGCCATGTCTAGCCTCTCGAGTCGCCTTTCTCTGGCACATTGCCCCTCTCGCTTACTTAGAACACTCAGATGGTTCAATCTTAACTCTGGCAGCAGCATCTAACGCTCTAACTCTGTCCAATAAGCACGCCGGATGTCGTCCAGTCCCAAATTCAGTATGTAAGCAGTTCATGAATCCTGAGTAACAAAGTCTTGTCCAAATATTAAATATTGTGTGACACAGTGATCGTCTAGGTAGATGATATGTCTGCAGCGCAGCGAATTGAAGAAGTTGCCAAGGCTCCTAACGAACGAACCCCGATGCTACTGCCAGAAAGGCGGAGATCGGAAGAATGACTGGGGAGTAGTTAATACCAGTGCAGGTATGTGGCCACGCCGCCGTTTGAAATTATGATCATATTCGATGGTGCTGTTTCGAGGCTTCGTGTTGTCAAACTAGTCATGAGTTGACGATGGAAAGCCCCATAATGTTTTTTATGACATTGACTTCTATCGTCGGATCGATATGATGGTTGAGAAAGGCGAAGCTTGCAAGTTGCAGAAGCTTGTCAACTTGCTGGTTTGGGCTGTTGGCAATATTCACTTCCTCCAGCCTCAAATCAGCATCTTGAGCATCATCGCAATCGAGTTGCGAAGCAGGCACATATTGACCTTTGATCAACCTATAAGCATATTTCAACTTGGTGTCACTGGTTCCAAACCTGAACGAACCCTCACGGAGCAGGCAACTTGAATGACGTGGACTCGGATGCAAATATTCACTTCAGTCCCTCCCACTAGGCAAACCCGTGATGCAGAAAGAGACAATCGGTCCTTCTACACATTCCGCCAGCTGTGAAGTTATATCCTGCTTGGTGCATCTAAGAAGTGCGTCAGACAAGCTTCGCCTACTCGATTGAAATTGACACTCACAACCTTCAACTCAAAACTCAAAACTATGCCTGCACGTAAATAAGTTGATGAGGGTCGTTTTGGAGGGTCACAATCAAACCATCATGGTTACGGAGTCCTGCCAGTGATGTGGCCCTTGCCTAACTCAGATACGGCGAAGGTTACATACTACTGATTTTCGGGGATAGAAGGTCCTAACTGCCGTAAGTAATAACATTTTCACTTCACCCTTGCCAGGTGTCGAGTACACGTAGGCTCCGACTCGATATTATGACGAATACTGAACCCGGGGCCGGTACACTCTACGCATACATTACTCGGATAACGAGATGGAAGCCACTGCATCTGTCATCCTCAGGAATGTCATATCGTCCCCTGCTCGGCGGCGCAGTCGACTACAGTTCTCACCACGATTCAGATGCTTCTGGCAGAAGCAGTGATGACGATTCAACACTTACTTTTGATTATATTGACAGATCAATCGTGGAGAAGAGCCTTCTCCGGAAGTTGGACCTTCGGGTAGCCTTCCTGGTTCTGGTTTACATTATGAACTATGTGAGTTGCTCGACCTAGCGTTTTCATGCCTGCCTAAATCTGCACAGATGGACCGCACTAATGCAGCGTATGTGACCCTTTGAAATCACTTGGAGAGGGTTGCTGAACCGTTCACTTGCAAGTGCAGCGAGGCTGCGTGGTTACGAGGAGGACCTTGGCATGGTGGGGACCCAATTCAACACACTTACCAGCATCCTTTATGTGGGGTATTTGATGACGCAGGCTCCTTCGTATGTACCTACACCTTATCCTTTTCCGTCATATCTGAGAATTCAACAGCAACATGATCTTGCAACGTATGAAAAGGCCATCACTATACCTTTCGAGCTGCATGGCAATATGGGGTGCTCTCACCATGTTCATGGGTACGTACAGCTTTCACTTGGGCGGACATTGGCTAACCAAGGTCATGAAAGGTGCAGTACAAACGTTGGTATCTAGATTTCAACGATGTCCACCGTTAACCACGCTCTAGATACCATGCCGCTCTTTTCTTGCGCTTCTTTCTTGGATTTGTGGAGGCGGCATTCTTTCCCGGAGCTGTATTCCTTCTTTCGCGATGGTATGATTGCCCCATACCTCGGAACAGCCCATACTGAAATTTCTCTAGGTACAAACAAAATGAGCTAGGCTTACGCACAGCACTTCTTTCTTGCGGCGCCTCGATAAGTAATGCTTTCGGGGCTCTATTTGCATCAGGGATTTTGGGAAGCCTGGATGGCGCACTAGGTTTTACGGCTTGGAGGTCTGACGCGAAACGCGCGTGCTCTCAAAGTAAAATTGTTCTGATTTTGCCCCTGCAGATGGCTCTTCTTTGTGGAGGGCGCTTTAACTATCGTGGTCGCGCTGTCTGCAATCTGGATTTTACCTGATTTTCCTTCAACACCGAACGTCTGGCTTCTACCTGACGAACAGATCCTGGCCAAACAACGAATGGAGGAAGACGTTGCAGTCGGAAACGAGCAAAAAGGCAAGCCCAGAGAGGACCATTCTGGTCTCACCGAGGCTCTTATGGATTGGAAAGTATGGTGGGTTGGTGCTGCCATGAACTTGATGGTCTGTTCGATGTCATTCGGGATTTTCTTCCCGACACTATCCGCTACAATGGGTTACAGCGCAACTACCAGCCTCTTGCTCTGCGCACCCCCGTGGATTTTGGGAACTGCAACATCATTTGTTGTGGCCAGGTCAGTGTTTACTGTACAGGCGTGATACATGAATTAATAATATTGAGTCCAGGCACTCTGATGTAACTGGTGACCGCTTCTGGCATATCGTTGGCCCCCAACTTATCAGCATCATTGGATTTATGCTCGCAATCTCGACTATGAATACGGCTATGCGATACCTGTCTCTGTATGAATTCTCGTTCCTCGTTTATGCGATTCCACAGGCTTACATGCACCGTGAAGATTCTTAATGACTCAAGGCCCAGTCGCCTATGTTGTTTCTTTGACCTGGGTCATGAATACGTTTTCCCAAACGAATTCGAAACGCGCTGCAGCCATCGCACTAATAAACTCTATGGCATCAGTTGGTACCGTCATTTCATCGTCAGTTCACAGCGACTTTGTGTTATGCTGCTACTGACGCCGTCGCAGGTACTTCTGGCCGTCCAGTTGGGGACCTTCATACATGAACTCATATATGCTTTGCATCTTGACAAGCATCATGTCTATGACGATGTTATGGGTATTTAGGTGGCACCTTTCCCGGTGCAATGAGGCTGCTGAAGCCGAAGAGCAAGCCCTGGGACTGCCCAGGGGGTTTAGATATCTCCTGTAGCACTCGCTGCTCAGCGGTCTTCAGTACGCAGTGTTTGGTAGGGATTGTATTTTGATGGGTTAAGCTGGGTCAACGACTGGTTAATAATGTACTGTACACACTTTGGAAAATGCGGCATCAAAACATTAATCGACTACTGTTTGAGCCACCCTCGTCTGAATCATGAATTATGTCGAGTAAGTGGAGTCTGCAATCACTTGTCCTGTGTTGTCATAAGCGCAAAGCATCTATTCTGGGCATGACTCCTACGACATCCATCATTGTACGAGCGGCGGTATTGTGTGCGGTAAGAATACCTCTTTATCCTTGTTTTCTTCATACCAAACTATATCATGTGCAACCAGAACCTGCACCCTCGGGATCTCTAACAACGACCTCATTCTGCGAATGTTTTCCTCTGCAACTTCCCTATACTGGTGAGAACATGTCACCGCGCCGGTTGTCGCGTCGACATGGGACGCAATTTGCATATTCCCAGTGATCAGATCAGGGTGATGGGCTGAATCTGCGCCTAGCAGGATCCAAGCGCCGTCTGCAGAAGTGCGTGCAAGGACGTTGATATGTCCATCAGCGTGCCCTGCAATGAACAAGCCTAAGTGACTTTCTTAGGTCTCGTGCAGTAGAGGCGTACCTGATGCATCAACGATATACATGCTGCCATCACCGAAAATATCCATTGCATGCGGGTAGGGACCGATTGCCACGTTGAGGTCAGAAGCTGTAACGAAGCGTAGACGGTCTTCCGGTGGACGAATGGATGAAAAAGCTATGGGACTGTGGCAGGAACCAGGGTCCGCTAAAGCTTGCTTCGATCCTTCCCCGAGGATAAACTCGGCAGTCGTAAATGGGGAGGGATCTCCGACGCTGAGGGAAGACAGGTTAGGCAATTCATCCCACCTCATATGCTGAACGGCTCACTGATCCCAATGGAGGTGACTCAGGATTACCAAGTCAACTGAGGAAGGGAGAACTCCACCAGCCTCCAGAGACTCTGCCACAGTCTGCTTCACATCAGGCACTACTTGTATTGCAGCAGGTGCAAACTCTTTGATGTTTCTGTGAATTCCTAGGTCGAAAACGACCCGCTTATCGCTTTTGGAATGACGCAGGAAGAATGCGAGTGAGGGAAAATCTATCGGGCCGTCCGATTGATCGACCGCCATGAGACTCAAAGGAACATTCAGGTGTCCAGCTTCAAGGGCAGATACATACATGTACGCCTGCTCATTAGAAGGGGAGGGGAGTGAATGCGCCTCTGTGGACATTGGTATCAAGGTCAAGGATGAATCAGATACAAGACTCAAACGTGCCTATATATAAGCAAGGAAAGCAAGTAGTGGAACCCTGACTCAACAAAGTTCAATTCTTGACAACATAACACAGAGTCATGCTGGCCGGGCCCGGCGTTTCACACCAAACCAGTGACTCGGAATCGATGAAGAAGTAGATTACGCCCTGGCTGTGTATGATCGTTCAAGTGAAAGATGGTCAATCTCAGCAGTCAAGCGAGATATTCCGATGATCGATGATAGTTGAAGAACGCGAATGCAGACTTGTTAGTTGCTGATTTGTGCAGGATACCGCGATATTGAAAGGGCGTACACAACGCAAATCAGCATCTGATCATTGTCAGTTACATCCGCGTTTGTGACATGGCGTTATAGGTCTGTCTGTACGGTTGGCCCCAGTTTCCCATAGTCAGCTGTAACGAAGGAAGAAAGACCAAAGACGGTTGACTAGAGTCACTGACACCCTCAAAATTCGTGTTCCTGGTAATCAGAGGTCACGTGGTGCGACAGGCGCCTTTCATGTGCCACGCGCCCTCAAAGTTCAAACCATGCCATATTTGAGGGCCATTTTGGCAGAGCTTTGATGCGGCGGACGAGCATCGGAGCATTAAGTTAGCTTCCGGTGGCAATGGCCGTCGAAATTGCTGCCGCCGTCAATCTGGAAATGTTATTTTCGTTGACACTTCGTAACTTGGGAGTCGAGTAGGCTCCGAAGTGCCAATCGGAACAAATACAGGTATACTGATGTTGCATCTCTTTCATTCATAGGAATGTCAGATCACCCCCTGCTCGACGGTGCAAGCAACTCCAGTTTCCGTTACGGAGCCTTTGACACAAGCAGTGATAGTCCGGCGCTTCCTGAGTGTGATGAGCAGAACAGACAGATGGTGGAGAAGAGGCTTCTCCGTAAGCTCGACCTTCGAATCGCCTTCCTGGTTCTGATTTACATTATGAGCTGGGTGAGTTGGCATATCCAGAGTATTTCCGCTATTGCCTTAACTCTTTGCATAGATCGACCGCACTAATGCAGCGTACGTGGCCCTTCGAAATCGCGATTGGAGTATTGTGGCTTAATTGCTTACTCGATCGAAATAGTGCAGCGAGGCTGAGTGGTTTTGAGGAGGACCTTGGAATGACGGGGAACCAATTCAACACACTCATGAGCATCTTTTACGTGGGGTATTTATTGACGCAGACTCCTTCGTATGTACCAGCACGTTATCCTTTGGTGGCGTCTCTGAGAATTCAAAAGCAACATGTTCTTAGATCGCATGACAAGGCCATCGCTGTACCTCTCGATCTGCATGGCAATATGGGGTGCTATCACCGTGTGCATGGGTATGTACATCATTCACTTCATTGACATTGTCTAATAAGGGTCATGAATAGGTGTAGCACAAACGTTAGCATTTATAACTTTTACCACACTTGAGTTAACGTTGCTTTAGGTACCATGTCGCTCTGATTTTGCGCTTCATGCTTGGATTTGTTGAGGCGGCGTTCTTTCCTGGGGCTATTTTTCTGCTTTCACGATGGTATAGTTGCTCAATACCTCCGAACAATATACACCAACATTTCTCTAGGTACAAGCGCAATGAATTAGGGTTACGCACAGCGCTTCTGGCTTGCGGAAGCTCACTCAGTAACGCTTTCAGTGCTCTTATAGCGTCGGGAATTTTGGCAAGCCTGGATGGTGCACTAGGCTTTACGGGTTGGAGGTCTGAGGCGAAATATGCATACTGTAGAACTGCTCTGACTTTTCTGCTGCAGGTGGCTCTTCCTCGTAGAGGGCGCTCTGACAATTGTTGTTGCAGTGTCCGCAATCTGGATTTTGCCAGATTTTCCTTCTACACCGAGTGTTTGGCTTTTGCCTGATGAACAGACCCTAGCCAAGCGACGGATGGAGGAGGAAGTCGCAGCTGGCAATGAGCACAAAGGTGTACCCTTGGGGGGTTGGTCTGGCCTAATCGAGGCTATAACGGATTGGAAGGTATGGTGGCTTAGCGCTGCTCTTATTTTGATGGACGCTTCTTTGTCGTTCCGCATTTTTTTCCCGACACTGTCTGCTACAATGGGTTACAACTCGACCATCACCCTCCTGCTCTGTGCACCCCCGTGGATATTGGGAACCTTGACATTGTTTGTTGTGGCCAGGTCAGTAATTATTTGACAGACTCGATAGGGGAATTAACCATAGCCAAGGCACTCCGATGCAACCAGTGATCGCTTCTGGCATACCGCTGGCCCTCTATTTGTCGCCATCGTTGGGTTCATGATGGCAATTTCTACTATGAATGCGGCCGTTCGATATCTGTCACTGTACGCACATTTCTTCCTCATTCTGCAATCCCACTGGCTCATGTTCTCCGTGAAGATTCTTTATGGCTCAGGCCCCAGTTGCCCATATTGTTTCTTTGACTTGGGTCATGAATACATTTTCCCAATCACAGTCGAAACGCGCTGCAGCCATCGCATTAACTAATGCACTATCATCAATTGGCTTCATTGGTTCATCGTCAGTCCAGCGTCCTCTTGCTCTGTGGTGCCGCTGACACCGTCACAGGTACTTCTGGCCGTCCCGTTGGGGCCCCTCGTATGTGAACTCATTTGTTATGTGCATATTGACAAGCGCTATGTCTATTGTGATGTTCTGGGTATTTAGGGAGCATCTTTCCCGCTGCAATGAAGCTGCTGAAGCCGAAGAGCAGGCTCTAGGGCTGCCCAAGGGTTTCAGATATATTTTGTAGCACTCGCTGCTCAAGGCTTGTTCCGTACGGATGGGTCAATGACTGGTTTTATATTGTACACATGAAGCATGGAGTATCAAATACATCAATGCTTTCCTGTTCAAGTCCCGCTCTTCCAGATTTTGAACAGCATCGCACATAGTGGAAAATTCGTTCGTACTCTCAGTGTGACATCATTGGACGAGCGGTGGTATTTTGTGCGGTAAGAAGACCTCTTTACCCTTGTTTTCTTCATACCAGACTACATCATGTGCAACCAGAGCCTGCACCCTCGGGAACTCTAACAATAACTTTATTCTGCGAATATTCTCCTCCGCGACTTCTTTGTAGTCGTGGATACATGTCACTGCGCCAGTATCCGTGTCGACACGGTACGCAACTTGCATGTTCCCGGTGATCAGATCAGGGTGATGAGCTGAATCTGCGCCTAGCAGGATCCAAGCACCGTCTGCAGAAGTACGCGCAAGGATGTTGATATGCCCGTCAACGTGCCCTGCAATGAAGCTTAAGCATTCCTACCAGTCTCGCGCATTCAATAGAGAAGAGACCTGGTGCATCAACAATATACATGCTGCCATCACCGAAGAAATCCATTGCGCGCGGGTAGGGACCGATTGCCACGTTTAGGTCGGACGCTGTGATGAAGCGCAGACGGTCTTCCGGTACACGAATGGATGAAAAGAATGCAGGATTGAGGGAAAATCCAGGCTCTAGACTTAAGGCTTTCTTTGACCCTTCCCCGAGGACAAACTCGGCAGTCGTAAATGGGGAGGGATCTCCGACGCTGAGGGAAGACAGGTTAGGCAATTCATACCACCTCAGGCGCTGAACGGCTCACTGATCCCAATGGAGGTGACTTAGGACTACCAAGTCAACGGATGAAGGGGGAACTCCACCTGATTCCAAAGACTCTGCCACTGTTTGCTTCACGTCAGGCAAGAACTGCTCTGTTGCAGCAGGCGCAAACTCTTTTATGTTTTTGTGAATTCCTAGGTCGAAAACGACTCGCTTATCGCTCTTCGAGTGGCGCAGGAAGAATGCAAGTGAGGGGCAAACAATCGGTTCGTTTGGTTGATCACCAGCCGCAATTAAATCCAAACGGATATTCAGGTGTCCGGCTTCAAGGGCAGATACATCCATGTACGCCTGCTCATTAGACGGAGAGGGGAGTGAATGCGCCTCTGTGAACATTGGTGTCAAGTTCAAGTTAGAATGAATGAGATGCAAAACTCAAACGCACCTATATATAAGTAAAGACAGCAGATGGTCAGCTGAATGCCTGTGTCTCCACAAAGCTCAATTCATGACAACACGACACGTCACGCTGGTCACCTATTTCACACCACACCAAGGAATCCTGATGCACAGACTGAAAATTCCAAATAGTGGAGTTGCGAACGGACCGAGGCTGGAGTTGATAATCGCACGATAAATAACGCATCGACAAAAACGAAGGCCGACATTCTTTGGTAACTTGAAGACTCTGTAAACAAGTTATTGAATGTCGATATTCAACAACTTACAAGCAAGTGTGCTGTACACCAGGATTTGCTAGTGTCTGCACCCAGCATTGCATATTCGTGCCATGAATGCAGCCTGGAAAGCGAGGAATAAACGAACACGATCGATTAACATGTAATGTCCGCAGATAGGGCTAGACACGGTGCACAGGAGTCGACTCCACGAAGTACAGCATTGATATTTGGCCCAATACCACCACCGGCTAATACCTCGACGTGTGAGGATCAGAACTGGAGGAAGTACCAAGTTGGCTGCTGTGCTGTGTTGGACCTTGTACATAGCCTACGTGATGCCTGCCAGGTTGAGAAAGAACGTGAGAGTCAAGACTACGTGAGAATCATTTTGATCTCGGAGAATACCGCATATCAGCTAGATACATTCTGAACTTATAATAGCGACGACATGGCCAGAAACGCCTATTACGGTTCTCCAGGGAAGCTTTCATTGAAGACGTCAGGCACTCAAAAAACCAATGATTTTCATGTTCAGACACTGATGGTCACGATCATGATGTTCTCGAGTCTCGACGCCCATACGATCTCGGGTCTCCGTTTATGAGCCACTAATCTACGCAGAGAAACCGAACTTAGCTAGAGCCTAACGTGGGGTAAGTCAACATTGCTATCTATGGCGCAACTGCACTGCCCATGAACGTGCAGTGTATCAAGTACTGCCATCCTGGACCAGACTCGGTATGTGCCACACTTATGGGGTTTGTCAACTAACGCTGTGTTTTATTTTTAGTGTAGTGCAATAGGAGACAGTAAAGGCTTCGGTTTGCCTCTCGGGGTTCCTTATTAGCATTGCGCCGAGTCAAATATCTATCTGTCAGCCAGAATGTTTTTCCTCGTCCGAAACTGTCGACCCTGGATATTCATCAGCTATATTGAAACCACCTGAAGGCGTGGACAAGCTCCGGAGGCCCAGGTCAACGTGCCAGTTTGTATGTGAGCATCATTTTTATTTTACGAGGTCCTGAATGGCAACGCACAGGATCGATTTGGGCCCATCGGTGATTTGTTTCCTTTCTCGTATCTCTTTTGCAATGTGCCAATCACATATGCAGCATGATATCAACGGCATCAATGCTTGGCGTCTAAGGGTCACAAGCTCTCTCATAAGGTCGAGGGGACAACTTCTCGATGCCCACGACCATGATGATGAGCAGCGCTACTGGTACACCGTTTATTCTCGTTGATCAAGATATTCGTACGATGTCTGGAATCCAGAGTGCTCATTATCTAGAAATAGCATGCTTCACACTTCTGGTTTACGATCTACTGACTACCTTCGGAGAAGAGGTGTGTGGCGCTCATAGCGTTATCGAGACTTCCCTCCATCATGTCTGCATCTCAGGTGGAATACTTCTGGTCGGGGCCATGGAGCATATCGCGGGTCCTGTTTTTCTTGGTGGGCCCTGTATTCTCTCTAATGTAAGCCTTTATCTGACGAAGCTGCCTAGAACCGATATCTTCCATTCATTGCCATGATGTAGGTCCAATCAACTACCGCTAAGGGTTTGACCTGACATTTATCTGGTCCCCACATCCAAGACCAACGAATGCTGGTGAGTATTGTGATTCACGGTTTCCATCGACCAATGAAACGATCGACTTTATCAGCGATGTTTGGGGCCGAGATATCAGCACAGGTTTGGACCTTCGCTTTCTACTATTGCATGCGCTTATCAAGTCATATCATAATCAATGATACTTAGTCGTAAGGCTGAACTTGTCTTTGCTAATGGCCCATATGGACTAATTATTGTTCAAGGTGCACTCAGTGGATTCACGCTGCATTTGAGCTTTCTATGATCGTCATCTGTATCAACCAAGGTCCCAGTGGTCTCATACAAATTATCCTAGATTGGCTAAAAATCACAATAACAGGAATCCTTCTCCTCCGCGTGTGGTACATGTACTCTCATAGTGCCATTTTACGAGCGGTTGCATGCTTCAGCTATGCAGCGTGCGCTTTATCATCCCTTATTCTGATGGGCTGGAGTCTTCAGTTCCTGGAATCTTCTGCAGAGTCTCTCGAGCTTCAGCGGAAGATATCATCCATCCCAGGATGTTCTGCACCATCCCCATCAATGATTTGGACAGTTTTCGTTCCAAGTGCTATCATCCATACAATTTTGTTTGGGTTCACGATCGCACAAATCGTGAAGGTCTCTCGTGATTCGCGGAAGGATCAATTGATGCTGCGTCTGGTACGAGAGTGAGTCCCATTCCGTGAGTGGTATCCTCAGCACACTCACCAATTATTCAGTGGCGGTCTTGTCTTCTTCGTTTCGCTGGGTGAACAATGAGTATTTCATCTACACATCAGCGCGCTAAACAGCACACAGCCTCGGCTATATATTCCACAGTCGGAGCTCGTTTAACCACAGATCCTGCCGCAAGTTACTCATATTTCACTTCGTTTACGTGGCACTTAATATTCCAAACTTACAGATCAATGGGCCAGCAACTTGGTCAAAGTGAGTGTTTTTGCACTCGCGTGTATGATCGCTACCTGCTGAGCAGCGTTATCATTCAGCTCACAGTTGGCAATCAGCGCAGTTGCAGTGTCTCGGCTTATGCTCAGCATACGCTCCCTTGCTGCGAAGTTGAAAACTAGTCCAAATTGGTTGTTCAACCCGTCTGAGCTGAGCAGGGTAAGGTGGAGGGCTGTCTCTGGTGATTATGGTCGCAGCATCGTGGTCGAGATGGACACGTATGAACCGGAAGCACAAAAATTATGATATTACTTTGTGACACAAGTATAGCCTCGACAACGTTAACCACACGTAATAATATTAGTCATGATGTCATCGCGCGGCAGTCGCGACTCGTGTAGGCCATCATTCGAACCATCACAAAGTTTTCCATCGCTGTAACTAGTCACGGTCAAGGACTCAACATAGGCAGTCTCTTCAAGATGTATGATGCACGCCGTGTCCTTCACAAACTGCTGGTCATGCTTCGAACGATGGTTATTAGACTTTCCAGACAGTTTTCGTACCCGTGTTTCATTCTGCAGCGTGTCCTTAACACTTGGACTTCCAGAATTGTGCGCTCAGGTGTTGCATATGAAAGTGCTAGTAGTCGCCATGAACGCTGCGAACAACGTGGCAGTGAGTTCAATGCTTCACCAGTAGCCATCCTCCCAAGCCTCGACTACCCCTCCGAGTCTGGGCATTCAGTCAGCCAGCACTCAGAACACACTCGCGCAGGGAGCTCTCTTCCTGAAGACGTTGAGTCTAACTATGTGTCTGTGTCAATTGTCACTTCGCTGCGGGACAGTATCCCTCCAATCCTGAAACCAATGACCGCGAGTGACGTCCGTCGGTATAGCAAAAAGTCTCAAATGTAGGTCGAATACAATGCTGGCTCAACTTAGTCTCATGTGGAACCCCCTTTAAGTCAGAGGACAGATACGGCCTTCATGATTCCAGCGGGCCAGAAAGATTTTTTGATGTACGTCACGCGCCATCTCATATTGTTTGATTTGCCGTCCTCAACGATTCAAACCTATTACCGGTAGTCCGGACAAAATCGATGCAGGCGACCTGATCTGGGACTGCCAAATACATCCGCATGGCACATTATACTTCTCCAGCGAACAAGTCAGTTTATCTCCAACATTTTAGCTCATCTAATCACTTGCTCAGGTAACATGGAGAGACCCAGAAATGGAGACAATCATGGTTCAAATAACCGTGTTCACAGATGCCGACGTACGCAAGCAGTCGAATTCGGATGCAATTGCTTCTTGTGTAAGAACACTCTTGGACCGGGCACAAATCGCAGGTCACCTTGAAGACACCCTCACCGAGCTTACTGTTGATTTGTCTACGAACACTCGCGGGGAGCTTGAATGCAAGTACTATTTTGTCGCACCTGATCGGCGGGTTCTGTTTTGGGAAGATGATTTTGAGGCGATGCAGTTATTCGGTGAGGTCAAAGGCGTTACGAATGGTCACATCAGTGCGTTTGTATTCTGTTCTGGCAACGTTTTGTTTCACTATTACATAGAATATGCCATGGAGGCAGAGTATTGGTAGGCCGCAAAATCAAGGTGATAACTCACTCGCTCTTGCGCAATTGAATAGCTCTCAATCCCATTTTCTTCTGGACAGACACATTCTTCCCACTAACCGGGCTCAGGATGCACCGGGAGCTGTATCCGAACGATTGCAAGATAACCCCTGAACTTCATCGTGAACTGCAGGCAATGATCCTCCATGCTTACACCGGTGTGTTTCTCGCGATGTGTAGACCGTACCTGCTCATCATGGTTTGATATATCTCAGATACCATCTTTTCTGAAGTGTCGTTGGCGCCTTTCGACACTGATGAGCTCCAGCGAGCCTTGAGCATTGTAGATTACTTGAATGGTAAATTTCTTCTATAATCTTCATCGTGCAGGTTTACTGAACCCATTCGAGGCATCGTCAACAAACCTGATTCAACCACAAACGACCAATATATATGGGCATATGGTGCGGATGTTGCTGTCTTAACCCAGCCCATCGTCTCATTACGACTTCATAGCTCGCTTAATGCGAATGTTCAGTATGGTTGTCCTATGCATGTCTTCATCTAGATGTGGCTGAATTTTCAACTAGCTAGGGCTAGGTTTTCTAATTTTTACGGTGAAATAGGCGCCAGGCTAGGTACAGATCATACTGTTTATGCCGAAGACAACTATCTGGACAGAAGGCCGATAGTCAAGCTTTTCAATCTCGTCCTGTTTGGCTCTCCGTCCAGTCATATTAGAAAGATCGATAGCGTCTGGGTTGACCAATCTGTCAACCGACCGCGCTGGAAAATGTTCATCAATGGATTGACGAGCGAGTGGAGTGGACTAGCAATTTATGTGAGTTACCGATGCTAAAGACCGCATTTACTTTCTGCTGAAAATGGGTAGTCAACTGTCATGTTAGCTGTGGACATTAGTTTCCTCGCTGTACCTGCGATCGGTCAACGACCTTCAGCACAGATTGCGTTATACATCTCGTCACTCTGGTCCGTAGCCTCGTTGGTCGTTTCTGCTCTACTGGCGCAAAGCGGTGGGCACCAAGACAGTATAAATCGAGCGGTATGTCTGACCTTTTGAACTTCCCCTTCACGTCTCCGTTGCACGACTGACTTGGGCTGTTCAAGACTGCATTCATGACGCGCATGACGCGGTCGCTCCATGGCAAAGAGAACCTTGCCATCATCTTCAGCTTACCGTACGCGCTTGTCATTTGGGGGTGAGCATCTTCCCTGCTCAATGTTTCTCAAAGTGACGAACTTGCATTGCGTAGGATGGTTTTCTTCTTCTTGGCGCTGTCGCTCGTGATCTTCCTTTCTGCTAATATCACGACGTGGTGCACTGTAGGACCAGCGTGGTTACTCGTCATCGGGTTTATTGGCTGGCCAGTGTGGGCTGCTAGGGGCCCACAGGTCGGACGACCAACGTCCTCATTGTGGATCCGTAGGAAACTTGGAATATATAGAACTGATGGAGTCGCGACAGTAGATGGGGAAGTTTTTCGTCAGTAAAATGTCATGAAATGCCTAGTGTATATTACATGATATACCAATACGAGACTATGTACATATGAAGCTTACAGACCAGGTCACAACCAGAGTCATGTGTAGAGGGGGCTAGCCAATGTTAAAATAACGTGCGAGTGATGATCGAGATGATGGTGTCCTTCAAAGTATGCCATTCCTGTGGAACAGGAATCGAAATCCTGTCTAGTTCATAGGGTGCGCAAGGATCATAACAGGCAACCCTGCGTGGACATAATGCTGGAGTGTTGACGCTAATGGCATTGCACCAACAACAAGCAGGGATCCGGGGATGGAACCTGTCTGTAGGTTCCCTGCCTTCGTTATCTCGCCTTCTGTTTCTCCCTCATCGCTGCTAAAACTCATGCTTGATACGTCGCCCGTACTATTCGAGCTAGCAGAGTTTCTCCGAGTGGAAGCCATCGAGACTATGGATGCGGTATTAGCCACTGCCAATCCCTTGTCGTTCCTGTTGTGGTAGTGTGTCGTTAGCTCTGTACGCAGATCCGGGTGTACTTTGACCAACTTTATCATAGTCTGTGATCTCGTGCACATCCTCTCCGGGCGTTGCTCGCCATTCTGCGGTCGTTGAGTTGGTATACCGATGAATCGCGGACATTTACACGGGCACCCCAGCTGTTCGGTAGAATCACTTCAGTATCGGTTCATTCACTTGAATTTGCTGTTGTTCACTCACTGTAGTACAGCGCTTACGGTCGGGACTTTGACTGCCTTGCAAGCATTTTGCGCATTTCAAGGCTGTGCATGGCTTCTTGTGTTGATTGGAAACTTGAAGCTTCTTGACGACGATGGTCTAGACTCGTTTATTTTGCGTGTACGAAATGTATTAGCGAGACTCCTTACTTTTGCTCTACACATCCAGATAATAGTAGATGGTACCGTAAAGAGACCCAAGCAATAGTTGCTTCCAATGGAAGTTTGGATGAACTTCAATGAAGTCAGTAGCCTGAGTAAAGCTAGAAACGTGCCTCGTCACGTGCCTCAATCGTAAGCGCGACTCGGACGTTCGCGTTCGTAGCTACCCATCCGATACGAAACCCATTCCGAAAATCCATTGGGTAACTAATTCTGCAGTTCTCCACGAGTAGTCTTGAACGCTTTGGCTCCAGTCATTGATGATCAAGGCTACCAAAGTATTTACCACAGCACGCGGTGGGAAGAATCTTGTGATCCATCTCGTCTGAAATGATATTAGGACCCAGTGGATGACGTCGCAATGGAAATTGGTTTATAAGGTGGGTGTTAAAGGCGGCTCCGAATTCTCCAAAACAATTCTGCGTGTTACTCGCTCGGCGCTCATCATGGAACTTTGTTACCCGATTTTTCATTTAGGGCCCTTCTCATCGGTGCAAAAAATCGTACTCTTCGCATTCGCGACACACAAATACATCCCCAGAATGAACGTACTGCCTGCTCCTGGGTGAACCGTGCAAACGAAGGAAACAGAAGAGTCAGCAGCTGGAGTGTGCGCATTTTAATGTAAAGAATTAGTGAGATCATGATCGTTATTGACTCGGGCCTCATCGGCCCACTTCCACAGCTATTACAAACAACGATAAAATAAAATAAAATCAATATCGAACACTTGCTGAAGACAGCTGAGTAGCGACTCGGAGTGCTAGAGAAGATATCTAAAACCCCTGGGTAGCCCTAGAGCATGCTCTTCGGCTTCAGCAGCTTCATTGCACCGGGAAAGGTGCACCCTGAATACCCATAGCATCGCAATAGACACGACGTTTGTCAAGATGCAAATCATATATGAGTTCACGTACGAAGGCCCCCAACTGGACGGCCAAAAGTACCTGCGACGGCATTAGTAACATCATCGAGCACAAGGTCGCTATGAACTGACGAAGAACTGATCATGCCAGCTGATGCCATGGTGTTTATGAGTGCGATGGCTGCAGCGCGCTTCGACTGTGATTGGGAAAACGTGTTCATAACCCAGGTCAGAGTAACAACATAGGCGACTGGGGTCTGAGTCATCAAAAATCTTCAGCGCACGTAAGTCCCCAAAATCGCAGAACGAGGATGGAAAGGTTCGTACAGGGACAGATATCGCATAGTCGTGTTCATTGTAGAAATCGCGAGCATATACCCAATGATGCCGACAAGCTGAGGGCCAGCGATATGCCAAAAGCGATCACCAGTTGCATCGGAGTGTCTTATCGCAATACTGTTAATTCACCTATCAGGCATGTGAAGTAAATACTGACCTGGCCACAACAAATGAGGTCGCAGTTCCCAAAATCCACGGGGGTGCGCAAAGCAAGAGGCTGATAGTCGCGTTGTACCCCATTGTAGCGGACAGTGTCGGGAAAAAAAGGCTGAATGACATCGAACAGGCCATCAAGTGAAAAGCAACACCAATCCACCAGACCTTACAATCCGTGAGAGCCTCAGCAAGACCAGAAAAGCCCTCTCCTGATTTGCCTTTGTGTTCATTTCCGCCAACAACTTCCTCTTCCATCCGTCGTTTGGCAAGGGTCTGTTCATCAGGCAAAAGCCAGGCGCTCGGCGTTGAAGGAAAATCGGGTATAATCCAGATTGCAGACACTGCGACCACGATGGTCATAGTGCCTTCCACGAAGAAGAGCCACCTGTATAGCAAAGTCAGACAGTTTTACTTTTGCAAGCGCGCGCATTTCGCCTCATACCTCCAAGCCGTAAAACCTAGTGTGCCATCTAAGCTTCCCAAAATCCCTGACGCGATAAGAGCACCAAAAGCATTGCTGACGGAGCCGCCGCAATAAAGAAATGCTGTGCGTAGTCCTAGTTCATTGTGCTTGTACCTAGAAAATTGTCAGTACATGCTGTTCGGAGGTAGCCTGAGTACTGAATTATACCATTGTGAAAGAAGGAATACAGCTCCGGGAAAAAACACCGCCTCTACGAATCCAAGCAAAAAGCGCAATATAAGAGCGTCGTGGTATCTAATGCACGGTTAACTCGAGAGAGGCAACAATGATGGATACCGACGTTTGTACTGCACCTTTCGTGACCTTCGTTAGGTAATATTGATCAAGTAAAAGCTTTACGTACTCATGCACGCGGTGGTAGCAGCCCATATTATCATGCAGCTCGAGAGGTAGAGTGATGGCCTCTTCATGCGATGTAAAATCATGTTGCTTTTGAATTTTCAGCGATATCACACAAAGATAAGGTGCCGGTACATACGAAGGAGCCTGCGTCAACAAATACCCCACATAAAGGATGCTGGTAAGTGTGTTGAATTGGTTCCCCATCATGCCGAGGTCCTCCTCGTAACCACGCAGCCTCGCTGCACTTGCGAATGGGTAGTTAGGCCACTGTACTTCAGATGATTTTGAAGGGCCACTTACGCTATATTAGTGCGGTCCATCTGCGGAGAGGTTGTAGGCAGTTACAGAAATGCCAAGTGCAACAACTCACAACGTTCACAATGTAAACCAGGACTAGGAACGCTACACGAAGGTCCAACTTTCGGAGAAGCCTCTTCTCCACGATTCGTCTGCCAATGTCATCCGAAGGAAATGTTGGACCGTCATCACTGTTGCCAGAGATAGCATCATAGTGGGAACTGCAGCTGACTGCACCAAGTAAGGGACGATGTGACATTCATGTGGACGAGAGATTCCTCCTAGTACGCCAAGATACGTGGGTATTAGCTCGCACTTTTGTGCTTCGGCAACCGAGCAATACAATTCCGGCTCAGTGTTCATGAAGCATTCGAAGCCTAATCGCTCCCAAGTTAACATGAAAACAAACACAGCTTTGCATAAAGTCTCCAAATCTAGTGGCCAGTATCATTAAAAGAGTCCGGCGAGTGGCCAAAATAGCTTGAGTGAGGGGTTCGCCAGTTTATCCGTGCCAGGTGACGAGCCAACTAGAAAGATTAAGCAGTCTAAATTCTGCCTTCAACTTTCTCACCCATCATATGCAAATGTAGCATCCTTGACTGTCTCCGTCGTCGGTTTATGATCATGACCAGCCTGATAGCACGTCGACAGCGATAAAGTTCAAACTGCAGTGTACTGTTACCGTGCGTCCAAACTGGTATCTGACTCTCGGGGGACAAATTCCCAGGGAACTTTGCATGGCCCACTTGTCTTCCTTCCCATGGACCCATATAAACGAGCAAGCTGTTTCGATGGGTAATACTAATACCGGGCAGTCTCAAGGTATATCATCAAGCGTTAAAGTGATTTCCAATCATTCTCATTCTCATACCATTTTCCTCCCTTCCGACAGCAGCGTCGCGTTCGTTCATTCGGAGCCACCACATCCACACAGATCACCACGAAGATGATCTATTGGCAAGATCCAGAAGTAATCGAGAGTTGGACCGTAGCTTTCGTCGATATCACCTTTCTCATGCTGGGATTATACGTGTACGTTGCTTCTGCATACCTTCAATATCGTCAAAGGAAGCTTATGCAAAAATTGATATATTCAAAGGTGGGGTTACATACATTCTTGTCAGGTCGAAAAGGCTTTATTTCGACGTCAGTTTCCATTTCAATGGCAAATGGTGAGCATATGTATAATGTCTTCATTATTTCGATTGACGTTGTATTTTCAGGTCTCATATTTGACTGGTCGAACATTCTATCTCGTAACCGTCATTCTGTCGTGAGTACTGTGACCGTCTACAAAAACACCTTGTACTCTTATTCACACCAAATTTCAGTGCCGTGACGAGCGTTGCCGTCCCGCCTCATATTAATTGCAACTGTAAGCATCACGACTGACCACCGCACTTCCCTTACGCTTCTCAATTCTTTCAGACGTATTGAAATTCCTCGCGGTAGGAACAAAGTTTGCTCGTCGTCAGCGACTTCTTTTGATGCTTATTTGTCCAGTTCTCTGGAAACATCGTCCTCGCTTGCGTGTCCACGAACCTCGTGATTCGGACGTGAGTGTCTTGTTCTTGGGGGTTAGCCATAATTTCGCTCATCACACATCAATAAGATGGACCGTTTGGAAGAACAATCGTTTTGTCTGTGTGTTCTTGGCGCTCGCAACCCTGGGGCACTGGTCCACATTGATACTCGGTATGTACCCTCGCATATACCGTCTCAACGACCTGACCTCTCCACAAAAACAGACTCAAAAAACACTCAAGTCTCATCATCTCTATCTTCTGGATCCTGCGGGTTCTTGGTCGTGAACCCTATATATTCAGCTGTTACGTACATGTACGGTGAGTCCCTCCCCATCTCGTCTCATGGTATCAAAGTGCAGGCACTTAAACAGCGATTCACTGCAGCTGCGATCTTCTACTTCGTACTCGTGAAAGTGACAATCTTCGGTCATTGGCGCTCCTCGTCGTCTTCTCTTTGGACGATCATCCGTACCCAAGGCATCTTCTACTATTGCGTCGCATTTTTTGCTAACCTCGTTCCCCTCGTGCGTTTTCCCATCTCCTTTTTTTGCTTCAAGAGTCGGCGCTGACATGAACCCTGTGTGCAACAGATCTTTTCTTGGCTGAACCTCAATTGTGAGCAAACGTGTGACTCGAGGTTCGATGTCAACTGATGTGGTCAAACAAGATGTCACGAATATATTTTTTGTTTGCCCTGGTATGTCAAGACTCTGCTCTTTGGTGTGTTCGCTGACGGAGGTGAATCGTATCAGCTACTTGCATCATGTACGACGCTCATTTCAACTCTCCTCACCTCGCTCACACATCATATAGGACGATAGCATCCGGTCGCGCAGTAATTCCGACATTTAACACGTCTCGTAGTCTAAGTCATAGGTGAGATATCCTATTGTTTGAAGAATATCACCCTCACACGATCTCACGCGGTGCTTGCGCCTTTCAGAACACCCGTCGAAGGTCCACTGGCAAGGGCGACGGAGCTCGAGAAAGAGAACGGGCGAATTGCGAATCACGTCGTCTTTTCCGAGTGAGCAATGTGCTTTGGCTTGGTTTCGGCTATATGTATGGAGCTGGTGTTGTGCTAGTTCTTATTCCCAATTGCAAACACGGTGGTGCACGTGAACGTTGGTGACGAGGTTGGAAGCTATAGACAGCCACGACCTGCTGGCTCTGCCAGGCTTTGATATGGTTCATTGTATTTTTCCATGCCTGCTTAGCCACATTCACCACTGGCCATGGTCACTCCAACTCGCATTGCTCTATTTCTGCAGAGTCCAGATTTGAAGTTCGAAATTCATCAATATCTTGGCAGGTAGCACGCTGCTGATGAGAGGGTCACAGGATGGTGCAATGATATTGGAGTTTGGCAACTGGCAAACTCGTGGCTGCAACTTCGATCGACGTGTTTGATCTCTGTGGTCGTGGGAAGCGCTACTTTTTGGACTGGCCCGAGTGCCTTTTTGATGTTCGAATTTTGTTGACCCGCTTCCAGCCCATGGATGCGCCATTGTCGACAGATGAAAGTAAAAAGTGAAGCCGAAGGGCTCGTTAGTGAGGATTGGAGAACTCTCAATGGGAGGGAAGGTCAAGGTGGGGACGAAGGTCAAGTGCAAGGCTCTCCTGACACTCCTGCTGCCTGTTCACGTGAAGTTAATAACAATGTTTCAACAGAAAACTTCCGCCCGACAAAGCGTCCGAGGCTGGAACGAGCTGCCGACGTAGCTCACCAAACATTCTGGTTAACTGACGGAAATACCACCCTCGAAATTGGAGGTGTCCTCTTCAAACTCCACCGATCCAGACTCGCTGACCAGTCAACCTTTTTCGCTGGCCTCTTGGACGAGCAAGATGTGCGCGTGGATGACAGCGTCAAAGTCGAAAGCGATGAAAACGGGACGGTGTACCACCTGTCAAACACCACGTCCAAAGATTTTGAGGCACTGCTACAGTTCGATAGGAATCCGATGTAGGGACCTTTTTATCATTATTTTTGTACGGTATTGACTATTACCTGCAGGGTATATTATCTTACCCCTCCTCCATTCTCGGTCTTGGCTGCTATCCTTCGTGCATCGACTGCATTAGGATTCGACGCGCATCGAGCTTACGCCGTGAAACTACTAGAGAATGGTTGGTCCTCATCCCTCGCGGATCTCACCAAGGACACAAAACCTCACGCAGTGGGAGTGGCGGTCCTTGGGCGGAGTTGCGGCATCGAAAGCGTATTGAAGAGGGCGTTTTATGAAATGGTTCGAGCAGCAGGTTATGGTCTTGGCAACGGCGAGTTGGACGGTGGTGACGTAGAAGAAATCAGCCGTGCAGATGAAAGGCGTCTGGGACGCATGCGGGAGAGTCTTACTTCGACCTGGTTGCAGGTTGCGATGCGCTTGGACCGTTCCTTGGAGTGCCCAAATCAACCGAAGGGCGTCTTTGGGCTCCCTGGGCCGAGCACGTCTACTTCATTGACGCTCTGCCCTTCTCTGTCTTCGAAGCGAGATGCTTGGGAGAGGCGCGTGCACGATTCTGGGCTCTACAATGAGTATTTGTACGATCCGTTGTGCGGACTCGAGGCCTTGATAAAGATCAAATGGGACAAGGATGAGGGATGGTGCACAGACTGCGTGCAGGCAAGACGAAAAGTCTGGATACTTGCGCGTCAGCGAACTTGGCAGCGCGTAGGGGTTTTGATGGGTGTTGACAACGTTGAAGTCTGACAACTCACTGACGCGGCTGCCAGTGGCATTTGGACCTGATGTATATATTTTGCACTACACCACTTAGTAATTTGCCTGATCGATGATTACTCCCCTGCTAATTTGATCATCAATTCCAGGTCATTCATTGGGTTTTGTCAACGGGTTTCAAACATGGCAGGCTCTGAGACCTGCCGCAGATTCGGTATCGAGGTCGAGGAATGCGTGATTGACATCCACGCGATCAGAACGACGGGTGTAAAGTTTCTTTATGGATATTGCCGGACTGCCGTCAACCCAATCCACATCCACACAACCCTTGCCCTATCGAGCTGCCCATACATCCAGTATGATGTTTTATTACTGGACTTGTTTGCGCGTTGCCTCACGCCTCTCTGCTTAATCTGGTTCTACTGTGTTCTGGGACGTTGCACTATCTCCGCCATTGCATAGTCTTGGATATCGGACAATATGTCCATCCGCCGTTATTTCATGGCCTGCACATTCGCCTTGTTACAGTCTGTCTTTATTTCATCTTTTCATTTTAGTATTTACGGTGTTGCTCACACCATCATGTTGTGCAGACAGACCACAGTACTGGATCACAATTAACGCTGGCATCGGTCAATGAATCAGTTTTTGTCTGCTGATTCCCACCTTGATCTTTGTGATGGGTTTCAAGTCGCTAACTTATAAAGTCACCAGCCCTGGAGGTGCTGGGCACGACTCGGATGGCTTATCACAACAATGCAGTATACGTACTAGTACGCTTCGCATTCGGACTGACGTCGCTTACTTTCCAGAACTTACACGCAAACGGCAGTGCTTCGATGATGAAATCTAGACTTGAGCGCTGAGCGCTTGAGCTTGCTCGTTTCCCTGCTCATTCACAAGAGATAAGAAAGTGTGCAACGTGGATTTTTCGCGCGCGAAACCCACTTTCTGCCTCTCAACACAATGCAGACGGAGTATTCGGCTAATGATATCGCAGCGGCAAGGAGTGTGCAAGTCTATACGGTGCGTTCCCTGTTGTTGACCGGACAGCCTTTGATAACAATGGATAATCCATGTGCTGCCAGTACCTATACAGTGCGTATTACTATTGGAACTACTTCTTCTATGTTCTAAACACAATTCAGCGTCAATGGCCACATTCTGGGTGGGGTCGTCCTGATGCATTTCCGTCTGTTGTTAACCTCTCTTGCCAGACCTACGATTACACTTGTTCACTTCATCAGGAGGCATGTACTCGTTCAGCCTTATTTTTTATATTAACGATAACCATCTTTTCCTAGTGGACGTTCCTACTTCGGTCACGCTGGTGCAAGGTAAAATGCCTTTACGTTGTCACACGATACGTGCCTTTCCTCCTCTTCACCGGCCATCTATATAGTACGTTCGGCTCCTACACACATTGCTATGAATTGACATGTCGTGCTTCAGTGAACTTCATCCCGAATGAGAACTCCGATGTATGTGAACGTGCAGTCACTGGTCGATCGATGGCGCTGACCGCATGACCTGGCCAGAAATGCCAGTTGTTGAACAACATCTGCTCAGGTACGTACATCATGCATACACGCACGCACACTCTAACTCTACCCATTCCTCTCACAGGTTTCAGCCTGATATCAGTCTCTTGTTCTGAATGTATGACATTCTCCGCAAAATCTGCGCGATCCTGATCACATCATGCAGGCTTTTTTGTCCTCAGAACATATGTACTCTGGAACAACAACAAAATTGTGCTCGTCAGCATAGTGACTGCCTTTCTTGTGAGTCCTGCTCCCTTCCTGTACCCCGAGCTTGCGTAGACACATCCATCAGGCTGTCGTCATATCATCCATCAGCTTTTCCTTTGCCACTACTGCTACCGCACCGTGTATGCACTCCTACACTTGCCTTTGTATTCTACCACCATTCACACTGCACTTTCAACAGGGACAACCAGCGCGATCCCGGGCATTACAGGCTGCTACCAGAGCTCGGCCGTCATCCAACTCTTTATACCATTTATACTCTTGATTGCGCTTGAATTTGGTATGTCCCCAAAAATAGGGAGCATATATTTACAGACGCGCGCTGACTGACGCTCTCCAGGTCTCATATCCCTCACGCTCATACGCGCTATACAGAGCTGGCGGTCGACCAACAACCGTTTATACGTTGTCCTGGTGAAGCACAACATATTCTACTATGCATGTGGTCTGTGTGAGTTAGGACATACACAGATTTTCAGGTCGTTTGCCTTGCTCATCGATGCTTCTTGTTCCGAAAGTTTTCTCGACCGTGAACGTCATCGCGTTGCTGCTCTTCCACGTACGTGAACCCTCGAATTCCTCTATCACCGAGTCATTAATCACATGTATCCATAGTACGGATACGAATCCATGTTCCAAGAGTACGGTTATCTTATGCCGCTGCGCATTCTTGCTAACAGTACATACTTACATGTAGTTTCCAATTCATCATCCTCGCGATCCTCGCCACGCGCATGCACCTCCATCTCTGGCATGCAGACAGGCGCGCGCACGGCTCTAGCGGCCTTGTGTTTATTCCTCTAAGCGATATTTCATCTGCGGGCAGTCCGACGTGATGTTTGGCGTCGTTTAAATGTTCATGGGGTGGTGTTTGAACTGTACGACGTTATCCGAGGTTAGCTTGGTCAGATTTGGGATCCGTGCGCTTAAAAAGAATGCAGTTTCTGTTGTGGGCGGGAGGTGCATCTGGATGGAGGAGTTGACGTTCGAATTTGGATTGAGGCATGTCACATACGAGTAGTGTACACGAGGAGACACAGCTGCAGGGAAATAACCAAAAGAAGAAATACACACACAGGCTGGTTCATGCTGTCACGGACCACGGTCATGCAACATTAATATATTGAAAATTTCACACCTGCAAGCCGTCACGCGTCAAGCGCGAACCTTACAATCAGTAGCACCATCATCTACGAGCCATCACCGTGATATAGAACGTCGTATCCTAGTCACCATGCAACAGGAAGGTGAGCCTAGCGTTTAGCCACGTTGCGTACTCGCTGATTCGTATACAGCAATTGAAACACGCGACCATGCATGGGAGCGTCTGGTCAAAGCTGCAGTGCACCGTGCTATATACAATGCTGAACCACGAGCACTCTCTCCGTGTCTTGAAAACACACGAACCACCATTCTGAAGAGCATCCGGCAGATAGTGGATGAGAAGAGCCAAAAAAATGTCTGGTTGCACGGTTTTCCAGGCTCAGGCAAAACATCTATCCTATTCACGATTGCGGAGGAGCTACGGGCACAGGGACGTCTTGCCGGAACTTTTTTCTTCTCGCACAACAGTGTAGACACAACGATGTGCGATTATGTCGTACCAACCCTTGCCTACCAGTTGGCACTTGCATTCCCGTCGGTGAAAAGCGATATCATCAGAGCCGTTGCTGATGATCCTGCATTACTATCAGATCTGAAATCTCGACAAGATCAGATCCAACGTCTCATCATCAAGCATCTTTGGAGACTCCGATTCAGACCTCCTGTAGCATTCATCATCGATGCACTAGACGAATCCTGTTCCCCTCTAGAGGCTGTGCGGGTGGCACGCTTACTAGCGGAAGCCATACGCGCCTACAAGGTTCTGGACGACAAGCCACTCGATGCCCACATCATTCTAGCTAGCCGTCCCAGCTTGCACTTTGATGGATGGGATCTTGGGCAAGGATTTGGAGATATCCAAGAAATATCTTTACAGGATGATGGTGGGGAGACTCACATGGACATCCGTCGCTTCCTTGCGCACGAACTCCAGCGAGTCGTCAATTCTCGTAAGCTTAGTCTTGGAGACGTACCAGAGTGGCCATCTTCTAGTCAGATGGATAGTCTCGCTGCCAAGGTCGGGAACTCATTTCTATGCGCATCCATAGCGATGAAATATATTTCCCACCTGAAAAAATACCCTCCATCGAGGTTGGACGCATTCCTAACATCACCTAGCGCTACAGCAGACGCTTACGCCGACCTGGATCACACGTATCAGGAGATCATCAGGGACAATAGCGACTTGATCAGACATCTGATTGATATCGTCAATCTAGCGCAGCCGCTCACACGTTCTCAACTCTTGCAGTTTTTCCCTTCGGATCAGAGCGAGGGGCTCAACCTGGCTCTGGAAGAATTTTCATCGATTCTCGTCGTGACACCTGATCAACCCATGATTCCCATCCAACCTTATCATTCATCACTCATCGAGTTTTTTGCAGACCCGATGCGCTGTCATGCCCATTACATCGAGCCTGCAGAGATTCATAGGGGTCTCGCACTCCAGTGTTTTAGGATTCTACAAACACTCAAGACAAATTTGTGTGATCTGTCAGACTACACAACTATGGTCGTCGAGGACAGTCATTTCTGGCAAAAACGAGATGTCATGCTTCCTGAAAGCCTGCAATATGCTTGTCGTAACTGGGCGCACCATCTGTCTCACGCAAATGTCGATGAGACACTTGTATCGACATTGGAGCAATTTCTCCGTGTCCACATTCTGCAATGGATCGAGGCCTTATGTCTCTTAGGAGAGCTCAGCGATGGTCCAATAATTTTACGGAAAGCCCTTGCCGCGGTTGTCGTGAGTTCTTGTGTTTGTCTACCATGGGCATCTCTACTCATTATGAAATGCCAGGGATGGGCCCCCAACATGCTAAATCGTAATTTTTCACTAATAAACCGGTCGCTTGCGGCTGCGGAACAAATGATTATCCTGTATTTTGATCCCATCAGCCTGTTCCCCCTCCAGGTTTACTACATTGTAGCAGCACTTGCAGATTTATCAAAACCTCCATATTATAGTTCTAATGTGCCGGTCCACAGGCGTGGTACGGCTTCTGATAGTGCATATCAATTTCCCGTGTCCGAATTGCAGTCTTCCCCGGTGAATCCAGGACCATCTCAAGGACCGCATTTTGAGGGGGCGGATCCTGGAGTTTTAGGTATCTTGGCGGATGTAAGCCTTTATATCGGTTTGAGCTCATTATTATAGTGTTTGACTGGGTTCCAGTGTAGCCGCTGGATATCGAATCCTGACTTAGGTGCATTTCACCTGACAGGTATGCCCACCTGAAGTGCAATGCCTAGACGACGATTATTCACGTGCAATTGCGTCAAGATCTATCTTTGAATCTACATCTTTCTGATTCAGACATCGATGATCTTCAAAAAAACAGCATTTCACCAAACTATGTTGGTCTACGCAGCCTTTGGGTTTGCCTGGAGATAATATCGGAAAATTCCAAACAAGTATCTCCTATTCAACAGATCAGAGCCAGTCCTATCTCGCAAGTGATATCGGGCAATATGACGATGTACGTTACGATAGTCCCCATTAGAACAAGATTTTAAGCCTTTTATTTCAGCCTTGCCGAAGCAGATCACCGCTGTCGACTTCGGGTTCTGCTTTCAACGTCAAAGAAGAAGCCCTCAAAGCCTGGCATGATTCTGGGGGAGTTGCTATTCAACTTTCGAGCTCTGATGGGGCATGCTGATTCCAACAACAGTGAGTAATATCTATGTGGCGACAATCTATGATCATGGAGGCGGGAAGCGTAGAATTCAAACTCGAAATGTATATGCAAAACAAACTTCAAAGAGCGGTATTCGGCAGCCATACAATCAGCATCGAAAAATGGCTCACTGGAAGTCTGTGCTTTACTATTGTACCTGTGCCCCATTTCAGGGCCAGTACAAGCGCACAGATAATCACAGGACAGTTCCCTGAACCACATCCGTCCAATCTGTCGCCCGGGATCTTTCGCCTTCCAGCGCTCTTCGGGACTAAAAAAAGTGGGCCAAAAACCCGCTTTCCAAGGTTTCCACGAAGCTTGGAATCTTGCTTGAATCTTAGACTTACTTTCAAGGAGCCGGACGAATTCGAGACCCCGACTCCGACTCGCCGCCCGGCCCCGGGTAGTGATGTGCCGGCCCGGCTTGGCCTGAAAGCCGCAGCTTTGGCCTGGCCTAGGGCGGCTTTGGCTTTGCAAAACCTCAGGCGGAGCCGTGAGCCAAAGCTACGCCAAAGCGAATCGAGAGGCCTGAACGCCAGATAACCACCGCCTTCCGTGTCCTTAAGAGAGAAGTATGTTTGGCCATAGTACGGATACCAAGCTATGTTCCAAGAGTACGGTTTTCTTATGCTGCTGCGCACCCCTACTTACAGTATATACTACATGTAGTTTCCAATTCATCATCCTCGCGATCCTCGCCACGCGCATGCACCTCCATCTCTGGTATGCAGACAGGCGCGCACACGGCTCTAGCGGCCTTGTGTTTATTCCTCTAAGCGATATTTCATCTGCGGGCAGTCCGACGTGATGTTTGGCGTCGTTTACATGTTCATGGGGTGGTGTTTGAGCTGTACGATGTTATCCGAGGTTAGATTTGGGATCCACGCGCTTTAGAAAGAATGATACAATGGTTGGTGTTTTGATAGTACGCCATGCAACTGACGAGGTCTTGTGCCACGAAGTTCCACCCATTCGAGTCACACGACGCTCGTCTCGGACATTCTGAACCTCCGAGTCTTCTGACGCATTAGACAGGTATATTATAAGACACTTTCACTGCAGACGGCACGGGCACGTCCCAATAATGTATTCCCCCGACACTCCGAGGGTGTACCCACCTGAACTTCTCCCCCCACTTCTGAATTACACACAACCCACACCCACACCAAAACCGAGTCCACTCACGGTCTCATGATCATGATCATGAACCTTTAAACACGACGGGCATCACGAACATTAATGTTCCAACGCATATAGACTTTTCACTCATGCATTAATACCTCGATCGATCAATGCATCTCTCCGACATTCCGAGGACTGGAGTCATGAACCCACCCCCACATTAATATTGCCCTCATGCACACCTCACGGCACACGATAGACACATGCACATGAATCGCACCCAAAACGCAAATTAAATAACGAAAACGTCTAAGCAAATACGTATGTATGTAGCCAACTGTGACGAGTTGAAGTGAGGTATGATATGATACATGCGTCGACGGAGCGTGAGCGTGCTATGCAAAGGAGGAATGTGTTGGGGTCCGAGTAATAAATATATGAGGTCGGAGGAGGGGCGATGGTGAGGAGAATGCGGAGGCGGTGAAGGGGAACGGGTGGTGAAGAGGGAGTGAGGAGAATGAGCAGTGAGTGGCTAAGAAGGTCCACCGTCTATCGTAAAAAGGAATAAAGACCAACGAAAAGGAACGTCGTATCATATGCATCGTGAGCAGCTAGCGAACGACAAGAATCCAAAAACATCCACGAAAAAAAAGAAAAACGAGTTAAAAAGGAAAAAGATGAGACAGTCTAGTGATCATGACGCACGACAGCCCTGAGAACGATCAACGGTGGTGGGGAGGATCATAGATCGTGCACATGTGCAGGTACGATCATGTGCAGCTCGAGCCCGCTCTACCTCCTACCGATGCGGTGTGCGCGGGGGAGATAAAGACATCTCGACTCACTGACACCGCGAAAGACTTTGCCTCTGTACTTGTCCCCCCTGCCCTTGTCCATCGCCAGCTCTGAATTGCGCATACTCGCATCCCTCCTTCCTACCCATCCCCAAAGACTGTGGGGAGGAAGGGGACTCGGCAAGCGCCACAATAGGCATCGCGAACTTCTTCCTCGGTGCAACCACCGGCTTCATTCCCATCTGCATCTGCATTGCGCCACCCACCGGTGCCTTCATCTGGGACAACTCCAGCGGAGAAGGTGCAGGTAGACCAGGAGAAGGAACAGCGGAGAAATTCGGTTTTGAAGATGTTGATGTTGATGAACGGGGTTGGGATGGATGTGGATGGCGGGCGTGAAGATTCGATATTGGACCGTGCGTGGGTGTTGATGACGATACTTGGTCACGGGTTGGCATCCCCATCGAGCCACACGAAGGCATCCCCGAACCACGCTTAGGCCCCATAAAACCAAGCGTAGGCCCCATCGAACCGCGCACAGGCATGCGCGGGAAATACGAATCTGACGCACAAGAGTCGGCATCCACATCGGGATCTACATCCAAATTGAGGATAAAGTTCTCCTCTGTGCCTGCGCCTCCATATCCATATTCTCTCGCCGATCCTGGATGTCCATACTCCAGCGCGGGGCTGGTACTAGTACTCATCCCCGGAGACTCAGGAGGACTACTCGACGCAAGAGAAGCAGTCGTTAAAGACGGAGTGGAGAATTCAGTATCGGATGCGAAGAGTGAGCAGTCGGTGTCTGAGTTGTAGCTTGTTTCTAGTTCGGAGAATGGGTAGTCAGTTTGAGTGCGGGTTGGGGAGTTGGGTGAGAGGGACGAAAAGGAAGGACCGGCGGTGGTGTCGTCCATAAGAGGGAGGAAAGCGAAGCGTTTTGGAGGTGGGAGGTTGCTTGGGATAGGTGGGAGTGGAGTGGCGCTTGTGCGTGGTGGGGGTAAGGGAGGAGGGGGGACTGCGATGTTGTGTGGTCTCAGCTCTGATGGAGCGGGCGGCGGGGGCGGGACTGTTATGCTATGTGGTTTGAGAACTGGGAAAGGGGGTGGTAAGCTGTCCTCTTTGGGCTGTGTTGACATTGGTTTGCGGCGTTGCTTGGGCGGAGAGGCGAAGAAGATGGAGTTGGGATGGAGGTCGAGTGCTGAATAACCTGTGTTGCGCGGGGGAGATGTAGGAGGGGAACGCATGGAAGGCGATGAAGGCGGTGATGAAGGGGAAGCAGAGACTGTTGTGGGATTTAGTGGAAGAAGTGGGATTGGGACATTGCGCAGGAACACGCCAGAATAGGGCCTAGATGAAAGCGGGTCATGGTGCTGCTGAGCGCGAGGCAGCGAACGCTGAATCATTTTCAGCTCAAGCACGTCCCTACGCATTATGGTGAGTATGAAAATTGGGGGGACTGGTCGTGTGACTCACTCGTATGAGAGGCGCTGTGCGATTTCTGTGGGTGTGCGGTCCCATTCATCAGCTTGAAAGACTTGCTCTGTTCCTTCCTCTGAAAATGCGACATGTTTCTTGCAGAGTGAAAGAGAGCCATCGTCTGTATCTGAGTCGACGGGAGTGGCAGCACCAGAATGAGAAGGGGACTTTAAACAGGACTTCATGCGAGGGAGAGATGGACGACAAGATGATGGATCGTCGCAATTAGCTGTAGGGGGTTCGTCTTGGTCAGATTCGATGGCAGAAAGGCTCATACTATGTACTTGTAGGATGAAAAAAAAAAAAGATGGATGGCAGGGTGGATGGATATGTGTGAACCGAGTCAAGTCAGTAGATGAACATTGGGTTAATGTAACGGAACTGAACCAGTTCTTGACATACATCGGGCACGCACGGATCGAACGGACGGATAATCCCGCCAAGATCATATGACTTCCGCTGATCCGTTATCCCCTGCCATGCATCTCTAGCCAAGCACGACCATGAAGGCACAAGCCTGAGCGCTTACTTCAAACACCAATCACAACGACAAGACCCTGCATCCAAGCCAGCCCACTTGACACCTTTCACCCCACGATTCGGAAATGTCTGTTCACCGCACGTCCATTTGGCTGGTTCACGTACCCCACACAGCGCCTTCTTTTGCCATTGGATTCTATTCCTGTACAACACGACCATCGCGCATGTAAGCCTTCCTTTCCTCTCACTCTAGCTATTTACACTGGATCCATATCAGTCAACCCCTGCCAGTCACCGCCTCTCACTCTCACGATCCGGCGGCTTGACCACTCAAAGACAGCAATCACCACCTCCGAAACGAAACCGAAACCTTCTCTTTCAAAGTTTCTTCTCGACTTATTGCTGGACTCCATTCATTCAAAAATAGATACATGCTTCGAAACAGACGACTTGGGCCATCGTAAGCCATAACAATGGTACTGCTACTCGGTACCGCTTTACCAGCCATTTGGGTGGACGGTATGTCCTTACTGGGTCTGAGTACTCCATATTTCGGTCTTCGTGTCCTATGAAATGCGATATTCTGCATTCTTTCCCTACCCACTTTTGGCCAGCACCTAGTTCGGTATCAGCCCCGCCCTATCTAATTCTGGACAACACAGGTCGCTGACTGTTGTCAAACCCCCATAATCTGCGTCCAGTGGACGACGGACACATGTCTAGATCAAGAAGCAACGAGTAACGATCACGCATTCCGACGAGCAGGCACGCACGCACAACCCACGATTCCAATCGAGTTCGGTATCAACCCCGCCCTATCTAATTCTGGATGACACTAGTCACCAATTGTTCTCAAACGCCCATAATTTGCGTCTAGTGGATCGTAAATACAAATACATCTCTGGATTGAGCAACGAGTATACGTTCCGACGAACACGCACACACGCACAACCCGGGCACGATTATGATCCCTGAACTGATTCACCATTCAAAGCTCGGATGTCCCAGGCACCAAAAGGATATCTACATGTCTACAAAGCGGACGTCATAGCATCTACCAGGGTGGCGTTACATACTTCTCCAGGGTGGCGCTACGTACTTCTACCAGGACTTACCATCCTCAAGCGCCTTACTTGACTTGGCTAGATCGGAAAAGGAGGGGAAACCCCTCAGATGTCATGGAACATGAACGACCGGGCAGTAGGGACCCTGTAAGTTGTGACGTAAGAGGAACGGAATGGAATGGAATTGAAGAATGCGGAGCCAAGCAACAGCGATAATTATGAACCGACGGTACAATGCAGCTGAGTAAGTGTCCGTTTACTCGGATATAGACCCATCAATGGCTTACAACTTGACAGAAGCAGCTTCCATATGATTCATTTCCAGGTCGGAAGTTGATCCCCTCCAAGCGCAGCGTGCTGGAACCTATTTCTAGAGGGTCGCCGTCACACAACAATAGCCAGCTAATTATAACATGGCGGTTATCGACCCCCGCTATACATCCATGAAATCGAATACCGAAATTCACGACTTTACCATGATCTTGGGTTGAGAGGACTCGGCTTGTTCCGACGAGGGCGCACATCTACTCGAATCTCGGTCGTGGGTTGATCAGGAAATGCCGATTAAATAAATTATCGCCTAGGCAAGGTTAGAGGGAGATCGTCCTGACTCGGATCTTGTTGTACCCCGCACGTCTACAGAGCGGAGCGGACGTCATACATCCGATATACTTCACCAGATCGTCAACCCCGGATTAGAAACCCCCACAGATGTCGATGCGAGGGAACGTGAACGACCTCGTGGATCGGTGATCGATGAAGCTGCAGAGCAAGGAGATATGAACTACCGGTACAAACAGCCGAGTAAGTGTCCGCTCACTCGGTTGGCCGTCAGTGGTTCAACGATTTGAGAGAAGCAGCTTTCGATTATGATTCATATCCAGGTCGGAAGTTGGGCCAGATTAATATTCATTATCTCTAAGCACAGTATGCTGCAACCTATTTCTGGAAGGTCACTGTCATGCAGCGGCAACATCAGCCAGCTAATAATAATGTTATGGATATCGAGTATCACCACTGCTCGCACGACCAATGATTCATACCGATTATCACCCGGACGAGGCCGGAAGATGATCGTCCTAGCTCGGGTCTGTTGTACCCGCACGTCTACAGAGTCAAGTCCGACGTCATACATCCGGCACACTTTTCCAGATCGAATGAACTACGAGCCACCGGCACAACGTTACGCATGACAGCTGGGCAATAATAAGTGTCCCGATTACTCAGAGGTTGTAACACTATGGTTCGTATCCATGTCAGAGAGTACTTCACGGCTTTATCTGTAAACGCCCTGCAACCTAGTTCTGGTCACCGTCATGCAGCGCGCGGCGACAACACCCAGCCAACACAATAATAATATTGGTATCGATCACCCCCGTTATACGTCCATGAACACGACACTAGCCATTCCGACACCGACGAGCACGTACAACCGCTCAAAACTCGGCGAAGGAACGTGGACTTGGTGGATTGCAGCACGATTAGTGGTAGATGGAGGTGCAGAGCAAGCCGAGCATCCAATGGTACAGCAGTGCATGAATAGTTCAGTACTGAATAAGTGTCCCGCTTAACACTCGGGGATTGTTCATATTGGGGTTGGAAGGTGCTTCGTGGCCTTGTCTACTTATAAGCGCCCTGTGAACGCGCGCAAGCACATGTAAATAAATACGGTGTATATTCGTATACTATGTCCTATATAGCGGCCGGATACTGCCCAGCCCAGTCTAGCAGTGACTGTTTCAAGTCGTATCTGTGACTTAGGTAAATTTTTGGGTTCCGGACTCCAAATACGATTAGACTTAGTTCTCTCTTGAAGACGGTGGTTATCCTCTCATATCCGCCCGGCTCCTTGGAAGTACGATCGAGAGTCAAGACAGAGGTCAAGCATCGTTGCAGGTTGGGTGCTTGCGAACCTTCAGGGCCACATTTCTCACCATTTTTCTTGGTTGAGGAGAAATTTGGAGTAGTAAAGATCCCGGGCGACAGATTTGACGGATGTGGTCCAGGGAACTGTCCTAGGATCATCTGCGTGCGTTTACTGGCCTGGCTGAAATCAGGCACAGGAGTAACAGTAAAGCGCAGACTTCCAGTGTCCCATTCTGGGATGCGCAATGTATAGCTGATGTCTACCGGGATTTTGTGTCGCATATCGAGTCTGAGCCCTACGCTTCCCGCCTCCATGATCATAGATTGTTGTCACATGGATATTACTCACTATTGTTGAAACCAGCGTGCTCCATCAGAGCCCGAAAGCTGAACAACCACTCCCCCAGAATCATGCTAGACTTTGAGGTCTTCTTCGACGTTGAAAGCAGAACCCGAAGTCGACAGCGGTGATCTGCCTCGGCAAGGCTGAAATAAACGCGTAAAAATATTGTTCCTATGGGGTTTATCATAACGTACATCGTCATATTGCCCAATTCCACTTGCACATTATGACTGACTAAGATCGGTTGAATAGAAGACACTTGTTTGGAATTTTCCGATGTTATCTCCAGGAAAACCCAAGGCCTGAGTTGACCAATGTAGTATCGTGAAACGCTTTGCGGTTCAAGATCAGATAGATCCAAAGATATATCTTGACGCAATTGCACGTGAATAATTGTCAGCTAGGTATTGCACTTCAGGTGGGCATACCTGTCAGATGAAATGCACCTAAGTCAGAATTCGATATCCAGCGACTACACTGGAACTCAGTCAGACACTATGATACTGAGCTCAAACCGATATAGAGGCTTACATCCGCCAAGATACCTAAAACTCCAGGATCCGCCCCCTCACAATGTCGTCCTTGAGATGGTCCTGGATTCGCCGGCGAAGACTGCAATCCGGACACGGGAAATAGATATGCACTATCAGAAGCCGTACCACACCTGTGGACCAACACATTAGAACTAGGATCTAGAGGTTTTCCAGATAAATCTGCAAGTGCTGCTACAATGTGGTAAACCTGGAGGGGGAACAGGCTGATGGGATCAAAATAAAGGATAATAATTTGTTCCGCAGTCGCAAGCGACCTGTTTATCGGTGTAAAATTACGATGTTGCATGGGGGGCCATGCCTGGCATTTCATAATGAGAAGAGATTCCCAAGGTATACAACCACAAGAACTCACGACAACCGCGGCATGGGCTTTTCGTAAAATTGTTGGACCATCACTGAGCTCTCCTAGGTGACAAAAGGCTTCGATCCATTGCAGGATGTTGACACGGAGAAAATTCTCTAATGCGGAGTTAACATCATCACTGTAATCCGCACGAGCTAGATGGTGCGCCCAGTTACGACAAGCGTATTTCAGGCTTTCAGGAAGCATGACATCTCGTTTATGCCAGAAATGACTGTCTTCGACGGCTATAGTTGTATGATCTGACAGATCACACAAATTTGTCTTGAGTTTTTCCAGAATCCTAAAACACTGGAGTGCGAGTCCACTATGAATCTCTGTAGGCTCGATGTAATGGGCATGACAGCGCATCGGGTCCGCGAAAAACTCGATGAGTGATGAATGATAAGGTTGGATGGGAATCATGGGTTGATCAGGTGACACGACGAGAATCGACGAAAATTCTTCCAGAGCCAGGTTGTGTCCCTCGCTCTGATCCGAAGGGAAAAACTGCAAGAGATGAGAACGTGGCAGCGGCTGCGCCAGATTGACGATATCGATCAGATGTCTGATCAAGTCGTTATTGTCCCTGATGATCTCCTGATACGTGTGATCCAGGTCGGCGTAAGCGTCTGCTGTAGCACTAGGTGATGTCAGGAATGCGTCCAACCTCGATGGAGGGTATTTTTTCGGGTGGGAAATATATTTCATCGCTATGGATGCGCATAGAAATGAGTTCCCGACCTTGACAGCGAGAGTATCCATTTGACTTGGAGATGGCCACTCTGGTACGTCTCCAAGACTAAGTTTACGAGAATTGACGATGTGCTGGAATTCGTGCACAAGGAAGCGATGGATGTCTGTGCGTGTCTCCCAATCATCATCCTGCAAAGATATTTTTTGGATATCTCCGAATCCTAGCCGCCCGGGAGTCCCTTCATTGACGTGCAGGCTGAGTCGGCTAGCTATAATAATGTGGGCGTTGAGTGGCTTGTCGTCAAGAACCTTGTAGGCACGTATGGCTTCCGCTAGTAAGCATGCCACCCGTACAGCCTCTAAGGGGGAACTTGATTCGTCTAGTGCATCGATGATGAATGCTACAGGAGACCTGAATTGGAGTCTCCAAAAATGCTTGATGATGAGACTTTGTATCTGATCTTGTCGAGATTTCAGGTCTGATAGTAATGCAGGATCATCAGCAACGCTTCTGATGATATCGCTTTTCACCGACGGGAATGCAAGGGCCAACTGGTAGGCAAGGGTTGGTACGACATAATCGCACATCATTGTGTCCACACTGTTGTGCGAGAAGAAAAAAGTTCCGGCAAGACGTCCTTGTGCCCGTAGCTCCTCCGCAATCGTGAACAAGATGGATGTTTTTCCTGAGCCTGGAAAACCGTGCAACCAGACATTTTTTTGGCTCTTCTCATCCACTATCTGCCGGATGTTCTTCAGAACGGTGGTTCGTGTGTTTTCAAGACACGGAGAGAGTGCTCGTGGTTCAGCATTGTAAATAGCACGGTGCACTGCAGCTTTGACCAGACGCTCCCATGCATGATCGTGTGTTTCAATTGCTGTATAATGCAGAATGCTCAGGAATCAGCGAGTACACAACGTGGCTAAATGCTAGGTTCACCTTCCTGTTGCATGGTGACTAGAATGATGATGTTCTATATCAACGCTGATGGCTCGTAGAATCGTTGATGGTGCTACTTATCATAAGGTGAGCGTACGCGTTGGAGCGCGCTTGCAGATTTCGATGCTGCATGACCCGTGACGGCATGAACCACTGGCAGTGCATCAATTCTTCTTTCGGTTATTTGCGATGTCGAGTCCCTTCAAGTTGCACTGACTGTGCTTATTATGCACAGCAGCTGCCTGGTGTTGAATATCTCGGGTCACCGCCTTCCTTCATCACTTCCCACGTCTTATTCCCTCTGACCTACCCTCCAACATTGCCATATGATCAAAATCAAAGTACTCTTTCCGTGGGTCGAGGATGTTGGCAAGGTCATCCCAGTTCGTTTTAGGCGCCGTGCGAGCGATAGCGTATCCACTGCTCATGAAGCTTCCGCCATGGCTCAGTTGTGTTTACCCGTGGTACAGGCCGTTGCAGGTGCAATTCCACTTTTCGGTGCTCCGATGCAGGAAGCTATCGGTGGATTATTGGCAATACTTCAAGCTATAGATGTGGGAGCTTAACTTATTTTTTATGTTTACGAGGACGTTTCTTGATTTCAAAGACCATCACAGAGACGTGGTCAGAATCAGGCAGACCTAAATAGCCTGAAATTACGACTCAATCGATTAAGCAACTGCTTGTGCAACGCTCCACCTGCCTGGGATGCTGTGGAACAAAACCGGAGGGATTCCTTAATCAGGTATACACCTTGTTGATGTGTGCTTGAATTTGCCTTACATCGAGTTGCACTTAGGATGTTGCAGGAGACTTCCGCCAAACTGACAAAGCTGCATAACCGTCGTCCTGAATACATATCCGTCACACAAGCTATCACTGGATGCTCCAGTGAAATTGACCGTTATCTGATTGATTGTTTGGTTGTGTTCATCTCTCTAGAATTGATTGTGTTCACTTATTACTCCACTTGGGTAGTGGTCATCCCAAATGCAAAATCACCGTGACATGCATGAAATATCAGTAATTCTACAGCAGCAGCAGGATCATCAGAAGCTACTGATGACAATGCAAAGCCTCATAATCCATGGACAGTCCTCTGTAGGACCGACTGCAACACAGTCAATCGGGGCTGTCGAACTTGGCTGTGTGACACTAGTAGATGCAACAGGCCACGAACATCCAATATCAGTGAACTTCTGCACCTCATTTCAGGTCCGCCTCACTATCGTAAAAATCCGTCTTAGGGAAGCTTGCTCATCAAATTCTCTAGCAACTCCATGAGATGTTCCAAGTTCTGTTTAAACGTGACTCGATCGAAGCTCGAATTCAAAGACAGTATATGGAGGAAGGACAGCACGATTTGTGCATTGACGACGACAAACAAGTAACCCGACTCACACGCCACGAATGGCCAAACATTGAAGCAGGCACGAAGATTGTCATGAGGGTTATCATTGAACAGTCGACACCATCATCCGCTCAAATTGACTACCGATGTCAGTTTTGCAGTGCTGTCAATCGTGCTAGCCTTGGGTCTAAATGCTCTATTGATTGGTGAGTATGTTTGTTTTCTGGGTTTTGATGGCGCCTAACTGTGGCAACCGGAAGTCGAGTATGCAAACGACGATTTCAGATATCCTGCGAACCTTTCTATGCAGAGGGGGACATTCCTGACACAGAAGTGCATTACCTTATTCGCAACTTTCTCGTCCAGCAAACTGTATGTCATCATGAAACTTCGCTAGCAATCTACAGCTGAATATGTACGATTTCCCGCTCTCAGGTTGTGGCTACGATGTCAGAAATGATTCAAAGGAGGGAATATCTGCAAGCTGGCATAAATGCCTTTGAGCAATCTATCCAAACTGTGCTCGCACAAACTACGAGAGGCTTCCCCGATGAATTATGGTCGGCGAGGTTAGAAAAGATGCGCAAAGAACTCCACAGTCGCAAGGTTCTCTTTCTCAGAGTTAACCAGGCCATCCAGCTGGTTCCAAATACCCCTGGTGTATCCAACATCTCTGTAAGTCAAGTCGGCGTATGCTTGAAGCTTCCTATTCATGCAAAAATATGGCGGCCTCTGCTGCTGGTCAACAGGTATTGCCCGATGTAGCGAGGCGTAAAACTAGCGGTCCTTCGCAACTTTCAATGCCAGGTCAGGCCCATCCCATAAATTCCCGACAGGATGGTCAGATACGACGCCCAGGTGTTTGTCCCACACGCTCTAGCCCCATTCCCCAGTGGCTAATATGAGCAACGAAAGACTGCGAAAGAGAAACCAAAGACTCTGTACTGGTAGGGAGTTCGGATAGAGTATCAAGCGTATGTATCTCACCTCGATCTTGGTGGAAAGGGCTTAGGTGGGACGACACAGCTACGCTAACTATGAACCTGTCTGTATAGGGGATGATGTAATGCTACAGCTACCGCGACATCACACCAGCGAGAACGATAGCAAATGGAAACAAGTAAAGGAGGGCAACTCTTTGTGTGTCCAGTCCTCACACACGCAGTTAGAGTGGAGTGTTTGCAGTTGCAAGGCTCTGTTTTTCCCGCACACCAAGCAGAAAATCCTAAAAGAACCCTAGTAGGGAGGTCAGTGGCCCTGAATGCGAGAAGAGAGAGTGGCTATGCGCGAGCGTAGCAGTCGAAACCGCTGACACGGCACTGGAAGCAGAGTCATGATTTGACTTGATCAAGCATGTGATGTCTTCACGTAGTGATAATACGCTACCGAGAATCCCATCTCAATACTTGTTTAGTCTGCTATTGGCACCAAGTAGTAGCCTGTGCAACAGATGTGCGAGATACAAACCCGAACTGCGTTCATATCCGCTGCTTGTAGGATAACGGCAATGAATAAGAAAGTTCGGAGACTCACCTGGCGGCCACTGGAAGTTTGAATGAGGAAGACACCAAGTCCACGAAATTGCACTGGCGGAGTGTTGACATACGTGGTCAGCGCGTCAGCTCCAGCTATCAAACCATGAGACTTGCTTGGTTATGGTATCCGGTCAGGTTCGCAGACGTTCCATAGTTCGGTGCAAAAGTGTATGTACTAGGCAAGTAGATGCAGTCGCCGTATGGAATTTAGAGAGTACACACCGCGAGTTACTCGTCACTTAGAAATGGTAATATGTCACCTACAACTCGGGTTCAACACCGAGCGCTCACGGTATCAATGAGAATGTCCAGGGCCTGTCAATCATAGTAATGGAAAAGGAGTATGAGTCATCAGCAAGTATTGTCAGAAGGGTGAGGTCACGCACCTTATGCCAAGGCGGAGGTAAGGTGCAAGAATCTTGTTTGGCTATTTAGACCGCGCACACACCTTCAGTGACCTTCTTAATGCACCTGGTCAGCGCCTATAACCTCTACATAAGCTCTTAGAACCTAAGAGAGCTTCTGCAGGAGTCACAGGTTCTGCTGAGCACGCTTCTTGACACAAATGGATAGATGTTGACAATAGGCTACCTGATAATCCCATGTCTTTACACAGCTTGCCTGTTGACACGCCCAGGTATTTTAACCTGTGCCGCGAACACGAGGACAACGGATGGACCATGCGTCTGATTAGACGATTTAAGTGAAGACCGCCAACAAGGCCTCGACTCCAGAAAAAACAGATGCCGCTGTCAAAACCTTAAGTCCCTGTCGTTCGTGAGTGAATTGCAATTCTTCCGAACGGTACTTGCCTGGGCGGCATACTGCTGAGGCAAATAATAGAATTGCTCGCTAAGGACAAGCGAATGGATCATTGCGAATATTTCTCGCAGAACGCCGCAGCGAGCAACACGCGAATATCGGCACGCTATGGGTTTGAATAGGCTTCTCATGAGTGATGCTTCGTGCGCTTCGGTCGACAAGAGTTGATGAGAAAGACTAATTAAACTCACTGGCATTATTCGCTTGTGCAAGATATCCCAGCCATGATCCCAGCGAGCTCACATACATAGTACGCGGCCTTGACTTAAGATGGCCGAGCGCCTATTGCCGAGTAGCATGGCAGGCATGGCCCCAGCCCGATCAGATACTCGAACGCCGACGGGAATATAGCCTACTGGTCAGTGATGGGCCTCTCGTGATCTTCCTTGCCGACCAACAAGCATCTCACACTACTCGCGCCCAAAGGTGTGGACTGTCCTGATTCTTTTTTTGCTCTCTCTGGAGTCTGTGCCATCAGTAGTTCTAACGAAACAGCAAGTATGGCATCAGCTCACCGCAGTGACGAAACATTTTGATGGGGAATTCAAGCGCCCTAAGGCCCGTCGGAAGCATATTCAACTATGGGGCAGATAAACCCCATGGTCTCCGTACAATATTACGCATCGGCTAAAGTTCACGTACAGTCGAAGACAGCACTGTGAAAGGCAAGATTCAACGAAACGCAAACAACCGAGACATGGCCATGTGCCTATGCCAGCTCGCCTACTGATTCCGGAGATACCTGCCATGAAGACATTGCCGTTTCACATGGATAGAGCACAGCATAATAAAGATGAAATCACTGACGAGAGATTTGAGACCTGAAATACGTCGGGATTCGAGTATGCATCATTCCGGAGCAAATTCCCACGAAGGCCCCATTGCGATCATCGCATCGATTGTTGTGCAGTCGTGGGGCTTGCGTAGTGGCTGGCTCTAAGTAGTTATCAGGTTGCAACGAAGACAACCGTATGTGGAAGGACAAGACTTGAGACATCCTGAATCAAGTTCCTAGTAAGGCTCCATTAAGATCGACTTTGCTGTGCAGTCGTGGGCCTTGGCTGTGGCTGTCTCTTAGCAGTTATCAGATTGCAACGAAGGACAAACTCTATGTGTGTGAACAGGTGTGAATGAACGTTATCAGATAGCGCGCTCACACAATGTCAAAGTGGTGCTTACCGAATAGTAACCTGTAGCAACAGCAGGGCGACATCCACGTTTGGCTGAGCAACCTTTTAGCCACAGTTTTGATCATTCCATACCCACACCAAACCGTCATCATCGGCAGGCAAGAAGATGTCAATTCGGAAGCAGATGAAGCCATGCTTCAAAGTGGCCAACTTCATCTGCTTTAGACTTGTGGCGCTTGTTAGAAACAGACTGTGGTTGCACTGCCGCACTTCAAGGACCCTTGAACTCGTCACGAGAGCGAACTAGCCAGATACAGCTGAGGTTGTTCACAGGCACTGGAGTCTGTTTCGCACAGGATCCGGAAATTAAAGCGCAAGAAAGGGGCTTCTTGATTTATCTGATAAAATATGAAGGGCCCTCGGTAAAATAAACCGGCGTGGGGTATAACGCATAGCCGCAATGATCGCAATTGGTGGCAAGCCCCGCTGTAATGTCACCACGCCCTTTATAGATTTGCCTCATCGTGAAATCACTGCGCTTGCGCGGTAACTTAACAACATTGGACAAAGTGCGTGGCACGTCATGAGCAACTAGTACTCGTAGATTGCTGATATCCCAACGAGACAGCAAATCAGCACCGAGACCTACCGTGAGCAGCGGGTTCATTTGGTGATGAGCCCACATGTTGGCAATCTAGCAACGCGGTGTGAGCCTGGCCAAAAATTCTCAGATGGACTAGGACGAACCAAAGTTCCTGTGCAGAAGTCGGTTTAGGGTTAATAAAATGCAAAGTTATGAACACTATCAACGCCACATTGATAAAAGCATTGACAAGACGTGTAATCGGGTGGAAGGTTCGACCCAGAATGTAGCATAGAGTCCCGCGAGCTGACGACTTGGACGTGGCATTGGGCAAGAGGTTAATTGTACTCCATTGAATTATCCCCCGTGCCTGCAAACAGTAAACAGTTTTCAATTGGCTGGCGAGGGAAACTCGTGCGCTTACATAATCTGAAAGTTGGTTGCCTTGTCGCACGTTGTTCAAGTACTCTAGTTGGTTCGACGAACACAGTGAGCTCTTTCCAAGACTGCGATGCCCATCAAGCACCTGGAAAGTACGTTTTATTTTCCCTCAAATGTAGGAGTAGAGGAACTGCAGTTAAAATTGACGTGTAACCTAAAAACGAAACAGACCACCTCTCCGACCGGAAGCACACGCAATCATTTTCTCTGTCTGTGTTATCCGACTCGCGTTTAGGAATTGATGCATCTTACTACCTCAAATTATTGACGGATAATCCACCCTCGCGCGAGCCTCTGCTCGCTGCGACTGGTGGCTTACCCTTGGCGCTAACGACACGCATCGAGTCTGATTTGCGTACGCTCGAAAAACTACGAATAAAACCTGTGTTCGTTTTTCCTGGCCTTTTGCCGAGCAAGCGCTGGAAGCAATACCAACATCACTTGGAGCACAATGATGCATGCAGGGACCGGAGGGATGCTTGGGCAAAGTACGAGGCTGGCCAGGAAGAAGCCGCCGTAAAACTGTTCGAGGGCAGAAGTGGGCTCCAGCAATGGGACTTATGGCGCATGGTCTTGAGGATATTCAGACATCGGAATGTGGAGTTTTTGGTTGCTCCATACGTCGCTTGGGCTCAGGTAGGTCGAAACCATCTCTCGCGCGATGTTTTGTTGATGCATCCCGAACAGCTGATTTATATGCAACGACACCCAAAATCATATATTCATGCAATCTTTGGACCGACAGACACCCTACTCTATCCAGGGGTAGACAAATTAATCACTTCGCTTGACCTCACCTCTGCGACACCATCTTTTTCCTTCGTATCCAAACGTACTATCTTGGGTGACTTGGGTCTAAGCGAGGACCAGTTTCTTGATGTTGGCATCCTTGTTGGTTTCGAGCATTCGCCACCCTTTCCACCAACTGTTCACGAACAGGCATTAAAGGCCACGGTGGACATGGTCAAGTATTACAAGTCCGGTCATGCTGCCGTTTCCGCTTTCGCCGAGCACCCCGCTGTCAAGAGTATGCAGTATCCCGATCAGTACGCGCGCACGCGTTCAATGATCAAATACTCCCTCATATTCTCATCTGAAGGAAGTGTCACCCCACTTCCCCTTGCAATCACCACACCAGCACACGGTCCTAATCACCCCCATCATCCGACAGCTGCGGATATACCTTCAGATCTTCATGAAATCTTCACGCACCGTCTTCCTGACGAAATCTATTTCTATCTCTCCCGTGGACTCTTGGGGCCCCAAGCTCTGGTTTGGCTGACCAGTGGTCAGATCGTTGAACCTCCACCGCTTGATAACGGTGAGACAACGGAGTACAAGCGGTTTGTCAAGGAGGTTATCACCGATGGCCAGACAGGACCGCGGGCGACAGCTCTCGCGCTCATTAGCAGTGTTTCACATCAATTTTGGAACAACCGGAAGGTAGCGGGTAACTTTTGGTTTGAGAACCCCGCGCCCCACGGTCAGAAGTTTGTGCAACACAACTCACCACAAACTGTGCAGCTTGCCGAACGCGTGGCAGGGTGGAACGTTAGCTATGCCATTGTTGAGGAGGAACTTCGGAGGCAAAACGTGAGTTCCCGAGGCGCTTACGAATTGGGTCATCTGACAGTCTGGGTCGGCCTAGTCTTCCACTATCGATTTCGCACTTTGCCTTGGAGCGACAGCATCGGAGAAACTTGCATCGCGTACCAAGGCAAAGACAAATGTCCCGAATGGTCAGCTGGACAAAAAGGATGAGGTGGTGGCTAATGTGGTATGGCGGTTCCTGGAACTCAGAGGGTAAGCGCCAACCTGCCAGCTGAGCATACTTGTGACACTGCAACTATAGGTTCCTGCTCAACTCTCACACTCACTCGCCACTAGCCCGCGCCATGTACACAGCAATTAAACAAGCTCGTCTGAATGACAAGTTTCAGGATCCTCTTTATCTGTTTCTGGAACTCGTGAGGGCTGGGGTAATGCACGGTCACTTATGGTCAGGCCGAGCGTTCAGTGGGGGACCCAGTTTCGGTACCGGTGAGCGGAATTCACATACGGGCTTTCTTTGGATTGATAGGCTGATAATCACACGCAGATGATGAAAAATCATGCATGCTACTGGTCATGAGAGTGCTTAGCATCGTGCCTTTGAATTTCAAGGTGAATTTTCTAAATTCAGTCCGATCGTGCATCACTTTAATGCTATTTCCTAATATAGTCACAACCATGGTCTGCACCATTGTCACGTGAATTGCTTGTGTTCAACTCGTTTGTGCGTTCATTGACTCGGGCGCTTCGAACGCTGCTTGAGGTGACGACATTGAACATGTTACTTCGTTCTGACGCACGACGGGCACGGGAAGATCTTTTGGACATTACCATCTCGCTCCCCTTCCAATCTGAGGTAAACACAGGATTCGGAGTGCTTGCCAAGGTGTACCTGGATGCCCTGACTCACCTGAACAATCAAACGCGAGTACTGGACCCTAACGCAGAAGGTGTTAAAGAGTCCAAAGCGATGGCCCTTGAGATATGTGAAGACACGTTTCCGGGAGTGAAAAGTCCGAAACAAGAAGTGGAACGAGGATTCCGGTTCTGGGACATTGTAAGTGTCTTTGTTCGATTGCAGTGGTGATATGGTTAACATGTGTTGTTGTTTGCAGGCGCTGACTGCCATGAGGCAACTTCACTCAGAGGGTGCTGTACTTCGCGAGTTGATTGACCAGTTTGAAGCAGCAGAGGCGTGGCTTGCGCCGATGCGGCCATGAGATTATCGATCAGACGGTCTCTAAGAGATACAGAGTGATGTAGCTAGGTTTTGCAATGCAGAAAATATTTTTCGAGATAGGAGGGAAGCGACCTTGGAAGCGATCAATTAGAATGGCCGTTAGAAAGGGTACAAGGAGCGACGGAGGAGACGATGGGAAAAGGGACAAAGGAATGGGAGAGAGGCATGGGAAGTTGAGTGGCTTAATTAGGAAATCAAGATATTGGTGAGATGTTGAGATGATACGAGATCTGAGATGATTCAATGATACCTAATCGGGAATGACGCCTCTCGCTGTTTATCGCCCGATCCCCAGGTTTCTGGCTTCTCAGGGCTCTGCTTCGCTTTTTTTTCGAACAGCTGCCACAACAAATCTACAATCGAATATGCATGTCGCTCGCGTGGCGCCTCTCCCTTCAAATTTAAGGTCCAACTGAATCTCATCTTTACACCTTGAACACCCCCCCAACCTTCTGCCACAGATGCTCGACCAGTACAGCCCTATCATGCTACGCTCTGCTGTCTCGTTTGATCCTTACAATGAAAAGGTCAACCATCCAGGTCATCTCTATGTCCGTCAACCGCACGCAATCATTCAGCTCGTAGAGGCTTCACCACCTCCACGTCCTATATCATCTGTCATCGACTCTAGCTTCTCTTCTGGATCCTCGTATCCATCTACATCAGACTCTGAAGACGAGGAGGACTGCTCATCATACTGCTCGTCTTTCGTCACTCCTCCCCATCCTTCCCAGGACAGAGAACCTGTGGTATGGACAGACGATACATACGATGTCCGTCAGAAGCGTATACAGAATTGGAGAGATAATTCAATGAAAGCAATGACCGGTATGTTCCATTCCCCCCCACTGTTGCGCTCTTGGCTAAAACAATCCCACAGAGCCTCGCTCATCATCACTGAAACGAAAGTTGAATCAAAATCAAACAGACGATGATCTGGTTAGTCTTAATTGCTGTTACTCCTCGGACTTGTTTTATTGACCTCACGCTCATCAGGTCTCGCACACTCCAAAAAGATCGCGTTCGCGGGATCCCCACAGCGCATCCAGATTACTCGGGCACTCATGTACTGCGTGCGATACCCCTTTCTCATCAAGGCAAAGCCTGCGACAACACGGTCGCACTCCTCATATATCTGAGGCATGTCGGATAGCGGTCGAATACAATTTCGAATGACCGACTACTGCTTGCTTTGCTCTTTATGACGATCACGACCCCCCAGCATGTACGATAAACCCACCATTATTTTTTTTATTCACGTTTCGGTATCGTACATACTGATTTGCCATACTGTGTACCACCAATTGCAACGGATGGGATGTACATTATTGAATCACCTTGTTAATTATACCATATTAGCTCACTAGTACCTTTCCAATACCAACCATTTGACAATGACCGTTTCTGCGGAACAAAGCATGGGAATTGGCTGGCTGTACAGTAGACCAGCCTTTGGTATTCGCTTTCGGTCGACATCTTCCGCAGCGCCGGAGCATCAGTCTTTGGCTACTCCTGGCTACTCCCGCTCCCACGTCGAGGACGGACAAGGCGTTTGGTCTGCTGGGAGCAACCGTGTCCTTTTCTCCCCTTGTGATCAACTCCGGTAATAACTCTGAGAGTGCCTGTGACACCCTTGCAAATATAGACTCTTTTTCTCTCAATGATACGGAACCGACGTGGCAGTGACCTACTTGCTAAGTAGCATATGCACCAGTTCAAGCACAATCCCTGCTCTTTGATCGGAGTCGATGATACCCCGCAGTTTGACGCTCGTCCGGTAATTCACCATCCGAGTCCAGAAGTCCACTCCCCGAGGAAGGCATATGCATATCCATTGCCGTACATATTATCATACAAATATGACAATGACAGTGCGGCAAGTGGGCCACTTCGAAACTTCGTTCACATGCTTCTCAGTCGCGTTTTAGGCAAAGGCAACGGAGCAGAGCAGAGCTTGGAAGATGGGTCTCGATCTCCGCACCTTATGCGAGTACCCACGAAGATCAAGGAGATTGCAATTGCGTTTTTTCTCAGCTTTTGATCAAGACGATGGGTCTCAGGCGCGTAACCCCGCATTTTTGCTGGCTGACAGTTATGTTTCTCTCTGGTTTGTTCCTCCCTGGATCGCTACTTTCCCGTGAAGCAGTGAAAAGGAGACGGCCAAGGTACCATTGGACGTCTAGCTGATTAGCCTAGATGGATCGTGCCGAGTATATAATAATCACCGTGCAGTGTGAGAAGTGGCCCCTTCTAGTGCACTGCAGTAGACCGCTGTTGTGAGAAATGGTTTCAGCCTATGTATATACTTGGACCTCTCTCGCTCATTTGACCAGCTCATCAGCAGCGCTCGTTCTGGGATTATCCCGGTTCACCATGATAGCCGAAATTCCTCCCCACCAATAAGAGTCCTCCATTTTCAGCGCTTAACGCTAGGCCTCACGCGTGGAACGTAAAGGCCAAGAAGCCCTGCAGCTAGGTAACTTGATCACGACCTATCAAGTTAGAAGTTCAATGGGCCCTTTTTGACAGCAAAAGGCCGTCGATTGTGGTGTGGCTTCTGCCGCGCGGTTAGAAACTTCTACCCTGCCCCGAACAAAGTCACGAGCCTACTTTTTCAAAAAGGCATTCCCATGGCCCTACGTGCAAACGACACGGCACTTGCACGGCACTTTACCTTCGCACTCACGTCAAGAACCCACACACATTATTCTCCATTCAGCTCTCAAGTCCGCGCTCGGGTTGCCCCTCGATTGACCGTACTCCACGGGCGCTTACACGCTCTTAATGTCTAAATTGATTCTCTCGAGAACAAGAAACTTGTGTTCGATGAGAATCCTTGGGAAAGACCACTAGAGAACTACTATGTTTAGCTTCTCTCTCTAATAAAAGAAATCGCATAGAGCCTTGTGCTAGGCATCTGCTATCCGAGCTCATCGATCATCGTGTTCATCGATCCGCTGTTGTCCGGCCCATCATTGATATCGAAGGATGTTCGACGGGTTTCCATCGTATGAACACGTGAGTTGTGCCGAATTGTTTCGAGGATGCACGGTATCGGTCCGGATTAACGCAACCCTTCAATGCAGGAACGGGTGACGGTGGGAAGAGCTGTGGGTTTCTCCTTTGCTTTGTTGCATATGTTCTTCTTCCTAATTTTGTTTGCAGAAAAACTAAAACTAAACTTGCCTGTGAGGCGGTCCGAGGTTCAATCATTGTGTACTCACCTTTGGTCACCGGTGTGCCTCATCTGTGGGTGTGAAGACATCATCATCCGTGCAGGAACGGACGATGGTGGGAACCTGTGAGTTTCTCTTGTTTGCTGGTATGATTCTCTTAGCTTTGCGTTGCTAATTTTGTTACAAGAAAGAAAGCTTGCTGTGGAGCGATCCGAGGTCTTTGTGACCAGCCATCCCGTGGAGCACATCGTCATCATGAGCGTCATCACTACGAATAGGTCCGTCCCCCCAGGCGCTACAACGCGGGACGAACATCCTGAGCGTGAGTGAACAGCTCATGATATGACGAAGTTCCACTGATCTGCGGAGATGATGCAATACATGCTGCTTCATGGAACAGCACCAAACGTAGTCATTGGTACTCGTGTGGTATCGATGATATCTAGTGGCTGCAGGCCTCGAGGCTGAGGGTCTCGCGCCTTTGTGCTACTTTCAGGCGGTGCGCATGCAATGCGCTCGGATCATCGACCGCGGTCGTCCGACCCTGTAAGTACCTTATTTCCATCCTCTCTTCTCATACGTTTTGAACGTTGACCACGCTATGAATGAGCTGGATGCGTGAGTGCATCCATCTCTCATATTGCCAACTCTCGTGATTCCTCGACTCTCGACCCCATTTCGCTACGGTCTGTCGGGCCTTGCATGAGGCTTGCGGCGTTTCTCAAGCAATGCCTCGGCACGTTACACTTTTTCTGGGGTGCCTACTTATTCTTGGGTACGGTACCGCAGGCGAACACTCCAGATTGTGCTAAACTGGTACTAAGCTAGCAGTATAAACAAAAGAGGAACGTTGGTGTAAAAATGGAAGAAGGTCCAGGTAGTACAACGTCCGTCTAGTCGCACTCACGGGATTCCAATGGAATAATTGCATGGGAGTTATAAATTCGAGCCTGAGAGCGCCTATATCCTTGTAGAGAGAAGTAGCTATGATACATCGAGGTGATCGGCTAGAGAGGTCCACACCACCCCCATCGACGGAGAAACTCTATGTCTATTTCAAGACCGTGGCCGTTCGACAACGAACCCTTCCTTCTAAAGGGAAAGGGATGGTTCCCTCGGGGTAAGTTCACCTATCAGAATGGAGGGGGGCTGGCTGGTTCAGATCGGTGGAGCGTTACTATTTCCTGGACGGGCTCACGTGGATGGACTGGGGGGTGACGGTGTCTGGGCTGTTTGCATCATTGCGAAGGGTTCTTGATAATGAGGACAAGTAAATTGTGACGAGATTTTAAGCTTCACGTTCGGCATTGTCGAGCCGGAATATATTTATTTTCACACGACGAGCCTGGACTTTCCTCTGTTGATAACCGTTCCATTTCATTGCAATTGCGTGTGTGGGTGACATTGAGCCCTATATCAAACCATTCTTGGCCTTTTTTAATTCATATTATCGTTGCACAGTTTCGCGATCGTTTAGAATTATTAAAGAGCTATTAATCCAGGGCACCCACACAATAAATATTCAGGGTTAGATACCTGTTCGTCCAGGTAGCCTTACTATCATTCGTTCTGACCCTGTACGCCACCTACTTACCAGAACATACTTAGGGATATGCATATGCTCTGGGGGATGGACCGGAACTTGGTTCCCGATCAGAAGCAGAGACAATTTGGTTAATATTCGCTCGGGCACAACCTCGGGGAATTGATTCGCCCACGGTTTCTCGTATCGTATCTATCAAGCGCCTTGTGAAGATCCTCGTTTGATTCTTCCTGCGCGCTTGATCAGAGGGTTCGGATTTTATAAATAAGTCAAAGCAATTGCATACTTCGAAATGTCACGAACAGAGAATAGTGAGCCATGTGTTATTGTCACGGAACGCAGTACCCGCAGCGAGCTCTAACAAGAACATTAGGAATTTCTAGAACCCAGCTCGTCTCGTGTTCAACCACCGAGTGTTCCCATTATCTGGAAACTCTTTCCCCCTTTAACAGAATTGACACCGCCTCTTTCGGGAAGCTTAAGATTGTTCAACGTGTGAATGGTTGGCTGCCAATGGTATCCAAGCAGTGGTAATGAAACTGGAGCTGCCTGAAACAGAACCCGCAACGAGTGGTTCCCGAAGTTTTCAGTGACATCGTGACAAAGGAAGGTTTTTTTGCCTTCGCGACTGTGAACAAGGTGTCTGTAGTTGTTAACTTGGCATGAGCGGTTGCCCATCGTGGTCTGCCGCATCTAGGCCGTGGAGAGAGAGCCGCCGTATTTACGATCCTTTTGAAGGAGTTCTGTTGCGAGTCTGTTGCCAGGTTCCTTGTCATTTTTAGAGGGATGGTTGATTAACTTACTTGCTTGGCGTGATCAGCGGAGTATGAAGTGTCCTGCGCACAAAGCAACTCCGCTAGGTCTGCATTCGGCCGGCTTGTCTTATCGGCACACTATCAGCCCACCATGCAGTCGTTCAAGTTCAAAGGCAATAAGCACTCCAGGTCGTCGGATAGCTCGACTTTACCCCTCAGTAATTCAGATACGAGGTCCCCTCCATCACGATTCTCGCTTACAAGGCGTTGCACACGTCTTTTGGTGGGACTAATCTTGGTCTGCCTATTTTTGTTCTTCTCGCGCACAAAGGCGACCGTACCACCATCTTGGCTTCAGGACCAGTCTCTCGCCGAAAAGCACTCACTACCGCCGTTGTACGAGGAATACCATGACTATGAACGACACTTGCCCCAGCATAATCTTTCATTGCCTTTCCCAGAGGGGCGTGACGCAAAGTTCTTCTGGGCAGCCAACCATGTCACCAGTATGAATAATCGGTTATGCTTTCAGCTCATGACTTACCATTACCAGGTTCAGGATGGGGAAATGCCATGCAGGAGCTTGTGATGAATGCCGTGCTGGCTCATGCAACTAAACGAGCGTACGTTCCACGTGTTTATGGCTTTTATTCACCCCTCAATCTCTTCTCTCGCCTCGCTAGCTTCGTGTTCGATAATTTCACATGGGAACGGAATGCTCCCGATTACTCGACGTTTAATGGTAAACTCATACCTTCGCGTATACCCTTGTCAGCTATCATCGGTGGTGCGTTACCAATGTATTTTTTTTTCGAGCATATGCCGAAGCCGTTATCTTTATCTTGTGCAGGCCCCATAATAGGCTCGTCGTTTCCGCCTAGGGATGCTGCCCCTCGTGCTGTCTCTCGGGAGTACTTCAAAGAAGTATGCCCGAACCCTACCATCATCGACAGTTGGGAGGTGAACGAGCATCTTAGGCTGGACAATAACGTACCTGCGCTGCAAATATTTGACAAGTGGGTGGAGAAATTGAATTCGATCGACGACCCATGCGTTGAGATACGACAGGAATCATTCCAGCTGTTTGAGATATGGTAAGTCGCGGTGCTCTCGGCTCTCACTGTTCTCAATTTTTCTATAGGCTATTCGGCTCGAGACGCATACTTTCAATCTGGCCTATCCTATCCAGGTCGCCTATCCTCACAGAATTTTCGTGGTCTCCGCTTGTTCTTCAGGCGTACGCGGAGAACGCTGACTTGTTCGTGCCGACTTCCTCGTTCCGATTTTTACCCTCGTTCATGAGCCCTTCCGGTCCGCCACCGCCACCGATTCCAACGACACTACATGACGTTCGCCCTCTTCTAACATCAAAGGAAATGGATCCTGTACGCGGGTTACTGGCTCTTCATATCCGCCGAGGCGATTTCGCGGGTCATTGTTCACATCTTGCCAACTGGTCTTCAGATTGGAACGGGTTCAACCAGTTCTCTGCCCTCCCTGACAAGTTCAGAGTACCTACGGACGGTGGGTGGGGCGAGACCACGGAGGCGAACACGAACATGTACTTTAAAGCGTGTTACCCAACAATCGAGCAGATCGTCGAGAAAGTCCGGGATGTGCTGGCTGATCAGAGGCGTCTGTATGGATCCGCAAAGGAGTTGAAGAGCGTGTATGTTATGACGAATGGAGATGTGGAGTGGCTGCACCAGCTTAAGGAGGCGCTGATGCAGGTGAAGAAATGGAATGCTGTTGTTACGAGCAAGGATTTGAAGCTGAACTGGGAGGCGAAGCCTGTCGCACAGGCTGTGGATATGTTGATCGGTCAGCGTGCACAGGTGTTTATAGGCAACGGGGTGCGTTGCAAGTGTTTTTCTAGTACCAATCAGACTAATTGGTGTCGCAGTTTTCCAGCCTGACATCCAACATTGTGATGTTACGCAAGTTGGGGGACCTTCCCCCTGAAGATACTCGGTTCTGGACATGATGGCCTCCCGTTTTCGTTGTGTAATTTTATGATTTGTAAAAGTCACTGACGACTTGTCCCAACCTTTGGGGTCACTTCGCGAACGTCCCGGAGTCGGTATACACGGATTATGTCTGGCTTCCCCACGTCGCTTTTACGCCTTTCACTACAGCACGTTCATTTTTACATTATTGCTCAACTATACCACTTCTCTAGTTTGTTTGGGGCAACGTTTTTGGGTTAGCCATGAGGTGGTTATAAGTTAACGTCATTATAATCACATATGTCAGACACGGATCAAGTCATATTTCAATAAACTTTAGTCAGGCACATTTGGACCTGTCATTTGACGATCAGGAGAACAAGAAACCTTCTTGGCAGACCACACCCCCTCGGACAGTTGATAGTACTGTTGATTGCAGATTTAACCCTGGAGGTTTCTTGTATGCCGGCAGCCGTTCTGCGCGGTTCTCTCAGGCAGCTGCTACTTATCGGGCATGGTCTTTCTCAAGCATCCTCCTTACTCACGAGCGTTGTTTATGGTTAAATAACGACAGTGTGTGCATGCTGCAGGCCAACCCAGTGAGTCATGACTACCCGCATTCCCTTGATCTATGTACATTCAGTGAACTTTTTCACGATTTCCAGAGAAAATCTGATTTAAAAGTTATAGGGAGGTGTATTTGGCGCCAAGGGAACGCTCGCTGTTCGCATCCACGACTTATCAGAGTGCCAGAAATCGATAGATTGCTTTGTTGGCAAAGGGATACGTGTGATAGATACTGCACGGAACTACGGTGATGGCACCTCGGAAGAGGTATGTTCTTTTCTTTCTTTCTTATCTCAGGGGGCACGGATCTGAGAGATGTCGCTAGTACCTTGGCCAGCTGGACATCAAAGGCGCCGCAATAGACACCAAGTCAGTTTCCACTTGTGTTCCGGGGATATGGGTTCACACCGGTGATCTTTCTTTCAGGGCTGCAGTTTATAAACCGGGCGATCATTCTCCCCAGAGACTCAGAGAGCAGCTGAAAGCGTCTTTGACGGCCCTGGCTCCGCATAAAATTCGGGTTTTTTTCTTGCATGTGCCCGACCGGAGCGTATCTTATGACGAGATGCTCCGGGGTGTAGATGAGCTGTATCAGAAAGGCCTTTTGTATGTGCCTTTTTCTTCTAATTTTAAAAATGGGTGTCTCAATTGACGGACCCTCGCCAGTGAAGAGTTTGGCCTGAGCAATTTCTACAGTTGGGAGGCAAGCTGACTCCCCTAGTAATGAACCTGTCTAATTTTGGTTTATTAGGTGGCAGAGATAGTGACGATTGCCAAGAGTAATGGATGGATCAGACCGACGGTTTATGAAGGGCTTTACAATGCCCTGGAGAGGAACGTCGAGGCTGAGTCAGTTTGTTCCAAGATCTCACGCGTCTCGTCTCTCTTGCTCATGCTTTCTCTTCTTTTTAAGACTGTTTCCTTGTCTACGGAAATTTGGGATTCGATTCCACGGGTACAGTCCTCTTGCGTACGCTAAGCCACCCTGATATTTTACACGCCTCTGATGATACCCCATCTCTTGTCAGCCGCGGCTTGCTTGCAGGAACAAGCATCGCATCGCCTACGCCAGGCAGTCGGTGGGATGTAGAAAGTTCTGCAATGGCTGAAGGATTACGAGCCAAGTACCAGAATTGGGAGGTCGCTTTTCAGTCGTTGCGAGAGTCATTGGTAGGCATTGCACACATGTGTCTGCGTTTTCATCACTGATTGGTTCGTACAGGCCAAGCATAACATTTCCGGAGGAGAAGCGGCGCTTCGCTGGCTTCAGCACCATAGTATGCTGGAGCCCCGTGATGCGATAATCATTGGTCCCAGCAGTCTGTCTCAACTTGAACAGAACATTAGAGATTGGTGGGTAGACTAAATTATTTCCTGAATTTGTCTCCAGCTGATGATCCTTTCGTTCATGTAGCGAAAGAGGACCTTTGCCTGAGGAAATAGTCAGTTTGCTTGACGGAACTTGGACCAACTACAAAGGCAGGGCACCCCCGTATTATAGATAGTGGCGACTCCCGTTGCTGACAGTGAGTGATAACAAATATGGTTGACTCATCCCAGATGTGGTCATAGACGAATTGTTAATCAGATTGTACGATTGTGAAAGCCCGTCACTCTTCTGTCTTCTTCATGGACCGAATCCGGTACTTCGTTCTTCAGGGCTTTGGTCTCGTGAGTGGCCAAGGTTTCAGAAGTCGAAGCCTATAAATCCGTGCGACTAGAGCTTTTCAAGGAATGATTGTAATCCGACGACCAGCACGCTGTGATGCCGAGGGAATAAGACACTCGCTTTTGGAGGGAGAACTATCGCTGATTGATAATCGATTGTTCATCTTCATCTTGGATCGAACGTGTGCAGTCACATTTATCATCAATATTCAATGTTTCAAGCACATTGAGACCCACCGACTTCCGCGACACCGCAATAAGCAAGAAGGCCGTGGGAACGCGTGAGCGAGGAAGACCAGGAAAGGGTTAGGGAGCCCCTGAGACGAATAGTAATACCCCGATCGATGATCTAAGCCGCTGACTATAAATCCGAAGCTAGGAGCCTTGCTCTTTCCTCAATATCCTCCTCCTCCTTCTCTCTCAATCTCTTCGTGACTTTCAAGCACTATAGCTTTACTACAGCACATCGCGCCCACCCTCGCCCGAACCAAGCCATTATTGCTGAAACCGTTCGTGGCTACCACACGAAACATGTCTTCCAGCAGATCCATCGAGATAATTCCACGCAGGAACTCTGAACGAGGTCATGCAGATCATGGTTGGCTTAAAACCTTTCATACATTTTCGTTTGCCAGGTATGGACCAAAGTTTTGACCTTTGATTTTCATTGCATGACCGACCATGTGGCCACTTTTCAGTTACCATGATGAGGGACACGAGTCTTTTGGTTCTCTCCGCGTCTTGAACGAGGACCGCGTGGCTCCTCGTACTGGCTTTGGAACGCATAGCCATCGAGAATTTGAAATCTTCTCCTACGTGATCAGTGGTGCGCTCGAGCAGTGAGCATCTCTTCCGATTATCATTTGTAGAAGAATGTTTGATTGACTTTTTTTGTTGCAGCGAAGATTCATTGGGCAACACCGAAGTACTATCTCGCGGCGCCCTCCAGATGACCTCCACTGGAACCGGCATCCATCACTCTGAGAAAGCCTACGGCTCTCAAGAGGTACATTTCTGTCAGATATGGGCATCTCCTCGTCCCGGCCTTGGCACGGGCAAACCCGCATATTTCACCAGGTAATAACATGTATTTCCTGATGCTTCCACCTCAAATGACCCGCTGGTTCTTGCAGATATTTCAGCGACGAAGAAAAGCGAAACCAATTCAGGCTCATTGTTGCGCCTTCGAATTCGTCCGAGGTCTCGCTTGAAAGGGAGACTGGTGGACCTGCCCCAATTCGCTCGCAGCTTCGCGTGTATGCGTCGCTTATGGATCCTGGTACCTCCCTCGTGCACGCGTTTCACCCAAGTCGCAGTCCCGAGAGGCGGAAAGCGTATATTCACGTCGTTCAGAAATCGGGATACAATCCTGGGAACGCCGCTGGCGCCAGGCTGCGCGTTGGTGCTCATATCGAGGGGCCGATAATCGAGCTCAGAGAGGGAGATGGGTCATATCTACTTGTGGGGAAGAACGCTGAACTGAAGGTTGAGAACGCAGGGGTTGGGGAGGTTGAGTTTCTACTATTTGATATGGAGTAAAAGCAACGAATATCCGTCGTCCTATGTAATTCTGACTGTAAATTCATCAATGGTCTCGTATCTAATCTGAGCTGAAGAATGCACCAGTCGTCTGCAGGCATCTAGCACATTGGGCTGAAGCTCATCGCCATGTACGGCTAGCAGTGCGCATACTGTACTGAGATAGCTCCAGCCATGCATGTGAAGACGCGAGTCCCAGTGACAAATAGAGCCTGGATATCCTCGGAACGCAATGCCTAGCATGAAGCGCACCTACCAGATCATTTAAAACGCACCCGTTTAGTATGATGGCAAGACGTCCCCGTCCAAGTCAGTTACACGAAGCGTACATGACTTGAGGAAATTGAGATCCAGACTAATCGAGATTGAAACACGGGCAAAGAAGACCTTACGGTGCTGCTGAGGAAACGATCAATTTCATGGACAACCCTCGGAGTCGGATCGCCATTGCTGTTCTGAAACAATATGAAGACATTTCAGCGACATAGTATCTGAAGATGAAGAAATACATTGGCTATTGAATTGTACATCAATGATGTCGCACTAGTCAAAAAGGGCAATAGGGTCCAATACTAAGATGAGTTATTCATTCAGTCAGATGAATGAATCGGCGTCAAACCGCCTCGACCTGAATCAGAATTTGAACAACTTGATTCGACAATCAATAATTTGGTAATTCCACCCTCACCTCGATCAGAATTTTTTTTGTTACTAATGCCCCATGCCATTCGTGTATACTATGTCTTGGACTGGGAATAACACAGCTGCGTTAGTTGCAGGAACTCTCATCGCAAAATAGTGCAAGAATGTTCAGTATCAAGCTATTGACTCACTGTCGGTTGTCCCGCTGCCTTCTGATGTGCAATCTCCACCATAGGAAAACTCTGTGTCCTCCGCTTCCTGCGGTGTGTACCACGCGGAGTATAGGAGATAGGGTTTGGGATGTGGATCAAGACAGAAGGTGTCACAGGGATCAGTATGTCCTGACGACACCTATTTTTGCGTAGCGAGTGATCGTGATGTGACGACGGCTGAGCGTGATTATAGGGAGGTGGGCCAGACAGCAAAGGCAACGACAGCGACAACGACATGAGAACAGAAGAAAACATAGCAGTGCAGGTTGCAAGATTGAAAGCTGAAGGCATAGTACACACGGGAAGTAACCGTTGGAGTAAGACTTGAGTAGGTTAGAGAGGGATGACGGGCGACGTCGTTAATGAGGTGAAATGTGCAGGACGAGGTTGGCTGGACGGGGTTGAGACGCAGAACAATGTGGGCACTTTCGATGCGCCGATTTAAGCAAGTCAATTGCCAAGATATATGGGTGTCATCCTATTCCTGCCTACATAGGCATAGCTCATGCAGCGCGGCACTTACGAAATCGTGTAGCGCGTTCCTGCGGGACCAGTACGTATTAAGAGGATCATATGCTCTCGCTATTACCTCAGGATTATCATCACATGTTGTCGGAGCGCATATACGGTGGTCCAACTGCCAGCAACATAGTGGAGGCAGTAGCGGATTTTGAACGTTGGAACAGGCAAATCTGAGCATTTGAAACTGCATATTAAGTGGGATACGTGCAGTGAAATCAACGCCTTCACCGAGATAGCGCATCGCGAACTAAGCCACAGTCTGATATAGCTTCAAGTGATCAGTGTACACCTCGGATGGAACTTGAGAAGCGGACTCGGAGTGTCGGAGCGACAAAGACACGATGTTCCAAGAGCCGGCATTATCTTTTAAGGAAGAACCCATATTTGATTTCCTCAGCCACCTTAAAAAACAACATTACGATCGCTTAGGAAGGGCATTAATTTAGATATTAATCTGAGCCCACCCTTATTATCAGATACACGTCCGACTATTGTCAACGACGACAAGCAGGCAGTCGTTGTGAGTAAGATCTCTAAGGGAGGATTCCACATGCATGAGAAATCGACTTCCTGACTTCATCGATGCCAAAAGGAATTCCCTTAGACGGACATGAGGTGATGATGGGGGGTAAGCATGTCGGGGCAACGCGAAAGATATCTTGTTCAATCTGATTTATTTGGGCGCGACCGTTTGCTTTCAGTGCGTCGGCCCTGGTGATGATTGCTTGAAGCGTCCAGGAGATGTCGTCGAGTGACTGGATCTGAGTATTCAACGAGGACAGCATTGCCTCGTCGGTAGCAGTCATACCATGAGCAGCAGATATCAAGATAAAGACGCGGCATAACCTGCAACATGGTGTCAGATGCACATAAAACGGAACGGGAAACTTACTTTTTCCGAGTTTCTAGATAATGGTTGAAAAGGGCACCCCACTCGGGTCGGCCCCTGGCACCATATCCCGGGGAGTCGACGACGACCAAACGACCAGGATGAGATCCAACACGGAAAAAGTTGAGTGTTTGTGTTCGACCCTAAGTAAAGCTTGTATATAGTGGAATACAGCACCAAGTTCATAACGACTCACAGCTTTCTTACTGGTGAAAAGAAGATCTCGACGCCCAACCACAGAATTAAGCAAAGATGATTTTCCAACGTTTGCTCGACCTGTTACAACTACCTTCACAAGTCTGTGTCATGTGGAGTGCTCGATATCTAAGTGGCTCACCTCAGGAAGCCCGCCTAGGAAGGGTAGAGATTCTTTATCACCAACAGCAGCAAGAAATTCTGCGGTGCCCGCATCCTTGAAAATAGCATTGGCTCTGGAGGATATATACCTCAAACTTCCACTGCGACCGGTCTGTAGTGTAGGAAGCACGTAAAATGCTCTTGAAATCGCAGCTACATTAGCGGTGGATGCGAGCATGGAGCCTGCAGAGTTTGGACTTCATGAAGAAAGAAAAATGACCCCCTCCAGACGTTGTTGTGGTTTGTTGAAATCCCAAGGCTCTAATAAACATACGCAAACCTCCTCCTCATACTTGGAACACCACCTTCTTGAAGGTTTCAAGCATCTGGTATAATCGTCATGGACCCACTCGCCGGAATGGACGATTCTACAACAGATGATGATAATGCTTCTCAAACAACCGAGGACGATCCTCAAGTACCAGACAATCACCCTCCTGGACCACCGTCTCACCAGCATGCACCTCAAACAGTCCCTCCAGCGCTTCCACCAGCGACATCAAGCACGCGAGAAAGGCCAAATTATGAACTCCGTCATACACTAAGGGGCCATACACAATCCATATCTGCCGTCAAATTCAGTCCTGACGGAACGCTGCTTGCATCTTGCGGTTCGTATGCAGCTTATTAGGACGGGTTGTATTTGAAATAGTTTTTGTTTGTGTAGCCGCAGATAATTTGGTAAAAATATGGTCCCCATTCACAGGAGAGTTAATCAGAAACTTGAGTGGCCATACCAAAGGACTCTCAGATATCGCGTGGTCAACAGACGGTGTATATCTCGCATCAGCGTCTGATGACACCAGTGTACGGATATGGAACGTTGATTCTGTAAGTCATCAATGACGGAATTATCTTCCGGTCGACTCATACCGCGAGACAGGGATTAACAACGAAACATCTCAAAGGACACTCCAGTTTCGTGTTTTGTGTGAATTACAACACAGCGTCCAACCTCCTTGTTTCTGGAGGTTGTGATGGTGATGTTCGAATATGGAATGTTGCAAAAGGTGCGTAAAGGCTGCTTGTATTCAGCTGTCTAGTCTCTCACATCAAGCCAAGGAAAATGCCTGAAGACTTTGCATGCGCATCTTGACTACGTTACTGCCGTGCACTTCAACAGAGACGCCACCCTGATAGTCTCATGTGCTCTTGACGGGCTAATGTGAGTGCTACGGATTGCTTCTTTGCCTGTCTAACACGACCACAGCCGGATATGGAACACCACGACGGGTCAATGTTTGAAAACCCTCGCTGAAGGACATGACGCTGTATGGTATGTCCATCAGCTGCCTCTGCTTATCTCGTTCCCTCATTTGTTATCCATCTTCAGCCAACATGTACAATTCTCTCCCAACTCCAAGTACATTCTCTCTACTGCTCACGACAGCGCCATCAGACTATGGGACTATCATACGTCGCGCTGCTTGAAAACATACATGGGTCATCGCAATGAGAAGTTCTGCATAGCAGCTTGTTTCAGTGTTACTGGGGGGAAATGGATTGTCTCTGGGAGTGAAGATCAAAAGGTTTTTATATGGGATCTTCAAAGTCGTGAGGTGGTGCAGATTCTCGAAGGACATGACGGTGAGGATCATATGTCTTTGCCAGGTTCAACGACTTGATTGGCTGTCTAGGTGTTGTTGTTGCTGTGGCTACCCATCCACAGCAGAACATGATTGCGTCTGGTTCGATCGAGCCAGATCTTACTGTTCGCATATGGTCTGATAGTGGGTCGGCATCCTGATTTGGCCGCGACAGATAAGTATGTGTATACCTACCCTGTTGTTCTAGTATCGGTTTACTTCTCGTGTACACTATCCTACACCTGATATATTACCCGCAAATGCATGGAAAGCTGAACAGCAACATGAAACTGTGAGAGTTCTCTTTACTTGACAGGTTCAGCATTAAGAAGATCTGGATTTGATCGAATGTGAGCGCAAGTAAGGTATACAAATGAATAATTATATCATACCTTTTGCCACCTCCTTGTCTGCTTCGGTAAGTCCTGAATCATGTGCCTCCAAAAAGGCATCCACCTAGGGCACTGAGTATCATCGAGTATACTTGCATGAAGGAATCCGCTCACCTCGTCTAGAACTTGATCATCATCTTCGCCATGGACCATGTCTAAATCACTATCGTCGTCATCATCACCTGCGTCGTCGATAGCAAACGGTGTGCGCTCCATGAATGCCGCATTGACCGCTTTGAGATGGGGCATCGGAGAGAACACTGATGCAGATGACGTGCCATTGTCCAGGATGGATGACGCGTCGAGAGCGAGAGTTGGAGACGAGCCCGATCCTGCCACGGTACCCAAGGAGCTTCCCGAGAAGGTAGTCTTGGCTGATGGAGAAATAAGCGACTCCCGGGCCGTCGGTTCTTCGAGTTTTGTGAATCGTCCAATGGTAGGACGGTAGATAACCTGCCAGCCGTTAACTTTGTCGAGTGGTGGTTACGCTGACTGTCATACCTGATGCTTGCCTATGGTCTTGCCAAGCTCGTCGCTCAATCTGTGGAATATCTTCCTGTTGTCCTGGGTAGCGATGTTAGACCATAGATCACCCAAGAAGCCGCTTGATGCCGGGGGTAGCTCAAGGTCTGGCATGGGCTCCAGCCTGAATGAAGCAGAAAGATCTGTTTCGAAGAACGACTCCAAGACTTCGTCAGCCAGAACGACCATCCGGAACCTGCGGCAAGTGTAAGTTTTCATTGTGTGGGTGTCATAAGGGGACGCACGTCGCAAGGTTGAGGTATGGCTGGTTGTGCCCGATTTCTCGAGGTCCAGTTGCTCCGGTCTCGCTATTGGTATGCTGTGGCAGGAGACTATCACCATACTCGAAAGCGTTGGTCATAAATTTGCTGACGGCTCCTAGGTAGGCGTCGCCGATCTCATAACGGAAAATAAACTACGGCTAGTCAGCCTCGAACGTCAAAAGAATCTGATAGACTGACAAGAAATGACTCGGAGAGGGTCAGGACTTCGTCCTTGGTTAAGTAACCATCCTTGTTCTTGTCGTGCAGGTTAAAGAACCATTCAATGTTCTCCATCAAATCGTTGAGCATCACACCATCTAGACCAGACACGAGATCCTGGGAGTATTCATGAGCATGACATTCTTCACTTTAACAAGAAAACATGCCTGGAATGACAAAGAGCCTTTGCACGAAGTGTCCCAAAAATAGAAGAGACGGTCGATCAGCTCGTGTTCTGCAACCTCGCGGTCGATGCGTTGCTTTATTCGCGTCAAGGTCAGCAATCAATATAGTGGGATAGTAGGAATACCTGGAAACCATTGATCACAATTTTTTCGTTCCGTGCCCAAGTCAAGATTTCACTGAGGAAAACTTGGAAAGTCGGTATACCAATCCTAGTCTCTGCTCTTTCGGGGCTCGCATCACTCGTGGCCAAGAGCGACGGGGGTGGAGCAACAGCTGGTGGTGGTGGGGCCTCACACATGGCCTTGTATAAGGCATCGTATATGAACCCAGCTTGCTCTTTGGTAAATCTTCCAAGCGTCTTCAGGTTTCTGACCGCCGAGCGCTTAGAGAAAGATTCGATGCTGTTGACGATTTCGTTCCTGTACTTTCTGCGTTCGGAGAGGATCGTCTCGTCGGAAATCACAGCGAACTCCCGGAACGAGACGAGAAGTAGCTCCTGGAAACGTGTTATCGCCCTTGCTCGAGGATCTGCAGACTCTGGGTGCGCAGAGTCACCGAGTGAGGCGAAGTATTCGCGCATCAAGCTAGTCATACTCAGTATAAGCCGTCAAGGGTTAAAATTAGCTCACTTTAAGAAACCACCGTCGTCTTGTATCTGCAATAATTTTTCACCATTAATCTTGAGAATGGCTTTGCTCTAGGAGTCAGAGATATGCAATAGGAATCGAGCTAGACTGACCTAGCCTGACAAGTTTGTAAGTCACGCAAAAGCTCTAGATAACGAGAAACGACTCACCCTACTTGGAAAAGCACTTTCGGACCCATACAGAAGAAACAGTCGGCAATGCGGAAAGCGAAAACCATAGGCATGCTATTGATGTACCTGGGAAGAGCGAGTCATGTCCAGTATGAAGCACAAAACGTCATATACACTCACAAACTCAAGAACCAAGGCAAAGATGCGACCGAGAGCTGTACATCAACCACCTGAAAGTGATCGCTTATCATTGGCAAGCATCGTGTTACAAGAGACTCGAAAACTCGTTGATCCAGCAATGTACCATGCATGGTTGGGCTAGGTGTGTTGAGTGACAAGAACAGCATATTGGTACCCAGAACATACCTATAGTAGCCAGGCAGAAGCCTATCGCACAGAACTTCGAGAAGCCAGAAGGTTTGCTCTTCTGACATGTAACTTCACCAACATGAGACAAACGTGCTGTGAAAGTGAAACACTTACATTAGAATCGCAGCTGCCAGTATATTCATCGCCTAAACGTGAATCAGAATCAATGGATGAAAGGCATAACACGAGAAAGCCGTACCTGACAATAGCCGACTTCTGGGTTCCTGTGCGAGTAGGCTTGTAGCACTCTACGAAGAGAGCTAATGCCCTCATCAGCTTGATAGCCTGCATATTCCGGAAGACTCCTGTGTAGATCCTTCTCAATATCCTCAAAACTTGTGCTGTTCGTCCCCTCAATGTCCAACAGCAATTGATCGTATAATCCAGGATTGGAGTAACGAAGATAAATAGATCCAGACAAGGTCTCCCACATCTCACCACGAAGCCGATTAGGGAGGCCGACCTGAACCAATCGAGTGCACTGCGGGTATCTCAGTAATGTAAGATTGCGGCCGTGATCTACATCAATCGTTTCAGATGCAACACGATTATAATGCGCTATGAGGCGTACTCTTTAAATATGTCGTCCATAGCTTAATTTTTGAAGCCTCGCGCAACCTGAAATGTGTTAGTGCAAGGCATGAAGCACGCATAAAAAGATTAACTTCTTTGGGTCACCAGGGAATTTAAACTGCAAGCCTAGACCGCCATGGAATTCTGTTTCTGGAGGCGAACTTCCTTCCTTTGTGTCTGAGATAAGACTTCCATCCTCCCGCTCGTTGTCTGAGACGCCCGCTGGCGACACAAGTCCCTCAGAGTAGCAAGTCTTCACAAAACCTTTCACAGCTTTCATCTGACCACGCTGCAGTTCCGCTTTCAGTGCTTCCCGCAAGAGGCTGCAAAATAGGTCGGCAGTGGGTCGAAGGGAGGTCAACTGCACAATCTAAACAGATGTTAATGAACGTATCGAATGATGTCAACAGCCGCTTACTATCTTCATGCCGTGCCAAGTGGAGAGACTCAAAGCGTAGACTCCAGCACGCGCATTGAGGCGTTCGACGCGTCGTACGGTGGAGAGGGGCAGTGTGAACCTGACTGACTTGCGATCCAGGGAGGAAAAAGCAAGATATGGTGGAAGCAAGTGTAGTTTTCCTGCCTGAGCGTAATCAAACGATGAGATATCGTATGTAGATGAGAACATGCCACTCACATAAGAATCTTCCACTTCTTGCGCACCAAAGCTGAGAATGGCGTTTATCTCCATCTTCTCTATATCTCCAGAATTCTGTTTCTCCGTATCCTTGAGAGGCACAGGAGGTGCCTCCGGTATTGAAAAGAAGACATGAGTCAACTGATCCTTAGTAGGTTCCTTGAAGTTTCGCAGCTGAGTGGATATCGTCGACATATCGAACACTCCGACAATGCTCGTGCACCGCTCCTGGAACTGCTTTCGATGAGATCAGGAGCACAGTGCTCGACGTGCACTACTTCGACGGTACAAGAAAGAGAATATGTCCGTGATGGTAGTTGTGCTTAGCTTCGTCAGATGAACTGCACTAAGTCGGAGGCCCACGGTGTGGTAGGCGATGTTATAGCCCCCAAGCTGCAGTGCAATTCCAAATAGAGCCAGCTCTAACCGAAACGTTCAAGTTAGCGCCGCCCCAATTCAACTTGAATATTGAATCACATCACTCTACATAAATTATAATACCATCACCGTGACGATTCAACATATATCTCTACAACCACGCGGGCGTTGGAAACGGCAGAGTAAGGATTGATTGCACCATTGCAGGCAAAAGAACGAAAACGACACATGCCTGGACAGTTAGTGGTATGCTATAATCATGCTGTAAGCACACTTTTACCGAATATTTCAAAGCCGCTAAAGGTGCAGGAGTGGACTAGTACCACACCTGATTCAGGGAAGCGATTTTCGTGCTTGCACCTCAACATCCACCGTCAAGCCTGTAAGTAGTTGAAGCTGTCTTACTTGCAGTGATCAATGACAACCAAGTTTTTGTTAAAGGTTCCGGGTTCAGCGGCGAACGGGTAGCTTTCATACTCGACGTCAATCTGCCTGGCCACTAGACTCGCTGGACCGACTCGGAGATCACATATTTGAATGTCATAGCCACCACGCCAAGGCTGACGTGACAGCGTCCCGCCATCGTCCTCGTCGAGCATATCGATCCAGCTGATAGCAGATCGTGTCAGTACTCGTCCACGGTGCATGGGTGATATAAATATTATATTGAACCAGCGAACATGCATTGTTGGACTTGCGAGAAGTCCATCTGACTCTACTGGCTTTCATCGGTACTAGCGGTTTGACGGGCAGGTGGCCATGCATATGCAGACCTTGGAAGTCAACGGGATGAACAAGGTGATAGTAAAGGGGGCGAAATGCAATTCAGTTTCGTGAGAGACGCGACCAGGGAGAACGACTTACCTCAAATGATTCGGACAGGTCACATCTTCAGTAGCAGTTCGGCGTCAGAATCAGAGTATTTCACGCAGCCACGCAAGATGCATCGCGGTCGCGATGCTAATAGTTGCCAACAAGAGGACTGTGAGCACGATGTACCAGAAAGTGACACGATTTACGGACCAACTTAAATGTGCAGAGCCTCGTGTCACTGGCTTCTAATGACACGAGGCATGCATGTGACTTGAATAATGCTATGAAGCAGCATAAACGCGCGCGGGTCTTGCATACGACACGCATATCCGCAGCAGCAAGATACCCCCTGCGTCGCTCGCAATTAGAATGGCAGAAGAAGCAATGTCCGAATGCACGGTCTCTGTTGTAGAATCCCGTGAAGCAAGTCCTTTCGAGATCTGAAATCGCTATGACGGACATGCTTACTATCTGTGCTTATTTTCAGGTGATCGCGACGGCTTCGAACTCGGATGATAAGCATGAAGCACAATCAAGTTCCAGAAAAATGGCAGAAAACGTTCCAATCACCACACGGTCCACACCCATTCGAACATTTCAAGAAGATCATGAAGGAATCATACAGGCAATCGGAGTCTTGCCCCATAGACGACGCATGGTGACTAGCTCAGGCCCAACGTTGCGTCTGTGGGACTTGAAAGACGTCATTGTGTTGAAGGAAATGGAAGGGCATCGCAGCGACGTGTGGGCAGTGGCGGTATCACGAGGCGGACAATTGATAGCCAGTGGTGATGAGGAGGGAAAGCTCATCGCCTGGCATGGGAATACAGGCGGATCCCTCACCCAAGGCATCGACGGTCATTTAAAAAGGATTTGCTCCCTGGACTTTTCTCCGGACGGTACGATGATGGCAAGTGGTTCATTCGACCGGACGACAAAACTTTGGAGCACAAAAACATGGCAGGTAGAAGGAGAGCCAATCCAATGTGGTGATCTAGTCTGCTGTGTTCGATATTCGCCTTCTGGTGAACTTCTCGCCGTGGCGACAGACCTTGGTATCGCAATTTATGATCCAAGCACGAGGGAATGCATCACAAACTTCCAGGGTCACACAGCGTCCAACTTGTCACTCGCGTGGACGCCCGATGGCACACGCCTTCTGTCAGCGGGCGACAATCGCGATCCCACCATACGGGAGTGGGATGCATCGACCTGGAAGCAAGTTGGTGGTCCCTGGGTGGGTCATACTAAGGGTGTCACCGCCATTGCTGTCAACTCTGCTGGCACTATGATCGCCTCCGCATCGCGTGACAAGCATGTCCGCCTCTGGCAGCTCTCCGATCGACGAACCATCGCCATATTTGACCACTCCGACAGCGTGAACTGTGTCACGTTCTCTACGGATAGCAGGCACGTCCTCAGTGGTGGTGGTGATAAGAAGGTGTCAGAGTGGGAAGCAGAAGTACGCAGGGCACTTCTTGTTGCTGTGGAGAAAGCGTCTGGTTTCCCCACCGCCCTTGAAGCACACAAGGATGCTGTCAAAATGAGGGACTTCCTTGTCAACTGTATGTACATTTTATGACCGAATTTAGTTGATTTATTAATAATTCACTGCTGCAGCTCGTGGCTACCAACCTGAAAACATCGTACTCATGATGCGTCAAAAGGACATTTCCCCAAAACTTCATCCCAGTAAAGCAAATATAGTAAGCATCCTAAAGCTGGTATGCTCTGTAGCATGTCTGATCATTGAGCGTAGCTGCGTGAGATTGACCTCATAGTCCGCTGTACATCACAACATGACCGCTTATTCTTCTATTGTAAGTAAGGCCTTGTGATGGTGTGACACAAGTGTCTATCTTTTCGAGCGTTGACTTTCCTTCAGACAATGGTCATGGAGCTCTGGTTCCTTGCAGACACGCCACCGAAGACGACAGCCAAGATAAAGGTAGTGTATAATTCTCGATCCTGTAACGCGTGTTGAATTCTTGGATGTAGCTATACTCGCCTACACTGGGAAGCCCATTATTGATAATGTAAGCCCAGGGCCATGGGTTACCGACCAGTTCGTGACACTGAACGACCCTCAAGGTGTTGAAGAAGCGCCTCGTTAATTCATTACCTCATGGCGCCAAGCTTTTCGTGCGTGTTTATTATGATCATGATCATCATTATGGACTTACTAACGATATCGTTACGTAAATAGTCATTATGGGATTGTTCCCACTCTCACACCATGTTGAGTACGTATCTATACTCCGGGTTCGGTTTCGTATTCATCCGATTGTCAAAGATTTGGAGCATAATGAGTGCAACGAGTTATGGCTCGCGCCCTTCAAAATCCTGTCAGGTGAGGGTTATTTTTCATAATGTCTCGAGTTAATGTTGATGATTCAAGGTTTGGGAAGGAAAACCAAAAGCCCCGGCAAGTGTTTCCGATCACTCTTTTTGCTATCACCTGAACGTCCGCCGTGCAGGCGAGGGGCTCAGAGCCAGCATTTTGAGGGACAGCTCCAATGTTCCGTCTTCAACAAACAATGACTCTCAAACAAGATTTGAGTCGTTGACAACTGACAACATGGATCTCGGCCCCAGAGTATCTTCCCCTGAAACTTTCTTTCGTAGATGCACTCTTCGCTGTCCTGTGACGATCCCTGAGAAGCGGGACAGGGCCCACGTCGTACGTATTTCTATTATTGATATCTTTGTCGAAATCTGAACCAGATGCCCAAGGTTTCATTGTCTGCATGCAGGGATAACGAGCTGGCATATGACGACAATGCTACGGGGGAAACTGTCACGAAGGTGCAATACGTTGTTCTAAATATAAATTTTCTGGTCTGACTGAAGGTGGCCCAGTTCTTTATTGCTTACCTCGGTGAGAAGCATATCTAGAGAAACGAGTGTATGCAACTTATTCTTCGTAGAACGCGATCCTGAAGCTTCATATCACGATCTACTATTCTACATACAGTGGGTGGCACTTGTCTCTCTCATTCGAGGAGCTGACGCGCTCTGCACAGGCACAAGGTTGACGGGATAACTCTGAAACGAACGCAGGTGAGAACACCCGACACGTGTAATGGGTCACCATGTCAAAAACTGAGGTCGAAAACAAAAATAAGCTCCGTCTAAGTAGAGTCGACCACATTGACGCCGAAAATGACTCTCAGCGGCCTTCGGTGCGTTTGACGTGGCTTAGTGAAGTTCGCCACACCAATATTTTTTCCTGCAGTATTCGAGCAGCTACCCCCTGGTGAGTATAAATTGTGGCTTGCGTGTTGAGCGGCATGCATATGTGATTCAGGATATGTTGCAGATCGTTGATTTATGAAGTACACGCTGACCGGCAACCTTATCTGGCTGAAGCTCAACATTTACTCTATCGACTACTGATAGATGACCTACTCGTGGGGAGACTAGCCTTTACTACCGTTGAATTTAAACCTGTTCCTGTGTCTCGAGGACAAATTAAAAGACGTGTAAAGCGAGGACCTGTTTTGCGTTTTCGTCCCTTGCTGAAAACACCAGGTCAAATAGGCAGCACGGTCACAAGGACTCTGGGATTTCATTAATACACATAATAAATGGGGACAGCAGAAGTGCGCAAATACCTGATTAACAACATTATGGATGGTTGCACTGATCATATTTGAACCTTCAGCTGGCATACTTAAAGGCCGTCAATGATTTCAAAATCCCGCGATCGCTTGAATAAGTGGTGTTCGTTATGCTTTTCATACAAATTGAGAGGGAAGCGAGCAGGGGAAGAACGTCCGCCAGATCGTTCAGCTTTTATGATGATGTGCTGGAGTAGCACTCCCACATGAGAAACAGGACGTGATCAATGCAGGCCTGCACTGGGTCTATAACAATCGAGGTGCCGATGTCATCCGACCAGGATTGAGCAATGCCAGGCAGATACAAAGGTGAGCTGGGAAATAATGACCATACTGTATCAGCGTCGGTGGGGAGCGTTGGCATCTGGAAAGCTGCGGTGATACAACTTGGATCCATGTACAGAATGGCAACGTCGAATGATCGAGTAAGACACGTATGTTAATGTGAACATGACTGCTCTTCGCCTCGTGTCTTCGGCGTCTAACGAGGCCCAGGCCCGAAACGATATGAAAACGAACGCACAGTACATCCACTTCAGCAGCGCCGTGACAAGCAAGCAAGAAAACCACGGGCCATAATCCCTACAGCAACTTGAAGTCTACCTGATTCGGAGTCGACCGTGTTGAACACTTCTATTGGAATGGCTGAAGAAACAGTGCAGCCCATCATTCTAATCACCACGCCCGTTCGAGCGTTTGAAAATCATGAAGAATTCATATCCACAGTCGCGGTCTTTCCCGACGGGCGGCGTATGGTGACGGGCTCGGGAGACAATACACTTCGTCTGTGGGACATGAAGAAGAGCGTTGTGTTGAAGAAGATGGAGGGGCATCGCTGCGGGGTGGAGGCCGTGGCGGTATCAGGGAACGGGAAATTGATAGCAAGTGGTGATCTCTGCGGAGAGCTCATTGCCTGGGACGGAGAGAGCGGTGAATCTGTCACCCAAGCACTCGAAGCCCACTCTTGGTCGATCTACTCGCTAGACTTTTCTCCTGATGGAGCAATCCTGGCGACCGGTTCATCAGACGAAACGATGAGGCTTTGGAGCACAGAAACGTGGCAACTGCAAGGGAATCCAATCAATTGTGTTGATCGTGTCTACTGTGTTCGGTATTCGCCGTCTGGCGAACTTCTTGCCATCGCGACAGACCTACAAATTCAAATATACAATCCAGGCTCAGAGGAGTTCATTGCAAAGTTCGACGGTCACGCAATCAATCCAGATCCATCAAACGATTTACCAAAGAATATCTCACTGACGTGGACGTCCGATGGCACACACATCCTCTCAGCGGGCGATACGGATGATCCCACCATACGAGAGTGGGATCCATTAACCGGGAAGCAGGTTGGCCATCCCTGCATTGGCCACACTAGCATCATCAACGCAATTGCCGTGAATTCCTCGGGCACTCTCGTCGCATCCGCATGTGGTGACAACCATGTACGCCTCTGGCGACTCTCAGATCGACGAACCATCGCCGTCTTCCAGCACTCTAACTGGGTATATTGTGCCACCTTCTCCACAGACGGCAAGCACATTCTCAGCGGAGGTCAAGACAAAAAAATCTCAGAGTGGGAAGTACCCGATGACCCATTGGGGGAACAGGAAACAAATCAAGTATGTTCACATTCATTTTCGAGTCCACTTCATAAATATATTTCTTTATCATTTTCGCAGACAGTTATACAGGCAGAACTTCCTGACCAGGATTATGATTACACGCAAGATACTAATTTCTTCCGGGGAATGAATGATGTACGTGCAATAGCACATGCTTCATATATGACTCACATCATTCGCTGTAGTATCGTCATACTTCACAACCACAACCCCGGCGGCGCCTGGCGTTCTTGAAGAGACTCAGGCTTGCTGTCGCGAATACCTCTAGTTCAACTGCCCAGCCAGCGCCCACAACATCACCTGCTGCCCCCATCGCGTTCCAAGCCCGTCTACAACAATTATTGACCTGGCGGCACGCCCACGTAGATCAAGTGCCACCTGTTGCAGAGGTTCCTTTCACGAAGGGTAATGAGCAATGCCCAAGACAACCCACCTCTTCTCGTCGCCGTCCTCCTGTTGTGGAAGTGGCTGCAGTACGGGACAAAAAGGTATGTCTTTCTTCGGATGCGTTTCCAATTGCTGAGTCCCAATCATTTCTGTGCAGACACTGTTCACTGCTCGGCGACACAAGCCCAAAGCAATGCAGCAGCAAAGCCAACCACAAAGCCAAGCTCAGGCGTCGTCATTACAAACTAAGCCTGCTGCCGCCTCAGCATCCACGACACCGCCCGCTCCAGATACTAGTAATACCGTACCAGGTGCACCAACAGCGCGATCCCTCCCATTTTGGGCTCGTGTCGTACTTTTTCTCTGCTGTGCGCCTACCACAAATAACAATGGTCATTGATATGATGCAGTACATGGTTAACCGTCTCATCTTTGCTTCTTATTATATTTGTAACACTTTCTTGTTATTGAAGCCTTACGCTACTCCATGAATCAGGTCCTTCTTCCACTTCGAAGACCCGTTTATGGTTTTGACGCTCTACCATGAAGTAGCCTTTGCTAGCGGTTGCAAGCAAAGTTAGATGCAAACTTTGGTGCTACATAGTCCCCTCAGTGTTTTACATGTCTGATGCTGTCGTTCAAGTACAAAAGCAACGAAAAGATTGTATGGGTTTGAGATGTATCTGTTCTTTTCCAAAGACATTGATTTTAGTCTGATCACCCCACATCAGGCGCTGCGTGGGCGGGGCAAGTGCTCACGAATTCGATCGTGTCAGATGTACAGCGGGGAGAAAACAATGAATTTCTGCTAGAACGTGAAAATAAATTGTTCTTATGTGTATGATCATGACAAGCTATTGATCGCAAAACAGAGAATAAAAGGGAAAGGCGGCCGCCTGCAGGTGGGTGCAAACGAAAGATGTCGAGAGCGAGAAGTGAGTACCAGCTCCGAGCCTGTTGTCGAAGGAAGTGCAAGAAGAGAACAAGGAAGAAAAAATGTCGCTTCCGCTCACTCCTGCTAATGTACTATATACCCAAAAAAATGTCGCAGAAGAAGGTGGAAAAATGGAGGGGCTTTGACTAGCACGTATCTCCATAATCAAACCACAACCAGGATGTTGGATACGACAGAGGAAGATCGACTACAACCCATGTCAGATGACTGGTATGCATACCACATAATTATGGTCATTACCAATGAACAATTGCTTGCATCCATGACCCAATTCTGACTTTAAATTGATTCGAGCAGCGTTAGAGGTTGACTGTCCCATCGTGCCAGCCTTGGTTATTAAACTCGCGGACATTGATTAGCCTCATAATCGAGCTGTGTTATCTGTATGAACATTTAAGCACGTCTCATCAATCGTCACGCACGACTATGCTGTTTGAAAGTCACATGAACGAGACCGTAGATCGATCCATGAAGGTTTCGGTCAGCCATCAAACGATGTGTTTTTGTTATTGGGCGCTGGTCCGAATTCATAGTGGTCGTCAAAGAATTGGCCTGCTCCCGTTTAGATATTATTATTGTGGTAATATGTGCCTAGTTTCTTCGGCGGTCGAAGGTTCGTTCCAAAATAAACCTGAATACCTGTAGTGATAGTCAGTGACGCCACAATTTAGAGATAACTTAGCGGAGGGCTTGCAAGATTCAACTGTGGGAAAGAGAGAGTCGAAAGTAGCGACTTTCACGTAGCACCGATTGAGCGAATGACGTCCATGGCCGGACGCACTCAAGACGCGCTCGCTGGCCGTGGTACATGTCATGTGGTAGAAGTCAAAGCTTACCCGAGCTTAATTAACAACTTACCTGAGCATAGCATACAACATCAAGCGGACTTCGAAACCATTCTTTTCTTCAACCAGCTCGAAAGCCACGAATGCTCATCACGTGCAGGATTGCTCTATGCATCCAAGTTCCTGAGCGGGCTAATGTCTGAATTTTCAATCCCCCTCGATAGGCTCTAGCAGAGCCCAGCTGTAAGCAGCCGCGCGACGTACCAGAAAAGCAGCTTCGTCCTCATCCCGAAGATTCTGTTTGTAGCAGAGGAGGGCAAGAATGAGAGCTTTGAAAAGTGTTGCGGGGATCGGGCGAACTTGTTTCTGTCATTTGCGAGTAGTCGGTCGTCGCTATCGCACATGCGTCTGTGAAGAAGGCGCTCAGGAATACTAGGTGTCAGGGCTGCGTGTGCCCTTTAGTTGTGTCCTTGCTGTGATTAGCCGGTAGACACATCCTCCGGCGAGCATCATTGCTTGTCCGCTGCCGGTGTATTCATGAATTCCCATATTCGGTCCCCAATCCTCCCTCCTTCCTTCGTCAGAGGTGCAACCTCCTTGTGTACGAGGCGCGACTAGTTGTATCAGTATGCGATGGTACTGGTTTTTCCCCCGAGTTTACTTCGTGGCTCGCGTGTCCTTGGACCGTGAATGTCATTCAGACTACTGTCGGACTGGTTCTTGCAATTTTTCTCCTTGGACTCCTTTGCGGAGTAGCGTCTTCTACGACGTGAGGATTACATGGACTATGTATAGCGTATAATGTCTATCTCACATGTTATCTCCAATACTGATGATGGTTTCACCTTGAGCAACGTCCGCAGTCCGTTTGCAAGCAGAGATTTTTGATACTGGACAACTATCTTTTGCTCACTTTTCGGTATCCTGATGTAGACAGACTCAGTGTGCACTACTACCCTAGTTCGTCTGCCCGCACTATAACGTTGATCTTTATTGATGATCCCGTCCGTCGTTAGCTAGCATCGATGTAACGTGTGCTGTGATGGCATGCGGTCCAGGTCGTGTTCCTTGCCTCGTCTCTGATACTCATAATGTTCTAGCATATATATACAGACCGGAACAAGTTGGACAGACAGCAGAAAATCACAGACGAACAATTCGAGCTTCCTGCGTTGTCGTGCGGTTGTACAGGCGTCTCAGTATCTTTGTCCTCTGGCTTCTCGTTGCTGGTTTCACTAACCTGTCCAAATTGATGTGTGCATCAATCAGATTTAGCACGTCGTTGAAGAACAAAGATTCCCGTAGAGGGTACTTAAAAATATGTCAGTACATGAGCGACCAATTGTATATTAAATTTTCAACGCACGAGATCTGAGGGAAATCAATAAGACAACTGGAAAAATGCTTTACAATACAATGCTTACACCAAACACACGGGGATGAGAGAACCACGACGACTGAGAGTCATAACATGGCTAATAGTAAAATATCAAAATACGAGGCAGCAAAAGCTGTCACAACGAAGTTTTGGAAAGTTGAATTAACAGGAGCTTCAGCTTAGAAGATAGTATCTGTAGAGTCAGATCTAGACAACACATTGTCATAGAAAAAGAGCTCTGATAAGAAAATGGAAAACGTCAACACATTCATGATTCTGCATCAAAATCATGCATAAAATTTAAATGAACTCGGCGCACATTGCGAATTCAGACAAGATGGACGAGTTTAAAATGCGCTCTTATGCCAAAATACGAATTCTCGCATGACCGTGACTCTGGAGACAATGTACTTGGTGTGATTTGAAACAGATGATCTCCTAGGCGTCAGCAACAGATGGGAACCTGAATGCAAAGTGAACCACAGTACACGCATGTTAGAAGGAATTTTTTTTACTGTGAAACGGTGAAGTCAGTCGTCAAAGGAGGTACTTTGACTGACGAGGAGCTGTCGCTATTTGTCATGAATGAGACTGGTGACACATACAGATGAGAAAAGAGAATAACCTTTCATCGTTGGGTGAAGGACGGAGGAGTGAGAGCACTACTTGACTAGATGCAATCGTGCTGCAAATAAAAGTGAGTCATGCATCCCAATTGGAAGTCATAACGAGAGTCCTGACCAAATGCATGCCGCTTTTTTTCTCCAAAGTTCAGCGACATAAACTCGGCGAAACCACGGGTACATACCAGGCATTGCGAAAATAGAGTCCATGATAGCTGAAGTCACAGAGTGAGTAGGTGTTTGCAATGTAGCGAAACAATCTTACGATTCAGGTTCAAACGATTCAGGGCCTACAAAATTTAGTCTACGACGATCCTGTGGAGAAACAAGGAACACACCAGTAGAATGATGTTCGCCACCAAATTGACGATGAAATATATTATCCCTTGTTTGACGAGCGTCTTCCAAAGCGTAGAAGACGATTGCATCCTCCAAAGTCCAACAACGGTGAGGACCAAAAGTGCCAAATCATAAAACATGCCTTCACTCGATGTACTGCTCATCACGCATCCATAAATCATAAATGCGACATACGTACCATATATGACCGTCGCACTAGCATATGCAGGATTGACAAAATGGAGCATGCACACCCCATTTGTGGTGGATGCACGAGCAGTTGCAAGGACTGGAAAATGGTTAGATCAATCACGCTAGAGGGTAGCAAATACATACAGAGAGTGAGTATTGTCCAATGGCCTAGTGAGAAGAGGACTAGCAAAAGGCGCATCAAGTAACTAGTTTTCCAGATAAGCCACCTGCATATATATACCATGAGATCGAGCATGGTGCAAGAGATAGTTATGTTACATACGTTCTGATCATCAGATTTGCTGTAGAGCAACCGATGGCGACGTTTGTCGCGAACTAGATAATATGAAGGTAGATCAGCAACCTAGCGGGTGCCCCCATGCGCACTCACTATGATGGCGGAATTCATGCCTAAATCGAGGTGAGCCTCTTCGACGAAGATTAAAATCTACAAACACTCACACTGACAATCAACACTTGTGTGGAAGGGACTAAGTTGTGTCGCACTGACAAAGGCTGTCAGTACGCTTGTCACTTTCTCTATGTTGGCTCACAGTAAAACAATCGCAATCAAGAAGCTAAATCGGGCGATAATGTACGTGAGCTGGGCATGTGTAAGTAACAAGTGTCCAACTTGAACATATCCTCGAGAATGCGCACCAAAGGCCATCGAAATGGAAGCTGCCTCTGAAGCAATGCTATCTCCACGTGCGAGGAGCATATATATTCCCAGCTACAGACACGCATACAGGCTAATTGGCAACTCATTAAGAGGACTTACAGCGCGAAGTACTCACCCGTATAAGCCAAGAATAACAAACGACAATTGCGTTGAAAGAACGCCCAATTTCGCTTCGAGGTCGGGATCATTCCAGTTCACCATGATAAGAATTGGGTAAAAACGGTAGATATACGTTGAGGGCGTTAGGGGAATGAAATCCTGTTGACTAGAAAATAAGCTACTTATTAGGACAAAATGTGGAGCAGGGACACACATACAGGTCTCCCACATCAATATTTCCAACCCTATGTGGCCCATCTGCGGTAGCCAATCATACGACACAAGCATTCAAGATCCCATGTCATCTCACTCGCTACCCTTCACACCTACGGTACCCTACCTTAGCTTTAGGGCCAGTAGACCACCACAATAACTGCGTGTCAGTTGAAGGTCACATACGGTCAAAAGTGCCAGAGACCATACGTTCTCAAAGGCAGGGTATTACCACGAGTTTGTTAAAATGGTCAGGCAACTTTGGGCGTAAGAGAAAACAAATCTGTGCTTCAATGCGAGCAAGAGCCTGAGTTCTATCCACAGATGAGGATTTTAATGTGAGCAGAGCATGCCGCCGCATGATATTCACACATGCATGACATGACATGTTGACTTGACATTTTACCCAGGGCAGACGGGGATTGGCACGCCTCAGTTACTCAATTACTAGATCGATAACAAATGAGTGACGACACATCAGGTTGATAGTTTTCATTATTTACCCGACGCCAACCTACGTCCAGCGCTGTTATGTGCGGTGCGCTCTTCCTAGACGGCTGTCACTTTTAGTTCTCATTCATTACGGTAGCTAAAACACACCTTGACACTTCAGCTCGCGTCTGCAATCCACATTAATCATTTACCACTGGCAGGAGATGTAGCAAGTATTATAGCCCTCACACGCACTAATCTTGGTAAAGAAAGACGCAATTGATTTCCGCATCAGGTTCCTGTAACTTGCGTGGCACACGGGGAAAAGACAAGTGACCTGTTGCCGCGTGAAAGATATTGGCTGTAGTACTGAACGTTGGACGTTCGAATCACGGTTTTGGATAAGTTAACAACTATAGCGGAAATCAGCAGATTTATCATCCAGAGCAAATGTAACTGACCGCCAACGAGGACCAAATATCCCCCACAAACATCTACCCGCAAGTTTATCTTCAAGGCACATGCGTCAGGTGGAAGAAAACTATACACCACGTGATGGCCATGCATGAGCTCATTGGGAGAAGTGACTCAGAGTCCCCCTAAGAGACTACATCAGAAGTCTTAGGTGGTGCGCACGGAAGATTTGGGGAAGAGTACCTACTAGTAGTAGTACTAGTGCACGTTTTGCTACCAAAACATGAATCACGTGAGCAGTATGAAAGCACACGGACTCCGCATCAGCAAAACTCCCCAATGTATATATAGAGTATACCCCCGGGTACCACCCCAGCCTGGTGACCTCGCTGGTGACCCCCGCCAAAGCCAACCGGGGTCACCACCTGTGTACATGACTGAACGGTTTTTTTTTTTCAAACCCCGACCGCCGTCGTTTCCCACCCCCCCAAACACCCATTGCGTCGTCGTCGTCGTCGTCCCACAGAGGTTCGTTCGTGCCGATCCTTTCGTTTTCAGCGTCGTCCCTTTTCCGGCTTTTGCAATGGCGGCGCTGTGGCCAACGCTGACACTCGACTCCCACTTTGGCTGAGGCCCCTTAGCTGGGGTGGATCTGAGCGAGATCCGGCGGCCCCATTCAAGACCAAGATCTGAGCGAGATCTTGGGGCGCCCGCTAGCCATTTGGGAGCGAATGTGGAGGCGCGCGTCGTGCGCCCGCCGTACAATCGTTCGTCGGACCTCCGTTCCTGTCGTTCTTGCCTGCCAGGGGCCACTTTCCCTTTTGTGCGTGTCTTTCTCTTTCTCTGGTCTGTCCGTTCTTTGCACTCTGACCTTTTCATTTTCTTCACTCTCTTCAGCCTGTCCGTTTGCGGACGTTCGGCCTGCCCGCCCATCCATTTCTCCCTTCACCTCTATCAGTCTATGAGCCAGAACGACAGCGAAATCCTCAATTTCACCCGCGAGAATGTCAGCTCCGTGACTCCCAGAAATCAAAATATGTAACTGGTTTAGTCGGTACATTTAATCTTTGTCCATTCCCTCATTGTAAGTGCCTTTCATTCTGTCCGTTCTTTCCTCTCAGACCTTTTTTTTGGCAGCATCAGACCGCTCGCTCCCTTCGGCCGTCTGCCTGCTTCAAGGTTAGCATCTTCCACTTTGTTCACTCCGTCTGTTCTTTCCACCCTGACCTTTCTTTGCAGCATGGAACTCATCGCTCTCTTCGGCCTGTCCGTCTGTGGATGCACTGTGTGATTTGTGCTAACGGCGTTTTGGGAAGCAATGAAAGGCTCGTACATAACGGACTAGTCGGTGAGTCTTCTGTCTTTTCGCTCTTCACGTTCACCGTCGCTTACGTGTGCATCCTCATATTGACGGCCTTTCAGGAATGTCGCCGTCTCAGTGCACCACCTCAATTAGCGGACCCGAGCTGCATCCACAATCTAACTAACTGGTGGGTTTAAAAGCCCTTTGCTATTTCCCTTCCTCACATTCACCGTCTGGCATCAACGCCCACAATGCTGTCAACTTGCACAGTCCGTCGTGCCTCATCACCTCCTCCCATCTCCCCACCGAGTCCAAAGCGGCCCCGCATGCAAATGTGCAATGCTGACACCCCCGCACCCCGCAATGCTGCTGTTGCGATTTCTCCACGCATGCAGCGCTCGCTCAGCATGCTCGAGCAGGAATCTCATGAGCTGCGGCTGAGGATAGGAGAGAAGGAGCTCGAGGGCAAGGGCACGGCAAAGAGCTACCCCCGGCAGGTCCAGAACTACCAGCTCTGGTTTGACGCCGACCAATCTCGCATTGCCGCTGAGGACAGCACACGAGTTCCTATTCCCGCACTCCCTGTCACCGCTGCAAAGGTGTCAATGTTCCTCCACCATGAAACCACTCGCGAGAAGGTGCGTGCTTCATTAGGTGCTCCCAGCGAGAATTTTCTGCTGATGCCCCTTCCCCTGCTGCTCAGTACAAGCGTGGCAGCAAAGATATCATCCAAGGGTCGTCCCTTGGAAAATCCCACGTTGTGCAGGTCATCAACGCTCTCGAGAAGTACCGACTCAACCACGAGCACCTTCATCCGCGTGACCACGAGACGCACATCAGCCTGCGCAAGGATTCACGCATACGTGCCTTCGAGTCAGCATCAAAGCACCATGAGCCCAAGAGAGTCGAGAAGTCGCAGATGGTCAAGGCAGCTGGCACAAGTTCTGGTAAGTGTCTGTTGCCTCCCTACTTGCTACTGCTGACTGTGACCGCCACGCAGACACCTACACCAAGGCCGAGCTCCTGCGCTGCTCTCTCTGGTGCCTCACCGACTTTTCGGGGCCACAGTATATTTTTGTTGGCATCCGTGACCGCGCGATGCTGCTGGCATCAGCCACAACAGCCTTTCGTGGGGAGGGCTGCCGCATGCTGGAGTGGTCAGACCTGTTCACGGCTACTGTTCCGCTGGACCAAACGAATGAGATCCAGGTGCGTACGGTGCCCCCAGAGGTGGGGCTGTCATGTCTCATCCTGCTGTCCAGGTCCTTGCCGCACTGGCCGACAATGCAAAGCACAACCAGACAGGCCGAGTTGATGAACACGGTGCCATACGCCATGTCCACGTGGAGCTCTGCCCCGTTGGCGCACTCGCATTCCTGTTCTTTGCCCACTTCCACATCCTCAACTGCGCTCCTCCCAACTTTGCCCCCGACTTCTCCAACAAGGGCTATGGCGAGTATGGTCACCGGGAGTGGTACGACTGCCACGTCTTTTACACGGGCAGCCCAGCCAAGGAGATGACCTACGAAAGTGAGTGCAGCGGGAGCCCTTGACATAGCGGCAATAGCTGACGTGCGATGCCAGACCATCGTGACCGCATCACCACCATGCATGTGAAGAACAACATCGACATTACGAAAAAGACCCACGCTGGCCGTCACTATGCTGCCCAGACAGCACGCTCACATGGAGCGAGTGTGAATGGCACCAAGGCACTCGGTGGCTGGAGCGAAAATGGCTCATTCAATCCAGTCTACGACCGTGCATTTCCTCTGGATGCACTGCTTGGTGCAGGCATGTTCAACGCACGGCGCCCAGAGGACTACGCTCTCCCCAGGAACAGCATTGGTAGGAACTCTTCACCAGACATGCAGCGCACCCTCTGATAAATTAAGTGCCTGCAGTGCCACCACCCACGCTCATGGGCGAAATTTTCCCTTTTATTGAACAGGCCCAGCAGGAGCTGAAAGACCGGATTCAGCACTCACAGCTTGCAACAGACATCGCCCTCCGGCAGTTTCTGCTCGTGCTCCTGTGGTTCCGCCTGGTCCTCCTCCAGGATGCTGCGCTCCTCTTCGCCAAACACCCTGAAATGCCGGTGTTTCAATTCAAGCCCTTCAACACGCAGTGCTTCCGGGACTACGCATGCGAAGCCGTCCAGGCAGTCACACACGCTGAGGAGCAGGCCAGGATGGCCTTTCGAAACCTGCCTGAGCACCTGGTGTGCAGCCTCAAGGGTCTTGTCACCAGCATGACGCTGGACCAGCAAGCCCAGCGTGCGGAGAATGAAGCCCTGCGGGCAGAGGTTCGGCAGCACATGGAAATGCAGAGTGCGCTGCTCACAGAGCTGGCGAACGGCTCCCATGGACGGCGCAAAAATGGTCGCAAGACAGCCATGTGGGCAGGTAAGTTCTCCTCCTTCACGCAACCTCCCTGCAGCTGACGACGGCACGAATTCCTGCAGCCACCCAGCTGCCTATTCACCAGACCGCTGGGCCACCCTCTCTGTCCTCCCTCTGCCTTCAGAACACCCCCTCCTTGCACCGCGCTGCCATTCCCAACGTGACCATCAGCATCTCAGGCGCTGCTGCTGTGAGCTCGGGCACCAGCGGCCTGATGCCCACTGTCAGCCATCCTAGCTTGGAGGCCCCTCTCGTGCTGCCGTCCACCACCTCACTTGCCCCCTTTGGCGCTGACCAGCTGCCACCCACTGAAACCGTGCCCTCAGATCCACGGTCGGAGAAATGGGCGGCCCTCCTCGCCAAATATGGGCGGGCAAAGCTTGACGCTCATGAATGGGAGTGGAAGAATGGAGACTGGCTTCCAAGGTATCGTTACCAGTCCGTGGATGCCATCACTGACGTATGGACCGAATATGTCGATGGCCTGAACGGCCACCTTTCTACGCGTGAGCTGAAGGACCGGTGGGGTGCAAAATGGCGACGCAACGAAGGTGGCCTCAAGACCGAGGCCGCGAGGCGTGCCAAGATTGTCACCCTCGTCGAGCAGCTGTCAGCAAAGCCGAACTGGAATGTGTCCCTCGCACTGAGATTCCTGGTAGAGAAGTACGAAAACAATCCTGCATTCATGGGAAAGGTTCGCGCCTTCTGTGACTATCTGCAGAAGGATGGCGGGGCTGGTTTTCAGGCAGTCCTCATGGCTGCCGTGCATTATCCCTAATGACTGAAGTAGATACATCAAATGTGTAGTATACTAAACTCACGATAATTTCTTGCCTAACTGTCTGTCCCTACTCGAAATGAGAATCAGATGGCTGAACCTTCACAACAGACGGTGTGCTGGAACCGGATTGACTTGCGGTAGGTGAGGATACAGGTGTCCTTTGCCTTAACAACAGACGACGCGCTGGAGACGATGTGCTGGAACCGGATTGACTTGCGGTAGGTGAGGATACAGGTGTCCTTTGCCTTAACAACAGACGACGCGCTGGAGGATATGTATGTCCCTTGCCTTCACAACAGACGATGCGCTGGAACCGGATTGACTTGCGGTAGGTGAGGATATATGCATCCCTTGCCTTCACAACAGACGACGCGCTGAAACCAGGTTGACTTGCCAAGAGAAAAGGTAAATTCACATTAAGTCAGTTACACTGTGTACGCAAATAAGCCAGAAGATCTCGTGCACCAGCCTTCTCGCTGATCGAGGCACACTTGGCTATCACAGCCTGCCTGGGTGAGGTCCCCCCTTCACCATATTGCCGCAAGATGTGCACCGCCTGCTGCGCCTCTGCCATCCATGTTGACCCCACCCCAAGGGCATCCTGTACCTCTTTTTTCTTGATGCGCGGCCCTCTGACAATGCTCTGAGACCGGCGGTCACTTGGTTCCTAGGAGAATGCCCTCAGAAAGGGCCGAGCAGATATGCTAGGGCACTCACACCTGGACATGGCTTCTGGCTGTACCTCTCGCAGAATCGTACCGCAAACTGCCATGATGCCACAATGGCCGCGTTCGACTGGACGTGGTGCTGGCCAGACTTGAAGGCAGCATACCCAGGCTCCTCCTGCACCCTGTCAGCAAGCCACGCTGCCGCAGTGCACGACTGGGATGCACGAGCATCGGATACAGTGGTGTGGTGCTGGCTGCCAGTGGTGCCAGCAGCTGTAGCGGCGGCCCTCATCTGTGCGGTCCAAAATAAAACCCCCAAAAAAGGACGCAAAGACCCACCTGCCCGAATCTGACTTGCAGCTTGAGAACGTTGTCCGGTGGGATATGGACGCTGGGAATGTCTGGGGCCAAGTCCAGCAGTCCGCCTGCTGCAGCGGACGCGAGCTGTCGTGCATACTCAGGATGGGCTGGGTCTGGGTACATGATTTCAGTGGCATCTGACAAGCGCAGTGAGGTGTGCCAACTGTGATAGTCAAAAGCACTTACCTTCAATGCCAGGAGCTTTCTCGTGCAGCCGTTCAACAAGCTGCGCAGCGCTTCCCTGCCACTCGCCCGTCAGCTCGTTCAGTGCGCCAACCTGTTGGAGAGCGATCGAGTATGCAAATCGCTCGAGGTCTGCACCAGGACGCACAAAGTCCACGTAGAGGTCGACGACCTGTTCTGAGGAAGGAGTCGATGGTGGCGACAGCGAATCTCTCGCAGCGGAAGGTGGAGACAAGTATGGTGGGGTGCAGCCGCCAAGATCTGCCCCGGCACCACAAAGTTCGAGCTCAACCCCCACCGAGGTGTCAGCACCAACGGGTGGAGGAGGAGGTGGAGGAGGAGGTGGAGGTGGAGGCAGCCCAGTATTGCTGGGCTGCACCTCAGTTTGTCTGGGGGCAGGGGCTTGCTTCGTAAAGCCGTAAGCCGGGTTGAGGAGCACGGCACGCATCTGGGCCATGTTCGTCTTCGAGGTGAAGCGCCTCCTGCCTTCTTTGAATGGCCAGCGGTCCTGCTGGCGCTTGACAATCGCAACGAGATCTTCGCGCCGCTTGTCCTGTCTGCAATGTGTGAGTCAGTCAGAAAGTAGGGCGGCCCACAACGAGGCCTGTGCATCAGAGAAGTCAGAACAGAGGACTCACAGGTCATTGGCCTCATAAGGTACCTCCAGCCTCACGCTCACACAGCTCTCTTCTCGTTCCATCCTCGTTTCCGTTATCCAATGTTGATGAACAGCAGCAGTGGTGCTGTGGTTGTGGTTGTGGTTGTGGTTGTGGTCGTGGTCGTGATGTGGGAGAGGTCAGTGGGAGAGATCGAGAGCACCGGCACCCCTGTTCATGAGGGATTTCCGTTCCGTCCGATGTCTTCGATGGCGAAGTACATGATCGGGCGTGGTCTTAGATGTATTCCTGCCAGTCTGAGGTCACCACCGGCGCATATTTGGTGGTGTTGTCAGGCGTGGGAACGAGCCACCAGACGTCAACACGGTGGCTACCACAACCTGGATACATAGAGTATACCCCCGGGTACCACCCCAGCCTGGTGACCTCGCTGGTGACCCCCGCCAAAGCCAACCGGGGTCACCACCTGTGTACATGACTGAACGGTTTTTTTTTTCAAACCCCGACCGCCGTCGTTTCCCACCCCCCCAAACACCCATTGCGTCGTCGTCGTCGTCGTCCCACAGAGGTTCGTTCGTGCCGATCCTTTCGTTTTCAGCGTCGTCCCTTTTCCGGCTTTTGCAATGGCGGCGCTGTGGCCAACGCTGACACTCGACTCCCACTTTGGCTGAGGCCCCTTAGCTGGGGTGGATCTGAGCGAGATCCGGCGGCCCCATTCAAGACCAAGATCTGAGCGAGATCTTGGGGCGCCCGCTAGCCATTTGGGAGCGAATGTGGAGGCGCGCGTCGTGCGCCCGCCGTACAATCGTTCGTCGGACCTCCGTTCCTGTCGTTCTTGCCTGCCAGGGGCCACTTTCCCTTTTGTGCGTGTCTTTCTCTTTCTCTGGTCTGTCCGTTCTTTGCACTCTGACCTTTTCATTTTCTTCACTCTCTTCAGCCTGTCCGTTTGCGGACGTTCGGCCTGCCCGCCCATCCATTTCTCCCTTCACCTCTATCAGTCTATGAGCCAGAACGACAGCGAAATCCTCAATTTCACCCGCGAGAATGTCAGCTCCGTGACTCCCAGAAATCAAAATATGTAACTGGTTTAGTCGGTACATTTAATCTTTGTCCATTCCCTCATTGTAAGTGCCTTTCATTCTGTCCGTTCTTTCCTCTCAGACCTTTTTTTTGGCAGCATCAGACCGCTCGCTCCCTTCGGCCGTCTGCCTGCTTCAAGGTTAGCATCTTCCACTTTGTTCACTCCGTCTGTTCTTTCCACCCTGACCTTTCTTTGCAGCATGGAACTCATCGCTCTCTTCGGCCTGTCCGTCTGTGGATGCACTGTGTGATTTGTGCTAACGGCGTTTTGGGAAGCAATGAAAGGCTCGTACATAACGGACTAGTCGGTGAGTCTTCTGTCTTTTCGCTCTTCACGTTCACCGTCGCTTACGTGTGCATCCTCATATTGACGGCCTTTCAGGAATGTCGCCGTCTCAGTGCACCACCTCAATTAGCGGACCCGAGCTGCATCCACAATCTAACTAACTGGTGGGTTTAAAAGCCCTTTGCTATTTCCCTTCCTCACATTCACCGTCTGGCATCAACGCCCACAATGCTGTCAACTTGCACAGTCCGTCGTGCCTCATCACCTCCTCCCATCTCCCCACCGAGTCCAAAGCGGCCCCGCATGCAAATGTGCAATGCTGACACCCCCGCACCCCGCAATGCTGCTGTTGCGATTTCTCCACGCATGCAGCGCTCGCTCAGCATGCTCGAGCAGGAATCTCATGAGCTGCGGCTGAGGATAGGAGAGAAGGAGCTCGAGGGCAAGGGCACGGCAAAGAGCTACCCCCGGCAGGTCCAGAACTACCAGCTCTGGTTTGACGCCGACCAATCTCGCATTGCCGCTGAGGACAGCACACGAGTTCCTATTCCCGCACTCCCTGTCACCGCTGCAAAGGTGTCAATGTTCCTCCACCATGAAACCACTCGCGAGAAGGTGCGTGCTTCATTAGGTGCTCCCAGCGAGAATTTTCTGCTGATGCCCCTTCCCCTGCTGCTCAGTACAAGCGTGGCAGCAAAGATATCATCCAAGGGTCGTCCCTTGGAAAATCCCACGTTGTGCAGGTCATCAACGCTCTCGAGAAGTACCGACTCAACCACGAGCACCTTCATCCGCGTGACCACGAGACGCACATCAGCCTGCGCAAGGATTCACGCATACGTGCCTTCGAGTCAGCATCAAAGCACCATGAGCCCAAGAGAGTCGAGAAGTCGCAGATGGTCAAGGCAGCTGGCACAAGTTCTGGTAAGTGTCTGTTGCCTCCCTACTTGCTACTGCTGACTGTGACCGCCACGCAGACACCTACACCAAGGCCGAGCTCCTGCGCTGCTCTCTCTGGTGCCTCACCGACTTTTCGGGGCCACAGTATATTTTTGTTGGCATCCGTGACCGCGCGATGCTGCTGGCATCAGCCACAACAGCCTTTCGTGGGGAGGGCTGCCGCATGCTGGAGTGGTCAGACCTGTTCACGGCTACTGTTCCGCTGGACCAAACGAATGAGATCCAGGTGCGTACGGTGCCCCCAGAGGTGGGGCTGTCATGTCTCATCCTGCTGTCCAGGTCCTTGCCGCACTGGCCGACAATGCAAAGCACAACCAGACAGGCCGAGTTGATGAACACGGTGCCATACGCCATGTCCACGTGGAGCTCTGCCCCGTTGGCGCACTCGCATTCCTGTTCTTTGCCCACTTCCACATCCTCAACTGCGCTCCTCCCAACTTTGCCCCCGACTTCTCCAACAAGGGCTATGGCGAGTATGGTCACCGGGAGTGGTACGACTGCCACGTCTTTTACACGGGCAGCCCAGCCAAGGAGATGACCTACGAAAGTGAGTGCAGCGGGAGCCCTTGACATAGCGGCAATAGCTGACGTGCGATGCCAGACCATCGTGACCGCATCACCACCATGCATGTGAAGAACAACATCGACATTACGAAAAAGACCCACGCTGGCCGTCACTATGCTGCCCAGACAGCACGCTCACATGGAGCGAGTGTGAATGGCACCAAGGCACTCGGTGGCTGGAGCGAAAATGGCTCATTCAATCCAGTCTACGACCGTGCATTTCCTCTGGATGCACTGCTTGGTGCAGGCATGTTCAACGCACGGCGCCCAGAGGACTACGCTCTCCCCAGGAACAGCATTGGTAGGAACTCTTCACCAGACATGCAGCGCACCCTCTGATAAATTAAGTGCCTGCAGTGCCACCACCCACGCTCATGGGCGAAATTTTCCCTTTTATTGAACAGGCCCAGCAGGAGCTGAAAGACCGGATTCAGCACTCACAGCTTGCAACAGACATCGCCCTCCGGCAGTTTCTGCTCGTGCTCCTGTGGTTCCGCCTGGTCCTCCTCCAGGATGCTGCGCTCCTCTTCGCCAAACACCCTGAAATGCCGGTGTTTCAATTCAAGCCCTTCAACACGCAGTGCTTCCGGGACTACGCATGCGAAGCCGTCCAGGCAGTCACACACGCTGAGGAGCAGGCCAGGATGGCCTTTCGAAACCTGCCTGAGCACCTGGTGTGCAGCCTCAAGGGTCTTGTCACCAGCATGACGCTGGACCAGCAAGCCCAGCGTGCGGAGAATGAAGCCCTGCGGGCAGAGGTTCGGCAGCACATGGAAATGCAGAGTGCGCTGCTCACAGAGCTGGCGAACGGCTCCCATGGACGGCGCAAAAATGGTCGCAAGACAGCCATGTGGGCAGGTAAGTTCTCCTCCTTCACGCAACCTCCCTGCAGCTGACGACGGCACGAATTCCTGCAGCCACCCAGCTGCCTATTCACCAGACCGCTGGGCCACCCTCTCTGTCCTCCCTCTGCCTTCAGAACACCCCCTCCTTGCACCGCGCTGCCATTCCCAACGTGACCATCAGCATCTCAGGCGCTGCTGCTGTGAGCTCGGGCACCAGCGGCCTGATGCCCACTGTCAGCCATCCTAGCTTGGAGGCCCCTCTCGTGCTGCCGTCCACCACCTCACTTGCCCCCTTTGGCGCTGACCAGCTGCCACCCACTGAAACCGTGCCCTCAGATCCACGGTCGGAGAAATGGGCGGCCCTCCTCGCCAAATATGGGCGGGCAAAGCTTGACGCTCATGAATGGGAGTGGAAGAATGGAGACTGGCTTCCAAGGTATCGTTACCAGTCCGTGGATGCCATCACTGACGTATGGACCGAATATGTCGATGGCCTGAACGGCCACCTTTCTACGCGTGAGCTGAAGGACCGGTGGGGTGCAAAATGGCGACGCAACGAAGGTGGCCTCAAGACCGAGGCCGCGAGGCGTGCCAAGATTGTCACCCTCGTCGAGCAGCTGTCAGCAAAGCCGAACTGGAATGTGTCCCTCGCACTGAGATTCCTGGTAGAGAAGTACGAAAACAATCCTGCATTCATGGGAAAGGTTCGCGCCTTCTGTGACTATCTGCAGAAGGATGGCGGGGCTGGTTTTCAGGCAGTCCTCATGGCTGCCGTGCATTATCCCTAATGACTGAAGTAGATACATCAAATGTGTAGTATACTAAACTCACGATAATTTCTTGCCTAACTGTCTGTCCCTACTCGAAATGAGAATCAGATGGCTGAACCTTCACAACAGACGGTGTGCTGGAACCGGATTGACTTGCGGTAGGTGAGGATACAGGTGTCCTTTGCCTTAACAACAGACGACGCGCTGGAGACGATGTGCTGGAACCGGATTGACTTGCGGTAGGTGAGGATACAGGTGTCCTTTGCCTTAACAACAGACGACGCGCTGGAGGATATGTATGTCCCTTGCCTTCACAACAGACGATGCGCTGGAACCGGATTGACTTGCGGTAGGTGAGGATATATGCATCCCTTGCCTTCACAACAGACGACGCGCTGAAACCAGGTTGACTTGCCAAGAGAAAAGGTAAATTCACATTAAGTCAGTTACACTGTGTACGCAAATAAGCCAGAAGATCTCGTGCACCAGCCTTCTCGCTGATCGAGGCACACTTGGCTATCACAGCCTGCCTGGGTGAGGTCCCCCCTTCACCATATTGCCGCAAGATGTGCACCGCCTGCTGCGCCTCTGCCATCCATGTTGACCCCACCCCAAGGGCATCCTGTACCTCTTTTTTCTTGATGCGCGGCCCTCTGACAATGCTCTGAGACCGGCGGTCACTTGGTTCCTAGGAGAATGCCCTCAGAAAGGGCCGAGCAGATATGCTAGGGCACTCACACCTGGACATGGCTTCTGGCTGTACCTCTCGCAGAATCGTACCGCAAACTGCCATGATGCCACAATGGCCGCGTTCGACTGGACGTGGTGCTGGCCAGACTTGAAGGCAGCATACCCAGGCTCCTCCTGCACCCTGTCAGCAAGCCACGCTGCCGCAGTGCACGACTGGGATGCACGAGCATCGGATACAGTGGTGTGGTGCTGGCTGCCAGTGGTGCCAGCAGCTGTAGCGGCGGCCCTCATCTGTGCGGTCCAAAATAAAACCCCCAAAAAAGGACGCAAAGACCCACCTGCCCGAATCTGACTTGCAGCTTGAGAACGTTGTCCGGTGGGATATGGACGCTGGGAATGTCTGGGGCCAAGTCCAGCAGTCCGCCTGCTGCAGCGGACGCGAGCTGTCGTGCATACTCAGGATGGGCTGGGTCTGGGTACATGATTTCAGTGGCATCTGACAAGCGCAGTGAGGTGTGCCAACTGTGATAGTCAAAAGCACTTACCTTCAATGCCAGGAGCTTTCTCGTGCAGCCGTTCAACAAGCTGCGCAGCGCTTCCCTGCCACTCGCCCGTCAGCTCGTTCAGTGCGCCAACCTGTTGGAGAGCGATCGAGTATGCAAATCGCTCGAGGTCTGCACCAGGACGCACAAAGTCCACGTAGAGGTCGACGACCTGTTCTGAGGAAGGAGTCGATGGTGGCGACAGCGAATCTCTCGCAGCGGAAGGTGGAGACAAGTATGGTGGGGTGCAGCCGCCAAGATCTGCCCCGGCACCACAAAGTTCGAGCTCAACCCCCACCGAGGTGTCAGCACCAACGGGTGGAGGAGGAGGTGGAGGAGGAGGTGGAGGTGGAGGCAGCCCAGTATTGCTGGGCTGCACCTCAGTTTGTCTGGGGGCAGGGGCTTGCTTCGTAAAGCCGTAAGCCGGGTTGAGGAGCACGGCACGCATCTGGGCCATGTTCGTCTTCGAGGTGAAGCGCCTCCTGCCTTCTTTGAATGGCCAGCGGTCCTGCTGGCGCTTGACAATCGCAACGAGATCTTCGCGCCGCTTGTCCTGTCTGCAATGTGTGAGTCAGTCAGAAAGTAGGGCGGCCCACAACGAGGCCTGTGCATCAGAGAAGTCAGAACAGAGGACTCACAGGTCATTGGCCTCATAAGGTACCTCCAGCCTCACGCTCACACAGCTCTCTTCTCGTTCCATCCTCGTTTCCGTTATCCAATGTTGATGAACAGCAGCAGTGGTGCTGTGGTTGTGGTTGTGGTTGTGGTTGTGGTCGTGGTCGTGATGTGGGAGAGGTCAGTGGGAGAGATCGAGAGCACCGGCACCCCTGTTCATGAGGGATTTCCGTTCCGTCCGATGTCTTCGATGGCGAAGTACATGATCGGGCGTGGTCTTAGATGTATTCCTGCCAGTCTGAGGTCACCACCGGCGCATATTTGGTGGTGTTGTCAGGCGTGGGAACGAGCCACCAGACGTCAACACGGTGGCTACCACAACCTGGATACATAGCTATATATACACATGTAACTAGTGTAATACGCTGTGACGACTGTGACTTGTGTCTACAACAGAGCGTACAATACATGCACATATACCAGATCGATTTTTTTGATATGGTCACAGCCACGTTCCAGAGCGCTGGACCGTTATATTTAATTATAACATCAAATCACGATTATATCATATAATAACCACATATCATTGAGCTATGCGAATACATATGGTATAGTGCAACGTAATCTAACGAGTGGGGTGGCTGAGTTCCCGTGTTTGGGATGTGGTTGATGTGCGTTGGGCGCGTGGGGTCTGTTGATCAAAGGTTAGATCAAAGGTGAGGTAAGCTAGGGGGGACAGACCCTGTTAATTTTGTGAAGCCGTACATGTTGAGTCGGCGGACAAAGCTTGAGAACTGTGGTGGTGTTAGTGAACGCACTGATAAAGCTTTGTGACAAAGTTGTTGGTGCCCATTGGTTTTCCGATGACGCCTAAACTTGGGCCTGTCGCGTTAGGTTTGCCGCCGCCTTTGTCTTCGCTGTCTTGGTCTGCCATAGAGTAACCAGCTGCGCCGTCAAGATCGTCATAAATGGCATTGATATCGATCCGATTCGGAGGCTGTGAGCTAGCTGGGGTGAGCGGACCTTGAGAAGAAGGTTCACTGAGGGGAGGTGGGATGAAGCCGTTGCAGTTATGATTGGGTGTGTTCCCCGTAGGAATGGGAGTTTGCGTGAGTATGGTGGGTGGGTGGAGGAGCAGTATTTGTGAGACTGCGTTTGCGTGGTACGCTCTTTTCTACACCTAGTTCGCTGAACGAAGTACTACACGCAAAGACAAAGTTAGATTACTGTAGACTGACCTGGGGGTGTGGGACTCGTAGTGCTGCCGAAGTCCGCGCCGAACCGAAAGCTAGGTTCAGGTTCAGCTGTTGGTCGAACTCTGGACCGAACGCCTCTGAACGCGTTCGGGAGGTCCGGTTCGCGTTCGAACCGGGTTCGACTGCAATATTGAGATGTTGCGTCGACGATGCCCACCACGTCCACCAAACCGTTCCCAACACCATGCGCAAACGCCCAGTGCACGTCAGCAACTGCTGACGTGGCTCAGACAAGCACGGACGATGGACGAGAGTAGGAGGAGGGAAGCAAACGAGCAGGAGAACCAGGGAGAGAGACGAGCAGGAAGAGTCGCACATGATGACGGTTGATGCTTTTGTAAGATTTATACCTATACAACAGTTTAAATCCGACCTCGGCAAGCAACACGTCACATACCAAGTCCACCAGCCTTGGTTGAAACAAGGAAGACTTGATATGCTAGACGATGTTCAGCCCAAGAATAATATGATTAAAAATAAGACCCTACAAGACTTTTCTTGTTGAAACTGCAGACAGTAGGCATCAGCGAGCAGCTAGTGAGACAAAAGAAGATCTCCCTCGTCCCTGACAGTAATTGCATGCGGAGACGCCATATACCGCTCGAGAGCGACATGAAAAGAGGGAACAGATTCTTGCTGGTCCTTAGGATGGCGTCGCTGGTCAAAAAGTAGAAAGAGTGTTCGAAAATAATGACAGCAGCTAAATGATTGAAAATCAGCATATTCACTGCAATGCGGCCTGAAGATTCACCAGAACCAAGCTGGCTCCACGGAGGATTAAAACACTGAAAGCCTGTGAGTGAGCGAGCAATGTCACAAGTGAGCAAGGCTCGAGCTCGACTGCAGAAGAACACACTCACATGCTGTCAACGTGGATCGGCAATTTCACCGGTCAGCAATGCTGGAGCTCGACAGAGGATCGATGCGCTCACATCCTGTGAACGGGTGGGCGATGTTTTCAGTAAAGCATGGCTCGAGACAGCTCGGATCAGCATGGCTCGAGCTCAAAGGAGGATCAAGAAACTCACAACCTGCGAATAGTGGACAACGACTGGAATCAGCATGGCTCGAACTCAAATGAGGACCAAGACACTCACATACTGCGAACAATGGGAAATGACCTGGATCAGCATGGTTCGAGCTCGAACGAGGATCAAGATAACTCACAGCCTGCGAATGGTAGTTAATGACTTGGATCAGCATGGCTCGAGCTCGAACGAGGTGGTGCGGAATGTGTGCGTCGCCAGGAGCGTTAATGGCACAATTTCTGAGAATAAGAGCTCGCGGTTTATGTTATTATTGGCAAGAGTAGTATCAGTATGAAGGGAAGGGACGCATATATCCACTCAATTTAGCACTCTTGTTGACGGTTGACCGACACGTCTTCGTCATCTGATATAACAGAGGAAGTCTTTGTTGAACCAGAAGTGGGAAATGTTTTCGGGAACATATACAATGGGGGCGTGGTGGGCGGGTGACGACGAGAATCGAGTGAGCAACGAGGAGTCAGAAGACAAGACGCGTAGATAAGATGTGTCGCGTCGCGGTTTAGGGTTCTCACTCGATTAGTAAGCACTTGTTTAAGTCGCGGCACTGGTGCAGGTTTTGCAAAGTGGCGCGTTTGTACTTGTGTGGTGTTTATACCTCCGACGTTTCCGTGTTCGCCTCTGCTCTGATCAACGCGTAGTGTTAGCCTAGTGGCCCTATATGTGTATAGAAGGTTAATGGTTGTCTTCCTTCTCTAGTGGCTGAAACGGAAGTTCGTTTTGCCGTTACAACCCTACGGTAAATTTTATCATGTTGGGTAGCCTACATAGTACACATAAGTAATACCATTGCCAGCTTATAACTATCATATAATGTCGCTACCATCTGACATCTACAATATAATCTCGCTGCCACTGTGGTTGAGCCGCATTTACCGTGATGTCATTGTGGGGAGTCTTTATAATGTGCCAATCTCATATGACGCGCGCATATACGGGGCCATAACACTCGATCGTGTGAAACGTTCTTAATAAGGTAATGTTACCTGTTGTGACATTTGGGCAGTTTTGGTGATGCGCAAGCGGCAAGCCTGCGCTAACTGTCTCTACCTCAACCATGCTTAACGTCGCCCTAAGATTGGCTCCACCAGGACGGCAGAGCAGTACATCATTCCAAGCATGTTGTGCATTGTGCAAGAGTGCGCATGACAGAGTGATGTGTGACCTGTAAGCGTTCCGAAATGTGGCAACTCATTTGACATCCTAAACTCGCCAGCCATCTCGGATCCTTGTTTTGAAATGACCGTCTCCTCCCGGCCTTTTGAACATATGGGGCTGCTTATTCCAATGTGACGAAATCCTTTCCTATATATTACGTTGTATGTCAATATTTTCTGTTCACCAGTTCTCTGCGGTCGCCCCCTACTCACTCTGTATCAAAAGCGGCAGAGAGTAGCATACAATCTGCCTGTTATTCAATTTCTAATATGTCAATCCTCACAATCCCGAAGCTTGCAAAGGAGCTCTTCTTGGAACCCATCATGATATCGATGAACAGCTTGGCCCTGTCTTCTCTCATGTCTTATGCCATGTCTGCCGATGGAAATATCGATTGGAGATCGGTATGTTCACTGATTAATACCAGAGAATATCGCTGATCCAATTGTCTTGACAGATAACCATCTGCGTGACAGCGGACATCCTTGCGATGGGGGGTGATCATCTGAAGGATAGAGAGGAAGAATTCTCGTCTGACCGCAATAACGAAACCAACCCACGTTGGTTTGTATATGCACGAACCTTCCTCAACGCCAATGCTGTGCTCCTTGCACTGGCACTATCTCTATGTCCACTTTTGACCCTCCTCACCACAGCAGCCTTCTTAGCCCCGGCCTTGCTCTGGAACACTCCAATCAGCTTCCAGAAGTTTGGGCTGATTTCGAGGCGCCTCTTCGGGAGGTTTGTTAAAGACAGTCACCAGCCTTCTACATCTGCGCCTATTCTGATTATCAAACGCATTCCTGGCATGAAAGCCATATTTTGTGGTATCATTCGAGGGTACGTCTGCATATTTGTCTTTAACGTTGTACGCGTATACCAATGCTTTTCAGATGTGGCATCTACACTGTTGTCCTCACCGTATTGTCGGGATCAGGAAATCTGGCTGACACGCTACTGTTTCCATGGAGTACTGCCCAACTGATAGTCTGGCCGACGGTCAACTGCGCATGCCAGGCAGTAAGTAGACAGTTTATGATCAAAGGATTTGACTTTGAATGATGTCTATAGGCTATGAATGATGTTCGTGATTTTGAAGATGATCTGAAGGCAGGAGTCCCCACCATACCCGTCCTTCTTGGATCCGCCCGCAAGGCGAAGGTCGTGTTAATGGCTTGTCATGTGCTTGTTATGTTGGCCTTCATCGAAAATCTATACATTATGGGAAGCTGCTTATTAGCCACAGCTCTGGTATGGATGCTTGACAAGCACTCGCCGAGAATGGCGTATGTGTTGAGTTCTCAATCGCAGTCCTTGGTCATTTTTTTGTACTTGTTGACGAGGGATACTTAGCCTTTCGCGTGTCAATGCCGCGTCCAGTTGAGCGGTTGCGCTATTCGCTTTCTTTACTCTCTGCCACGACGTCGAATTCGTCGTTCGTCACACTCCTCGCTCGCTCGCTCGTTCTGTCTGTCTTTACACCAGCCCACCACACTCTTTATTCTTTGTCGTATCATAGTTATCAGCTAGTACTTCGTTATTCAAGTGTTCCTACAGCTTGCTGCATCAGATTATAATTGCCTGCCCGAAGAGTCATATAGCATGGTCGAATTCGTAAGCTTGTGTTACAAGCTGTGTTAGAAGATTATAGGGCAAAGTGCTTCACCTGTATCCTTAATCTATTTGGTCAGCTATCTCCAGTACTCGAAATCTCTTGACCTGTCATCACAGAGGGAGCAATTCTATCAAACATTTGCGTGCAGCTGACAAAGTACCCAAGGAAGGTATTTTGCAAAATTTTGTATTTAAGGACCTAGTTGTCAATTGATGATGCCGTGGTGACGTTGTGGATGTTTGGGTCAACCCGATTTAGCATCCGGGGAAGGTCACTCTCGTCCATCAAGCACTGTCGGCACCATGCCCACGCTTGCGCCCACCCATCCTTTCCAAAATACAGAAAGCCTTCTTGTAGTCATTCCAGATGACGGAATTGACGTCGAAGCAGAAGCACGATTGTACGACGAGTTGTGTGACGTTCGTTTTTCCGCTCTTTGCCGTGCAAAATCTTCAACTGACCACCATCCAGGACCAAGTATCCCTTCCCCAATCCACCCACCCCAAATCCCCTCAAGGGCCACCTTCAATTTTCTCGCGTGACATCTGGCTAAACGACAACTCAGGCACGAGTCTCACTTTTGCCCGAAACGTGCATATCGCGGGGTGGACGAGCGTAGGTGATAAGCTCGGTGGAGCATATGTCGTGTATGATTGTGTGATTCGCACCAAAGAGGTCCGCATGTCTTGTATGTTGTATCTCAGATCCGAGGTGACCATGAATAGGGTACTACTATTCACGCACATAAGCGGTATAACGATTTTGCAGTGTTGCACGATGCTCTGAAACATTCATTACCTGTGCGTCTACCCCTCGTTCTCCTTTAACAACATCTCAGTACTCATTAACCCCGGCAGAAACATCAACACCATTTCATCCCTGCCCTCCCCCCGAAATCCCCCTTCTCGCGCTACCGAGCGGCTTTCCTCGATCGTCGCCGGAGACAACTACAGTACTGGCTCTCCGCGGTTCTCCTACACCCCGAGATTGGTGCATGTCAGGCTGTTAGGTGGTGGGTTATGGATTAGTTGTCCATTATGCGTGATATTTTGTACGCGGACGGCGCTATGAGGTGAGCTGCGACGGTGCGGACGATATCTTTCTTTATTGCTGTTTATTCCGGATACTACCTTACTTACGATCTACTCTGCGTATGATAACTCATTAGACTAAACACACTCCACGCCCGCCTTTGGCACGCATGGTTCCTCGTGTTCGTTCATCAGCAACCGAGACGATATGCAGATGTGCTATGCCTTTTTCTGCCCATTCCAGACCGTTGATTCAAAATTGTGATGGATGAGATCATGAACTTTTCAAGAACACCAGGTCACTTCTCTCGGCAACCGGGTCAATCTACCGCCAGTTCACAACCCGTCATCCGGGATCGACCAGCGCTTAGATACCGGTATCTAAGTTGGTTTCTCGACATTCGAAGAATCGGGTCTATTCGACACTAGTGTTGGTTTTTCAACACATCCCGTGATAGTCTTTCGTGACACAGGAGAGCTCACCGAGGCGTCCTTAAAGGTGACGCGAGACGCAAGTGCCCAGGCGCTTATGATAACAGCCTCATGCCTTAGGCGTCTGACCATACTCTAAAAACGCCCAGAGCGTGCACCTCTGCAGCTCCGCCCACCATCCCTCTACCAAACTATCACCCCGGCCCCAGTCAAATGATGCAGTTCATTTCAAGGACCCACGCGTTTGAGCGTTCAAAGATCACGGTAGAGCAGTACTCGCAGTCGCAGTATTCCTTGATAGACGACGTACGGTCACAGGCTCGTACAACAAGATACATCGTCTGTGGGACTTGAAGACAGGTGAAGAACTTGGTGGGGCATCACAGTGAGGGGTGCTACGAGATGGGTAATTGATAAGTAGCAAGCGGCGATGGGAGCGGGGAGATCACGGAGAAACAGATACTCAGACTCTCTCACGGAAGCCATGTAAGCCCACTTCAACCGAATTTACGCATTAAACCTTTCTCTGAGATCAGGTGGAATAGTGCTCGCGACTTGTTCATTGGACCGAACGACGAGGCTGTGGGCACGAAAACATGGCAGATGTCACTACTACACTCGATTGGATTTCCTTGCTACAGAAATCCAATCGAATGTGGTAGTGAGGTTTACTGCGTATAATATTTCGCTGTCTGATGAGTGTTTTGTGATTGCAACAGACAGTAATATCAAAGTTTATGACCCAAGCTTGACCCAGGCACGAGGGAATGCACTGGAATGTACTGCATACAACTTGTCGCTCGCATGGACGCCCGATGGCACGCGATTTCTCTTAGACTGTCAGCGGGCGATGAACATGATCCTACCATACAGGAGTCACAGTGGGAGTCGTTGACAGGTCGGTGATATCATCTACATCATAGCCGTATGTTCATGCTGCTGACATCCTCTCAGATCAGCGAACCATCGCCATCTTCCAGCACTCTGCTTCTCCGGCTTATAGCATTGTGTATCCTTGTGCGCGGCTGAGGATTTGAGGTACATTCCTGATTCTCGGCGCCTTCGTCATCTCATTTTGCGAAAGGACACTTTGCCGAAGGATGCTCAAAACCACAAGGTGGAAATCCCTATAACTTGGCATTTATTTCCGCCTTCATCTTCGTCCACACCAACCCCCGATATCTAGGGCTCAAGTCTCTAATTCAAAGGCATGTTTCATGCAGATCCTCGCTATACATACAACCGGCTACGTGAGCTACCTCTATCACTACAGAGGTTAGGAAAGCTCTTTGGGTCGCATCTGCAAAGTTGTAGCGACGCATATGTCCAGGCGCTTATGATAACAGCCTCGTGTTCTGGGCATCTATTGAAACACGAGGTGGGCCAATGCAGTATTAGAGTAAGATACCCACGATCCCTCTAGCAAGCCCACCTCGGCCTCCAGTAAAATGGTGCGCCTCATTCCAAGCTTCACGCCTGTTCGAACGTTTGAAGATCATGAAGTAGGCGTCCACTCAGTCGTAGTTTTCCCTGATGGACGCCGCATGGTCTCTGCCTCGTGTCACGAGACGCTTCGCCTATACGATTTGAAGACTGGTGTTGTGTCGAAGAAGATGGAAGGGCATCGCGAATCAGTGTGGGCATTAGCAGTATCACGAGATGGGAAATTTATCGCAAGTGGTGATCAGAGGGGAGAGATCATCGTCTGGCATGGAGGAACTGGGGAATCTGTCACCCAAGCTATCAAAGCCCACACTCATGTGATAATGTCACTGGACTTTTCTCCCGATGGTACGGCGCTGGCTACTGGTTCATTAGACAACACAACGAAGCTGTGGTGTACGAAAATATGGCAGACACAAGGAATTGAAATCAGGAGCACTAGTGGTGGGGTCCGCCGTGTTCGGTATTCGCCTTCTGGCGAACTTCTTGCCATCGTAACAAACGATGATATAGAAATTTACAATCCGGGCACGAGGCACTTCGTTGCATACCTCAGGGGTCGTTCTATAGCATGCGCATGCAACTTCTCTCTCACGTGGACGCTCGATGGTACACGCCTTCTTTCAGGAGCCTCAGGGAGTGATCCCAGCATACAGGAGTGGGACGCATCAACCTGGAAGCAGGCCAGTGATCCCTGGACGGGCCATACTAGCGCAGTGCACGCCATCGCCATTCATCCTGCTGGCGCCCTCATCGCTTCCGCATCTGGTGACAACACCGTCCGCCTCTGGCGGTTCTCAGATCGACGAACTATCGCCATCTTTCAGCACTCCGCTGACGTGATGTGCGTAACCTTCTCCACAGATGGCAAGCACATCATCAGTGGTGGTCATGATAACAAGATCTCAGAATGGGTAGTACCTGATGATGCTTTGCTGGTGGATGCTCCCAAGTCAAAGGTATTTTCTTATTGATATCACCCCCCTTCGTCATCTCATCTCGCGTCTTTTCGATTTCAAGGTTCGAAACTCGGATTCAAAGGTATGTGTCTACCCTTAACTCATCATGTAATTCGAGCATTTTTCATGCAGAATCCAGTTCATCGCCATCACCACGACCGCCCGCAATGCGTGTGTCACAGGGGACTTGTCTACCGCTGAAGAGTCACTCACGCAAGAGATTGACGCGGATGCCAACAACCACACATCGTATGCTAATCGTGCGTTTGTTATGGCACGCAAACTCGACTGGGACGGCGCTCTTCAAGATGCAGTTAAGGTGGGATATACCGACTCATCATGGACCCCTTGAGGCTGACGTTGATCGTGGATAGTCCATCGGCATCAAGCCCTCGTTAATAGGCTATATTTCCAAGGGCATCGCCCTTTGCGGAAAAAAGCAAATTCGGGACGCGATGAAAGCTTTTGACCTCGCATCTGTGTCTGCGAACGGAGATTCAAAGACGACTCATTTCCTTTTATTGATCAAGGTAGGTTACAGTTTTGTTGCATATTCCGCGCTTCACGGTTACACGTTTCAGGCTATCGCACTGTTCAATGCAAATGAACATGAGGACGCAGTCCAGCGCGTCCAAGAGCTATCCGTCGATTTTCCCGATATCGATCCTCTTGCTTGTCGTGTTGTAGAAGTGAGTATCATGCACTCAATAAAGTTGAGGTTCGCGTTCTGACACTGATTTATTCGTGCCCTGTAAATCAGGCCTATTTTTCTGTTCAATTGGGAACTATTGCCTTGGATGGTTTGTATCACAACGAGGCTGTTGACCACTTCACTGCCGCTGTCAACGCTAGCGCTGGATTTTCTAATTCAGCAATTCACTTGATGTACGAGGAATTGGTCGTGGTACGTAGATGTGATGCAACCGGAAGTCCCTTTCATGCGAAACTGCGCATTTTTTGCAGCTTTTCGGGTGGGACCTCAAGACATTGTGGCAAATCGCAAATAGGCAACAGTGCCTTGCACTCATTCGGGCAGGTAGACTTGCAGCAGCACTGGAGTCGTACCGGTCCATGATGGACGCGAGTGATGAAGCTACGAAGGGTCGCTTACGTGCTTGGTTCTCAGTTGGTGAGTCTTTTCAGTAATGACACCCATGCTACCGTCCTCGATTGCTTTTCACTCAGCTCTCGAGTAAGAATGTAGGGCGCTACATAGTGCCAACAGAGATGCAGCCCTCGCCGCGAGCGGTTGCATATGCATTTGAGACACGGAGATCTTTTGTGGAGTTACGTCTACATTTCCTGTATTCCTTTGTACTCGTATCATATCCTTCAAAGCTTCCCAGTCATCGTTGATTAATCAAAGTCCAATATCTCGATGCCATCATTCGAAGGCAACATCCCCCCATCACATGTTCCTTGTATCTGCCCCAGGCGGCCCCACCCAAACTAAACCGTACACTAAACAATTTCCTCTCTAGCCTGCATATGCCGCCATTTTAATAGTTGATATGGTCTAATGTGCGTGGTTCTCGATCTCTGCCCAATCCTCTGTTTTCAAGAGTCAAGACATTTGAAAGTTCTGAAGACCAAGCGTGAATAGTACAGATTGACAGCTGTCTTTCTCGACCCTCCCAACAGAAATCAGGCAAAGGCGGTAACCAGTAATAAATACCGACCCGCAACTGATGCATATGATTAGTGCCGCTGAACATGAGATCTGACGGAGTGGAACAAACCAGTTCCAATGACTGAATATCGATCAAATTTTAAGCCACACCAGCAAGAGTTTGCTAATTCTTGAGAAGGAAGCCCCACAACCGTCTGGATTCGCAATAAGAACATTCCAGGGAACAGAAGGTCGACACGTCACCAGACTGAATACCACATCTATGGCTATGATGAACGTAATCGAAGTTGAAGGGAACAACGCATGGCTAATTCAGTCAACCATCATGTTTCTTCTATCTGTCGCATTGACCACAAAATGAACGTGAACAGTGACCAGGGCAACTTCTTCAATACTTATTCATGTGGTCGTAATAGTAGCGTGTTCCAGTAAGGCTGTAACTACGCGGGAAGGGAGTGTCCTTGCCTTGGGACATGGTGGAAAATGAAAGGCTGTTGTTGTGGCGGTCGGGGTTGAGCTTGAAAAACAATTGCCAAACATTGTGCTGTCTGCGATTGAGGATTGGATTCCCATAATGTTCAACAGATCGTCGGTCATGCCATGAGGATAACACGTAGACGATAAGCAGCCTCATGTCTTGGGCGTCTGACTCCTGCGAAGCAAGATAAAATCGCCTAAGACACGCACCTCCGCAGCTTCACCCACAATCCCTCTACCAAGTCCACTTGAAGCATGCCCAGCAACACCAGCCCTAATCAAATATCGCAGCTCGTTCCGAGCACCAAACCCAACCGAGAGTTTCAAGATCATGAGGCCGCCGTAACTGCAGTTGCAGTTTTTCCCGACAAACAACGTATGGTCACCAGCTCAAAAGACAAGAGGGTTCGTCTGTGGGACTTAAAGACAGGTGTGGTGTTGAAGAAAATGTTGGGGCATCGCAGCGAGGTGTTGAGATTGGCGGTTTCACGAGATGGACAATTGATAGCAAGCGGTGATGACAAAGGAGAGCTTATCGTCTGGCACGGTGAAACCCCTGCCCAATGCATCCAAGCCCACTCCAGTCAGATCAATGCGTTGGACTTTTCTCCTGATGGTACCGTGCTGGCAACTGGCTCAGGCGACCCCGATACAAAGTTGTGGAACACGAAAACATGGCTGCTCGAAGGAAAACCACTTAAGAATGATTATTCCCCCAACTGCGTTCGGTATTCGCCGTCAGGCGAACTGCTTGCAATTGCAACAAACCACAATATCGAAATTTATGATACACGCACTAGGAGATGTGTTGCACAATTGAAGGGTCACACTGCAAAATCACCCATGTTGATGTCACTGGTGTGGACGCCCGATGCTACGCGCCTTCTATCGACGGGAAGCGATCGAGTCCAATACAGCATACGGGAATGGGATGCATTGACATGGGAGCAGGTTGGTGACCCCTGGAACGTCCAAGCCCGTATCAAAGTCATTGCTATTCATCCTGCTGGCACGCTCGTCGCTTCCGCACACCATGACAACGACTGCGTCCACCTGTGGTCGCGGTCGGATCGACGAATCATCGCCACCTTCGAGCACTCCAGCGTAGTGGGGTGCGTCACCTTCTCGATGGATGGCAAGCACATCCTCAGTGGAGAAGACGATCGGAAGGTCTCGGAGTGGGCAGTACCCAAGGATGCTTTACCGGAGGATGTTACCAACGAAGAGGTATTTTTCCCTTGATTTTCCGGACCTTCATCATCTCATCTCACACATTTTTGATTCAAAGGCTCAATGCTTTGATTTAAAGGCATGTTTCCAACCTTGGCTTGTATATCACAATTCGAACATGCCACCACTTTCATGCAGATCTTGACTATCGACACAACCGTCCGTAGTGCATGCGTCACAGGGGACTTGACCACCGCTGAAAAGCTACTCACGCAAGAGATCGACGCTGATGCGAACAATTATACCTCCTATGCTAACCGTTCATTCGTTATGGCGCGACAACTCGACTGGGACCGCGCACTTCATGATGCAAGCATGGTGAGTACACTGGCATTGTCCCAACACACACATCCCTATCATAGGCTAACATTGGTTTTAACGTAGTCCGTTAATATTAAGCCTTCGTTGGCAGCCTATATCTCCAAGGGCATCGCCCTCTGCGGGAAGAAGCAGGTCCGAGATGTGATGACGGCATTTGACCTTGCGTTCACATCCACCGACGGAGATTCAAAGACGACGCAATATCTGTTCTTGATCAAGGTACTTAAGCAAATTTCCGATTTAGATTCAATGCTTCATTACAATTTTCAGGCTATCGCAATGTTTAATGCAAATAACCATGAAGAGGCAATGCTCTTCGTCCAAGAGCTAGCTGCCCGACCCAATGCTGATCCTCTCGCTTCTCGAGTCGTGGAAGTAAGTATCATGCACTCAACAAGCCCAGGTTCGTGTACTCACTGATTTTTTTCTGCACTTCGCACATCAGGCGTATTTGCGAGTCCAGCTGGGAACCATTGCCATGGATAGTGCCCTTTACAAAGAAGCTGTTGACCACTTCACTGCCGCTGTCAACGCTAGTGCTTTCTTTTCTAAATTGAACATTCATTCGATGTACGAGGACTTTGTCGTGGTACGTTGATATGACGCGACAAATCGTATTCATGCTCATCTCTGTGCTTATGCAGCTCTTCGGCTGGGACCTCAAGTCCTTGTGGCAAAACGCAAACCAGAAACGGTGCCAAGCACTAATTCGGGGAGGTCAATTTGGAGCAGCACTTGAATCATACCGACACATGATGGACTTGAGCGACGAGCCCACGAAGGCCAACTTCCTTTCTTGGATCCCTGGTAAGTCTCCAGTAAGTCTCCCGTACTATGATCCTCACTCGTATTTCCTTCAGCTCTCAATGAAGAATGGAGGGAGATCTATGTTGACAATGGGAATCCTGCATAGAGCGGCTGCTCATGCATCTTGAAACGCGGAAATTGAGTAGTTTTCATTTGTACCTCGACATTACTTGTACACACAAATTCCTGGACTCGTATCGTATGCTGATTGACAACAGGAAAGACCATCTACAATGCAGGCTGTCATCATGAAAATTAGAAAAGCCCACTATACATCGAAAATAGGTTCCGGTACAATAACTATAATCGTAAATCAGCAGGATCTCCAATACTACATTAGATGATTACAACATATTGATACTCATTATGCCCAACGCCCCAGGAGTGCCATGACCCCGCATCCAAAAAGCATGCATGAGATGGCATAGGCAACGCGTCCGTTAGACCCGGTGATCATTTCTTCATTGAAGATAAACTCGTGAGCAATAAGCTGTATAAAAATGATGAGTGTTCGGGCTCCAATTACATCACTAAGAAATACAACATACCTCAACAAGACCAGTATACAACAGGATACCCGCACTCAGCGAGTCGAGCACTCCACTCACGATGGAGGCGGTTGAACTGCCTGGGTTGTACGTGCTTTTAACGCCAAGCCCAACTGCAATACCTAATGGTGTCGTGATTCCGTACAAAAGCGCGGCACAAATAGTTACATGTTTGTACTTCGGAGGAAGTTGTAAGTGAGCAAGGCGAGTACCAATTCCAAGGCCCTCAAAGGTTTCTGCAGTATCATATCAGTCTAACAGTAATTTATAGATGCTGGGATTACTCACGGTGAAATATAATGACAACAAACAGGATTTTGAAGCCCGGATCGACCGCCAGAGTCAGACCAATGAGTATACTTCACAAAAAGTAAGTATGAGTTAATCATTGGACGCGAGTTAAGGGATATCACACCTATGCAACAATACGCCAAATTCTAGGATGAACACACCGATGATCTGCCCTGCAGCACCAAGATCCAGGCGCGTATGATTGTGGGCAGATTCTAAATCCTCATGGATCTTCTCACACTGAAGTGAGTCGTTATCCGGTAAGCTCCCTCCCTCAGGTCCATGTGCAGCGTGTCCGCCGAAACCGTGACCATGTGTGTCTGTTTCGGAATAAGGGGAGCCTCGACATGCGATGAATCCAAAACGCACCGGGCTTCACACCGAGGGCTGCCAGTTTGGTCGTACCCCACCTGAAGGCCACCAACTCAACAATAAAAATTGAAAATATGCTGAGCATGGCTAATGCGAGCGGATAGGGCTGTGATATACGACATGTAAGTAAGTCATAATACTCCTTGCAGAGACTTTTCTTACATACAGCTGCCAAGCCGGCGACAAGCATGGAGATCCAAGCTCACTGATAGCGGGGCTAAGGAGGTGAATAAAAGCTGTAGCTATCTGCGTAAATGTGAACGACCGATCCAATCGATGAGATGATGGAACGCACGATGACACCAGAACCGAAGAACTTGGCAAAGCTACAGGATTCACGTCAGAACGCCAGTGCATGCATTCACATTGGATAATTAATTGCTCACTCAAAGACGGGTTTGGGAACGTGAAGCCAGTTTGTCCGTTTAGCAAGCACTGGAAAAAGTGCGCCGCTAATCGATCCGATGAGGATGATGAAGACCGATGCTACACGCAACTGTGGATATGTGGTCGCGCCTCCACCGGAACCGCAATTTAAGTCCGACATAAATTGAGGTGAAGTCACCGTCCAAGATTTTTGCGGGTCAGGGAGAAAAATCAATACCCTGGGAGGAATTTAGCGGTGCTTGTGAACATTAAATAACTCCTCTGATATGACTGGGGGGTCCTCAGGGCATCGGACCTTCTGATGCGGAACGGCTTCTGACCATTTACAATGAGGAGTTTGTTAACGACGTTGCAGTATCACAGCTAGCAATGATCGCATTTGGGTCATACGGAAATGATTCTATTCGTCCTTCGCAGTCGAATCATTGAAATTCAATGTCATAGATCTCAACACCGCGTTGAGCTTCCCCGCGGTGCATCACATGTTCCTGTCATCGTGAATCCTGAGCCTCACTCAAATTGGACCATCCCTAACTGAACCAGACGTGCCTTCATGGAACATGCACTCCACTGACAGCCACAGCTGACCAGTGTTTCAGTTCTGAGGCTCTGCGTTACGAGCATATGTACTTTAAAGCTTAAGCATTTAACATGTTACTCTCAGTAACTAATTTTAGATCACAACTCCGTCCCTATCCACCAATGGTGGGAAGGAGCCTGGAGGCGCCCTCGAATTGCTTCCAGCCGTTCATATCATGATAGAAGGTGTAGATATGGTAGAATTGACTGTGTCTAAACAGACAACGCATACAGATATCGTAAAGTGTCTAATCTTGATGCTTCGTATGTGAAAACTTACAAGACTAATCCTTCTTCCGCTCAGCTCCGCATGCTAATACACTATACACCCAAAAAAATAATTTAGAAAAAGAAGGTGGAAAATTGTTGGAGGGGATCACTTTACCCCCACTGCCTTCTAACGCAGCAATGATAAGAGCAGTGGTCCACGGTGTCGCAGTAACAATAAACCAACAAGCCACCCACGCATACCCCACTATCCGCGCCCCTTTCGTCTCCTTCACTCCCGCACGCCGAGCAGCAGCTATAACCATATCCTCAAACGTGATGATCAATGCCTGATATATGAAGAAAGGGAACGAAATTCCGAGGCGAGAGGAGTTGATCACTGCATCACCTCCTAAATGAGCAATGCCGGAGATGAAAAAGGCGGTGTAAAGCTGAGTGTAGGACGATCCGTTTGTTCCGCGTTTGAAGCCCAGAAATGATGCCATTTTTTGGCCAAAGGGGGTCAGAAACTGATCCGATTGAGCAATAAGTAATAGCCTCCCTGTAGTCAGACAATACTCACGCGTCGGCAGAGTTGGTGCCAAGTTCGACTGTCCAACAGACATATAACTAAGTATAGACCACGTGCAAGGCAAATCACTTACCCCCAGAATCGTCTGATCGTATACGCATCCTCCCATTTACCAAACCAATAGGGCCAAGAACTTGGCTCAGACGACGTGCAACTTACAACAAGAGCCGCTGTCAATGAATGGATTGTGGCACCCACGCAATACTGCAACACAAGAAATGCGCCGCAGGTGAGAAGGCGGGGGACGAACGGTCGGGATGCGAAGGCTGCAGCAGACTGATACTCCGGTTCATGCCTCATGTAGAATAGTGCAATGTTAAACCACAGGATGTGCTTGGCTGCGTTCATCAAACGCGAACGGATAAATTCTTGTCTTGATGGTGCGGATTGCCCAGACAGGTTTTTAATCTACAAATGAGAATGGTGAGGCTTGTGAACGATTAGTGCTTCAGGGAAAAATTACCTGATGATCCCAACCCACTCCTCTGGGCGAAGCGCACAATTGCGAGGCCCAAGCAAACCTCTTGGACCAAGGCAGTTCATGTGCTGACCCTGTTTGCTTCTGATGACGGAAGGTGTGAAGGGGTTGAACCAGTAATGTCAAATGTATGGCATCCATAGCAAGAGCAGCGATTGTCGTGCCGAAGGAATAATCGTAGATCAGAATATTAGTCTTAGCATGCCGGATACAAGCCAGGCAGACGAAGATAATCGTGGCGCAAGTGGCAACATTCCATGGAGCCCGCACGTTCAATGATATGCCGAACTGTAGGACGAAGGCGGGGATCTGTGTGCAGATGATGGGTACGAGTAGATTCATGGCGAGCTGTAGACTTACTTCTGTGGGACTCTCGAGTTCTTTATAGGCTCGTAGCCCGCGACAAGTATCGTGTATCTACTTTGCGTTTCTGGCTAATCTGGTCAAGCGTGCCGCGGACCTAATGTGCCCATCCACCACGTCAATGCTGCATCAGAGATTCTGTTGTCGGAAGAAAAAGGAACATGCCTGTGCCTAGAATTGTACACGGTAATACTGAGATTAGGCGTGGAAAGCCCCTTGGGTTCGCCGAGCAATTGTACACGGTAATACTGAGATTAGGCGATCTTCGCCAGTGACGGTAGTGGTGACACGGTGAACCAGATCACTGTCTGTTGCCTCAGAGATAGAACTAGGTAAGGAATCACAGAGCATCGGAAGTTTATCAATGGGGACACAGAGTTTTGCTAAATCAGCACTCTCGCAATCAGCCTGAGACATGCTTTGTGAGGTTTGCAGTGCGAGGATGCGGTAAGGGCAAGGTGCCCGGATAAATCTTGGTTAAGAGAAAATTAAAGGAAGCCCAGTGACTGCTGTATCTGTGAGAATATATATTAATCAACAGAAGTTCGACAAGAACCACTGAACTGAATAGAACTTATCTATGGTTATGAGTCTGATGTCAGCCCGAGGTTTAAGGGAGAAGCACATGGCAAATTAGGTCAACCATGCATGTTTTTTTTTAATCTTCCGCACTGACCCCAGGCTGCAATGAAGGTGAAGAGTGACCAGCATAATGTCAGTTAACTTTCCTGGAGTATGCATGTCGTCATCCTAGCACTTGGGATAAGCCAGTAATTGAACGCATAGACTCAGCTTTGGACAATCGATTATTGATACCTATGTGCAGGGGTGCAGGGAGTTGTACGATCAAGCAAGACGCAAGTGCTGACAATCATTGGGAGCATTAATGCTGAATTCGTGCCTTACCCCATATATCCTGACGGTATGGCCCCGTAATATGGTAGCTGTAACCGTACCATCAAACTTTCAGGCTTCAAATTGACGGATACGGCGTGCCAGTAGTTAGGATCTACCTGTACATGACCGTATGCGCATGGCCATAATTGGGGGTACGGTACAGAGCCAGAAAGTGTGGGATTTGGCCTTTGGCGTAACTTGAAGGTCTACGTAGATCTAGACTGGACACAGACTCCATGACAACCTTCCACAAGTCTCTCGGTTCGTCTACCCGTCGTTTTACGTCATATCTTTACTATACCAACTGGCATGCCCCTCCCAGTCCCGCCCTCACCTCCTGCAAGACAACAAAGCGGCTGAGATTCTTTTTTCTATGGATGAAATGTACATCTATCGGTGTCTGGCTTTCACATCTCCCACTGCCCTTCACATTGTCCGGTTGCCAAGTACGTTTTGAGAGGCTGACACGGCTGCACGGGATAGTGGTCGTGATGCTAAGATAATCCCTTTCCGACCAAGCTGCCTGGACTCTGGAGCAGACTTTCCCTACCGAGTTTCCAACTCCTTGGCGTTCACCTCTTGTCTTGATACTAATATTGTGTTCCGATTGGTTCCAAAGAGACTCGGACATGCCTGGGATTACCGCAGCAAGTATCAAAGGGATATGACAGGTTAAGAAAGGCACCACTGGCGCTGTCTTGCTCATGATTAACCCTCGCACGAAACACATTACGTCCGACGTTCTTGGGAAGCTCGCGAGCATTAAACTTCTCCTTCTGTGCACGCATCTCGTGACGAAGGTGTTTTATCGTCCTGCCTTCTCCTCGTACCTCTCAGATACAAGTGAGTGCATTATCCCATCTGAAAGAAAACGATTAGTATAATAGTGATACAGGTACATGCGGTGAAGAGATCACCACGACTTCCTAGCTTCTGCGCCCACAACGTGCAGGAACTCTTGAAGCAAGGGCTTCGATGAGATGGTGGAGCCACACACAACTGGATTAGCACACCACGGATGCAAGACGGGGCATTGCTTCACCCCTCTGTTCGAACTTTTACACGTCGGTCACCGTCATAACACACGAATGGAGCCATCTTAAGAACACACGGGTGAATAATTGTGAGTGCAATCATGCTGCCGTCAGGCTGTCTCAAGTTTATCTGACCACAGCCTCAGTGATCGTGAGTGGAGGTCAAAGCGGCTAACCTTGTGTCTCTTGTATGAGGTTAGACGTGAGGCAGGCTAAGTTATAACGCTGCGAAGCAGCTAAAATACGCCTGGTAGTGCACACACCCTTCTGAAGGCATGCCAGCAGTTGCGGTCTTCCCCGATGGACAACGCATGGTAATAGGGTCGGTGAACAGGACACTGTATCTGTGGGACTTGAAGCTTGAAGTACGATGTCGTGTTGAATACAATGAAGGGTCATGGCAAAAGGAAGTGGTCAGCAATGGCGCTGACACGAACGGACAATTGATAGCAAGCAGTGAGGACGGTGGAAAGGTTATCGCCTGGGACGGAAACTTCACTAGCGAATCTTTCCTCCAAGCGCCTCCGACTCATTGAAGCCCACTCCCGATTGACCACCACACTTTCTCCAGATGACGTGGTGCTAGCGACTGGTTCGCAGGACAAAACGACGAAGTTGTGGAACACAGACATGACAGCTACTAAGAAATCCCTTGCAGCAATTATCAAGACATGCGAGACCTTCGGTGCCTTGCACTAATTTGGGGATTTGGAGCAGCACTCGAATCATACCGATACATGATGGACTTGAGCGCTGAGCCCGCGAAGGTCAACGGCCTTGCTTGGATTCCTGGTAAGTCTTCAGTATGTCACCCGTGCTACGATCCTCCTTCCCTCAGCTCTCGATGAACGGAGGGAATTGTTGCCAATAGTATGCAGCCCTAGCAACGAGTGGCCACTGGCTGCTCATGCATCCTGAACCACCGAAATTGAACAATAATCATTGGGCCGTTCTTCTCCTGTTCTTCTCCATCTGATTTTACGTATGCTATCCGTCGCTCTTCGCTCGTATCCTCACTCGTGACACTCGTACAGTTGACGATCAAAATACCTGATCGTCGAGCTGGGCTTCCAAGATTTCAGCCGTACAGTTTATAGTCTAGAAGCATTTACCAAGAATGTCTTGACAAATTGTATGGTGCACGAGTCGATAGTGTATTGCATAGATTATTAAAGTAGCATTTGGAGCGTCAAAGTCAAACTCTATCTACCATATGTAAGGATGGGACGAGTGCTTGGTCAGGGTGGGGGGAGGAGGGGAGGTGGGGAAGGAGGGTTGTGTTGTCCAAAAATAAGCATAGTTAATTAGCTATAGGTGTTTTTTCCCCTCAAAAGAACTAGTGGAAAGGGTGCCGGTGAAACATTACACTATACACCCAAAAAATTGGAGGGGATTACTTTACCCCCACCTTCTAACTCAGCAATGATGAGAGCAGTGGTCCACGATGTCCCAGTAACAATAAACCAACAAATCACCCACGCATACCCCACTATCCGCGTCCCTTTCGTCTCCTTCACTCCCGCACGCCGAGCAGCAGCTATAACCACATCCTCAAACGTAATGGCCAATGCCTGATATATGAAGAAAGGGCACGAAATTCCGAGGCGAGAGGAGTTGACTACTACATCACCTCCTAAATGAGTAATGCTGGAGATGAAAAAGGCGGTGTAAAGTTGAGTGTAGGACGATCCACTAGTTCCACGTTTGTAGCCGAGAAATGACGTCATTTTTTGGCCAAAGGGGGTCAGAAACTGACGCGATTGAGCAATGAGCGATAGCCTCCCTGTAGTCAGACAATACTCACGCGCCGGTAGAATTGGTGCCAAGTTCGACTGTCCAACAGACAATATGATAAGTAAAGACCACGTGCAAGGCAAATCACTTACCCCCAGAATCGTCTGATCGTATATGCATCCTCCCATTTACCACACATTTCGGGCCAAGAACTTGGCTCAGACGACGTGCAACTCACAATAAGAGCCACTATCAATGAATAGACAGCTGCACCCATGCAATACTGCAACACAAGAAATGCACCACAGTTGAGAAGGCGGGGGACGAACGGCTGGGATGCGAAGGCTGCAGCAGACTGATACGCCGGTTCATGCCTCATGTAGAAAAGTGCGATGTTAAAACACAGGATATGCTTGGCTGCATTTATTAAATGCGAACGGACAAATTCTTGTCTTGATGATGCGGAGTGCTCAAGCAGGTTTTTAACCTACCAATGAGAATGGTGAGGCTTGCGAACGACTAGTGCTTTAGGGTAAATTTACCTGATGATCCCAACCCACTCCTCTGGGTGAAGAGCACAATTGCGAGGCCCAGGCAAACCTCTTGGACCAAGGCAGTTCGTGTGCTGACCCTATTTGCTTCTGATGACGGAAGGTGTGAAGGGGTTGAATCAGTAATGTCAAATGTATGGCATCCATAGCAAGAGCAGCGATTGCCATGCCGAAGGCATAATCGTAGATCAGAATATTGGTCTTAGCATGCTGGATGCAAGCCAGACAGACGAAGATAATCGTGGCGCAAGTGACAACATTCCATGGAGCCCGCACATCCAATGATATGCCAAGCTGTAGGACAATGGCGGGGATCTGTGTGCAGATGATGGGTGCAAGTGGATTCATGGCGAGTTATAGACTTACTTCGGTCACAGTAAAACTCTTGAGTTCTTATAGGCTCGAAGACCGCGACAAGTATCGTAGCATCCACTTTGCGCTTATAGCCGATTGTGTGCCACGTACCTAATGGTTGTGTACGGGAGTAACTTATAGGTGATCATCGATCAATGTTGGAGTAACTTGGCGATCTCTATTCCAAAATGACGTTGTCGTTTGGGACCCCGAGCACCGCTCCGTGCTAAACCAGTCCCAAATCCTTTCGGCCTGCAGCGCCAACACTTGCAGTCTTCAAATACATCAGCAGTATTGCTAACCCTCGTGATTCATGCTCCTAACCCTCAGTAGGCCTGATCCTTAACATTCATAGAACTTCTGACCCTTTCCACAGAGTACTAATTACAGCTGTTTGCAAAAAGGTTGACAGTAGCGACATTTTGAGAATGAAAAAAACAAAAAATAATAGATGCGTACATAGAGTCAAATAACACGTACATGTACTTGCATGCTTGCATATGTGCGCATATACTCACAACAATGGACTCGATATTCACGGACAGATGCCAGAAGATGACAACATGCTGCAGTCTGAAGATTTATTGCTGCGAGTTTGACATCGCGACTGATTTTGCGGTCAATTTGTGATGTCTGTAGGTGGTTATTATTTATTTGTTTGTTTATTCTGAAAATGTCGCTACTGTCAACCTTTTTGCAAACAGCTGTAATAGCGGTCCCAAACGACAAAGAATTGAGTTTGCAATAAAGGAAGTCCAGTATCTGTGAAGATATTAACCAACAGAAGCTCGACAAGAACCACCGAACTGAATGGCCACTGACAAGTTCGTTGTCACGCAACGGATGATTGATAGCAAGCGCTTAGCGGTGAAGACGGTGGAAAGGACATCGCCTGGAACGGAAACTTCACGAGCGAATCTCTCATCCAAGCACTCATAGCCTACTCCTGATCGACCATAATGTCGCGGTGCTAGCGGCAGGTTCGCAGGACCAAACGACAAAGCTGTGGAACACAGACATGGCAGCTACTAGGAAATCCACTTAAATGTGGTGATGAAGTCTACTACGGTCGTTATTCGCAGTCATCGCGAGTTACAGAAAAGGAATGGAATCAACATGGAATCAACACACGAGGGATGCATCGCAAAGTTCGAGCGCCACGCTTCTGCCCGACAAACCTTTACCTCGGCACTCGCACGGACGCCGGATGGCACACGCCTTCTCTCAGTGACCTTTTGTAACGATTCCTACAGACGAGAGAAGAACCCCAAAGATATCGGAGTGGAATTTCACCATACGGGAGTGCCATTGCCGTGATTAATCATGTCAGCTCTCTGGCAGCTCTCGGAGCAACAGACTATCGCTATATTTCAGCACTCTAATAGTGGCCTGCGTAACCTTCTCCGTCGATTATAACAAGCACATCTTCAGCGGAGGTGATGACAAGAAGATCTTAGAATGGCTGGCACTCGGGGTCCTGGGAGCGGGCGTTGAACAAGGCACGTTCATGTTGAATTTCTGTCCCTATGTCTTCTTAAGCACCGTCATGTGTAAGATATCAAACCCAATACTGCCGATGGCATGTGCCCTTTTGCTCTTCCAAACTCCTTTATGCAATCGCATATGCTCCCCAACCTTGACTCTTGTAACGCAACGTGACCATCCTGTGCCCAGATCTTCAAGTTGCTATGAAAACGACAACCCACGCATATCCAGGGACTTGTTTCCCGCTGAAAAGCTGTTCATGAAAGTGATTCGTACTGGCGCCATCGATTGTGGCTCCCTTGCGAATCACTTACTCGTGGCGCAAAACCTTGATTGGGACCACGCGCTTGATAATGCAGTTAAGTGGGACAGACTGGCCCATCGTGATTCCTTACAAAAGCCAAATCTGATGGTGATATAGTCTGTCAGCATCCAGGTTACTGTAGCGAATATGTATACATAGCCTGATGCAACAATCCATACAAGATCGAACCGCCAGCACAGACAGGTAGATCAGGTACCTAAAGAAAACATAACGGTACCTCACAATCGAGCTTGGCTTTTGTTATCCTTGCTTCTCAACTCAGTGTTCACAAAAACAAAAGCCGACAAAGAAAAATGTGGTATAACATCGCCCGATGAATGATGATTGATATCCGCAACGTAAGTAGTATATACCCTGGCACCAAAGATAACGGTGTATTACTGTAGCGACTATACCCTGGCGCACAACGAATGCAAGCACCCAATAATAAAAAACGATAGATCGTGCGTCCGTGCCTCTATCCGCAGGCGAGACAATCATAAGTGTCATTACCAGAATCTGTTACTGTCCGGGAGCAAACCCCGCGCCATACGCAGCATCACAACGTTCGAGGTCAGGCTCGACCACTATAACGAGACGCTCGTCAGTCTTGCACCAGCAGCTAAGCTACAGCAGCACTTACCCCATTTCCGATCAACACCTCAGCTCGTTGAGCCACAAACATATCCAACGCCTGCACCACAAATTTTTGTTCCCAAGTGATGTCGAGATCGCGACTGCTCTTAATCTGATCCCAGTTCCCAGATCTCCCCAGAGCCTCTTTCAGCTCCTCAACCCACTCAACAGCGCCATTAGTCATGATATAGATGTGCGTCAGCGGCATATCCGACTCAACGCGCACTTGCATGACTTTCTGGACGATTTGCTCAACCGTGGGGAAGCACCGCTGCAGATACATCTGCATGTTCTTTTCTGATGTCTCGCCCCATCCGCCATCAGTGGGCCTGTCGAACTTGTCTGAGAACTCGGGGAACATATTGAACGCGTTCCAGTTTGATGACCATTTGCCCAGGTGGACGCAGTGGTCCTGGAAGTCACCCCTTCGCACGTGTAGCGCCAAGAGGCCAGGTATCGGGTTCGTGTAGTTTTCCGCGACACTTGATCCAGAGAGCCCGTCGAAAATAGAAGTTTTCGCGCCCGGCACAAAGATCTGGCGATTCCGTTTGTATGCATCGTGTATCAAAGGCGACCATCCCCAATGCGTTGCTACCGGGGATTTCTTGAGGAACTCCCAAATGGACAGCATTCGCTTGTGTCCAAATATCCTGCACGACGTCTGGCGTCTTCCGCTGGTCATTAAGATACGATGCGTGTGACTCACCAGTACTCGAAGATTGCATCGCTCTTTGGGTCGATTTCGATACATGGGTCATCAATTGAGTTGATTTTTTCGAGCCACTTCTCGAATACATACGAAGCTGGCACGCTTTCGTCGAATCGCATACGATCATCGTTCACCTCTGTCACCTGAATGATTGTTGGATGCGGGCAGACTTTGTTGAAGAAAGCTTTTGACACCGCACGAGGAGTTGTGACACCAGGCGGCATTTCACCACCCACCATGACGCCTAGAACAGTCTGCGTCAACAGAACATATACACAGAAGTTGACCATGTTGTACTTGCCGCCCAATAGTGCTGTCAAGGGTATCCGAGAGGGAATCAAATGCCCATTATAATCCGAAAAGACTGAGCCATCTGGATTCCAGACGTAGTCATCGAAGACGAAACTACACGATACAGAGGAACAAAATCAGGAATGTGGGAACCGAACGAGGGGACACGAAAAGGAACGGTGACTGACGAGCGTCCTGAGGCTTGCGCAAGCAGCCCATTCATCACATAATCTTGCATGACGTTTCCCCATCCTGAGCCTGTGCACATATTATCAACATGTGGTGGGTCAAACCCAGAAAAAAAAAAGTATAGCTCACTATGCGCATGGTTGGCCGACCAAAGATATTTCACATCCTTCCTCTTTTCATACTCTCTATAGTGATCTAGATGTTCTTCCCGCTCTCGAAAGTCCTTGTACAATGGCGGTAGGTGATCACCGACTCGGAAATAGCCCCGAACAGCTTCACGGTTGTAAAGTATTCCAGGGAGTCCAAGGCACAACAAGATGGCAAGGCACAAAAATCGTGAACCACGCTTGGTGAGGCCACAGGATGCCATGGGTATGGGGGGAGACGTCCTTTAAGGCGTGGTTGACGCGCAATCCAGAGAGACCGAGAAACTAAACGAGAGGCGAGAGGAGGGTAAGTATACTTGAGAAACTAGTAGTGAAAGCCGTAAGGTCATACAATGTAGGCTTTATTCTGAATGCCGGACACACGCTGCGCATTGCGGCCCATCTTGATCAATTCGCACAGGCTCATTTTTACTGCGGTGCCGTAACGTTGGAGCAGTTTTTGATTAGGCTAGAGCCGCTAGGCCAGAAACGATGCCATGGCCCGTCTGGGTCTTCTGGGTAACAAGGACCATCCTCGCACTGTTTGTGCGCTGGTCTGCTGGAAGTGCATACGTTCAACTATTCAACGCTGGATGGCTGTAGCGCGCATCGCTTACAGTTTTCTCAACGCCTTTTTTATTCTAATTTTGTTCAAATTTGATGCTATAAATTTGCAAATATTCTCTTCGGAATCAATCTGTTATTTTTGGGTGTTTCTGGAAAACTGCCAACTACGTCGACGTAGGTCGTAGTGGCAACGCATGAAAGCATGACTCAAGTTATTCTAATGCTACAGAATGTACTCAAAAATCACAGATCATAATATGTAACGTCAAGAGTCAGTAAGTGACAAGAGCAGCCATACAGTTACAGTTAGTAATATGTATCAGAAAAGTTCCATCATGATCGTGCACCCATCCGTCTCTGAAGATATTGCGCTCTTGCCCTCTCCATTGACTCCCGAAGCTCCGGACTCTGCCACGCACTCTCATCCTCCTTGAAGCTGCTCGAGACAGTAGGGACGGCGTCAAAATCCATCGACGAGTCGCGAGCAATCCGACGAGGCGTGCTAGGTACCGGTAACCTCGAAAAATCTGAGCGGTCAGGAGAAAGATGTACAGCTTCGCCAACAAATTTGCGCTTCCTAGGTGACGAGCTCGGAGAAGGTGATACGGTGAAGGCAGAGTATGACGGGGGTTGAATATCACGGGGTCGATGTGTTCGTCGGAAGGAACTGCGCCTGGAGACGGATGGACCAACGGCAGGCTGTTCTTCCTCCCAGTCACCTGAACCATCGTCCACCTCATCCTCCTTCGCTTCGCTCATGACTACAACCTCCATGTTTAGAGCTCTGTGCCCTTCTTGTATCAGTTGAGATAGTTTATCGCCTATCCAGTCCATTTCGTCGGCCTCAGCTTCGACCTCCTCTTCGTCTTCGTCTTGGGTTACATGCACGAAATCAAACTCTGGGGGTGGATGACCCATAAGGGCAGGGGAGACGCTACGTGGTGGGGTAACTGGTCGACCGCGAGGTCGCGTCCTGCGGTGTCGTGTGCCAGAGCGACGAACAGAGGAAGGTGTTGGGCGAGGTTTGCGTGATTTCGGAGTAGGAGGGGTAACTTGAATATCCTTGTACTGATATACGTCAACGACAAAACAACAACATATGTCATGCTTTACATACTTGTTCGGGGACCCAGTCACCCGGATGGTATGGTGGTGGTAGTGGTTGTATTCTTTCTGCTTCCTTGCCTCGGTCCCGCCAGCTACGCTCGACAGCGATAAGTGACACAAAAATCAAACGGACATTCAGCACTCACAGGCGATATACAGTGAGACCAACAGCAGTCCCGATAAGAGCAGCGCTCAACGCTGTAGACACGATCGAACCAGCGAGAGTGCGACGCCGCTTGGCGGGTGGTAATTCTACATCGATTTCAATAACGATATCGAAAAGCATGAATGAAAGTGGTTTGAAAAAGATGAAAGTAAAGAAGCAAGAGGCATGGTTCCGAAATAAAAAGCGTAGCCCGCACATGGAGAACACGTGGGGTTGCGAATCACGAAAACACATGGCGTGAGCATGGCGCGGATCTCGTTGGCGAAACATGTAAAAGTCACAGCATGGATGATTGAGACACACCTGCAAACATCTCTTCAATTTCTCTCTCGGGCGCTTCGTGCACTATATCTCTGTACTTGGCGGGTGTGTCGAGATAACCACGAGTAGATGCAGCGCTTGTGGCAGCTTGGCTGGGTTCAGGGATAGAAGGGACCCAACCGCGCTTACGGTTTAGTGGTACAAATGGTGATAGTGATGGTGATGGTGATGCACAGCGGGGAGGAGGCAAGGCGCGATTACGGCGAGAAATAGCAGCTGCAGGATCAAGCAGTGCATCTTTCCGGGACGGTTTTACTGCCGATCGTGATGTAAAGGGATTGTGAAGACCCGGTACCGAAAAACTGAATGTAAATGGGAAAGGCATAGTAATTCGTGACACAGATCGTAAAGCAGAGAGCAGATAAGTACAAGAGAAAAGAGAGAAACAAGATGTGACCTCGCACGTTACTAGGACCAAGCGCGTCAAGCTTCAGTTAAAGGATTGTTCCAACAATCCACCAATTGCAACCAACACCCCTGGGAAACAAATAACAAACAATGCACTTGCCATTTTCACATGAACAGCCCCTATCTGGCGTTGCAGCAATTGTCCAGGGCCAGAATGGATTGTATTCGGCACTCTAAGTGGTAATTACAAGCCATGCATAGCAACAAGGCAATGGCAAAATTTCTCTTCTTCTCATCACCCATGTTCAAACTCTACCGAAAACAGAAAAACGAAGTGTAGCGTCCGGAGCGTCCATGTCTGATATGTCTGTGGAATGAACATCACAATATGCACTTTGCCTGAGATTAAACATGATGCGGGAGGAAAGGACAGAGTGCATGACTGCCGGGAATCTAGGTTATGGCACATTCAGTCTCGGACAGACCTGAAGGAACGACACGACCCACGTATCAAAGAGTTGGTTGTAGCGTGGCTATTTCGTTGGAGACCCTAAGTCGCCATATCAGAAGAGGCATCAAATCACTCACTGGAATGGTGGACATGACCACTACGTTTGCTATAGATATCACTATGTCACAAGGCTAGACATTCACGATCACTTGAATGCAGGCATGAAGAGAACTTACACAATAAGCATACGATATAAAAAATAGAATCGCGGTACAGCGACTTCAACAAACCACTTGCAGGGCCGGTCATTTGCTGCGAATACACCCTGGCTTGAATAAGCACAAGAACGAGGATCACTGATTAGGCTATAGCATGAGTTGACAGTTAGGTCGTGCTAATAACGCAACGCACCGAACTCAGTTATCACCAGCGTTAGGTAAAACACGTACAACACATCAGTACTTTTGGTTGGATAGCAGCCAGGCCCTCCAAAAGATGGGGGCGGGCCATCTGCCAAATCAGATGAGTTCCGGTATCTTCGTGAGAATCGGTACAACGAACAAGATAACAAGAGTCCAGCTTTAACTTCTAGCACGAACGCCACCGTCAAGAGTATCTATGGGCGGGCCCGATGGCGTCAATCAACGTTTGCGGTGATAACGGACCGCACAAACGCCAACAAATGCGAGGAGGCCATATAAGATCTTTCTGTTACATTTCCACATCGCATATGTTCTGAGGATTAGGAGGCCTATAAAGACGGTGAGATGACAAAAATATCATGTGATGATAGAGCGCATCACCCTTTGCGGCGCATATACTGATCGCATTCAACCCTATTTCGAAAACAGGCATGAGTTTACAGACAGTGAATTGAATTCAACTTACACATAGCGGCATCGTACAATGGGAAACATTGATCCTATTCTGCATATCAGTTGTGTACAATGAAAAATTAGGCACAAACGGACATAATCTGACAGGGCCGATAGAACTGCGAACAGATCTGCAGAGATCATGTCAGGGCGGACGAAGAGCTCATTTTGAACAGACAGATTGACGCACAACAATGATAGATGGCAGACGCAACAAATGGCAGGTAGCGGGAAATGCAAAAGAGGACCCTTGCGATGCCCCACTTCGACCCCCACATGAGTCTAACCTGCGGGGAGCACATATGAACAAGGGATAATTGTCGAAATTACTTTATGCGTACCTCTTTGTCCATTGTTACAAGATAGTCATAGATCTGACAGATCACAAAATCATTATGAGTGGCAATCACGTGGCCAGCATTAACTTACAAGGATGGTCAGACCAGCGACTGGAAGTGGACAGTGATCAGCAACGTGAAATAGTAATATTGCAGGGTCCAGTTAGTCACCTTTCATGTACTGTTGCAGCATCGATCAGATCGACATCCGGCAGATTATAGACAAGTGCAGACTCACCCTCGACATATGCTCCCGAAACGCGTTGATCATGAGTATCGGGCCAGCCATCCAGTTCACCATTGCAAGGCCCGGGGGAAAACATGCGGAAAATATGAGGGTCTTATACCCCTCTACCCAACCCCAAAAATGGGCTCCCCTTCAATAAATGACACCACGACAGCTTGGCTGTACACAGGTAGTAAACCAAAGTTGGTAGAGTGCGGCTATATGTGTGCGCATAAATGGAGGTAGGAGTTCACTAGACCTGTCACCTTCGTTGTATCCATATTTCTGGCTGTACTGCATCAAAGATGATAACATGGACTAAGGGCGCCGAAGACACATCCCGGAGTCTGGACGGTCCTCGCGTGCCACCAGTGAATGACTCAGTCAGAAAGTTTATTTGGCCACCGCAAATAAGGTCCAGCAGTCAGCATCCGAAGTTCCTGCCGTTGGGACTCCAGACTGCAGAAGATGCTTTTTATTCATTCGTCACGAGATGCTACTTCAAACCGGCAAAATCGCGCGGTCGGAGCATGGACATGATGGACATCAAACACTTTTGTTATCCGTCCTAATTATTGACATTCGGATTAGTATATCTCCTTAGCATTGTGGTTGTGCCTGGCCCTGGAGAAGCTTCTTTCGAGCTAATCCCAACTAATCCACAAGGGATATCGCGCTTGACACCAGAGCGCAGATCACTGCGGTCCGACATCTTGACTTCGTCCTGGCGGCCATAGCTATTTAGAGAAACACCCCTGGGAGCACTGGATCGGCAAGTCGTAGTCGCTCTAGTGATTAGATCAGTGTCAATGTGAAGATCATTCTATCATCGTCGAAGACGCAATCTGAAGGCATTCATAGATGCCCTCGACTGAGAGTCTAAGTACTCTTCGTAGAACCCTACGATGAACTCCTCAGCCTTGAACCCAAATCTGTTGTACAGCAACTACACAAGTTTTAGTTTTAAAAATGTGTGCCAACACCAAGCACTAATAAAAGCGCACCATCGCTGGATTATTAGCAGCCACGTGAAGAGTGATGTCTCTGTGCGGATTGAGCGTAATCAGGTGATATAGCATAGTCCTGCAGAGGTAAGGCTCGTGAGCCATCACTAGAAACGTCGAGAAATCGCAACGCACGTTGCAATCTGCGAATTATCCCAGCCTGCTCTGACAGCTAGGTACGTGATGTACGCTTCCTGAGGCGAGCTTAAAAGAACCGCGCCCACAACAATTTTTCCGTACACGGCGATCACGGAACAGCGCTCGGGGGAAGACTGAAGCAAGTCGCTGACTGTGAATGTCATGTTCCGAAGAGCAACTCATGAACATGAGAGGATACGACAAACCATCAATTCCATCCCAAAACACTCTAGCTAGTAGTTCGTGTACCTGTTGAAGGTGGGACGGCTGTAGAGAGACGTAACGAATTGGAACTGGAACTTCAGGCGATTGAGCTGACGCAGGGCTTATGATAATAAGGTTAGCAACGCAGTCATCTGAGTACACGAGACCTACTGCGCATAGGAGTAATGTTCTCGCACGTCTGCCATCAATTCCATCCATGGGGATCTGGTTTCCCAATCTACTGCAACTAGCCCTGAGTCTTTAGATGGTCTATACCCACATAGGCGTGATAGAAACGACATTTCGTAACGCGTTGTGCGGATGGAGTTGAGAAAGTTAAAAATGCCTGATTGTGGCAACTGAGGCGGTAATTGGGAGGGCAGGGAGGTCAAAGAATTAGAATGGACAGAATCTAGCCCCTGGATATCTGTTCTACGCCTCTCCTATCACACAGATAAACCACTGGTCTCCGGGTCACATTTGAACCAGGACTACTTACCCGACGGAGTTGGAGCTTTCTCAGTATAGCCGCATGTACCGGCGAAGGAAGGGCCGCCGCATCAGACACGGACGCGTACTTTATCACAGCCGATACTTCGTACCGAGATAAAGGGCGAAGAACAGTGCCCTACCATTCAGTTAGCTTCGATTTGTTTCAAAATGTTATCCATACAATATTGTCCGTTCTACTGTCGCTGTCTTGCACCTGGTAGCGTGCTTCCAAACATTGTGGTAGCACGGAGCCCATAAAACGTTCAAAATCACTGGCTTCCTCAGAGCCATTTGCTGGGTCATCAGACGTGCGGCTCTCTGTCCCAATTTGAAAAAAATCTAGCAAGCCATCGAGTGAAGTGGATGCCCTTGTAATACGCATGTTTGGCGAGGGGACTATTATCCTTCCGGAGTGGCCTTTCTGCCGTTTCTGTTGGGGGACACCCTGCAAGTCACGTCACCAATATTCACTAGCGTAGCCTTACGAGCCTTACCTCTGTGTATGTCTCGTCGTCATTCTTGGAAGGCGCCCGCCGAAAAGGTGGCATAGTGGATATAAATTAGTACATGATTGACCGAGACAAGCATATGAGGATAAATAATATTCAAATTCATATAAATAGAAGTTGGCACTGATTGTTGCACGATTTTATTTCCTGTTAAGGAAACTGGGCCTAGATCTGAGCACTCTCATAGAGTAGCGAAGAGTGCCGCAACAACACTTGGGCTTGATGGTGGGGGGACCAAGACTGACGCTTGCGAAGACAGTGACACCACATTAAAGTGGTAGTCGAAAGTTCAAATGATCACAGCCTTGGGCTGAGAAAGTTGTGTCCGCCTAATGACCGCCCGTGAGCAACCATACCCAGCAGATACCAACCCTATGGGACCTGTACTACACGCTGCCCACAGAATACCATGTCGTACGTTATAACACTCATGTCCCTGACTTCCTAGTCCGTGTATTGAAACGCGCTCGTTGAACATGTAGATATCTGCTTAAGCGAGGGCAGCAACCGAATCAATGAAAACCGCAGCAATGTTTAAAATTACAAACAACTATATGATATAAATCCAAGGTCCGTGCCAAATGTGAGAAGTCGAAGGAACGATATCGATGGGCAATGATAGTATGGAAAACATAGGATGTGAATGTGGTGAAAAGCTGGAATGATCACAGCCTCGTAACAGCCTTTGAATCAAGTGGCATGCCTGTGGGACACCATGATGAATTCGCAAGAACTACAAGATAATAATAACGCTTACCCGACGGATCGATCCCATTACGAGCAAGAATTTGGTTATGACGAATCAATCTTGCTTGGTCGAAGCTGTGTGAATGAAGTTTCGATAAGCTACGCTAGCCACATAAACGAGACACTTACTTGACCCGTTGGGCACGCATGATGTCCAGCACCTCTTGCGTTCCCTGTTCGTCCAGCCCCGCTCGCGAATCTCCCTCAGCGATGTTGGCTGACTCAATGTCAAACATCGGAGAGCTCAACCCCGCACGTGCCTGATCCGAAAATGAGGCAAGGGGCGTGTAGTGGTTAAGGCTTGGGAAGAAAGCCTTAACTCTTGTAGGGAGAGTTGCGCGGTAGCGGTAGCCAACTGGGAGGAACGAGTTAGTTTATGCCAACATATCGACCCATTATCTCAGGTCTGTTGCTGCGGGTACTCACCCATCACCAGTGATGCCAGGGCTGCAAGAAGGGAAAGGTAGAATAACATGGCAATTTATAGTGCTCCGCTCGGGTCTGTTTGACAATAATATTCTTATGAGAAGGTCGGTTGTCGTCTTCAGACTTCGATGGAGACCTTGAAGTTTGAGGACAAGCGCAGTTATTCAATTCATCATGGTCGCCACGTGCCTACGTAATAATGTGGCTGTGTGAACAATTAGGGGTAAACGTTTTTACAAGCCTGACTACTCCTACGACTCCATATGCTGGCTTGGAGCTTGAAGCTTGCTTGCAAGTGGATCACAGACTTGTAGGTTGTCCAGTTTAATCTTCCAGGCTAATGTGTAGTACGACAAGGGATTGATGAGCTGATGCTCCTGGTGCCTTCAAAAAAGGATTAATGCTCTGGTAACGCAATCATCCTCCATTTCTCCGGGTGCCAGACTCCCCACAATCACCATTAGAAGTTTGGAATTATCACACCTCTTACAACATTCTCGTCAGTATCGAGTATTGGGAGGTATATTGGGTCCCCCCACTCCGGGACGTCTAGGCACTTTGGTCAAGAGACGATATATGCCTGATGCGCACCGTCTCTTTCCTTTAATTTCTGGCACGTTCATCTCTCCCGCTCACTCCAAAACAGAACGGCATAGGAATAAATGCATAACGAGCCAGATACATCACGAGCTAGACGATACACATCTAAGTATACATAAGAAATCAAGACTACAATAAGGTGTAGGTAACATATACAAGAACGGGATAGATGAACACGAATATATGACGTACATGAGCGCAAGATACAACAAACCCAAGAAAAATCATATAAATACCCATCGACCGGTTGCGTGCATATCATGATTAAGGCACGCTCCACCTTTCCCGTCCCCGAACAACTAACCCTCCGTCCCACATCTTTACGTCCCAGCCTTTGTTCACGAGCGCTCGATGCACCGCGGGCTTCAATACGCCCACGCCCCCTGCAGAGTGGGTACCGCGGCCAGTAATGAGGCGAATGGGAGATGCTGTGGGACGGCGGTCGGGTAAAGTGACAGAGACATAGGCGCACACACGTAGACCCTTTCAGCAAAATGCCCAGCAACTGACAGTCAGAACGTGCGTACTCACCAGGTGAACATCCCTCCCTCTCTAATATCTCACTGGTAATCACTATCGCCTCTTGAACGCACGTCCCGTGCAGGTCGATGGATCTTTGATCATTGGAAGCATATCTACAGGGTGCGTCAGTATCAATTCTGAGAGTAATTGGAGGAAATTCGGAAATATCTGTACGAGGCAGAAGACAGAAAAAAATCTCACCTCCTCGCCTCAACCAACTCCCTTGCTTCGTCCAACGCATCCTTGCGCGCCTTCTCCGTAACATCCCTCGCCCTCTGCGCATAGTACAGCGCCACCTCTCCGCCCAATGGCCCCCGCCACGCCCGGCCCGCCTCGCGAAGCAGCTCTCCGCGCTCTTTGCGCGCCTGAAGCACACCACGCGCAAAGCGCGCATGTCGCGCCCCGGAGGTGTTCCCTCCAGTCGATTGGCTGGAAAGCTCCCCGACATCCCCCTTCCCGCCTTTGCCAAGTCCGTTCCCTGCGCCACGGACCTTGCGTTTATTTGAAGGGTTGCGGTCCTCCAGGGTTTGTGTGGTACGGGAGGATCGGATCGGGACGTCTTGCCATGGCTCCGGGAATTGGGGCTGTGTCGTGGGGCTGGAAGGAGGAGATGCGAATTTGCGCTTGGACGTTGGTGGAGGCTGCACGGACGGGGGACCCGTTGGCAACTTTGCACGTGCAGAAGTGAAACTCGAATTTGCATCTGTAAGCGGAGGCGGGAGGTGGTATATTCCTGCTTGGCATCCGGGTTGTTCGAGGTCACGAATGATCCAAACGACATCTAGAGCATCATCTGGCCTATTCTGCGTGGCAGAGAGTGCGAGGCGGGCGTCTGCATAGAGAGTATTACGTTGTTCCGCATCAAGAGTGGCGAAAGTGGGCGAGGCCTGGAGGAGGTCGAGGAGTGCAAAGAGGGTGTTGGTTTCTGCTTGCTTAGATTGCTTGACAGGGTTTTTTTCCTTAGCCTTGTGTTTGATACTGGTAGAAGTCGGGGGTAGAGCTGCAAGAGCAGCACGGAGAGCGTGCGCGGGCGTTACGTATGTTGGGGAGTGGAAAAAGGAAGTGAAATGTGATGGTTGGGCTGGAGGAAGTAGTGCAGCGAGCTGGGTAGAAAGCGAGGAGACTTGCGTCCATATGTCCACACCCACGCCCATAATCATGCCCTCCTTTTGCATTCCTTTCGTCTGCATTGGAGAAGGGGTAGCATGTTGTGTCTGCATCATGTCCACGATTTTGATTGTGCGGCCCTTGGTCTTCTTTTTCGTGGGGGTGGCGAGCTTAGGGGTGGATTTCGGCTTCGCGTGTGCGACGGTTTCCCAGTCCCCATTGAGTAATGGTGAAGGAGAGTGTTCGAAGGCATCGATTCCGCGCTCCTCAAGGTCGCGGATGTGTTCCATGTTTAAGATATACTCCACCACTCTTTCCATGTCGACATCTCCGTCTCCCTCCAGGGCCTCTCCATACTCTTCTCTCAGTAGGCGTTTGAGCCGTTCGACAGGCACATCCGAGAAAGCCTCTCGCAAGAAGCCAAGTGGCGAGCTAAATGAGTGCTGGGATGCCGATGACTCGCTTGCGGTCGTTGTACTGTCGCATAGGTCTGGAGTGGTGAGAGACGCAGTGGACATAACGTCGTCGAGCTCGTACTCATCCTGCTGTGCCTGTATTGCGAGAACCTTCAATATCTCTCGTATATTCTTGACCTGGTCAGGGGAGTGGGCGGCGTCCCCTTCTGGCGCATGGTCTGCAATGATAGCTGTAAGAAGGGAAGTATCAATTTGAGGGCAAAATTCAGCCTTCGCGGTCGAGGCGTAATAGCGTTCAGCACTATAGAACAAGTGGCAAGATGAGGAAACGCACCCGTAAAGTTTCATATAGATCCATGCTAGTCCTCTGTAATGTGGCAACACAAGTGAGCTTGATGATTCCGGGTCAAGCGAGGTGGATCGCAGATATTGATGGTGGTATTGATATAAGTAGCTATCGTAGCTCGGACATGCGGAAGGTGCGTGTTTTCCTGTAGAGCCTATTATTAATCCGGGGCACGATGGGAGAGAAATACAACATGTGGGGTCGATCGAGCGACTTGGTGTTGGGCTTGGAACATTAATGTTTGTGTTACGTCGTTCTCGTCGACTTTGATAGTCCCCTAGGATTGGATTTCAGTCTAGACTCCACGATGGTATCTCTGTGATGGGCTTCTGCCCGCTATACAGCCGAGCCCTGAGGTATACGTGGATAAGCGATATTGGGAGACCGACCGCAGCTCAGCGTGCGCCGTGAATGCTACTGGTGGCGCCATATTTCTCTCATTCAAACATTCAAGGATTCACAATGTTAGGCGTGTTGCGGTCGAGGTCTATCTGTAGGTCCACAACTGTCCGAAGACGGGTTGGTTTCTCCTCAAATTTACATAACGCCAGTTGGCTGAGAGCCATTCATTGATTCAAATCCCTGGTGTCAAGCTCCCGAAGGTCTGCTCCCCGCACCCTCTTCATGCTACTCGCATGTCTCTTCATCTTAAAACACAGGGTTCTCAGTTCACACCTGCTGGATGCTGTAACTTGTTTCGAGCCTAACCAACATGGCGTGAAAGAGTCGGGACCAAAACTCCTCCTGTAGCTCTGATCAGCGGACTGTGGTTGTGGGAGAGCAATGCTAACATGATCTTCCCCAAATCTTCCCTGCAGTCACCTCTGCATTCCAAAGTTGGTTTCGAGCTAACTGTCTTGCGCCCCCATGACAGGAGGGGTCCAACCTGTGTCCTAACCCACCCATTGTTCTTCTGCTGTCGGTCAGCATTGACTCGGAGCAGCCAGAACACATGAACATGAACACCCACTTGTGTCCTACTGGGTAGTAGGTACCGGGTCCCGGTATTGGCATTGACTATGTCAAGACCATTAATGGACTTGTGAGGTCAATGCTAGACTGTTATAGAAGGAATGTCTATATTCCTTCTATCGGTCTGCCTGCGGAAAAGTAGCAGACCGTGGTAAGTTAATCTCGCTGCGTCACTGGCAAGTGCATTCACCAATTTTGTCCCATCATGGAACTTAAGCATTGGCTCATATAGGCGGAATTCGACGACCGGCGTTTCGAGTTTAGCCGTACTGCCTGACCTCTGTGAGGTCGCATTTCACTTGTTCGCTTCATCGTCACGTAAACGATAGGGGCAACTTGTCCATTCATATCTCGGGTGGAAGGCAACCGAATGCCTTTGACAGCATCTTCCAAACCATCTCATCAGTGGCGCACGACTCCGCCGGCAGATGAACAGCGTAACATCTTACCCCATGGGGTTCAGATCTACCCGACTGTGAGTATCTTTTATTTCGTTCCATCGTCGTGAAGTTGATTTGGTTGGTAGGCGGTTTCGCTACTACACCTGATGTTAGTAGACGGATATATCATTATGGGCTATAGCCCTAAAACTGGAATACATCCCTTGGTTCAACTATCCATTGACATGATACATCACTGTAGGCTAATTATCCACCTATCTTCCATCCAAGAGCCGGCACATTTGTTACTTTGACAGCGGATGCCCGGCCAATGTCTAAGTTGAGCAACTTGAGCATTTTCTGAGAATCTGAGATCCAAATGTTGATTCATTGAAGACGTCACTATGTATGAAGGTACAGAAGCTACTAATCAACCCCATCGAGATCTTCGTGTGGGGGTTCATCAATAGAATGTCTGTCAATAGAAGGTCCGTCGTCCTGCTCGCCTTCTGCGCCATAATCCAAACCCGCACTTACTAGGGCTCCCACATCCCTCCACATTTCCGAAAAGCTTGCAGACAAGCCGCGACGGATAGCAGCCTGGCGGTTTGCATATGCGATCAGACCTTCCGCATATTCTGACCGCTCTACCATGCGAAGGGTTGCTCGCTCGTCCCACTGTCTGGCTTCCCATGCGAGAAACGCCAACACGCGCTGCATCTCAACCAGTAATAGCTGTATTTCTTCTTGCCACCGGTTATGTCGGGCCCTTGCCTTACACCATTCGACGCGGAGTGCTAAATCCACCGCAGAGTAAGTCTGTCATCTTCAAACGAAAACAGTGCTGCATGATCACTTACTGTCTTGCAGCCCCTCGCTGTCATGCGAAGAGATCCCATGAGTAAGCCAGATCCACGGCATGATTGCTGTGCCCAGAGTCTGTCCCCCAAGATCACCTATTGGTCTGAGGTCCGTTTTCTTCAGTGGTTGTAGGCCGTGATCCCACCCAACATGATCAACGTGCCTCGACAGGCAGACCAATGCGCTACGCGCACGCAAATATTTATCATGGCTGAGGACTAGCCGGTCATCAACAGCTTGTACGGTCTTCCGCGCCCCAGTATTGGCGCATTGTCCACGTAGGTGCTGGCTTTTGAAACACAAGAGCTGATGGCGAAGGCGTATATGGGATCGGCACTCGTCCAGAGCATCATTTGCCTGCGCAAAACGCAATGACCATTCTATGTGAAGCAGTTTTGGATCGCACGGTGTGTAGCTGCAGATGTTGGAAGGAAATAGCAGCTGAAAGTCCTCAGGTTTGACAGAATTGGGCCTCGACCTTGGACATCCGCTCTCTTCGTCATCACTGGGTGTATGGTTGAGGCCGGTAGCATTAGTAGCACGGAGTTGAGAGACAGATGGCATGTATAAGACTTGAATCTTGGTCCATGCTTCAATACGACGTTGGAGACTATTGCTGCGTGCTAGGATCTTCGTTTGTTGTTCATTTGTTGCATGTTGACCTAAGCTCCCGTTATCTGCACGAAGCCGTCGTCTAGAAAACAAAATTAGTGTAGTATCACTTGAATTCACTTGCCACCTACTGTGTATGCTCAATATCCAGACCCGTGCTGATGAGAATGCTCGGCGTCACATCAGAATGAAGTGAAACCAAAGATCTGTCCTCTAAATCTTGCGCATCTTGCATTAGTAGCTCTAGACGAACGGCCGCCTGCGTTGTGGCTGAACTTCCCATGAGACTATAAACAACTTGAATGAAGGCCGAAAAAATTACCTGTTACCCTGCTCTCAAACGGATTCGGATTCGAGTGGTCTAGCTCCCATGCTAATACTTCGTTTGTACAATTTGTGAGTGAGGCAACGCCTAAGTCTGATTGCTTGATGGACTCTTCCAACTCCGTAAGGGCATGGCGATGTTCTGTTTTGGCTTTGACGGCTTCCTTGATCTTGCGGAGTAAGACACGACCTTTAAAAATACATCGCTATAGTTAGTTTATGTCAACGAGGTGACTGCTGCAAAGACGTACCAAATGCAGTCACTTTCTTCCAGTTCCAATCGCCGAAATGGTCGTCAAGAACTTCGCGACGACTACCGGGCCCCATTTCCTTCGTACTTGCAGCGACGCGGTTTATATCGGCCCATCCACGTTCTGGTGCTTCCCCGTCTGTTCGACCAACTCCTGGTGTCCAGTTGAAGGAGAAATTCGTTTGGCAAGCGGCAATATGAGCAGCAATATGAAACTTGGGCACAAAGAAGTTGAAGGCCGTGTGCGTGCAATTGGGTTGGAGTTGCGAAGGAAGGGTCGAGACATGCCGCCAGAGCTCTTTGTGCCACTGGCAGGCAATATCATAGGAAAAGTTGACTATGGGAGTGGACGCAAAAGCAGACAGGGCGGAGAATACAATGTAATCCATATTCATATATCTGATGGAGGCATGAGTACCTGTAGCAATGGCATTGATAAAATTACTCACTTTTCGCCTCTTTGCAAATCTCCAACGCCACTTGCGAGCCGCATGTCGTGCCGCGCACAAACAACTGAGCCTACGCCGGTTGCCGCAAGCCCTTTGGCAAGCTTGGTATCCGCCATGTTGATGGCATTGTGGCTAACGCACATGCTCTTCTAAAGCATGTATTAGTACACCATGATATAAGTGAAGTTAAAATAACAAACCTCTTGCCTGACATCTGCATGATTGCGAAGGTATGTCTTGTACTGTCCTTCTTCCACAAAATACCCCCATCCGGGACTGAGCCCAGGGCCCTTGATATCGTTTGACACGAGATGACGCTTAAGGCGAAAATTGGCGTCAATGGCCAAGAATAGCGAGTAAAGCCATCTGTGTAAAACAGTAAGTTAATGATTGAATGAGTAGACGGAGGAAAACATACCGTTCATTTGAGCTGACATGTGCTAAGTCCTCAGGGACATTTTTTCCGAGCTGCGGACAGGCAGGGCACAGGACTGCGAGTTGTCCTTGTTGCGTTGCATCAACTCCCGCAGGGTTGTGACCGCGACCTGATCGTTTCAACGATGTGAGATTCCGCCACTGTCTCATGATCCTTAAAAAGACAGAGTAGCGGTCCTGTGTGGATAAATTAGTCAGTAACTAAGTAAGAAACGAGTGTCAGTCACCTTGATAGGCTTAATGCCTGTGTTGTCGCTTCGACGTGCAAGGCAATGATAAAACTCGTAAGCCGACACTTTAGACTCGAACGAAAGGAGGTGGAAATGTTCGAGAACTGCAAATGTTGCTGCAGTCCTCGGATCTGTTGAAGTTGATGGAAAGAAGCGGCCACACAAAAGTTGTCTGTAGTGGGATGGTGCATTCGCACAGCTACAGAAGTCGAGCACGACCTCGTGTATTCCATGGACATCGATTACAACAAAATTGTCCTCTTGTGCGGGTTTGGGATTGCGGCAGGACTGGCCAGTGTGATCTCCTAATTGGATGCGCAGGCCAAGGTGTTTTAAAGTTGTAGCGTGAAAATATCTGTCCTGCCATTGCTGAGATAGTGTTGTCAGAGAAAGGTACACCAAGTTGGTAGTAACTGAAATGCGAACCTACCTTGACTCGATGAAGCGGTACATTCTGGTGGAATTTGATCATGCACAGGCGGCAAAATAAATCAACTGAAAAACAATCCTCACAACGATATGATGTGTCCAAGTCCCCACAAGCATGGCATGAATGATCAGCCTTCCCGCGCCCTTCTAATCGAATCAACTCGTCTAGGTAATGCGATCGTTCTGAGGTCCAGACGCGCATCGGATCGTCCTATCATGGAAAAAGACAATGCAGAAGTCAGGTTTAGTTGAATAAAAAAAGGGAAATGTCGCTCACTTTAACCATCTGCTTTTGTTTTTCGGTCAGAACATAGATCTCATGAGGTTCAGCATCAAGAGATATATAGGTCTCATTCCAGGGATCAGTCTCGCAGCAGTCAGCGCCAACATCATGAGTCTCTGAGACGTTGTCCGCCGGTAGGACAGCATCAAGATATCTTGTCTCCAGGTTGATTTGTCCGGTAGGTTGAATTGTGAATACTCGATGGCGGTGGACGTTCTGGGAGGATTGTCCAGCAGAACCTGGGACAGGATGTCGAACAAGTCGAGGCTTCTTGCTGGGACGACCACCTGCTCCAGCCATGATTGTGAGTGAGAGTAAGAGCTAGTGTTGTCACATGGTGCAATGCGCTGTTGATATCACGTAAATAAGCTTCAACTGTGCCGACTCCAAGTGTAATCTATGTAGAGTTGGCCTAATGAGTGGGATTGAAAACTTACTAGTATATTAGGTGGGAGAGCTTAAGACGAGGCATTGATTTGTATGAAAAGGAATTGTTGTAGGCACTTGCGGATTGAGACAGGCAAGTTATGAGTTTTGGTCGGACCGCAAGTCTTAGTATTGATCACCTCTTATGGGTGTTAACAGTTGTACTAGTAGTGCGACCATTACAATTTATGAAGACCATACATATACTACCTATTTAAAATAAATCTCATAAGTCTAGAAGGTGGCGGCCCACCCAGTACTACGTTCCTGCATGCATTTTACTATGTTAATATCAATATGGCTCACTCAGAGACAATATCAGTATATTTATTATGGTCGGACTCCCTGAACGTTTGAAACCCTGAGCTTCTTTGAGCTCTGCTTCTTTTCAACTTTTTCTGAACCTATACCACTACAATTTCAATCCTAGTCCTCCAATGATGGCACGTCCAACTATTCACAAAACGGTGCAAGAAAGAAAGGAGGCTGCACGAGAAAAGCACAGATGCCTACTATGCCAAGTATGTCATAATTTTATTAATTGTTCCCGATGCTGTTCCTGACACCTACAGACATAGAGACCAAATCTTACAACGGCGGAGGGAGCATGGTGTAAAGAAACGTGACAAGGAAGCAGAGGCGATATCAAAAGAGATCTCGAGAGCTGTGGCGAAAGGATTGCGTGGCTGTGAGGATGATGACGAGTCTGAATCAGCGTCTGAATCAGACTCTGACAATTCCAGTGACGATGATGAAACTGACACACTGTAAGTTCTATTCTGTTTTTAAAAATAGAAATATGAATTGAAATGAAAAATTAATGTCCAACAGATCCAATCTTCCGGCATGCTTACTCGCCATCAAAGTCGCCAAGGACGACATGCTCACATTAATTGGTGCCAACCCCTGCCGAGTACGTCAAGAGCATCCCAGATGATTGCAGTACAAAGGGTGATATCTCTATCATTGTGAACTCAATCGGCGAGATTGAAAAACTACTCAAGCGTGTGATTCGTGCACAAGACAAGATCCTGAATTTCTGTGGTATCTCACCTGAGTGGCATGCCGCTGACACGGTCTCTTGATTCTTGAAGACCACAGCCGCATACTTGGAGGACATTCAGCTTCTTGAAATGTCCGGAGGAATTGTGGAGCTTACAGTGGCACAATGGTTGGGGGAACTAATGTATCAGAAGGACATCAGGATTTGATTAGTACCATACATAATTTGCGACTACATACATTGAGCCAAAATACAGCTGCAAGCTCCTTCCAACGCAAAAAGTACATTTGGGGGCCCGTGTGTGGGATGTTTGAGAGCAAAATATCGAACTATTATCATTCAATTCGTGCTACATAAGTATACCCATCCCACGATCGTGTGAGGCAACATACGTGAACATTTTAATGACAGCTCTCATTGCATAACAATTAATGTAGATGGCACCCCGGAAATGGAGCACTCCTGAGCAGGAGGCATGGCTGCGTCCTTGGTATGAGAAGTATCGCGCAAAGCAATCAGACTGAGCCAAGAACTGGGCAAATTTCTTTACCGACTTGTTGGAGGAGTGGCTTGATGTATTCCCCGAGCCAAGGCCAGCTACAGTGCCACCTATCGGGCCGCTGACCATGGATGAGCTTGTGATCATGGATCAGGCTGAAGCCGAGCGAAAAAAGGTGCGTCGTCACCGCAAAATGTCCTGTTGAAACAATCATGTTAATAGATGCTCACAGAAATTAGAGAACCGTTTCAAAAATAGCCTCGGGTCTATGAAGACGGGACGGCAAGCAAAGGCTGAGGCCGCAAACATCTTCAATGCGGTGCTGAAGAGTGTCACCGAATGTGAAAAGCCGACACGTTCCCTTCAGGAAGTCAAGGCGTATTCCAAACTTTACTACCAGAGGCATGTAAAGGTCATGGTTGATGACAGACTAAAGGCAGAAGCTGAGGCGCTACAAGCCGAGAACAAGGCACTTACTAATGGGATGCGTGTAGCCATTGCCAAAAAGGTGGCAGCGAACCTCTACGAAGGAGAGACAAATGAAGTTAAGGCGGAGGTACGGAAGTACATCGAGGATGCGAAGATGCATAGAGACAATGAGAAGGAGGGAATGTGGAGCGAAGACGATTATGGGAGGTAATGATTCATGAATTCTAACGTGTCAATAAGCTTACATGACTTCACAGAAATATTGAAAAACTCGCCGCTATGGTCAATAAATTCTTGACCGGACTTGCGGATGCGACAGGGTTTTCGTTCTCCCTCCTCGCAGGTGGCCCTTCTCCAGAGCTTGGTGGATTGATTGATGTCTATAGGTAAGTCATCCATGTTTATCCGTAGCATTCAGTACTCACCTTGGATACGAAGTTTTCATGTAGGTCAAACGAAGTATGGGAACAACTTCAGTCAAACATACCCAGAATTTGAGAGCGCTATTATGGCTCCTTTCAAAGACTATCTGCACAGAGTTTATCGTAAGTTTGCTGTAATCACTGATAGAAGCCGACTTACCAATCCATCAATAGCAGAGGCTACAGCGACTTTGAAGGCGAGGCTAGGGAGTGCAAGCGATGATCTCGATCATGATGATGGTGGTGATCGTTCACCGATAAGTGCGGGGTTAGGAATTAGCCATGATGACACATCTGGTCAGGTGATGTTCAACACATTGTCCCAGGCGGACAAAGTCCCAGACATCAATTTGCCTGAAAACTCGACTGATATCAATTGGCCGGACATAGACGACTCATTCTGGGAGGGACTCTCTGCGCAAGTCGATGCATTTGAGGCATCAGGCGGAAATCCAAACCTGCCATGCTTACCTCCCTACCCGCAGGCAGCATCTGCCTTGGAGTCGCTGCCAGATCCCTTAACTCCACCTCCTGGCTTGCCCCCAAACACGTCGCCATCACCTCCCATAACTCCACCTCCTGGCTTGCCCCGAAACATATCTCAGCCTGCACCCATTGTGGTACCACTGCAGGACTTACCCACACCACTGCAGAACTCACCCGCACTTCCTCCAACCACCACATTGTCCTCTGAGTCTATGCGAATCCAGGCCCCATCCATGGATTTATTTCAGCCTACACCCATCTTAGCTCCGGAGGACTCACCCATGCTTCCTCCAGCTGCTGTTCCTTCATCCGCTGCGCCAGTTTCATCCCCATCTACCATACCCGATCAACAAAGTCAGCCTCTCGCACCCGTTGCATCCCCATCTACCATACCTGATCAACAAAGCCAGCCTCCCACACCCATCGAGTGTTCTGTTCTGCGCAGGACCGGCCGAGTCTCTGTTCCATCCTCGCGCAATGTTATTGCTAACAGTATTGGTGACAACCGTCTGATTGCTAGCAAGCGCCGTGGACCGGCAGGTGAAGATGGTGTCTCAGGTCACAAGAAGTGCGTTATTTTCGTCGTTTATAAATTCGGTAAATCTAACTTGACAAACAGGAAACAAAGAGTTTAAAGTTTCAAAGCTCTGCAGTCACTACCATACCTATCTTCGCATATAGTTAATTTGTCGTCTTCACATATAGTTATTTTGTTGTCGTTCTTAATTGTTGTCTTGATAATAAAATGAGCTTACATGTTTCTGATCAGTGAAAATCTGAAAACACTTAGAAATGCGAGAATATGTACATCACGTGGTAAGGTAGGGCTACTACAAAAACCAACCAATCGTGACATGGTGTGACAGCTGACGAGATGCAAGGCACGACGGTTGCGACGTTGATGCATGGGCGGCGCCACCGGCCATGCAAGGAGATTAGATGTATTAGATGTAAGTAGCAAAGTGTCGAGTGTATGTACTATTTAGCTATTAACTATATTATTCTGAAGTCTATGTGATCTGGTTGTCACCAAGTTCCTGTAAAATACTGTCCGGAAGAGTGCGGTGACCTCAATATTTCCTGTTTGCCCATGCCGCTTGCTTTCCATTCAGACCTTTCCGATATGCGTCTAGAAACTGTAAGGACCGGTTCGAAAACCTATAACTGTGTGAGTTTGACTCTTTCAATTCTCGAAGCATCAGCAGCAATACTTACCGACGCATGCACTCAATGGGAACAGAGTTCAGTGCCTTATGAACATTGGTTTCCATCAGCCGTAGTTGTAGTATTAGACCTACATATTATGGCAACTACCATTCTTACCATAGACACTTTTGACGGCAATTACCAGCAGCGCAATTTGACCTAATCCATGGCATTTGTCAGGCCCTATTTTGCTGGGTGTTTTGGCTTTCACAGCCGCATTTTTTGGATTTTTGAAACTCAGCTATGTTTTCAGTCACAAATGTGTTTTCCACATTTGTCAGATGTTTTGGTATGTTTTATTCCGCAATTTTGGCCTCCAAAAGCGGAAATTCACAAAACACATCCTGTTTTGGTCACCTCCTCATGTCAGGCCTCCCCACATTATTCCCACACTCCGCATTTTCGCATTTTTAGCCACCTACTGTGGGAATTACCCCACAACACCCAAAACATCATCCCAATATGGTATACCACATAATTATAATTATTCCCACACCCTCCCCACCTCACTGCAGCTTCACCACTACACCACAATAGGTCCTCCCTTGTATCTAAGTAGTAGTTTGGTATATACATGTATAATATTATCTAATAAACCGCTTTTTTTGTCAATTTGTGTGCCTGCTCATCCTCCAGGCCTTTTTCAAACAGGGTAGGGTACAGAACATTTTCGCATTTTTGCCCCTTTGATAGGGGGGTGTTCCAGGACATTCAGAACATATTTATGAGCATATATGAGTATATTCCCATCTTTATTTCACCCCCTGAAGTGTCCTACATCAATAGATATAGCACATATGCAAGAAAACACAGAATATGTTCTCATTTGATTATTTCTAGGTGAACAGCCTTGTAAAAATGATTCCCAGCATCTATTTAACAATAGGAACAATGTATCAGGAGCCCAGGACCATAGGATAATTCCCTGTTGCATGGTGTGCCCCCCCTCTCCTGGTGGTTTACCCCCTGTGAAACTTTTTCCTGTAGGACCGGACCTCAATTGAGGTAGGGGGTCTATTCCTATGTATATTTGAGGTAAGTCTATCATATAGCTGGCCCAGGACACACATAGGATCCTGCTACAGGAACAAAAACATAGAAAATCGCATTTTTGACACTTTTGATGTTTTTTAGTCCCTTACACTTGCACAAATGACCAGTCCTGCTCATATATGATCAGTAGTACATTCACAAATATGTTTTGTGCCAAGGATCAGCCCTACATAGGGTGCAAATGTGATAAATGATGTACAGGGGCTTTTTCTACTGATAAGAAGCCTACATAGTAATCAAGCCTGTGATAAGTAATCAAAGACCTGGGATATGTCCTATATATGCCCCTGATGATAGATTTGAAGATTTAGAAAGATCCATCAAGGACTGACTGAATGACAAGTAAAGCCACATATATGTGAAAAGTGACAATTGACATCTTTTCACACAAAGTTACATTTATATATGATACAAGTCAAATATTTCATTAACAATATGTAGGATACATTGTAGACTACTAAAGGAACATATACTACATACTGCCCTGAGGTTGAAGGGTGGTGGAAGGGATGTGGTGTATATCTGAGTTGACCTAGCATTAAAGTGCTACTATTGCTCAACTGACCATTTTCGATGTTTTGGGTCTTTGAACTTTCCCACACTCAATTTCTTATCTATTTCACTTCCTCAGCACTCAATTCTTGTTGGATTGTTCTGTACATTTAGGCCTATGATACTGGGTATATTTGAAATCTACTCCAGGTGTCTGATTATTAAATTTCGATGAATTGAAAGTATGGGATCCTTATCAGTAGAAATAGCAAGTATTCACACTAACTCAAACCTCTGGCCTATTGTGAGCTGATCCTTGTCACAAAAAGCAAGTATATATACTATGATAATGATATATGAACAGGTTGTATAATTTATGCAAGAGTAAGATACTGAAAACATCAAAAGTGTCAAAAATGCGATTTTCTATGTTTTTGTTCCTGTAGCAGGATCCTATGTGTGTCCTGGGCCAGCTATATGATAGACTTACCTCAAATATACATAGGAATAGACCCCCTACCTCAATTGAGGTCCGGTCCTACAGGAAAAATTTTCACAGGGGGTAAACCACCAGGAGAGGGGGGGCACACCATGCAACAGGGAATTATCCTATGGTCCTGGGCTCCTGATACATTGTTCCTATTGTTAAATAGATGCTGGGAATCATTTTTACAAGGCTGTTCACCTAGAAATAATCAAATGAGAACATATTCTGTGTTTTCTTGCATATGTGCTATATCTATTGATGTAGGACACTTCAGGGGGTGAAATAAAGATGGGAATATACTCATATATGCTCATAAATATGTTCTGAATGTCCTGGAACACCCCCCTATCAAAGGGGCAAAAATGCGAAAATGTTCTGTACCCTACCCTGTTTGAAAAAGGCCTGGAGGATGAGCAGGCACACAAATTGACAAAAAAAGCGGTTTATTAGATAATATTATACATGTATATACCAAACTACTACTTAGATACAAGGGAGGACCTATTGTGGTGTAGTGGTGAAGCTGCAGTGAGGTGGGGAGGGTGTGGGAATAATTATAATTATGTGGTATACCATATTGGGATGATGTTTTGGGTGTTGTGGGGTAATTCCCACAGTAGGTGGCTAAAAATGCGAAAATGCGGAGTGTGGGAATAATGTGGGGAGGCCTGACATGAGGAGGTGACCAAAACAGGATGTGTTTTGTGAATTTCCGCTTTTGGAGGCCAAAATTGCGGAATAAAACATACCAAAACATCTGACAAATGTGGAAAACACATTTGTGACTGAAAACATAGCTGAGTTTCAAAAATCCAAAAAATGCGGCTGTGAAAGCCAAAACACCCAGCAAAATAGGGCCTGACAAATGCCATGGATTAGGTCAAATTGCGCTGCTGGTAATTGCCGTCAAAAGTGTCTATGGTAAGAATGGTAGTTCCCATTTTACTAGGTCTAATACTACAACCAGGGGTGTTTCCATCTCTTCGTCCTTCGTGGTGGGTGGATATAATCGGTAAAGTCTTTTAGCATATCCCCAACACTGTTCGATGAAGTTGAGTTCACAGTGAAACTTCGGCAAGATGATTAGCTTGAAGTGCCGCGCAAGGCAGTGTTCTTCCAGGCGACTTGGGACACCAACAAAATCTGGCTCATTGAAGAGGATTCTTCGACAACAACATTGAGTGGCCCCCTCTGGGCACCTGAACTTGGTGCACTGGGCCTTCAGCTTCGAAACATTGTACCCTCTCTCCCACAGAATCTCCGCCATGCCCTTGAACTTTCCCGCATGCTCATGGCCGGGTGGGAAATAAAGCGGCTGTGGTCGTCCGTCTGCGAATCGCCCATCTTGCATCGGCACCTTCGTTTTTAGAACTTTCCCATCCCGCCCATGGACTGGTTTTCCGTCTTCTCCCAATAGCGTCGTCTCAACTCCCCCATTCCCGGATTCCCTTGGGTGTCTTCCGTGCAGATAGGGCATTATCTGCTTGTTTCAGGTGCGTGGATGCGTTATCAAACACGAGAACATGATCTGACTCTGGATAATTGTTTTCCAGGATGTCCATGACCTTCGTCACCTGTTTCAGCATGTCTTCACTTGTGTACCATCCATCTCGCGACTTCCCTGCTCGAAAGACAACTCTTGCACTCTCTTTCCCATCTCGTGATCTGCACCATCCTCGATCTGCGGAAATGAAATCGGAGATCATGATTGATATCCCTTCCCCCTTTGGACGAGGATCGGAACCTGCATTGAGATGATACCATCCGGAATGACGCCTGTCATTTGCGTAGAATGTGACTTCGTCCTGCAGCCAAACTTCGACAGGACATTCATGTGGTTCCAAATTGATCTCCGATGTGAGTCCGTCACTCATCCACCGTCTCATTTGAGCTTGTAATGCCATCATCTCCGGTATAAAAATGTTCTGGCAATAATTAACCACATCTCCTCGTTCATGTCCATCAACATACTGACCACGATGGTCAGTGCGCCAGTGATACCCAAGTGTATGCATCCATTTCTTCGCCGTTGCGAGGGAAATCGTTGATTTGAGTCCAAAGCGACTCTGGGCTTCTTTGTCAGAGAGGTACGTGACGAGATCCCCTGCCTTGACATATCTCCCGACCGATTGTAGGTGCAGGTGAAGTTCGTTCATGAGCTCTTCATTATCAAGCTTCGATATCTTCGATCGGCCGTATTGGTCGAAAGGGAGATCGTCACGGTCCGTGATAAATGCCTTGGCCCATGCACGTAGTTGGCGTGCATAATATGTGCCTTTCTGATGCACATTAGCTGTTGCCAATGATGCTGCCATCCACTGAGGTGAGGACCCCTTTCCGAGCGTATCCGCCTCCTTTGACTTGCTGATAAACATTCCTAAAAATGTTTTGATCTGCTCTAGGCGCTCCCGGAACAAGGCAGGCAAGTCTACCCATATGTGTCCCACTCCATTCTTCCGCAATGGTTTCAAGACAAGCTTTAGATCATCGAGTGCTTTTTCCACAACAGGAAGAGTGGGGGCCGCATGCCAGTTCAGAGCTCGGTATTGACGTGCAGGGCTGGTGGTGTATTCAACATCTTTTTCGCTGTCACCGAAACTGCCATCTATGCAACTGAGATCATCGCCAAGAGACCCGACGGATTCATGATCTAGGTAGGTATCATCATTGTTAGGGCAATCCGACACGAATGCTGAGTAGCGGTTGGGAAGATGCGGTGGATTGGACTCGTTGTGAGCTGCAAGCGTGTCTCTGGTGATATATGTTGGAAGTGATGTCCTCCCTGAGTTGTCATCAATGATCATATTCACTGATTCGAAGTTGGTAGGAGCAAGCGGCACAGTTCTTTCAACATTCGAGAAAATTTCCATATCAGCAAGGACACAAGACACAGGTGATGTGCGAGTTGGCAAGCTAGCATCTCTGACAGTGATATCTGTTTCATCTCCAGCTCCAGCACATATGTCAGTCGAGGCCCGCATAGAAGCGAGGGGAGTCTGGACAAAAAGCCGTCAATCAGTGCTCCAAAGCATGCCACAAAAAGGTAACATTAAACTCACACTCAAGTTTTGGTTCTCTTTGTTCGTCTCGCGTAGACCCGGCTCTTGACGTCTGCATCGAAGATTCGCAATGCTCGCGCGGTTCCTCTTGTTGCATGGAGCCATCTTGGTGAGAATAATGGAACCGGATGAGGTGGAACATAATCGCCGGCCAACGGTGGTGCAAATTTCTTGGCAAACTTACTTCGATAAATGCCACAATCCCATCTAATGTCCATAAGTTACACTACATGCACTTTCTAATGAATCAGGTCCTGTGAACTGTACTACATAGTGTGCTCCATCATTCACAGGTTTCCGATTTTCTCTCCTTCATGTTATCCTAGAGCCTTCATCACTTTGCAATTCTGTCACGCTTTCAATACATTTGTCACGTGATGTTGGTCGATTTTGTAGTAGCCCTACCTTATACTTGGAGACTTTCTTATCCAACGGTTCTAAACGTGAATTCCAGATAGCAACAGCAACTGGAAGAGCCTATCAGATAAATCTGAGAATATGTAAGCCTGCTGCTTACTACAACACATCATGTGCTTGTTCGGTTACCTTATATCACCGTTTTTCCTTGTCTTTATCTCAGACTCGGGTCTCCTAGATACCACGACATTGCTCCTTTGTAACATCTCTCCAAATCCACGATCTTGTTCCGTTATCTCTTGTCCGATCAGTCTTAGTGTTTCCCGCCGTTCCACGGCGGGTCTCCAGAATATTACTTAAAAACATGTGATTACCTTCGGCAAACTGCAATTCCAAGAGCGCCAGTCGCTTGCAGGCTAAGGTATTACTGACGAGGTTCTCGTCAACTCCATTACTGATACCAAAGACATCGTGAGTTTGCATTTGACTTCTGTGCCCTGTGCAAAAGCGTACCGTATGATGATAGAGGGTATCGTACCTGGAGCGCAAGCAGACGGAGGGTACACTCCATGGACTATGTGCTGCAGAGATTCAATCGTCCGCGCGATGTTCGTAGAGCTGCGTTGTGTGAGGTTCATCGCGAGTCACGAGGCCAAGGTGAATAGACTTACCGGAAGTAAGTCAAACGTTCATCTTCGAGCTTTTGAGGAAGAAATTTCAATCTTCAGAAAGATGCGAGTGAGATGAAATCAAGAAGCTGCGCATATGCTTACCTGTCTACATAGAGGCTTCGCAATGCTGTCCCGAAAGAATACGTGGACTGTTCTCAGACGCGTAAGCCAAGCAACTGGGTCTCGCATGGAGCTCAGTCACCTGTTTTCCAACGTCCGTAAGCTCTCCTAGGAGGCTGTATTCCGTATTGAAATGTGCTCATCGCGAGTACCCATATATGCGCATCGACTTACCATAACCCCTCGGACGTTTTGCCATGCCTGTTCTCGACAACTTTCTTATACCACAGTCCGTCATCTACGGTAGGACTGAGTCCAGCTACGGTCTCGTGAAAGCTTTTCGCAGTGTTGCACATCTGCCAGTAGACGAGCACGAGAGGCAAATAATGTGGTCAACGCTCCAGACCCAGACACGCCCACTAAATTGAGAGACAAATACCGATCCAAATTCCCTTCTGCAAAGCCGATCGATGCGTCAGGTATTGTACTGCGATGTATATACAGCGTCCATTAAAAAAAAGCACCTAGATATTAGTCCATCGCCTCACTCCCGATCACTGCTTGAGCTGGAACTCTCATGCTTCTGTTTGCTGTTCTTGGCAATCCTCTTGGCACGTGCGAAGATGCCGACCTCTTTGTCTCGGATAAAGTTCACGATGACCATCGTCCAGCTGGGATGTGATGGGAGAATATCGTAGAACTCTGGTGCTAGCGCTCGCAATGCAGGAAGACGCGTCCATGGGATGGAAGGGAAGTCATGATGCTCGTTGTGGTAGCCGACCTGCGCAACATAATCAACAAAGGCACTAAATATTAATATTGCAAAACGACAATACGTTGTAAGCCAGAATGTTCAGGAGGCCATAATAGCTATAGGTCTCCTGGTTGAGACCATCCCATACATAATGCTCGGCAATGAAGTGGCCTGCGCATGGATGCAGACTTCCGGCAAAGAAGCTCGAGAAGAGCAGGTATAGCAGAGGGCGTATGCCGAAGGTGCGCACCAGGACATAATTGAAGAGAAGTTGCACAATCACATTGTACAAATGCCATCGGGTGGGCGTCTGCATTCTGACAAAGCCAGGTCTCAGGGCATAGAAGAATATCTGGAACGTCCTAGGATATGGATGAGGCAAGCAACATGCTAGACGCGCGACGCTTCACTCACGCAAAAAATGTCTTTCCAAGAACGTTATTCAGACAAAGCAGTTCAAAATTTGTGGGGAGATCAGTGTCTATGCCGTCCTCCCCAAGATGTTTGTGATGCTCTATGTGGTATTTCTGGACGCGTCCGCAGTACCTATCAGTCCACGTTTGCTCACACGCACGTGTTACACACCTTGAACGCGGCAAAATAAGGTACACCAATGGGTAAGTTGGCAAAGACAGCCAGAGCCTTGTTTGCATTGATGCCCTTGAATGCTAGGTTATGCGTGATCTCGTGGATGGCGAGGAAGAGGTTCTGGTTCGTGGTGCCGCCTACAGCGTACGCGAGGAACAAGAAGCGGAAAGAGAGCGGATGGGTGTGTCGGAGATGCATGGCAAGGTAGAGCTGCAGTGACACGACGGCTAGCACAACGTATTTTGTGAGAGGCTCGTAGCCCATGAGCTTCGTTACTTCAGGGTGCGCTTTCATGATGGCCATACGCCGCGAGCGGTGAGGTTCCTCCGTCATTATCCACAGAAAATCTGTGGGGTCCTGCGGTGGACCTGGATAGGATAGACCGTCATCCTGTTCAGTTGGGGAAACAACGGTTGTCCGGCGTAAAGAACGTCTCCCTTCCGTAAAAGACTCAGCACCGCCGAAGTAGCTGAAGTCTAGAGAACAATCAGCTAATCCAAGGCGATTTAAAAAACTGAGTTACCAATCTCCGACCCTGTTCCTTTGCAAACCGATTGTGCTGCCATGGAGCCTGTCCAGGCTGCGCCGTCTACTACGAACGAACGTGGATTGGTGGTCAGTGCAATACTTGACGGTGAGAGGTTCTTCGACCACAATTTTGGAATTTGATTGAAGGTGGTAGTTCGGCGCTCGGGATCTGCCGGGTGTGATCGGTAGCAATAAATAAATTTGATCTTCTCATACCTTTCAAAAGTCCGACACCCGTTGGGCCGTTTATAAAGACGCGCGATTTGTATGAGGGACCGTATTGGACAAAATAAAATAAAAACGATAAAGTAAATAAATCGACGTTATAACTAAAACTCAAATTGATTTCACAAAAGTCATCCACGTGGCTTCTCAAAACTCTAAATCATTTCAGAAAAGTCGTCCACGGACCACGTGGCTACCAAATCAGGATGATTATGCACAAAAGTCATCCACGTGCTTTCTCAAAACTCTACCAGCACACCCGTTGTGTCTATTTGTTGTTCCCATGCTCACTGTCATCAACAGCGAGCTCAAGCCCGCCCTTCGTATGTCGGGTCGCAGGTCACAGTATGGCGGGTGGTGATGCTAGCACCACCACCTGCCTTTTATGGTAATTAATCAATTAGTAAGGCGCCGCTGTGAGTTGCTCCTTTCATGCACACCATCAAATTCGTCCTTCCAGCATCCCGCTTGCCCATCCCAAAATGCATATGGAACGCTGCACACACCCATGCGCTAGTCATCGTCACCGCCAATGTTGACCCTGGGGCGCACCAATGGGTAGACATCGAAATTTTGGATTCAACACCCCACCACAACATCTGCCTCTCAAAACACAACATTAAAGGCGAGACGAGACTTGCTGTCACAGCACATGGCAAGGGGGAGGTTGGAGTGTGTTTCAAGAATTACCTATCTCCCGGTACGTTTGTTGTTCCCATTTGTCTTACTGGCCATCACCTATGACATTATAGAGATCAAACTAGACATAGCGCAGAATATGAGGCGCACTGTCGATCTCGATATTTATATTGGGGCTGATGCTGTTGAATACAAGTGTGTATCCTGCTTGTTAGCTAATGATAGCTTACTGACTTCCTCCTTGTCATGAAGGTCGTTCACCACTTGAGCGGTGGGCGTAGTATTCACCTCTCATTGTCTGTTCTGCAGACTACGCAACTGCGCTCCCAGCTGGCATTCACCACAACACTCAGGCTTTCATACATATATCACTTCTGCACTTTTTGCTCCTGACTCCCCAAGACCCTTACCCGTTCCAATACCTTTCCTTCTAGCTCCCCCACCACAACCGCTTTACACTCCAGAGTCACCTCACAAACCTGTTCTTCAGCGCACAGTCACTGATATTTATTGGAAGACACCAGAAGTAGATCGGGGGTCATTTGCAACTCCGCGTTCCATTGCAGAATCCTCTTCCAGCACTTCCCGCATCGTATCAAGCTCTGCGTTCGTATCAGCGCAACCCTCACCTTCCGCGATATTCTACAATCAATTATTGATGATCAGCCGCGGCATCAGTGCAGAGCGTCATCGCCACTCCATCGCTACGCCGAAAACTGGTTTGAATAGCCCTGGTTCTAGATGTTTGTCATTGAAGGAGAATAGACAGTTTCTCAAACAAGGAAGATTCACTGCTTCACCCGGCCACTGGTCTCATGGCATGTTCTGACTAACATTGTTCGAGCTGGTCACTGTGCATGTCACACTTTCAGTTGTTGTATCGTCCACTGCAAAGTTAATTTAGCTATCTGTGCAGCTCTCGCAAACCGTCTCCTCGGCACTGTCACTGGCAGTTCAATCGGAATTATGATATACAATTGGTGCGCGTCGTTTTCAGCGAACTCTTTGCAATATTATTACATCACGAAATACACTTGATTCTACTTGTTACCCTAGTGCTAAATAAGTTGTACGACTCAGTGCAGGAGTAGCTGAAGCATCACAGGATGCTCCAGGTTTCACATAACCTTGCTGTGCCACTTTTGCTGATGCAGGTTCTCCCGCTAACCATAGCTGGTCATCTTTTCATCCCAGCGTCTATTGTGCTGAACGGCCCTCTACAGCATGGAAATACATGTGCAGTCTGATCCCTCAACCTCTTCTCCTCTTCCTCTCAGCTGAACTCCATCCACAGTCCTCATATCCCTACCCTCCGTCTTTTCCTACCACTCATTATGTACCCCACTCAATCTCCAATGCGCCGTATTGTTCGTCATTTGTTTCGCCGCACCATCACGCCTACTAGCCATACAAGCCAATGCATCAAACTTGAAAGTAGGTCACTCAATATCATGCTGGTATTCGTTGCATGACCCTCGCGCTTGTTGACAGTCATCAGCGGAAAAAATCTCAAAGTCCCTTCCAAGCGCATTCCAGCCAGTATTTACGTGCTCATCAATGTCAACTCGACTCAGTGCTGGAAATCAGCCCTTAGAGTTTTATTGTCAGATGAATCTGTAATGTGGGGCGATACTGTGATTGTGTAAAGTCCATGGAGACTTCTGACGCGATTCGAGACTGATACTTGGTTTATAGTTCATCACAGGCATCGCCTGCACTATCAATGGAGATCAGAGCGTCCTATGAGCTCGATAGAATGCTAGGCAATGGTGAAGTTATTGGAAAACTTAAAACATCGTGGCATGAGCTACTCGATCACGGAGATGAGCCTTTTGGTGAGTGATTCGCTCCTTATTCATGCACTCTGCTAATACATCACAGAACTGTCCTTCCCACCTGTCTGCGGTGTCCGCCCTTCCCTCACACTAAAGGCGGTTGTTGTACACACTTGCGACAATCAGCACGGTACACCGTTTGATGTGAGCGATGTTGACTCTATCCTGTTAGCTTATGCTGACAGAACACCTACTGTAGTCCCTCGTAGACTGTAAAATTGCGCGAGACACAGATGCAGGCCAAGTACGATTCGCCCAATACATGACACACAAGAGGGTCTCTCACCTGAACAATGCCTTGAAGCAGTTTCAGTTGGTTCTGGACCAGTGTCCAGTCGGCCATCCTGACCATGCAACGGCTCTCACCAACCTTGCGTGGGCCCGCCTTCTAGGTTGTATTCAAAGGGATCTTCAAGACATCGACAACATCACTTCCCTCTTCCGTGACGCCCTTGCATTGCGTCCGCAGGGCCACCCCGATCACACATTATCTCTCTATTGTCTCATTCGAACATTGAACTGGCACTACAACAGGGAGCGCACCGCCATCCACATTCACGAATCTGCGCAGCTGTGCTGCAAGCTACTGCCCCTCTGTCCAGAGGGCACCTACCTTCGTAGCATCGGCCTAGACAGCGAGGTCAATTATGTGATCCCGCAATGCAACAATATTCCAATTGATGCATCCAATGAAGGCATCCACCTTCGACGAAACATGCTCAAACTTTGTCCTTCGGGCCATCAACACCGTCCCCGCACCCTCGACAAGCTTGCACAGGCAGTTGAGGCACACTTTGACCGGCATGGCAGCATTGGTGATCTAGAAGAGAGCATACAGCTTGGTCGTGAAGCTGTTTCTCTATTCCCCGAGGAACATTTGGGCCGTGATACCTACCTGAATAACTTGGCATTCTCACTCAACTCCCGCTTTAATCACCAAGGCAAATTTCATGACCTCGATGAAGCCATCACCTTGTACAAAGAAGCACTGCGACTGCGCCCTGTTGGGCACGAATGTCGTGATTCTTCATTAGACAACCTAGGGCTTGCCCTCCGCAACTGTTTCATCGAACACGATGACATTGATGACATCACCCGAGCTATCAGCCTCCATCGCGAGGCATTGACATTGTGCCCATCTGGAAATTCAAATCGTGATACTACACTCAACAACATTGCCCTCACGCTTCAAACCAGATTTGCAACATCGCATGTCAACGAGGAATCTGCCGAGGATCTTAACGAGGCCATTGATCTGTATCGTGAATGCCTTCGGCTACAGGGGCATAATCATCCCACGTGCCATGCAACTCTTCTCAATTTGAGCTCGGCGCTCTGCTATGGTTTCACGCGAACTCAGAAGAATGAAGATTTCAAGGAGGCAATTGATATCTGTGGAGAATCATTGTTGGCATTGCCTTCATTGCACCCGCATAGATACTTCAGCTATCTGTGGCTGCAGGAGGCCTATTTGCATCGTTACCAGATGGAGCAAAACCCTGCTGATTTGTCACTTGCAATGGAGAACTTCAGACTGGCATCATGACACCCTACTCAAGGATTTCCAAATCGCATTGTGACGGCCCGGAAGTGGGTCACCGCAGCAGAGCAGCACAGTCATACGTCTATGCTGGAGGCCTACAACACATGTTTTGACCTTCTTGATAGTCATCTAGTAACACGATCATCGACAATTTCACGACGCGAAGCTGCCACTGCCGCTGCCTCCCGTAACACCAGATCACTGCCTGTTGATGCAGCATCGTGTGCCGTCCGCCTCGACAATTTACGACACGCAATCGAACTTGTGGAGTGGGGTCGTGGCCAACAGTGGTCATTGGCCTCTCGTCTGAGGAGTCCACTCAAAGACCTTGAGTCCACGAATCCAATCTTAGCTCACAAGTTCTCAGAGCTGAGCAAGTGTCTGTCTGATGCTCAAGGTTCCGCAGGCAGCACAGACTGAGCTGCTGCTGATCACGCAGCAATAAAGTACAGGAAACTGATGGAGCAGTGGGACGCTACGGTAGCTCAAATCCGTAATCTTCCAGCTTTCTCGCGATTCCTGCTCCCGCCATTGTATGCAGAGTTGCAAGTGGCAGCACGTCATGGACCAGTCATCATCTTCATTGCAAGTCAATACTCATGCAGCGCCATCATCGTCCCGACGTCAGGGGAGCCTCACCACGTTGCCTTCCCACGCATCACTCTCGCAGATGTGGAGCAGCTCAAGCACGATTTCGCTATGGCAATCAGGCACACAGCTTGTATGCACCCAAGGGAGCCGAGGGAGAAGTTGTGAAGATGCTTGCGGGTAGTATGGGACAAGATCATGCTGCCCATCATAAACGTCCTCCAGGATGACCTGAAATTGCAGCGTCAGTCTCGAATATGGCTTTGTCCGACAGCAGCCTTCATGTCCATTCCTCTCCATGCAGCTAACCCTTTTCAGTCGAGGGCAGACCGCTCAGGGCCAGAGGCATGCCTGGAGGATATATTCATCTGTCCTTACACGCCAACACTTTCGGCTCTGATCAGGTCTCGACAGACAATGGAGACTTGCATCGCACAGACCTTCGCAGCGATCGGACAAGGTGAGTCTGGTGCAGATCAAGGCAAGGTGCTCCCCGCTGTCAACATCGAGCTTGAGCTTGTCCATGAACTCATTCCTCCCAATGTCAAATTAACTAATCTTTCAAAAGATGAAGCCACTCAAGCAGGTGCACTCAATGCTTTGCGACATAACACCTGGGTGCACCTCGCTTGTCATGGGAAGCAAGACCTTGAGCAGCCTTATAATTCAAGTTTCGCCATGAGAGACAAACCCCTTGCACTACTCGACATCATGGAGAACAATTCTCCGCAAGCCAAGTTCACGTTCTTATCAGCGTGTCACACCGCCGTTGGCGATGAGGTGGCGCCTGACGAAGCCATCCACCTCGCAGCTGGACTCCAGTTTTCCGGTTTCAAGAGCATTGTAGGCACACTGTGGGGGTTCAATGACGCTCTCGCAAAACACTTTGTGGAAGCCTTCTACGAGAAGATGTTCGAGGATATGGAGGATGGTGTCATGGACTGCACGAAGGCGGCGCATGCAGTCAACCATGCTAGAGACTCCGTGAAGACGAAGGTGCCGCTCGAGCAGATAATCGTTTTTGTTCATATTGGTATGTAGTTCCTGCTGGTACGGTTTCATGTGTTGTTATATTGCATTCTCTTTCTTCCCGTCGTTTATAGTCACGACCGTGATACTTTTACGCTCCTGTTATCTCGTTCTCATATCCTCTCATGTTATTGTCCCCTAGCGGTATCTTCACCCTAGTTATTTTGTACTCTAATCGTTTGCAGCCTCGTCTTCTGCTTGAGTATGTCGTACGAGTTGACTTGGGTCGACTCGCACCATCCAATCACACTATTCTTCAAGCTTCAGGCCTTCAAAGCCTTCTGCGCCATGCAACCTCAACTCACTACCACCAATGTAATCAGACATGTGCAGCGCACCCAGGTCTGTAACTTCGTCTCTCTGGGATTATATTCGTCTCCTATGGTGAGGCACGCATAATACATACTGATTACTTGTGCCGCCAGTGATCGTGCCAAAGCAGAAGGGCTCGATACTGTTCCGGTACTACCTCCTCGACTTGTCTATCCTCAAGCCTACCTCCTGTTAACATTATGACAAAGTCGTGATTTTTCTGAGTGATGGACACATTCACTGGTGCCTATTACTGCTGTCAAGATTTCTGGCACATCTCGCGGTTGTTACGCATGCAGAAATTGCAGCTGAATGTGGGGATGACTGTCAGTATTCCCGACGGACAGATTTGACGCAGTGGGTGTGGCTCTGCACAATGTAAGCTTGGCTTGGGAGATACGATAAGCACGAGGACACAAAAGTATACCTGCCAATGGATGCCATGCTGGGTGCAGTTGCGGAAGTAGGTCAATGTCATGGCAAAGGGTATTCGGATAAGGAGCACATAATATTAGCCTACATTACACCGTCCGTCATAGCATCTATTATTCCGCTGCAACTGGCTTTGTGACTGGCTGAGATATGGAATAGATAGAAGTCATCTTCGGATTCTGAGTTGCCGTTGGAACCATCGCCGGAAGAAGTCGAGTTGAGGAGCCTCTCAACAAGCGCTGTGCCCTTGGCGCGGGATGCTCATCGATGAGCACTGATGCCCTTGGAAAGAGTTTCGTATATGGTGCATGCTTGGAGATTGGGTCCCTATTTCACGACGAATACAGTGTGATGTCAGTGCATGCAGTTTTGTAGAATGCAAGGGCGTACATCTGCATCTGGAGAGCGAGTTGCTCTTCGATCGCTGAGGGATCGTTAGGGTTATAGTTGGAGGAAGGCGCAGTGTGGATGGGATAGCCAGAGTAGGTGTTGTTGCACCGAACTTGCGAGAACGGGTAGGAATAGGGCGAGCAGAGGTGCAGGGCTGGCTTGCATGCTAGATATCAACGGTGACGGAGCAGCAATCTGGCTGTGAGTTGTGGGCAGTATGGGTGCAACTGGACGAGGAGCCTGGAAGTAATGTGACATGTAGGCAGCAGACTGGCACCTAGCGAGTTTTCATTGTAACCAACTTGGACAAACACAAAGTTAAGATTTCAAACACCAATAAATAATTACCATACAAGGAAGGTGCGGGTACATCACCCGCCAGTACTGTGTGACGCGTGACACGACACGTGGCGCTACGTAGCTCATCGTTGACGACAATGAGGACAGGAGGACAACACAGTAGGACTCTACTGAAGGTACCATGTGAACGACTTTTGTGCTAAGAATAGAGTTCTGAGAAGCCATGTGGATGACTTTTGAGAATGAATTAGAGTTTTGAGAAGCCACGTGGACGATTTTTGGTTATCTGTTTGAGACTAGCCCACACCCGTTGTGCCTTCGGCACAGGAAGGCAGCAGAGTGCTTCGCGCCCTGCTCAAGGTGCCTGCGGCACCTTGTCTTCTTATTAATCATAGCAGGTTTTGAATTATATTGTATTTTTGAGATCATAATTTGAATTTGTGTATACTTTTATAATTAATAAAAATTATCATACATTGCACAAATCCTGCTGGCAGAGGAATCAGTCTCACATTGTGTACTATAGTATAATTTATTAGTTCTCCCCATCTCATACTCTTCTGTCCCCCCAGTCACATATTTTTGTGCTGTATTATAATTTATTGATTCTCCTGTTCTTCTATTCTCCCATCTCCCATCTCATATTTCCCCATCCCCCCATTTATTTATTTCACAATTTTCTGTCTTTCATCTCCCAATCCCTCTTGTCTCCAAGATGAGCATTGTTCATTGAAGACTCTTTTATTTCATAATCAAATTACCAAGCAATCAAAGAGAAACCTAAAAGAGTTTGCATGTGGGTGGAAGAGAACGTGTCCAGCCTTGAGGCAACTTCCAACCTGGTGGTGGTCCCTCCCTGAGCCTCTCATCAAATCGCTTAACCTGGGCCTCACAACTTGCCCATGCCCTTTGACTGCCAATGAACTCTCGTCAGTCTCGTTGATCCGCGCAATCCTTCTCCCTCTGTTCTTTTGCTAGATGAACATCAACCATCTTCTGCAACTTCTTCTCCTGCTTCCTCATCCAGTGCTCATGCTCCTCCTTGCTCCTCTCCATGGATTGTCATATCTTTGCAGTGCTCTTGGAGACATCATGGATATACTGCTCCAATGCGTGAGTGCATTCTCGACAGGCTGTCTTACTGTAAGGATCATTGAGCTTTTGATGCTTGAGTCGAGCATGAAACTGCTTGCGGCAGTCTCCACGTAGTTGGGCCTCCCAGTCAGTGGTGCGAGAGCAAGGCAAAGATGGTGGTAGGACAGCATAGCCATGCTGGGGGTTGCAGAAGGGGGGCAACACCTGGGTGCAGGGATGCCTGCAGGAAGGGTGTTTTTCAATCTTTTATTTCATTAGACAAAAAAAAATAAGACTCATGTGCCGTCCGATGAAGCAGAGAATCGCACGTTGGACTCGGATGATGTCACTGCAGTGACAGAAGGCAGTGGTGTGCAGCCTGGAGGCTGTTGAGAGCTACAGAATGGTGGGTGGTTATCAACACATCACACAATGCAAGTCAGCTTATAGTGACAGGAACTCACCTGTCCGTTGAAACAAAATTCGACATGTGCGGATTCAGAAGGGAATGGCGCAACACTGGATGTGTGGTGCACAGCAATCGTCGGCGCTCGAAAGGGACCACGCGACTTTCCAAATCGAGGTTTTAGCGAGCTAAGCGGAAACCATGTGGCAGAACGTGGCTTTCACGCAAGGTGGCGAGAGCGTTCCCACCCATCACACCTTACTTTATAGATTTTCGAACATAACACGACTTTTGGGTTATCAGGTAGATAATTTATACAAAAATGATTCAATTTATTATTGTCTCCTCTGGGCCGTCATAGATTTGAGAGCCCCTTCAGTGACAAATCCCGTATTATACGGGTCACCCGACCTACATAATATCCCGTGTAATACGGCCAGCGGATCATGGGCCGATGTTATGTATATTCCCGATGGAGACGGGTGGGCCGGGAGGAATATTATTTCCGATGGAGACGGGTGGGCCCATCTATGCTGATGTGATATATATCATCAATGATGGCGGATGGGCCGGGAGAAATATTATGATGGACATGGGTGGGCCCATGATTAATATGTAGAGTAGGATTGACATATATTAATAGACCTGAGGAGAGATGTATAACAAATATTATTATATAGACCGGTGGGCCGATGTGGGGAAATATTAGATAGACCGGTGGGCCAACGTGGGGTAATATTATATAGACCGGTGGGCCGATGTAAGGAAATATTAGATAGATGGGTGGGCCGAGGGTGAGGCAAGTTATTTATTAGATAGACGGGTGGGCCGAGGGTGAGGGGAATTATTTATTAGATAGACGGGTGGGCCGACATAGGGGGATATCAGATAGATGGGTAGGTTGACATGGGGAAATATTAGATAGACGGGTGGGCCGACATAAGGAAATATTAGATAGACAGGTGGGCCGACATAAGGAAATATGAGATAGACGGGTGGGCCGACATAAGGAAATATTAGATAGACGGGTGGGCCGACATAAGGAAATATTAGATAGATGGGTGGGCTGAAGTGGTGAATTTACATAGACAGGTGGGCCAATGCCGGGTAATATTAGATACATGTGTGGGGTTAAGAAAATACAAATATAAGATGATATACATCTTTGTCGTCTCGAATCACTGAGTAACAAGTACTGAGACCCGACACCCAACACCCAACACCCAACACCCAACACCCAACACCCAACACCCAACACCCAACACCCAACACCCAGCACCCGAATCCCCGAAACCCGGGACTACCAAACTCTAACCAAACTCACAAAAATGTATATAATGTAAAAAACTCGAAACTCATAGAAATGTACGAGTTTCGAGTCTCAAATGGCCAAGTACCAAGTACCAAGACCCGAGATCCGAAGCCCAAAAATCAAACTACACCCGACACCTGAACCCCGGGACTACCAAACTCCAACCTCCAAAGTAGCAAAAATGTGTATCATATCAAAAACTCGAAACTTGTAGATACGTACGAGTTTCAAGTCTTGAATGACCAAGTACTGAGTACCAAGTACCGAGACCTGAGGACCCGAGACCCGAGGCCCGAAGGCCGAAGGCCGAAGCCTGAGACCCGGGACTACCAAACTCCAACCTCCAAACTCGCAAAAATGTATATCATATAAAAAACTCGAAACTCATAGAAATGTACGAGTTTCGAATCTTGAATGACCAAGTACCGAGACCCGAGACCCGAAGCCCGAGAACCGGGACCTAGGACCCGGGACTACCACACTCCAACCTCCAAACTCGCAAAAATGTATATCACAAAAAACTCGAAACTTGTACATTTCTATGAGTTTTGAGTCTTGAATGACCAAGTACTGAGTACCGAGACCCGAGACCCGAGGCTCGAGGCTCGAGGCACGAAGCCCGAAAATCAAACTACACCCGACACCTGAAACCCGGGACTACGACACTCCAACCTCCAAACTCGCAAAAATGTATATCATATAAAAAAACTCGAAACTCGTACATTTCTACAAGTTTCGAGTCTTGAATGACCAAGTACTGAGTACTGAGGACCGACACCCGAGACCCGAGGCCCGAAGCCTGAGACCCGAGACCCGGGACTATGACACTCCATCCTCCAAACTCACAAAAATGTATATCATATAAAAGACTTGAAACTCATACATTTCTATGAGTTTCGAGTCTTGAATGACCAAGTACTGAGTACCGAGCACCAAGACCCAAGACCCGAGGCTCGAGGCCCGAAAATCAAACTACACCCGACACCCGAAGCTCGGGACTACCAAACTCCAACCTCCAAACTCGCAAAAATGTATATCATATTCAAAACTTGAAACTCGTACATTTCTACGAGTTTTGAGTCTCAAATGACAAAGTACTGAGTATCGAGTACCGAGACCCAAGACCCGAGGCTCGAGGCCCAAAGTTGAGACTCGGTAGTTGAATACAATGGTCTATACTCGATAGTCTTAACACAATAGTCTATTCTCAATAGTCTTAACTCAATAGTCTGATACAATAGTCTGAACTCAATAGTCTAGACTCAATAGCCCAATCTCAATAGTCTTAACTCAAGACTCGGTAATTGGTACTTGGTAGCTGGGACTCAATACATGGTAGTTGGGATTTGGTACTTGATACATGGTAGTCGAGACTCAGTACTCAATACCCGATACTCGAAACTCAGTACTTGGTAGTTGGGACTCGAGACTTGGTAGTCGAGACTCAATACTCAATACTTGGTAGCCGAGACTCGATAGTCTGAACTTGATAGCCCAAACTCAAGACTTGGTACTTGATACAAGGGAGTTGGTACTCGATCCAAGGGAGTCGGTATTCAATACAAGGGTGTCAAGACTCAATACACGGGAGTCAGTACTCGATCCAAGGGAGTCGGTAATCCGGTACCCAATACAAGGGAGTCGAGACTCAGTACAAGGGAGTTGGTCCTCAGTACAAGGGAGTCGGTACTTGATCCAAGGGAGTTGGTAATCTGGTACACAATACAAGGGAGTCAGTACTTGATCCCAGGGAGTCGGTACTGGATCCCCAGGAGTCGGTACTCAATACAAGTGAGTTGGAACTCGGTACAAGGGAGTTGGTACTCGATCCAAGGGAGTCGGTACTCCGGTACCTGATACAAGGGAGTTGAGACTCAATGCATGGGAGTCAGTACTTGATCCAAGGGAGTCAGTAATCCGGTACCCGATACAAGGGAGTCGGTACTTGATCCCGGGGAGTCGGTACTGGATCCCCGGGAGTTGGTACTCAATACAAGTGAGTTGGAACTCGGTACAAGGGAGTCAGTACTCGATCCAAGGGAGTCGGTAATTGTTAAGACCGTGCTCAAAGGGCGGATCTGAAGAGCTTGGCTTCAGCTCGTGCGCTGCGCCCCTTACCCGAGTACGTGCCCTTAATTTCCGAAGGCTAGCAACAAAGTCCGAGGGAGGATGATGAATCCCGGTGGACTTCAAGGGGACAAGTCTGGTAGGCTTTCCCAAGGAAGAGTCAGGCCGATGTTCAGGGGGTTAGTCCGGCCGATCATAGGGTTAGTCCGGCTGACATAAGAGGATTAGTCCGGCCGACATAAAGGGGGTTCGTCGGCCGACGTAAGGAGGGTTAGTCTGGCCGACATAAGAGGATTAGTCCGCCGGACAATAGGGGCTTAGTACACCCGGAGAAATAGGGGCTTTAGTCCGGCGGACGTGGGGGACAGAATAGACAGGTGTAAGGACAGAAAGACAGGAAGTCCGAGGGGACAGAAGGACAGTATGTCCGAGAGGACAGAAGGACAGGAAGTCCGAGAAGGTGGAAGCTAGAGGTAAGACTACACTAGACAATGTCCAGAGTAGAAACTAACAGAGGTAGACTACCCAAAGGTAGAGGCGGAGTATAGCCTGAGGAATCAATCCCAGGACACAGAGGTTGGACAGGGAAGTGGCCCCGGGTCCATGGAAATGGATCCGGGTCCGAGGAAACAGGAATGAGGATAATCTAAGGTGATATTCGAACTCTGGAAACTACTACGAGTTTACAAGGTATTATATACTATGGACATGTGCGACGGGGACGGAGTCAGCGGAGATCCGGGTCAACGCGAGGAACATATGGAAAGGTTAAACTGACAGGTGCAAGGAAAATAATACAGGAACAGAGACAGAGATGAAGTATCGAATGGATCCGGGCATAGGAGGTATGATCGAGAATGAAGTCGGATATTAACTGTCAAACAGATCCGGGCATATAGGGGTTAGGACAAGGGGACTATACAAATGGGGTAACAGAATAGGAGCAGGACCGGAAATGAACTGTGAAGTGGATCCGATGTTTTAGGGGTTAAGTGGACCTGGGTCCGAAGCTCAGGATCTGAGTAGGTCCGATGTTTAGGGTCCGATGCTTAGGGGTTAAGTGGACCCGAGCGGGTCCAACATATAGGATGTCCGACGAATACAGGAGGAGCGGACGAGTGGACGAGTGGACAACATGAGTGGGATCCGACGAATAGGACGTCCGACGAAAAGGAGATCCAAGGTATGCAGGAGGAGGACCGATGAATAAGACGTCCGACGTATAGGACATCTGATGTATATGGGAAACAGGGCAGATCCTGCTGAGGGGTATGTAGGGTTAAGGTATAGCTTGGCTACATTTCGGAGGTCCGGACATTGTTTGTTGGGAGAGATGGGATATGATTCAGGGGCTCAGTGTACGGTATATGACAGTAATCCGGTACCCAATACAAGGGAGTTGGTACTCGGTACAAGGGAGTTGGTACTCGATCCAAGGGAGTTGGTAATCCAGTACCCAATACAAGGGAGTCGAGACTTGGTACAAGGGAGTCGGCACTTGGTACAAGGGAGTCAGTATTCAATACAAGGGATTTGGTACTGGATCCAAGGGAGTTGGTACTCGGTACTTGACCATAGGACAAATCCCTGTGATCCAGTATACCTACCTTCTCCTGGTGGTTTGCCCCTGTGAAATTTTGTCCTGTAGGACCGGACCTCAAGGAGGGTAGGAAGTCTATTCATATTCATATTCTTAGTGTATCTATGGCTTAGTTACTTTAAAATATGTATAGGATCCTTCTACAGGAGCAAAATCATACACAATCATCAATCTAATGTTTTTGATGTTTTGCACTCCATTACACTTGCACACAAAATCCAGCCTGCTCATATGTCATTAGTGGTACATAAATATGTGCATTGTATTCTAAAGATCAGTGCAAAATAGGTGAGAGGATTGAGCTAGTGTATATGCTCCCTGTTTCTACTGATAAGATGCTCATACCTTCCAAACATTGATATTTAATATTAAGACACCTGTAGTACCTTTCAAATATATTCAGTATTATAAGCCTAACTTTACAGAACGATCTAACAAGAATTGAATGCTGAGGACATGAAATGGATGAGAAATTGAGTGTGGGAAACTCAAAAGACCCAAAACATCGAAAATGGTCAGTTGAGTAGTTGTTGGACCTTAATGCTGCATGAACTTACTTTACCATCAAATCACTTCCACACATCCTCCACACTCAGGGCAAAGTGTTGTATAGGTTCCTCATGTAGTGTAACCTATATCCTACTAATATTTAACCAAATATCAAACTTATATCATATGAAAATATGACTTTTATGTGATAGGTGTCAATTGTTACATTCCACACATATGTCACTTTGCTTCCCTTTCACTCAATACTTGATGGATCTGTCTGAAACTTGTGGGCTATGGCTAGAATATGTGAGACATATAACAAGTATCTTATCATAAGATCTTGATGTTTTAAATAATTGGGGCCTGCATGTGAGTCAATTATGAAATGTCATTATGATGCTTAGCCGTCTTGACGAAATATGTGCTGCCAGTCAAGGCAAAAATATAGCTGGTGTTTTCTTGTCAATAGGGTAAGACATAGGTAAGATATAAGCTTCACCAAAATAATTATCAGGCTTAGGTGTATTCACAATAATTGAAGTCCAATGTTGAGACTATTGAGTATAGAGAATTGTATTCAACTACTGAGTCTCAACTACCGCTATCGTGTTAAGACTATCGAGTATAGACCATTGTATTCAACTACCGAGTCTCAACTACCATGTATTGAGAACCGAGTCTTGAGTTCCGAGTCTCGACTCCCTTGTATTGAGTCTTGACTCCCTTGGATCAAGTATGTACTCCCTTGTACTGAGTACTGACCCCATGGATCAAGTACCGACTCCCTTGTACCAAGAACCAACTCCCTTGTATTGAATACCAACTCCCTTGTACCAAGTACCGACTCCCTTGCATCGAGTACCAACTCCCTTGTATCGAGTACCGAGTACCAACTCCCTTGGATTGAGTACCGACTCCCTTGGATTGAATACTGATGCCCTTGTACCGAGTGCCGACTCCCTTGTACCGAGTACAACTCCCTTGTACCGGGTACTGGATTACTGACTCCCTTATATTGAGTTAAGACTATCGAGTATAGACCATTGTATTCAACTGCCGAGTCTCAACAACTGAGCATCGACTACCAAGTGTGTGGTACCGGGTTTCGGAGTTCGGTACTTGTATCAGACTATCGAGTTAAGACTATTGAGTATAGACTATTGTGTTACGACAATCGAGTATAGACCATTGTATTCAACTACCGAGTCTCAACTACCGAGTATCAACTACCAAGTCTGTAGGACCGGGTTTCAGGTTTTGGACTTCGGCACTCGGAACTTGGTACTTGGTGCTCGGAACTCGGCACTCAATACTCGGTACTCAGTCACATCACTTGTGTGCCTGAACTTTCTTGAACACACCACTTTGTAGTACTTTGCTTATAACTCATTAGGATCTTAACTGAAAAATGTCATGACACTATGGAAAGACTACCCTTGACAAGGGCTGTCACTTTGATTTTCTTTGAAAAAATTCATAAGGTCTACCATAGTCACTCCTTATCAAAATCCTAATGGTAGACTATTGTATTTGGTAGTACCGGGTTTCGGGCTTCGGTACTCGGGACTCAGTACTTGGTGAAGAGTCGAGTTTCGGGTTTCGGGCCTTGGATTTCAGGACTCAGTACTCGATACTGGGTGATTTCCATATCATCTTAATTTTTTTTTTTCACTCAAGACTTGAAACTGGTACATTGGTAAGAGTTTTGAAGTTTGATTTTCAGGCTTCGGGCCTCAGTCCTCGGGTCTCAGGTCTTGGTACTCGGTACTCAGTACTTGGTCATTTGAGACTCAAAACTTGTAGAAATGTACGAGTTTCGAGTTTTTTATATGATATACATTTTTGCGAGTTTGGAGGTTGGAGTTTGGTAGTCCCAGGTCTCGGGCTTCGGGCCTCGGGTCTCGGGTCTCAGTACTCGGTATTCAGTACTTGGTCATTCGAGACTCGAAACTCACACATTTCTACAAGTTTCGAGTTTTTGATATGATATACATTTTTGCAAATTTGGAGGTGGGAGTTTGGTAGTCCCGGGTGTTGGGTGTCGGGTGTAGTTTGATTTTCGTGCCTCGGGTCTCGGGTCTCAGTACTCGGTACTCAGTAGTTGGTCATTTGAGACTCAAAACTCCTAGAAATGTACGAGTTTCGAGTTTTTTATATGATATACATTTTTGCGAGTTTGGAGGTTGGAGTTTGGTGGTCCCAGGTCTCGGGTCTCGGGCTTCGGGCTTCGGGTCTCGGGTCTCGGGTCTCGGGTCTCGGCACTTGGTACTCAGTACTTGGTCATTCAAGACTCGAAACTCATAGAAATGTACGAGTTTCAAGTTTTTTATATGATATACATTTTTGCGAGTTTGGAGGTTGGAGTTTGGTACTCCCATGTTTCGGGTCTCGGACTTCGGGTCTCGGGTCTCGGGTCTCGGGCCTCGGCACTCGGCACTTGGTACTCAGTACTTGGTCATTCAAGACTCGAAACTCATAGAAATGTACGAGTTTCAAGTTTTTTATATGATATACATTTTTGCGAGGTTGGAGGTTGGAGTGTTGTAGTCACGGGTTTCAGGTGTCGGGTGTCGGGTGTAGTTTGATTTTTGGGCTTCGGGCCTTGGGTCTCGGGTCTCGGTACTTGGTCATTCGAAACTCGAAACTCGTACATTTCTACAAGTTTCGAGTTTTTTAAATGATATACATTTTTGCGAGTTTGGTTAGAGTTTGGTAGTCCCGGGTTTTGGGTGTCGGGTGTAGTTTGATTTTCGGGCTTCGGGCCTCGGGTCTCGGGTCCTCAGGTCTCGGTACTTGGTACTCAGTACTTGGTCATTTGAGACTCAAAACTTGTAGAAATGTACGAGTTTCGAGTTTTTTATATGATATACATTTTTGCAAGTTTGGAGGTTGGATTTTGGTAGTCCCGGGTCTCAGGCTTCGGGCTTCGGGCCTCGGGTCTCGGGTCTCAGGTCTCGGGCTTCAGGTCTCGGGTCTCGGTACTCAGTACTTGGTCATTCAAGACTCGAAACTCGTAGAAATGTACGAGTTTCAAGTTTTTTATATGATATACATTTTTGCGAGTTTGGAGGTTGGAGTTTGGTACTCCCATGTTTCGGGTCTCGGACTTCGGGTCTCGGGTCTCGGGTCTCGGGCCTCGGCACTCGGCACTCGGTACTCGACACTTGGTACTTGGTCACTCAAGACTCAAAACTGGTACATTTCTATGAGTGTCGAGTTTTTTTACATGATAAACATTTTTGTGAGTTCGGAGGTTGGAGTTTGGTAGTCCCGGGTGTTGGGTCTCGGACTTCGGGTCTCTGGTCTCGTGTCTCGGGTCTCAGGCCTCGGCACTCGGTACTCGGTACTTGGTCACTCAAGACTTGAAACTTGTACATTTCTACAAGTTTCGAGTTTTGTACATGATATACATTTTTGCGAGTTTGGAGGTTGGAGTTTGGTACTCCCATGTTTCGGGTCTCGGACTTCGGGTCTCGGGTCTCGGGTCTTGGCACTCGGTACTCGGTACTTGGTACTTGGTCACTCGAGACTCGAAACTTGTACATTTCTATGAGTTTCAAGTTTTTGTACATGATATACATTTTTGCGAGTTTCGAGGTTGGAGTTTGGTACTCCCGGGGTTCGGGTCTCAGGCTTTGGGTCTCGGGTCTCAGCACTCGGTACTTGGCACTCAGCACTTGGCACTCAGCACTTGGCACTTGGTACTTGGTCACTCAAGACTTAGTTGGGATTCGAGTCTGGAATCTCGGGCTTCAGGTCTCGATGGTCGGGACTCGATGTTCGGGACTTGAAACTTGTAAAATTTAATACCCAGGATCCATAGTCGGGACTTGATGTTCGGGACTCAAAACTCGTAAACATGTATGAATTTCAAGTTTTGAGTTGAGTATTGAGTTTTGTTTGTAGTCTCTAGTCTCAAATCTCAGGCTTCGGTTTTTGGGTCTTGATAGTTGGGACTCAATAGTTGTGATTCTATTTTCGGAGCTCGGATCATGTTACACTTCACTCAATTTTCGGTAGTTGGAACTTGGCATTTGGCATTTGGTTGGCTTGGATGATGTTGGCTTTCAAAGACCTCTTATCATCCATTGCCCAATGAAATACCAGATGATTGGAAGTGTGCTGGATATCACATATTCATTTGTTGAGACCCAGGTCTCAGAACTCGGTCCACTTTGCTCGAGTTTCCACTTCACCACTTTGCAAAGCTCCATGCCATACTGCAAGACCTTCATCTTCCATCTCAAAGCTTTGATGAACAGGGCCTGGAACACAAGTTTCCACTTCACCCCTTTGCAAAGCTTCATGCCATACGACATCATTAGATGACTTTGAATTATTACCTCCTTTGATTTGGATGATATACAACTACCTGAGCTCCACCACGTCTACAATTATCATTCTCCTGGGCCCACCCGTCTATATTATATACCCCCACATCAGCCCACCCGTATATATAATAAATATTTCACTGCTCCCTCGGCCCACCCATATATATAATAAATATTTCACCACTCCCTCGGCCCACCCGTCTACAAAATGATATTAATTCATTGGTCCACCCGTCTAATATGATATGTATCTGGGCCCACCCGTCTATGTGATAACAAGCACCCTTCACATACCCGGCTATTTGATACACATCTACCTTGGTACACCCATCTACATAATATCTAACTACCTCGGCCCATCCGTCTATGGAATATTCATTTCCATCGGCCCACCCGTCTACAAAATACTATTAATTCTTCGGCCCACCCATCTAATAGGATATATATCTGGGCCCACCCGTCTATGTGATAACAAGCACCCTTCACATACCCGGCTATTTGATACACATCTACATTGGTACACCCATCTACATAATATCCAACTACCTCGGCCCATCCGTCTATGGAATATTCATTTCCATCGGCCCACCTGTCTACAAAATAATATTAATTCTTCGGCCCACCCATCTAATATGATATATATCTGGGCCCACCCGTCTATGTGATAACAAGCACCCTTCACATACCCGGCTATTTGATACACATCTACCTTGGTACACCCATCTACATAATATCCAACCACCTCGGCCCATCCGTCTATAGAATATTCATGTCCATCGGCCCACTCATCTACTCTACATATTCCCCACATGGGCCCACCTGTCTCCATCGGGAATAATAACACTCCCGGCCCATCCGTCATAGTCGAGAATATTTCTACCTTCGGCCCATGGTCCGCTGGCCCGTATCATACGGGATATTATGCACGTCGGTTCACTCGTATAATACGGAAATATGTTACTGCAATATGTGGATTTGAGTGGCACTCACTTTTATTCTTAATTCGTTCAACATCGATGAGCCACTCCCCACACTTTCATCAACATTGACTACTTGTTGTCGACCACACACTAAAGTGCTGTTTCACAAAGGACATTGAACAGGACAGTCAGTATCCTATTTGTAACAACACTTTTTCATGGCACCCTGAGCCACTCCCCACACTTTCATCAACATTGACCACTTGTGGCCGACACACGCTAATGTGCTGTTGCAGAAAGGACATTGAGCAGTGTCCTATATGTCAACAACACTTTTTCGTGGGACCCATTTGAAACGGTGGGATGCAGCGTGTCTTCTCATTACTATGTCCCAAGACTCGATTGGCTTGATATACTTGCTGCCTCAGGGAACGGTAAGGCATAGTTTGATCAGCAGCACTACCGCTGACCACGCATGACAGGAATCGCAAACTGAGGGAGGAGATCAGACAAATTGCACAGATCAATGGGTATGCAGCTTCCTTCCGAGAATGTGATACGTATATAATCATTATGGATACGTTATGGGGTTGGAAGTTCACTGATTCACACAATGCGCAATCTGATATGAAGCTTCTACAACATTCTACCTTTTTTAATATTACTTTGCTTTTGGTGCAGACTCGTGACCATGCTCTCTTCCGACTCGCGCCTTTTCAACAAAGACAAAATGGATTGATAGTGGTTGAGTATAATTTGCAGATTCATATACAAAACTTAATGCAATTCACATATCTGGCTATGCCAATTGCCCTCCGTTACAGAAAGCACACAGGCTACGTGCAGTCCTCCTAGCTTACATAAGCCCTACATTTTGGTTCCGTTCAGCCAACGACCCGGGCCCGGGGACAAAGGTACTGCATGTTGCTTTAATTTATGTGTAATCAGCTGCAATCAATATTCCCATCACTTTTTGATTACAGGATTTACACTCGAGGTTGTGATCACAGACTCGGGCTTCTCGGGCTGAATTCGCTTCAAGTTCTCCTCAAGATGTACAATGGTCAGAATATCTAATCAATCTTACTCGTGAGACTGATAAATAGTCAGTTGATACGTATTGCAGGGAATGATGACTCTTGGATGACCACCTCTTCCTATTATTAGTTCGGCTTCACCTCCCACTCACCGGATATCCGACATTCCGAGGCTAGACACAAGTTCTGGATGATTTCAATCCTAAATCTAACCTTCAATAACTAATGCAGGTCGTTTGGCTTCAGAGGCCTTCAGTCGGTAGCATCCGATAGTGGCCAGAACGATGACAATGTTGAGCTTCTACAGCCATGCTACCTCGATCGGCCACGTTGTCCGACACACTATACTATAGTTAGTCAACATATTCCATCCAGTATGTTCTTATCATTGGCACTGACCCATGTTTGCTTCATCCATGGGCTGTCTATAAAATCATACACTGCCGTATAATCTTTGATTTGTGCATCAGCCATTTTACGCACATGGCAGCAAGCCAGAGTACGAACTTGTCGCCTATAGAGGTCCGGAATGTCGAATTGCATACTGATACACAGACGCACTCCCCCAGTTCAACATTGTCAAATGGGCCCGTTAAGCTTGACATAGAGCATACATTGGTTGACGATGATCCTCGGTTATGGTCAAACACGAAGAAGGTGCGTCTTTCCATCTTAAGATGTAACAAGGTGTTGATTGAACACACCTACAGACCGCTGTATTGCTCATTATATCCGGAGTGTCGATGTTTGCGGGTTTGGCAATGAATATACAAAACCGTAGGTCATGTCCTTGATCCCATTGCATCCAATGTCAGTTTAACAGCCAGGGGATAGCCACTAATGCTCAAATTGAGCAGCAGCTACACACCACCAGCGGAGAAATCAGCCTCAGTTTGTCTCTCTTCATTCTTGTTCAAGGCAATTGTCCCATCATCTGGAGTGTGATTAGCGAGATAAAGGGCCGCAAGGTTGGTATTTCTAGCTACCTTGAGAACGTCCTTTGATGATATGACGGAGTCCAGCTTGTGTAACTTCTCTCCATCGCACTTTTTATCCTTGGATCTGCAATTGTGGCCTGTTACAATAACATGGAGCCCCTATCTTTTTCTGACCTTTCACCTCGTCACAACGTCACACCTTCACCTCTTCACGATTCACCATGCTGCTTGACGCACTCCTGATCCCCGCCGACCCTGACCTTCTGTGACAGAAGCTAGACACTTCCTTTAGGACCCTTGATCCATGGCCTCATGGCCTTACTTCCTTTTCCCTTGATGTTCCCACAGAACCCTATCCCTGACCGCATGGACTCCTGCCTGCTCATGCCTACCCGATATATCCTTTCTTGACCATTGTACGATTACCAGACCTGCCCTGAACACTGTGATCTTTACCTATATATAGTCGATCCACTTGTACTATTATTCCTTAACTTGATTCTACTGGGTTTTACCTTGACTTGTATTTTCTCTTGAGTTAACTCTCTCGAGTCTGATCACGAAACCTCTATACTCTTGGATCGCTATCCTCGAGTCCGATACATCTTCTCTTAGACCGTTTGTCTTTGAGTCGATACCGATCCCTCGTCTAGACTTAACCGTCGAACACGAAACCCTTCTTCGGCCGCTGCCTTAGAAGCTTACCTCCCCTTCCGTTCTGTCACAACCTGACGGCTTAGGCTACCAGGTATATTGACGTTCAAACCGATACACGACACGATAGCTTAGGACCGTCGTCCTTCGCTTACCCATCCCAGTCCGACTACGACCATTGTCGTAACATGGCCATGTCAAGAACCATTGGTTTGGTGATCGGGATGCAAATTGTGCAAGGCGCAGGGTGGGACAGTTCCTCAACCCCTCGTGTCTGTGCTCACTTGGAATAGGTCAAGTGCAGTTTGGGCTATCGGAGCTGCCACTCTAGCCGATATATACGAGCCACATCAATGCGGTACAATGATGGGCATCTACTATTCTGCACCTCTCCTTGGCCCCTCACTGGGACCAATCCTTGGTGGTGCACTCACACAGGGCCTCAGCTGGCGGGCGGTTTTCTGGTTCTTGGTCATCTGGGGAGGCATAATATTTTTAGCATTCCTATTCTTGTTCAAGGACACCTTCAGGAAAGAGAGGAGTGTGACTTATCAGAACATGTTGAAGAGAAGACTCCGAGAGCAGCTGTTGTCGGAAGGAACAGATAAGCTGTGAAAGATAAAGATTTCACAGGAGTCGGAAGTAGATGGAGAAAACAAGACGACTTTGAGAGACATTGAAGCCCAGATGGTCATACAGCCATCAGCTATTGAAGAAGTAAAGCTGACCATTGCTGATGTCAACCCTTTCCCTCCCTACTGGTCAATTGTGAGCCGCATGAACAACCTTGTTATCTTGACAGCATCAGGTGAGTATTTTTAATTCTCGCAGAAAGCTGTTTCAACAATGTTCATGCCCTGTTTTGCTAGGTTAAACATTTGCGTTTAGCTTTAGCATCACATATACATGTGCAAGAACATTGTCGATGTATTATAATTATGATGCATTGAAGACCGGCCTTGTTTTGCTTGCCTATGGTATCGGTGAGCGAATCACCAGTGAATTGTGAACTCTCGCCTAACACATCTATCTATCTCAGGCTGCGTATCTGGCAGTATATTGGGTGGTCGTTGGTCCGACCGGACACTTGCTCGACTAAAAGCCACGAACGGAGGGGTCAGCTTCCCAGAGGTGAGCATCCAAGCACTATCTCCAGCTCAGTATGCGGCTGACACAGATCCATGCAGATGCGCCTCGAGAGTACGAAAATCGCCATGCTGTGGTTACCTCTGTCCGTGATCGGATATGCCTGGGTGTGCCAAGAACAAGTCCACATCGCTGCTGTGTGCGTGATACTGTTCCTCGCTGGACTTTTGTCCGTGTACATTCACTTTATTTTACATTGTTTTTTTGTTTGCTCTAAAACACGGTTAGATGGATCTACTCGAGCACACTGGCATACCTTGTCGATGCGAACATTGGTTGTTCATCGATGGCAGTGGCAACTAATAGTTCTTTCCGTGGTATTTCTGCTTTTGTCGCTGCTGAGATTGCTGTTCCTTTACAAGTGAGTCGATGTTGTAATTTAAATATTTCGCAGAACATCAGATTTGATGGTTGGTTTCAGGATAGTATTGGCGATGGTGGTTTGTATACTCTCTGGGCATGTGTGATGGTATTCATCGAGTGCATGATTCTGTTGGTGTTGTACAAAGGCAGGAAGTGGAGAGAAGCTAGTGTAGAACGGGAGAAGCAGAACCTGGATGCTAATTAAGGGTAGACGATCAGTACAGAATCAAGGTTTATTTGGCGCCCATCGATGTACATTAATTTACAGTTGAACTGGAAAACACGTGTTTCTGTTCCATGAACAGGACTGTCCACACAGTATAATATACAACAAACATGGTCATCGACGCCCGGGTCGGTCACAATCATTGTCTCACCAGCTTCATATCATAGCGCATCGAAGTATCCTCATATTAGGATGCAGGATAGAATGATTGTCTTGTACCAGGTTCTCCTGTTCATTTGTCATCAATACAGCTATTGTTTACATGTGCCTCTCGTACACCTATATCCGCCTTGTAGGACATCATTCATTGCAGCTTTCTTCCCTTGTGACTGGAGTGGAATGCCAAGATATTCAACTTACATTTGCCATAGATCGCTCCTCCACAATTCACAACATCTCAGTTCCCAGGATTCTCAAATGTACAATCACCAGATGCGGGTGTCGCATCCGCTGGAGCACCCGTCTTGAAGGCACTTTCTAGCAACTCCACGGCCATATTCACTGAGCCCCACAACGACAAGAAGCCATAACCAGAGTGTCTAGGCACACACATTCATTATTAGGGCAGCATGGATAAGCATGATGTCACTCACCCGTAGTTATACACCACGGGCACCTTGCCTCGCGTGGGGGTGTCCAGCCACTCGACTTCGAGTCTGATGCCACCCTTTTGCCTGGGGCACAGGTCGCAACCTGGTTCAATAATGATGGGGCGAAGGTCCTCAACAGTGGGCTTGCGATTGACCCGCGTCTGCGGGGGTGCAATCTCCGGCGTAAGCTGCAGAGCTCGCACAAGAATGTCCTCGGTTGTTTCGGGGCGCGGAACCGGGTTCCTGCAAGCGCTGAGAATGTAACAATGGGATAAGTCGACAGAAATACCAGTCATTGGGCACTCTTGTGCCACTGCACAACACCTATATAGAATAATCAGAGGACAGATCAGGTGAGTCCATGAGCAGGCGCACATCACCATTGCTCCTTGGCATCGAATAGGTGTACGTCCCATCTGCTTTGGTCATGGTCCTCCTGAACTTGACCCAGGGAGCTCTGAGGAGTACAGTTTCCCCGCAAATTGGGAATACATCTTTATCTTCGACACCTCCTAGTGCGTGGGCGCCAATGCCAGCACATATGACAAGAGCGTCGACGTCACGGTGCGACTGGACACCTGTGTAAGGACTGGTTCCTCGCTCAAGAAGCTGACTGATGTGCTGCAGGGACGCACACACGATGGTCCCATTTTTGGCAAGGAATTTGGACAAAAGCCAGTTAATATATACCGGAGCGTTCATGCTGATGGTGCTGAAAGCGAAGCCCTTATTTGCTGGACCACGAAGTTCATTGCTCTCTATATATCTGAACTGATGCGAGGAGTTAGAATGACGGCTATGAGTCTGAGTAGGTTTTGCATACATTTGGCATGTAGTGAAGCCATTCAGCATTAGCGAGGTCGTCTCCGTGATATTCAGTGTGGGGGTGCCACAAGAAACAACCTTCGGCTGCACCACCTGGTTCTGATAGTTTCCACAATACATTGAAGGTATCTTGATCAAGCTCTGGATGACTAGGGTATGACATGTATGTTCAGGCAGTCAGGAAGCAGCGTACTTCGCTGTCTTAGATCGTCATAAGCATGGCTGACATGATGTGCACCCTACACGTCAAGCTCAGCGGCAAATATGTCTATTGTAAGATAGCGTACCGCCCAGTGACTGGTGTACCGGCTGGACTTGGGATCGATGGGGAAGTTTTCGGCAACGATTGTGACACGGTAAGCGCCTTGCGTCTGGATTCTTAATGCAGTGGTGAGGTTGACGACACCTGCACATGAAAGTCAGTCAGCTAGTAATATTTGGGCGCTTAGTAGGGGTTCAACCAGGGCGCATTTCGAGACAGAGTGCGTTGTTTCAGTCACATCCAAATTGACCCACCTGCACCCAGAACGATGATCTCCTTGAGCTGTTCGTCGTTGTTCGGTTGTGCCATGGCGCACCGTGACAAGCGAAGGGACGATCGGCTCTGACCGACTTGCCAAGACTCGGAGATCTGGCCCGGGGTTCTGAGGCTGATATTATGTCAGTCAACCAGCGGCGGTAATCAGAACTTAGAGCGCTTTTGGCTCGTACTACCAACACACTCATCAGATCATCATCATCAGCCTGCACATTCATGTAGGCCTATCATCGATGCAAGAACTTTTCGGGCGCTTCGTTTCGTGGCAGTCCTGGTGCGTTGTTGGTGTTTCGACCTTTAATGAAGTCAACTTTCCCCATTTGTGGCGATGTTCACAGCCTCTGCACATCCCACACGTGGGTGTTGTTCTCAGCGGGATAATGTTGTCTTGTCGCTTATGATAGTATGTCATTGTTCTAGCATGGTGTACGTGTTGTTCAACCTTGACGTTCATGGAGTGCGGCACTGCCTCACCTTGCCTTCAAGCGCTAATATTGCTTTATAAATGCCTTTGCTCTTTTGATGGTCTCGTATTCCGCATGTCATCATGAGATGCCTTACATGTTTACTCATTTTTTCTCAAATGTTCTTCTCACAATGCTCTGTTTCTGCAACATCTCCTCTTAACTTTCCCTTGACCAAGTTGATATCAGAACCGCTGGCTCAAGAGGCTCATCCGATGCTGCATCAACTTCGAAGCGCAACACTATAACGAACGTCTTCATTACCAGCTTGGACTAGTATGTCATGGATGTTGGTGTCGGGAACCCCCCAACATACTATTCTCTTGTGGTCGACACAGGCAGTTCCATAACATTTATTGGGTATTCTAGCTCGATCAGTGGAATTAAGTAGACGGTAGACTAAATATTTCCACAGGAGAAGCAAACCGTACAACAAAATGTCTACGAGTATTGCGACAGGCCAGAACGTAGAGGTGACATATGGTCTCCGTACACCGGACAATAATAATAGGAAATTGCCAGAAACATGAACCCTCCGAGTACCACAACTGTATAGTTCATCTGTTGTGGAGTTGTTTGTGGGGTCGCGGGAAAGAAGAAAACAGTGATCACAAAGACCATCCACAACACAGCAATCACAGTGATTGGCAAGCTCTGCACAGGTAAATTAGCTCAAGGATACGTCGCTGCCGACCGACTCACGAGTTTACCGAGATTAAATGGACCAGGTTTAAAATCATTTTTGAACGCAAAGCAGGTGGTGATGGGCGTAATGTCAGCAACATACGATGCAGTGACAGCAATTGAGAATACAGCATTGATGGCTTCAATACTCACGAATGCCAGAAGTCTGATTGCCAGAATACAGATGGCGTCGAACCAGACTGTGTTCACAGGTGTTCCCGTGTAGCGATTTAGAGTCTGTTCGGCCACGAAATTTTGGCCAACTTAACTTGAGAAATTCTGAATTCAACTTCGCTTTGTCATGATTTGTAATCCCAAGCTCAGTGTGACATCTGTGACCATCAATAATCAAGATATAATCAATATCCAACATGCCAGCAACTCGAACTTAGACTCAAACATCTAAGTCCAGCGTGAATACGCGTTCAAAACTCACTGGTGTCCTCTCCTTACCTTTATATACCCCGATGGCGAAGAAAAAGGCAACAAATGAGAAGAAACAGGCTAGATCAGCGGGCCAGGAAGGTGAAAGATGCAACTGGACAAGCGCTGATGAGTTACGGCTCCTCGACTTCATCACCACCCATAAAGCAAAAGGGGGTGATGGACTTGATTTCAACAAGACTTTTTGGGCACAGGCCGCCATTGATGTAGCACACACCACCACAAGTGGTGCGGTAAAAACAGGCGAGCACTGTTCGCAAAAATGGTCCAGGGTATTTTTCTTGCTCTCCCTCTGTCCTCTAGTACTAATGATATTCAAGATGCACACCACCTTCTCAGTTGCTGATCGGGTTGTAAACTTTTTGGGCATCTCATGGAGCAATGAGCTTGGCGCCAACATCACACCTGAGTCTGAGACTGTATGGACGGATCTCATTAAAGTAAGTACCTATCTGCTGTTTTAGACTACTACTGCTAACCTTTTCATGATCCAGGCAATACCCCACGTGAGGGCCTTCAAGGACAAGGGGTGGCCGCCATATGAAAAAATGAAACTCATCCTGCCGTCGAAGGTGCATGGCAGTAACACTTACCACCCCTTGCTGCAACACGGCCCCAACTCAGAGACCAGTATGGCTACCCAGTCTGGCACCAGCTTCCAAGAAGTTGATGCGCTGGAGCAGTCCCAAGCGCTGGAAAACCTTGAGGGTGGTGCTGGTGAAATTCCTGGCGAGGACAGTGACACCATGATGCCGGCACCCTCCTTCTATGATCCTGCATGCCAAGATCCCTTTGTTCCCTCAATACCGGGTGCATCGTCTACCATGCTCATTTTGGTTTCCGGCATTTCGGCTGGGAATAAGGGCAAGCACAAAGATGACGGCGACCACAATGACAGTTCGCAAGCGCTCATTCGCCCCCCTAATTCCTCCAAGTCCATCGTCAATCCATCGGCATCGGGCCAGTCCATCAAGTCTACGCGCCTCAGCATGCCTGAAGCCGTCCAGTCAGTGGGCTCTGAGATTCAGGGTCTCTCAAAGACGCTCACCACGTCCCTTGATCGTGCTACAAACGCATTGGAAGAGCGCACAGCACACACCATCATGCACTCTGTAGATCCGATCCCCCTGCATAAGGAGAAAGCTATCCTTCGGGTGCAAGAGGAGGAGGATCTAGAGGACCATGAGATGCTGACTGTCATGGAGCACTTTCGGTCTGATGTTTCTATCACTGATGCATATCTCACAATCAAGAAGGACAGTCTCCGCAGGCTGTTTGTGATTAAGTACAGTACCTAGTTTTTACGCTATCATGTTGTGCCGCTTCATAGACTTGAATTCAACATTGTTTGTGATATACTTTGTGCGATCAGATACAGAATTCAATGGTAAACACATGGTATTATAACAGGTCATCTACTACAACAGACTCGCCTCTCTCCTGTCTCACCCTGTTGTAGTCTGCCCACATTTGATGCACAATAGCATCACGGCGGTTGTGTGCACGGGTATGAGCCTCATCAGAGGGAGGACCCTCAGCGAGTGTGCCGGTGTCATGGTCAGGCACATGCACATCAATATTGTCATCGACTCGGCGATAATCCATCATATCATCTGGGTCATGGACCCAGATGACATTGTGCACTAGGCACACTGCAGGGGGGATACGAGCTTGGACACTCATGGGATAGAAAGGGGGGAGGGCAAGAATTCGGAAGCGGTTCTTGAGCATGCCGAAAATGCGCTCGATAATGTTCCGGAGCATGGCATGACGTAGATTGAATAATTCCCTATGATTACAAGGCCTACTAATGTCAGTACAAAAAGGAGGGATTTATAATGGCACTTACTTGAGACGGCCCCTGCCCCATTCAGCTAGGTGATAGTGCACATTGCGATATGGTACAAGCAACTCGTCACAGGCCCCAAATCCCGCATCAGCAAGATAGTATTTTCCAGCAGGAATGTTGAAGTCCTTGATCCGGGCATTGTAGTAGACACGAGCATCAGCCGCTGATCCCTCCCAACCGCTCAAGACGTACTATCACTGGCGGGGTTTTTCAAAGGTTTTCAGTGTTTGATGCGTAGCACACTCGTCAAGAGGTTTTTTTTTTCCCGCTTCTTGACAGACCTGTGGGAAATATCGTGCTCTATCACACCCAGGTGAAATCTGATTTTTTTGCGAAGATGTTCGAGCGGCGGAAGGAATCCGGTTGTGTGATGTCAGTTTGGCAGGGACTGGATATGCTGTTTCAAAATTTGTCACCGCAATGTCACACTGGAGTTTTATAACTCCGCAACGGCACGCTCGGCAGAATTTTGAATCTCGATATCTGAACGAGTGTTGGAAGGAAATCAAAGATTGTATGGATTCGTGCATGTACATTATATAGACCAGCTATTCACAGTAAGTAAATCTAAGTGCATTAAGTGGAAAGGATATGATAGTAATAGAATGAAAGTGAGTATGTTCACAAAAGTGTATAATCAAAGACTGGATGTAGGATATATACCAACGAGGATTAAACTCACAGTCCAGGTAATTGCGCTGGTGAGTGATAATAAGGTGGATAATAAAAGGGATCATGTTGAGCTTGAAATGATTCGAGGTGAGGACGTTCGTGATAAGGTGTATTAATTGCAGATGCGAGTGGGAGACGGCTTGCCGAATGCAGAAGAGGATGTGCGCCGAGCGCAAGTGGAGGATCACGTTCATTGTCGTCAAGCGTGTGAGAAGACGTTGATGCAACGGGTCGTGATGGCGGCAGATTTTCTTCCTCGATAGTTGCCTGTTGTTGACTATCGCGCGCCGTGTCTGAGTCCCTGAGATTTTGCGGAATAAAAAGTTTTGAAAATCGGGCGTCTGATTGCAAGTACGCAGACCGGCTGAGGTGATTAACAATGGTAGCGATAAGCTCCGCTTTTGTGCCAGAGGTAGACAGAGCGAGAACGAAAGCAATATCTTGCAGGTCTTGTTTCTTCTTCGAGGTAAGCCGCCCGCTAAACCGTACATCAAGATTCACAGCAAGCTGTGCGCGCCGATCAGCTAAAGCCGTTTCTTCGCGTTCCTTCTCAACCTGCTTAAGTTGCTCTGCTTCTTCTTTCTCCGCCTTCTCGCGCTTCCTCTCTTCAAACAACTTCAGAGCATCCTCGGACATGAGGAAAACACCACCACCAGATTGCATCTGCTTGCCCTTGCGTCCGTCTGCCTTTTCAACACGTCTGTTGAGCTGCACTTTCAGCTTCTCGTTCTCTTGCCGAGAGAGTTCGCAATGAACCTCGAGTTCCTGCCGCTTTTGAAATTCAGCGAGATACAAAGCTTCGAGGCGCTGAAGGTCAGCTTGAAGAACTTTGTGCCGCCTGGCAGTGGACCATTGTTTGTGTACAAGTGTGCGTGAAAACTGAGGAGCCTTCGGTCCTGTCAAGTGTGACTTATGCGATCGCAATGAAGGTAGCGTGGGCGAGGCAGGTGTAGGTGGTTGGTGAGCCTGGCTTTCAGTAGGACATACATCTTGAGACGAACGTGCGATGGGTTCAGCATCATCGGGATCGTTCCACCATGTGATCTGACTCTCGTCCAGAAGTTGTGGATCAATCTGCATTGCATCTGGCTTGGGGGAGAGCACAGAGATGGGTATGGATGACATGGACGAGTCACTAGAAGGTGCGACAAAATCCGAGTCCATGGAGTGTGAGATTTCTGACGGCGATAATGAGGTTGGTGCAGTTGAAATTAAGTCTGGATTGGGAGGCGGGAATGATGGTGGCATGTGCGCTTGTGTCGATGTCGTGTGGCTTGGCGAAAATTCATCCGCAGCAAAGACGTCTGGGTTAATTGGCCAAATTCCTGTCTTCCTGAATGCCGCCTTGATGATCTCCGGTGTGATTGCTTGTTCCCGAACTGCCATGTACTCATTCACAAACTCGTGCTTTGGAAGGCCCTCTCCCGTTTCCTCAACAATCTGCTCCATGCGGTCTATCCACTTCTTCTGCAAAGGGCCAAAGACACCAACGTCGAGTGGCTGAGTCTTATTTGAGGTATGTGACGGCAACACGTGAAGATGAATATTGGATTTCAAAGCCTCTTCTACCAGCTCGTCTGTAAGATGGGAACCATGTCCATCAAATGTGGCTAGAATTGCTTCATCTTCATCTAATGCTTTGGCGCGAGCTTGTGGAATGAGTACATCACGAAACCACTGATGACATTGAAAGTTATCTGTCCAGCCATTTTGCGTGAGGCCGACACTTAACCAATGAAAATTAAATCACGATGATGTGTGCGTGAGTTCAGCGACTCACGAGATTCCTTTGTGCTTGCTAAACCAGTCTTCATCCCAAGTTTTCCCCTGAAATATGAATCCTGGGTCAAGCATTGTGCCATCGTTGCAGGCACATTCAACAATGGTAACTAGCTCTAGATTCGCATCTCGTTTTCGATACCGTGCACGGGAATGCCGACCAATGAAGTGTTTCTTCCCCGTCCTCTTTCGCCCGCCTCCTCGCTGCATTCCGGTTTCATCAAAATTGAAAATAATGCGGTACTTATACTTGGAGATGGCATCACCCAACTGCTTGAAGTGGTCCGCAATATTTGTGGGGTTAAATGCCTGAGCACGCTTGGGGTCCAAGCCGGATGTGCCACAGAACTTCACTGCGTCTTTGTGTCGAGACATGAATGCCTTGACCCAATGGTCTGAGGGTTTCTTGCCGGTGAGCATGTCGACCTTCAATTTGATTTTCTCTCGTCCCCATGGCCGTCCTTCTTCAGCTTGGTAACACATCCAGTCGACCAGGACATCTTCTTGGAATGTCGTGAGTATTCGTTGCTGCTGGTGGGCAACTAATGCAGATTTATGCTTTCCCAGAAAGCGATTTCGCAGAGTGTCCATCTTGACATTAAATTTTCGAGCGGTGGCAGAATAATTTACTTTGCCAGCAACATTTTCATGAAGATAAGCGAGAGCAGCAGACATGCGCTCTCCAGATGTATCCGAAGTCTTCTTGGAGGGCCGGGCCCGACCCGACCCCTTGACCTGGCCCATCTGGAGGCTGCTATAAAATACACCTCCCCTGTCGGTCTTACTCGGTGTACAGTTTTTGAGCGGAGATTATAATTGATGCTGCACTATAGTCACGGTGCGGCATACACTCTTTCAACAATTTCACTGATAACACGGTTCTGCCCTCATTCAATCACGATATAGAAATCGCAGTCGTAAGTATCATTTGTATAGGGACAGATATTGGTTTCCCTTGGTTTTTTTTTTGTTTAAAAAATTATACAGATTGTAGCATTACAATCATTAACGCTCAGTGGTGTGACATGTGTCAATAGATGATTTATTGTGAACACAACTGCTCGATGTTTTCTATGGGATCTTCACAGCTGTATTCTATAGACACTAGAGAACACTGGCTAAAATCACAGAATATTTTTGTGCAGTGTGTAGCTCGCGATATGATGATCAGTGAATTTTGAAACCCAATACCCATTTTGAAAAACCCCGCCAGTGATAGTAGAGAAACGACATGTTGAATGAGCAAGCGGCAAGGCAGTTCTGAGTCAAAGTGCCCTTGTGATTGTGCGCAGCATCGCGCTCTTTGCTGTCAGGGTGACAAGGGATGTGAGTACTGTTGATGGTACCAATGGCGTCAGCGAAGTAGGGATAATATTTGGTGTTTTGAAGTATCTCCAGAGGGAACGGATCATCTGCGCTAGGTAGCCGAACATATAATTGATAGGGGGGACACGAATGCACTGAGTACACATTTGAAGTACCTTCAAAAATTCAGTTTTTCAAAGACATAGGATTTGAAAGGAGTTGATGAAGAACTCGTTGAGGAAATTAAATTGTACAGTGGAGTGGTGGTGTACAACGGACCGTGGGATCACTGTACCATCCATTTGGTCACACCTTGACTTGCCTTGTCAATAGATCCATCTTGTATACTCTTGCCTCCACAGAGAACAACCAGTATGGTGCCACTCGAGTCAGTGATGCTCACGCTGATCTTCAAGGCCCTCGCCACTCATTTTGATGTGTCATTGGCAATTGTTTGTCAGCATATCGGAGCAGTGGCTATGGAGCAATGGGGCAAGGTCCGGCGACTTGATGGTGGCGACACAATGCTTGCAGCAGGGCTTATATCACACCAGCGTGATTCACGAGATGCCACATTCGTACGAGTGAGTTTGTTTGCTTGTTTTTAAACAACGGAAAATGCTGATGTGACTATACTATTTAGTATGAGACTCTTGTAGACAAACATGCCCATCAATGCAACCTACCACCCACTTATGAGAAACAAACATTCTATGGACGTCTGCATCATATTTTCGTTGTTCACATTCCATTTACTCTGGCACTCAAAGTTGATGGGCCAACAACCATTTTCCTCACTGCATTGTCGACGTGCAAACTCAAACCCACCCCTTCAAGCTTGTCTTCTCTCGACATCCACTTTTACAGCAACCTCAATGATGCATTAGACATTGTGGATATTGTTTGCTTGCAATGTCTCGTTGGTCGTATGCCCATTGATGGAGGACGGCAGTGGGCAATCATTGACCGAAGTGGAAATCTCGCTCGTGCAGTTTTTGAGGATTGATAGACTTCAGCAGCTGCGCAGATGTAACATTGCAATTGAATACAATCAATGATCATACTCTGTGTATAATAAGTTTTCAACTAGTTCAAGGTAAATTTTTCACCTTGAGCAACTGAGCCTTGCATTCTGCATCACACCGTTCCTTCTCCACCTTCCATCGAGCCTTAATGAGATTAACAATGAAGTCTGCTGGCACCTCAAGAATGTCATCCTTCGTGGATGAGTCACTTGGCTCGGCCTGGACTGCAAGCAATGCAAGGTATTCGGCAGCTGTGGAGATCATGGTCAGAACACAGTACACGAGGTATGAGACAGAGATGAATATTTACAAAACTCGGGAGGGTCGTTTGGATTGTCACGTATCTTGAGGCGGCGAAACAAAGGCTTGCGTGGTCTGGTGAAAGGTGGCGGCGACTCAGAGCATGCACTTGGGATCAATTGATAGATAGTCGGAAAAGCTGCGAGAGATGAGAGAAATATTAATGTGTGCTTAGCTTACCGTTTGACGTGAACAGTGGAGGCTGGTGTGGGCGGATATTCAGGCCTACTAGTAGTAGATTCTGTGGTCATAATGTATGATAGATGCGCTGTTGTCGATATCGGAGGTCAGCAAATTCAACAAAGAGGTATAATGTACAGTGCTTGCGACTCACAGCTGCAGTTCAAGTTTGAACGTTAACACGAATGTAGTACATAGTGATAAATAGTGTTTTAAAGTCCAGTTGCAGGACCACAAAAAGACTGGCAACCGGACCGGACCGGACCGGGTCCTAAGAAGGACTGGTTGCAGTCTTTTCCAGTTGCAAGATCAGTCCAGTCCAGTTGCCTGAAGTTTGCGAAAAATAAATAAACCGGTCTAAACCGGTTAAAATCGGTTTAGACCGCAACCGGTTTATATGAACATGTGGTACTCGTCAGCGCGGTTCTAACGGTGGTCTGATCATGTAAAACGGCTAAGATTTGACAAAGTTATGAGCATTACAAGAAAAAGCTGCAAATTCACAGGATGTCTTGTATCTTAGCTTTTATCTAGACCAAACCATAATCAATTGACAAGGTAAGACCAGCTATAGACTCATCTATACTAAGGTTACAAGTAATGTTGACACAACTAAGCCTTATAGTAACAACTTTGATTTTGTGACATTTCATATACGGCAAGTCAAAATCAGTCAAAATCACCGATTGGCTCATAACTTACCCAAACCTTGAGTGTCCGACAAGATATGAGTAGCTATAGACTTGACTAGACTAGGACTACAATTAACATTAAGACACCTAAGCCTTACGACCACTTTTATTTTTCAAAGACAAGCCCAATAATGATTTTTTGTCAAGCTTATATCTTGCTTATATCTTACCCTATTGACAAGATAAGACTAGCTATAGTATCGCCTTGACTAGCAGCACATATTTCGTCAAGAAGCCTAAGCATGGTAATGACATTTCATATTTGACTCACATGCAGGGCGGAGTTTGGGAACCCTTTTTTATAATGCTCGTATCTTGCTCAGATCTTAACCGTTTAATACAAATAAACCACCGTTAGAATCGTGGGAAGGAGTTCTACACTCCCACAGGACTGGTCTCGGTTGCAACCAGTCTAAGACCGGTTGTAGGACTGCAAAAGACCGAAAACATCGGTCTTTACAGGTCCAGTCCAGTCTTGATGATATCGTGGGAATGAAAAGACTGGTCTGGTCCGGTTGCCTCCAAAAAAGGCAAAAAGACCGGACTGGACCGGACTTTAAAACACTACTTGTTGGTACTAGTCCTGCACTGGGGAGCAACTCATGATTGTATTCGCAGATATGCTAAAGGAGTTTGGGATATTAGAGAAGTTAGGGTATGAAACAGTAAACAAAACTTACATGCTGATCTGACAAACAGATGTTGAGCATGACTTGTGACAATGTATCGAACAATAATGTAATGGTTGACGAGCTTGAAGTACTGGTTCCCGAGTTCGCAGGGGAGGCAAGTCACACCCGGTGCTTTTTGCACACCGTTAATCTTGTCGCAAAGTCCTTGATCAGCCTTCTATTTTCTTTGGTGCTGATTATTCTCATTGTCTAGCTTTGTGGATAGTAACTTGTGCTTGTCGACATCATCAATGGCATCGTTCCAGAGCGTGTAAAACACGTTGGGTTCTGTTATATGGTCTATTTCCCGCTAGACTTCCCTCCTAAACGCCTTCCACTGAATCCCATTGTGTCATCATCATGTCTATCTGTGGGGTCCTGCGGCGGACCTGAGTAGGATAAACTGTCATCCTGTTCAGAAGGGGAAAGACTCAGCACAGCCGAAGTAGCTGAAGTCTAGAGAACAATCAGCTGATCCAAGGCGATTTAAAAACTGAATTACCAATCTCCGACCCTGTTCATTTGCAAACCGATCATGCTGCCATGGAGCCTGTCCAGGCTGGGCCGTCTACTACGAACGAACGTGGATTGGTGGTCAGTGCAATACTTGATGGTTTCGAGGTTCTTCGACCACAAATTTGGAATTTGATTGAAGGTGGTAGCTCAGCGCCTGGGATGATCTGCTGGTTGTGATTGATAGCAAATTTGATCTTCTCACACCTTATCAAAAGTCCAACACCCGTTTATAAAGACGCGCGATTCGAGTGGCACTCACTTTTATTCTTAATGTTCAACATTGATGAGCCACTCCCCACCATTGAGTACTTGTTGTCAACCACACGCTAAAGTGCTGTTGCATAAAGGACATTGAGCAGTATGTCCAATATGTTAACAACACTTTTTCGTGGGACCCGTTTGATACGGTGGGACGAAGTCCTAAGACTCGATTGGCAGGATATACTTGCTGCCTCAGGGAACGGTAAGACATAGTTTGACTGGCAGCACCACCGCTGACCACACATGATAGGAATTGTAAACTGAGGAAAGGCATGGTGTTGACCACACGATTAAAGTGCTGTTACATATAGGACATTGAGCAGTCTGTATCCTATATGTCAACAACACTTTTTCGTGGGACCCGTTTGATATGGTGGGACGAAGTGTCTTCTCATCACTATGTCTCAAGACTCGATGGGCAGTATATACTTGCTGCCCATGCTAATCAGGGAACGGTAAGGCATAGTTTGATCAGCAGCACTACCGCTGACCACACATAATAGGAATCGCAAACTGAGGAAAGGTGCAGTGTCAACCACACACTTAAAGTGCTGTTGCGAACAGGACATTGAGCAATCTATATCCTATTTGTTAACAACACTTTTTTCATGTGACCCATTTGATACGGTGGGATGAAGCATGTCTTCTTCAAGTTTGAGTTTGAGTGATGTTACCACCTTTTCCCGATCATGCACTTCTGTGAGAAAATCAAACAATCTATTCCCCATTATATGGCCAAAGATAACAATATGATGCTTGATAGCAGCATTGTGCTAGTTCTTGTGATTATGTACTATATATTGTGTTATATGGCCTTCTACTTTCTTCACCAGTTCACTGATGGGCATCTCTGTGATGGGCTTCTGCCCGCTATACAGCCGAGGCCTGAGGCATACGTGGATAAGCGTCTATGCTTTTCGACGCGTAGAGGCTGGTGAGTTGTAACGAGGTGGATCAAATGATAAAGTTAGTTACAACGAATTCGATAGCGGTTGATTTACGAAAATGGTAAGTATTTGGGCAAAAGCCTGAAAGGCTTCTCGGCCCGGCGCATGAGCATGAATCTAATGGTTTTGAGGTGAGCAGTGATCCCACAATGCTAGGAGTACGGCGATGCTAATGGCGAAGCTTGAAACCCTTAGAGGTAGGAGAAGTACTCACCCTTCCATCTAATGCACTTGAGGCATCATATGGCGCGTGAACAGTTCGAGTGCGGGGGATGCTTGGATATAAGGTGCGATGATGACCGCATGGTCGCGTAGGTACAGCGTGAATGCATCACTTGACCACCTGCCCATAGACTTGACGACGTCAAAGGGTATACCTCATAGAAGATATTCCAGGGTTCCTCCTATTCTGAGGCCGTGACCCTTCAGATCTGGGAGATTTGCTACTTTCACTATGGCCGAGAGTCTCTTGGTGAGTTCTGGCTTTGAGAGGGGTCTTAAGCCCTTGGGGTGCTTCCAAGCGAATAGGTGAGCGTTATTGTCTGCTGGATTGACTCGAAGATGATTGTCTAGGGCGGCTTTTGGGTCATAGGGCCCTTCTTGCTTTGCCCAATAGGCGTCTTCTCCCTCTGTTGGTGCCATTTTGGTGCTCGGGATATGGAATTTTGTGACCAGTAAGCCGTTACGATCAACTGCTGTTGACACGTTTCCGCGAGTGATATGTTTTGAGGGTTTGAAAGCTTTGATAGCGGGAACTGTAAATTCCCCGAGTTGCGCTACCGTGAAAAATGTCGTCGTGATGCACGTGAACACGGCTGCGTCCAGTGGGTCGTCTAGATTGATGTGGGCGTGGATGGCTGTTAAAATATTGACAGTGAATGGGTTGCGTTTGGAGGATTTGGAAGTGGCTGGGGCGAGCGCTGTGGCTCTGTCAAGGATTGCTTTTAGCTCCTTGGTGTTGACCATCCATGGGCGTCCATGTAAGAGATGCCACGCCTTCAGCCCAGCGGCGTAATTGGCTAACACTGCTCCAGAGTACGATCCGGCACAGCTGGATAAGAAAGCGAGAAGGAGTGTGGGTGAGACCGGGCATCTTTGTTCTTCTGGTAAGCTGAGAGAGTCACAGTACACATGAAATACTAATAAGCCTGCACTGTATGTTTCTTTAGTGGTTTCAGCCCATGACGAGCCTAATACCTCTAGGATGCGGTTTAACTGATCGTCTGAAAGACTGACGTGCGGGGCATTAGGTTCTGGGGCTGAGGGTTGACGTGTGCTATCCCCAGCTGGCAGCCACTTGCAAAGTCTCTCACGTGCAAGGCAGTGGGGTCTTAGTGATGATGGGAGGGGAATGAGTCCGGGTTTGTAGTGTTGGGGGGGGGAATCCTTGGCGTGGATGGAGATGCAGACGTCAAAGGGGCGCTGAAACGTGTATGTGGTTCAGCGGAACTAATCGGATAAGGCATTGAAGATGATTTGATCTTCTTCGGCGCGGGTGGCTTGAGCTCGCTCGAATGCTTGTTGGCGTACAAGGGTTCGATTGATGAGTTTAGCGGCAGCAGGGGGGTACTTCCCGTCGTGGAATAAGCGGAGCTCTGTGGGAGTGAGGGGGGCTGTCGCGTCGATGACAAAGTCTCTGATTTCGATAGGAATGTGGGGAGGAGGGAGTAAAAGGTGTTCTGGTCCGTATATTCCTCTGGAGGGACGATCAGCGGGGTTGGATTCGCTGACAATGTACTCTATACGTATCTAGAGATGTCTGGGTAGATTGAGAATGAACTCATGAATCTGTTTGAAGACTCCGTTAACTGCTTTGTTCCTCTGACTCCCTCTCCACCATCCTTCGATGACACCTGTGTTGTCGCCATACACGATGATGTTGTCGCCAACATTAGGGAGAGCAGCGAGGGTTCATACGAGCAGCTCGAAGCCCATGGCTTCGGCCCATCCAATATCGTGCGCTCCATTGTCAGCTTTCTGCCAGCCAGGTACGAGTCTCCAGGCACGCCACCTGTCGCCGATGACGATGCCAATGCCAATGCTAGAGCTGGCATCAGAGAACGCGAGGGGAATTGAGAATCGTGGTGGTGGGCGGATGGGACGGGAAGCGCCACCTGACTGGAGTAATTCAGTCCACCAGTTAAGGTCTGGTTCTACCTCCTTGTCAGGGCGCTGCGGAAGGTGAGGCTTCTTACGGTAGACGGAGATTGTTCTCTCGAGGCTGGTTAGGTAAGCTCTTCCCCTTATGACTGCTGTGCACGCGTGCATCAGTTTTCCGTAAAGCTTAAGTAGTTCTTCCAGCACGTGCGTGTGCTTCTTACACCAAGTGTGGATGGCGATAAGGTATTTGTCGACCTTCGGCTGGCTTAACAAGACTATGTGCTGTCTTGTTACTTGAGGGTCTTATATAGAAGCGTGTAAAAATGCAGTGACAATCACAACTACACTTTCATAAGACTAAAAGATGCCAGCTCCTCAAGTCCACGGTCAACGGATTTTTTTTACTTCTCGGTTGATAATGTGTTGTTCGTGGGTGGTCAAAGAGTAAACAAGTTACCTCTATTTGTTTGAAGAAACTATATAGAAATGCAACTGTGGATTTGTCGTGGATAGAAATATGATAGGTATGTTTCACCCTAGTAGGTCGTGTTTCAACCTATGAAAGTCTGTTTCAACTTTGTCGTGTTCTCCTGTTTCGTGTCTCTCTAACCGTAAAAGAGAGAGGTATTCGTTAAGTATACGTGGAGCTTAGCTCAATAAAATAGTAATAGCAAGCAACCTAGTTAATTGTATAACTAGCAGTTACTTTGTTGAAATGATACTTGCACCCTCACTATGTCTTACCTTAATCTCACTCTCAAATAGTGGGACAGGTTTAGAGTGGAAGTTTAACTTAAATCGTACTTCAACGGCACTTTGACTATGTCTTGCCTTAATCTCACTCTCAAATAGTGGGATAGGTTTAAAGTGGGAAGTTTCAATGTCTTCAAGGCACCAATGGCCTGCACTTATGTGTAAAGTGGGAAGCTATATTTGCATGGGTGTAAAATGGGCTCCTTTTATACCTTTTGGGAGGCCAGATTGCTAAGCATGATTCATCACATGGATTGGTAAGAATGTGCTTACAAACCATGCCATTTGGTGTGCTGAGTCAGCTTGTTTTACTAATAATACATGTATCTTACAAAGCATGATAAATCAAAGGCATGAGTCATCTCATGGATTGGTAAGGTTGTGCTTACAAACCAAGCCTTTTGGTGAGCTGAGTCATCCTGTTTACTAAGAAGATTATAAATACAGTTGCAAGTCTTACAAACCATGACAAATCAGTGACAAAACACGATGAGTCAGGCTGAATCCTTACAAATCACCTTATTTCCCAGTCACATGACCTGATTACAAACATGATCAGTCAGCTAGTGAGAAAGTCTGATGAATAAGCCAAGAAAAATAGAAAGAAATGGAAGGTCACAGAACAAAATAGAAATACATAGAAATCCCCGTGTATAATATGAGAAATGAAACACGAGAAACGAGGCTTCAGAAAACAGACTGATGAATCAATGAAAAATGATAGAATCACTTGGTGATATGGTAGAGTACAGTTCATTATACCTTCCTTATCTTTTGTATAGCACACATGTCATGGTATGGACTGCATACCATGCATGACAGCGCAGTCCGACGTCCCATTTAAAACCGATGTATATGGTATGGGAGGCGAATAGTTGGTCTTTGGCGAATTGCCACAGGATCCCTAAGTCCGTTGAGACGTCATCAATATCTTGGAGGTTGTGGGAGAATAGGAGATCGTGTTCTGATCTGGGTGAGTTACCGGAAAGGTCTCTGATTGGCTGGGAACAGTCTTCGCTAAATTCCTCTACCGAGCCGTCATCAAAAATGTGGCCGCCAAACCATAACCTGCTTCCCGACTGATGCATTCCACATTTGGCCAGATTAATGTGCCATTCCGCACGTTTGTGGTTGTATTCCTCTAGGTACTGTTTTCGGATCCTAAAGAAAATATGATCGTTGACCCATTTGTCTAAAGGACCGATGCCTCGGTCTTGTAGGACTTCCGCGCCGGCATCTGCTACGAGTCCGTAAACGCCAGCTGATGGTGTTGAGCCGAAGGCCGTGCAAGTATCGATGCAGAACTCGTCGTTCGAGGTGCGTACTACAGCAGCAGGCCATTGGGATGGATGTAGCGGGACAGTGCGATAGGCTTCGGCTATGTCGTGAGTTGCTACTTCTGAGTCTGGAGGGAGTCTCGAGATGAGGAGGTAAATGATCGAGAACTTTCCCCACGTAGTGGGGAAATCATTAGCATTAATAAACGAGTTAATAGAAGGGTTAGGGAATTGGGGGTCGAAAGAATGTGGAAATGAAAAGTTTTGTATTAGTCTAACCTTGCCTGGCTTGCCAGGTTTCGGGATAATAGAGAGTGGGGATGATTGAAATGGTCCAATGAGCTTTAAAAGAGAGTTGGCGAGAAAGGGTCCTATGTAGCGTGTGTTCTGGAGTTCTTTATGTATACTGGCGTCGAAATGATCTTTGTAAGTAATGATGGATTGTTTATTAGGGGGGGATTGCGTAGAGACTATGGTAGGGAAGTTTAAATTGAAGCCAGCACGCAAACCTTCTAGCACCTGCGCAAAACGTGGTAGGAGGCCAGCATCTTGTAGTGCTCTGGTCCAGGCCTCCAGTTTGTAGGGCGTGAGAGGGCTAGATTTTCTGCGCTCTAGGGCAGTGCTGGGCACCATGGGTGACAGCGCCGCACCCTGAGCAAACGTGGTGGGAGTCGTGCTTGTTGCTTTCACATCCTTCATCCCGCTGCCACGCTGTGCAGAGTTGCTTGCCTTCTTTGGTCCATAAGGCTTTGTTGATTCGTTCAGCGATGGTGTCATGCTTGCTATCCCAGGTGAGGGCCTTCCGAGACAGACGGCACAGCAAGGGAGAGGTGCGCTGGGGTCTCGAAAGGTTTTGAGTTTCTTATTGGGCTTCGTATCGGGGGATGTGGGCGGCGATCACTTTTGGGAGCTGGCTGCGCGATTGTGTTGTTGTTGGGGCCTACTGGTCACTGTCGTGGTCAGGGCGCACGACTGGATGAGGTAGGATGTGATTTTGTCACCGGGTTGTGGGTGTGGGGGGGGAACGGGGAGCGAGGTTTCGCGATGGTCGCAATGATCGCGTGATGGGTGGGGGGGGGGGGGGGGGTTTGAGGGTGTGATTGGAGGGCACGTGTTGGCCGTTGAGTGATTCAGTGGTGGAATTTGAGCCGCGATGGCCAAAGCATTTGGAAACCCGAAGGGAGGGATAGGGCATGATGTCCAGTTGTGAAAAAGGGTCGTTTGGGCGCGATGCCAAACATTGTGCCAATGTGATGATCGTGGAGCAAGGGGGGCAGAAATGGAAGAGAAAATAGGTGTATTTAGTATGCGATCATATCAAATTTATGATTATGAAAACGTACCTGGATGGATAACTGCTGTATTCTGAATTGATTGAAAATTGTCTCTCGTGCTTTGTCTAGGAGATCTTGATTGATTCTCGCTAGACTCCAACTGTTGGAACTACCGATGGCTTGATGCCAACGATGCCTCTGCTGTGCCTGGTATAGCAGTAACGCTCGTTGTTTATGGACTTTGAAATCGTGATGCCAACAGTGATTCTGCAGGGCGGACCAAAATGCGATATGCATGTCCACTCTGTCGTCAGGCCAATCATTCTCTTTCATCAGCGCTATCATACACGGAGCTGCCTTGTTAAATTGTTCCCAGGTGAGATTTTCATCTTTCACGACCTGCACTTTGGGGTCTCGCACAGCACCTGCCGGAATCCACTTGTGGAGACCATCTGAGGTGGGGAGCATGATGAGTGCGTCTTCATCGGCAGTGAATATAGTTCGTGAGGCTTCTTCGAGACTGCTATTCGTGAAGTAGAACAGCTCGCAGAATTCTCCTGATTTCATTCTGCGAATAGCGTATTGGCAAGGAAGGATTATAGGGTTGGACGGGATATCGATGTTACAGATTGGAGCATATTTAGATTTGTTCTTCTTGCGTTCTTCCAAGACTGCTGCTTCTTGTTCTGCTAAGAGAGTCTGCTGGCGCTGAGCTTCAGCTTCAGCCGCTTGTCTACGTTCTGCATCAGCTGCGACGGCTTCTTCTTGTAGTCTTGCAGCCCAACGGAGCTTGTCTGCGTTGTTCTGAATGCGCCATAGGCTGGCAAGAAGCTCTGCTGCTTGTTTGTGACGACTGTGAGAAGCTTATGGCTTTCAGAGGCGGCACAGTGGGGAATTCAGACGGACAGATAACCAGATACAAGATAAGATTATTGACCACCGAACTATACTAGACAACGTAGGTAAGACTTTATAGCGTATAGTAAAGTAAGGCTTGTGATAAAAGAAATCAGCTGTTAAAGATATTTGGTTTCATATGTGTCAGGGGGGAATCGATCTAAGAGTTTCGACAGCGTGCGTGATCGGTCTAGGCTTGGCCTATCCGTCACATACCCCCCTCCAGAGGTTGCTCAATGACCTCTACTTCTTAGGGACACGCCCTTTCCCCTTAGCTTGCCTCGCGTCCGTGACGTCATCTGTGGTTTCGTGGTCAAGCATATCCGCGTCCACATCCTCAGGTGGAGATGGATTCTCTGGAACAGGGGTTATGGGAGGCGGAGGATTATTAGTGAGGAATGGGGAATGGGCACGAGTGGTGGTGGATGGTCCGGCCAGGGCATTGGTAGTGGTTTGGCCGACCTTCGATGCCGTGAATGGTTTGAGCGCCTCATCATCCTCGCGATGCTGCCTCTTGGCACGTCTTTCAGCCACCCCTCTCTCTTGCCATTGCTTCTGCTTGTGGATACGCTCCAGGTTGTCCCACAAAGCTTCGTCCATGAGTTCTGAATGACGCTGGTCTAACCACCGCCCCCCTGCTTCCTCCCTAGGGTTAGTGGGAGGTGGAATGGGTCGTCTAGCGGCGTCAAGGCCTACGAGTTCCGCGAGGGTAGGTGGACGCCCTTGCACGCGCACTCCTGAATTGCCCTCCAAGACTAACGCGACTTGAATACCATTGTCCCCATTACTATTGAGTGCAACGGCAAACTCATCATAACCAACGGGGGATGGGATCGTAGTGAGATTGTTACCTCCTCGCAAATCAGCATCGTGCTGGAGGTAGATGCGAATCTGATCCAGGGTCAGGAGTAGGGTGACTCCTGGCCTGTACCTATCAGGCATGGCGAAACGCCCATTGTCCAAGGCACGGAAGAGTGGGATGGGAATAGCAGTGGACATGGTGGTCAAAGTATCGGTGATGCTGAGTGGAGTACGGCGGGTGTTGACAGATGGGGTGGAGGTGGTAGGCGAGCGGCATGTTATATACCCTAGCTCCCAGCCTATACTACCTAGAAACACATGCGGGTCGTCAGTAGGAGGCGATCTGTTACCTTCTGCCAACTCAGAGACATTTTCTATGTCTAAGACATGAAAATACTCCTTCAACGCATCCAGGTGATCGATCCGATGGTACGGAAGCCACGTTACGTCCCCAGACTTCCACCTGACTTCAAACACAGCCTCCGATCGGGTTCCCTTATGGGAAATGATCCGATCAACTGCCCATTCCTGTTTCTCCTCTTCAAAGTCCGCGACCTGCATTTCCAAACATCCGGGGAACAGCTGGTCATCGTTTGGCAGGTGAACTCGAAGGTAAGACGAGTGGAACACATCATGGATCCCTCATTGTTTCATCCGGTTAGGTAAGTCCAGTCGGAACGAATTGTTTCCGAAGTTTTCTAGAATGCGGTAAGGTCCCACAAATTTAGGTAAGAACTTACGAGCTAATCCCTTAGGAAAACTGATGTTCTTTGTTGATAGGTACACCAGATCACCTTGTTCCAAGGGACAAGGACGTCTACGCTTATTTGCGTCCTTGGTCTGTTTCACTCGTGCGGCTATCATGGCGTCATGCGCAGCCATTATGGTATGTTTCAATTTCATGGTGTATGCCCTTACTCCTGGGTATTCTGATGGTCCGGGATTATTCCAGATCATAGTTTGTGGCACGCGTCCAGTGTTAGTAAAAAATGGTGAGTACCCGGTGCTCTCAGAGCTTGCTAAATTAATAGCGAACTCGATGGCTGGTAGTCTTACCGCCCAATCCTTTTGGTTTGGGGAGATACTCAATCTCACCATCTGAGTCACTGTCCTATTAGCGCGTTCAGTGACCCCATCCGTTTCTGGATGATAAGCGCTGGACATTCGTTGTTTTACACCTATGAGCTTCTGAAAGTGAGTCCAGAATCCGCTTGTGAAGAGCACATCCCTATCACTGATTATTCTCTTAGGTAGCCCATGTAGCTTATAAACCTCAGAAAACACGAGCTCTGCTACGTCCCGAGCCATGTACGTTGTTCGACTGGGCACGAGATGAACCATACCCGTTAGTAAGTCGATTATCACTGTAACCGAGTCATACTCAGCGTCCCTATCCTTAGATATCGGTAGGGGTCCTATAAAATCAATACCAATAGCCTCCCATGGATAGGACGGTACTGACAACGAGTTGAGTAGTCCATATGGCCTTTGATTGGAAGGCTTGCTTCGCTGACATGTCACACAGGTTTCACAATACGATTGCACATCCCGCACCATATCTTTCCACCACACATGCTCGCGCAGGTAAGTAAGAGTTTTTCTTGCCCCAAGATGGGCCAACAGCGAGTGAGCTTGACTAATTACTATTTCCTGCAGCTTTCTATCATCGATCGTGATGTCTGGCACACAGATCACAACCCTATCAGCAAGTTTTATTCTCAGGATCCCATCCTCCATCACGAAGTTGTGGAACTCCTTTGGCGAGTCCATTATCTTCTTAAAGAATGGATCCTTTTCATATTGATTCCTTAGTTTCCCCAGCAACTCCTCTTCAGGGTAGGTTGGTAGGGTTACTGCCTCCGCACTGGGACGCTCTGCGTCCTGTACTTCATCCATTGTATTCAGTAGTGGTTCAGAGGGGTAAGTGTTACCGCTCTCCCCCCCTTCCTTTCGTTTGCCCGGCCTGAGCAACACGAAATGATTCTTCACCTGTCTAGCAAACTCTTGGGACGTCTCAGGACGGCCCGTTTCCACTGGCGCCACAGCTGGCTTCACGCGAGAACGCGGCACCATTTCCGTGGGCAACATTGCGACCTTCCCACGAGGACGCACAATGTTTGATGTGGCAGGTGAGTGCCGGCCTGCTTCTTCATTCGAGTGGCCCGGCCCATTCAGTAGACAAGTATAAGTAACCCTTGCAGGCTTCGAGGCAACCATCATCCCATCAGCTCCCTCCTTCTGTGAGCCACAGGGTGTGGAGACCCTCTCCCTCTGTGCAACCAAGGGTGAGTGCTTGACATGAGTCCCCAACCCATCACTGTCTGTCTTCCAAGTGTTTCTGATCATCAATTGATCAGAACCACTTTGAGAATGGCCATCATCATGGCCCTCTGTCCTGTTTCTCCCATTTACCCTCGCGCTACGACGTGGACTCACCGCCAACACCTGCTGCCCCTTTGTCGCAACCGAGGGCATGGTGCCCCTCCCCCTCTGTGCTACCAAGGGTGCAGTCGTGGTCCGATGCCCCAGACCCTCACTGCCTGTTCCCCAGATGCTTTTGATCATCAATGGATCAGAAGCTTCTAGAGATCTGCTATCGAGGTGACCTGCCTTCACTGACCGCTCAGCCACCCGAGCGCTACGGCGCGGACTCACTGCCAACGCCTCCTGCCCCACGATTAAAGGCATCGATACCAATCTGTCGGGCTTTACAACCCTGTCAACGTCGTCATGCTCTGTATACTCGCTGGCAGTACGCACGGTCCCTGGCGCGTCGAACACATACATACGGGACAGGGCGTCAGGGAGCAGATTCTCCACACCCGGTAAGTACTTCACCTCGAAGTCAAACTCGCCAATTTTCTCAACCCAGCGCTGTCTTCTTACTTGAGGGTCTTATATAAAATCAGTGTAAAATGTAGTGACAATCACAACTACACTTTGATAAGACTAGGAGTTGCCAGCTCCTCAAGTTCACGGTCAACGGATTTTCTACTTCTTGGTTGATAATGTGTTGTTCGTGGGTGGTCAAAGAGTAAACAAGTTACCTCCTTGTTTGAAGAAACTATATAAACTGTGTCTGTGGATTTGTTGTGTCTGGAAAAATGATAGGTATGTTTCACCCTAGTAGGTCGTGTTTCAACCTATGAAAGTTTGTCTCAACTTTGTCGTGTTCTCCTGTTTCGTATCTCTCTTCCTGCAAAAGAGAGAGGTCTTCGTTAAGTGTACGTAGAGCTTGGCTCAGTAAAGTAGTGATGAGTAACTTAGTTATCTGGACAGCCTACCTGTGGGCTCTTTAACCTGAAGTTACTTTGTTGAAATGATAGTACTTGCACTCTCACTATGTCTTGCCTTGATCTCACTCTCAGATTAGTGGGATAGGTTTAAAGTGTAAGTTTGTCTTAGTCTTACTTCAAGGCACTTGGTTTGCCTGCACTTTGACTATGTCTTGCCTGATCACTCTCAGATTAGTGATATTAGGTTTAAAGTGGGAAGTTCTATTTGCATGGGTGTAAAATGGGCTCCTTTGATACCTTTTTGGAGGCCAGATTACTAAGCATGATTCATCACATGGATTGGTAAGAATGTGCTTACAAATCCTACCATTTGGTGTGCTGAGTCAGCTTGTTTTACTAATAATACATGTATCGTACAAAGCATGATAAATCAAAGGCATGAGTCATCTCATGGATTGGTAAGGTTGTGCTTACAAACCAAGCCTTTTGGTGAGCTGAGTCATCCTGTTTACTAAGAAGATTATAAATACAGTTGCAAGTCTTACAAACCATGACAAATCAGTGACAAAACACGATGAGTCAGGCTGAATCCTTACAAATCACCTTATTTCCCAGTCACATGACCTGATTACAAACATGATCAGTCAGCTAGTGAGAAAGTCTGATGAATAAGCCAAGAAAAATAGAAAGAAATGGAAGGTCACAGAACAAAATAGAAATACATAGAAATCCCCGTGTATAATATGAGAAATGAAACACGAGAAACGAGGCTTCAGAAAACAGACTGATGAATCAATGAAAAATGATAGAATCACTTGGTGATATGGTAGAGTACAGTTCATTATACCTTCCTTATCTTTTGTATAGCACACATGTCATGGTATGGACTGCATACCATGCATGACAGCGCGCTTGCCTCCCTGACAGGTTGCGCTGATTCAGTAGGTGGATGAGGCCCTTGTGGTCCATCAGCCAGACAAAGTGAGCACCCTGTAATATATCACGGTGTCTAAGCATAGTCTCAACCCCCGCCAGCATCTCTTGTTCGTGCACTGGGTAATTCCTCTGTGCTGAATTCAGTTTAGCTGAGTAGAAGGCGGCTATTTTCACCTCATGCCAGGTTGGTCCTTGCGCCACGACCCCACCTATGCCCCCTAAGCAAGCATCCATCATCATAAAGATGGGCTGCGCGTCCAGGCCATACACTAGAGGTACCCTGCAATGCGGCGCACACGTCGCAGTGTATTGCTTGACAGTGTCAAACACCCTTTGCTGGGCGAAGTCCCAATGAAAAGGTACGGCGTCCCCAGTTACTTCAGATAGGACGCCCAACGGCACTCTAACCTTATAAATGTCATCTGCCAGGTATCCAACAGACCCAACAAATCCTCGACAAAGGTCCCTGTTTGTAGGTGTCTTCCAATTCAGCACACGGTCGACCTTTTCCGGGTCCATGCGGATACCATCGTCCCCGACAATCCTTCCGAGGATCTTGACCTCTTCACACAGGAACTGAAGTTTCTTTTCGCTCAGGTAAAGACTTTCTCTATCTAAAATATCAAGCACCGTCTTAATATTCTCCACATGATCCTGCAGGCTGTCAGAATACAGGATGATGTCATCAAGATACACATCCATCCATTTGCCAAGGTATTGTCCAAACAAATGGTTCATCAACGCCTGGTACGTAGCTGGCGCATTGCAGTCACCCTGCTGCAAGACGTTACTGACCATGTTGCCATCTGGCGTCGTCATCGCTGTTCTAGGTACATGCTCGGGTATCACCCGAATCTGTTCATAGGCATCTTGCCCATCAAGCACCGAACGATACCGTTTGCCTGCAACACACCTCAATATTCCCTCCATATCAGGGAGCGGGGAGGTTAGTTTCCTAGTGTTCTTGTTTCGCTCCCGTAAGTCTATTACCGTCCACAATTTATCTGATCCGGGCTTACAAATAAACAACATAGGAACAGTATTCCCAGCACTCATTACTTGCCACCTCCCAGTGGCCAAGTACGAGCGTCTCTTCTCCGCCCATTGCGGGCATAGCGGCTCAGGACATTGGGAGGGACGCCACTGGTAAATTTTTGTCTTGTCTATTAATGGTATTGTATGATTTATAGCACGAAGAGGAGGTAAGCCAGTCTCACTCGCTTTAGCGCAGAGTGGGCGAGCTAACTCCCTCAGCTTAACCCTCACGTGTGCTAGGTTCTCGTGGTATATTTCCGACACACGCGACTCCAGCGTCGTGACCTCCTCACCCTTCATTGGTAAAGGCTCATTGCTGCCAACCACGACACGAGGTGGGTTTAATCCCATTAATATCTTATGCTGGAACATAAACGGCATCCCCAGTACTAAGTCATAATTTTGTAGGTTAATTATGTCGAAGTACCTCTCAGCCCTTATCGATTGGTACTCCAAACGGGCCGTAACGCCATGGTTCACTTTCGACCTCGAACCCTGTACGGCGAGCTGGACAGTTATTGGTTTGGCTAGTTCAACCAAAGGTAACCTTAGTTGTTCTGCCAATGTTACTGACATGAAGTCAGACAACGATCCTGAGTCCAGCAATGCCCTAGCAGGCTTGCCATTTATATGGACCACCACAACCACTGGCTTAGGTATTTTTTGTTTAAAATCCTTGGCCACAGCGGCACTTCATTGAAGAGCTGGGTAAGTTCCTGCTGGTATTTGCTGACCGTTCAGTTCAATTACAAACAGGTGAGACTCATTATAGAGAAATTGTGCGTTGGGCGCAGGTGTGTATACCCTTCTGACGATATCTTCGAGCTGACAATCTTCCTCTGACAGCTCCCCACGATCCAGGAGCCGGAACACATCAAATTCCTGTGCGGTGGCCGACAGCTCATCATATAACACATCGTAGGTTTGCGCTAGTCGCTTCTCATACCATCTAGCTAACTCGAATTTGGGGTTCTCCACCAGTGAAGCAGGTACGCTAACTTGATAGGCCAATACGAGGTCTCTGATCTTGTATGACCCATCAACCAAGCGATCACACTCGAAGCGACCTGGCCTCGCATAATCAGGTGGATCCTTGAGGAACGCTCTGTGTCTACTCAGGAGCTGGACGACCCGATCCACAAAAGGGGTCCCCATGCGTTGTAAGCTATCGCATTGCAGCTTCCTCCACTTTCGGACCTCTTCTGAGGTCATACCCCTTAGTTCTCTGATGCGTTGCGCATACCACCCCCCCAGTTCGAATTCTGGAGTCATCAGTAATGAAGTTGGAATGGTGAGTTCAGGGTCAGTTCTGGCCTCGTTATCCATTATAACATATTCACTTTCTGACACACAGTAAACCAGGAACCGCTCTGGGTCGATGAGCCCCCAAGGATCCGGGTCCCCAGGGTATATCCCCACGTCCAGGAGGTATTTTGCCTTCCTGGACAATACTTCGCCCATTTCAGTGGGCTTAGTCCCATGGATATCTCTCTGTGAGATCCACTTCTTTCTCCTAGGTAAGATCGTGTTATCACTAACCCTTGTGTAATTCTTAGCGCCCAGAGACTCCAAGGTCAGTGGGATCGTGTTATCACTGACTCTTGTGTCACTCTGGGTGTTCTCAAATTCCAAGGTCATTGATGAGCACCCAAGGTCCACTGCGTCATTCGAAGCCGTGGATTCCTCCAGGTATCGCATTCGGTCTGTCTCATTCAAATCCACCTCAATACTGTAATTCTGTATTCCTGGTGGGGAGTTTACCTTTCCATCACGTTTTACCGTGGTCTTCTGAGGACAATTTCTAGATATGTGCCCTGCCTGATGGCACACATAGCACAATCCCTCTGTGGTGTGTCGTTCTTTCTCAGCGGGACTTAGCCTGTCAACCCGTTTCTCATTAGGTTGGTACTTGGGTTTTCTTCCTTCCTTCCCCTGATGTCCCAAGTTACCAGCTTCTTTGGGCTGCCCATACCTATGGGTCTGGCCGTCCGCCCTATTGTACTGGCCATTACAACGGTGCTCGTGTTGCTTTCCCTTTTGGTCATCTGACTTTGGGTGGCGACCCCCTTCGCCTTTGTCCCCCTTTGAGTTGGCATTCCCCCCTCCATTATCGTTCTTAGCTCATCGGTCCCGAGCCTGGACAGGTACTGAGTGTGCAATCTCAATGATTTCGGCCGCACTCTGTACTTCCTTGAACAAGGAAGACTCCAGGTTTAACTCCTTCTTCCAGAGTTCAGTTTGTATACTTGAGTTAAGTCCAGTCCATAGGCGAGTTACTTGTTGCCTCTCCGCTACATCGCCTATCATGTTCCACAACTCACTAAGTTCATAGATATACTCTCTTACGGTTTTCTCATTCTGATAGCACCGGTTGAGCTTTTCCCTCTGCTTCATCCTGAAATCGATGGGGAAGCAGTGATTGAAGAGTTCAGTAAAGAAACACCTAAGTCTCCAGCAGTAAGGGTCTCCCGACACTTCTCTTGTATAAAACTCACGTGCGCGGCCCTTTAGATAGTGCGCGAGAATGAACACTTGTCTTTCTCGTTCCACCTGTCCGTCTTTGACGTAGGCAGTCCCCTCTGTCAGAAACTGGTGGAAGGCTCTCGAATCAGGGGATCCGTCATACATTACTGGAGGTATGGGTTTTAGGGTATTCTTCTTTGTCTTGCCCCCCCGCTTTTTCTAGCACGTCGTCGCGACGACTTTATGCTAGATTCATCCGAGGACGACTCACTTGACTCCGTGGGGTCAGGGGGATCTGATGAGCTGGACAATGAGCTGGACGAGCTCGACTCGTCACTGTCCCTGGGGTCTGGACTGGTGCGTGTTTTCTTTTTCTTCGCTTTTCTAGACTTATCCTTCTTTGAAGTATTCAGCCTTCCCAACACCTGACCTATGTAGCTTTTAGGGGCTACCTGTTGGATAGGTGCCATCGCAGGTGGTGTAGACCTAGTCGGCAGCGGGCTGGAAGCCCTTTCCAGTACCCTGTCCACCATTCCCTCTGCGGGATTTGTGGTCTTCAAGGGCCTTTTCCCCTTACCGACTTTCTCTTTCAAGGCGAGTTTCTTCTCGAGTTCCTTGATTCGAGATTCGAACTGACTAGTTACCTTGTCCTTAATAGCTTTTACCGCCAATTCAGCTTTGGCGCGAGGTACATAGTACCCCACGTCCAGCAGCCCCTTTACCATACTCTCATCCATTCGGGATTCATCAGGGTCCCGTGTTTCTTCCCGGGGTTCACCATCTCCCGAATCCTCGGCTTCGCGGGAGGCTCTAAATGACTCCAACGCGGCTCGCTGGGCTTCAAGGTCGACTTCCTCGTCCTCGAGGTCAAGGTCACCCCAGTTCCGAGGGTCTGGACCTTTGCCCTTACTCCTGGAAGGTCCTTCCTCCCGGGAGTCTGTGCTATCTCTACTAAGGCTTAGGGTGCGCTCCCTAGCCTCTATTTTCTTACGATCATTTCTTGTTAGCTCATTCTCCGCTAACTTTACCAGGTTTTCTTGTTCCTGACTTAACTCAGAGGTTCTTTGCCTCTCTTCAGAGTTCTCGCGCATCGGGGTCTTCCATCCGCGCTTCCTCTGGACATTTGTCCATTTATTGGTCTGATCGTCATCAGACGCTGTGGTCCTTTCACCGGACGAGCTTTCTGTCTCATTGTGTAGGTCAAAGGTAACATTATGTCCCTTTCTATTATTATCTACACTAATGGCTACACTTTCAGTTATCGCGTCTACTATTCCCGTCCTTCCAGGGCTAGGATCTTTGGGCTTCGAGCCCAAGGTTTGTATAGCCCCTATAGGGGTCGCCTCGAGCGCACCTGGCATCGAGGGGACTCGCGTCAACACCACATCGCTGTATAGGCGGATCGGGGTGTCGACGGAACGCGCAGGGGAGGACGCTCGAGGCGTCCCTTCCCCCGGAGATGTAGAGACTGAAGAAAGTGCGGACTCACTGTTTGTGCGCTGCAGGCCAGCTGCTTTGCTGTTAGGGGTCGAGTTCTTGACCAGCGCCTGTCGTGCGCGTAACCGGGTAGAATACTGTGTAGTAGTCATTCTATTGCTGTAGATGTTGCCTAGATTCAAAACGACGGGTTGGCCAAACCAGAGTTCCCGAATCAAAGGCGTGAAAAATATAAGCTTGCTGAAGGTTAAAAAATATGTGACGACTGTGAGAAGCTTATGGCTTTCAGAGGCGGCACAGTGGGGAATTCAGACGGAAAGATAACCAGATACAAGATAAGATTATTGTTGAATCACGCACGTCATCATTTCAAGCTCGTCATTGTCTCTCGCACTTTTTCCTTTTCTATTCTATCACGTGTCATTCAAGTATATAATACCTATCGCCTCGTTCTCATATACCTCAGTCGTTGTTTCAAACACTGAGGTATGTTTCCTAGTTTCAGAGCATCCCGCCGTGTCTTACAATAATTCTCTTAGTGTTTCCGTCTGTTAGGTATTGCACTTGCAATCTAGTCGTTGTTTCAAACACTGAGCGTTTCCGTCTGTTAGTTCGAACAGGTTATGAGCCCCGATTTCTAAATGAAATCACAAACCTCGACAACAGAACTGAACCACGCTTCCTTACACGCGACTCGCTGTAATACTTTCCTTCGACATGGGGAAACTTGATCATATCCCAGAACTAACAGGACCCGACACGTACTTCGCGTGGAAACGCGAGGTCATGTACGCGCTGGGTACTGAAGACCTCTGGTGTCATGCTATGGACATGGCGGATTCTGATGACATATTGGGGAATGCCTCATACAAGCCAACTCCCGCCAATCCCGATTTACCGACTGCCGAAGAGACGAAGTCCATCAGACAATGGCTAGTCAACGATCTCAAGGCTAAGTCAACTATCACACGCCGCCTGTCCACTTCCGTCCAACAGCTCATTTCCACCAGCCACAAAGTCTCTGCGCGTGACGCTTGGAAGATCCTCGAGGATCACTTTGGCCGAACGGACATCGGATCTCAACATGTCATCAGGCAGAGCCTATATGCGCTTCAAATGAAAGATGCTGCAGATGCCTCCAACTATGGAAGGCACGCGGTGCTTCGTGAACGCCTCCTCCGCATGGGTGCAGTATACACCGACGCAGAAGCGGTTTTCCAGCTTCTTCGTGGCCTCCCTCGATCGGGAACATGGCCTCAATTCAAGGCTCTTGTCACAGTCACCCTGTCTGTGTCCCTCACGTTTGACGATTGCGTGACACGCATCTCTGCTGAAGCTGCGCGCATGCTTGACGAGCACACACTGGCAAGCACACCCGGGTCCGAATATGCCAATGCTGTTGCTGTCCCCTCCACAGCTCCCGCCACGAATGTCAATCCGATCACAGGTCTGCGAAAACATCGCCACAACCCTGACAGCGTGTTTTGCACAACTGTGGGATGCAGCAAAGGTGACCATGATCACGCCCATTGCTACGCAAAGGGCGGAGGAATGGAAGGGCAGGCTCCTTGGCAGAAAGGGAAGAAACGCGATACAGCCGCATTGGCCATCACCATACCACCAGTCCCTGCTGCTCCATTAGTCACATCACCAGCCTCTTCCACCATTGCAGCATTCGCTGGCACACACACTGCGGTCACCTCATTCCTGGCTGATCTGTCCTGCGCCTCGATCACCGAACTCTCTTGTCTAGTGGCAGCAGGTTTCAACACAATCCTCGATTCCGGAACCACAACCACACTTATTCAAGACTGTTCGTACTTCTGGTCCTATTCCACAGCGGATGCCGTTACCGTCCGCACCGCGAACCATGGGAGTTTGACCACGTCTGGCAGAGGTGATTGCGTCGCCATCCTTTCGATCAATGGACAGAAGCATCGTGTTCGCTTGACGAACTGCCTCCACGCACCCTCCGCGATGCTCAACTTGCTTTCGGTAGGATGGATGCTCTCTAAGGGCTGGGACTGCGTGTTCCGCAGCTCGCCACCACGATGCGAACTTGTATATAGGGGAACTGAGCTTGGTGCAATTCCTATGGCGAACAATCTCTGCTACGTCAACCTCGAATTCCTACCTGCTCCCACTTCACCAGTCAAATCATCGTGTTCCCTTATTCCATGAGTACCACCTGATCTGTCGGCGTTCGCACACATTGTCCCCACTCTTGACCTTTGGCACACCCGCCTCGGTCACATTGGTGGTGAAGCTGTACGCCGGCTACCTCTCTTCGCATCGGGTGCAACCGTGTCTCCCAGCTCAGAACTGTCTAAGTGTGAGGCATGTATAATGGGTAAACACCCTCGGCGCCCTCATCCTCCCTCCGAAACACCACGTGCATCTCATTTCCTTGCACTCATTCACTCCGACGTCTGTGGTCCTATTCCCATCCTTACTCCTCACAATAAACGATACTTTATCGTGTTTGTTGATGATCATACAAATGCTCTCAACTTACAACTTCTCGCATCAAAGGACCAAGCACTCGAAGCCTGGCGTCTTGTGCGAGTACAATGGGAAAATCAATCCGGACTAAAAGTTAAAGTGTTTCGCTCGGATAACGGAGGGGAGTTTATAAATGCGGCATTCACGAAAGACCTTCAGGATGCAGGGATCAAGCGGCAACTGGCGGCACCATATGCGCATCAACAGAATGGTAAGGCGGAGCGTGTACTGCATACCATCGAGGGTCGCATGTACGCAATGCTCACTCACGCTCGCCTCCCTCGTTCTTTGTGGGGTGAAGCGGCACTATGTGCCGCTTACCTTTTCAATCGCTCAGAATCGTGTGCCCTCCTACCAGGTGTCACTCCCTACGAAATGCTCCACGGCACGAAGCCCAATGTCTCTCATCTTCGGGTTTTCGGTGCACGGTGCTTCGCACGCATTCCTCCTGAACTACAGGAGAAACTCGGTCCACGGTCTCGCGAGGCAATCTTTATGGGGTATCCACCAGGCGTCAAGGCCTGGCGCTGTTGTGACATAGTCACCGGGGCATTTTTCAATTCGCGCGACGTAATTTTCGATGAGACTCTCTCAAATCGCCCCTTCCCCACGTCCGACAGCGACGACGAGGACGAGGACCCACCACATCATGACATTCAGCCTCCTCCTCCCAATGATCATCCTCCTGCGCCAAACCCTCTTCCCAAACCTCCATCTGTGACCACCGAGGCCGCACCTCATCGTTCCAGTCGTCCTCATGTCACAACAGAACGTGGACGTGTTTATCGCAAACAACTTGCCTCAGACACAGCTCGCCTTGGACGCCAATGAGACCTTCGTGCAGCTCGTGTCCAAGGCGTCCCACCGGGCGATAGTGAACTTCCAGCTCCTCCCGTTCCTGTCGTTGATCATCCTCATCTCCTCCCAGCTCCGACACATCCACTCGCAGTTGAAGACGAAGACGAAGACGAAGACGCCATCCGTCCCGATACCGAAACCGTCAGCTTTCCAGCCACCCTAGCCAACCTCATCGTCGCTGAGCAAGCATGTATCTCCATACGCAGTGACACCTGCAGAAACCCGCAAGCTGCTGGGTATGACATGAAGATACCTCCCAACACCTTCGACGAAGCAATGCGTCGTTCTGATCGCGACTCCTGGCTGGCGGCAATGAAGCGAGAAATCAATCTGATGAGTGAAATGAATGTTTATGAGCTTGTCCCCTTACCCAGTAATCGTCGTGCAATCGGGTGCCGGTGGGTACTGGAATTTAAGAGGATCAGAAAGGTGGTTCGGTCTTCAAGGCACGACTTGTTGCGCAGGGCTTCTCCCAGGTGGCCGGGATCGACTTCGGAAAGACCTTTGCTCCAGTTGCCAAGGTGTCCTCAATCCGCGTCATCTCCGCATAGGCTGCACGCAACAATTGGGAATTAGACAGCTTCGACGCTAAGCGGGCGTTCCTGTGGGGGAAGTTAACGGAAGATGTTTATATGCACCAGCCACCGGGTTTTGAGCGTTTTGGCGCCGACTTTCAGCGTCTCGTCTGCCATCTTCTATCCTCACTCTACGGACTCAAACAAGCTGCCTACGACTGGTATGAACTTTTGAGAGAAGTTCTTACTCACCTAGGTTTTGTTCGAGTCGCTGCAGACTACGCCGTATTCGTGTACGATCATGTCAATGGAGAAGGCGAGCGCATCATCTGCGTTATCGCATGGCATGTCGACGATGGTCTCGCCGCAGCCAGCAACCGTCCCTTCCTCATATGGATCAAAGGGCAAATCGCCCAGAGATTCGGCATCACAGATCTTGGGCCTGTGGCGAAATACTTGGGGATTCAATTCGAGTGCAACCGAACGACATGTGAGCTATGGATGCATCAGACCGACTACGTCATGTATCTACTTGAGGAACACGGTATGCTACATTGCAACCCGGTCACTCTCCCCATGGACGCTCGTTTTCCCTTCGGCCGAGATACTGATGTACATCCATTCATCGAGGATCTCACCACCGAATATTGCAAACTCGTTGGTGAACTACTCTATCTCGCTATGTACACACGCCCGGACATCGCAGTAGCCGTAATGAAACTCTCCCAACACAACTGTTCCCCAGAACCACGTCACTATGCCGCAGCCAAACACGTCCTCCGCTTTCTCGCAGGCACAATCAGTCTTCGCACACATTATGAGGGTGTTTCCTCAACACCTGATCTTCACGGCTTCAGCGATTCAGATTGGGCAAGCTGCCCCGAAGACCGCATATCCATTTCGGGCTACGTCTGGTTCTTCAACGGAGGTCCCGTCTCGCATTCATCGAAGAAACAACTCACCCACGCATTATCCTCAACTGAAGCTGAATACATGGCCCTCACCGCGGCAATTCAAGACGGCCTCTGGTTGACATCCTTCTTTGAGTGTCTCAACATCCCACACACCTTACCATTGCGACTCTACGCCGATAACGCCGGGGCCATCGCTCTGTCTGAAGAAGCCGCGAATCACATTCACACAAAGCACATAGACCTCCGGTATCATTTCATTCGCGCACACATTGAAGAAGGGACTTTTAAACCAGAGTGGCTCTCCACACACAAGAACGTCGCGGATATTTTCACCAAATGCCTTCCACGCCCATTATTTCTTCGTCATCAGTCCGGACTCTCCCTCACGTCTCGCTAGTATCAACAACATGTTGTTGTGGGGGTGTGTTGAATCACGCACGTCATCGTTTCAAGCTCGTCATTGTCTCTCGCACTTTTTCCTTTTCTATTCTATCACGTGTCATTCAAGTATATAATACCTATCGCCTCGTTCTCATATACCTCAGTCGTTGTTTCAAACACTGAGGTATGTTTCCTAGTTTCAGAGCATCCCGCCGTGTCTTACAATAATTCTCTTAGCGTTTCCATCTGTTAGGTATTGCACTTGCAATCTAGTCGTTGTTTCAAACACTGAGCGTTTCCGTCTGTTAGTTCGAACAATTATTGACCGCCGAACTATACTAGACAACGTAGGTAAGACTTTATAGCGTATAGTAAAGTAAGGCTTGTGATAAAAGAAATCAGCTGTTAAAGATATTTGGTTTCATACGTGTCAGGGGGGAATCGATCTAAGAGTTTCGACAGCGTGCGTGATCGGTCTAGGCTTGGCCTATCCGTCACATTGTTGCTCGTCTACTGTGTCGTTGATAAGCTGTGCACGCGCTTCTGCGTATTCGTTTGACTCGAAGTCAGGAATGACGGCCAAATTAGGGTTCTCCGCGAGGAGAGGCATTGCGGTAAATAGTTATTGCAAAGAAAGACTGGGAGATATAGAGTAGATAATACGAGAAATCTAATAGCGAGCTGCTGAGGCTCGATTACTGACGTGGGTCAGAGCAAGGTATGCGTTGTGCCACTCTGCTTACTCAAGCGTAGACTTAATTCTGCGCTAGCCGAGGCACGAGGCTAGCGCAGAAAACCAATATTGGGAGACTGACCGCGGCTCAGCGTGCGCCGTGAATCCTGCTGGTGGCGCCATATTTCTCTCATTCAAACTTTCAAGGATTCACAATGTTAGGCGTGTTGCGGCCGAGGTCTATCTGTAGGTCCACAACTGTTCGGAGACGGTTTGGTTTCTCCTCAAATTTACATAACGCCAGTTACCTGAGAGCCATCAATTGATTCAAATCCCTGGCGTCAAGCTCCAGAAGGTCTGCTCCCCGCACCCTCGTCATGCTACTCACATGTCTTTTCATCTCGAAACACAGGGTTCTCAGTTCACACCTGCTGGATGCTGTAACTTGTTTCGAGCCTAACCAACATGGCGTGAAAGAGCCGGGACCAAAACTCCTCCTGTAGCTCTGATCAGCGGACTGTGGTTGTGGGAGAGCAATGCTAACATGATCTTCCCCAAATCTTCCCTGCAGTCACCTCTGCATTCCAAAATTGGTTTCGAGCTAACTGTCTTGCGCCCCCATGACAGGAGGGGTCCAACCTGTGTCCTAACCCACCCATTGTTCTTCTGCTGTCGGTCAGCATTGACTCGGAGCAGCCAGAACACATGAACACCCACTTGTGTCCTACTGGGTAGTAGGTACGGGGTCCCGGTATTGGCATTGACTATGTCAAGACCATTGATGGACTTGTGAGGTCAATGCCAGACTGTTATAGAAGGAATGTCTGTCTTCCTTCTATCTGCCTGCGGAAAAGTAGCAGACCGTGGTAAGTTAATCCCGCTGCGTCACTGGCAACTGCATTCACCAAATTTTCCCCGTCATGGAACTTAAGCATCGGCTCATGTAGGCGGAATTCGACGACCGGCGTTTCGAGTTTACCGCTTAGCCGTGCTGCCTGACCTCCGTGCGAGGCATTGTGAGGTCACATGTCACTTATTCGCTTCATCGTCACGTAAACGATAGGGCAACTTGTCCATTCATATCTCGGGTGGGAGGTAACCGAAAGGCATTTGACATCATCTTCCAATACATCTCATATCTGTGGCGCACGACTCCGCCGGCAGATGAACAGCTTAACATCTTACCCCATGGGGTTCAGACCCACCCGACTGTAACATTCGTGTAGACGAATAAGTGAGAGAGGTAAGTATCCTCAGGGGTAAGAACATTCTCGTCATTAGACTGTTTTTCTCAATTCAAATCCTGTTAAATCTTAAGGCCCTGGGCCACTTAGCTTGCAGGCACACCATCAACGTTTCTTCGTTATGTAAACGACAGTCCAATTATTTGTCCATTCAAATCATGGGATCCCGCCTTGCTCAGAAGGGCACGTCTTCCATTCCACCTCATTGACGATTTACGACACTTCCACTCCACAGAACAATTTCAATACCGGCAGAGGACTAGGGGGTTCCGATTTGCCAATCATCTTGTGCAGACAAATAGGTAAAAGATCTAGATGGCGTGCTCGGTTCAGCCGAGCACTCGAGGTATATAAGGGCTTGTCTGTCTCTGAGTTATTCATCCCCACCTCTCCCATTCACAACTATCAAACAACATGCCCACTGGTACATACAAGCTACAAAGTGTTGCTCGCCCAGGGCGATACATCTCCCTCGCCGACGGCAAGGTCGTTGGAAACTCTGCAGAATCCGGAGCCGTGATTGAGGTATGATCGATTCTAGAGACCACCTCTCATGGCTTGCTCGAGACTTTTTGAACACATTTCTTCAGTGGTATGCAGCGTTTGACGAGGAAAACCTAGCATCATTCCAAGCGGTCAGCAACGGACAATTATTTGATGAATACATCTCTTTCGACTCCGAGGTAAGTTGCCCTCTTTCCTCTTTCACCTCAACGTATGGTGAGCTGATGGAGTTGCTGTTGCATTCCAGACTGGATCTTTGACGACTTCTAAGACGCCCTATCTTTTTGCGGTCACACCAAGCCCCCGCCAGCCCTCCTTTTTTGCGTGAGTCTATAGTCGCGGGTAGAACCACTATGTCTCTTAAACAGCTTCCCTTCAGCATGGAGGTCGTAGCCATAAAGAAGGTTTGGGCACTAACGTCATGGGACCAGGGCGCACCTGTAAGAACCGTCCATTGCCTTTCTTGATGGAATGTCTTCTGATATCATGTTGCAGATCGAGCTGCAGGACAACACCGATGCCACTCAGCAGTTGTGGCTGTTTGATGCACCAGGATCTGCTGAGTAAATCCATGTAGTACATTCTGTCGTGAAATGTGTAGGTTAAACGGCTTCGGCGAAATCAATCGATCACTTGTTATACTGTATTTGTTAGTAACCTGGAAGATTCCTCACAATGTAGGCGCGACATTTACGGGTGTCAGCACTTGCCCAGGTCTGGTCTAGATCGCATGGACTGGGGTAGCAGTACAGCAGGAAGCCATAATGTCGGGATTACTGAGGAATTCCACGATTAGCTTGCAGATATAGCCTGAGTGAAGCCGCATTTAATATTCAATGGCCGATTTATGTCCTAGCGAATTACAGTAGTGAGACGATTCACCTGTTTTGAATCGAACAAGAATCGACGTCCACTCGTCTGCGACGTTCAGTGGAGGTGTATTTGTTATCCACCTTCGAGAACTTCATCTGACTCATGATGCCTGCGGCGTGCAAGGAAGGAACGACGGCGGGTGATGGCAAGAGCGATGAGTTCGATAGGATCGCACATGAGAATTACGCTATACATGAGCTGGTAGTATCGACTCGTGGCAGGTGTGATATCGTGATGATATACTGGCATACAGTTACATGCAGAGTTGATGATGAGAGTGCAAAGCAGGTGATGTACAAATTATCTTGAGACTGAGGAAGTCCATGAGGCGGGCACACAGGTGCAGCAACAAAAACATCAAGAAAACTAACGGCAGCATTTCGGATACGCTTGACAGCACCTGAGTGAAGGGAAGGGTGAATGACGGTGGCGTCAATTTCATCACACTCGCTCACCTTAGGACCAATCCTCGTCCCTCCACGGACCACTGATAAGCAACGGATCATCCGACATAATGTCGTCATGCACAAACTTCTTCCTCCCCCTCTTGTCTTTCACCCTTTGCGCCAAACCAACATAGTCGAGGTCCTCAGTGCTCCACGGGCCCACGTTCTCGTTCACCTTGAGAATGTTCATGTCATCTTCCGACCTACTGTGAGCATCACATCGCGTCAGTTGCATCATGGGCTGTTTCCTCATGGCTCCCTTCGAGTGTGGCCGTATCGCGAGTTTCGAGTTGGGACCAACGACGGTGCCAGAGCGCGTGCGGCCAGGGAGGGAACCAGCAGGCCCAGCGATGGTCGAAGCGAGGGATGTCAGTTTGGAGCCACTAGCGCCAGAGGGAGCGGGCTGTGCGAAGTCAGATGCGCGGATTGTCCCGGCGCGGTTCCTCTTATGCTTGGTGGCGTTTGTTTTCTTGGAGCTAATGCCGGCGGGGCTCTCGAGGGAGCGGGTACGCATTGGGAACTGGGTACCGTGTGCACCTGCATTGTCATGTCTATCTGTAGATACGAAGAGGTTCAGTATCGGGCAAAATATTAGGCAAATCTGAAAGATCGGAGCCTGGGAGAGGGTCATCTGTGCAAGGGTAACGACATTGAAGTAAATGGCAGAGGTCACAAGCATGAAGGAATTGATGTCAACCGCATCACGGTCGGGAAGGGAGGTGGAGCCACCGAGAGCGTGCACATACCGCCTAAATCAAGCGATAACATATCTTGGATCAGGTCAGCTTCGCTTGGCGCGCTTATGCCTGAGGTAGCACCACGGGGCGGTAAATTAGCTGACGCGTTTCTCGCGGCGGAACCTGGGCACTCGGGAGCAGGCGAACTTGATCCATGTGAAAATGTGAGTTGTTGGCCTATCGCGGTGTGTATTGCGACAACTGGAGAGGCCGGGGCCGGGGGGACCGGGGGGCTTGAGCCAGAAAGTGCTAAGGCATGCTGACCCATCGAGACCGTGTGCCGTGGTCCGGAATTAGCCAAGTCCGAAGCGGGGGGAGGAGAAGATCCCAGAGGAATCATGTATTCGCCCAATGAGATCTTCTGAGGAAGCTCGTCAAGAGACATAGACATAGGTGCACTGCCAGCACTATCAATGTGATCATCGCCAACGTCAGGTGCATTAGGGATTTGGTGAGACCTAAGCGTGAATGAGCCAGAGGAAGAGATAATGCTATTGCCTGAGATGCGGATTTTGCGGTGCTCGGTGTGATCTGCCATTTCAAAGTCCTCGTCACGCGCAAGGCACGGGGAAGGGGCAAGGAAGGCTAGCTTTGAAGGAGATTCTGGTGCCAGGAGGCCTGTCTTGCTGCCAGAGCGGCTATGCGGTGGGGTGGAGAAAAACTGGGCACGATCAACAAGAAAGGGTGATGCAGACAAATTTTGGATCGGATTGGGTCGGACAATGGACTCCGGATCGGGCTCACAGATACCTGCACGAATTGTAAGTGGTTTAGACGGGGAAATCCAGTCCTGCTGCGCAATATGAGATAGCATATATGAGGGATCTGGGCTCGAGGGGCGACGTTGATGCTTTGAAGGTGAATATCTGGCTGGCTCATTGAGAGAGAGCGTAGAGTCCTTGCGGGAGAGCCTGGTATAGTTGAGGGACATGGTAGAGTCTTTACGGGAAAGCTTTCTGTCATTCAGGGATATGGTGGAGTCCTTGTGCGAGAGTTTGCGGCGAGTATATGCACTATCGGTTTTCTGGAAGGCACCAGAAAGTGTACGAGATTTCAAATGCAGAGGAATACGAGATGATCGTAGCTTCGATTTGATTGTGGAGTCAGCGTGAGGGGAGGAGGGACGGCTGTGGAAAGGCGAGGCAAGGGGAAGGGATGTGCTATTCTCCTTCAAATTTCGCGAGCTCGTTCGCGAAAGAATACGTTTGGCATTTGGTACGGGAGAAAACTCTTCTGGTGCCAATGGGCGCGTAACCGATGACGGATGGACGTACTCCGCAGAAGGAAATGGCGTTTGAAACGTGTTGATATCTGCTTCTGCTTCTAGAGCATCTGATTCGACAGTCTGCCTGGAACGTTTCACAACACGACCCTTGAGTCGCACTGTGTCGTCGTCTTCGCGAGCGATACCCCGAGAGCGCTTGAGCATTCGCCTAGACATCTCTGAACGCGTGATGTCGTCGCGATCAGGCGGAAGGGCTTCAAGTGGAGAAGACAAGAGCTTCGCAGCAGCTTTTGCACGTCCACGTTTATGTGCATATGTTACCTTGACTGGCTGTCGAGCCATTGTGTGTGAGTCTTTGTGCAGTTAGACTGTCGAACACACGCGATCATAACATCTGATCATGAGACGTTGTGGAGCATGCTTGATTACATAACGAAGCTGTTGCCACACAAAACCAAACATCGCACGTCCAAATTAGTACTAGTATCCCATACTTGGTTGGACCTCGAAAGAAGGAAGTGGTGTCCTGGCTTGTCCGGATGCACTCCTGAAATACCCGACTCGAGATCTGGCTTGCGTTCCAGGCAACGCAGGGTCGGCAAAATACTTCTCCAGCAAGCTCGGAGAATACAAAGGCTAATTATTCACCTCCAGTGTTGTCAAGTTGCATAACTTTGATGCTTCGATATCATACCGCATTTCAGATTGATGGCCGAATTTCTCACAAGGTAACTGTCGTCCGGATCCAAGGGGCGAGAATACATGTAGTTTAAGTATACGAAGTAGAACTAGTGCTGTGTTCCGCCGGCAGAACTGTCAGAAATATTATGTTCTGCCAGGGTGGCGGAATTAATTCTTAGTGGGAGTACTTTGCGATTTTGAGCCAGCGCTTAAGCCTAAGTCCATCAGCTACACAAAAGGTAGTAAACTAACGGCCGCATAAGCCTTTTTTTCTCCAATTTCTGTCCATTTGCATAAGCTTTTGCATGAGAGCACCGAAACCTTCATGAAATGTCTCTCACCAGTAAATCTAGATAATGAATTATTCACTACTAGTCCCATTCCTGAGGCCTGACCTGATCCAATACAATACGTCACGCAGCACGTACCGGTAATCTAGGTAGCAGCTGATCGACATTTTCGACGGAGGAGTAGGAACCTGATTACATAACGAAGCTTTTGCCATACACGAACAAACAACCCTCACGCGTCACGGTGGCTCCAAAAACAAACCACATCAACTACATAGTATTATAGGTCTGCCACGCCAGCCGTACTCTGCCACAAAAATCTATGCTTTCTTTCTAGGTTCAATTTTATATTTTTCAACAGTTATCTTGCATAGGCGTAGGCACTTGGCACTTGGCAGTCCGCTATGGTTGTTACTCGCAGAACCCCAGTGGTTCCAGCACCTCCAGTTTCCCGTACACCATCTTCACAAGGTCAACCACGCTCTGCTAGAGCAACTGTAATACAGGATGCATCTGCGGTACCTCGTGTGTCAAGCCCACTAGCATCCGGAGACGCGCGCACCGCAGCTATCATTACCGGAGCCTCTAATAACTTCAAGCAATATAACGACAAGGTGAGTAGGCACGATGAGCTTCTAGATGGACCAGTAGAAATATATCCGCACCTTTCGCGTCTTTTCTTGGAGCTATGTTGCTTTCAAGTTGTTATTTGCCAAGTCTAGTGTAAGGGGCTAATCACGCGATTCAGGATGAACACAAAACATCAAAGAAGAAAGACAAGCCTAAGAAATCAGGCAAAGTAATCATCCCTTCTTCATCGCTCTGATATCTTTCACTCACCGACTCGCTGATAGAAGAAGAAGCGTAAATCCACTATCCAGTCCCTTCTCGACTTCCTCACTAAGCTCCTTTTGTTCGCCTTTACGATATACGTCTTTTCCGTCTGCCCTCGTGAGGCACATCTCCAATCTCCCGTTTGCCGCGGCCTATCTGAGTACAAACGTATTGTTCTCGATCCGTACGTTATCCCACCATTACAGGCTGCGCTTGCGCACCCGTCTGTCGCGCCATACTTGAACCGCATCGCCGAGGTTTCAAGTCCCATTATCCTCCGTACGCAAGGAGAGTGGACCGGACGCGTTTTGCCGCAGTGGGAGAAGCACGTTGTTCCAGTGTGGAGCAACCGCGTTGTCCCTGCCTTCACAGCCTATGTTGTCCCCCAGTGGGAAAAGCGCGTCGTACCACAATGGCAGAAACACGTCGTCCCCCAATATGACAAGCACATTGTGCCGCAGTTGAGCAAACTCGAACCATACGTCGCGCGCGCAGAGTCGTACGTCGAGCAAGCAGGAACGACATACACCACGCGCATAGCTCCGCACGTGCGTACTGCTACTTACAACCTGCAGCGATGGCAGCAAAAGGCACAACCTTACACCATTCTTGCCATCCAGAAAACTCAGGACACGTATTACGCAGCAAAGCCCCACGCTGTGCCTTTGGCAAAGAGAATCGTTGCTGAGGTGCAGCACGCGCTTTTGTTCCTAAGGGAACAGAGACGGATTTTTGTCGACCCCCATGTGGCGAAATTGTGGGAGAAAGTCAAGGAGCTGAGCCGCGGGTCACCAGCGACTTCAACATCTACCGATGTTCCATCTGACACCACGGCCTTCCCAAGCCCAGAACCTGTTATTTCTGAGACATTGGAACCGGAGTCAACTTATGCCCCGATCGCACCCACATCCGACGATCAACCTGCGGCGGAAACAGATTCCCCATGCCACACAGCGACCGAAACATCATCCGTTGGAACGCTTCTCAACAAGGATGCAACGACAGCTGCAGAAACCGAGGTGCCCATCCCATTCGATGCCGTGCCGATAACGTATCTCAGCTCACAACCGGCATCCGCGTCCTCTTCTCACTCTCCCTCAAACTCTGTGCCAACACCAGTGCAGACCCCCGAGAGCGCGTCGTCTGTCTTATCAGAGAGTGCATCAGCTGCTCCCTCAATCGTATCTGCTGCTGTCGATGATTCAAATTCACCTATCGCTTATGCTACCCTCACTGGCTCTGCTGCCTCCAGCTCGGCTCCCGCACATATCAGCGACGATGATGAGATCGACATTAGCGCATTTTACGCTGAACTTGGGCTCGATGAACCCTTGACCGCATCCCAATCTCACGAGCAAGTGCCCCTCAATCCCCCGGAATCGGAGGAAGAGCGTGCTGAACGCTTGCGCCTTAAAGCTGAGGAGACTGCCCGCAAACGTGCCGATATCGAGGTCCGTCACTCTAAGTGGGAGACTGACCTTCGGTCTCAAATGGAGACTGGTTCGTCTACGCTGAAGGGCAAGCTCGAAGCAATTAGGAGCGTTGCTGCCGTTGAGCTTGCGGAAGCGCCTGAAATTCGAGACGCCATTGAGAGCCTTGTCGCTGACGCGGAGAAATATATCAAAGGTGCCGAGGTCTATCTTAGGAATCTGAAGGCAGAGAGCCGGAAGAACGACGAGAAGATGCCGCTCTGGGAAAGGGTGGTCGAGAAGGTTGGCGTGAAGTTTTCAGAGCGTCTTGGGGTTGTAGAGGCCGTGGTCAACACGTGGTACGGTGTCATTCTCGATCAGGAGCTGCGTGAGGTTGGTTATCTCTCTTTCCTTTCTTTTCTTTGCGTTTTTCCGCCGCTCTGCCGGTCATTTCCGTTGGCTTCGGGCCACTGCCTTTTAATTTCTTTTTCTGCATTTTTGCGCCCGCCTTTTGCTTCTGACCGCACCCCCTCTTCCCCGCGCCCATCTTATGGTTTCCCACGACTGAGCCTCCTGTGTACATTTATTTTACCTTTTTCGTTTTGCCACAAAATCGGGATCGCTGATTGTGCTTTATCTATTGCACAGGTTTATGCTGTGGCTGCTGAGGTTCGCGAAGTCGCGGAAAAGGCCCAAGTCGACCTAGGGCTCGACTATGCTTGGCTCGACGAGGTGACGTATTCAGATTGGCAGCGGTACCATTCCCTGATTGATGGTGAGTCCCGCTATCCATTGCTCCTGTCACGTAGCCTGTTAAACTAATTCCTCTTTATTTCCACAGCCAGCGAGAAATTCGTTCAGGAAGCAAACTCAATACAGAACGGCACGCATGAGAATCTGTCCGTGGATAACCCCATTATTCCTATCATTGAGGACCTTGAATCGGAGGTCCAGGATGTCGTGATTGGATTTGAAACGCGCTTGAGACGCATCAAGCGCGATGGCGAGCGTGCTTTCAATAGCATCCAGAAGGATGAGGAGAAAGAAACAGCCACTGATCCGGAGCAGCCAGAGGTCTCGATTCTTCCAATACCGGAGGGAGGTGCGAGTGGGCACGCGTATGTCCCCCCTGTTGTCATTGGTCGGAGCAAAGAGGAGGTACTGGAGGCGCTTGGGAAGGTTGAGCCTTTAGAGGAAAGTTCAGGGTATAATACTCCCGAAGATGCAGACGCAGGAGAAGTTGTTTCGAGTCTGGTCAGGGAGGCGGAGGAAGAGCATTCTGAGAGCGCTGCTATTCCTCACACAGAACTATGAATTTCGAATAGTGTCGTATGTTTGGATTATTTATGACATCTACTATGCTTACGGTTTGCTATGTTGCATTCCTCTCTATTTCTCCTTACTCATGGCATAGCTTTTGAATCACGATATCATCGTCCCCTGTGGTGTACCCCATCAAGTCATGGAAATTTCTCGCCGTTCTATCATAGTTCACAGCTGTTCACTTAACGTTCAAGTGTTCATCCACCACACCGCTTTGCTTTGACGCCCGGGATATCTTTAATTCCGAGATTATCATGATCCTCAGGAGCCACGCTACATAGACCCTCATGCCCGTGCCATTCCCTGAATCGGGTGAGTCAAGGTTACTCACTGTTAATAGATGCCCGCTCAGGGTTCGTGTCTCGTCTGCGTGGCCACCGCATGTCACCCACGTGTGCATATTATCTAGTTGTTCAGGAGCTTCAGGGAGGTTCCGCGCGTAATTTGTTGTGCCACGTCAGGTCAGTGGCCCTGTGTTTACCTCTCGAGCCAATGGCACCCCGCACGGAGAGAACTTCGAGTGGAAATCACACGCAAGGGACTAGTTGTGACACAACTTGAATGGTCACCTCAACCCTGGCGCTAGTGGAAACAGCCATACTTCATAGAGAATTGAACTTTGCGCATACACCCACGGTCAGTGACTGGCAGTACCCGTCGGCACCTCGGTGCATTTTCGGAATAACGCAATGACGGCTTGTGTCTGCCGCGAACGGATGCTCTTGCGCGTCGCTCAGTGACGTTGAATGTCATTAATGGGGTGACTTGACCTACTCAAAATGCTTCCGGGAACGCTTGGGGAATGCTGTGCGGAAGAATCATGATGTTCACACTCATTTAACAAGTGATGCAGGGGTTTGTCGCGGCCATGTAGACGAAATACACGGGCCCTACATTCACATAATTGTTGGAGTGTCCCTGGAATTGTATAACGTCATATCCCATTAATTTTGGACATGCGAACCTGAAGTAAGACACGAGATTAACAAATTCAGTCGAGTTTGGTATGTGTGAAACGAGATAGAGCAATGAACAAAACAAAACAAGAAGCATCTCCGGTTGGATGCCGCTGCGTCGTACGGCGTTAATTCGCATCTTCACCGTCAATTCTCCATCGCAAATTGGACTCATAGAACTTGATGAGCTTGACAGGTCGAGTCAGTAACGCGTTGCCCAGAACACAAGCATTCACAGCACACCTTTTGAGGGAACTTGTGGGCGCAAAGTCGGGAATTTTCCCGCATTCGTTCATCGCTGTGCTTTCTGCAAAGAGATTTAGCATTCCCGGAATCTAAAATAGGACAAATACACAGACATTTTGAAGTAGACATAGAGGTCTCCCTCTTCTCCGCGTTCGATCGTATCGATGGTCTCAACAAGGTTCTCCCAACTAGCAATAGTCATGTGCTTCTTCATGCTACCAAAAGTGACCACCTCTTCGTCTTCAGCTAGCTGTTTTGTGACCTTCTTCGCAGAAGTCCCTTGGCTCTTACGTGGTTTTTTCTTTGCTCTAGCATCATCATCATCACTGCTTGCGTCCTGCTCCCTCTCCGACTGTTCCTGGTCCGCTTTCTTCGGCCTACTACGTTTCTTTGCGGGGGGCGTGGGCTCACGAGTGTCCTCTGCAATGGCGGATTTACGGCCGGATTTGAGTTTGCCAGCATCTGTAGACTTGCGTGGACCACCCTTGCTAGCTTTGCGTTTGTTTTCCCAATACTTAGTGATGAGGTCCTGCGCATTCCTAGAATAGAAGAGTTCGAATTTGTTTTAAGTCAATTTATGCAAGGAGGAATCAAATACGCTGCATCATCCTCGTGCACCCAGCTGTTATCCTCCGAGGGATAACCTTTCCATTTCACGAAATAGCCATATTTGCCCTAAGGCGCGTCAACACTCCACTCGTTAGAACACGACAATACACGTACATCATCAAAGTAACCTTTTTGGGATTCTATGACATCCTCAATCTCATACTCCTCGTCCTGCTCGTCGCCCTCCTCTCCAGGAGCCTCTTCGTTCTCCGACGCGGGGTCAGGCTCTGAAGAGGACACTGTAACGCGATTCTTCTTGGATGAATACTCTTTCTTGTGTTTCGCGCGTGGCCTGTTCACTTCCGAGTCAGAAGTCACCACATCTGTCACTCGAGGCATCTCAGGCTGCTAGTGTGTCGAGTAGTAATTGGGATAAGTTCGACTCGAGTTCAATGTACACAAGAAACTTGGTGGCGCGTACGTTATGTAATCGGTGGGAACAAAGGTAAACAAGCTCGTCGGCGAGCGCCCGGCACGCCCGGCCGCCCTCCAATGACGGCTTGACAGTCTGTCGACTTGTTGTTGACTGCAGCCAAGCTAGTGTGTAGTATCATGTTACAGGGAATGTGTATGTAGCTAAGTAAGCTGCCGTGCATTGCTCAACTCATTTGAAACGTGCTCCGAGCAGCAAGTTACACACTGCCTGACTGAGATCAACCGTCACACCCGCCCATAATCGACGTGCAGGTACGACTAAGTCTCGCCGGGGCCTTTCATAAGCACGCCGTCACGTCGCATCGGTGAATAGATGTCATTGCGGGAGAACAGCATCGATCAAATTACAGTAAACAAAGCTGGATACAGTCAGACATCGCACACCTAAGGGGAAAAATGAAGAATGACCTCAGTCTCTCTGTCTGCGTGACGGACTAGCACTCCGACCGCGCCCTTCCCGAGCTCCTCTGCCTTTTTTCGGCCCCGAGGGAGGGGGCCGAACGAACGCGTAGTCACATTGGACTACCTGTTCTAATAATGGTGTTCCCGATGCGCCATCAATAGCAGCCTGGGCCTCAGTCATGGTCTCATACTCCACGAGTGCGTAGCCCTGTAATTGAATAAATGCTAAAGTCCCCTTGTTCTCTCGATGCGATGAACGGACCTTGACATAGCCTGTGCGTCGGTCCAAATTTAAATGGAGGTTTTTTATCTCTCCGAACTCTGCAAACTTGTCCGTGACATCTTCCTCTGTTGCCTCTTCGTGTACATTGGTGACTAAAACAATCCAACCTTCAACGGCTGTGCAGAGGGAGCGTGGAATATGGTTAAGGATCATTCGTAAGCCCGATGCGGTGGTATAAGCCAAGAGATACTTACATCGCGCGGCTCTCGTGTCGTCTTTGACATGAGAAGATTCAACTCTGTCGTAAGTAGGCTCTGCGGTGACTGTGCCATCGTTTCCGCCTATCGCAGTGGTTTTAGTTGCGAAACGCGAGGGCTGAATAGTGATTACCTGACGTGTTTTGGAATCCTCTGCCTCTCCGCCTCACAGCGCCGCCATTAGCCACTTGTCCAGAGTTAGAACACAGCCCCAAACCATAGATTTCTGAGACAAGTACCTTCGTCGATATTCATTTCATCGTCGGACATGATGGTTGGTGTATATGGGTTGGTGTGACGTGTGACCGGTGTGACAAAACAACTGGGTTTCGATTATGAATATTCACCTTGACCGGCATACAACCTGCTAGGATACTTCAAGGAAACTATTATCGTCCCTGTCGCTGCAGGGATTACAGTAGTGTCGTCAAGTTACTCGAAGTGACGTATCATTTTCGCTGTCACCAGAAAATCAACTGAATTGTGGGCTATCAAGCGCCGGTGTACGAGCGGTATGAACGACCGACATTGTGGTTTGTACTGTAGGGCTACCAGTGAGCTGCCTTGACCTGAGGGCTGTTGAGGTTAGAATCGGATGCTGATTCAATGACAAGTTCTCGCAGTTCACGTAAGTCAGCAACGACCATATCATGGAATCTGTTGTTCAGCAGGTTGTTGGATTGGCAGTCTCCCACACCGTCCGGCCAGACATAATTTGCAGGATACTATGCCCGAAGTATTCCGAACATCGGAGGACAAGTTCATGAACCTTCATCTTGCGGGGGATTAAATTTCCAGTAAACTCAGAAGCTGCATGACATGATGCTCAGGCTATGCTCTGCTTATGCTTTGTGCCGCACATAATTTTTTTTCTCTTCTTCTTCAAGAATCTTTCGCCTTTATGCTCTCCCGACGTTTATCCTCCCTTCCAAGGGAACACAGGTTAAGCATTTTTTTCGGCATTTGTCTTCCGTATGCAAGGTGCCGCTTCAGTCTCATCTCACAACCTTACGACGCCACCTTACGACGTCCACAACGTCATCCTTTGATCCCAATTAGCTCACTCAGCTCACCGTGGATACAAAGCGAAGGTACAAAACGTCCGCCACTTGAAAGCTGGCTTGAAAAGCCACCACTGGCAGTGCCTGGAAGCAGCATCGCCTCACAGATCTCCGATCCTCAAACTTAGATCCCGAACGACTCAACGGTCAATGTGGGCTTGACATCTCTCACGCGAAACCCTTGTGAAGGGGTACCTGCCGACCTAAACCTTGAAACCTAAGCGCGCCCCAACATATTTAAGTAAGCTCAACCCACTCGCCATAATCTCCATAATCTCCATAACCACTTTTCATCTGACCTTCTACGGACTTCTTAATTTCATTTGCCCAACGCCGGTCGTCAAAAATGAATCCCGTCCCTCTCATTAACCACCCTTGCACGGTGTGCTGCAGGCCCACTTCCATGTGGTGTAGCCGCTGCCAATCCGCATGGTATTGCACTCCCGAACACCTTCAAAGCGTAAGTCTTTTATGACAGTCGCGTGATGGATACGCGACTCATCAGTGACGACATCCAGGATTGGCCACGCCATCGAAAGGAATGTGTTCCGGCAACCCATGCCCAAAATTACAATATCATTGCCACTCCACCACCTGCTGAGCAGCAGGTCATTATGGTTTCTGCTATCCTCTTCTCGCCCGAAGAAGGTGAGACCCGACGCGTTTTTAATAATTACGGCATACTGATCATTTTGCAGAGCGCCCAAGAATTATCACGGTCAAGTGTCGTCCGTCCCAAGTCCCGTCCCAGGGCATGTGCCCCCAACCTCTCGTCAGCGGTCATTTCCCGGATGGCCAAGCGGAAAGCATTGTCTTAACGCAAGGCTTGAATGGAGAACCGCTTAGATTCCCCCTTCATTTGTGGTACTCCCCAACTGCGCTATCGCGTTGCGCGCCCATTAACCGCGCCATCTACCACATCACGTCTGGTGCCGCTGCAAAAGCTTGGTGTGGCACGGTCGTCGTCCTCAAGTTCAACGGGTCCCGGCGCCAGGGATACTCTGATGCAGGGTCGAATGACCTTCCCGCTCTCTCCGCCTATTTCTTGGCCTATAAGTAAACGCATAACGCGTTTTGTTATTAATGTGCTTAAAAGTAGAATATGAGCCACATCACACAGGGATTGTATATGCTTCTCTGACCTTTCCACTGCAGCATTATAGCTCGCTCGTTGTCGTATATTATCGCACATATATATCGTTCGTCGTTCGCTTTATTGATCTTGTAGCTTTGTTTCGTTATGTTACTAGTAGTGTCTGCCCCTAATTGTACCTCTCCATAAAATAGATGGGTTTGAGTTGTTTGCAATTTGCTGTCCGAGATCGCGCAAGAGGTCACTCCAACGTTGACAGAAAATTTGACATGGATGGTATTATGATCACCGTAGGCAAAGGCACTGGCAACCCGACCCGCGCGCGAAGGCCGTTGCTGAGGGACCATCATAACACAGAGTGAGATGACGGATGCGTGCTCGAGAATCCATGACGAAGAAGGCAAGGACAATGTAACTGCAAATTCCCACGTCGCGCGCGCTATGCAACGTATGCAGTAACTAGGCAATCACTAATTTACGTTCCTGGCGATCAACTGGATGGACTTGCAGTACTAATATCAACTCAGATGTTATCCTTCATATCATTTTCGTCACAGCCAACTGATTTCACTTATCATCGATCAGTGCGACATCATCCGGATGTCGAGGATCTTATGGACGTGGATGACGACGATTTCACAGGTTCTGAGCCAAGGCTGACTTGTCCAGGGGAGACCATCACATCGTCCCAAGCATTCATGCGGTAAGCAGTTTGTTAGGAGTGATATTTTAATGTCTGAACGGCCTTCTGAAGTGGTCATGGGACTTATGTTGATAAAGAGGATGTCATTGCCTCCGTCGTGGGGACTGTAGAGCGCGTGAACAAATTGGTGACCGTTCGTGCAATTCGTACCAGGTGAGTGGTCGCCACACTTTCCGTTACTCCTCGTATTAATTCTCTGTTGAGATACAATCCAGAGGTGGGAGATCTCGTCGTTGGGCGCATAACGGAGGTATGTACCTCACAACTGAGGTTTCGAGAATTCCGTTGAAGCTGTGTGACACACAGGTTCAACCTCGAAGATGGAAAGTAGACGCCAATTCGCGCCAAGACGCCGTCTTGATGCTCTCGTCAGTCAATTTGCCCGGAGGGGTACAAGTGTGTTTTACCCTCGCAACAATGTATGATCTTTGTAACCCGATTCATGCTAGCGGCGGAAACTAGAGAGCGATGAACTTCAAATGCGAACCTTCTTCGAGGAAGGGGATCTTCTAGTTGCGGAAGTACAAGCTTTTTTTTCAGATGGCGCCATGTCACTACACACGCGGTCCTTGAAGTACGGCAAGGCGAGTACCACATTGTCACATTCCCCTGAGCAAGGGGTTAAACCATTCTGAACGCCCTCAGCTGCGGAATGGCCAACTCGTGACAGTACCCCCAATATTGGTTCGGCGATTAAAGTCACATTTTATATCTTTGCCGTGCGGTGTCGACCTTATCCTGGGGTTAAACGGCTACATATGGGTTAGCAAACAAGCAAAGGACAACGACCAGGGAGAAGAGGGTTTTGATGCTGAAGCGGTATATTCAAACCAAAACGATGTAGGCGAAATGTCATTAGCGCCGAGTGTGGTAGATGCTCACTCGATTTTTTAAGGAGATCGACAATGCTACTCGCGCTGCAATCTCACGCGTCAGTAACATCATTCGTGTCTTCGCGGATCACTTCGTTCCTTTAACAGATACACTTTTACTGGAAGCCTATGAGTGGGTCATCGAGCAAGAAGGGGATGCCAAACATCTGTTATTGGGTGATGCAGGCGATGCGCTCGTCGCTGCGATGAGTCTTAGGTCATAGAAGTTGAGCAATGTGTCTACGTAGTTACATATCCTCATCGTCATCGTCCAAATTATCTTCATCAACATCGTTCTCATCATGCTCTGCACTGTCCTCTTCTTCTTCCTCGTCCTCTTCGTCAATAGTTTGATCACCAGCATCTGGCTGGGGTGGCGGTTGTTGCTGCTGCTGTTGTGTTTGGCTCGTGGCACCATTGGCCATCTTTCTTGCCTCGGCTGCTCTCCTCATTTCTTCTTTATCTTCGTTGACGGGCAACAATCGGTCCAAAGCAAGGTCTCTCCAGCGTAAAGAGCCATTCACGCCACCTCCGCCATAGCCCATATCTTCGAATAACGCCCGAGAAGTTGGGTCATATGGTGGTCTCGGTCTTGCGGCTGGATGCTTTATATTTGTTGGATTCCCATAGGGATATGAAGGATGCACCTGAGAAGGCAGTACTATCAATGGAGATCAGCCAGAGGGTTCTAATCAGAAACAGAATCGCCGCGAACTGTCAGAATCATCTGGATTCGGTGGAATCATGTGTGCTGGTATGTCAAGTTCTATTGATTTGCGCGTTTTCAATCAACCGTCCGTGTTTTTGGAAGTGGGTCGTCCTACCATCATCGGACAGCTCTCCGGAGATATATTCTGGACTGTCGATAGTATCGAGGACTTTCAGATCATGCTCAGTCATGTGAATGTAACAAAACGTCAGGTCCTACATTCAGCTCAGTTTATGGAACAGTTCAGCATTAGAACAACTGACGGTCATCGTGATGCTGAGAGTCCGAGTTCCCGTGTTCACGATTGATTGATCAAGGATTTTCCTCCTACGTCTTGGAATGAAACGTGAAATGTGTGGCTGTGCTGCCACCGCTCGCGGGGCTTAAACATAAATACCACCTTCCACTTCCGCTCACATTCTACTAGTACCGATAGTATTTACTATCCGACACTGCACATTGTGTACAAGCTCCGTCAAGGGCTGGCTAAATGTGAGCAAGTCCTCTTATTCCGCCATGAACTCTGTCCTACGTGCCAAGCCCTGCCAGGCTTGATGTGCAGGACCGTGCACCCATTATGATCACCACGGTTATCATAAACTAATTCGTTGTCATCGTTCCATGCACTGAAATCCACAAAGTCGGGGATTGATAAGCTTTTTTGAACCTTTGTAATGATGCCGGCCGATAGAAGCTCGTCCTAGCGTATTCGATGGGCACATTGTTCGCCATTCATGCCAAGCCCGCGCCCAGATATAGGTGGACTTTAGTCGTGGGTTGTCTGATTATTGATACCTTGGTATCTGATAGAATGTTATAGGTTTTAATAGGGCCTTCAAGATGATTGTCGCGGAAATGATTGGCCGCGGAGCTTGCGATAAATATCAGCGGGCTTCACGGGAGTGTAATTTTATCTTTTCATTGGGCCGGGGGCATGAGCATCAATAACAACGAACAGCGCTCACTCCACCGATTATGAAGCAAGCTTTGACCTCAGCTCCCAACAAAGCTAGTACTCACGATTTAAGATAAGTTCTGCGTTACTGGCACCGCCCTTCGCATGTCATATGCACCTCTATGCCGTATACAAGAACACCTGCAAGTTTCCGAGATGCTTTCACATCCGATGCGATGCGAGGTAACGTATCGCGCTGAGCAAGTGAAGAGAGTTGAACAGGTTGGGGTTCAACGCCCACGATAGGCACGGCACCATGGCAGGACGGACTTAAATCGAAGGTCGTGAGAGGAGGCCAGACCAGCACTGCACTGAATCAGCGGGCCTGATTTCGATACTATTAATTTTCTGCAGGACACAGAACTCTGCCAAGGCTCTTAAAGCCACAATGCTCTCGTACAGACTACTGACACGGTTGAATTTGTTTGGCCCTTGATTGTTGGTGAGGTTGAGTCCACACTTCACTACATAGGATGATAATCTGCACTACCGCGCGAACGATAGTAAGGAGGCCAGTGCCACATTTCGGTCACTTATTCGGTGGCCTTTGACATTTGTAGACATCATAATGCTTAGTACTTCAGCTAACTCCTCCCTCTGGTCGTCATGACTGTTGATGAATATAATTTTTTTTGACTTACCGATTCTTCGGGATCTTCGCGATGTCGACACGTTATGTTCGGGCGTTCACTGTCACTTGCTCCGGGATCCAGGCGGGGTTTTCAAGACTTCCTTAAGCAGCATTGTCGCTCGGCACCTTAATCCTCGATTTGCCGGTGCGTGGGCACCCGTAGAAACAGTAGACACGTCAAAGCATACTTGTCCCGACGCCGCTCCGCGCATATGCACTACGACGCGTTCCTTGTCGTTACTGATGGCTCTTAGTCCCACGCCGCCCGTCAGGACCAGATCGATAAGGCAGATTGAGACACGGATCAACCACGAATTGTCTAGAATGTTAGGAAGTCTCCGCGATGTGAGTAGATTACTCACTAGTCACACGTTCTTTGTATTAGTCTAGAAGCCTTGTCCTGAAAAGTAAGCTTTAAAGTCTAACCTTCACTGTTAATCACGCCAAACCCACGTCACCTGCCTTCCGGCTGCCAACCACATACTCGCCCAGCACGCGGTTAACGTGGAAAAAAAACATACATTGTTATACATCAGGCCATGATGTCTACGGTCTCCGAAAATCGAAATCGAAATCGAAATCGAAAATCGAAAATAAACTAAGCGGTCCCTTCACCTTCCGCCCCTCCTTTTTGTGCATTGGTTTCGCTCGTCGCAGCAGGCTCGAGATTTTGCAACCGCATCTCCACCAAGAACTCTTTATCCCTGATCGCCTGTGACCAGGAGGACAACAACCTCAACGTGGTCATTGACGCCCTATAGAAGCCAACCGTGGCGAACATGCCTGGATACGCGTGCATAACTGCAGAAAGCGAGTAAGACATTTGTGGCGTAATTGAAGTACAGCAGCTTACACATGAATTTGGGACTTAACGGCAGATTGAGGAATTCCCGTAGGCCCCACACTACAGCAGCAGGAAGGAATAGCATACCAAGCAAGCCTCCAATGAGCGGAATGATTACTTCTTTTGTTGCTTGTTTGGGGTCTGGATGAGTCCATCCGTTGTTAATGATCTATAACTATCAGTTAGTAGGCTCATCCTGCCGGTAACCAACTTTGACTGACTGTGACCACTCCGCGCCCAACATCAAATTGAGGCCGTCGGTTGATGCGCATGAAAATCTTGCCATACACAAGACCGAGAGCCCACATGTCGACAATACGGATGTGAATAGTCATCGTCGGGTTGAGAGTCAGCCGAACAGGCATGACGATGTACATGTCGATGACGAGTGCGAAGAGAATGGGGACGACGATGCCCACAAAGATCCCCATATAGGCAATTTTGGATAACCAAAGGAGGCTGCGTTTCACGAAGAAGACTGCAAACTCAGCTCTTGGCCCATCACCACCTTTTCGCTGTCTGCGTTTTTCCATGCGTTCCACGGTTTTGACCACGAGATAGCAAGCCCAAAAAAGGTAGAGCCCTGCGAGGAAGGAGTAGCCATCATGCAGCTCTTTCGATGTGAACAAGCAGAAGAAGTGACGACCCAGTTGCACGGGAGCCGCAATAAAGATAGCAGCCAACACGGCGACGATGACCCAGACAGAGGCGATGAAACCGAAGATTCTCATTCGGAAGTTAGGTGGGAAGTATACGATAAGATAATCGTTCTTGACATCACGCTTGGCCTTTAGGGCTTCTGCATCTTGTGCTGCTACGAGCTCTTGCGCAGCAGGGTTGGCGGGAGTCCCATCCACCAGCACTTCCGCGGTGGCACGCATATCCTTCGGAAGTGCGATGTTGTCACTTGCGGGCACACGACGGAAAGTCCCATCGGCCGTTCTGCTAGCAGCCTCTATGTCCCCCGATGACCTGCGGAGGTAAGTAATCCAACTGTCAAACTGTGATGTGAATTCCTCGTCCGAGTGGCGGTCGCCAAACATATACGACGTCAGACGCAACCTTGCTGCGACCATCTTCCAGATGCGGACGGCCCACCGATGGAAAGATCTCCTGGGCTTGAGGTAGCGCATCGTGTATGGCAAAGCAAACTGTAAGAAAATGAGATCTACAGGGACAGTGGATATCGGCTCGCTAGGTGGCAATGTCATAAAAAAGTTCGAAATCTCTTGCTTGGTAGAATTCTCACCGTGTCTTCCACCGAAGAGGGAAAATCGACCTGTTGCCAACGAAAAGTAGAACAGCAAGAGTTGCCACTCCACACGCAACCACCATGGCGTACATGAAAGCGCTAATGAGGAGTTTGCGGAACTGAGTGAATGTGGGCCTATCCAGGATGTCACGGATTGGGTGGAAGTTCTGATCTTGAGGATCCTTGATGAACCACATCGCTCCGGGGCGCATGATGTTCCGACATCCTGCCAACAGAATGGCAAACTGATACCTAGAGAAAAAGTTAGTCTACCAAGTCCATTGACACCGTTTTGTTGACTCACATGAACATGGTTCCAGCGACCCAGTGATAGAACATTGCCGTCAATGGGGCTTGAGTGAAGAAGGCAGCACGTGACTCGAGGGAGGCTTCAGGAAAGACCCAAACCGTACAGATGTCGAGCATGATGCCACATCCAAGCGGAAATATCACGAGCTCGATAACAATGAACATGGCCACCTGTGAAAGATAAGCGTGAATCAAAATTGCAGTGAATGAGACATTACTTTGACCACTAGGAGCTGCTGCCGTACTGCACTTCGGATAGCTCGTCCCGCGCTTCTTGCGTTACCAACAGTGAACAAGTTTAGGTAAATAGCAAGAAGGACGCCGACTACGCCGTAGCCCAGTATAATGGCGAATACCTTTTCGCACGTCCCTTGTCCCATAGTCAGGTTGACCCATGAAGTGTGCACTTGCTCGGAGGCAGATCGAACCTCGCGACCCAGAGTTGCAAAATATGGTTCCAAGTACCGCGCGATTACTGAGTCACCTTCCAAGAAGTTTTCAAGACGCTGTGACAACGTAATGGCAGAGGAAGGCGAGGGTGTCTGCAAGGATGCGAAAGCATTCTCACACATAGTTGTAATCTTCAAGGTCTGCAAAATAAATGAGAACGCATTCTTTTAGTAAATACAATTCAATCACCGTCCACTTGATAATCTCGTCAGCGCTGACTTTCCGATTGGCGAGGAGCAGTACGACATTCAAAACCAGGCGAACGGACCAATACAGGCCAGGGAAGACGAACAGGCCAAGAACGACTGTTACAAGATCCACAATGGGATCTGTAATAACTCTCATGGCTCGAATTGGGAGATCCAGGATATACAGTGCCCGTGGAGGGTCGAGCTGAATGAAATGAAATGAGTTGCCGTTTACCACTAACCTCCAGTACCTCCTACCGATAACAGAGCAGTCGTCTTTCCAAAGGTGAATGGAAGCCATACGCCGAAGCCAATCGCGGTGTCAAGAACGAAGACCATAAGGACCGCCTGTATTATATCCATTAGATAATGAGACATTGATCAAAAGCCGAGACGAACGTTTTGAAAAACCCCAAGGATAGGCCCCCTCAATCCAATAGCTACAGAAGATCAGCAAAGTTCGTGTGATAAGAAAGCTAGTCAGACCTTCCATGGCTCCGTCCAAATCATCCTCGACTCCCGGTTCTAGATCATCAATCTCACCAGGCTGGAGTGCAACCGGCATCTGAGCAGGTGCAGCGACGTTCTCATCGTGAGGGTTGATCAACTCGTCGCCTTCATCGTCTTCGTCGTCCTCATCATCCAAAATCCGAACCTCGGCTGCAGGAAGTTGCGCTGGAATGTCATCCTCCTCCCCTTCATCATCGTCTTCCTCGTCATTATCCTCGAAGGGTGTATCTGGTATAGTGGCAATAGATGTTTGATCCTGCGTGTCGGATGGAGGAGGTAAGTCGGGGGTAGTTGACTCCGGTTCACGGAAGAAGCGCTCATATTCATCTTCGAGTTCCTCTCTCGAGCGTTCATTGTTGTCAAAGTACCCCGATGGTCCAGAAGATGATGGTCCAGCTTCCAGCTCTTCTGGTGCGAGATACATTGCGAGGCTTGGTGAGGACAGTGGCAGAGCTGGGCTTAGCTGAAGTTTGTTAGGTGTCGCCCCTTCCGCAAAAACAGTGGAGTTTGCCATGGGAGGTCGCCGCAGCGGAGTGCCAATATTGACATGAAGTGAAGGTGTCGTTGAAGGAGAGACAGAGGAAGAAGTTGGTTGCGAGTCAATTTGGGAGTCTGCATTCCAGGGATACCTCCCGTTGAAGGTCGATGGGTCGAGGACGGGATCATTACTGCTAGATGGTTCTGGGACATTCGAGCTGATAGTGCTAGCAACCGTGAAAGTAAACGGGAATGCCAATGCCTCCCCTCCATTGAGCGAAGTAGAAGGTTGAGCGGCTTGACTATCATCAGTCTCACGAGACGTACTCTCGTCTTCCTCGGTGTGAATCCTCCTGCGTATACGTCGTTGGGAGTGAAGGTCTGAGGACCCTTCTTCAATATCATCAGCTTCTTCCGCTCTGCCCTTTCCTTTCCGAAGCTGATGATTGTCTTCATACGGTGGTGGATGCTCTCGGGGAACTTGAGGAAGCTGAGGGGCTGGCTCAAGGGGAAAAGGAAGTCTGTCGAGAGGACGATTTCGAAGAGCCAGGGTTCGGTCCATCTCTATTGGGTCACGTTGGCGTAGACCTTGCCTTTGAGCGACACCGGCACCTCGACGAGCACGCATGACTCTCCCTTGATGTCGTGCATCGAGAGCTGCCTCTTGAAGGGCACGACGAGCATCATGACCATTCTCATCTGGAATCGGCACATTGACAGGCTCTTCTACTGCAACTGCGGGAAGGTCGCCAAGTTGAGGGGCAGGAGGTATCGCGCCGCCATCCTCATCCTCAAATACCCCCGGTCGAGCATTCTGCGAGATCCATTCCCTAAGAAGAAATATTGCAACAAATATTAAGACAATAAGGGAGGCAATGATTTGTCCGGCGAAAATGTCAGCAGATAGCATCGACCAGAATGGGCGATTGGAAAGACGTTGATATAGTGTGGCGTTGGAAGGAAGTCCGAGACCAGCAAAGGAACCATTCAAAGAAGCGGTGGGGCCATTCATCCCAAAAAAGTCAGCATATGGTCGACCACGACCACTTATCCACCATGCACTAAACAGTGTGAGTTGGGATCGCATGACAAGGTGTGTAACTCACGTTGATTCGCCCATTGTGAAATAAACTCTCCATGTCCAAATGGTAATCCAAGGTAGCACGGCAAGCCAGACGGTTCCGACCATAATAGCCCGCAGACCAAAAAGGACGGCAAATAATGCCTGCTGAGCAAGGCGGCGGAACAAAAGAAGTGGTGGAAGTGTTGAGGGCATATCAGCTGCATAGACTGAGGGAAGCAGTGTCAGTCAGTTCCATACATCAAACGTAGGTTGGGTTCACCTTTTGTAAATGAGTATGGATGTTTGCAGACATCGCAGGTCTTCTTCTTGCTGTGAGATAACCATGTTGTCAAACTAGATAGAAGGGGTGAATGTGGTGGTACGATAACACTACTATTGTTTGAAGTTTACTGACCAGTCTTGGTGGATATACCGGATAGTGCCAGAGCATTTACAGGGATAAAAGAGCGGCTGATCCAAGTCGCCAGGCGCGCTGCAGATTCGACATGTATCTAAAAGGTGAAAAGTCAGCCCAAGCATGAGAGTGATCCAACCAACGCAATGAATGCACAACACACCTTGCTCCTCTGCCTCCTGCATGCGTATGACTCGTGTTGGCAAACCGTAACTCCGTTCCACACTGAGCGGCTCGACGAGCGTCAGGGTGGCAGGTTGTGATAATGCCTTCAGAAATGCTAATTTCTGGACTCTGTTGAAGATTCCAGGCGCCCTGGAGTATTATGTGGACGACAATCACTGGAAAGTTGGTCTGATGTGACTGGTGGTAAGAACGGAAACTATAAAGAAATGGACTAGGTAGGTACTGGCACAAGTCACTTACTAGTCTTCGGCGTGGCCGAATAAGACCATGTGGGGAGTGATTTGAAAGCGTGATGTGGCTGAGAAATCCCATCATGCCATGCCTAACACTTTGCATTTTTCATCCGGAGTACCTGGCCTTAACATTGACCTGCTGCGTAGTTACAGGTACCTCCTTACTTTCTTCATAATGAGTGATCAGCCCAACATCAAAAGTGCAATTATTTTTTCAAGGTACTATGTGCCAAGCTTAGTGCAGTGGGCGCCAAAAATTAGCCCCGGACACCATAAATGAGTCGTGGGTCCAAGTTAGTCTCCCCTAGCCAGACCATACTATAGAAGGAAGATAGTCGCTGGTCCCAGTTCAATTGCAAGAGCCAAATCAATTTGTTCAAAAAAAGAGAAGGTTTATGCGTAGGATTCTAAGCTTTGCACTGGCAACAAAACACTGCATTTTTCAAGGTGTATTTTTAATTGTAACGTGAAGGGCAACGTGCATACTACTGCTGTCGGCGGTGATCATCATACCGGTTAATTCATAAGATGCAGAGATTCCTAGTAAATCTTAGACCGCATAACGAGCATAGTACAAATATAATCATAGCCAAGACCTACCTTCACTCGTGATTTGACAGGCAACTTTCCAACACGTTGAAGTTTCGCAGCTTCAAGATCAGTAGCAACCACGCTATTGCAACCATCATGCAAAACAAACGCGAACAGCCTAACGAGGAGGAAAGGTCACAATTATAACTATTTCGCTGCCCCGACGAGGGGACATGTTGTCAGTCACCAGGAGCAATCCAGCGGTGACGAGGGCTCCGAGGACATAGGACATCTGTAGATCGCTACCAGTTAATGCCTGTCAATGCTCGCAAGGAATCAACTGCCTTTTTAGATGCGGAAAAAGTGAGATGCGCGAACTTGAAACAGAAAAGGATAGTTTGAACCTAGGATTTCCGTGTGGAAAATCGGTCGATTTCTTGAGTATACTTGTAGTAGTTCGTGGTTGCCAGCGATTATAGTTCCATAGCAAGGGGCTGTTGTATCAGAACAGTCATGATTTGGTATCAACCTGGTAGTTTTGAGGTCTATCCTCAGTTCCTGCTACAAACCTAGAGAACAGCACCTGCATTAAATAGCGACATATCTCTCGGGGTCGTCGGCTTTCTGGTGGCAAGGGGATATGTCCGCCAACATATTAAGCCTCAAAAAATAACCGAAACCTGAAACCTGACGAACCAATTAGTAAGACCGGTGGATTCTTTTATAAAGTTGGTAGTCCTGGCCCCCGCACCGACATGAACAGCGTGCAAACTATTATGTGGTTCGACCGCCGACGGACTCTGCCGTTGATGGTGATCATTGTTGTGGCCTTATACCAACGTAATGGGCAAACCATTTTTGGCTGAACGAATACAGCCTCACAACGAGCAACGAGCACAGATGCACTTGTTATCTGTGAAAAACACCAAGGTACGCAGGACAGTGACATAAGGGGATCATCGTGGCACGGATGATCAGTCCCGCGAACATCATGAATTCAAATGGTCAACGTGTCAAGCATTTGCAAACCACAGGTTGTCCCACGAAGAAGTCGGTGATAATTTGCGCCATCCGTGAGGGTGATTGACAGTTATATGACAGTACAGCATCTGTTAATTAAAAGTAGTGGTCATTGCATCATTTATCCACGGGCTCATGCATCTGACTGCAACCTGGATCTGCTGGAGATATTGCATTTGAATCTTGCAGGGTCGCCCACATGCTATATATATATGAGTTAAAGGTCCGGGTAAAATAAATACTTACTTACAGCAGGAACAAGCCGCGGAACCGGGTGAGTACTCGTAGCAGCGAAGTACCGCGGTCTGCAGTATGCGTGACCGTAACAATGGAACAAGAGGTCCCAGCCTTTCTAGCACTTTCCTTGGCAGGTCTAGGACAGAACGTCAGCTCGAAGCCCACGCAAATGGTGTCCACCAGGATCATAGTGCTTGAAACAGTCGCAGCTTTGACGCCCTCAGCGATATTGACACCAGGATGCCAGGTAAAAAAAAACACATTGGAGAAGTTCCTAATAAATACTAGAAAGGTCAGTCAGTTCCTTCTGTGCACTATTTCAAAAATCAAAATCCAGCCTGCTTGGACGAGTCGGTGCATGATGGTGATGTTTCATTCAGGATAAGTTTTCGCAAGCCTTGCCTGTGTTTGGAACAGGCAATCGAGCTGAGCGATATGGAGTCGGTCATCGCGGATACCACGGTCCACCATGACTACAGAGAAGTCCAAAATCCCCCCAGCACGCCCCAGCCTCCAGGATCCGAAGCCGGTACCTAAGCATCATAGCTCGAAAAACCTGCACAGAGCTAGGACAAGAACTATACTCCACTGGCCCATCTGAGTCAGAAGCCAAACGAAAGAGGGTATGTAAGTTGACAGATAGACTCGTCACATATAACGAAAACCTGCCTCAAGCCTGAGTGCGGTCGCTTTGGTTTGCTGGTGTTGAAGAGTATCTGCGCCAGTATTCTGCATCTCGGAAAACATCCGAGTCGTTGCTAACATGACTGTGTTGTGAAATGGATGGTTGACGCGTTGAGTACATAAGAGAATCATCAAGTTCCGACTTGTCCGATACATCTAGAATGTACAAATATTGTAAGGGATTTATAGTATACATGATTGACAATTGAAAACACCTGCAAGCTGATCAGGGCATGGACAGGGATAAGAGTCTATGTACAAGGGCGGCAATGCGAAATGTCTGCTGATAGCTTGCTAATAGGGTAGTGTCTGTGAACGACATTAAAACTCAACATCAGACTCTGCCATGTAGTGTTCAGAGTCAGAGTCACTGTAATCACACACATCATCCTCTGGGACGAGCCGATGTGCCTCATACTTTCCATTCTCAAGATGAATTATCCTCCAGCGTTCCGGGCGCTCATCCATGTCCTGCGAGACCCATTCAATGTACCTCGAACCATCTTCATCATCTGCACTGAGGGAAATATTCCACCCGAGGAAGATGCGATTGTTATGCCCGTCGTGCGCGACAAGTCCCTCGTCGTGTACGTAGTACATGTCGCATTCATTGAGCATAGCAAGCGTGGCACCGCGCCGAAGGACGTTGAGGTCATTGTGGCCCAATTGGTCGAAGAGGTAGTCTTCTTCGTCAATAACGGTTGCCGGTGGCTCCCACTGAGGTAAGACGTAGTCGCCATCATATGGATCATCATCACTCCCAGTGCCATAACTGAAGACATCTTCATCGAGCCAATCGTCATCTTCTTCGTCATCATCATCATCGCTCCCATAGTCCTCTATTTCGTCGTCAGGCGGGAATAAACCTTCCCATGGATCCGTGTCGGCGGCAGCGGATCCAGCGGTGGGCGATAAAGTGTTGGGAGACATTCCTCGAACCTTTGACAATGCGGATGCAATGGATTTGACGATGAAAACAGGGATGGGCCTATTACGAATGTTACCGCGACAGCATGGACAGGTCTTCTTTCGGAAGAGTAGGTAATCGGGGTCGTCGTCGTCGTGCATTTCATCATCGCCGGGGGGTGCTTTCTTGAACCACTCCTGCAGACATGAAACACAAAGAACGTGACCACATGGTGACAACCTGGAGGAATCATGAGTAACTGCCAATGCCAGGGAAGGGAATGCAGACTCACGCATATGGTTTGAGTAACAGCTCCATGCAAATTTGGCATTGAACATTCGTTTCGATATTGCTGATGGCCTGAGTAAAAGTTCAAGGACAACATGCGCATCAACTCCACAAAGACTCACATCTTCAGACTTCTTCACTTTGTTTTGTGCCTTGCTCACTTGACTTTCCGTCTCCTTCAGTTTCTGAATGAACATTCGCCTAAATGAGCTTGTGCCTTAACACGCGGTGGCCACACTGACCTTCTCATCTGCGGTTGCTTTCTGCCGAAGCTCTTCAATTATCTACGCGTCATACTGGTAAGAAATCTGCCAAAATAAAGCGCATACACGAACCTTATTCTGCTTCTTTATTGTCTTCTTATTGTCATGAGCCATCTATGTCCTTGGTCAGACGATAAAAGTCGTGGCGTGCTTTTACTTACTTTCTTCCACGTTTCAATTTCCCGCTTAAGCTTTGCAAATTCAGCGGCCGCGAGTGGGCCCTGGTATTCGAGGTGAAGGTCCACAAGCGCCTGGACACCCTCGGAATCGGATGTCGGAGCTTTCGAAATAGGTCTGCAAACGGAGTCTCTCGACTTGGACCTATCTTTCTTGGGCCTGTTCTCTACGGCAAGAGCAGACGCAGTAGCCTGGTGCTCCACTCCTGAGCGACCTTGCTGACGTGATTTGGCCTTGTGCTTGCGACCTCTCTCAGGATTGACATCGTCAAGTGGTGCAAGAAAGGGTCTGCTATCAAAAGGCAGGGTAGCTGTCGATTTCTTTTTCCTTCCTGCTTCGGATTGAGCTGGCTCAGATCTCTGCGCGGCAACTTGGAGCTGAGAATTCCACGCGTCCGGGGAGCGTGATTTCCTGCGTCGTTGACCAGCCCTAGAATTGGTCGGTGCATCTCCTGACGTGGGATTTGGCCGACGGTGACCGTTGTTACGCCGCGATGGGCCAGGTGCACGTTCGAATGCCAGTGAATTCATGCTGAGGTCGGATTTTGACAGCTGAAATGATAGTTAACGGCGATTATCCCAACCCCAGAGGATGCTCATTTCCATACTATGTTTAGTGATTAAGCTATTGTTGGAGGAACTGCTGGCGTACGCAGTAGATGAAGCTGTGGCCGACGTGGTACAAAGGTGTTCGCCCAAGTGAGAAGGGTAATGGAACGCGCTGTGACAGTCACAGACACTACTTAAATGAAACGCCGCGGCAGTACTTGGAGCAAGAGGGGGTCATCGATGTCTTGCAAATCGACCCCTTCGCAGATCATCACGATAATAATCAGATTCAAAATCGCACATTGACCTGCCACTGGGATCGACTTCGCAAGTCTTCCCAAAGGAAAATTAACACTTTTCAACGATTGCAATCATGTCAGCCCCTGCACAAGGCCGTGTTTTGCTAGCATACTCTGGCGGTCTTGGTAAGTCGATCTGCGTATCTTGGCAAGGAGATCATAATAATAGTGAAGATCTGCAGATACCTCATGCATCCTGGCGTGGTTGATCGAGCAAGGCTATGAAGTTTACGCTTTCATGGCTGACGTTGGTCAGGAGGAGGTACTGACATCTACTGCCTTCCGTTGCTAGTAATCGACTGTTTGTCAGGACTTTGAAGCGGCTAGAAAGAAGGCACTCAGTGTTGGTGCAAAGAAATTCTTTTTGGAGGTTTGTAAATTATTCCAGTGGTTTGGGAGGCCTCGCTAGTTGCTCACTGTTCATCAACTCGCAGGACCTCAAGCGCGAATTTGTGACCCAGTTGATTTACCCTGCTGTGCAGGCAAACTGCATCTACGAGGTGATTTCCATCTTCGGGCAGTTATCATGTGCTGATCGTCATGACAGAATGTATATCTACTTGGAACATCTCTTGCTCGTCCTGTTATTGCTCGCGGCATGATGTCTGTTGCAGCCAAAGAAGGTTGCGAGTAAGCCTCGCCTTCATTTTCCACACTTCGGCTCAATGACGTTCCGTAAGCTATGTCTCACATGGCTGTACAGGAAAAGGGAATGATCAAGTTCGCTTTGAACTTGCCTTCTATGGTCTCAAGCCCGATATCAAGGTCATTGCGCCTTGGAGGCTTCCTGGTGATCCCGTTTCTAAAGCACACCAGCTTGCTGCTAATCCCCTGACGTCCAGAGTTCTATAACCGCTTCCCTGGCCGTCAAGCACTACTTACATACGCGGAGGAGAAGCAAATTCCAGTGCAACAGACTGCCGCAAAACCATGGTCGACCGACGAGAACCTCTTCCATATCTCCTATGAAGCAGGAATTCTCGAGGACCCGAACACCACACCTCCAGATGACATGTGGAAGCTCACTGCGTCTCTCCAGGATGCACCAGCGGAGCCTGAGCAGCTCTCAATCGAGTTCAAGGCTGGCCTCCCCGTAAAGGTTGTTATCGCTAACCAAGCCCCTCTGACCGACCCCGTCGACATCTTCCTCGCACTCAATGCTGTCGCGAGGAAGCATGGTGTTGGCCGTATCGATATTGTCGAAAACCGATTCATCGGCGTCAAGTCTCGCGGCTGTTATGAGTCGCCTGGAGCGACTATTTTACGTGTCGCACATATGGACATTGAAGGTCTCACGCTCGACCGCAATGTTCGTGCTCTCCGTGACCAGTTCGTCACTATCGAACTGGGTCGCATTCTCTACAATGGGCACTTCTTCACCCCTGAGCGCGAGTTCGTCACTAGTGCCATTCCCGCGAGCCAGCGCACCGTCAACGGAACAGTGCGCTTGAAGCTCTACAAGGGCAACGTCGTTGTCATCGGCCGCTATTCTGACGAGGTAATAGATTTGATTCATGGCTTTCATGTTTGCTTACCCACATTTAACAAGGGTCTGTACGATGAGCATGAATCCTCCATGGACGAGCTTGGTGGTTTTGAGCCAACAGATACTACGGGTTTCATTCAGATTGAAAGCATCCGTATCAAAAAGTATGTTTCCACCTTACATTTATTTTAACTTACTCACTTACCTTGCTCAAGGTGGGGCCAGGCTAATGCTCGCAAGGGTCAAGCTGGCGTCGAGCCAGAGGATGTTTATGGCTCCCGCATCTAGTCAAATGCTCTGTTTCGGATCTCAAGGACAGAAGGAAAAACTTTCTGATTGTAAATAGTGTCCTGCTACTGCGATACTAGGGCGCCGACAGATACCTTGCTTGTACTCAAACTTTCAATGCTTCACGAACAAGCGCATTGAATAGCGCAAATACCCGAAACATTGTCAGCTCCGTAGTGACATTCTTTATATCCATCTACCACTCGAATCAGAGAAGTACGTACTGTGCAGCACTAACAACTTCCTCTCGCTCTGGGGTACAGTGCCTTGCATATAAAACTGCGTAGTCGCATTTCCACAAACCCTATTTGTACCTATTTGCTCGGGCCAAAACATACCGAAAATACCTGATTCTTGGTGTGACCAGTCACAGCCTCACTAACAGACTCGTGCCCTCGCTAGAAGGATTTCCATCCAGCGAGTGCCGCAATCTGCGAGCCAGTCATTGCATGCTCATAGCGCCAGGTGATGATGCACTCTCGAAGCTGTTGAGACAGGTGAGGAGGCATAATTTGATGTGACCAGTCACACCGACAGGGTATTTTCGGTATGATTTGGCCCGAGCAAATAGGTACAAATAGGGTTTGTGGAAATGCGACTACGCAGTTTTATATGCAAGGCACTGTAAAGTCACCGAATAACAAACTCGATTTCAATTTCTATTTGGCGTTGTTGATTTAAATTTGCACAGCATGACAAATTATAATTGGCGAACTTGACTGTATACCATGACCTCTTGCATCGGGGACGCGTTGAGCACCCTCATTAATATGATACCGCTCATTCGTCAGCCTTAACACAGGCTCTTTAAAAATCGGGAGCCTTGGCAGAAGCTATCACCGTTCGAACTCCTACTCTCTGTCTCAGGCGATGTAACATGATCGTGCTCCTTCAAGTTGGCATGAGCTATGTCCAAGACGTAGTAAGTATGTAGGATGTATCTTCCAGTAGCAAGCTCGGCAGCCTTCCGCGTCTACTTGCAATCAGGTGGCCTTGCCTCGCAAAGATGCTGCTGCTAATTTGGGATAGCTAGAGGAAAGGAATGACCTATTTTCTGAGTCCTTAATGCCCATCAGACCGGTGCATTTTCACTGTTCAAGAAACTTGGGGAATCCTCAAACGAGCTAAAATGTCAACGTAAATAAGATGTGAGTCTTTCTTATGGCGTCGATTTATCATCCGTGCTTAAGTTCCGTACTTTCTTGGGCTCAAGATAGCTCGAGATTATTCAGACAAGGCTTTGACTAATGGCCCATCTCTGCGCTAGTGTGGACTCGTGACTATATCTAGTCACGAGAGTGGAAGGCATTCCATATCACCCTGGACTTTTAATAGAGCTGGAAGGATAACAAAGTCGGATACCCGCTCAAATCACTCACTGCCCTACGACATCTACGACCCGTCATGACGACAGTACAAGAATCAGAAAAAGGTGACATCAATAGCTCTCCGACGTCAATGACCCAAGTGGCCGAGGACAACAACAAATTTCTTGCAAGTAGTCCTTCGCTTTGCCCTGAGCCTCGATTAATATGTAACAGGTAACCTTTGAGGACAATGACACACGAGATCCCATGAACTTCTCATACAGAACAAAGTGGACAATCACACTAGTGGCGTGTGCTTTTTCTGCGACAGTCGGTAACTAGCTAATCTACACCATGGAGCGACTAGATAATTGACTTTGCCTCTAGCTGCGGCGTCGGCTTCTTTTTCTATGGGGTACCAGTCGATGATGCGGGACCTGAACTGCACTCAGTTCCAAGCCACCGTTGGATTGAGCATGTGGTCAATCGGGTTTAGCACAGTTCCTCTCATCACTTCGTCCTTCACGGAAGAGTTTGGTCGCCTGAATATATACATCGTCTCGTCATTTGGATTCATGCTCACGGAGATGATGATTGCCCTGTAAGCTCATTTTTCACGAGCGTATCACTGATTCACAGATTGTTACAGGTCACCGAACATACAGACCGTCATGTTTGGACGTCTGCTCGGGGGCGCATTCGGCTCAACAGGTGCAACCTTGGTGGGTGGTTCGATCGCTGACATATGGAAGCAACATGAGTTGGGCATCTCGAGATTTTTCTTTGTCCGATCGCTACAGCTACCTTCACAGGCGTGGTCAACCCATGGCGTTCTTTACTCTTGTTTCTGTGGCAGCGACAGGGCTTGGGCCCATAATCGCTGGTGTGATCGAGGCTAGTCCCCGCCTTGGATGGAGATGGATACAGTGGGTCCATGTTATGTTGGTTTCTTTAGAACATATCACGCACGGTGCACTGACAGGAATTTCCTAAAGATTTGCGGGGGTTTATTTCATCTTCGTTGTGCTACTCATGAAAGAAACGCGGGCCACCATAGTTTTGACTCGCCTTGCAAGACAGAAGCGAAAAGAGTCAGGAGATGCTAGATACCAAGCGAAAGCAGATATTAAAAAGCAAAGCTTGATGACCTTGGTCAAGATTTCCTGCACGCGACCAATATGTCAGCGAAGTTCGCTGATACTATGTTTGAACCAGCTGACACGTACATTGACTTTTCAGACCTCTTGCTGACGGAACCTATCGTGCAGAGTTTCAGTGTAGGCTCTGACTACTTTTTAGAGACAATACTAAAATGGAATGTTGTCGTGCGCAGTTATGGACTGGCTTCACATGGGGCGTCATTTTTGCACTTATAGAGTATGTTACTCAATATGTTGCCTTCTTGTTGTCTAACCCGGATATAGGTCTATCTCCGCTGAGTTCCAGGCGGTCTACGGATTTGACATCCAGAACACAGGATTCATCTTCGCCACCCTCATGTGAGTCGGAGAGGTCTAGAAATTGTGATGACATTGCTCACAATTGTCCGGCTTAGCGTTGGAAGTTTCATTGGTTACTTTGCAAACATGTATCAGGAAAAGTTGTATCAGTGAGCATGTGCTTGCTACATCGTGCGTCTACGGAATACCAACTCGTTCGAACCAGGAAACATTATCCTCGGAAACGTCAGGAAGCACGTCTTTATCTTCCTTGTTTCACAACAATCCTTTTGCCGATTGGGATGTTCATCTACGCCTGGACCGCAAGGCCGGAAGTACATTGGATAGCGCCAGCAATCGGTCTCGTTGTTTGTTCTGATCACAATGTCGTCATTGCTCTTGCGAGACTAATTATTCTCAAGGTATTCATGTCTGGCGCATTTGTCATTTACGTTGTGGGCTTCTTGTATCTCGCAGATTGGTGAGGAATCATATGACTTGCCGGTTTGCATAAAACTTATTAACCTCGCAGCTATGGGCCATATGCGTCATCAGCCATCGCAGGCTTGAGCCTTTGTCGTGAGTTCATCCTTCGCGCAACTCTCATATGCCTGTTTAACCTATAAAATTTACAGGTAACCTTGCCGCTTGCGCCTTTCCTCTTTTTACTACACAAATGTTTGCGCGTTTGACATATAGATGGGGTCTGACGCTGTTCGGATGTATAGGTGCAGCACTAGTGCCTATACCGTGGGTAAGACACAGCTGGCTACAACCTATTCAAATTGTTATTAACAACTGCAGGTTCTTTTCTTTTATGGGTCTAGGATTCGCGCTCAAAGCAAAGTGTCACGAAGAATTCTAGAGGATGAAGGGTTGCAAGAAATGATAGGGAAGTGACTAGACATTTTAACGCAGTGCGCGAGTGTCGACTATGAGTCCATGACAGAGGCGTGCCACAGCGCTTCGTATGTTAAATATGACCGCTGGCACTTGAGTTTCCTTGTGCAGCTTTGAGATCTTGAAACAGATGGTGAAATTCCGCCCGCTGCAACTTGAAGTTGACGAGAGAAATCATTGGTTGGGCAGATACGCAGAATAGAATGCTAGGATCGTGGTCTTTTCACGTGTCAACTAACATTGTGATTGGCGAGCATAACCCAGGCAGCCATGCAGATACGGAGGATGATTATCACTGCGGAAACGAGAAAATAGTCCGGACTCTAATTCGCGCATGTTGCAATTAATTTAGATCAAGTTGAGTTGTAACTAAACTTAAGTTAACGGTAGTCACCTCCAACTGTTGCACGAGAACGATGGACTGGTGCGTCACTCAAGTTTACGTTCATGCCTCATCCGACAATGCTATGGTAGCCTGGAGTTGAACATCCGCCAGCGGATTCTGTCGGACATTGCTACCCTTGAAGCGGAAACAGAAGAGGACCTCCTCACTACTCGTGACCTCATTCAATCCAAGGCCCAGCTGGCAGACGAGGAACGCAGTCCACCCAATGGTGACTTTGTGGGACGGGATGTTGAACCTCGTGCATTTATGGTACGTGCTTGCTCAACAATCGTACCTTGACTTGTTCTGAGGGTGCAGTCTGAGGCCAGGGCCCACTGTAACATTGCGTTCGGCGAACTTGTCGCGAACTTTCCGGAGGAACATATCGCGAAGCATGTCGACACCCTCATTCCAGTCCTAACGGATCTTTTGCGCGATGTGCCACGCATAGACTTTGACCGATGTCTTTCATGGGATGGTATGTCATCTCTCGTATGCTATGGTTGGTGTCCATGACCGTCCAACAGAGTGGGCCCTTCCTGACCAGCTGGTCTTTTCTACCGTTTCTGCCCTTTTACGTATCTGCAGCGCACACCCAGATTACGCAGACAGCGCCATCACCTCTATCATCACTTTCATCACTGACATTGTTGCAAACCTCAAGGAGTCCAACTGTAAGGTCTTCATTTAGCCTCCAGCGTAGGCATTCTGACATCTCCATAGCCATTGATGTGTTCACATACCTCACACCTTCTGTTCACGGACTGTACCGTGCCATCACTTCCACTCTTTACCCGTGGACCGCCTCTCAGTGGTGCCTTCTTTCTGACTCGCTCCAATCCCTTGTCGCGACTCCTGTCCTTGAACGAATCACCCGTCTCCTGCTTGACATCCATCAAGAAGCTGACTCTGATCCTGACGCCGACGTTACCTCTATCACCTTCTGCCACACTTTCCTCTCTCGATACATCGCATTTGGACGCCCACTGACCGGATACTTCATCGTATGCTGTGTCATGGAGATGCAATGGACTGTGCTTGCGCAAGCCCTCGCGAGTACTCCTCTGGTGCACAAGGGCCAGGTGCACGAAGCGGCGGCGGCGAATAAAGCGTGGGTGAATCTCATGAAATGTCCTGCAAAGGATTTAGGATTAGAGAACGATGAGGAGACGAAGGACTCATTGAGGGATACCATCAAGGACGCCCTGCAATGCTTTAGTGATCTGCTGGAGCAGATTGAGGGTATGGAAACCGAACCTCCTACTGATACGTATGTATGGGAAACCATGTCCGAGAGCCTGGTACGCATTTTTCTTCCTTAGATTGGCCAAGTGTTGTCTGACCCCATTGTTCATGAATAGAAACTAGCATCCATCTGCTCAATTGCGCTTCGAAAGCTGGATGATAATCTGCACACTCGTCTGATAGAGCTATTAAGTGACAGTGCACCCATCCTGGACAATCTTGTTCAGGAATCGGCGCTCAAGGCTACTACGGTGCTTGTGCGAAGGTTAGTCAGGCTAGGACACGCGCAGCACTTCCTTGACTTATCCTTTGCAGCTTCCCGGAGATCGCTCCGTCGTTTGCAACACATCTCCGCCGCTTCGTCACTTCTCCTCTTTCCATATTCGAGTTTGCATTCAACGCGGAGAAGCGTGCACCCCCACCTCTGACAGCGGCTGCCAAATGCCTTGCGCTTTGCATCAAAGTATGTCTTTTCTTACTTGGTTCTGTCAATACACCTCAAGCCTTCCCAGCTGTCACCTGGTGACGACTCTATCATGTCTAATATGTACTCTCTACTTAATTATATCGCTGCGACCTCCAAAGAAATATCCGAATCATCCTCTTCCAACCAACTACTTTCCAACCCCCTCTACACCTCCTCAATCACCTCTCCAGATGATAATATTACCTTCCAGAGCGATGAAACAGGCCTACACGGCTGCTCAGACGAAGAGAAGCGGCTCATTGGGATCACGACTATCTCCGTTGTAACGCGCCTTGCACTCGAGTTTCATATCGCGGGCCAGGAGGAGGTCACTAAGTTGACAATCTCAATGTTGTTGCAGCGCTTACGGACTTCGGAGCCGACTCTCGAGGCAGCGATTGCATATAACCTTGTCGACCTTGCGCTTGTAGCTCCCGAAGAGTCGTTTATAGACGTTGCGCATGCATTTTCGCTCATCAATCGCGCTACGAACATGGAGGACCCGAGATTCTCAAATAACATGGTATGAATCGAATTATGTGTCAGCGGTATGCGTGCTGATGGATAGCAGTTGTTGGCCGCACAGACGAGGCTTGCGCGAGAGCTAAACCAAAGACCAGATTTGTATGACGTATACCTGGTTGAGCTACTCACTCTCTTCGGGGACAAAGGCGTTGCTATTCAGAATGTAGCGACGTCTGACCGACATGTCAAAGTGAGTTTGCTCACACATTGTATATTTGTGCTGAACGTTCGTTTCAGACGGAAGAGATGATCGAGCAACTGGCCTCTCTACTGTTGCCGATTGAAGCACTTCTTACCCATGCGGATTACTCTCCACACCTGACTGCTTCGCAAGAGCTCACTGGCCTCTTCCGGAATATGTGGTTTCTCTGCGTCCTCTTCCACTTCACCTCTGACGAAGAGAGGGGCGCGATGACGTGGCTCACACCTGCGCTATTGAAAATTGCAACAAAGACGCCAACTCTTGTGCTCGAAAATGCTCATGACGCAGCGAGCGAAATCGAGTATAGCACTGTCATCCGGCATGAATATGCGCAGTCTGTTAGTGCTGGGTTGTTTGGATAGGGAGGCTACTTAATGATTTTTGACAGGTAATCTCAAAGCATCAATCGTTCCTTACACGCCATATTCCACATCGCGCGAGCGAGATACGCTCGTTGTCCCCAGGACAGGTAATTTTCTTGTTGATGATGCACGACGTTGAGAGTATGCGATCTGCTGCTGGTCTCCCGTTGTCATTGGTGTCATATTTCACGAATGGCAGCCTGAATCGACAGAGTAATATTAGTGTATGCATGGAGTCCGTAGCTGATAAGGTAATATTTATCTTCGCATATGGTACGCTGAACTGAATCCTCAACAGGTGATTCGTAGATGCGTTGGGGAGATGAATTCCCAAGCTTTAGAACAGGCACTACCGGTCCACCTATCGGAGGAACTTCGCAAGTTGCTTGTAGCCAGCACTCATCGCATAACTCGTGCTCGGGCCATTGCAAACAAATTCCTATACAACCTGATCACGTCATTCCCTTCTCTCATGTGCGATCCACCACTGGTGTATGCAATCCTTGAGTGCCTTACTCTTCTGCGTCACGCACGCATGCGAGACCGAGTTTATAGACGAGGTGACAGAACTGTGATTCTATCAATCGCGTAGCTAACGTTAGAATTTGATTACAGTACAACCCGGTGTACGAGTTCCACTCTGAGTGCACCGGTATCACGCTGCAGCTCACAGACGACTATAAAGTGCGAAATGATATCCTTGGACAAATGCAGCGCAATGCCAACACGTGGCTTGAACTTGCACTCGGTCGGGCTCCCATTGAGCTCCAGTCGACACTTCAGGTTCGCTTTATCGTTGACATTTGTAGTTCTTTTCCTTTTAATTCTGGTACAGAAATATCTCGCAGCTACGCAGCCGCTGATCGGTGCGGACGCAGCTGAGTTAGGGGCTTCTGTTGCAATAACATTTGCCAAGGCCTTTGGTCCTGTGCACCGACAACTTTGTAAGTCTTTGATCTTAAATTTCACATAAGTATTCAAATCTTGGTATATCGCAGCCTCTTTATGTAGCTTATCAAATTGGAAGTCTGATCGTGCCCGCGCTCTTGCCAGTCAACTTGCGAGCAAATGCTATTTTTCAGGGGAGGTTGCTGGTTTGCGACTCGCCGCTCGTAAAAGTAAGTTAATTGACCTTAAACCTTTGGGTGCTTTAACGTTTGCAAGATCAAGATTCGTTGGATAAAGTAGCTCCTCAAATGCAATGCATTGGTGTCCAGCCTTTCAAGGATAAGATGGCCGATACGATGAATGATATTCGGAATAAACGCAGTTCTTTAACTGTTCAAGATCTGAAGCGTCTATTGTTCCGCTGTGCAGCGATTCTCATATCATTGGAGAAGGTGAGACTTGGCTTTTATATACTTATGACATCCATCCTGACAATTTGCAGCGCGATTACACCTTAGTCCACTTCCTCGTCGCTCTGCCGTTCGAGGTTTTCACGCCCTCTGCGGTCGCTGTGGGTATTGAGACGTGGACGTGGGTCATTGCGGAGCGACCTAACATGGAAGTGGCCATTATGTGTGAAGTGCTCACGTCTTGGTTTGGAACTGTGAAGGAACGAAAGGGCGTTTTCTCGGCATCATCGAAGTTTGTCACATTCTGTACCTTCTGAATTGCCGAGGGATTAACGATCTACAGCTGTGTTGATCCATTCTACCATCCCATCAGTTACAGTCCAACCGACAAGGACGAAATCGATCGAGCGACAACTCATGCTCGTCGATTGCTCATGCCGCATACCTTAGTCCTACAGATGTTATTTAGTCGATTACAAGCAGCTAGATATTGGCGCCCAACTGTGATGTTTCTCATCCAGGGACTGGTTTTGCGATCTGCGCGAGCTCACAAGTTGTTCAGGTGACTTCATCAGGTTAACCGTTCAAAGCCATGTTAACGATTCGTCCAGCACCCATCCGCTGGCCCGAGAGCTACGCTACATGTTCCTTCTTTTCGGACTGGAGACGTTAAAGAGCTCTCATCTGGACGCTGTCTGTGAATGTATGCTGCGCGAAAGTTTGTATTGCACGGCATATTCGTGGTTTGCTGTTCGCCCACAGTTAGTATATTTCCCAAATTCAGTGTCAGTGATGCTAATGCTGCATAGGTGGTCTTTTGGAGCCAATCGAGTGCAGGTTGATGCTGACATCAAAGTCCTGTCCGAATTTCATGTGCATCTCCAGGGTGATTCAATCAGGAATCTGTCGTCTCTTTCGAGTCTTGCTCCCCATCAGTCTGCGTCGAAGGCCTCCCGCGAGCACAGCGGGCGTTCTCTTCCTCGCGTTGAGCTGATCAGTTGTAGTCTATGTCACGCGCCTCAAGAACATCAACCAACCGCTCCGGCTTCTGATAGAGAATGAGATATTCAGGCTTTCGGTCTGGGCCAATCCAAGCAACGAAGCGAAACGAGGCAGTGACCCTCATGGCCTGCTGGAGCGCAGTACCCTTGAGGTGAGAAATTTGATAATTCTGTAATGGTGACTCATGTAGTTTCGACAGTCGACTTGGCCTGGCGTAGTCCGAACAGTGTGGGAGGTAGACCCAGCCATAGCGGTCTATCTGACCGAGCGTTTCAAAAGCCCAGCAGCTCATGCTGAGGTTGAGAATCTGGTTCGTTCCAATACTAGCCAGGTAGTCGACACTCCAGAGGCTCTCCGATTTTTGATCGGGGATCGCTTCCGGGGTGGACAGAGACGAGAGCTGAAGGTGATTTCTGATCTACCATGTTGTGACTCGAGAGTTCACGTTTTGTCAGTATATCATCCTATGGGCGCCTGTTACCCCTGTGATCGCTGTTACTTTCTTCGAACGACGACACGGCAACGATCCACTTTTATTGCAATATGCCCATCGAGTTCTCAAGCAACATCCTGTCGATCTGACATTCTTTTTCGTTCCTCAAGTCGTCCAGGCTCTTCGATTTGATGACCTTGGTGTGTATCTGTAGCCTGTTGCTGCTATAGTTTTTGAATGCAGACTTTAGGATATATCGCACAGTTCATCTTTGAAACTGCAAATGTGTCTCAGCTCTTCTGCCACCAAATCATATGGAACATGAAGGCCAATTGCTATAAGGATGATGCTGCTGAGATCGTGAGTTTGACGTATGTTTTCATTTCTGCTCTGCTGACGCCGGATCAGGAGGATCCCATGAAACCTGCTCTAGATCGGATGACTGATATGGTGGTCGATTCACTGTCTGGTGATGCCCGATCCTTTCATGATCGGGAGTTCGGATTCTTCAACGAGGTAACATCGATTTCTGGTAAATTGAAGCCCTTCATCAAAAAGTCGAAACCTGAGAAAGAGGTGAGACCTCGAAGATCCTTCCCGCACGTAACTTGACGTATTTTTACAGGCAAAAATTGACGAAGAGATGGCCAAGATAGTTGTTGATGTTGGAGTCTACCTTCCCAGTAACCCAGACGGCATTGTTATTGACATTGATAAAAAGTCCGGTCGACCACTTCAAAGCCACGCCAAGGTGCGTACATCATTCTGTCGCTTATTTGTTGCTTAACACAACTTCACCATAGGCGCCGTTCATGGCTACTTTTAAAGTGAAGAAGGAGCGCGTTATTATTGATTCCGATCCAGAGTCTCTTTTGGATGGTGCACTCGAGAAACGTGAGGAATACGACGTTTGGCAACAGGCTATCTTCAAAGTTGGCGACGACTGTCGACAAGATGTGCTGGCCTTACAAGTCATCGCGATGTTCAAAAACATCTTCACCGGTATCGGGTTGACCCTCTATCTCTTCCCTTACAGGGTTACCGCAACTGCCGCTGGAGTGAGCACGTTCTCATTTTCATTGACACTGGAACCACACTCAATGTGCATCATAGTGTGGTGTAATTGACGTGGTGCCAAATGCCACATCTCGAGATGAGATGGGAAGAGCCACAGTAAACGACCTGCTTGACTTCTTTATTTCGAAATACGGCAGAGAAGAGACCGTTGCGTTCCAGCGTGCTTGCCTTAATTTCATCCAGTCTATGGCCGCTTATTCTGTTGCTTGCTATATCCTACAAATCAAGGACCGTCACAATGGAAACATTATGATCGACGGCGAAGGGCATATCGTGCATATCGGTAAGTTTTGGCTGTCTGATAATACATCAACTGGTATTGAACTTGATCTCAGACTTTGGATTCCTATTTGATATAGATAAGTCATTCCTTTCATGATCGTTAAATGTTTACTTACTTCGTTTTTGTCATGTATCCACGTCCTGGAGTAAGCCCCATCGTCGAATGTCGATACCTGAAGCAGTTCTCTGACTATATTTCGCAGGGAGTCAAATTTGAACCGAGCTCCTTCAAGTTAACCCATGAGATGGTGGTTCTAATGGGTGGCAGATATTCTCAAGGTTACGAACAATTCCAGCATCTCACGGTGAAGGCTTTTCTCGCTATCCGACCTCATGCAGATCAGCTCGTCAGTACAGTCCAGCTCATGCTGGGAACCGGTCTCCCGTCGTTCAAGGGTGAATCCACCATCAAGCGCCTCAAGGATCGTTTTGCGCTCGGGTTGAATGAGCGTCAAGCTGCCGAATGGATGATGGGAATCATCCGCAATGCTCATGAAAACGTGAGGAGCACAGCTTACGATGAGTTTCAACGGGTGCGTGATTCTTGCTTGCGATTATTAGACATACTTATGTGGTTTGCTCAGATACAAAATGGTGAGTCGGAAGCATACTCGGTACGATCCCTCTGAGACTTGAGGCGTTTGCAGGTATACCGTACAAGTAGCAAATGCTACTCAAGAGTCAATGGATAGCATCGAATTTAGAGATATAAATGTAAAAAAAGCTAGTCTACGCTCTTACCTTGATCCGCGTTTCAAGGCTTGGGGTTCTTCCTGATGGATAGCTCAACACCTTTGAACGGGTATCTGCGTAGGCGTATAACTTTTGAAGTCCAGGGTTTTGGTTTGTACCTTGACAATGTATACAAATCACAACCATGGTCTTCAAAAGATAATACATAGAACTATAACATTTCTAGTACCAAACGCGGAGGACTTCGGCACTGCACTTACGGATTTCCTAGCAACTGCCAGGTTTTTATGTTCCACAGCTTCGTCGTTCCGTTCGGTGAACCAGTGGCAAGTACTATTCCATCGGTACAATTTGCTTGTACCGTGCGTTTTACGCTCTTTACTGCATTAGCCTACCTCGTGTTTCCATAGACGCCCAAGACATGAGGCGCCGTTCTGATTCACACACCTTCATCAACTTGGGCTGCGGGCGGCGAATTCCTCAACAGAGTATAACTTCTCCCTGACATATCTGTACATGGGTCCAACCTGTAACTCCACAGAATACGTATCCCCTCGCGTCCAATCATGATAATGTAGTTGGTACTTCCCGGCGCTCGAATCTGGCTAGCTCTTCAGATAACATCGGCGCCGCAAAGAGGGTCTATCCGGGATGGCCGGATCAAGAATATCTTGCTGAAAAGCTACTCCACTAGATCACTAAGCTACCTGTCCGAACGGTCACAGCTCGTGTACGTCTATTCACCTTGGTTATCTCTCTCGAAACTGAGATACATCTAGCATACTGTAATATCATCACTGTCTTCCTTCCAATGCTGCTCGTCGCTCATCTCAGCTTTGCCGCAGTCATCACAATCCTACACCATACAAATGGCGGTGCAACACAGTCGTCAATTCTACTGACCCCAGAAGGCCCTCAATCCTTACCGCAGTCGAGTCCTGCGTTGAGTTGTTGATCGATTGTCACTGTGGGTGTTCGGGGATGCCATGAACAATCATGGGATCATCGGCCCCAATCCTCAACACCATGTACTATCTCCATCGTGGATATCAATTGATGCATGCTAATGAGGACGGAACAATCCATTTTCGATATAGACCGACGGGGGCAACACCAAAGCATCGCATTTATGACACGGCCATCAAGTCCACGTACTACCCCGGCGGGCTCTCACCGCAGCCTAAGGTATGCGAGCCCTGCTGAGCTGTTGACCGGTTGTCGTTGTAGGCGTAGCATGTATTTGCTTGTGTCTGTGGGCCGCAAATGATGGCATGATGCAAACCGCATGCGATCACTTGAAAAAGACGACTTGCACGAAACTGGGATAGCGGTTGCTGGAGCATACTCTTTCCTCCCAACACCCACAAGCTGCATTTCTGATCTTGATTGACCCTATAGTTGAGTAAGTATTTGAGTGGTCATCGTTACATACGTGAGTGCACTGGTGAACACCGAACGCTTCGCCAGATGTGCCATGAAATCAATAGTCAATAGTCCCACTGATCCTTGGATCACCGAGACTAGGTGAGTATCGCAACATTTCAAGCGATCTTTCACATCACAGCGACCATTGTCAACCTAACCCAATTACCATTAACATGTGCCGGTGCTGCGCGACCACAAATTAACTTCCTGGGCTGGACCACGCCTCCACTTGACTTGCGCGACACGGCGATGTAAGGCAGATCATCAGCCCAGTCTGCAGTTCGCGAAGCGAGAAGCGCTCGTGTTGTCAACTTGAAAAGCGCATGCTATACGCACCCGTCGGAACCATGCCCAACGGCTAGTGAGTCACCGCCACTGGGGTAGCGCGGTTGTCAGCTTGCCAACAGCAAAGCCAGCTTCCGTAGCAACCTTAGACTTGTTGGACATGCTGTGGCTGTGCTGCACTGGTAGCCTCTCATGAACACACTGCCGTAGGCACCAGTCTGAATGCTCCGTCCAACGATGAGCGGAAACGGTCATGATAGGACAATGCATTATCCTCTAGAGACAGTACAGCACATGTTACTATATAGTCGTATTATATGCCCCCGCCCCGATAATCTACACAGATAAGTTATTGAGTGAAGAGAAAGCAAATAAAACGCTCGACAACAGATCATTATGATGTGAAGCAGAGATGCGTAGATGCAAACTTTTGAAGACCAGTGGTGGCAATTAGAAGAGGATAGCCTATACCGCGCAGAAACGGTCGGAGAAGAGCTTGAATGCTCGATTATAGCGCACAATTATGTGGATGTGGATGTATTGTTAGAATCCAGGGTTGCAGGACATAACGCGGCCCAAGTGTCTGGAGAGTTCAGTTAGCTTACTGAAGACAACTAGCAAGGTACCCATACCTGGAATACTCGCGCTGACGGCGGGAAGTTGATTCCGGGCTTCAGCCATGACCGCCGCGAAGCCGCTAGGGAGAAGTCAGTGTATGACTCAAATATTATTACTGCATACATACTTGTTCAAATGGAAGTCAATATGGCTGGCAAACACGTCATGAGAGGTGTATCATGGAATGTAACGAGAATGTATGCTTACCAATGGAAGAACCATGGTCCAGCATTGTCCGTGACGAAACGGAAAGTAACGTTATCCCCTGGCAATCCCATACTTACGGTGTCTCTCCAGATTGGATTGACGAAGTTTGGTGTACTATTGCCCGCAACTCTCACAACGGCAAAATTGTGCTGTCAGCTGCATTAGAACAGGGAATGACACAGAAAACGAAAGGACGACGCACTCCGTGAAGGTGCATAGGATGCTAGAATGATGCTGAGTAACAGGAGTGAAATATGCCAGGACGTACTTACTGGACCACCAGGAGCTGCACCTGTTTCGGGGATGGTAATTTCCACTACCTTGTTCGGGGGAAGCTCGTATACGCTTCCGTTCGGCAGCAAATCCGCGGGATGTTGAGCCCCGCTGAGCATTTGCAACAGAACCGGTATCGGAGGATTATGGTATGTATGTTCGTTGATCGTGAAGAGGCCGTTCACGTTACCGGCAACTAAATTTATATTGACATCTGCTTTGCCAATCTCAGGGAAACCCGGGGCCGGGGTGTTCGACAAAGATGCAAGCTTTGCTTCGTTGAATGGCAAGACGTAGGGTCCACCAGAACTCGTAGGATCTTCATCGGGTGCACCCTTGTACCTAAGGATAGCTTGGTTCAAGCCACCTACAAACGTTTGGTTTGGAAAGTTGGTTGATGCGCGAACCCAGTAATTATCTACCGACTGGTTCGCGTGGACGACGACAGAGTAGCGTTGGCCAGCGTACACTGGAAGCAAATCCACAGTCTCAGGAACAGTTTCGATGCCATCAGCTTCGATGATCGTCATAGGATGGCCATCGATAGTGAAGTTAAATGATGGGTCACAAGAAAGACCAATTATGCGGAATCGGTAACGCTTGCCCTGCTCGACATTGATGACAGAAAGAGGTGATTGGGGTCCACCAGGGTAGCGCCCTAGACCATTGATGAGGGTGGAGTTGTAGGTGATGGGGCCGATGATTTTGTTCAACACAGTCGTAGGATCGTGGTACCTGAAAGAACTTGTAAGATTTGGAATGCAAAAGGCTGACAGCTCGTACCAGTCAGAAAGCGTGATTACTGTGTTCTCTGTGCCAAGGTTGGTCAATGTTCGTTCTAAACATGAAAGTAAGAAAGAATACAAACCGTCATCTACATCATACAAGTCTTTGTGTGGGTCCTCAGGGTCATATATGACAAGTGGTCCTCTAAGACCATCGCCTGGACGTAAAGCCGTGTAGCAAAGGTCGCAAAGAAAGGTACGGACACTCACAGTACTGGGTGGAATAATGTGAGTGATACCTATCGTACGACATGCCTTAGCATTTCTTCTCCATAGAAAATGGGGAGCACGAACCAATAAGTTCCAGTCTGGTTGGGTGCACTAAATTGGTGGAGGAAAGAGCGATTTGGAAGGATCGGACACTGTGTGATGAACGAAGTGCCATCGGCCCAGTTCGTCTGTTTTTGTCGGATGCCATGCCAATGCTTTGAAGGGGTATCAGAGACCTTGCGGTGACAGTCAGAATAAAGACTTACTACGCTCGTCAATAAAGGCATGTCGTTGTCATCTAATTGGTTCATAACATTGATGCTAAAGTTGTCATTCTTCAAAATATTCAGCTTCAGACGTAAATAAAATGCTCGCGCGAACCTTCTGCGCCTTGATGAGAGGGCCAGGAAAAATCCCTCCTGCAAGTGTAGCCCTGTACGAGAGGAAGATGAAGAGGCATAGGGAAACATGTAAGCATGAACTCACGACCGTGTAAAGCCGTCGGGCGAGATTACTCTATTAGTGATAGCGAGTCCAGTGATTGATGGGATGGTGGACGGGGGCGCGCTAGGTGGCGAGCGCTGTGGTTCAGAGTTGGATCTTGGAGTTACCGACGCTGCACGTGATGAGGCAAGAAGACAGCCAGCGAGGACAGCGTAGAAAAACATTATGAGCAGGATGACATAAACTATGCTGCTGAACCTCGGCAGCAGACGTGGAGTCTAACTCGAAGGTAACCGTTAACGGAATAGACAAATCTGCAGACTTCTTATATGCGCGATTGTGTCGAGCCGACAAGCCTGTGATGGCAGCATTCTAAGTTGATGGACAGCCGGAGCGCCGGAGCGTTGCTAGAGCCACAGACCACTCTGGATGCGCAAAATGACAAGCAGTGCACATTGTGAAATTGGATATGTTCAGGATTTCGTACAGGTTAGTTGCTCTGAATCAAAACGGCCGAAATCATGACAACAGGTGACGCACCGTGATTGGATAGTTGCAGTGAGAAGCGACTGTAAAATTCACCCGATGATCTGCATCATAAAATCTGCTGCGCTGCTGCAGTGGGATGAACATTATGGTCAACTGCTAGGTTTGAAACCTTGGCAGTTTGCTGCCCGCTCTTCCAGTGGACCAAATCATATACCGCGCATCAAATGAAGTGGACGTTCAAGTTTGAAAGCCCCAAAAAGTGTGATCAGTGGCAGCTTGAAACCGTTAGCTCTGACGTGGCGTCGAGAGTCGAGACTCGCTAGCGCGAGCACTGGGAACTGGTGGAAGGGCGTAACCACCAAGATGGTCAGGTGACTCGGTTTGCACAGAACCGCATCAGTCAATTGGTGGCAGTTTGACAACCAACCATTAATATTGCTGCAATGGAGAAAATCATTAATCAATAACCAATTCAACTATTGGAGTAAGGGGTACTTTTCAGCCTCTTTCAGCGGGCCTAAACCCGATATATCACACAGGCCGACGCTTTCCAGTAAGTCCGACATAAGACGGCCCAGTAAAGCTTGGTGACCACTGAGTCAACTGACAGTTGCACGATGAGTCCATTTCACCGCACTAGGCTGTGCTTCAAGCCGACGGCGCACTAAACTCGATTTAGTATGTCGTTCAATACGTCGGGTTCCTGTGTTTACAACGTTAGGTTACCGTTCCGGCCCCCGGGGTACGACATAACTCATGCAATGCTGCTCTTGAGCTAGCTCGTACTGTATCCTGGACGGTGCTTCAAGAGGTGTATAAGAACCAGATCCTTGTTTTATACTGACAAAGTCATTACACGACGAAGACTTGTTTCAATCTCAAAGTACCATAAATGCGACGTATTTATTGAAGTGCGCCGCGGTGTGTCCGGTGGTTTGCACATGGATCAATATTGTGCCCCAGCGCTCCGAGTCATCCATAAAGTTGGTGTACCTGTCTGCCCTAGTTAGATACATATTTTTGTCAGGCTGAGCTTGGGCTGAGCTCCACTAGGCTCCACCAAGTGTCAGATGAGCTAAATTTCGTTGTTGGTGCGCTGATACTTGTGTACTGGTGCCTAGTACTCAGTGCACTTGTCCCTGATGGGTTTTCTAATTTCCGGGGCGCTCGCGTGCTAATCGGATGCACATTGCAGCGTCCCAAATCGGTGCTAGTTCTCTTCAACGGAGGACTCTCCACAGCCTCACAATGCAGGGCACCTTTTATCTCACCCACACTTTCAAGTTGTGCACTGGTGACGAATCACAACCTTCAATCTGCTTCCAGCGCTCTGCTCGCTGCACATCTCAATCATCAGAATTGGTTTTGTATTCTCCTGCCTAAATCCGCCATCATTCAAATCCTGCACAATACAAGTACCGCACGGCCGTCAAACTGCAGCCGAATCTATGCAAGCCCTGCCTAAGTATTGAACGACTTCACTCCGGGTATCAGGGAGCGTTATTAATCATGGATTAAATACTTAGGATCACTGGGAGCTCATGTGAGTATTACAATATTCAGGCAATGTTTGACGGCCATCATGCCAGTCAAATGTTTTAGCGAATGTTCTTTTTTATCACCATCGTGAATGTCAATTACCACATGCTGATGAGGATGAAATGATAGATAAATTTTCAGATCACAGATCCGAGCGTGCGGCAATTCGACCCTGTGTTTGTATTATCGAATCGAGGCAGTTCGTTATCAGTGTGTTTTGCAGGGTGTAACTCCTGAGACGCATTGAATGCGAGCGTGGATAACACGGTTCAGTGGCACTAGGGCGGTCTGATTCGGACGCTAATCTACATTGGTCGCTGGGGTTTTTACCTTTGTATCTACGACTTTCGGGATCGTTGAGCTTCCGCTTGTTCCACAAAGCGAGCAGTTGGCAAATACATACACAGGTCGCATCCCCACTGGCAAGCACTGGCATGTATCATTGTCTCGAAGTATCTGAGGCCTACATAGAATGGACGCTGCTGACCGTTGACTTTTGCGTAGCTAAACTGGTTGTCCAGGCCCAGTGGATGTAATTCTGTCGATTGAATTTCATATCAGCAAGGTGGCATCACATGATCGGCATCGCTAGTCAAGCAGCACGGTGAAAAAGTGGCCTCGGGAGGCCCGAGTCTGCAAGAAGCGTTACTTTAATATTAATCCTATCATCATGGAGCTCGGCGTTCTCCAATGCGTTGATTGTGCAGGCTAGCTAAAGAGAGCTATAGACTAGTATTTCGTCCAGGGACATTAAAATGTATCGTGTGTAGTACGGCGCTCACACTGCGCACGCCAAGCTTGCTTTACATGTGGAGGACGCGAGGCTCACAATCACCCCTGGATAAGATCTGTTCGTCGTACTGCGATTGAAGCCATGCTAGAGAGGACTCTAGCCCGTCTAGCGCGGCCGTCTCCATTTTGGCGCGGATATAGGTGGATTGCGAGTAAGTTGCTCACAACCCCACATTGCTACGTTAGCATTGAAGTGTACGTATTCCCTAGCTACATGGTCGGGTTATCACAGTCCCTGGAATCGGCGGAAAAGGTTCCTTGGGTACAATAACATCGCCCGGTGACCATTCGAGCCTTCTTCCGACCCATATCGTAAGGTTTCTCTATTCCATTATTTGTTATTTATAAGAATATTGGTATGCAGAGCTCCTTGTCCAATATGAGAAGCATCCCATCGAGATGTACGGTATACCTGGTGAACTACAAGAGACTGACTGTGATGCTGCATCGATACTTTTCCTCAAGGCGAAGTGATGGTACTGCTCAACATTTCGATCTCGTGGAAGGGTGTTATGAATGCAAGCTCTCTCCCGGAACAGGTGCGAGTGGGCCATTATGAACTATCGGATGTCTACGGAAAGGTAAGAGCTTTGATGGATATGATCATGCTTGTACCGTCACTACATAAAAACACAGCACAGCGAGGAGACCGATAACTGAATTTCATCTTCGCATGAATATGGCGGTTTGCATGGCGAAGCTTCGTATGAAGTGATGTCAGCTGGTAGACAGCTATTGAAATCAGATGACTCTTTTCTCCCGGGCGTTTCTCATCCCGGGGCGGAAGGCCACAATAGTTCGCCGATCTACGTCCGTCACGTCCTCCACAATTACAATTACGACGGACTCCTTGTGGCTGGGAGTGCGATCGCGGAGATATAGAGTCCAGTCCTTCTGATAAAAGAGGATGATTTTGGAAGCAAGGGATTCTTGGACCGTCCATTCGCGTGCGTTTCAAACGCTCTTCGCCAGTGCACCAGATTTTGACGATGGCAGAACATCCGACAGGTAGACGACCGTGAGCGCGGAATGATGATACCAGACAAACATAGAGTTGATTGACTCGATATTGTTGCTCCTATTGATGCAGCATGTATCGCTCCATGTCCAGCGATACCCCGCATCGCGGGCAGTTTTGCAGAAGGAATGCAACTTCGTGATACTGCCAACCGGATCCAACACATACACGACCTTGCCCCGGACATCGAGTAACAGCGGCTCCTTCACTTCCCACCTATGCGACAGCATGGCATAACGGAAGTACATCGCCGCCACTGTGTTGATGTAAAACCCACTGATGTTGCCAAAATGTTAGATTGGTGGTGGCACCTTGATTGCATACTGAAGCGCATTATCCCAGTCGTGTCTGCGTTCCATAACGAATGAGCGATTGGCATACGAGGTGTAGTTGTTGCCATCAGCGTTGATATTTTGCGTGAGTAGCAGGTCAGCTGTGGACAAGTCCCCCGCGATACATGCATTGCGAAGATTTGCGTTGATAACGAGGATCTGACATATGAAGTATTGGCTTGCGTTGTCGGATTCAAGGATGGAAACTGCCTGTGAATCAGAGACTTGAGCCTTCACATCTGAAAGACAATAAGCAAGATGTAAAATGCGGGATAATCAACGGGAAAGTACCTTTGACGTCAGTTTCTTGAAAGCCTCCTTGGGTACTTCCCACTCTGAGATCATCCTGTCGCCACCTCTAGTGAGTATATGGTTGCCGGAGAAAGTGACACATTCCATCAAATACGAACTCTGGAAGATAGCAACGGTTTGTCAATCTGAGAGACGCCAGATATGGACAGGGTCGTTATATGCTGCAGAAGCGATAAGCATGCCAGCAGGATGAATGGCAATGTCGGAGATGATGCCAGTACAACCCCGATTATATGGTTCACCAACCTGCTTCCAGGTTGATGAATCCCACTCCCGTCACATAGTCGGATCCTGATGATCACCCGCTGTGAGAAGGCGAGCGCCATCAGGCGTCCACGCGAGTAATAAATTCCTCGCAATATGGTCCTTGAACTTTGCAACACATTTATTATATTTCTTGGTGCCTGTATTATAAATTTCGATACATCATGTTGCAAGGGCAAGAAGTTCACCAAACGGAGAATACCGAATGCTGCGAACATGGTTTAAGCACTCAATTGAATTCCCCTATAGCTGCCACGTTTTCGTACTTCGAAGTTTCATCCCTAGGTAGGATGAACCAGTTGCCAGCACTGTACCAGAAGAAAAGTCCAGCGATAAGATATGGCTGGAGTGGGCTTTGATGGGCTGGGTGAGAGGTTCCCCAGTTTCTCCCTGCCAGCAGGAAGCAACTGCAGTCAATGCATGTCAAGGACGATTTCATATTCGAAAACAAAGGATGGGTGCATGGACGTTTTAACGGTGATGATGCGCGAACGCAGAAGGAATTAGAAGAAGGGCTGTAGGCTTAAGCAGGTTCACGTCAGAGATGCATATGGCCGGCGTCTGTGGCGCCCTTCATATCAAGCGGTATGGTTCGTGGCACTGGGAACTTGACAGATGAGTGATACCATCCAGAGTTCTGGGGCAATTGGAAACTTCCAAAGCAGCCAAAAAAATAGACCCCGTCGTGCGAGCTGGGCACAGCTCTATTTTGTCACTGCACCCTAGCAAAAGCGTTAATATGGCTATTGGTATGAACTTTAGTATGATACTCACCTTAAATTTATACGTTGCGTCGGAACAGGTGTTGCATCAACCTAGGCCTTACCTAGCTAATAGGCATAGCTTATTTGTTCTTCTGTTTGGCCTTATATTGACAAACAATTGACAATGGGGTAACAGTACTTGAAAAGTCACATTCGCGTCTTCCTGGACCCTCTCTCAAGGAAAAGTTGTATCCCCGTGCACTTCATTGTTCATGATAGTGGAGCAACCACTACCGCAGGTTGCAGGACAAGAAGGATGTCGGTTTAAACCATAAAGCACTACGAGCGCGCCACTGATCTCTGCCCTGTCGCCCCGTGACACTGTTCAATCTAGCTTCTGCAAAGTTTGTTAGTCGCCAGGCTAATGAAACATACCTCAACCTCAACAACCCTGGCTTTGTTTGTTTCACACACCCTTGATTTACGTCCCACTGACCCATCACCCAGCCCCATCTTGTCATTGCTCTGTTATCTCGTTCCGCGAACAGAGTGTACACTTCACAAGGTTGCACTGGCTTTCTACCTGCGATCTCCTCACCAAAGATTCCTCCATCCGAGTGCTTTTAAAGCAGCCACGCCCATCAAGCAGCCTAAATTCCACAAGGGACACATACCTCCCCTATCCGTTTCCTTTGACAAAGAGGAGAGCGCACATTCTCAACGTGCGAAGAAGCCCCATACGAGGGAACCTTTGTGGTTGCTTCTCGCGTCCCATGCTCTTGCACGACAGCTCCTTTCCCTATTGGCAGCATCGCAAATTACAACTGCAAGTTCTGTGCACAAGGATCTGACTAAGAAACGCGAGTCAGGGCTTCCGAATGAAATAAACAGCCTCCGTCTCGGGAACTCTGTCTGGGGACTTGAGTCTGAAAACATAAATGCAAAAGAAATGGTAAGGGCTTAGGGTTGGCCTAAGGCGACTGACGAAAACTGATTGCAGAAAGCACCACACTAATTTCATCATGCAGCCCGCAGTTGACGTACGTATCGATGTTTTGAATAGGCGGCGGGGGGGATGTATAGCCTGCGAGGTGCTCGCCTACGTTATTATCACATGAATGGGTACGATTTAGAGCCGATGTCTTGATCTATTATGACGTTGTTAGCTTTTTGTAGGGTAGGGGCGTGATCTGGATGAGAACGCAAATAAATGAACAAGCCAAATGGCATAACTCGCCTCTTGAGTCCGGACTAGGTCTGGGCTGTGGGAAATCAATATTCAATGCTTGCATAAATCACAGATATCTTCGCCAGTACTCAGGCTTACTACGCCATCATTCGAATATTCAATGACAATGACAATGTTCAACCTCTCCCCATGTACGTGCATCAATATCAAACCCAAAGATTAGTATTTACGCCACGCTGATTTCTTGTCCTCCATATAGTGATTATTCCGGGACTGTCTGACTCGACGCCCCGTCATGTCTCTTTCAATGTTCTTTGGAACAAATAGCTTGAATATATATTACGACGAAATACTTGCGAATACCTATGTCTAGATCTCCTTGAAATCCGCTCAGCTGCAACACCAAATAAATAAGTACCACGCCGAAACTTAAAATCAAGAAAAAATGCCAGATTCTCCTGCTCCCTGCATAGCACCACAGATTACTGTTAACTCCATTGATCATTTCCATGCTACACGCCACTGCCTGTCGATATTTGCACACGCTCCTGGAAAGCGATTGAGGTCATGGCTGTTGCTGCATCAGAGTCTGCCACGAGCCGAGCGCCATATTCTCGAATGCCTAGGATGAGGCGTGGTCCCAGCACAAAGGACTGTATGACTAGCAAAATCTGACCAAAACCAAGAAAAATCTGAGTTTCCAGGGAAGCTAGGTCCTATAGAAATGATGAACTGCGGTCGCATGCAGAGGTCAGTGAAAGATTGACATACCGCGAAGAGCGTCGGAGACAAATAATATACGAGGTAGAAGCAAGACACGGCAGCAAAACTAGCACGTTCAATCATTGAGCGGAAAAGGGAACCATATTCACAACATGAGCTCACCTCGCAAAGTAAAGCACATGGGATTTTATCAACACCGTGAAACAGTCGCTGATAATCCCTCCTGGCAAATTTTGTCGCAGTTCACGGAAGTGTTTTACAGCAATCCAGACTGCGAGACACAGCGCGAGGACCTCCCAGACAGTGCCGAGTATCCAAGTTATGGAAGCCATAAGTGAGGAATTGTCCGTACCACCGCCAATCATGCACACATAGTTGCCAGAGAGAATGAGTCCCTCTTGTATTCATCAGTGAGCGCCATGCACGGTTTTCATTCATAATTAAGTGTACCTCCTAAAGCATCCATCGCTGCTGTTATTGTGACCACTGCGTCGAAAATGTTGACAGCCAAGGACACAACGACGAGAAATATCAGGATTTTTGTGGATCGTTGATACATGGCATATAACCGAGTGATCATGATGACTGCAACATGTTTCGGTCAAGTCAACATCATAGGTCTTGTAACTGCACAACTCACCACTCAGCATTGGAAGTGCCACAAAATTCGTAAATTCCCACACGAAGAACATATTCTGGCCTGAGAAATCTGGTTAGTGATGGGCCTTGGGTGGATCACACACTAAAAACAGACTCACATCTGTAGTAGTCATGATAGTAAACGAAGAAGCTGGTCAAGAATGACACTCACTCCTACAGGGCGTCGCGGTTAATTGAATGCGAATAGCAGGCATCGGTGCAGAAGACTCACTGCATCTGTCAAGAAGATCGTAGGAACATTGACTGTATGCCACTGGTCAGAAGATACAAACACGGTGAATACGAGAAGACATACACAGCATGTTTACGCTGGTTGTGAGAGATGGTCGATTAGCACAACACCAATTGCTAAGTCTTCTGAACATACAAAGCACATAAAAATCCAAGATAGCGCACCTAGAATATTTTCAAGTCAGCAAAACTTCACAATAGGCAAGATACATACAGTCAGATAGAGAACGGTCATCAGGGACCAACGTTGCCTCTGTCGCAAATCAATATTGTTCTTCTGACGTGGAACTGTGCTCACCCAGATCAGTTCGACCTACAAGCAAATCTTAGCGAGATGGCTGCTGAGGTCATAGCATCAACATACCTCTTGTCCGAACGTAAGGGCTGGAAATACTTATGAGAAATCAGCAATTCTCCAATGACATTATGCTCACCCCAATCATACGCCACTACAGCACCAGCGGCAACTGGAAAACCACAATAGTCAGATCGAGAAATCAGCGCCGAAATCTGACTGCTCTTCACGAACCTGCAAAATAGCTGCTATTACGCCAAGAGTTGATGAGTGGCCAATAAATAGGGTTGTTTGAGACTATTGTCATACTGTTAGAGGATGAATGTGAGGGAGCGGGAAACTTGGTGGGATGATATTCGCGCTAGATATACCACCATCCAGCGCTTGGATGACCGAAATGAGACCGAGGGATGATAAGTGATGTATACAGGTTCTAGTACTAATAAATCTCCTCGTGTGATTGACTTCCCTTCTAGTAATAGTGTCATCACTTGCATAAGATCAACAATGACTCATTGCGTCGGCATGATATCAGCCGTTAGAAATAGTAGGGGAGATCCACCTACCCAGGCTAGCAATACCTCCCTCCAAGTACATATCCCAACCTGGTCCTTGTCTCTTTGTCACTTCACGCACACCTTCTCGCTCTCTGCCTCCCTCATTGGGCTATCCTATTCTAAGGATGTCGAAAATGATCAGCGCCGAATTTTTGATTTGCATCGTGGAGTTGGTGCGGTAGTTACAAGCACTGTGATTGATATCTGATGGAGATACAAGCAATCCCTAGATCAAGACAGCACTGAGAGACGACATGAGCGAAAAGAAGAGTCGAACACACTGTTATGACTGCATGAAGCCCGACTTGTGGTTCTTTGCACTGTACAGCTTGATTTTGTGAATCTTGATGGTAATATTATTAATACGAGCCTCAGCAACATCTATGATATCCCAGGGCTGAAGGGGGTAATACTTTGTCGGCAGGCCATCAGAAAAGTCAGATAAAGTTTGAACAAGATAATACACTTGCCATACAGCTGCCAACGCACACCCTCAACGCTTAATCGAATGAAAACGGCAAAACATGCCATCATAAATGCACCATGCAGTTGTTGTGCATGCAGGAGTCGAGCTCTGCTCGCGTTGTTCGTAGGGTAGGGACATTGGATTGGAACAACGCCTGTGCTTAATCAGGCAATAAAATACTGATTTACACAAGATTTACATAAAAATGTGGGGCTTGAACACCGCAAATTCGATGAAAGAACGTAATTTTAAGATTTGTTCGTGATTCCGACACTTGTTCCGACGCCGTTCTCAAGATGTGTCCATCACGACAAAGCGATCAAGTACTTCCCACACATGCTGATGGTATTGGGCGCAGGGGAAGTTTGCCAAAGAAATTCAGTTTACTTCTCATATTTTGCTACGAAACATCATAACTTCGCGCACCAAGGCAATGGTCAAGACCTCAAGGAGGCGATCGCACTTAACGAAGAAGCGTTAGCTTTGCACCCCCATATCAGGCCAGGTCATTGAATAACCTGGCGTTAGTGCACTCAGGCTCCGCCCGCTTCCAGAACCGAGGCAATGATCAAGACCTCCACCAACCCACCATGATTCACAGGGAGGCGCAGAAACCATCTTAATACTCTTCGAGCAACAAGCCAATCACCAAGATGTCGATGAAGCGGTGGCTTCGCAAGAAGTTGATCACCGTGATTGACCTAATGCGTTGAATAATCTTGCGACTGTGCTCGTCACCCGCTTTGATCATCCCCTTATTTGTTCTTCTATTTGTTATTGAGAAACAATTGATGATGGGTCTCTGCGGTAACTTGAGGTACTTTCAATATTATTTGTGACTGAACACATTGACTAGGTACATAAGTGCATATTATAATATGATTGCCTCTTGCAACAGAGACGCGTGTGCTGTCGTATGTCACGGCCTCCCGAGCAGGATGGGACTCCGTATCCGCTCCTCCGTCAAACATAAACTTCGAAAGTTGGTTACCTCAGCTAATTACACTTTCCCCTTCCACCATGAGTGCACAACTTACCTAAAAACACAGATAATTGAGGTTAGTATGTAGGATATGTCCCAAGAGTCTGTCTTGGAGCAGCTCTTCGCGTTCACCCCAACGCCATAGCTAACTTCGTTCGTAGGCTCGTGCGGCCGCATGTCGGTATAACTTCGAGCTGGGCATCGCCTGGCCCGCATCATCACTGGCACATCTATTTGCCACTTTGCCAAACTAAGCGCTTTGCTGGCCATTGATTCGAAAAAGTCAAAATGCTCTTTCGGACGAACGTGCCGGTGTCTGATTCCCTGACATCCAGAACGCCGTCTTCACTTGTCCAGCACTCAGGAAATTTAGGAAAGCCTCCAACAAACTCAAATGTCCACGTAAAATCGGGCTTGTTTCTGTCCGGATGGCTCCCGTTTATCATTCACATTCACATTAACATTCACACACACAGGGTCGTGCTTTCTCGGGATCAGATTATCGACCTGGCCTAGCTATGCATTCAAACAAAGCTTTGGCCAATGACCTATCTCTGTGCCAGTGTGGGCTCGTGACTTTTCCTAGTCACGAAAGAAGTCGTGCCACCTATACTTTTAAAAGAGCTGGAAAATGCAATCAGATACCCACTCGAACCCTCATTGCCCTGCGACATTCACTACAAACTCATGGCGACCGTAAAAGAACCTGAGAAATGTGACATCGTCAAATCTCCATCGTCAATTTTATCCCGTGTGTCGGAGGATAGCGATCAATTTCTTGCAAGTAGTCTTTCGCTTCGCCTCCTTCAACCTCAATCAATGTTCGTGGGTGACAGGTAACTTTCGAGGAAAATGACACGCGAGATCCCATGAACTTCTCATACAAGAAAAAGTGGACGATCACACTGGTGGCGTGTGCTTTTACTGGGATAATCGGTAATCCAATCTACACCATGAAGCGACCAGAGATTTGACCGAGACAATTTCGTCCTCTAGCTGCAGCGTCGGCCTCTTTTTCTATGGGATACCAGTCGATGATGCGGGACCTTAACTGCACTCAGTTCCAGGCCACTGTCGGGTTGAGCATGTGGGCAATCGGATTTGGCACCGTTCCTCTAATCACTTCATCATTTACGGAAGAATTCGGTCGCCTGAATATATACATCGTCTCATCGTTTGCATTCATGCTTACGGAAATGATGATCGCCCTGTAAGCTCCTTTCTCCCCGAAACGTGACGCTGACTCACAGACCATTACAGGTCACCGAACATACAGATCGTCATGATTGGGCGTCTGCTCGGGGGCGCATTTGGCTCAACAGGTGCAACCTTGGTGGGCGGTTCAATTGCTGACGTATGGAAGCAACATGAGTTGGGCATTTTGAGATATTTACTTGTCTGATCGCTACAGCTGTCTTTACAGGCGTGGACAACCAATGGCGTTCTTCGCTCTTGTTGCTGTTGCTGGAACAGGGCTTGGGCCTCTAATCGCTGGTGTAATCGAGTATAATCCCCGCCTTGGATGGAGATGGATTCAGTGGGTCCATGTTATGTTAGTCTCCTGGAACACATCGCACACATTGTACTGACTAAAGTTTCCTACAGGTTTACAGGGGCTTATTTCATCTCTGTTGTGTTGTTCATGAAAGAAACGCGCGCCACCATAGTTTTGACTCGCCTGGCAAGCAAGAAGCGTAAAGAGACAGGAGATGATAGGTACCAAGCGAAAATTGAAAAACAACACTTGATCACTTTAATCAAGATTTCCTGCACACGACCAATATGTCAGTAAAGTTCATTCGTGATTCACTCGGACCAGCTGACATTTTCTTGTTCCAGATCTCTTGCTGACGGAGCCTATCGTCCAGAGTTTCAGTTTATGGATCGGCTTTACATGGGGCGTTGTCTTTGCCCTTGTAGAGTACGCCGCTCCATGTTGTTGTGCTCGCCGTCTAACCCAGGTATAGATCTGTCTCCGATAATTTCCAGGCGGTCTACGGATTTAACGTACAGGACACTGGATTCGTCTTCAGCACCCTCATGTGAGTCGAAAGCATCTAGAACTCGTGATGATACTATTGTCCGACTTAGAGTTGGAAGTTTCGTTGGATACTTTGCCAACATCTATCAGGAGAACTTATATCAGTGAGCATGGGCTGGTTACATCGCACACTTTTGGATTATTGACCTGTTTGAATTAGAAAACATTATTCTCGTAAACGTCAAGAAGCGCGTCTTTATCTTCCTTGTGTTGCAGCAATCTTCATACCAACCGGGATATTCATATATGCTTGGACAGCAAGACCGGACGTACACTGGATAGCGCCAGCAATCGGTATCACCGTTTGTCCTACGCGTCTTCGTTACGGTTTGCGAGACTGACATTTCTCAAGATATTCATGTCCGGCGCATTTGTGATTTACATGGTGGTCTTCTTGTACATCGCAGATTGGTGAAATTATTTTGACCTGCACGATTGAATGAAACTCATCGATTTTATAGCTATGGGACATACGCATCATCAGCCATTGCATGCCAGAGTCTAAGTCGTGAGTACATCCCTTTCACTACTCTCGATTGCATCTGAACGCCATGAATCGCTAGGAAATCTTTCAACAGCAGCCTTTCCTCTTTTCACGACGCAGATGTTTGCTGGTTTGACGCATAGATGGGGCCTGACGCTGTTCGGATGCATAGGTGCGGCGCTAGTGCCTATTCCATGGGTAAGACAGAACTGGCTACTGCCCGTCAGGTCCTTAATGAATTGCCCAGGTACTTTTCTTTTATGGGTCTAGAATTCGTGCTCGAAGCAAGGTGTCACGAAAAATTCTAGAGGAAGAAGAGTTGCGAGATAACATGAAGAAGTGACTGGATATCGATGGGGAGCGGGAATGACATCCAGTATCTTTCGGTACTGGAGCAAAGGGTATCACAGCACTTTGAATGTAAACTATGTTTCGCTTGTACTTGAATTTGACTGTGTAACTTTAAGATCTTCGGACGGTGAGGACTGAGCGAGCGATACTCGCTGTATAACTGGCCCTGCGCCTTCCCACCCCGGTACCGGTGAGCGATCCTTGGCAAACTCCACCCGCTGGAAATATATTGGTGACAGGAATCCTTCATTGCCATCTGTCAGGACGACGCCATTGGCGGACAAGTAAAACGGAATGCCATCATCAAGGGCTTTCTGCACATCAACAAAAATCAAAATTTGTGAAGAGTTACGCATCCCTGGTTCAGAGCGTAAATATGAGCACGCATGTAGACGAGGTTCCACCTACCGCTCATGACACTGTCTCCCGGAATGCCTTGGGCAAGATGGATGTGATTTCGCTTCATTTTGGATAGGCCTTGCGTAGCTGACATGTGTGTTAAAAGGACAAACCAGCTCATGAACAGGAATTTACCTATGAACTGCCAGGCAACAAGCGTCGTGCCGTGGACAGCCATTGGTACATCCAATGCAGATGTGATAGGCTGCATGTCCAGCGTGACAGTCTGAGACCCAGAGATTTAAACCTGATATTCGTTCGACAAGAAGGTGTGTACCTTCAAGGAATGCCCTTGATTCGCTCTGATCCACCATATGTCAGACGGTGAGTCAGATGACCGAGGCTCTGATAGAAGGTGGTATCGCTGCTTTTGGTCTTTGCTGACAATCTCTTGCAACTGAGAGAAGTTGACATCTCTGAACATGGGATTCGAGAGCTATCCGAAGTGGTTAATGCTATAAAATGTCAAAAGGTCCCTTGCAACTTACGACATCCGTGACTTTGGCATACCCATCTTCTCTCATGTCTAATCCTGCGTTTTTTGCACCATGTCGTAGCAGCCAGCTCAGGCTCTTCGACACCCGTATCCGTGGATCATCACGAGGGTGTCCCCTAAGTTTTGAAGATGGACCCTTCTTCCTATTCTTGTCCGCCTCTTTCAGCTCTTGTGTGATATCCATGTGTCGTGTCCTGTGATATGATTGCGTTCGTTGCGCTAAATTATTCACCAGCCTATGTCTGCTTAAAGAAAAGATGGTAATGGGCCGCATTCAAGCAGTCGAGCCCGGCAAATAAAGCCAAAATGAATTCAGTGACTCACGATGTCACGGTATCACACCGTGCCTGCACGCCAACTACACGTACTACGTAGTTAGGCGCCTTGACCAAAACCCCGCGCCAGTAACAATGCAGATTTCAGTTTCAGTACCTTGATGCAACCACCTGGAGAGTCGCTTTTTCTATGAAGAGACCAATGTCTGCAAGCAACCCTGGACCTCGCTCCTCATCGCGTTTGGCTGGCCTGAAATCCTACCTTTCCACACAGAACCTTCGTACTGTTATACCAACTCGTCGAGCGCTTAGGCGAGGAGAGAGCGGCTATGTCGACGGGCAGACGACAACGCAGAGCTGGAGTCAGTGGGCAGGTCAGAAAATCAGGCGGAATGGATCAGATATAACAACCATGGATGAAGTCACTCTATTTCCTGGCTGGGCATCCCGGTGTCTTACGATTGAACAAGACGATGAAAGTAAGTAACTTTCTTGCCGTGCTTTTGTTGGGCTCACAGGCCTACTTTTTGTAGACGCATTTGACCTAGTTGTATTTGTCTCGGGCTATGCGACCACACGCAGGTCACCAGAGTTTCTTACCCGCTCCCAGCGTGCGTTTCTGAGATTAGCTAGAGGTGCGCTTTTGTGAAACCATGCTGTAACACTATGCTGAAGATATTATCAGGTTATGCATCTCTACCCAAACTACCGGGCCAACAATCGCCCGTCAAAGAATCATCCATGATAGAAATAGACGGCATTAAACTACCTCCCCGTCCAGAAGAAATATCAGATGACTTCGAGATGGAACTTGACAAGGAATTCGACCACATGAGGCACCCACAAAAGCCTTTCACCGAAGAACCATATGACTCTGAATCTGACCCTCAGCCGGCACCTTCACGTTTCGACACGTCAGCACCGTTTGGGAGCGCTCTGCTCCATAAGCAACACAGTAACCTCGAGGCACGTCTGCGACCATTTTGGTCATCTGCATTAGCATCCCGCACTGTACAAATATCCATCTTTGCTGTATCCACTGCCCCGGGCAACTCCGATTCGAAACGTGACGCTCTCGAGCATGGTCCGCTATACATTGAACACGTGGTTACTGGACCAGATGGCGCCTTTGCAAACCCCTTCAAGATTCCCTGGCAGAAGCTATCTAGGCATCCTCTAGCACAACACAGACCATTCGACAGATTAGACATAGAGCAAGAACTACTCGTTGCTGCAAAGCTGTTACCTGAGCCCGCTCCCACACCCGCATACATGATTCCAGCAGACGTCCCAAAGCATATTTCGCTGGTTGTTCCAATCACATCTTCACCCGTCCGTGTGATAACAGACATAGACGATACTGTCAAACTCTCGAACATCACGAGTGGTGCTCGTGCTGTCTTCCGCAATGTTTTCGTTAAAGACCTCGAAGAGACGACTATTCCAGAGATGGGGACATGGTATCAGGCGATGTGGAGGCGAGGCGTTCGCTTCCACTACGTCGTGAGTGTCATGCCATATTTTATGATATACTAATGTTCAGAACCCCTGTAGTCTAATTCCCCCTTTGAACTTCTCCCAGTCATCAAAGAATTTTTGCGGATATCCGACCTCCCGCAGGGATCAATTTGCCTTAAATCCTACAATGGTAGATCCTTCTTCAACGCCCTTCTTTCTGACCCCGCCACACGCAAGCGCGCGAATGTGGTTGACGTCCTAGACGGTTTTCCCGACTCGAAGTTCATCCTGATTGGGGATTCAGGCGAGCAAGATCTGGAGCTGTATGCGTCCATCGCCATGGAGCGTCCACAGCAGATTCTGGCTGTGTTCATCCGAGACGTACATGATGCCGGGCTTGCGGATGCTACAGGTAGTATGGCGAATCTCATGACCACGAAGCCTCCAGTCAAGAAGACGAGTTTGCCAGCACAGCCCCTTGCTACCCGACCACACCCCCTTCGCTCGATGTCTGATCCGGACACTTTGAATAACTCGGAGCTGTACGTTGCAAATTCGGGATCATCCATGAAGAGGAGACCTACACCCAAATTTACCCTACCCCCACAATCATTTTCCTCATTCGATATTCCCGAAAATGTAACACCAGAATCTAAAAGCAAATTCACGCCGAGGATGTCCGTGGACTCCATGAGCTCGGCTGGTTCGAGTTCGAGTTCTTTGTCGCGCAACTTCAGACGGGCGACTGGTCAAACGACGCCGCCAATGACGGAGGCGGAGAAGAGACGTTTCGAGTTGCAGAATCGCGTGAACAAAGCAAGATTAATGATGGGACCTGACATCGTTCTGCGAATGTTCAGGCTCCCAGAGGAGTGTATAGAGACTGAGCAGCTTCTAGAACCACTGAAGGATAGGAACGGGAGACCCACATAGGGATGTATACGGCCTAATTGTAATTTATGTATCGAGCTCGCATGTATGGGTAATGAAGATCCACAGGTATATGGATACAGTCCGTATGTTGATTAGGAGGATGTGACAGGCGCAGACTTTTCTTTTGTAATCGACTGGTTACGCGACGCTAATTGCTTGTCCAATTCAAGCATATATCCGCTGAGCTCCTGAGGCAACATGTGAGATACGTGTCAACCGGAGCATGGACGTGGCTTACAGTGTTATTAGGCTCAAATTGAAGGCCGAGAGAGATGGCATCTTTGGCCTCTTCTATGTGGCCCAGCGCGACGAGTGCCTTTGCTTTTCTGAAATGACCTTTCGGCCATTGTCTCCGGACGGAAATGACGGTTTCGGCGTCAACAAGCGCGCCGAGGTAGTCACCGAGCTCAAGAAGAGCTGCTGAGCGGTTGGATACAACGGTCGAGAGTTCTTCTCGTAGTATTGCAGCACTTTCCCAAGCTGGTCTCTGCACGGCTATACTTGCTGCCATGTTGTACTTTGAGAGAGCTTCTCGAGTCCTGTTGAGTTTGTATAGGTTCTATGTGAAAAGTCAGCAAGATATGCATAAGACGGTCAGAAGACAGACATTTCCCTCATCCTTCATATTCGTTACTGCCTGCGAGAGTTTCTGCTGTACGACGGTTGGAGGAGGTGGACAACGTAAGGTGGGGTTTGTGACAAGAATCTTGGAGACACGATTGAGAGCGATAAAGTCTACGTTGCACTGCTTGCATTTTTCTAGCTTGTGTGGGTTGCAGAAAGCGAATGCAGTACTTGGACCTCCTACTGCTATGTCTACAGGCTTAAAGTCGGCTTCGATGCGAGCCTGCATGACTGGGTCTGGCTGAGGAGTAGGCATGGCTTGTTGAGCTTGCTGAGCTTGCTGCGGGTGTGGGTGGACATGAGGGGCCTTCTGTTGACCTGCTGGAGCTTGCTGAACTTGTTGAGACATTTTAATGGTCGATGTCACCGTCTACGTTGACCAAAAGTCATAAAGCTAACCAAAAAGGCAAGTGGCGGTGTGTGAGAGCAATGACCCATTAATGGATTTTAATTAGTCAGCATCTGTGAACACCGGAATTTTTTATCAAAATTGTGGTTGCTCAGCTTTCTTTCTTCATCCACCAACATCGGTCTTTCTCTAGAACATCAACGACAGAAAAAAAGAACGGTCAAGTTCATCATTTCGACTTAATATGACCAATGGAATTGTAAACGGCAACGCAAGTCTAGAGACTCAGTTTGGTACGTATATTATCTTTGTACCCTTTCTCACAACAACTAATATCCTTGGTTTCAGCTTCTCTCGGCATCAATGGAACGAAATCTGCATATGTTCCTCCTCATATGAGAAATGCGCAGCGCGCTACCCCACCCCCGCCACCATCCAACGGGTACGTCATTTCCTTCTGATTTAATATGCTGTGTTCAACACAAGCGCTGGTATGTAGGACCGGCTGGAACGAGCCCCAAGCTTCACCACGTAGTGGATTTGAACCCCTTCGTGGCGCTGCTCCCGCTTCCAAAGGTTCCGCCTTTGTCAGCACTCCATTCAGCAGTCCCTCCCGCGGAGGTAGCAGTGCAAGTGATTGGGCTGGTCGCCCATCTACCAATGGATGGACCGCCAGAGAACCCCGTGGAGATAGCCAACAGCGTGATTCTTCCGGATTTGGTGCCTGGCGCAATGGTGTTCATGTCGTCGGCCCTCGCAATCCGCGCATGGAGAAGGAGCTTTTCGGAGATCCGACTGACCCATCCAAGCAACACACCGGCATCAACTTCGAGAAGTACGATGATATTCCTGTCGAGGCAACAGGCGCTGGAGTCCCGGAACCCGTTACAGCTTTTACCAACCCCCCACTAGACCCTGTTCTCTTGGAGAACATCGCATTCGCTCGTTACACTACTCCGACTCCCGTTCAAAAGTACTCCATTCCCATCGTTGCTGGTAACAGAGATTTAATGGCCTGTGCTCAGGTATGTATTTTCCTTTGAGTAATATGAAGACACTCACGTCCCACTTCAGACTGGTTCAGGCAAGACAGGAGGCTTCCTCTTCCCTATTTTCTCCGCCTCTTTCGCTTCTGGACCTCGTGCCCCACCGCCTGAGACCCCATCAATGGGGTACTCACGCTCACGTAAAGCCTACCCTACTGCCCTTATTCTTGCTCCCACCCGTGAGCTTGTCAGTCAAATTCACGAAGAAGCACGTAAATTTGCATACCGCTCTTGGGTTCGCCCGGCAGTGGTGTATGGTGGTGCCGACATTAATCAGCAGCTGCGTTTGATCGAGCGTGGCTGTGATCTCCTCAGTGCTACTCCTGGACGGCTCGTCGACCTAATTGAGCGTGGCCGGATCAGTTTAGCAAACATTCGCTACCTTGTCCTTGATGAGGCTGATCGCATGCTTGACATGGGTTTCGAGCCCCAGATTCGCAGGATTGTCCAAGGCGAGGACATGCCTGGCACAGAGGATCGCCAGACGCTTATGTTTAGTGCCACATTCCCACGTGATATCCAAATGCTCGCACGAGACTTCCTGAAGGACTACATATTCCTATCTGTCGGTCGTGTTGGTTCAACCTCTGAGAACATCACTCAGAAGGTCGAGTACGTTGAGGACAATGACAAGCGTTCCGTTTTGCTTGATCTCCTCGCGTCTGATCCTCCTGGCGGGTTGACCCTCGTCTTCGTAGAGACAAAGCGCATGGCCGACATGTTGTCTGATTTCCTCATGTCAAACCGCCTCCCTGCTACGTCCATCCATGGCGATCGCTCCCAGCGTGAGCGTGAGATGGCTTTACAGACCTTCCGCACCGGACGTACTCCAATTTTAGTTGCTACAGCCGTCGCAGCACGTGGTCTTGATATTCCTAATGTCACTCATGTGATCAACTATGACCTGCCTTCGGACATTGATGACTACGTCCACCGCATCGGTCGTACTGGTCGTGCCGGAAACACCGGTGTCTCCACTGCATTCTTCAACCGTGGGAACAAGAACATTGTCCGCGATCTTCTCGAACTTCTTCGCGAGGCTAACCAGGAGATTCCTGCTTGGTTGGAGAGCGTCGTACATGAAACAACCTTTGGAGGATCGAGTTTCCGTGGCGGTCGTGGCCGTGGAGGTGGAGGCGGTAGTAGCAGTGGTGGTGCTGGACGGGGTGGTCGTGGTGGCAACCGCGACTACAGGCAGTCTGGCTACGGCGGCGCCAGCAATTATGGTGGAAGCTTCGGACGTGGTGGCATGAGCTACGGCAATGCTCCTTCCCCTTCCCCTTCTTCATACGGTGGCGGCGGAGGAGGTTATGGTTCCGGCGGAGGTTATAACAACAATGGAGCAGGTGGTGGTGGTGGCGGATCAGGCTGGTGGTAAATATACTATCGCCAGCCGCAAATCTACTCGCCTCCCACTCAAACGTATCGAATTCTTCTTGGCCTGCAGCTTCTCTCGGATTTCCTCAATTCGCCTCGATTTCGCCTTCATGAAAATGACCCTGGTTACAACAAACTCTTCGCCCTATGCACTCAAACATCCTTCTCGCTGTGTTTCGCTTTCTTTCCCTCTCTCACGCACGGACTCCTTGCGCTGCTCTTTCAACCTGGTTTGTCTCGTTGCTCCTGCTCATCATGAAGACTACGGCCTATATTACATTCGTCGTCTGTGTTTCTATTGTCTCGGTGCGGTATATGTCTACCCTAATTCTCTCCCTCAAGCGCCACCTCCTCCCCGCATTATAGATAGACGTTAAACGGCGGGCCGTAGACATGAGCAGCATACATCATTTGTCAGTCATCGTTTCGCGATATCCACTCATTTATTGGCATTGCGACGCGCGGTCGGACATTATTTGATATTATCACGAGACAATTTTTACTGTTAGAGCATCGCATATCCTGTACCGTAGTCTTTCCTGTCTTATTCTATCAAATCCTAGACGCCTTCCCATTGCAGGCTGTTTAACTCTCAAGCTCTAGTGAGACTCCGGAGGGTGCGAAAATGGATCGGCTGTCGTAGCCACCGACTCGTAGCAGTTGGTCTCCACGTCAGCACAAGGACCAGCGCCGGAATCCGTACGTATTTCAGACGTTCCGTCCTTCACTCTTCTCGCTTCAGACGTTACAGTTTACCAGCTTTTTCCGATTCTTTTCCTTCCTTGAATTTCTGCCACAAGATGTATCGAGGATCGTCGCCCGCATCCGATGAGCCGGAATTTCAGCCGTTGAGGAGGCTTAAACCGTTACCTAAACGTAGACGCACTTCAGACGCGCCCGCTCCAGCAGCAGACGACCTCATCCATCCCATGTCCGACATTCTCGGCGCAGAATCTCTCGCAGAAGAACTCATTTCTCATGCTGACTCCTTCTCTCTGCAGTCTTACTACGCCTCTGTGTTCGGTGGCACCCGCAACGGGGACACCCTTGATCTGAGCGCGGCGTACCAACTCGGGAAGATGGGCAAGTCGGAGGAGGACCAGAGTGAGGGTGACTATACGGATCATCTCCAGCAACCTGGGAACACGAAGAAGAGGAAGGTCCCAGCCAACATGACAGGCGCGGCGCAAGGGCGGGAAGCGGAGCCGCAGTTGGGTGCAGAGGATGAGATTTTGGACAGCTTGGCGCTATTGAATGGTCGGGCTAGCCACGGCCTTGACCTTTCTGTGCTGCCATCACCGGTGACCCCAACCCCCAGGAAGGGAAAGATCAGTCCATCAACGCTGGCAGGTCTCCAGCACAAGGAGCTGCTCAAGCACCGTAAGCGCCAGCTTGCAGCTGTCTTGGGAGCTCTTTCTCTTGGCGATACACTTGCCCTTGATCAAGCATTATCGACTCATTTGCCCTTTGCGGGTTCGATGATCAGATCTGGCTCTAATCCGCCCAAAGTACGGCTCTCGCGTCGACGTGTTCCACGTCTCGCTCGCGCAGCAAGAACTCTTGCCAGTACAGCCCCAATGCTCCCTCAGAAGAAGCCTTCATTTCCAACCGCTCAATTCTTGTTCACGTTTTCTAGCGCAAGTGAGTCGCAGACATGCTATCTAACTGATTTCAGAACCTGATCAGAGCTGGTTTAATATCAGCATCGGATCGCCTCGTTGCGACGAAACAGGAGGTGCTTGCACTCAGGAATCGGTTCGAAAATGAACTCGCACGTCAAGCGGCTAAAGTGGCTAAAGCAGCTGCCGATGCTAAGCAAGCGGCACTTACGGCAAGCAAAGGGGCTAAGTCAAAGCGGGGAGAGAAAACGCAGCAGCGGGCACTCAAGGGTGCAGCTGAAGGCGGGGATCAGGTAGCGGAGTTTTCGGAATTGCCAGGGGGGAAAGGCAAGGGAAGTAAAAAGAAAAAGCGGAATGCACTTGCTATCGCATCGAATCCACATCACCGCAAAAATTACGTTCCTTCCAGACTTCCTTCATCTGGACAGGCTAATGTGGTTCAGGCGAATGCCAATGCTCAGAACATGCTTGGGCCACTGCCACTTCGCTTCCTCTCGGCACAAATACCGCCTCGCAGACGCAAGAAGGCAAACACGGCTACTCCCACTGCGCAAATAGTTAATCCTGCAGATGAATGGATCTGCCCACGTTGCGAATACTCCCTTTTCTATGGAGAGGGGCCAGAATATCGTCAAGCGGTGAAGAACCGAAAACAGATTCTTCGTAGAAGGCGACGGGCGCAGGAGCGTGCTGCAGGCGGACTGAACGCCTCCAAGACGCCTGCAAATTTGGCACCGTCTGACGAAGAAGAAGAAGATTACGACAACGACAACGATTATGACCCAACTCCTGCACGGTCCCCCGCCATCGTAAAGCAGTCTGATTGGAAAGAAGCCCCGGATATAGGCAGGTCTAGAGGGCAGGATTTCATACAAACTGGATAGCGTATTCACTGATCCAATTCCGCTCTTTCCATCTCATTTTGCATAACGCCATCTCTAGTTGTGGAAGGCATCGCATTACTTACTGACATGTTATCACAAACCGCATCTTTATCTAATAGACGGACATTTGGAATTTATTGGGAGTCGTATGCAGTCGCGTTGGCAAATATATAGTCATTTGAGGCAATTTCAATGGAGAACCCAGAGAGAACCATGACTGTGATTTGACAGGCCGCTTCCACGGGGCAGCCGCGTGCAGCAAGGCGTCCTGATGGAAAACGTCGCCGATCGTTGTAAGCGTCACTGTTTAAAGCATGAAGCTGAGAGTATGTTTCGAATGCAACTTTTTCTCGTACTCCCACTCTCTGCTTAGCATTTGCTATCTTCTTCTGTCGCGCTCGTCCTAGGACCTAGATTCCTGACGAAGGTCAGCATTAGCACGGCCGCGGCGCTTTTTCGCGAGGCTGATCATCACGTTTGTTCACGTAAACCAGATCCATCACATCTTGACGAACAAGCTTTGTCTATACACTTCCGGCAAAACGTGCGTTTCTGATCAAAACTTGTGAGGCCATTTTCGACCTATCCGCGATTGAGCAACGGATGCGGACAGCCATGTATCACTTCGGGTGATGATCTTTGTTCGACTCCGTGTCTAGAATGGCTCGCTCCTTGGTGCGGTACCGCGATTTCGCTCCCCCACCTACATATTCATTCACTCCAACTTGTCATTGATTGACTTCTGACGATCTATCTTTCATTTCGGGGATATAGCCTCGAGGCTCCTGACACGCACTCTAATCGCAACAGTGTCGGAGAATTACCTCTTTCGCATTCTCTTCTGCCAGTTCCCAGCTTTAAGAACATCGGCGACTCCTCGTCCCTTCCAACAACTTTCAGAATGTCCGCAGAAAATCAACGATATATATATTCTAATCCACAAGGAGGATCGACAACCTCTTATGAGTATCAAACATATCCTACGCAGGCTTACGTGTCGGCACCTCCTCCTCAGGCTCCTCCCCGGCCGATACGCTCCCCCATTACTCAGTTTCATTCGCAACATCACCAGCCAAATTTCGCGGCATCATCTTCATATACCCAACAGGCGTCTTATGCGCCCGCTCCATCATATACTCTTCCTCAGTCGCAGCCTCAATGGCAGCCTGAAAGCTGGTCCCCTCAATTCGGGACCTTCCAGCCCACATCCATCACGGCAGACGTGACGTACGCCGCCAATACAGCCCGCCCGGAGTCAGTCTCTCAGACCACCCCTGCAGAGGCACGATCGTATACTGCCGGTCCATCCAATCCACCACTTGAGAATCGCCGCCCAGAGGAACGTTATCCCCCCGCCCCTGGGTCAGCTCATGCATCGCCCGTTCAAAAGAGCAAGAGGCGGGACAAGGAGTCACCAGTCTTGGCTCCAAGTCCAATTATCAATCCTAGTCTAGATTTTGTAAAGGCACGCCTAACAGTCCTCCCTTTGTGGTCAATATCTGATTTGTCGACAGATGGTAGAGTCCTACGGTATGATACTCGAGGGGACAAAATCCCTGGCGTCCGCGGGTTTTGCTGCGCGGCTCCCACCGCCTGAAACTATGGAACGCATGATCCAGTCCGCGAACTACGGAAGACAAATGTTGCAATCAGCAGTTGCGCAATCAAACCCTGACACGAGGCCGTCTACTGGCGGCAGTGACAAGGATACTCCGGCCATAAAGCGGCAGGTGAACCGTCTGTCATGGGGTAATATACTAAATGTTGATGCTTCCTTTTCTGTACTCAGAAGGCCGAGGAACATGCTCAGGAAGGGCAGACTTGCCTTGGTTGCAACGCAACCTCGACCCCTGAGTGGAGGCGTGGCCCCTTAGGTTAGCGCTGTCTCATTTTGTACGCCACACACTTCGAGCTTATATTATGGTTTAGGCCCTCGAACCTTGTGCAACGCATGTGGCCTCGTGTATGCTAAACTTGTACGTCAACATAAACCATCTGATTCTTCTTATCATGTTTTGTTTCAGTTGAAAAAGCGGGCACGAGGGGAACGGTCTCGCGGGGGCAATAGCAAGGACCCAGGATCTCACAACACCATGGAAGATTCTGTGATTGCGTCCAGCGGGGGAAGTGACGATGACGATTCTTATGGGTCACAAGATCGCGACCTGGGTGATCATATACGGAGAGGGTGAAGTTGGACCCGCGATGCTCTAATCAGTGCAGTCTGCTTCTCACCGGTCTTCCTTCCTATTTTCATCAACGGCTGGACCTTTCAATAAATGACGTTACGATAGTTTTCCCGGGTTTGAGGGGCTCTCTCGGTATACGTCAGGGTTGGTACGGCTCCACTTTGCAGTATCTGTACGATGATAAGGTTACAGATTCGCCAATCTCATTTCTCAACGTACTTCTTAGTAATTCGCATCACGGCGTTTAGTTAGGTTAATCGGTCGAAGCGAAGGAATCTTTCTTTCGACATCTCAGTCTGTGGTCCACGTTTTGTACCTATCGGTGCCTCTCTAACCGACCATGATACGACCTCAGACGGTAAGGTTTCGCCTGACTACAACCTGTTTCATTGAAATACCAGGGGTCACATGGCAGAGGCGATTTCACCAGCAGTGCTTCATTGGCACCTATTGGCACCTCTACCTCCCAGACAGTGGGAATGAAGTGGCAGAGTTGCGACTTTCGCAGACTTTTAGTTCGCAAGCCTGACTGACCTTCAAGGTCGTGATTCTTTTGAATCCGCTACCTTGCAATGCTTCGTTTTATGATTATCTTATTCCATTTTTTTCCCGGACCAATAGCAGATTACCGTGTAGCTTAGTGGGGAACAAAAAGATTAATATTTAGCACTTATCATGAGTGCCTCGTGCAAAAATGAATAAAACGTGGTCATAATACGGTACAGCCGATACTCACTTGACGTTACGTAGAAGACGCGCTGGGTCAACTTTACCCCGTTTGTGTCAGAAGTCCTTAATTATATGACGACGACCTTCGCGAACGGGAACACTGCTCGCTGGACACAGAAGAATTGCAGGGTTGCACCAGAAGTTTTTTTAGATACGCGGACTGTTTCTCTCATGGCAGAAGGGATTCTTCGCTCCACTATTCGATGTCGTGACATACTTTTGCTATGACCACTGTCCACGCGATAAACTTGGAGCTCATCAAACGTGATAGATTAGCCGCCGCCCTGGTGCAGAAGGTTGGGCTGGCACATGCATTGGATGCCATAAATTCGCTAAATACGCAGGGGGACTGCAGCGGAAAATATCAACGACCAGTGAATATAATTATCAAATACCAAACACCCGACCCGAGAACGGTTGTGAGTGAGTATTAAACGGTCACTGATAGGGATAAAGGATGCAGGCACGGGGATGGTCACAATGATTGCGCCGTCAGCAGACTACTCCTCGGTGTTTTATATATTATTCCCATGCTGCGGCGGTGCTGTCCATTGGACCGGCCAGGGTGTCGGATCCGCAGCATTAGATGGTGGAGTAATGCCCCATGGGTATGTTTTATGAGAAGATATACGCAGGGAGCTGTTGCGTTGGATGATGGAGCCATGTCTGATGTCTCGATAACAGGCGTCATATGATCTGGGGACATAGTGAAGTTGGATGACGCAGATGACGCCGGGCCGTTGGGCAGAGCGGCGTCGCGGAGTCTGTTGAGTTCCCTGAGGACGGTGACGGATCACTCGAGTGTTCCAAGGTTGTCTTCCAGGACCCATTGGGTTTCATCATGAGGGCTTCGCAGAACTGTTCCAAATTCGTGGGTGATAATCATTGATGATCGTTACCCTTTTCTCGGATGCATCTGACGTTCCACAGACCCCATATGCGGGTCGCGGAGCCGCCAGCCCGCACCCAAGAAGGAAGACAGTGGCGAAGGGGACCAGCGACAGACCGGAACAACACAACTGGTGATCTGGTAACAGAACGATGTAAAACTTGATCAAAGTGCGTGTTCCATATCGATGTGCAGTGCATGCATTCGATATATTTGGAAAGAGACAGCACCCTGTCGCATCGCTGAGTGCACGCGGTAGAGTCCGTTGGGTGAATTACTGGAACATTGATGGGGTGTTGTACAAGTGTTAGTGCCAGCCTTCTGATCCGGGTAAGGACAGGCCACGGTGTCCTTCAATTCAAATCCAGGGACCTCCTCAATATTGCCCCAAGGAGTCCGTCTATTAATAATCCGTCCTTTTGAGCTTTTGGGGTCTTATGTGTGCGCAGTCTCGCGTCTCTTGCGGAATGGCTCCCAGAATTCCGATTCCCCGCACGATTCCCCCGATACCTTGGCACCGCCTCATGGAATCATTTAAGGCTCCCGATTTCAAACCTCCTCGGGATCTTGTCGAAGAACCTAGACGGGGTACGTTACTGCCAGGGATGAAGGTGAGAAAGTTACCCAACAGTACTAGTATCAACGAGATTGACTAGAGCAAGCAGTAACATCGGTATATGTAGGTTTGCGCTGCAAGGTCTTGGCCATTAGCATGCATCAAGATGATGCAAGATCAAAAGCCGCGAGCTTGATTTGATCCGGCTATCGAGATACCGTTGGGGGTGATTGCAGTCTTCGATCACAATCTGAGGGGTGACCCCGAGGAGTGAATGTGAATCACCTTTGGGCGCTCCCTGAATGTCGGAGCCTGCCTCTGCCCTGTGGTTGTTAGCTGCGAGGAAATCTAGAACAACGAAATCGTGTGTGAGTAGATGAAGTTTGTCTCGCAATAATTGAAAATATTATTGGCAAACAGGCCCAAGCCTGTCTGTAGGTACAGCGCGCAATTTGATTTGTACGTACTTAGCCACTGCCACTTTCATTGAGAAAGGATAAAGAACGTTTGAATAATCCCGGCGACTGAATAGAATGCGTAAAAAAACTTACGAGCAGAGAAGCGGTGTTACACATCTAGGGCCACGACCCTTCTGTGACTGAGGGCCTAGGCAGAGCCGAAAGAATCACGCGATGTTGATGTGATCGTCAGCTGATACATTGGGGAGTCGTTCGGTGCCAGTATCCCTACAGTTGACGGCTGAAGGGCAAATAAATCAAAGTTCAGGAAAATAAATGTTTCGCATACCACATCCCTTGTCATGCATTCGTTCAACTTGAAGGAAAAAGGGCCTTACATAAAGGCGCGATGCGCTTTACATCTTCGGGATACCAGCTGTTATAGCTAGTACTGTCTCGTCGAAGAAGGGGGTCCAGACCAGCGTTCGGAACTAGGAATGGTTGCGTGTATATGCGTGCCAGTTGTGCATATTAAAAATAAACACTCACTTCTCGACAGCCAATCACACACCCAGCGTTTCTAGGCATCGTTTACCTCACGAGGCTAGGTAAGAAAAAAAACGCCTGATCAACTCTTTGCATCATCCCAAAGTATGTACTGAGAATAAAAATTCCAGAGGTCAGTATGGCCGGACAAGGGGCTCTGTTGGTTTTGCGCCGACATTTAAAGTCGGCGCAATGGAGGAGTGCAAGAAGTCTGACGAGACAGCGTGGTAAGAGGCGTACCATGACTCTGGATCCGAACTGTGAACAGATGTCAAATTCACCTCATCGGTAATCAAAGTTATTTGTTCATCGCCGTGGACGGTCTCGTCGCCGAGCCATAGAACTCTTCAAAAGCGTAAGCTAATATTGGAGTTGCTTTCGGACCCCAATCACCCTTCCAATTGGTTGACTGCCAGCTAGTAGAAGCTGTCTGACCGAGCTTTTGTGTAATGATCAATACAATCAAGAGGAGACAACTTACAGTGCAACGGTACACCACCACCACAGATGTGCTTCGTTGCAAGCAGTACTTCTTGGTCGCATGAAAAGAACAGTCCCGCCTAAGCTTGCGCATGCAATTATTTAATTGTGACAAAATCTCAATCAGAGAATTAATTGACGACTATACTTCTTCGATTTTGTTATCTTCATCGTCATCATCTTCTTCTTCTTGACCTCCAACACGCACCACATCGGTCCCATCGGCTATTTCCACGCCTTCTTCGCCCTTCAGAAGCTGGACGAGGCGCTCGATGTGCTCAGATACCTGAACGGTCTTTAAGAAACTCGGTTCAGAGGACAACTCGTATGCAGAAACAGACCTTGTCGACGGTCTCCTCCATGTGTGCTCCTCTGACAATCTCATACACCCCATGTTCCCTGAGGTAGTCTCGGGCCCATCGCGTGGTGCATAGAAGAAGCAGTGTTTCAACATGCGTCAAGCGCAAGACAGAATCCGCTTCCCGTTTCTTCGTGGATGGAAGGAACTGAAGTGCAGATGGCAATTTTTCTTGGTCCTGGAAGTTACAACATCAGCAGGCTTGGACTGTTGACCACTGCAATCGTACCTCTAGATCAAGTTCCTCTGGGCCTGCTAAAGGTAGCAAAATGTAAGGCAGTGCGTCGATACCTGGGGCAGACAACGTCGATGGAGGAACGACAACAACTTCGGTGTCAGGAGATAGTATTGCGCGGTGAGCTTGTGAATGGAAAGCACAGTTCCTGTGATTGAGGTATTGGATTTACTCAATGTCAAGGCAAGGAAAATGTCGTACTTCAATGTCGATGCAACCCCACCACGTCGTATTGTGTCTTTATGTTCAGTGAACGCGACTATTTTGGCGAGAGGGTATTCGTTGGTACTATTGGGATTCAACGGATCTGTCGGTCGTAAAGTGACGAAGAACGTGCGACCAGCCGGAGACTAGTCGTTTGTAGTTTTAGTGTCAAGACGGAACTGATTCTGAGAAAGCTGACCGTGCTGATATTGGCGAAGACAGAGGCTAGAAAGTGCAGCTCTCCTTTTCGTTTTCGGGAAGATCTATCTCCGGAAGGATCTACTGATGCGCCTTCTACAAATGCATCGATAAGGAGCGGCAAAATGAGGATATCCTGCGGTTCTCCTGATGGATAAGGTACTGGCGCAGAACAAGTTCCAGAGCGGGATTGGGTTGGGAAAAGGGGGGTTGGTGAGGATGGTGTGTGAATGATGGGTACTTTCAAGGCTAAAAGGGCTGCGCATGGTGACGATGAAGCGGTTAGATTGGAAAGCAGCATGGATGCAAGATCTGCAAGTATGGAGTCTGCATTCTGCGAAGAGATAAGACGTTGGGAGATTATGTGACATAAAGCACGAACCAAGATGTAAGATACCAAGAAGGTGAGAAAGGCTGGTTCTGACAAAAATGGCACTAGCAGCGGTGAATCGGAGAGATTAACCAATGCACGGAAAGCATCGTGCGCAACGGCCTGTGACCATCATCGCTTGATCACAATTGGAATAAGTATACATACGAGTTGATCCCGGCATAAAAGCTTGAGATCACGGATTATATCCGTTTCCTTAGGTTTCTGCAAGCCTGCTCCTCCGAGGCCATGATAAAAAATATTCCTATGTGGTGATCCTTCCGGTGTTTGCCCTAGCAGATTTGACAGGGCGATCTGTCGGACCTGTAGATTCTTATCCCTTAAGAATGGGATGAGCTGCAAACAATGTAAACGCTTTGATTTAGTGGCCTGCAAAACACACACGGACCTCCTTCAGTTGATTCTCCATTGTACGACAATTGTGGAAATTCCCACGAGTGCTTAACGCATTGTGGACGATTACGTAAATGTGCTTGAACGGACTACTTTAAGGTCATCAGCTTGTATTGAAGCCATTAAGACGAGCGCGTGAAGTAGCCTCTGCCCAATGTCTTGTTACAACATTACACGCTCGGCGGAACAGCTACTAGACTCATACGAAGACGCTGCACCATCTTTCTCAGTTCATCTCTATCCGGACTACTGGACGCTCAACAACGGACCAAAGTTCCTGTACAATAATCCCATCGCTGTGCGTTGCTGAATTTGAGATGCGGGGTGTGTGCTAACATGTCAATAGTCAATACTTGATGACGTCCGAGCGCACCGCATCCCGGTCGACTACCTTGAACTCTTCGACTCCGCACGCGTGCCATTCTATGATGGTGAGTTGTCATTCATCCGTACAAGGTCTTTCTTCAATGTTTTTGTTAGGTTGCATGCTCGTAGAGCTACTAGACTACCGCCCAAAGAAAGCAAAGGATTTGCCTCTCGAGAAACCTGAGCGGAGCCGTGTTGCTCTACACCCAAATGACGAAACGCTCTGGGCGAATCTATGTCTCATGCACCAACGCTCAGGTAACAAATTCACAGATATGGAAGTCCTTGAGCTTGAAGCACAATTACTAGTATGTGATGTTCACAACCTTTTCTGCTGTATCTTATCTTCATTGTTGTAGCTACACACAGCACCTCCCCTATGTCTTGACCCAGACCCACATTTAACCCGTATCGTGAATCATACCCTCAGAGTTTCTACCCCAAGTGTACCCGTCTCCTTGAAGCGCAAAGCAGCAGCCATTTCACCCGAGGAAGATGAGTCCGACAAGACTCGTCGGGCCAAGATCATGCAATTTATGAACCATAGACAAAATCAGTCTCACGCCCCAAGGTACTTCGTGTTGTCCCAAAAGCAACTTCTTTCTGCTCACCTTCACTTAGTTTTCGGATATTGGATACAATCCGCCGTGTCAAAGAAGTTCGTATAGCAGTTGGATTGTAAAGTCAGCCTTATCTTACAGCCAAATTATAGGCTCCAGCAGCCGCCCCGACCCAAGCACAAATTCAGGCTCAAGGTCAAGCAATCTCCCAAGTCCAAGTCCAAAATCAAACACAAGGTCAAATACCAGCCCCCGTGCCAACCCCACAACCTCAGCTCGTTCAACCACAACCTACTCCCGTCTCAGCCGCGCCCGCACCGGCGCCAACATTAGTTCCCCAGCCAGTTGCTGACCAGAAACCTAAGCCAGCAAAGAAGAAAGCCGATGCGCCGCAGACTTTCCAAAACACTCCCGAGGTTTCACGCTCTTCAGCTACCCCTGGCCCACATCCCGCGGTGAACCAGCTTCAATCACAGCCACGGATCGCTGCCTCTCCCTCACCCCGTGTAAGCGCGCCCTCGCCGCTCCCGTCTGTACAGTCACCTGCGCACAGGTACACGCAGTCACCGCGCCCTCCATCATCGCAAGCGCCGCACTCCTCGCCTCTCGCAGCTGGCTCACAGCTCCCCCCAACAATACACCGTCCTCCAACCGCCTCTCATCACTTCTTCCCAATGGCAGCGCAAGGTTCCCAGCCCAAAGCTGCAACCTCCCAAGTGGGTTATCAATCTCAGCCGACGCCTCCCCCTGCACAAGCCGGGCAACAGGCTGGCGCAACGCAGCTGGCCACTGGTCAGCAAATGATGCAGCAGCATACCCAAGTGCAACATCCCACTCCAGGGCAGATATATCAACTTCACCTGCTGCAAATGCAGCAAAATCGGTTGGCTCATCCGCAGGCTCAAGCTCAGCAGGCTCAGGCTCAAGCTCAGGCTCAGCAGGCTCAAGCTCAGGCTCAGCAGGCTCAGGCTCAGCAGGCTCAGGCTCAGGCTCAGGCTCAGGCTCAAGCTCAGCAGGCTCAACTTCAAGCTCACGCGCAGGCTCAGCAGGCTCAAGCTCAGCAGGCTCAACTTCAAGCTCACCACGCACAAGTCCACGCACAGGCGCTTTCACAAGCCCATCAAGTTCAGGCTCAGGCTCAGGCTCAGGCTCACGCGCAAGCTCAAGCTCAAGCTCAAACCCAGCCACAAGCCCATGTACAAGCCGGACGTATGACTCCACAAAATTCACAAACACGGAGTCCCATGCCTGGACATCTCACAGCTCGAAACAGCCCCATGCTCCAGAACCAAGCCAGAGGCTCTCCTATGCTCCAAAATCAGCCCAGAAGCTCGCCCATGCCCAACCCCAATCCTCTCCCCACCCAAACTACACAAGCTGCACAGCATCCGGGCATGGCGCAGCAGTACAACTTTGCACCTATGCAGTTCAGGCCGCCTGGGCAGGAGCAGCAGCAACAACAACAACAACAACAGCAACAACAGCAGCAGCATGCGATGATGATGTCACCGTACCAGATGTATGGGTATCCTCCTGTGGGCTATGCCATGCCTGGACGACTGCAGCAAGCCTATCCGTGGGGTGTTGGGCGGGGGATGCCGAATCAGGCCCAGGTGAATGGGCAGGCACCGGCGGGGATGCAGCAGCAGCAGATGCAGATGCAGATGCAGATGGCTGTCGGAAAGCCTTCGCAGGGAGCGGGACGGTAGTGGGGCACTTTCTATTGTTATTTGTGTTTCTAATAATGTACTACTGTGGGTTTGTGGGGATTGCTTGTTGTATTTATGAAAGGCGGACTGCAGTAGGCTTGTAGGCTATTTGAGATGATCTAAAATACTTTTTTATCAATCTGGATTCCTATCGCGATGACTCCTAGCTATTGGTATGATATATATGAAATTATTCATGCATGCAAAGTGACACACCGACTCGGAGTGTTCCCATCTACTTTCTACCAGCTTCAAGATCAGCAGCAAATTCTACCACGCCGTTAGCATCCAAGGAACCTCTTTGGACGCTTTCGCCGCGAGCGCTGAGGAGATCCTCAATATTTCTGAGTTTTCCATCCTCCGTGCTATCCTTGAACCAACCGAGATTATCCGCTATGAGATGCCTGACAGGGAAATACAGTATGTGAGATTCGGCAGCAACAAAATCAATGAGCCCGCACCTATTTTTGCACCCAGGGCATTGGACGATGACGATACCACGTTCGTATGCACGCTTCGTGAAGGTGTGCGAAGAACGATGAGAGCATGCTTCCGCTGTACAGGTAAAAACGATGCCTAAGCGAGCCTCTTGTATCGGAGAATCGTCCTTGATCTGCTCCGAAGACACAGGCGAATGTGAAACCGAAGACTTTGCCAACGGCTTGGACGGGTGCAAGGACGAATTTGACCGGATGGTTCCAAAAGAAAGACAAGGTGTTTGCAAAGGTCTTCGAGATACCAATTTAATGTGTAGCCTAGCGTGGGCGCTGTGGGGTGTAAGGGTAGGGCTGATGTAACGAAGAAGCCTTGAGGGTAACGACTGGATCCTGTTCATACTGACTCTGAAGCAAGGTTAACCGCTTGGTGGCATTTGGTGCCAATTTGGTGCCGCAAACACTTCAATCTCCGCGAACTACCGTGGGTATCGATAATCTAATCTAATCTATGGAAGGTGGACTTATCAGAGATATGATAAGGTAAGATAAGCCTTTATAACATATTTTTTGATTGATCATCAATTGAATCAAAGTCAGTGAGGCTCGAGATCTTAAAGTTATACCACCATCGCGATGTCCCAACCTATTGGTACGATAAAATATACATTCACTTAGATGTCAATTAATGGCCACAAAAGCTCTGTTATCAGTCTATGACAAGACCGATCTCCTTGATCTTGCGCAGGGACTTCACGGTGCTGGAGTTCGTCTGCTTGGTTCGGGAGGTACCGCGAAGAATATCAGGGAGGCTGGAATACCCATAGAGTGAGTGCTGCCCGCTTTGTTCACTTTTATTCGTTGAGCTGGGGCCTCGTAGGGATGTTTCTGACATCACCAAGGCACCCGAGATGCTCGGAGGTAGGGTGAAGACGCTTCATCCTGCCGTCCATGGCGGTAAGATATTTACCTTGTAAACAAAGTGTTAAACGTTTGACCTACGTGGCGCAATGAGGCATCCTCGCCCGCTCTATCCCGTCGGACGAGCAAGATCTCAAGGAACGAAACATCTCCCCCATCTCTATCGTCGTCTGCAACCTCTACCCTTTCACATCAACCATCTCTAAACCGAGCTGCACCCTCGCAGATGCCGTCGAAGAGATCGACATCGGCGGCGTCACCTTGCTGCGCGCAGCCGCCAAGAACCACGAACGCGTCTCTGTCCTCTCGGACCCTACTGACTATCGCGCGTTCTTGCAGGCGTTCCAGCAAGGCCAGGGCGATGTCGGGAAGACGCTCCGCAACAGGCTTGCACTCAAGGCATTTGAGATGACTGCAAAGTATGATGATGCGATCAGTGGGTATTTCCGCGAGCAGTATGCGTCGACGCCCGAGAGCGGACCTGTCCAGCGCATGGTGCTTAGGTACGGCGCCAACCCCCACCAAAAACCAGCACAGACTTTCGTAGCTGATGGCGAATTGCCATTCAAGGGTACGATTCCTTGTTTTATTCGATAGGTTTTTTGTTGACTTTGGATGGTATAGTCCTCAGCGGGTCCCCAGGCTACATCAATTTGCTGGATGCCCTCAATTCTTACGCACTCGTGAAGGAACTCCAAGAGGCTTTGAACCTCCCTGCCGCCGCTTCTTTCAAACACGTGTCCCCTGCTGGTGCAGCTGTGGGTTTGGAACTTGACGAAACCGAGAAGCATGTGTACGGCGTCGAAGATCTCAAAGAGCCCCTGACGCCTCTGGCATGCGCGTACGCCCGCGCTCGAGGTGTGTCACTTGATGAGCTGCACTCCGTATGCAACTAAAATGCCTTGTTTTAGGTGCCGACCGTATGTCGTCCTTTGGAGACTTCATCGCACTCTCTGCGCCATGTGACCTTGCCACAGCACGCATCATCTCCAGAGAGGTTTCAGACGGCATCATTGCACCAGGCTACAGCCCTGAGGCGCTGGAAGTCCTTAAAAAGAAAAAGGCAGGGAAGTACTGCGTTCTAGAGGTACATTAGCTCGATTACCCAGCTCTACCGCGTTTGCTAACGCCACCAAAAAAAGATGGATCCGTCATACAAGCCCTCAGATGTCGAGACGCGCCAAGTATACGGCGTCAGCCTCCAGCAGCGCCGTAACGACATCAAAATCGACGCCAAGCTCTTCGAAAACCTCGTCACCAAGAACAAAGACGTTCGTCCTTACTCTCTACCTATCTCATAGTCATGACTGTTCCCCTAGGTCCCCGCTCAAGCGCTGACCGACCTCATCGTCGCGACCCTTGCAGTTAAGTACACGCAGTCTAACAGCGTCTCGTACGCCAAGAACGGCGCTATCATCGGTCTGGGCGCCGGACAGCAGTCGCGCATCCACTGCACGCGGCTCGCAGGATCCAAAGCGGACAACTGGTGGTTGCGACACCACCCGCGCGTCCTCGCGCTCCCATTCAAAAAAGGCGTCAAGCGTGCGGAGAAAGCAAACGCGATTGACCTCTTTGTGAGTGGGGAGGTACTCGGGGGCTGCGAGCGTGCCCAATGGGAGGGGCAATTTGAGGAGGTACCGGCGCCGCTGAGTGAGTCGGAGAAGAAGGAGTGGGCGGTGAAGTTGGATGGGGTTGCGTGTTCGAGTGACGCGTTTTTCCCATTTGCGGATAACGTGCATCGGGCTAGGAAGAGCGGGGTGAGGTACCTTGCTGCGCCTAGTGGAAGTGTGATGGACGCAGAGTGTATCAAGGCTGCAGATGAGCATGAGATGGTGTTTGCGCACACCTCGCTCAGGCTCTTCCACCACTGAGGCCTAAAGATGAGGCTTTCCATAAAAATTTACCAGCAGCAAAATGTGCTTGTATATTCTTCGTTATCGTCGTATTTGATATTGAATCTTACCTCCTGCAACATTTCGAACATGCAGCTCACAAGTGCTCCAGGAAGAACTCTGCGCTAGCCATGAACGATCCCTCTTTCCCAGCCTTGACCAGTGGGTCGCTCAAATCTCCACGGACGGCAAACCCATGCGTGCATCCAGGAAAGTACTCACGCCTGTACCCTGGAGCAAACTTCCCATCCCCAAAAATCTCATCGGCCTTTGCTTGGGCTTCAGCCGGGAACAACCTATCGTTCTCGCATGAATTGATCAGGAGAGGTGCTGTTGCTTTGGCAAAGTATGTCTAGAACAACATATTCAGCGGGAGAATGCTATGATAATAATGTGGGTTACCTCGAGGTCGTCCGGGAGATCCAAAAGCGAGGGGTGAGAGACGACGGCGCATTGGATGATGTTGTCGAATGCAAGGTCAAAAGTGTAACGACCTGTGCTGTATGTTTAGTCAAGAAGAAGAGATGACGGAATGGAACCATACCGCCGAAGCAGTAACCGGTAGCTCCGAACTTGGTGACGCCTTCCTCTTTGAGCGCAGCGATGACCTTGTCGAGTGGCGGACGGGTGACCTCAGTGCCATGTGTGGCAAGCCATCCTCTGAAGTCGAAGGCTTTATCCTAGAAAGATGGACACGAACATGGGTCAGAGCTTGCAATAATTGATGAAGGCATCGATCAAAAGTAAACTGACGTTCAAGACTCTATCAGCGGGAAGACCATCGCCGTTGAAGTAGTCGATCGCAACGACCTATATCATAATATCAATATCGTATCCGTGGACTAATACATACTATGCTTAGCGCGAACCTTGAAGCCATTTTTGGCAAAGTCATCAGCGAGGAGCTGTTGTGGTGCACGTTTTAGTAAAGTGGGGTATCATGTCACAAGGATGGGGGGCACCTGGGCATTGACGAGCTCGATACCGAAGGCGTCCGGTAGGAGAAGGATGACTTTTTCCTTGGAATACTCAATGGTGGGGGTGGCGACGTAGCAAGCGACACCGGCGATGGTCTCGAGTGTTCCTAGCGAAAGACCCTGATGAACGATGCGACGTGGTGAATTGAAAAATGCTTACCTGAAGGCTTACCCTCGTGACGTACGCCTGTTCGCTATCAGTGCTCAATGTGGACCGTGATGATATAGTACAACGCACCTTGGATGCAGTCCTTGCAGAAACTCATACTTGGGTGTGGTTAGAAGAGGGTCGAGAGTAAATGTTCTGTCATGTACAGCTCATCACAAAGGTGTCCAAGCTGATAAAAGAAACTGATGACGCAGAAGGAGGGTGATGTATTCTCAGCATTCAAACCCTGACATCGAAGTGGGATATGGCACTCAAGATGAGCACTATTTCACCTGCATGACACGCACACATGGAAATGCATACGCTTTGATACTGCTGGCATGGCTAACGACGTGGCTACAACTGCGGCATGTCATACGACAATTAATCTTAGTATTCCATTTGAGATTGATTCATATTGAATTTGAATTGGATCGTACCATCCATACACAGACACCATAACACTGACAACACTGCTCACAGATGCTCCAGGAAGAACTCCACGCTAGCTTTGAACGAGCCCTCCTTCCCAGCTTTGGCTAGTGGGTCTGTCATATCCCCACGTACAGCAAACCCATGCTTGCAACCTGGGAAATACTCGCGCTTGTATCCTGGAGCGAATTTCTCGTCGCCAAAAATTTCATCAGCCTTTGCTTGGGCTCCGGCGGGGAACATCTGATCGATTTCGCAGGAGTTGATCAGGAGAGGCGCCTGTGATTTGGAAAAGTACGTCTAGAAAGAGTGAGTTCAGAGGGGAGAACGCTATGGTGACAATATGCGTTACCTCGAGGTCTTCAGGAATCTTCAAGGCCGAGGGGTGGGAGACGACGGTGCACTGGATGACGTTCTCGAATGCGAGGTCAAAGGCATAGCGACCTAACATGTACCGTTAGGAAAAAGTAGTAGTTGAAGGTTGAATGGGGGGACGTACCGCCGAAGCAGTATCCAGTGACCCCGAACTTGGTGACACCTTCCTCTTTGAGCGCGGCGATGACCTTATCGAGAGGAGGGCGGGTCTGCTCGGCACCATGGTTGGCGACCCATTTCTTGAGGTCAAATGTGTCGGACTGTGACCGGACACGTGATCAGAGCTCGTGATGCAAAGGAAATTGGTGAAAACTAACATTCATTGCATCAGCGGGAAGACTATCGCCGTTGAAGTAGTCGACCGCGATGACCTGTATTGCATTATTTGATCAGCCCCCTGTGTATACGGTGCGCGTTGGGTAAACCTTGAAACTGTTGTTTGCAAAGTCATCAACGATGAGCTGCATTCATTTTAGTCTAAATGTCATCATGGTGGTGCAAACGAGCATACCTTGGCATTGACGAGTTCGATACCGAAGACGTCCGGCAGGTATAGGATGACTTTGTCCTTGGCATAGTCGACAGTAGGGGTGGCGACGTAGCAACTAACACCACCGATAGTCTCCAACGTTCCTGGCGAAGATGCTGAGACAGCGCGACGTGGCGAATTGAAAAACTAGTTACCTTGAGGCTCACCCTCGTGACGTACGCCTGTTTGCAATCAGTACTCATGTTGATCATGATGATATAAAGCGGTACCTTGGATGCAGTCTTTGCAGAAACTCATATTTGGGTGTGATTAAAGATGGCTGAGAGTAATTGGACAAAGGATACCTTATATAAGGCTCATCGAAAAGGCGAACACTATGTCATCGATGTGACGCGCCCACATGGAGATGCATACGCTTCAACATTGCTGGCATGCTCGCACGGCTAGCGACGTGGCTGTGATTGCATCATGCTTACGTCAAGCTTAGTTTTGGCATTCGAGATTGAATATTGAATTTGGATTGAATCGTACCAAACCCTATTACATTGCGGCGACAGGTATACTGCTCACAAATGCGCCAGGAAGAAGTCCACGGTAGCCTTGAATGAGCCCTCCTTCCCAGCTTTGATCAGTGGGTTTTTGATATCCCCACGTACAGCAAACCCGTGCGTGCAACCAGGGAAATACTCGCGCTTGTACCCTGGGGCGAACTTCCCATCTCCGAAAATCTCATCGGCCTTTGCTTGGGCTTCAGCAGGGAACATCTGATCGACTTCGCAGGAGTTGATCAGGAGAGGCGCCTTCGATTTGGCAAAGTACGTCTAGAAGAGTAGGTTCAGAGGGGAGAATTGCCAAGGAGGACGACGTGTTACCTCGAGGTCGGCAGGGTTCTTCAAGAGCGAAGGGTGGGCAACGACGGCGCATTGGATGATGTTGTCAAACGCAAGATCAAAAGTGTAACGACCTGACAGGCACCGTCAAGTAGAGGAAGATACAGTTGAATGGAAGAACATACCGCCAAAGCAGTAGCCAGTTGCGCCAAACTTGGTGACGCCTTCCGCTTTGAGTGCGGCAATGACCTTCTCGAGGGGAGGGCGGGTCTGATCGGCGCCATGCTTAGAGAGCCATCCCATCAAATCAAACGTGCCGGACTGTGAGTGAACACGGGATCAGAGCCTGCGATGCAGAGGAAATCGGGCGGAACTGACATTCATGGCATCAGCGGCAAGGGCATCGCCGTTGAGGTAGTCGGGTGCAACGACCTGTACGATGCCATCAGTCCCGCATGCGTGCATACCATGTGCTTTGGATTCAAACCTTGAAGCCATTTTTCGCAAAGTCATCAGCGAGAAGCTGCGTGAATGCATTTTCAGTAAAAGTGGGAGGAATCATGTACGAATGACATACCTTGGCATTGATAAGTTCGATACCGAAGACGTCCGGCAGGAATAGGACGACTTTGTCCTTGGGATAGTCGACAGTAGGTGTGGCGATATAGCAAGTGACACCGGCGATGGTCTCGGTTTTGCCTGGTGACGACACTGATGAGAAAGTGCAACGTAGCAAATCGGAAAAGTTCTTACCCAGGGGCTCACCCTCGTGTCGTACGCCTATTCATAATCAGTGATCAATATTCGGTGTTGATCACGATCATCGATAGGATATAAACGCACCTTGGATGCAGTGCTTGCAGAAACTCATGTTTGGAAGTGGTTTGAGGGCTTGAGAGATATTATTCTCCTGATATCAACTTATATAGGGCTCATCGAGAAGGTGTCCACGGTCCAAGCTGACAAGGATAGGAAGACCGATGTGACGCACATGTTAATCATAGGCTGACATATTGATATTCTTAGCAACCAATCCCCGAGGTCAATTTGGGATACGCAACGCGAGCGGCATCCTCGGTGAGCACTATTCCAGCTAACCCATAAGGTAACGGATAAGCTGTAATAGTAATGCTGGTACTTGTTAGTGCATGAGGCTACTGTAGCATACCATTTCCGTCCAAAACTGCTTAGTCCACGGATGATGGCAGAGTAAGCTGATGTGACAGAGTGGGAACGCTTTGGAAGCACTTAGCATAAGACCATTCCTGCGCATCGAAAGGACTAGTACTGCGCATACTCCCTGGCAGAAGCCAACACCGCAAGAAAGTTTCTATGAAGACTTTGAATTACATAGAAAAATGAACATGATTGTAAGGAAACAAGCATGGCCACCAAGTGGATGGCTCGGGGCGCGTGACCTCCATTGATCGGCTACAATGAATTTCCTTTTCTGGCAACCCAAAACTAACCTCCTCCCGGCCTGAGAACCACTTTCAGGAATTCGTTCTGGTCCTCACAGTCAAACAGTGCAACTTTGCCGAGTTCGCTCTTTCCTCGGTTCACCGCTGAAAACCAAAGACTCGGAAAATAAATCTGGGTACGATGCCACCACAGCCAGGAATGTTTGCCCTGCCATATGCATCAACTCACAAGGCGCGCACGGACGTTATCCAGCCAGACAACTTGCCCATGACAATCTCTTATTCAAATATGCAGCCCCCTCAGGGTCCTAATCCTCATTATCATAACCCTCACCCAACTGCTGGTCCATCCCGTATGCAGGGTACGGCTTTATTTCTTGCCCTTTATGTAGTACATACTGACCTTGAAAACAAAGACGATCCAAAACGAGAGAAAAAGAGAAGGGATATATCAAGCAAAGTAGGCAAAGAGATGATAGAACGCAGAGACGAGTATGTCACTCCCCATCACTTTTCTCATCTCCGCTCAACTTCGTGTTAGAGGACGACACTTCACTGAAAATATCTCTGCACTTCACAGCGCCGCCATGCAGCTTGCATCCCGTCCAGAAACTCATCCTCTCTATAATCTCCGCTTGTACCCAACTTCCCTTGAGCGCTCCGCCTTGCTTGCCCAGCACGCATTCGAAGAAAAGCATAGCTTAGAATCAATACAGACCGCATACGAGGAAGAACGTGAAAGAGTCGAGGAAGAATGGCGCAAGGGCCGTGATCGTATACGAGAAAGACTCCTCGAAGGTATTGAAGAACGTAGACGGCGTGCAAGAGAAGAAAAAGAAGGCGAGGGAACAGTAAACGGTACGTCACTCTTTCACATCTCAATACCTTCCTGTTTTCATTCACTACATCAATCAGACGCAACACTAGACGCTCAGTCTCGGTCCCATATCACTCGGAAACTGCGAAACAAAGTCGGCACTTCTCCTCCTCCAACACCCCTCGCTCTTCGAGGAGAGAACCTTGTCAATGGTTCGCTTGGAAGCAATACGCCTATTACGACTGGTCCTTTTACCAACCCCCACTCCCTCTCCGTCGACGAACTGCCTTCACCTTTCCCTTTCCCCCTCACAGCCGTCACCCTCACTAATCCGTCTTCTGGTGCAGGTGGTAACGCCGGCGCCAATGGCTCCAGGCGTCGGACCAAAGGCGCTGGCCTTCACTCAAGCATGGTCGGCGTCGGCGGCCTAGGCAAAAGCATAGCAATGCTAGGCCCTAGCAAAGAAGCAGATATAGAAGCAGATCTGATGGAAATTCGGAGGGGTAGCAAACGGCGCAGAGCAGCGGCCGTGTCTTCTGGCAAGGTTTCGTAGGCGCCCTCATGTTCATCTTTAATTTTGAAATTGTATCATATCTTATCATCGGAAGTCGGAAGTCGGAGATCCGTTTAGCTTCCCGTTACCCCGTAAGCGGACTCCGGAGTGCCTTTTGATCCTGTCGAAGGCTGTCGCGTTACACTTTGTGCACATGGACGAGTCTGAGATCGCCCCTCCTGCTAAACGCGTGTTTCCGCCTTTGTATGTATCAACCGGTGACGCGTCCATCGACAGGCTTGCGTTCTTCCACGTGCTAGAAAAATTAAAGGTACATATCTACATTCCGCAACGTACAGCCCCTACAACTCACACTTTCGAGTAGACCCAAAAGCGCACAGGATGGCTGGATAACAAGGAACATATTCCTTCCCTCCAAAAATACCGCTGAATCACTCATACGACTCGATTTTGTAGATCCCAAATGCAGAGAGGTTAGCGATGCATACCCTCTCTTGGCATGGCATCACTCACCCACTCACGGTCCCGATAGTATATCAGACCACATGTACCGCATGGCTCTACTGGCTATGTGTACGTCTGACAGTACGCTCGATGTTTCCAAGTGCGTTGCTCCCATCGTAGATGAGTTGTGCAATGAAGTACTTATGTGATGCTTGAAGATGCGTTATGATGGCTGTCGTGCATGATCTTGCTGAAGCGCAAGGTAAGTCCCAAGACTTACTTCTCTTCTCTTATTATTTTTGGATGGCGTAGATATCAGCACTGACAATAACATGGCAGTGGGCGACATTACCCCTCACGAAGGAATTTCCAAACAGGAGAAACAGCGCCTGGAAGCGGTTAGTCACCCACACCATACCCACCTCGCACCTCTGACACGAAAATACCCTGGATTCTACAGGAAGCGATGCACAATTTCGTGCATGATATGCTCCACAGTTCTCCAGCAGCGTTGAGAATCGAAGCTCTCTGGAACGTAAGTCCTGCATCGCTCAAATTGGCTCGATTTAAAGCTAACACTTTGCGCAGGAATACGAGGAGGGAGAAACGGACGAAGCGAAGTTCGTCAAAGGTCTGTCTTTGCCTTCCTGGTTCCACATCCTTGATCTACCCTGATGCGTCTGTAGACCTTGATAGACTGGAGATGGCGCTGCAAGGTACGTCTGCTGCGTCATCATTTTGTATTATGTTGTATTCATGTGCGTGCATAGCTCGCGAATACGAAACGACGCATGCGCTGGATCTTCAGCCGTTTTTCGATTCCAGTTTGCCTCGTTTGCGTCATTCGGAGGTCAAGCAGTGGGGCGAGGATTTGGCACAAACCCGTTCAAATGGTCATGATCGTTAACGTTAGACGTGTCGTATTTGACATTCCGATCCTGTTATTCGTGGAGCGCATGTGACTGCATTTTGCAATGAATTTACATTCCGCCAGCGTTCCTTCCATACAATGTTCCAAGACGGAAGTTTGGACGAAAACGTTTCTTCCGGCCTGAGCCCGGGGTGTTTGTGCGATTTCATATCGACTCGGATATCGCCCGCGCTCTCAGCTGACTCCATGAGCGGTTGGTTGTATGATTGCCTATACTTATCAGCCTCAGTCCCATACCGGTATGTGTCACCGCTGATGACCGCATCCAAGGCTACGAGCAAAACCCTCAGTATCCGTACGCTGACATCGGGACGCCACAAAAAACTCAGATGTACTGCGCTTAGTTTGCATGGCTTTGGTATCTACCACTTAACTCCTTATTTTCATGCAGGTCATTGTCACACTCGGTCCACTGCCTAGCGATGGGGACAGCGTGATAGATGAACTCTAAGGCAATACCTTGGAAGGTACGCAGCCATCAGCCATTCCATGGCATGGCAGAGACGAGTATGTGACACATTTGCCTTGTACCAGACCCTTACGTTCCAAGCTAATAATGAAGTAGTGCTGCCTCCGAGTCCCGAGCTCGATAGGATTGATAAAATTTTGAAGGATCGTTGTTTGCACAGTCAAGTAAAAGGAGAATTTGTGTTGGCCCCTCAGATCAGTGAAATGCTTACGGTATGGTGTTATCTGTGTCATCCAATCAGCCAGTTTTAAATGGTGTTTAATTCCTGAAGGAAGGAAACCGGCCGTTTGAGCAGAAAGGCAGGTTGCAATGACCCTCGGCTCCTCCTTACGGCGAGCAATTCGTCCGTGGTAGCAATGCACGCCTCACTGACACTGTAGAACGGGCATATGTCTAAACCAATTTCGGAGATAAGTATGATAGCTGGTATCATCCCCGATGGTTTTGGAAGGCTGACCAACCTCAGATTCAACTCACATCTGACAAATTCGTCATTAGGAATGAATGTGAGGAAACCAGGCTTGCTCTACGCTTGGTAGACCACGACGATACACGTCTACCCATTGTTGATTTGGAAAAACTCCCGTCCATTCCTGTGCTACTTCTCAGTACTGCCCTGACGATGCCTGATGTAGACAGGATCAAACATTCACGATCCATGGACAGCTATGCGTACAATGACAAGTCTGCGCCATGGAACAAACGGGTACATTCATACGTATTTTCAACAGGGGACTACCTAAATCTCATATCCCAGTGGGAAAGCCGATGGAATCGAGTCATTGCGCAGCTGCTCTGTTCCCGCGGCCAATAACTGTGACCGATCTCCCTGAGGTGCGTTTCCTCCATGTATTGATGCGCATTATTGTTCATGCCATCGTTATGAAGGCTGTATTCATACTTTTGGTACTCAGCAAAGTGGATCGATGAAGCTTGAAGAGCCCTTCTAACCTCGGATGGTTTGTGCTTTGCAATGGGGGTGCAGTACCAGTGCACAATATCATATGTTATTATCTTCGGTTAGAACTCACCATGACATATCAGTGCATTTGGTCCAGAGGCATGATGTATCACGTCTGTTTCTCCCTTTCAGCTAGGATTGCTAACCCCTTCTTCGGTGGTCTCGAGAAGTCCTCAAAACGTCGTCCCCGATGTGTTTTGTCGTGAACTGTCTTGATGCAGCGGGCACGATTCTGTCAGGACAGTGTTGATGAACAGCGGTGGCGGTGATCAGAAATAAATAAAATTAGAACCATGTGTACACAGTGCTATGTCATTGTAGCGAAAGGAGTGAGAGCAAAGCTTAAGGAGAGAATAGGGACTCGGCATATACCGTGTACTGTGTACCCGACGCAGGGTGGCAAATAGATGCGGCCACTAGCGGGTTGGATGTTGAGCCCCGGGTGTAACAGGGTGAGGAAGCGTGGTGCACCATGTCGTGAGAGGGTGGATCATAGTTGATGAAGCAGCGGATGGGGTGCGGCACGCAAGGATGATGGAGGCTGTTGGTCCTGGGAAAGCGAGGGGTAGCGCACCATTGTGCAGGGACGGTACAGGGTAACAGGGACCATATAGGAGGTTGCATTAGGGAGGTGCGGCAGGAGAGTGACGGTTGGGTGTTAACAGGGCTGGGCTACGGGATGACTCGGAGACTCGGAGTTGGAGCTGTGGGAGAGCAAAGGACTCGGGCGGGTGCGCCAGGGTGCCGCATGCCACTGGGTGCGTGTAAGGTACATCGAGAGTCTCATCCATAGGCACCACGAGACACGCAGCACCAGTGGTACCGATGAATCATGACAACAGTATTTCGATGCACAGTATGTAAGTCGCGTGCGCGCCGATCATATAACGTTGAAGTTGCCAACGGAGGGACAATCAACACCTGTTAAACTGGCAGTGAATCTTGGAAGAACTTCTTCTGAACATGGCTGACGGCACGAATGTGCACGACAGTCAATCTCAAATCCAATCTCAAGTAATTTTTCATCATGATCATCAACCCTCATAATGTCGTTAATACTTTGTTCCAACTTTTTTCCGCCGATTGACGTTTATTGCGGCTTCCTGATGGCAACCCGAACCAATTACGATGAGACCAGCGATTGCAATGACGGTGGCTTTGGGATGTATACGGTGGCTGGTCCGATGGTGGTTTAAACTCAACATCTTGACAGAGTACTGCTCTCGAATAGATCTAGAATGTGAATTTCGGGTCGCAACGTTGGCACTGGATGGAGGTCGTGAAGCGAAGGTGTAACGTGTAACCCTAACCCTATTTCAGGTGTCGCCAAAGGTAGTCAAAGGTTCACCGAATTTCTTAAAACATTGAACAAGGTGAGCAGGAAGCAAAAGACTCGAGATCAACACATCGCTTCGATAAGATGGGAAACATAACAGTGTATAATATATATATTATCAAAAAAACCCATATAATGTAGCGTCAAATCATATCGAATATGCAAATGCCATAAGTGAAATCGAGTGCTGCAACATTCTTCGAGCCAACTGCGGCAAGCATTCTCGCCAACAGCTCTGTAGCTTGAGTATATGCTTACAACTTTTCCAAGTCTAATTTCTTTTGTTCTTCCTCGATCTCCAGGATCTTCTGGGAGACAGGGCTGCGCCGTCGTATTCTCGACCCATAAAAGAAAAGAATCTGTGTAATCGTGGGCAAATGCATAAAAAAGAGCGTTCGAATCACCCACATATGGTATGGGGATCATGATGGCCGCTATTAGCGCAAAGACAGTGCCCGCCCATTTGTACGTCAAGAGGTCGTTCATTCGGGTCGTGATGAGCGGGAAGATAGCCGCCAGTATGTTTCCTGCGAGGCACATTGATCGGATACTGTTCTTGATGCAGAAATGAGGAGGGACTCACGACATAGGCTCTGACCTGCCAGTGCTGAGGATGCATAGGGCCCATAACTAGTTCGCTGTTTATCAACAGGCGAACAAACCATGCAGGTACGAGGACGGGGCACTCACCAATCTGCCAAGTAGACGAATACAACTTGATATATAACGAAAGCGGAGGTCATGAAAAGCTGGCAGTTCATCAGTGGTGATAGGAAAGATCGATGGCTGAAAGGTGCTGACCGTAAGGCCGATCAGGGGAACTACCCACGGGATATCTGCTCGGGCGGTCCACGCAAAGAGGAGCATTCCGGCAGGAAGGGTTATAGATGATACGCAAGCTATGTAAAGACGAGCTTCTTGGCCTTTGCGGTGGACATATTTTCTAAACCTATGATCAGTCTGAGCTTCCTCTCCAAATATTTGATCACTGACTTGTATAGTCTTTCTTGGTACGCATTAGCCACGTAACCTAGAAGACTTCCAATGCTGAGACGTTCGCAGTTATACACACTGCTCATTGTATTGAAAAAATTCAGGCTTACGCTATGGTGGTGAAAACACTCCCTGTCTCTCCGACCCCGAACCCGTATACGTCTTTGAATTCGCCCGACACCGAGCTGCAGCATGGTTGCTATCAATATTTCGCCGAGTTTCAGATGACACTTACTCGATTAAATAGTAGAGAACTCCCCATACAAAGCCAATCCAGAGCTGGATAAAGAATCGATTATGAAGGTCTGCGGTGAAGATCGGCGAGAACGACGTACACTAAAGCTCTGAACTGTGGGTTCGGTGAACAGGAGACCTAGCACTGATTTAGGAAATGTCTTAGATGCAATTTGAATGCACTTACGTAATGGACGAGTGCATGAAATCGCAATCATGGACTTGAGGGAGGGCTTGTTTTCTTCTGATCTTGCACGATATCGGCCATCCCTGGTATCCTTTCGCGTTTGACGGGCCATCTGAGCCAGGATAACGGTCGAGCGAGTCTCTCTCATAACTACAAGCGCAGAGATAAAATACACCCCGCTTATGCTAAAAGAATAGTGAGGACGAGGACAGCCAGGTGGAAGCAAATCACACCGCACAGAGCATGTATCCATTGTATCCACCGCCATTCCAGGGATGGCTTGGCTTCAATCCAGCCCGCAATCATAGGACCTAAACCAGAAGATGCAATAACCGCCAAGGCATAGAGGGACATCGGGAATCCTCGTCTTCAGAATTATAAGATCTCGATTCCCCAGAAAGACGGTAAAACTCACTGATGGGGCAACCATATGTCTGCGATAGTCCCAGCCACCAGTGTTGCACCCGTCGAGCCAAAGCATCCTCCGATAGCACGAGCTACGATGACGATCTGTATGTTCGGCGCCCTGAGCAATCCTTATAGACAAATAGAAACGCTCCAGAATGACACAACTCACAAAGCTATCATCACTTCGGTCAACAAAAACAGGAAAGACGAGACTATGTAAAAAGGAAAGCGGCCGAATTCCTCGCTGAACGACGAAGTGACCAGGGGTGCGAGTGCAAATCCTAAAGGGTACACGCTCAATCCCACAGATGCTTGGAATAATGTACAGTTGAGGTCTCTGGTCATCGATGAATAACCCATGGTATATGAAGACGCGGCGCCAGCTAGGAAAAGCAAGAGATGATAAACATAAAGTTGTGCGTTTCCACCAACCTGCAAACCTACCTACAATACCCGTAAAGGCGCAGGCATTTATCGTGATTACCCACTTCCTGACAAGGGAGAAGTTGACTGGATTCCGCCTGTCTCCATCTTCGAAATCAACCTAGTCTTTGTTAGCAAGCGTGTCATACAAGTGTCATAAAAATGATAGAATGTGCAAAGACTAACATAGAAGGACCCATATTCTAGTACTTCAGTCGATGTATGGGATACGGTTTTTACAGCCTCTTCGTCCCTTTCCTGAGTCTGAAGTGTGGCATTTTTGTCTGTTTCTTCGTGTACGAGTGATACTGGCGCTGCAGCAGGCGAATCGACAGGTTCTAGGACTTGATGTTCGCATTTAGTCGCAAGTACGCGAGAGGCCGAGTCTCCTTCGTGGTGAGTCATCAGGAGTCCACTGTACACTTGTGCAAGGAGGGGATACAAACAGGTCGGCTGGTATTCAAGACATATTCAATAGACTTATTTATAGTCGGACTGGACTCCGAAAATCGAAGATGAGTCACATCCCGCAAGGCTCCTGTCTCCAAGTTCACGCTTGAGGCTGACTTCAGCTCCAAAGGAGCACTGTTATTGGCGGATAGCTCACTAAGGAGCACCGGTTTGAAATAGGGTTGCAATGTGTCTGGTGATAGCCAACTGTGGCCAATGAGCAACTAAGTTTGTAGATCCGGGGATGAACTGTGACCCACCTCTATCCAGCGGGTCAATTCGAGCCCGGCGTTGCAGGCCGCTGAGTTTAAGCACTACCTAGGATTACCCATTTCAACAGATCGCCTGTTTAATGACCGTCCGAGTCCGACGAGGGCTCGGCTTCGTTATCCGCGGACACGCACATCACCGCACACACCCGCAACCTGTTAGCTGAGAGTTGAGCGTTTATGTAGATCTGGAGAACGCCTGGTCAGAAAAAGTCGCAGTGAGAAACTCAGTAACCTTCGGTAGGTCGCGCCGTACTTGTGAGCCCTGTCTCTGCTTGTCACTGTCAGTTACAGACAAGAACAAACGTTTAGCCGAGGTGACTCTGAATCAGGCACAAATCGTCGGGCACAAGTCGGACTAGTGGCACTTACTTAACTCAGCTAGACTCTGGTTATTCATGATGGAATGAACTAGACTTGTCGTCCATCCTTGATCAGTGATAAGTAAGCTATTCCGGCTAAAAGAATACGTGGACACGGTCGGCACACTTGAACCCTTGCGACCTTGCTGTCGGATGGCTCCTCACGGTAATTAAGATGTGGCAGACTAAAAGTGGCAGCTCTATTTGTCAAAGTTTGACAAAAGCTTTAGAAATCAACTAACCCAAACAACGCGTCGGTTTATGTGCAAGAAAGCGTGTCCACTGTCCGCGCTCCACATTACCTCAGCAGTGACATGCTGATAGGCGAAGATGGAGCGGATTCAAGGCGAATTTAATAGGAAGGAAACCAACATCTTCTCAGACAGCACTCATAGAATGTCAGGGCGTCCGTTCTCTGTTCAGTCGGGCAAGGGCCGAGGCCATGAAGACTTGGGGTCCTCTTTCGCTCGCGGTCCAGGCCCATCCCGACCAGCGCAAGGCAAGGCGACCGGCAGCAAAGTCAAGTCTGCCACGTCGCGTCCTATCATGACGAGCCTGGAACGAGACTCTTTTAGCGACAGTGATGACGAGCTGTTATTATCCGAGGGCGCTCAGCTGTTGGGCTCGTCACCTGTACAGAAACGCGTCGTCCGCGGCAAGACGGCAGCATCGATGCCTCAGAAAGCCAACCTTGCCCCAAATGGTCATCAGTATCACCCACAGTTCCCCCCGAAAGCAAAATTCCCCAAATTCACAAGGATTAAGAAGGAGTCGCAGGCAGACGAGAGTAGTCCAGAAGGGCCTCCATCATCATCTTTGCACGACGCAGACGACTCTCAAGAGCTATTCAGACCAATATCTGATGACCTAACCTCTCAGCCGGCAGCCAAGCCGAAGAAAGAGAAGGACACAGACTTTGTGCGTCCGGGGCCAGGCAAGAATTCTGCGTCCAGGAGGGCAGCTACTCCATCCTCGACCTTAGAAGATGAACCTCTCAAACCCGTTACTAAGCCGCGACCTGTGAAGGCTGGGAGCTCAATTGCTCGTGGTCAGAGTCCAGAAGCAACTCCACGTGCTGGCAGGCAACTCCAGCCGTTCCCTCTAGGCAGTCATTCCTCGGTACACGGTGGGAGCTCACGCGCTTCCGACGTGTCTCCTCCACGGAAAGGCGCTCGAGAGCGCTCAGCAGCAAAAAAGGAGAATACAAATGCGCTGTTGCGTAAGGCCGCTGCTCCTTTTCCTATGAGGTTTCAGTCGGAGGAGAAGACAAGTGCACTACCACGTAAACACACTGCTCCCTCCCTTATGATCCCTCTGGGAAAGTCAAATCTTCCTGCTAAGCAGCCACTCCTTGAACCTACGGGACCCAAACCTTTTCCTTCGTCATTGCAAACTTCGAAGCCAGGCCTTGCCCGCTCAGAGACGCTTGGAAACTTTCCTACGCCTTCCCCATTGGCTTCCCCAGTGCAACCACTCTCGCGGGACAAAGGAAAGGGACTTGCGCTAACCCCTCATCAGGACGAGGACGATCTTGGTGGATTTGCCATAGACCATCGCGATACCGTGCGGACCGATGTTGCCCTAAGACCCTTCCCCCTGTCCTCAAGGGAAATCAAGATTGCACATAGGCGTAGCCCTATGAGGTCCAAGCGAGTTTCGGACGGTAGCGATGAACAACGCGGACCGAAAGCCAAGCGGCATAAGGAAGACAATTATGGGTGAATCCCCTTCATGATCACTGCTGCTCCTGTCTCATAGCTCCAGCAGAAAATCGGCAAGGTTGATCCTGGGAGAAGAGGAACACTTGGATGAGGACTCATGTAAGTCTTGCTTTTCATGCAGAATTCTCCATTTAACACTTTCACACCCTCAACGCGCAGTTGAAATAGATACAGTAGTTGATCCTTCTACAGTGTGCCCGTACTGTGACGAACCACTGCCGCGCAACCCAACTCCACAACTGAAGAATCTCTTGGCGATTGCGAAGCGGAAGTCATACGCAGACCCGCGCCCTCGAAATTCTCGTGGGCTGAAGGCTCCTCTAGGAATTTATATCTCAGCTTGTCAGCGACATCACTTCGAAATGCACTCCTTGCCTGAGGCTATGGAGAAAGGGTGGCCGCAAAGTATTGACTTCAAGAAGGTACCCAAGAGGGTCGAAGGGATGAAGAGTGCGCTTGAGGTTATAATCACCAACGCTGACAGCCTTAGTGACAATGAGGACTCTGTGGAAAACAACGCCAGGGGTTCCCGAGCACGAAGCGACTTCTGGGAAGAAATCAAGAAGCAAATCAAGAAACAAGGCAGTCGAGCTGTTACTGGTGTCAAGGGCCAATTTGCCAGCTTCGAGAAGACTCAGCCTGGATAGTAGGTGCATTCGATTCTATTAAGTGGGTCGTACTAAATATTGTCCTAGCTATGGTGAACTCGGCTTGTTGATCATACATCAAACGCTCTACAATCTCTTCCCCTTTTCATCGTTTGATGCTTCTTCGATAGCCCCTCTCACGCCTGCAGAGTTCATCCAGCTTGTACTGGTTCCCGAAGCTGCAGTAGGTCTCATCATGCAAGACCTTCATCTCGATAGAGACGAAGCAATTGTGACACTGCGTGAAAGTTCGCAGTATGGTGTTGCCATGTTCCCTGATACCGGTTCTGGTAAGGGCACGGCACTTGGTGCTGATGACGACGACGATGAGGGTGTTGCGGATCGCATTGTTATGGAACGTGCCAAAGCCAGGAGGTTGGAGCTCGAGGAAGAGGAGAAGATTGAGGAGCAGATGTGGAAAGAGGAGCGGGCGAAGCGTAGGTCCGCAGCGCAGATGGAGAGGAAAGAGAAAGCGCACCAGCGGGCAAAGCAACTCAAGAAGTCGAAAGAGCTTACAGGATATACCTCCTGCGAAGTCAGCGAAGCGAGCGAGTCAGAAATCCAAAGCAGGCCGGTTAGAAACACATCGAAGGTTGGGTCAAGAACAACTACAGACTCCGAAACCGACAACATGTCTGTGGATAGTTCGACGAGCCGGCGATCTACGCGCTCCAGGACGGGCGCTGGTATGATGTGCCGCACCACTTCCGCCAAGTCTGTTTCTTCCAACATGCAAATTTCTGATGACAGCGCCGTAGAGATTGTCGAGGAAAAGGAACAACTTCAAGTCAGACGGTCATCCAGGCATGCAACTCCTAGTGTTAACGACATTGGCCAACACTCTGATGCTGTATCGTCGTCGTCGATCACTCGTACCAGGCGGTTGAAGAATTTCAAAAGCGACGATCGTGACACAGATGTGGATATCGGCGATGTGCCTTTGAAGCCTGTTCTCGAGATTGACGAAGAATCCACTCCGCGGCCACATAGGTCGAAAGTTCCAATTGTACCTACTCTAGGATTACCTGGAGCCACAACTTCAATCAGATTCCCTCTTCAAGTTGCTAGATCAAGATCAGTAACAAGGTAATTACCGTCTGCTTTCCCCTTTACTTGTTCTCACTGTCGCTTTTCTTCTGCAGCACCACGTCGGACGGGTGGCGTAAAACTCTCATACCTGGTGCTTCCGACGCTGAAGATTCAGATGACTCGCAAGCAGTCCAACAGTCCCGAGACACTTATAATTGGCTGCTCAGTCCATCGTCCTCAACCTCGTCACGATGACAGTAATATCTGTCACTGAGATTGTCCCTTGCCTGTCTTCATAGTATTAATCTTTTATTGGCATTGTCGTTTCGATGCTTTGGTGTACATTGCAACTTATGATCGGACTAGACACACGCAATTACTTACTACCGGACTTCACAATCATAAACTCAACTACATAGCATGTACAACTTAACCGAAGTGTAGATTCATCCACATTAAATGTGTTGCACAGCCACTCTCACTCCTCAGCCCTGTCACCTAGTAGTACTATCGGCAGAGATGCAGAATCTCCCTGTCGAACTTCAGCTTGAAATTGCCAGCTTCTTGGATGTGGAGACGATCCTTTCTTTGCGCAAGGCACCACCTTTTCTTTGTGGGCACAGGCGTGAGCTAAAGCCAAGCATTGTAGACGTGCACATCCTTGTCTCAATTCACCCATGACCGCAGCTTATGGCTCAGTTTGGTTTCTCGGATGCCCCATATCCTCCCGCGGCCGCTTGCTGAGTCGGAAACTGCGACACTGTCGAGTTTGCGTTTGGAACACTTGATCAAAACTGCAATACACGTCGAGCAAGCGTGGCTGCTGCCGAGAAAGGACACTTTCCTCGTCAAGAATCGATGTGATTCGGATGACATTGAAAACTCAATCCCTCGTGTCCGGCATCTAGCTTTCGTCTCCGACCACTATTTGCTATCCTTGGGCTCGGAAGGAAACATCAACCTATGGAAAATCAATGATGTTTTTGCACCTTTCGCGGCAGAGGCTTTCGTCACCTATGCTTCTTCAACATGGTATCCTTGTGCATATCATTTGAACGCAGCTGGCTCTGTACTTGCCATTGCATTGACGCATGTTGAACTGTCAGTTGATGTTTCTTTATACGCCTCTAGCGCCAATTAATGTTATTTTCTAGCGTTGCCGCGAGAGTGTTAACCATCTCTCTCGATGCTGGTAGATCAGGACCTCCATTTCTAGTCACTGAAGGAGAATTCTCAATATTCCCACCACAAGTCATCAGAGCGATTGATGCCGACTTGAAAATCGCTTTGCTTTCTAACACTGCCTTGTCCTTCGAAGTTGTCAACTGGGGAACCAAAGCTCAAGCTACAGTGGCCCTTCGCGCTAATGATGCCGGAGATTTAGTGAGTTTAGCCAAATGGAATGTCCTGTTCATTTGAAAGTGTACTTTTATTTGTAGTGGAATGGTATCACCGCCATGCGGATATGTGGGCCGTATATCCTGGTGTTTAGAATGCACACCGTTGAGGCATATCCCCTCCCCTCGCATATAACTTTAGGAGTTGGAGAGCGTTCCGGTATTCTACCCCAACTCACATTCAGATTTCCACACACAATGACCTATCGCCGTGTATCTCTCACGAAAAACACATGTGTCGAAGACGAAGAATCTGAAGTTTACGGGCTATCCGCGCTTGCAAACGATCTATTCCATGGAATATTTCATTTTTACGTCAAGTTAACTGTGCGTCCCTTGCCTTCATTGTCGGTCTCGCCTTTGGGAGTCCGTCCCATGGCAGTCGCTTCACCACAATCTGTCGCGGCGCCGCTGCCTGAAGATTTACCGCCACCACCTGCGCCTTCAGTCCTGCCTGGAATTGTGCAGGACACGAGAGCATTTATATCAGCTTGGGCATTGGGGGACTATGGAAAACGCGGAATCTGGGTAGCAAGGTCGCGGACCAGCAAGAACCGTACTGTCGTGGCATTCACGAACCTTCGAGATGTTGGCAATACGTTAGGAGAAGCTCGGGCCTGGAGTAATGAGTCACTACAGGCAAACGACAACTTAGAAAGGCCAAGGCTAATTAATGGCCAAGTGGTTCATGATATCCCGCTACGAGGTTGGTCTTGATGAGATTCGTTTGCACAGTTCAGGACTGATATTAGGTCGAAAGATGACATTACAGTGTGCGCTGTCTCAGAGACTACAGGGAGAATGGCGCTTGGATCTTGGGCAGGATCGATAACTATATTGTGAATTTCTTACTCTCATTCACCAATTTGCACACGCGTAGACTCTGTAACCATCATTCATAAAATGGCATCCAATTAAGGAAAGCATATGATGTAAACGAACATCAAATAAACGATCATAGTAGTCTGCTATCTGTTAAAGCTGGGGAACGGTACTGTATCGAGTGTCTACAACATGGCGGGAGACGACAAGGAGAGGAAAGTCTACGACGTAGGTATATATACGTAGTCGGGACTATCCGAGCAGCGAACGATGACAAAGGGTGAAATACGAAACTCCAACACTATCATGCTGCCAGTTCCGAGCTCATACGCGAGCCACTTTGCGTAGAGACCTTATGACCATTCTTCAGCTTCAAGGCTACGGGCTGATGTTCAACTGCATCCAACGTCGTTAAGTCCATCTCCTCCACCGCCGATTGGCGCTCTCCAAGGGACGCCCTCGTGTTAAGGTTTGCAAGGAGGGTGTTGCAATACAGAGAGCAGATGGGCATGTCAAAAAGGATGTAGATGATCCGTTTGTGGAGAGCTACGAACTGCTCGTCACGCGTCCGGGGTCAGTTCTGTTGACTTTAAGTGGAACGAGGCTTACCGTGATCAAATCACAGATAGCAAAGGCCGTTGTCCAGAGCATGTTTAAGACAGCCAGGAGCATAAGTCGCTGAATAATTTTCAACGTGCTGGGGAAGCGAACACGTAAGCGTGAAACATGGTGGGGTGGTAGTAGAGAGCACCTTCGAACTCTGGTTTGTTTTTGATGCCGACGCAATAGCTCAAGCAGAAACACCGCAATAGCTATGTCTATGAATAGGGAAACTGCAAGGTAGGCTATTCCAAGATCCTTTAGCAAAAGCTTCAATAATGAACGGGTGAATTTTAAACTGCAAGACAATCACTTTTGGCAGAGGCGCCCACGCATATGACCCTTTTCCGGATAGGCAACTTTTGAAGGCGAAGTCAGAATCCGACGTAGCAAGAGATCAGAGACAGGTCCTTACGTTTTGATAACGATGACTATCAAATTTGTCAGCGAAATATGTTTGAGATAGGGAGTGAAACCTCACTGAAGGCGCAAACAATCTGAAAAATCGCCAATGGAGCCTGTACAAGAGGCAAAATTAGAAGGCATCAGATAAACATAAACCGATTGTACTGACCCACACAACGACGACCATCCATAGTTTATTTCCGCTGACTACACCGATAAGTTGAGCGCGAGAAGGGCAAGAATGTGTTGTGGACTTACGCCGACATATTCTGACGACAAAGAACGCCTGGACTGTTACCGTGGCTATAGCCTATATAATGCACTCAGGTAAGCCCCTGGAACCTGAATTGTTTAGGCATCAAAGATGGACTCGACACCTACCGCAAAAATAAACTGCGTCTAGCAAAGTCCGACATATCAGCCCCCAAAAAATAGTGATATGAATGAATATACTGCTCACAACGTATGGACTAGAGGAGGGGGGTGATCTTCAACATCGAGGACAACAATCAGTGTAGGCGGTACGTACGACACCATGTGCTGCAGAAACCTATAGTTGCCGAAATTATCGATCATGTAGACCCATGCTACGGACAGTACACATAATTGATCAGTGACACTTGAGAGTCGGACGCATTAGAACTTACCTCCATACACGATAACATATGTTTGCGCCGTGCTGATCGACCTATACAAAAGTTAACACGGAACAGAACAACTCTCAATATGGATGTCACCATAAAAATACCACCTGTCGAAATGTCAGTGCCAGCCTTTGTAATCAAACTATCTGACAGACCAGAAATTTGAGCGATTTCCTGTCACTTTCGTAGCTACGTAAACAACGTCAGTATGGGGACAATCGAAAGGCTTAGAATGTACCTTCCAAAGTACCAAAACCTGTTGTTTCGATGAATCAAATCCAGAAATCCCATGTTGATTGTCCACTCACGTTTGCAAACACAGCATGGCCCAAAACACAACACTGACCAGTGAAGTCATGTAAAAGACGCCATACGATGTTGTAGCCAGAGAGCGGGAAACCAATAAACCAGCTGTAGATTCCATTGTGAGAGAAGCTGGGTTCCTGCAATGATAGCGCTACGCTGCTGAGGGTTTTCTCATATATATTTATGCGCGTGTCGACTTCGACGCTATTATGTCTTTTGCTGTATGCCGTATTCATCCTCGTGTTGTATGTCATCAAGAAGACAGTGCCTCACAGCATTGCAGTCCTGTGATTCAACAAGAATTAAACTCTACATATCGGATTACCGCCCATAAGTACCGGAGGTTCGCGCTGATGATCAGCTGATCTGTCAGAAATCAGCCTTGTGCCCACTGACAGCACTCAGGTATCGAGTACGTCGTAACCAAGTAACGAGGCTTATTACATAGTAGAAACTGTAATAGACTGGTGAGCTCCCGACATCAGTATGTACGAGTTGCATCGAGACGCACCTTGTTGAGAAGGTCGCGATGAGCCGCCTGCACAAGGCGTATAACTCCACGAATGATAGCAATATACGCCATAACTGGACAGAGCTGAACCGGCTGTCATTCGGTGGATTATGTAAAATTTACGAAACTGTGGCGGCCTCGGGGACGTACGGATCCAAAATTCAAGCGAACATGTTCTGAACAGACAAACATTTTGATTTGTTTGATCCGGCGTGTGGAAAAGTCTTTGGAATTTAATCCATGCCAGGCCTGCACGGTGAGGTTGCACGGTGAGGTTGCAATAATGGGGCTTCGGAAAAATATTAATGATGAGACAGCCTAATCAGAAAGCATAACGTATGGGCAGCCGGTCATCAACGTTCAACGCCGAATCACTGCAGATCACCAGGCCCACCCGCCACACGCTCATGACGTTTCAGGTGACAAGGCGCATTGCCACGGCGCTACGGGTAAGTCCAGTAGCTACTCCGGGTTGATCAGAGGGAGATTAAAGAGTCCACAGGTTTGGTACATACCTTGACGATGATAACTTTATTCATCGGCGTTTCCTCTATTTATACATCTAACTTAATCATAACATCTAGTGCGAATTTTGTTCGTTCTTCCTTTCTACTGGTCTCTGAAACACAAAATACGGACACCGACGTATCAAAGATTGGTCTTGAGCGGCACAGAGGAAGACTCCCCCACACTTTTCGAGGCAGTCGCGTTTCGCTCCCCCGACTCTCGGATGATGATATCCAAGTGAACAAGAGCGGTGAAAAGACGTAGGTCTTGATGAGAGGCTACACATCAATGAGGAGTGAAGCGCATAACTAAGACAAGTACGCGATGGACTCACAATTTGTGAGTTTCTCGCGTAGATTTCTAACATCTTCATCCACTCTGAGATTGGGACCACAGGGAGGATAGTCTCTGTTAACTTTAGAATCTTGTTGATGTCGTTGATCATTGAAGTCCAAGGGATCGATCTCGGGCGCACTAGGTCGAGTGCGGCAGGAGGTGACCTCTCTGCGAAAGTAACGCACACAATAGTGCTGAAGACCGCCTGGAGTGGGATCCAGGAAATAGCATGAAGAAGAAATGTTAGCAAATGAGCAAACGCCAGTATGACGAATACAAGCCTGTCAACAAGACATGTCTTAGCCGTAGGCCGCCAAAATAGAAGGCGTAAACATGAAACAAGGTTTGGAAACCTTGGTGAAGTAAATGCGAGAACAATGAGGTTCCGTGCCGCACGCACAGCCTGTTGGGTTCGAATATGATAGCAAGAACTAAATTGAGCGGCCACGCGTTGTGAATGAGGTCGGACCAAAGGACAAGCGAATCTGTTACAAAGTTACTGTTTGATTCGACAATCAAAGGGAAGAGAAGACCTCGTCATATGGTTCATTGAGCAAACCCAAATCAACGTGTATTTGCCTCGAGGTATGCGAGTTTCTTGGACTCGTGACGTCCAATCGACGATCTTCGAACAAAATGGTCAAGTATGTACCCCACCACACAATGGTTCTCGGACAGAGAAGCTTGAAGCAGACATGGACCAAGTCCGCCAGTTGAACCAGCCAATAAAACAATGACTAGTGATGTCCGCCCCCGGCCAACTTGAATTATCGAAGGTGCTGCTACTATTTATGTGTCCCATAACATGGGCGTACTTTTGATCGTAGTTTCAATGAGAATGGTGGCCTTGACGAGGGAGTCATCGGAAACTTGAAAGTGGAGTACTAGTAGTGACTCGTCTTGGCTTGAAGCTTAAAGTCCTTACCGTACATAAGAGAGGAGGGATGATGCTCAATATATTGAAGATGACTTGAAGGTGTAGTGCCCACCTGCAATTTGCAAAGCAATAATCTAGAGTACGTGCACCGCACGATCTGTGTGGTCACGAATCACGATGTAGGGCAGTAGGTCGCAGAGGCAAATCAACCGGTTTAATTTTCAACTTCCGAATGAGAACCTTCCGGTACGATTCCTACTTGATCAAGTTGTAATACACCCAGCTGGTTCATGTACGCGTCTTCCATTGATCGTGATGAGCATACATAGGTCGTCTGTATTCATAGCAATTCGACTGATACTTGATTTATCCTATTAGGTGGGGTATTGCCCTCTAGCAGCGCCCAAAAACTACCATACACCCTGCAACCCAACACGTCCGCAGAATCGACCACTAACGGGTCGCGTACAATCAAAGGCACAGACAACACCATAAATAACCGACTCAAGAATATGGTAGTCCGCTATCATGCTGCCAGTTCCGAGCTCTGACGCGAGCCACTTTGCGCAGAGGCCGTAGGATCATTTTTTAGCGTCAAAGCCACGGGCCGGGGTCCAACTTCAAATGTCGTCAAGTTCATGTCTATCGCCGATTGCCTCTCTGCAAGGGAAGCCCTCATGTTAAGGTTTGCAAGGAGGGTGTTGCAGTACAAGGAGCAGATTGGCATATCAAAGAGAATGTAGAAGGTGTCATGGAGGGACAAGAACTGCCCGTCACATCTGTGGTCAGCTCGGCTGATTTTACTGAGGGGTAGGAGGCTTACTGTGACCAAATCGCAAATAGCAAACGCCGTTGTCCAGAGCATATTTAAGACGGCCAGAAGCATGAGTCGCTGAATAATTTTTAACGTGCTAGGCAGGCGAACACATGAGCGAGAAGATCGGCGGGGTGATGATAGAATGCAGACTACCTTCGAACTTTGCTTTGCTCCTTGTGCCGCCGTAATAGCTCAAGCAAAACCACTGCAATAGCTATGTCGACGAAGAGGGAAACTGCGAGGTAGGCTATCGCAAGGTCCTTCAGCAAATAGTTCAATGACGGGTCTTCAATTAAGATGAAAGATGATCACCTTTGGCAATGGCGCCCAGATGTATGGAGAGTAGTCAGCTATACAACTTTGGAAGCGGCGTTAGAACTCATGTGGCACGAGAGTGGAAGTAGCGAAATGCCTCACGTTTTGATGACGATAACTATTAAACATGTCAACGAAGTAGAATTGAAATAGTGAGTGAAACCTCACTGAATGCAGAAACAATCTGAAAAATCGCCAACGGAGCCTGGATAAGATGCACAATCATAAGCCATCAGATAACCATCAGTCAATTGTACTTACCCACACAGCAACCACCATCCACATTTTATTTCTGCTGACTGTATAAATAAGCCAAGGGGGTTAAGGGTGAGTATGTATTCAAACTTACGCTGACATATTCTGAAGACAAAGAATGCCTGGACTGTTACTGTGGCTGTAGCCTATAGCATAACGAAGTAAGCTCCTGAATATTATGGACGCCAAAGACGAGCCCGTCGGACACCTACTGCAAAAATAAACTGCGCCTAGAAAAATCCGAAAAATCAGTCCCCTAAGAAGTTGTGGGGAAAAATGACTATGCTACTCACAGCATATGGACTTGAGGGAGGGGCATGATCCTTAATAACGAGGACATTAATCAATGATTGCGGTACTTACGAAACAATGTGCAACAAAAATGTATAGTCGCCGAAATGGTCGATCGTGTAGGCCCATGCTACAGGAAGTTTAAGTCGTCAGTGGTATTTGAGAAATATCAGAACTCACCTCCATAGACGATAACATAGGTCTGCGCCGTGCTGATCGCCCTATACAAAAGTTAAAACAGAGCGGAATAGCTTGCAGCATGCGTGTCACCATAAGAATACAACCTATCAAAATGTCAGCGCCAGCCCTTCGTAGTCACGATATCTGACGGACCAGAAATTTGAAGAATTTTCTATCGCTTTCGTAGCTACATAAATGGTGTCAATCCAGAGACATAAACAAAGCTGAAAGTGTACCTTCCAAAGTACCAAAACCTGTTTTATTGATGAATCAAACCCAGTAACCCCATGTTGACTGTCCACTCACGTTTGCAAACACAGCATAGCCCAAAAGGCCACACAGATCAATGAAGTCATGTAAAAGACGCCATACGATGTTGTAGCCAGAGAGCGGGAGACCAATAAGCCAGCCGTGGATACAGCTTCCATCGTGAAAGGTTACTACTTAGGTGCGATAATGCGGGGCTGCTGGGGGTTTCAACATATATAGGCGTATGGAGAAGCTGTGTGATGAATAGATGATCTCGTCTAATAGAGCCTAATGGCCGCATGCCGTGATATGTATGTAAGGACGGAACGATTTCCGATGGTCCTAACCTTAACGGAAGCAACTCGTGTGGATGGAGGCAAAGTATGTGATCCGACTGACGATTTATTGCCATTGGATTTGCTTATAGGCCCCTAAAAGTCAAGACATGTTCCGTAGGTTGAACAAACGTCATGAAAGAGATTCACATTGATTGGAGTATTGTTGGAGTATCTGTCTGTCGTTTGGTAGGTGTCAAAACTACCTTGGCGTTTACCGTTCCAATCGACATCGCAAGGTAAGATAAAGCTTGTCATGACGAGGTGTGAACGGTCGTTGAGAGCCATTTGTGCTGGGGAGGTGACTGTCAGTTGCAGCTGTGTAGGAGATAACAAGGGCGGTAATCACCTCATAACGGCATGGAAGTTCGGTCGAGACACCGCCCTATATGTACATGAAGTTAGACCCAACCTTGATTCATGATCTTGAATTTCGCATCATGATTGCCCCGGATGGCGACCTATGGCACCGCCCACTAAGAACTGTTTGATCAAGAGGCTTCCCTCTTGATCAGGAGTACGTGTCGAAGGCCGTGCCCACTAGCAGCGCCAACGAGAATTACCATACTCAGTACAGTGAGGAGCCTCACCTGCGCTGAACGAAATCAGTTTATGAGTGGTTAGTGAAATTCATATCGCCCTTGTCAATGACATTCCCATATATTCGTAGTCAAGGACCTATCCTGTACAGTAACACATGTCGCACGTCGCACGTCGTAGTTTGATCATTGATGCATTATAACGTTCAAGTCGAAAATCAAAAAGTGATACTTGTCAACGATTGTATTGGTCAGCAATTCCCAACCATTAATTTTGAGTTAGTACCCCGCATGTAGTGGTATATGCTATGCAGTCATGCACGAGTGCTGTCAGACGCGCAACCCATAATTTGAACCACATCCTACTCCGAAGCTATAGCTCTGCGCCGTCTGCACAAGCAAGGCTCGTCAAACAGTCTCTGCGCAAGCTTCTCCGAGAGACAGCCCAGCCTGTGGCGGTTGTCACGTCGACCCTACCAGACCATGAAACACCACGAAGTGATTCGTCCGTGCAAGAAGCACCGTCGATATTTCATGGCGCTACATTGTCGTCCTTCACGTCCATCGCACTTGATCCGCATCCGCTCGTCGCGTTCTCCCTCCGCGTCCCATCCCGGATGGCTCTGGCTCTGAATGCCCACGCAGCAAAGCCCCAGATGCAAATGTCGTCTCATATGGTCATCAATATCCTTTCTGCTGCGCAACCTCATATTGCACGACTGTTCTCCAATCCAAACATGCACCCCTTCCCGTTCGCAGAATCGGAGGTGCAGTGGACGCGGTCTGCAGATGGTCTCCCGGTTATTAAAGGTGCTTTAGGCGCGCTTTCTTGCACTGTGGTCGGTCGGTCGTTGCCCTTGAGTGATACGCGGTGGTTGCATTTGAACATGGAGGAGTGGGAAACGGAGGTGCAGCAAGTAGAGGGTGGTACTGGGTTGGCTTCGGAGTTATTCATTGCACGAGTTTTGAGAGTGGAGGACGTCCAAGAGCCAGAGGGTCAACTCGGGAATGACATATTACGGACGTTGCCTTTAATCTACCACCAAAGAACCTACACAACCGTGGACAGAATACCAGATCCATGAATATAATAATAATCATTTATTCCTATGGTATTCATATTGTCGACATCGACTCGTAACTCGAGATACATCAATGCATCAGGTCTCTCCCATCGGAATGAATAAAACACATCATATCATTCATGATCGCATATATAGATCTCATCAGAAGTTTATACTATACAACAATACACGCAGCATCGCCTATACATGTTATGAGAGATAAGTGGGAACAGATGTACATGTGATTTAATTGTTACCACGCATTCCAAGACGCGATTTCCTCCACGCCCAGCGGACGTCAAGCCCAAATCCAATGGCGACTACAGGGAGAACACTAACTATTTCACCAATTCCAGCCCAGCGAGGCTCGATTCGAACCTTGATGAGCGCGCCCGATGCAAAAAGGATTGCAAAGATGTTGTAGAAGATGCACCACGCCAGGGCCCAATATGCATGCATACGCACCGCTGTTGCAATGTCGAGCAGAGCGAGAATACCGCGATGGAGATCCGAGCCCAGAAGCACAGCTCCAGCAGCAGTAAGTGCCACATCTGAGCCTGCCGCAATGGCCAACGCAACGTCAGCACGAGAAAGCGCTGGCCCGTCATTGGTACCATCACCGACAAAGCAGACCCGTTGACCCTTGGCCTGCAATGCGGCGATCGCAGCATCTTTATCTTCAGGAGTGAATGAGGCAAAAGTCTTGTCGAGAGGGATTCCGATAGTATTTGCAAGATGGTGCACAGCAGCTGTTGTGTCACCGCTAAAAATCATGACATCCTTGCCGCGACGAGTGAGCTCCACTACAAGAGCATTCGCCTCTGGTCGCGGTGTATCAGCAAGACCGAAGAACGCGATTGGTTGACCAGCGAGTGTAACAGTGAAAAGGGTAAGGCCCGATGACTGAAGTTTCGAGGAAAGCGGGTGAGAGCAAGCACCGGTGAATGTGGGATTTCCACCTAGGAGAGGAAACCCACAGACCGAAGCCTTGATACCCTTTCCTGGGAGAGAGACGATGTCCGTTACAGTGCCTCCACGGTGTTGCGTCGCAGCAGCAGCCAGATGAGCGGTGACGTAGCGATGAACACCTTGAGAGACAGGGTGTTTGTTGTCCTTGATTAGCTCGTTGACAATCTGCTCTGCACCTTCGACCAAAATCTCAACATGTTCCGTGGTAAAGTAGCCCTGAGTGAGTGTGCCGGTCTTATCAAATGCTATGACATCGATGTCATGTGCCCTCTGTAGCGCATCGGCTGAACGAAAGAGGACGCCTTCACGTATTCCAATCCGGATCGCAACAGAAGTGACCATGGGTATCTGCAGGCAGAACAACAAGAGTGAGTACAGGCTGTATGTAAGGCAGAAACAGAACAAAACATTTGAAAAGGAAAAGGAAACCTACAACGAGACCGATAGCACAAGGGCAGCTGACGACGAGAATGGCAATTGCATACGTGAGAGCTTCGACAGAGGATGTGGTTGCCGAGTAGTGGAAAACATAGCGGTTGACAATTACCCAGACAAGGAATGCGATACAAGCGGAAAAGGCTGCTACGGGAAGAATTATGGCTGAAAGCTTGTTGGCGAGGTCCTGTGCAGGGGAACGTGAGGACTGAGCCTGCTTGACGAGGGCTGTGATACGAGAGAGCGAGTTTTCGTGGATGAGCTGTGTGACCTGAACGTCGAGTGTGCCGCCGAGGTTGAGCGTGCCAGCGATAACGCGGCTGCCCTTCTGCTTAGGCACAGCAACACTTTCGCCTGTGAGAGATGACTCATCCGCGTCACTCGAACCACTGACGACAAGTCCATCAGTCACGATTCGAGTCTCAGGAGGGATGCGAATGATGTCTCCGTAGTAAATCAGGCGAGAATCCAGACTTTGAGGTGGTGCCCCCTTCTCGTCTGAAAGGAGGATGACACTAGCTTGCTGGAGCCTGTGGAGTTCTCGAAGGGCAGAACCTGTCGACCGACGCGTGGCAGCGGAGACGGTGCGTCCAAGGAAGATGAGAGTGATAAGGAGAGCACTGGTCTCAAAGAAGGGGGGAGAAAAGGGTCGGCCTGCAACCTCAAATGCATAAGAGACGACAGAAAAGATGTATGCGGTAAGGGTACTGATGGCAACGAGAACGCTCATATCGGCTTGATGAAGATAGACTATCGAACGATAGGCCGAAGAAATGATCGGGAATGCGACCCCCTGGATAAGTGTGGTGAACCCAACAGAGATGGAATTATAAAGGACTGGTCGGTAGGGCAGGTTCGCCCAAGCGAGTACAAGTACAGGAATGGACAGGACACCACAAGCGATTGTACGGATACCCACAACGATGAGGTCGTGGGTGGCCATGTCGTGGTGCCCGTCGGACCCGGCAGGGACGAGCTCAGCACCGAAGGCCTTGAACTGTTCAAAAACATCGCGAGGTCGGTGGGGAGAGTCTATATGAACGGGAAAAGAAACTTCGATGACGTGAGGATTCGAGCCAAAACGTGTATCAAAGCCATCAAGGGCCTCAGGAGGAGGCATTGTCGAGAAAGAGAGGGGAAGCGTGACAATGGCAGCCGCACCGCTCCCAGAGGTCGCAGTCAAGGCCCTGACACCAAAACCAGTTGCACGCGCGACGTATGCGATTATGGCAGCGGGAGTGATAGCCTCGGCGTCATACTGGAGCTCGGCAAGACCACTGAAGTAGTCCACGTTTATAGGAGTGACTGAGGAAAGCTGCGCTAGAGCGCGTCCGACCTTTACCACGCAGTCGGCACAGTCCATGCCACGCACTTCCAGTTGAAGCTTCTCCCCAGGGCTGATGTTCCCACTAGCGCCAGTCGCTGCTTTGGATTTGGATATTTCAGGTTGGGGAGCTCGGCCACTCCCTGGGCGCTGCGAGAGTAGGGAGAGGGGAGCGGAGGACGAGGGACTCGGCGAGCTAGCAGGACGGGGGATGAAGCAGCAGGAGCGACGAGAGCAGTATTGCTCAAGGGCTCTGCAGCACGCACGAAGGGTGCTTGTGTAAGCTTCAAGATAAGCGATCGCGGCGTCGGCAATTGCAAGATTGTCGGGAGAAGGCAATGCGGAATGAGCTGGTTGAGCACGATCTGGGCCGCTTAAGCGGTCTGAAAAGGTAGAATGATGAGTATGGGCACAGATGGGCACCGCGCATATATCAAAAGCGACCGTATCAAGAATCGAAGGCATGGATTGATCAGCTCACCTTGGAGACCAGGTTCATTGACGAGCAACTTGATGCAGCACATGCAAGCAGAGTCTGCCGAACGTAAAATGTCAGCTGCAAACATTCCCAAAGCAAAATTTAGAGCAATATGGATGGGCGGGGAACATACCATCATCGATATTATCTACTTTCTCCTCGTCACAGCTACTCACGTCTCCACCACGGTTTCTATCATCTTCCAAATCGCAGCACGAGGCCTCAAGCCCTCCAGAGTCTCCACTACCACAGCATCTACCCTTCTCCTCACTGCCGCATCCCGAACCTGCCATCTCTTTCTGCCCACCAGTGAAGCATGAGTCCTTCTGGTTGCCTTTTCCACAGCATGACGTTTTCTCCTTCTCGTCGGCGCCGGAACAACATGCACCCGTGTCAGTAGCGGCGCAACAGCCACAGGACACCTCGAACTCGCTCGAGGCTGGCCTTACGACACCATCCGAAGGTGCTTCGAGGACGCTCTGAGGACGATGCGAATTTGAAACAGGGCACGTTGACAACATGACTGTGCTTGAAAGGATATTGGTATGATTTATATGATGATCCTGCAATAAGGTCCTGCTATGTACTATCATGGGACGGGACCAACGGCGTAGCGCACTCGGCAACTGCCGCAGCCTTGCATTAGACTGATCACGAGCGTTGAGTCAATTAATCGAATCTACACTTGCTTCAGAGAATCAGAGTCAGTATGAACAGGTTACAGGATCCAGTTGTTACCCTCAAGGCTTCTTCGTAACATCAACCCTACCCTTACACCCCACAGCGCCCACGTTCAGCCATACACAAAATTGGTATCTCGAAGACTTTTACAAACGCCTTGTCTTTCTTTTGGAACCATCCGGTCAAATTCGTCCTTGCAGCCGTTCAAGCCTCAAATTAGCGAAGTCTTCGGTTTCATATTCGTCTGCGTCTTCGGAGCAAATTAAGGACAATTCTCCGATACAAGAGGCTCGCCTAAGCATCGGTTTTACCTGTACAGCGGAAGCATGCTCTCATCGTTCTTCGCACACCTTTACGAAGCGTGCATACTAGTACAAATGTGGTATCGTCATCGTCCAATGCCCTGGGTGCAAAAATAGGTGCGGGCTCATTGATATTGTTGCTGCCGAATCTCATACTGTATTTCCCCGTCAGGCATCTCATGGCGGATAATCTCGGTTGGTTCAAGGATAGCACGGAGGATGGAAAGCTCAGAAATATTGAGGATCTCCTCAGCGCTCGCGGCGAAAGCGTCCAAAGAAGTTCCTTGGATGCTAACGACGTGGTAGAATTTGCTGATCTTGAAGCTGGTAGAAAGTAGATGGAACAATCCGAGTCGTGTCAGCTCACAAAGCCACTCTTGCAGCTCTAGCTGACTGTACAGCTTGAGTGTGCTCCCCTCTGATGAGGGCCAAAATCATTCCTTCTAATACCACATCTGACGTGATCCCGATTAGTAAGTTAGTATTTTGCATAACAAGTCTGGATATGATGGAACTGTAGGTATTCAGACTTTGACATCAATTTAGTCTAGTCGTTCCTTCTTTTTCAAGGGTTCCACCTCCACGGCGACAGCATCCGGTGAGACACTGGGAGAACCGTGTAGCACCAGAGTTCGCATCCAGCTTTCTAGCAACCGCTTGCGAGAACAATTGCAAATTATTGAACAAGTCTTCGAAGTGGAAGGTCTCTTTACTTAACAAGGACCGAGTAGCGTAAGACATCGATAAAAAGAAAGCGATACAAAATAATAATAAGAAAATGAGATAATCAATCATGCACTGTGTCTTTATCAATGACCATTGGCGTGTGGTGGAGATGCACAACAGAGAAAAAGCACGAAACGAGCCCACAATGGGAGGGACCGCGCTGTTGGCGTACCTGGTGTGGTATTACTGGTATCTGGAGCGGGCGGTGTCGTGGACGCTGAGGCGGCGGCAGGCTGAGTTTGCGATGACGACGTCTGAGCTTGGCTTTGTGGTTGGCTTTGCTGCTGCATTGGTTTCGGCTTGTGTCGCGGAGCAACGAACAGTGCCTGCACAGAAATGATTGAAACACGGCAATTGGAAACACATCCGAAGAAAGCCATACCTGTTTGTCCCGTACTGCAGCAACTTCCACAATAGGAGAACGGCGATGAGAAAAGGTGGATTGTCTCGGGCGTTGCTGTAATTCAATTACTTCACCGACATTGGAGTAAGAGGGACGAATGAGCGACGCAAGGCGGCTGAGGGCCGCATTTAGACTCCCAAAAGAGGGCAAGAGGGCACGGCGGCGGGCAGAGGAACGGTGATGATCACCCGGGCCGTATGTTGCAGAGGACTGAGGTCAAGTGGTCAGAACAAGAAGGTATAATAATAAAAAACGCTGACGACGCACACGAGCACCATGTCGCGCATCGTCGAAAAAGAAGTCTGGTGGTAGTCCATTACCCTCAGCCTCACATTCACCCACTAAAAAATTTTCAGCTGAGGCCTGCGAGTGTGATATTAGCATGATTTCTAACGAAGAGCCACATGACACTCACATCAGGGATGGGAAGTAAGTCTTCAAAGCCAGCTTCTTTGAGAATGGCATAGACGTCCCACACGTATGCATTTTGGTCTCGGCAACCAGTGACTAACAACTTTCCATCAGCGGAAAAAGTTGCGCAGTCAACATAATCATTGTGCTGGAAGGGTGGTCCAATTGGGAGGTTGGTATCGAGATTCCACAGGTGTGCTGTTTTGTCATCCGATGCGCTCACGAGAAGGCGGTCATTGGAAGACAAGGTGATGGCCTCGACATACGCGTTCATGTGACCCTTGATAATGACGACCTGTTCCCAAGTGACTGTGTTGAATATGCTAATAGACCCATGTGACCCAGAGATGAGCTTTTTTCCATTCGACGTCCATGCCAAGCTGTGAACTGCATGACCATCGTCTTTGAGTGTAGCGAGCAGCTTGCCACCCGTCTTGCAATCCCAGATTTTTACTCCACTCTCGTTGAATCCGCCCGTCGCGAATTTGGATGCGTCAGGCGAGCACATTACTGCGTGCATATACTCGTGCCCGGTCTCGATTGGACCAACGACGGTTTTACCAGTCTTGGCATCCCACAAACATGCCGTCCCGTAGAGTTCAGAACCGCTCAAGACTCGCTCACCATTTGCACTCCAGCACACTGACACTATGCCTCCAATGTGTCCTGTCCATTTTGCGATGACCTTGCCCCTCGCGACATCCCACAACCTCACATTCCCATCCCAGCTTCCGCTTGCAACTTCTTTGCCGTTTGGAGACAATGCTATGGTTCTCACTCCTGCATCGTACCCCTCATCTCGCCAGTCATCACCCACCTGTGCGCCACTCTCCAGGTCCCATAAGCGGAGTGAGCCGTCCCATGAACATGTGATGATGTGTTGTCCGCCAGGCAGGTGCACAGCACCTCCTACCCAGTCAGTATGGCCTTCAATCGTCTGGCGAGACGTGACCGCTGGCATCTCTTGCGTCTCAGTGGTGGAGGAAGACATGGTTGGTGCTTGGGGTATCAAACTATGGCAGATTGTCGTGACAGAAGTCTGCCGGTGGCGCAGGCGGCGCCCCACCTGCTTCATTGTTGTCAATGCAAGCACACGAGGCACTTCTCATGAAACAGTGTGCTTACAGGAATTCAGTCCTACACAGGACGGCTTCGGGACTATGTGTGCGGCACAAAGTCACTGGCAAGCGAGCAGTCAGTACTGGTCAGTGGGGGCTGGGCGCCGATCAGTAAACTGGTGAGACTCAGATATTCCCAGCCGAAGTGGTTCTTTCCTGTATATTGCGATACAAAGTAATACAAAGCAATATAAAGCAAGAGGCGTGCGTTCGGCGAATCCCGAACACACACTCCTTTCGTACCTCCCCCCCAAACTGGTGTCCAGGGTCCCAATCTCAGCCACTTTGGCGATTTTGCAGGTCATGGCTCGATCTTTGTATAGCGGACGCAAAACACGTTGAAACGATTGTTGGAAAAGGTAAAGTATTGTTTAAATAAGCCCTAGAATAGCACTAGATACTTATATTAGCGAAAAATCACAAAATCACTGTCAAGTCGCGTCTGAGAGCTGCAAGTCTACACATTTCCATTCTGAGCTATGACGAGTATGATCGAGTGAGTATAACGAACGCGTCCTCGTCTCATTCATGTCTCTCTCTTCCCTTTGTCCTCCTACCATACCTTCTTGCATTAGTTTATGATACCAGAACATTGATACCACCATGCCCAAGACCATGCCAGACAATTCTCACTTTAATTTCATGTACAATTCCCAGACCTTGATGACCGATCCATCAACACATGGCTTTAATGACTCGGATGATGTAAACCCTTCTCAGAAGCCTGGCGCAACACTTCATACTGCGTATCAGATCAATTTTGATGATCCGACATTAATATCCGCCTCAAGTCCACCACCTGTTTTACAGCCAGCCGAAAAAGAACGACTCATCACAGAGGCTACCAGTACTTCCTTTCTGACTCTCTATCAGCATAACGAGCTGGAATTTCGAGTCAACGACGCAAAAGTCTGGGAGCTACGGTGTCCTCATGGCTGCTGGATCAAGTCTGGTACACGCAACTACATCAAACTCACAAGCCAAAAGTTCGCGACCAATGGGAGTCGAAGTGTCCACGCCAAGACACGTTCCAGTATGGCAGCGCCAGTAAGGGCTCTGATACTCGTCCATGTCGCAATGTTCCCGTTGTGTGTCAGCTATGCGTTCATCAAAACAGGGATACAGACTGGCTACCAGCACATTGGCGCTACAATTTCGAAGCTCACCTCAACCTGGAACACCCAGAATATGCACATCCTGGAAAACTTACTGGTCTCCCTCTCCCAGATACTATTTTCCAATCTTTCGCCCTTACCGCTGCCGAGGAAAAGAAAGCCGGAGTTCCTGCGCGCCCTGTGTTCACGCTTCTTCAGAAGGAGAAAGAGAACAACACTCCCATACCTGCTCGTTCTAAGAAGCGTAAGGCTAATGCACAGGCATTCGTTTCTGCCGTGATGTTGGCCAAGAGGGCACGGCAGTAGGCACACATTTCTTTTCTCTTTTGATGCTTCAATGCTCAATTATACGAACACCTTGTCCTACTTAGTACGTGCGTCACCCTTATGAAGCTTACAATACTCGCTTGATACTCGCTGCTCTTTGTTTTCGATATGTTCTCTTGTTTCTGCTTCGTAGCATAACCTGTTTTCGGGGTCCTCGGATTTGCCTCGGATTGCAAATATTATCAATCGTTCCATTCTAAATAAGGCTAAGGAATTGCTAAGTAAGGAAATTCTCAGCACGTGGAACCCCTCCCCCTCCCCCGGGAGTATTTTACATGTCAGTGTCATGATTCTTTTCAATGCACGCCTCTTGATATAAAGTGATGCAAAGCAATATATGGGTCCGAACTAGCTAGTGTAGTACTATGGGCTGAGTTGTGACCAAGTGCCGGCAACTGGCACTTGGCGCACTGGCAAAACCACCCTTGGCAGCACTTTTCATCTGTTCTCACGGTCTATGAGACCCACTTTTTAGGTTATGGGAAAGTAGTCTGACAGACCCCAATCTACGAGGAGGTTTTAAAGTTGCATGTATTACAATTGGGGATATCTACTTAGTGTTTACTGCCTATCTACCTAGGACCTCTCCAGAGGAGGCTCCCTCAGATCCACGGGTATCAAACATTCTGTCATTGATATTCGGACCAGGAAGGTATGTAATATATGGCACGTGGTGTACTACTATATTATACCAAAATTCATTGCAAAACAAAACATATACAGAAAGGACGTGCGAGAAGAGGTTATGGCACTCTCATTTGGATGTGGGAAGGACGAGGAGGGTTTGAGGGCTATCACAGTTGCTGTTGGATGCACGTAGACTGATGAAGACGCGTGGATGATTGGGCATTGTCGGGTGGAGGATGACCCAATCTCGATGATGATGCCATGGGCACCATAATTTCTGTGGGCGCATCCGGGGGGAGCTGAGAGGTCCATTTTTCCAGGAGCGCCGTGAGCACTGCATGAGTTACGCCAACGGGTGGTCGCTCGGGTCGCTGGCTGCTGCTAGAATTAGATGACACCAATCCTGTATAATTTGACTGAACGGTGCGAAGAATGGAGTCGTTTTGTCCATCAACGACGTGTCCTTGCGAGGTGCAAGCACATATGCCTGCTTTGCCACCCAGGGGTCGTCGTCTGCACTCTCAAATTTATGAACCCACAAGGGCCTCCTGTTCTCATCTCTCATTAAGCTGTGTGGCCCGTCGAAGGTCGTCGCAAATTCGACGAAGATATATATATTTTTTTTTAATCCATTTTATTGTCTTCTTGGGGCAGCGCCCGATGTAGACAGTACATGCTGTATAATACTTATGTTACTTTTAGAGAGTAAAGACATTGGTGTAATTCAGAACCATTGGCTCGCACTCTGTACTGGGGTTGGAGTGGTGGAGCGTTATGAAGCCAACTAGTGTTTTAAAGTCCAGTTGCAGGACCGCAAAAAGACCGGCAACCGGACCGGGTCCTAAGAAGGACTGGTTGCAGTCTTTTCCAGTTGCAAGATCAGTCCAGTCCAGTTGCCTGAAGTTTGCGAAAAATAAATAAACCGGTCTAAACCGGTTAAAATCGATTTAGACCGCAACCGGTTCATATGTACATGTAGTACTCGTCAGCGCGGTTCTAACGGTGGTCCGATCATGTAAAACGGCTAAGATTTGACAAAGTTATGAGCATTACAAGAAAAAGCTGCAAATTCACGGGATGTCTTGTATCTTAGCTTTTATCTAGACCAAACCATAATCAATTGACAAGGTAAGACCAGCTATAGACTCGTCTATACTAAGGTTACAAGTAATGTTGACACACCTAAGCCTTATAGTAACAACTTTGATTTTGTGACATTTCATATACCGCAAGTCAAAATCAGTCAAAATCACCGATTGGCTCATAACTTACCCAAACCTTGAGTGTCCGACAAGATATGAGTAGCTATAGACTTGCCTAGACTAGGACTACAATTAACATTAAGACACCTAAGCCTTACGACCACTTTTATTTTTCAAAGACAAGCCCGATAACGATTTTTTGTCAAGCTTATATCTTGCTTATATCTTACCCTATTGACAAGATAAGACTAGCTATAGTATCGCCTTGACTAGCAGCACATATTTCGTCAAGAAGCCTAAGCATGGTAATGACATTTCATATTTGACTCACATGCAGGGCGGAGTTTGGGAACCCTTTTTTATAATGCTCGTATCTTGCTCAGATCTTAACCGTTTAATACAAATAAACCACCGTTAGAATCGTGGGAAGGAGTGCTACACTCCCACAGGACTGGTCTCGGTTGCAACCAGTCTAAGACCGGTTGTAGGACTGCAAAAGACCGAAAACATCGGTCTTTACAGGTCCAGTCCAGTCTTGATGATATCGTGGGAATGAAAAGACTGGTCTGGTCCGGTTGCCTCCAGAAAAGGCAAAAAGACCGGACTGGACCGGACTTTAAAACACTAAAGCCAACCTGAGGCTAAAAGAATTGGGGGGAGCGTGCACGAGTGCCCTAGGTTTGTGACTGGGGGTTTTGTACTGCTGGTGGAGCTGTGCGAGTTGGTTCTGGGAATGCGCTTGGGGTGAGATGGCTCAGCTTCGTTTTTAGGCGTTTTTGATCGGTGCGACGTTTCCGAAAGCGTTCTCTAGGCGTTTGGTTGCTGCTATGTACTTGAAGAGGTTGGGGAGGAATTCCCCGTTGCTAAGGAGTCGGCAGATGTGGTAGGCGCGGTTTGGCATTGATCTTTGCAGGACATCTCGTTGTGCTTGGTATGTGGGGCATTCCATCAAGTAGTGGTGTACTGTCTCCTCGCTCTCTTCGCATGCTGGGCAGGTTGGTGTTTCTGCACCCCTTATGCGGTGGAGGTGCTTGTTGAGTGGGGCGTGGCCCGTTCTCAACTGCATAAAGAGGCTTGCCTGTCTTCTAGGTAGGTCTGTGACCAGCTTCTGGAAATGGTTTGAGGGGATACCGTCATCTATTTTTTTGAGGAGCGGGTAGCGTGGTGAGTCGTGCATGACCTTCTGACCTTCGCACTTGAGTTGGTCATAGCGTTGTTGTTTCAGCGCCGATTTGCTGCACAAGAGTTGGATTGTGGAGGTGAGTCCGTTGTGTTTGTGTTTTCGTAGGCAGTTGGGTAGGCTGTTTGGTGGGCTGGACAGTCCACCTGCCGCTTTCTTGGCTTCAATGTCGGCTGACTCGTTCCCTTCTATGTCCACATGTCCTGGGGTCCAGTGGATCGTTATGTGGTCCTCGTCTCGTTTGATTAGCGCGGGTTCGAGGTTTCTATGGAACATATCCATAAGGTAATGACCCGGGTTGGTTCTAAAGGACTGCGTGGCTAGAATGGCCACTTGGTTGTCGACGCATAGTCAGGCTGAGGGTTTTCCTGGTTCGCGACGTAGCAGTTCTGCGCCCAGAATCATGCCTACTATCTCGGCCTCGTAGACTGTGTGCTTGGTCGACGGTCCAAGGTGGAAGTGTAAGGTCTTCTGTTCACGTCCTTCTCTCGTGAGTACCGCTGCTGCTCCAACTCCTCCATCTATCGCTGATCCGTCTGAATAGATCCTCACTACCTCTTCTGCTTCCTCGTCCTCTCTGGCCGCTTCTTCCTTCGTAGGCGCGATTCTGATCTTTGCGTCTGGGTCCCATTTGGGGTTGTGGCGGACTGCGTCTACCTTCTCTATTCGACGAAGATATGAAACAACGACTCCAGGTCATCACTTGCTGTATGTTGGATCATTGCATTATTCTTTGCAATACCCTCCCGGAGAAGACAAATTGACATATAGGGCCTAGTACCCTTCAAACAATGCGCTCAGCCATGTGCCATGCCGTGAAAATTCTAAGTTTTACTTACCGTGCCCTCTGAAGGAACGCTATCGGTGCCCTCTGCAAGAATCCGAGCATGATCGAAGTCAATAAAATACCCTCGTCCATCATGGAGGATAAAATTGTTTGGGCTCAAGTCTCCGTGGAGGACATCCTTTCCGAGCATTAAAGCATGAGCTAAATACTGATGGTCAGTCTCAGGATTCAATTTCAACACACTCGAGACTCACCTGTGACCAAGTCATGGAAGGCTTTCAACAGCTCAAGCTTCGAGGAGTAGAGCACAAGCGGTTCTCCGCAGGGGGTCAACAGAAGGCGCCGGTGGAATCTGCGAATGAACCTAGAGCTACAAACACCATGGGAAGCTCGAATGCAATACATGCAGTCCGACTCCCCATCGTAGAGGACATCCCAATCAGCCATGAGCTTGACTACATTTGGGATCCCTTCAACCATCTTGAGAATGGTCACCTCATGGTATTTCTTCTCCTCCGCGACCCAACAGTCTTTGAGTGCATACTCCGTCCCATCCGAGGTCTGAACACAATAACAGATGGTGCCATGAGAAAAGAAACCTTGGCTTCGCCAAAGCACGCTCATGATTGATAGAATCACGTGATCATAGCTCTCTACCCAGCCTATTGCGTGCTCCCTCAGATTGGTGTGCGAGCCCTTGCAGGTAGGATCGCACATGTGCATTGTGGGATCGTACCCGAGGTTGTTGGTGTGCGCGAGCGTCAATGTGTTTAAAACCTCAAGAAGATGCACAGGATAGATGTTGATGGGGCGTGAAATGATCAGACCTGAGCAGTCAAAGTAGTGAAGGCGAAGCTGCCTATTGGCGATGGTGATAATCAAAACGAACTGGCACCAGGGTTGCTCTCGCATCAACAGGTACCCTTTGGTGCCGCTGCCACAGTACAAAGGTATGGATATGTCGAGTTTGCTATCTGTGTGCTCCACACATGTGATTATGTTGCACCATTGCAATGAGAGGTTGCGTAGATTGCAATCTACCAGAATGATATCTGGCTTCTGGGCGGTGGTGTTGTCCGGGACGGGAGTATTACAGAATTGGGAGGACCATATACGCTTCGGCAGGCTACTGATAACGTCCATGGCATGAAAGGGGAATGCAGCTGAGGGTTTCGGGAACGTGTCCTTGTATATCGCGTACATGGCAGCTTGCACGACATTGAACAGCAGGGTCCACTTGCCCTCTGTCGTCGCCGATGCCCGAAGCCGCTTCTTGTTGGGGTTCTTGTCGTCATATCCTTTAGCACCGAAACTCTTGTCAGTTTCAGGCGATGTGAATGACGAATCTGACACCTCCAATTCTGTGTCGGTCAATGCAGCTGACATGCTCATCTGTGCGCGTGGTTGTGTCCACGCCCTCCCTGCCTTTTGTCCCTGTCCCTTCTGTATCTGTGCCTTCTGCTTCTTCTGCTTCCTGGAGTCTACCAATGTCCTCGGCTGGACATTCCTCTCATCAAACAGCCATTGTGCTGCGCCACGGCGGGCAGCAGGTTGAAAGATAGGCCCTTTCTGAACCCTCTTCCCTCCTGGCCCGGCCTTGAAATAGTGGATTTTGGTGAGAGACGTTACAGCGAAATCGGACTGTAAGATAAGGGTGTCCATGATGGACTCGGCATCTATGGGGAGTGATTTTTCTTCCCACATAACTGTACCTTTGAATTCTTCCTCCAAGAGCCTATCCATGACATTCTTGTTCCGAGGTTCAGGGAGTGCATTGGAGGTAGAGACCGATGCATAGAGGCATTTGCGATAAGAAGTTGTACTCACTGGTTGTGGCAGTGGCATCATGGGAGTGGTTGGTGTAGTCAAGTGGAGTCATTGAAATGGTTGAGAACATCTCACTAATTTTGGAAACACTTCTGTATACCATGTAAGGTAGCGTCATGCCATGAGCGACCTCGTTGAACAATGTCAAATTGACTACACATAATTGAGTCATCTTGTATTCGTTTACACCTTTTGCACGTATTTATGTAAAGATTATATCCCACACACCAAATCGGACACGAATAATGGTATATTTTCTTGATCACTCGAAAGTTACATGTCGCGTACCAACATAGTCAAAAGGGAACATAATGGTCCAAGCAAGAGCGTGAAATAACGAGAACGGAGGCACCATAAAGACAAGGAATTTCATGTGTCAAAAGTCCAGATGCTGACAACGGCGGCACTATGAGGGAACTTGGGTAAGGTAATCAAAATGAAGATGGTCCAGGCTGGACGTTTGGAGAGCGTTCACACATCATCGAGTTGCCATCACGATTGTCATCAGTATGGGTTGCATGGTGGTCTTCGAACGGATACATTCGTGGCGCCAGAGCTTCGCGTGAGTAGTCGCCAAATTCACCATCATGAACCATCTGCTGTGTGTCTGGATACCTCCTCCATTGACCGTACCGATCACGGTAGCCCCACGGGCGTAAGGGATTGTTGGAATAAGGAGTGAAACGCTGATGATCGTCAACATCATTCCACGGAGCAAACCCAGAAACATATGATCCATATGCATCATGAACTTCCGGGGGCGTGAGGCCTGGAGCCTCCCTTTGGTTATACGTCACATTCCGTGGCTGCAGATCATCATGGTCCAACAATGGCAGATAAGTGTCACGATGTCGATGAACTTCACGGGAGTAATGATGATGAGGGTGGTCACGAAGATGGAGAAGCTCGCGCGAGTCCAAAGGATCATGAGGGTCGTTCCGCAGAGGATTCTGAGACACCATAGGCCAGGGTGACTGCTGCTCTGCAGTATGTGGACTGGCTGGACCAACCTGGTCAACCACAGTGTTCAAAGGCTCTGTCTGCGATGTATGAGCGAGCACGGATGGGTCATCTGAAGTTGGAGCAACCATTACGGGGCGTGCAGGAGCGTTTACAGCAAGCTCGATAGCGGGATCCTTCTTGTTGGTATCATAAGCACCTTCCGAGTCAACCTCGTGGTACAACTTCCGAGGTGCGTGGCCCTCCACATAGTGAGAACGATTGACGGGGCCGTCCCGGAGCCTCTTAGCAGGTTGAGCTATTTTTAAATAGTCAGATATGTGAGTCCAAGGTTAATTGAAAAGACTAACCTGCCGGTGTGAGCGGCTCATCACTTGAAGATCTAACAGTCAGAGGCAATAATGGCCCACCCCTCGTCTCTCCTTTCTTATCATTTACTGCAGATGGTGCATGCCTCTTCGCTGTTCGAGATGCTGCCGCCAATTTTAACTTCCTCTTTTTGCCCTTACCATTTTCTAGTGGCGCCTCCTTGGAGTCAGAGGTCGAAAAGGAGATTACGTCAAGCATGACAGGCTTGGTGGCCATAACAAATGGATGCAAGGGAGGAGGTGCTGGGTGTGGTGGAGGTTTTGTGACCATGACAAATGGGCGCGAGGAAGGGACCTCATCGTGAGAAGATGGTCTGGCATTGTGACCTATCCGTGCCTTCTTGACCCTTGTCGCTGCAGTGGTAGGCTTAGCCCAGGGTGGTCTGTTAAAGTCCGAGTGACCATCTGCGAACATGTGGCAGGCACCAGGGTGCGGATAGTCAGACGGAGGCGCTTCGCCAACGATAACAGGCACCTCGGAGGCAATGAGAGCGGCTTGAAAAATAATCAGTAGATTATTCGAAGCCCCATCTGTCAGACATACCCTGAAGCTTTGCGGGTACGTTAACGACGACCATTATTCCTGCCTTCAGGGCATCTACAAGTGCAGAGATCTCCTTGTGCATCAGCCCTCCAATGGCCTTGCTCTTCGACATATTGCTATGGTATTCACCCAGTAACAAGCACTTGTGTGCAGGATAACCAGTGATGCGAAGCCAGTCATCGGCGAGGGTGTTCGGCATGAGCTTCCAAGGAAAGTTTTTGTCAGACACGAATTTGCCGCCACAGCACTCTGATGTGATTTCATGAACCTCAGCCAAAGATACAGAGAGACGAAAGCATACCAACTTGTCTGGTGAGCTCGCGCTTCAACCACTTTAGTGCAACCTCTCGCCCTTCTACAATTTGAACGTCCGAGGTGTCATCCCTCAACGATGATTCTATACCCTGGTTGTCATCGTCAACATTGAAGGATGCTTCGACTGCTGATAACGAGGCAGTGTTACTAACAAGCCAGATCAAAAAGCGAAGGCCATAATTTGACAACAAACACTTACAATACATGGGCTTTGATGTGAGCGATGATTGTGTTGTCGTTGGCATGACATCGTGTCTCAAAAAACTATTAAATGAGTAAGCGCCTGATGAATGTCATGACGTAAATCGCCTTACCCCTCCAGCACCGGGTGTGGTGTGTACATGACCGAGTGATGCATCTTGGTTCACTATTTTTCCACACAGCACGACAGCGGCCTCAAAACCGAATCTGGCGGCCAAGGAATCTAACTGAAAAAATTTAGCGAGTAATGTGTCCGAAATGAAACACCTTACTATGCCTGTCATTTTTTTACAGAGCCTCTGGAACGATTGTCCACATTGAGAGACGGTTTGGGTAGCAGCACCTAGCACAGCAGCTTCATCAAAAATGTCGAGAATATCCTGGTACACATCTGGGAAGGTGTCCTTGAATTTTTCATAGCAACGTGTTCGCAGCCTCGTGCCTGTATAAAAAGTCAGAATAAAATGAATATCATCAACTATATTTAATACTCACTCGGTGTGCCCTGCATATCTGGCCTACAAACCTCTTTTCCTTTTCCTTTTCCTTTTCCTTTTCCTTTTCCTTTTCCTTTTCCTTTTCCTTTTCCTTTTCCTTTTCCTTTTCCTTTTCCTTTTCCTTTTCCTTTTCCTTTTCCTTTTCCTTTTCCTTTTCCTTTTCCTTTTCCTTTGGCGTTGTTCTCATTGAAGTAATTCGCGTATATGTTCCAGTAATTAATACCATGAACTGCTCGCCCACAACTCTTGAGAAACATATTAGTGAGCTGTTGAAGCAGATATGTAGTCCACAGAGATAAATCATCGAAAGCACGTTCAATCCCTGCAAAACCTTCTTCCAAAAGTGTGTTCATCTCCAACGACCTCCGTCCCATCAGGGATGATTTCTGCGAATTTGTGTTATCATCAAACACACTTTCTTCTTGGAAACGCGAATGACTAGACCCATCATCAGGGTAGTAGCTGAGGTCAAGCTGGGGAATGGCTGCTTTCGGAGCAGACTGATCAATGCCGCCATGGACATCTTTGGACGGTGTTGGAGGTATTACATACAGGGGAGGTATGAGTCGGGACGCGTCACATAGGGTCGGATTGTGGGAGCGGGATGGCAAATTTTCGACACCATTGGCCATGGAATCAAAGGGGTGGGGTTTATTTGGGCCTATCCAGGCGGGCTGCGCATTCATGCTATGACCATAAAACATGTCTTGAATCTGTGCAGGTTCTTGCGAATTGCGATCACCTCCTGAGGGAGAGGAATGCTGCTCATTCAGAGCAGAGAGGGTGAGTGATGCTGTGTCGCGGTCGCTGGCCAGATGAGAAGGAAGTCACAGAATAGGTTCACCAAGATAGGGCGAACCTTGACGACTGCATGGAAGTGGCATCAGCAGAGATGACGTGTCGATGCTTGTGGGACCGTCGTCGAGAAAAGAGCTAGAAGTCGCAGCTCCTGATAGGGGAGGAGAGTGTCCTGAGGGGACAGGAGAGTGTCTTGAAGGTTGCTGATGGGCTCGGCGAATAGATGCCTCCTTCACAATACCAGCATCCCGTGAAGTAGCTCTGATTCTACTCCTGAGCCTTGTGGGGGTCAACTCAGGAGGTGATGATTGGCGGCGCCCTCCTCCCAATTGCTCATGGACATATTCAAGGCTAGAGAGGGGTACAGCAAGCGACGAGTCCATGGAGATGGGAGGCAGACATGCCTGATTTGTGGATGCAGCAAAGCGGTCTGCCTTAAATTGCGTCATGGCGACTTTGCATTTGATGTGAGCCAGGAAATAATCCTAAGGGAAACAAACTCATGCAGGGTACAGAATGTAGACAAATTCAAAGAGCAAGTGGTCTGGGTACCCTAGTTGCAAGGAAGGCCTCAGCATCGAAAATACGAAGGATAAACGAGGGGCAGAACTTACAGCAAAGTACAACGCGAGCGATAGGTACTCAATCAACAAAAGACCTTATATGATGTTTGAGCCGGCAATGAACGGTACAAAAAAAAGACTGACAGGTATAAATTGAACACAATGTCAACAAAGTGTTCTCGGTATGTTGTGAGAGGCAACAGAGCCTGCGCAGACCAGCGTTGGCTACAGAGATGTTCAGAGGGAGAAATGAGGGTGTAAGCACTGAAAAATAGGTAGGAAACTGCACGGTACTTATTCAAAATTTGAACCTCCGCGAGTAATGCACTTTGACGCATGATGTCCGGAAGAAAATGCCAAAGATATTTTGATATCTAGTGAAATATTAGGAACATAGAATAAAGATGTGAGACAGAGGCTCAGGAGGCAGTGGGGAATTGAAACCCCCTAAAATTAGTTTGACTCGGAGGACCAATGAGGCTAGACATATAACTGGTACTGAGTTCAAAATTAAATTAAATTAAAGAAACAACTTAGCATATGTAGACGGGCAGTAGAATAAGCCAGAAGAGCTGGGGAATCCCCAGAACAGCGTCAACAAACAGACGAAAGTTACGCACCAATTGAGTGGCCTCAGTTTTATGTTTCTAGTGTGAATAATTAATACGTCAGTGCACGGGGACCGGCGTCTCACCTCGCGCTGATCTGATGCCAGACCGGCCATTGTAGAGACACCCTCGGTTATGGAGGGGGCAGTATATCAGGGCCCACCATGATGTTGATAGTGTGTGGCTGAAGCTGGATGAAGTCCTTGAGGAGGCTAGTGCATCGCAAGAACCGGCTGAGATCAATATATGGATAGCCCTTGGTGCCTTGGTGCTGTTGCAGACAGTGAAAAAGCATGAGAAACAGTGACGAACAGCAGTGTTCATACTCCGCTTGGAGGTGCCGATGGTCTTGCCGTGGCCTAGACTTTGGCTGTAGTAGTGTTTTCTAGAGCCTCCAGCAAGCCTTCAGCAAGCCTCCAGCCTCCAAAAAGACAGGTGTAAGCCAATGAGGTCAAGGACAAACATGATACTAAGTTGGAAAGACAAACTGGCAGGTGTTCGCTGCCCACAATCCCATCTGAACTGGTCTCATAGATTCCAATAGCACGCCCCATCCCACTAGTACCAATTTTTGGACGAGAACTATGGGTTCGATGAGGTTCGAATGGCTGCACTACATTCGACGTGTACAAAAGGAATATAGCAGTGCGAACTCAACACTAATTTTGGTCTTACTTGTACTAACATTGTCACGATTGTTCTACCTGTCCCCACCATGGGCCACAGAGCAAAGTATTTGACATTAGAGGCGAAGTTGACAGCTGCAAAGTGTCACAAAGCATCTTATTGTCAGTCAGAACGGCAAGTATTCCAGCTGTGAATATTCTGCGCATTGATGTCATGATTGACCTGTTTTCCACAGAGGTAAATTACTCGCAAAGCTCAGAACGCCCGTGCCTACGTCAAGCACCGTGGACGACGCGGACCTTGTACAACCATTAGCGAGCCGCCTGACTCTCTGACATCCTCCCTCCTTCAATTCGCGACTCTTCCTCTTCCTGACTCCTACCTCTTTCACCAATCCTGTGCTGGTTCCGACTTAATTGACGAATCTGATCTCTCACAGTGGGACCAACCCCCTCCTTATGATCATCCAGTTCCACCTGACTCGCCAGAGGAAGCGCGATTCACGGAGAACCTTGTCGATGTGATGCATGGACGGTACTTGCGCATCCAAAGGGAGTCTCGCACTCATCGCGCTGACATGTATAAGGCGGGAGAAACTTCCAGGATTCTTATGGAGATTCGAGAGGCGGAGAAGGGGTTGGTTGCAGCCTGGGACGGGCTTCGTGTTCGTGTCGCCAACTTGCATGAATGCTCAAGACATAAGCTTGTGGCCAATTGTGACCTGCAGGGGGTAGCGAGAGCGATCTTGGATTACCGACGAGAGGAGGATTGGTTAGCTACTGGCAAGAATCCATATGTATGATGGCCGGTATAATATATATTCAAGACATTTGTTGGACATCCAATGGTAGAGAAAGTACGAGCATGCTAAGATAATGACGCAGATCACCAATGTCAGCCTCGCGTACTCCCATGACATGCCGCCCACGAAGCACAGCAACGATTGCAGCTAAAACCCAGACGCCACAGTCATAGCTGTTGGTTTGAAGAGGTTGTATCTATATGACATGAGACCGGTCCGACTCATCGGGCGAAGAGACTTACATTGAGTGGTCGAGCCACCCACCCTTCGAGGTCGACGGGAAAGTGATGGTGATGTTTGCGTGCCAGTAGAATGAGCCGACCAACCAATTTCATTATGTCCTTCTTGTAATTAATTTTGTTATTCGGATGTTGATAACAAGAACATACCTTTACATCATGTTTCCAAGGTTTTTGATCCCCAAGGCTATCAAAGAGGTGAAACTCCTTAGAGGGCAGGTAGATCGCACAAAATACCCAATGTCCAACGTGGGAGGGTCGATGTATAGGAAGGACCCATATGTCTCTCTCCCAGTACTGCGTCTATGAACATTGACGCCAGATGACTTCATCAGGCGCATTGTATCGGATACGTGGAAGGTCTTGAGTGGAGAGTATTGCGCAAGAGACGTTGGGAACCTTGAGCTCGGAGTAGAGTAGTGCAGCGCAACTGTTTATGCAAATGTCATTGAGACACGCTGCGGGGGAACAGAGAATGGCAATGTCTTTGGGTTCAAAAATCTGATGGGGAAATCCGTCGCAAGGAGGTCGGACTCGTGCCGTAAAGGTGCCAGGCACAACAATGTTCGATTTGCGAGCTGGAACATTGTAGTCATTGATTAGAAGATTCTGTAAGAACAGAATGGGTCACGAAAGCTAGATTTAATTTAAGCAAGGGACTTTTACCTCAGACCCATCTGGCTGGAGAAAATTCACGTCAACATTGTGGCCAAAATTTGTGGTGTCGTTGGCGTCGTCATGATCTAAGGGTCCCATATCACCCTCCAGTAGGTCTGCGAGGGCGGCTTGGTCTGAGTCGACATGCAGTACTTCATCAGTAAATGTTCGATCATCATCACCCTCTAAGTCCGAAGATTCCAACGTGGTAGTATGGATCGAGGCAATGCTAGGATGCCGAGAGTCACCAGAAATGCCAAGAACAGTTTGTTGTGCTTTGTTCACTTGCACGGCGAACTGTGCCGAAGATGCTAGCGGGTTTGTCCAGCGTGATTGGGTCTGAAGGAAGTTGCTCTGGTGCTGTTGCAGGGCAGCTGTGAAATCTCAATCAGTAAATAACTTAAATGCCATAAATTAATACGTACTTCCCGAAGATCGAATAGCGAGTTCGAGTGCAGCCAACTCTGCTCCGAAAAAACGGCACAAGTTATCTGCCTCAGTGCGAAGTCGCAGCCATTCTTCTTGGCAGCGATCACGCTTGAGAAGCGCGCGTATGCCATCCCTTACCTCAGAATCCTCCAACCACCGTGGTACCTCACCAACTGAAGGGGTTATCCACACATCCTCCATTAGTGTGGGATCAGCGCGCAAGTCTGCAAGCTTCGTTGGAAGAGGTGATGGTAACGGAATGCCGGAAGATACGTCGTAATGAGATTCCAACTGCTCGCAATATGAATTGAACTTTCTGATGGCGGTCATAAGGGCAGGCTGTCGTTTGGCTATGGCCTTCCTCGTCTGCTGGTGAAGCTTGGTTCCTGAGAGAAGTCCGTTATGTCAAATACAACGCGAAGAGTGAACAATTACCTAAGGCTTGTTGAGCGCCGCCTACTGCCCAATCGAGCTTGTCCCATTCGAAGAAACTGGCAATCGCCCGCTTGCGTATGTTCATCTTGAGGTTGCGAGCTGTCAGCAATATTCAAACAAACTCTAGATCGATGCCCTGGAGCTCAGGAAACCTGTCGTGAATGTTAAGCGACGCGTAGAGTGTTTCCACCTTGGTTATCAAGCGGTCATGTCCGTTGGTAAGACTCTCAAGAGCTTGTATTGTGTCGTCAGATGCCGACTCTTTGCCCAAAATGGATTTAGCGGCCTGGAGTGCCTTGTGTGAGGTGTCGAGGTCAGTTTGTAAAGAGAGGACAATGTCCAACTCTTTTTTAAGTCGAGCAGGTGCATCTGGAACAAGGAATTAACGAGCACCAACGTGAGACGTGAATATGCTTACGAGCGCAGATGGACAGTTGCGATTTCTGTTGATGGAGCCATTGCGACCACAGTTCTTCGATAGGGATTCAACATTTAGTGAGGGTTTCTTGCGCCACCGCTCCTTGATCCTTGATACCACGCCTTAGACGACGCTTGATCCAATCACCAAGGTCGATGCGCATCTCCTGTCCGATTGCAGCTGCCTGACAATCAAGCAGCCATAGCCGACGTTGGCGCTAGAATGAATTTAATAATAGATACATAGAGAAATGAAGAAATGACGACACACCAAAGACGACCTTTCGACACCGATTAACCGAACAAACCGCGACCACAGTCTTTCTGTACCTTCTCCGTCAGACAAGCCGAGGCCAACACACATCCTCGGATTGTATACCAACTGGCACACCCACTCGTGCCCGTAGGCGTGCATGGCTGTGGTAGCGAAACGGAGACGGTTGGTCACATCTTCAGGAAGTATCTCATGCTATTAATATGATTTAGTAATAAATATCAAAATAAATATCATATTTACCTTAGAAAGCGATCGCGCGAGAACGCACCCAATGTCGTATAGTAGAGTAACAGTAGCCTGGGGAGGCAGTAACGAAAACAAGTGTTGGAGAAGCGCTGTCTTGTTACTTGAGGGTCTTATATAGAAGCGTGTAAAAATGCAGTGACAATCACAACTACACTTTCATAAGACTAAAAGTTGCCAGCTCCTCAAGTCCACGGTCAACGGATTTTTGTTACTTCTCGGTTGATAACGTGTCGTTCGTGGGTGGTCAAAGAGTAAACAAGTTACCTCTATTTGTTTGAAGAAACTATATAGAAATGCAACTGTGGATTTGTCGTGGATAGAAATATGATAGGTATGTTTCACCCTAGTAGGTCGTGTTTCAACCTATGAAAGTCTGTTTCAACTTTGTCGTGTTCTCCTGTTTCGTGTCTCTCTAAGCCGTAAAAGAGAGAGGTAATCGTTAAGTATACGTGGAGCTTAGCTCAATAAGAATAGTAATAGCGAGCAACCTAGTTAATCGTATAACTAGCAGTTACTTTGTTGAAATGATACTTGCACCCTCACTATGTCTTGCCTTAATCTCACTCTCAAATAGTGGGATAGGTTTAGAGTGGAAGTTTGAACTTAAATTCGTACTTCACCGGCACTTTGACTATGTCTTGCCTTAATCTCACTCTCCAAATAGTGGGATAGGTTTAAAGTGGGAAGTTTCAATGTCTTCTAGGCACCAATGGCCTGCACTTATGTGTAAAGTGGGAAGCTATATTCACAGGGTGTAAAATGGGCTCCTTTTATACCTTTTTGGAGGCCAGATTACTAAGCATGATTCATCACATGGATTGGTAAGAATGTGCTTACAAACCATACCATTTGGTGTGCTGAGTCAGCTTGTTTACTAAATACATTATAAATACAGTGCTATCTTACAAAGCATGATAAATCAAAGGTATGAGTCATCTCATGGATTGGTAAGATTGTGCTTACAAACCAAGCCTTTTGGTGAGCTGAGTCATCCTGTTTACTAAGAAGATTATAAATACAGTGAAATCTTACAAAGCATGATCAGTCAAAGGCATGAGTCATCTCATGGATTGGTAAGATTGTGCTTACAAACCAAGCCTTTTGGTGAGCTGAGTCATCCTGGTTACTAAGAAGATTATAAATACAGTTGCAAGTCTTACAAACCATGACGAATCAATGAGCAAAACATGATGAGTCAGGCTGAATCCTTACAAATCACCTTATTTCCCAGTCACATGACCTGATTACAAACATGATCAGTCAGCTAGTGAGAAAGTCTGATGAATAAGCCAAGAAAAATAGAAAGAAATGGAAGGTCACAGAACAAAATAGAAATACATAGAAATCCCCGTGTATGATACGAGAAATGAAACACGAGAAATGAGGCTTCAGAAAACAGACTGATGAATCAATGGAAAATGATAGAATCACTTGGTGATATGGTAGAGTACACTTCATTATACCTTCCTTATCTTTTGTATAGCACACATGTCATGGTATGAACTGCATACCATGCATGACATCCACCCGGCACAAGAAATTACAACTGTCCCCAGTTGTGTGCGTAGTAGATTTTTTAACTGAAGAGGTCGAAAAAATTTCGATGAAATTTGAACATCATGGACATAAATTTTGATATGTGGTCTTTGCCGTTGACGGTGCAATGGTTTAATAATCCGAAGAGAGGGAAGAATGATCGCTATCTGATGACGATAAATTTTCCTCAGAGTGTTGAGCGTCGACAAGGGTATCAGCAATTTCGCGTAAGGCAGGATCACTTCGGCTGACATACGGAATCAATCTAAAGGCAGCTACACCACGTCTAGACAGAGTTCCATTCATTTCTCAGTAAAATGTAAGATCCTCCTTTGGTTTGTCTCTCAACAAGCAAAGGGTCCTAAGTATCTTGGTTTGGTTTTGCTGATTCAATTCTTTCTCAACTTGAGTGTTTCGGACAAGGACAAGATCACCAGGATGGAATGATTTCTTATGCATCCTGAGGTGATATTTTTGTTCAAACTGAAGCTTAGACTTAAATCTAGCCTTCTTTCAAGGTCTTTGCTGCACGTCTCAAGTCTTCAGTTCTTCTTTCGATTTGGCGTATTCGTAATGCGAGGAAATCAACGGAGTTCATATTCGCGTGAAATCCATCAACAAGAAATGTAGTCTCAGTAAGATCGAAAAGGTAAGACAGGATGTACTCCATGAAGGAGGTAAAATGGTGAGAATCCAGTTGCACGACTGGTCGTAATGTTTTCAGCAAAGAGTGCCCGAGGAACCTTCTCAGGCCAACGTGAGATGTGTTTTCCACAACTTTTTACTATTGCTTCTCTGATATTGAAGTGTCCACGTTCAACTACCCCATTGGCTTGTGAATTGTAGGGTGAGATTTGAATATGTGGAATGTCCACTTGTTCGAGTAACTGTTGGAATGCTCCCTTAACTTCAGGGCCATTATCTGTGACAATCTGTCCAATCGCACCATATCGGCAATACAAGTCTTCCCAGAAGAACTTGGCCATAGCTTTGGCGGACGCAGATCATAGTGCTCTTCCTTCTACAAATCGTGAGAGATCATCACGAGCTAACACTAGATGCTTCATACCATTTCCAGTAGGCATCTTGAGTATGTCGATATAGGTCTTTGTGAAAATTGTAGCAGGTGTAGAGACGGTGATAGGAATGTGCATTTTTTTAACGGTTCGAATTTGACAGTCATGACAAGACTGCACGTGATGCTTGACGTCGGTATACATGTGAGGCCAGAAAAATCTGTAACGTACGGTTTCAAAGGTTGATTGAATTCCTTTGTGGCCTAATTCTTCGTGTGCACCCATGAGTATAGAAATTCGTTTCTCAGGGTCGAAAATGACAAGTAAAGGTGGTCTGTCAAGTAGGCGTTTATACATTTTGCCATTCTGAACGAAAAACCTAGTGGTTCGCTTGACAAATTTTCTTCGTTTTGCAGTACTCTCGAAGCTTGGTGCTTCCAATGTGGTGAGGAATTTAAAAATGTCAGTCAAAGTCTGCTCATGATCAGCAGCTGACAAGTATACAGATGGTAGTGTGCTTTCACTATATGATTTGGTGGAAGAACTTGTGATAGATGACAATAAAACGATCTCATCTAACCAAGAATTGTCTTCGGGTGTGATTTCTTCCTCTGAACCAAGAGGGCATCGAGATAGGCTGTCTGGTCCTTTAAAATTGGTAGCAGGTACGTGATGAAGTGTAAAATCGAATAGTAGGATTCCTTGAATCCATCTGTTAATTGTGGCATTGGGTTGAAGATCGGGCTCATTTAGCATGCCCTTAATATATTTTGCATCAACTTCAACATGAAGATTTTGTACTCCAATGATGTGGAGTCGATAGTGACGTAATGCACGGAAAAGACCATAGAGCTCCAGCTTAGGTTGGGAATAACGTGACTCTGCTTCTCCCATAGGTAGAGAACCATAGCGTGCTGGACGTCTTTTTCCATTATCATCGATTTGTGACAAGATGATTCCCACAGCTATGAAGCTGGAATCAACAGAAAGGTAAACAGGGTTTGAAGAGGTGTAGTCAATACTTCTCATGGCAGGTGCTGAACATACACGTTCCTTCAAGGTTTCAAATGCTTCGTTTTGTTTCTCCCCCCAAATGGAAGGGGTGTCTTTTTTCCAGAGCTGAGTAATAGACTTTGCTAGCTCGGAAAATCCTAGTATCCAAATACGAACAGTTCCACAAAGGCCCATAAATCCTCAAGCTTCCTTGACTGTGGAAGGGATTGGCCAGTTAAGAATTTTCGATATTTTCTCAGTATCAGGTAGTCTTCCTTCTGGTGTGCACCTTTGTCCAACGATAAGCACACTAGGAAGGCATAGTTGAATTTTTGTAGCGGAAAATGTTGCACCTACGTCTTTGATACGGTGCATTACTCGGTGAACATCGTTTGCGTGTTCCCAAATAAATTGTCTAATCCCTGGGTTTTCTTTTAAGACCGTGGGATTTCCTTCATTGTCTGGGTAGATGGTCTTTGGTCCTTTGACAGGAAGATCATCAATAAAAACATTGGCTACTTTAGGGATTTCGTCCTGCAGAACAAAGCTCGTACATTTCTGAAATTCTGCAGGCGCGTTCGTATATCCCATTGGTAATGATGTCAATCGGAGCAATCCTAATGGAGTTAGTAAGGCTGTTAAATCTCGGCTATCTGGGTGCATTTTACGTGCATCAAATCCCCAGAATACATCAAACACGGTGTAACACTGAGCTCCAGCAATGATTCTACGAAATCATCCACTATTGGAATGAGACCAGCGTCTCGAATAGAAATTTTGTTTAATGGTTGGAGGTCATGAACTAGTCGGAGTTTACCATTTTTCTTAAGTACACAGAACCATCGTGAGCGGTAAGCAGATTGGCTTGGTTCGTATACTCCTGCATTGATTTTGGACTTGAGTAGTTCAATAACTTTCTGACGTATCCCAGGCGGGATCGGAATATTCTTGTATTCCCAAGGCACGTGTGGAACGGTGGGAATAATATACGGAGTGAAGTATGATTCCTTGAGGGTCCCCCTGTCGGTTTCCTCGAAGGCGAGTGTTTCTTGGTTTAAGAGCATAACGTGTTGAAAAAGCTTTCTCCTCCTCAGGCCAAAGAAATCCTTGTGAGTTTAATTTTAGACTTTGAAGTCTTTCTTGGGTTAAGTGATCACTAGGAATGAAATTGGGAGGATATGGAGTCAAATGAACTAGATTTCATAGAGGGTCGTGTGGAAAATGACGATCCACGCGAGCTTCCTGAGGAAAAGTACCAGACACGGGCTTCACTTTCTTGTCAACTCGTTTATACATAGTAAGCACGGGGTTTTCCTCAGGTAGACAATCGGTTTCCGTTGTGATGATAAGATCAGACTCGCTGTCCGAGTCATCTTCGGTTTCTTGATAACAAGAATTTTGTGAATCCTTAAGTCTTTCGTAGCAATCTGCAATGGTCTCATCCTCCAATACGTCTTGGGGATAGACTAGACATTCAGATGTTGAAACTGTCTCAAAAACATTAGAGACACTAAGACTAAGGTTTTTGTGTTGATTGGGCTTAGAAAAATCAGACAAGTTTTCGGACCGCAAAAGAATCGAATTACGGAACAAGTAACTCGTATCTAAAGCTATCACTTCTTGACTTTTTTCTCCTATACTTCGTAGCTTACAAAGCGAACATGGAAGCCTGCATTGTGGGTTTTGTATAAGAACAAACAAACACAAACTCATGAGGCAAAGCATGAAAAGGGAAAATAAGAAAATGATGGCAATATAAATACATAGCTTCGAAACAATGGAAACGAGGGTCCATGTTTTTGTTGATAAGTTGATTTTGACGAGAATGAGTAGAAGTCAATAAGGAAATTTACACGATGGAAGAAAAAACGAGCTTGAGGCCAGAAAAATCAATAAGGCAAAAAACGAGGCTTGAAAATCACTAGAGTTCGAAATGAGTAATGAAAATGGTATAGAATTGAAAAAGTTCACCTCTAGAACACTAGAGAAAAAACTTCTTCGGCTTCGGCTGCTCATCCTCGTCCTCTTCGTCAATGTCCGAGAGAACATACCCTTCGAACATTTCGGACTGAAAAGGGGAGGTAGCCACAATGACAAGTCCAGTTCTCGCGATCCTGAGAACAAGGTCTCGATCGAACGCGAAACGAAGGATGTCACGAATAGTCCCAACATCGAGAAGTCGAGACTCAGTAAGGGCACTAATGGTGTCCTCGTCAGGGAAGGGCATAAGTAGAGTGTCGAGGACTTTCGAGGCCAATTCTGGTTCTCCGTGGGCCTCGGCAATAGCTGCGTATGAGTTAAAATGTTTAGCCTCGCTCACAGAAAAAAACGGGTTAACGTCGTCATAGCGCCCGGAGTAGGTAGAATTAGTTAAACCCCCCTGCACGTGAAGGGAGTTGTCACATTTAATGGTGCCGGCGCGCGTAGATGCTTCTGCGAGCATACAAGTCGAAAGGATGGTTTCAACGAGATGGATAAGGTGTCGAGTGTGGGCACGATGATCAGTGATTTTGTGGACGCGTTCTTGCCACGTTCGGCCCGAACAAGGTCCACCGGTGGGGAGTTTCTGTCCCCCAGAGATAACAGGGTGTCCAGGGTAAGTGCCGTCGTGGAAGAGATGAACGTTCCAGTCATTCGCGATGAGTTCGTCCTGGCAAAAACAATAGGACTCGATGGCGTGAATCACATTGGGGATGTAGACGGAGTGATAATCATTATATCTAGAGGGTTCTGTTAGTAAATAACCCTCAGCGTCGGACTTAGTTAGTCCGTCAAACGAGATAGTGGTCTTTCCGTCCGCACGAGAAAAACCACGGTAAGGGATAGTACCGCTAGTAGGTACTTGCGCTGGCTCAGAGTCGTTGGACATGTGCACGTCGTCATCAGACTTAGCGGCTCTCGAGCCTTTCTTATCAGGCTCACTCGGAGTAGAGCTCGCAAGCTGTGACTCGAAAAAATGGGATGGGAGATAATCATTGATATTCAGTAGGCTAGCTTTGGAATTCGATGGAGTTTGAGGGAATACGCTCGAGGGGTGAGCTGCACTCGAAGTTAAGTATGCGGGAGGCTGTTCGACAGTCATGGGGTGGGCATAGAAGACATCGAACGTATCGTTCGAGTCAGTAGCATCACCCAGCATGGTTTCCTCCTTAGACGTGTCATCGGGCTCGTTGTCATCAGAACGGCCGTCAGAAATGTTAACATTAACATTGTCTTCGGGTCGAGGACCATGTGAGTCTGGGTTCGCGAGGTTAGGGTCCAGTGTAGGAGCGCTAGATTCGTTAGCGTTGTCGCTAAACGCAACGTTCGCGAGCGTCGAGGGTCCTTCACTGTTAACACGAGAGATAGCACAATCGTTAGACACAAGGTTACCCTTGCCATTGGACATGGTGGTAGGCGAAAGGGTCTCAATAGGTGGGATAAGGTTCTGTACCGCTGACGGATCAACAACATCGTCAGCGTGAATAGATGAAGGTAGATTTAAATAATTACCCAAGGTCCTAGTCAGGCTTTTAGTGCCGCTGGACGTGGGATGGGTTTCTGCACTGAAGTGAGTGGTGGGATTGTCCATGGTGTCAACATAGGTGGCCACCACAGAAGGCGAATTGGGCACAGTGATAGTGCCAACATAGGCGTCAGTATGGATAGGTGAGCTGGGAACATCAGTGGTCCCAGTCTTTTTGACAGACACGGAGGGAGTATTAGTAGCCTGAGCGTCAATAGAGATAGGCGTGGTTGGATAAACGTGGGTCCCAGTGTCATGCGGGATGTCAGTGGTAGAGTTGGAAGTAGTCGTGGTCCCAACGTCTTGTGAAAAAGGCGCTAAGGGAGCACCAAAGACGCTGATGGGGTTGGCAGCAGGTTGGAGAAGTCGGGTGGGAGCACCAAAAGGGCCAGCACCGACTTCTGTGACAACAGAAACAGCGGGAGCATGAGCGATCCCGCCAATAGCATCTGCATTGGCATAAATAAATTGTGAGTGGGCTCTGATAAGGGAAGATGCTAAAGACTTACTTGGTCCCTCTCCTTCCCAGCTCCTGTCCTCCACTAACTCTCCTTCTTCCACTGAGTTTCCATCCCAAGGTACCGGCGAATACGACGGGGATGCGGGGTAGGATTCAGTCGGGTCGATAAGTGGGGAAGTGCTAGAGGGTCGAAAAGACAAAGTAAGGGCATCGTCCATAATGGTCGTGGTGAATCGGAAATTGCCGGAGTTCTGCAAAAGGAAGTCGGATAGTTTGGTGCGACTTTGGGTGAACGTGTTGTCCGGCATGTTCCGAGCGTGAGACGAAATGTCTGATGTAATGATGGATGTTGGTTGCCTTGCGCTGATTTTCCCAGACACGAGGCCAATTGGCATTGGGCGCAAAGTCATATCTGGCCCGTTTTTTATAGATGTTTGAATTTCATTTAATCTTAATTGATCTGAGTAAGTCAGAGGGTTACTTAGAAATCTCTGACACATCAAATGCTCGGCTTGGAGCACATTTTTAATTTCCTGAGTAAGATGATTGGAATTTCCCGGGGATGGATTACTAATTTTAATTTCGTCCAAATTCGGTAATTCTTCGATGATCTCATAGAACATGCTAGATTCTCGCAAGTTTCCGATCCATGTAGCCGGTTCAAAATCCCAATTTGGGTCATTCCCATCAGGTGTACACAGTAACTCGTACCTGACCTCCAAATTTAGCGGATCTTTAAATAGCAACCATGTGCCATCTTTCCTCTCATCAATAGACACATAATTACCACGCTGCCATGGTCGGCCTAATAATAAACTGAATGGCACGTGGTCTCCAACAAATAAATTCGCTTGTGTACTAACACCTCCACAGTTTAGTGGCACATTTTGTACAAGTCCGCGTAGTTTGCCTTCGCCGCCGTTCGCGTCATTCATAGATATAGACTTCGCGATGTCGATAGGTCTGTTGATAATGGTTTTCCAAATATGTTTATTCACAATATTTAATTGTGAACCGGTGTCAATAATCGCGTTGATGGCCTGGCCATCACATTGCATGGCTATTTTGATCAATAAACCACGCGTCTTTGTCCACACGGAGTGTGCTTCAATTTTCGTATCATTTCCTAATGGCTTCGGCTTAATCGCGTTAGCCAGAATACCACTAAGTTCTCGGGAAGTTCCGAGGAGTTCTCCTACCTCCAATCGGATTGGTGTCTTAAGAACCGTCTCAAGAATTCGCTCCGGCTTTACTTTAGCCGATATATCTGAGACACGTTGACGCGTTGCACTTCGCCGATCAGGGTTCAAGTTCGGTTTGTAAGTGTTTTCCTTCACTTTGTCATTCTTTTTCATTTCTTCGACGTCATCCATGATGATGTCATCACTATCCCAGTCCTTGTCAATACTTTTGACTCGTCCCTTTACGGTAGGCTGGGCTTGTTGATACTTTGGGACTGGAGTGGGTTCAGCACTCTTAGCTTTAGGTTGGATGGGGTTCCTAGTTGGCGTCTTCTTAGGTACACCCCCCTTTCCCTTGTTTTCATCCTTCCTTAGCGTCTGACCTTGCTTGGGTGGAAACACCTTCTCATAGCGCTCTTTTCGTCCTTGAGTAGAGTTTCGTGTAGTCCTTTCAACTGGATACACGTGGTACTCATCCTCAGAGTCTTCGCTAGTCTCTTGGAGGTAAGTGTTCCTTCCCATTTCACTCTCGTCAGTCTCCGTCTGTGACTCGGTGTCACATTCTTCAATATACGCGGTAGATTTCATATGTTTCACGCTTAGCGCTGACGGTGCATTTTGTTGACTTCGATCATCAATTTTGATGAAGTTAGAGGTAGGTGTTTTGTTCTCTCTGTTGAACGCCTCGACAATAGACTCCTCTGGCATTCTCCTAATTATTCTCCCATCGGGCCTAGCTACTTTGCCTCTCTCAGTTCTGGTGAGCTTACCGTCTGTCACAAGCTTTGTCAGCTGTGGACAGTTGGTCATGCTGTGCCCTGTCTCGCCGCATCCATAGCATTTTCGCTCTTGGAATGGTGTGTCAGGGGTAGAATAAAACCTAGAACCTGGATTGCCTCGGTATTGATAGTCCCCTCGGGTCGAACTAGTTCTGCCATCTGTAGTCGCATTGTTCCTAGCAGTTGTCCGGTTTTGTGAATAGAAAAAGTTGTCTCGCTTTTTAGCTGGTGCAGCTACTAAGTCTTTAATTGTAGGGTCCATCCTAGTTGCTCTGTAGTATAGCAACACATAGTCTGGGTCCTCAAGTGAGATTGAGCTCATTTGCTTGATAAGTCCCTCTATCTCATCTAAAGGTTCCAAGGAATTATTTTCCTTAGGATTAATACCTTTCTGATCTTGATAGGAACTTTTATCTTTCTTAATTCCTTTAGACTTTACTTTCTTAGTCTCTTTCTTCTTCGTATGCTTTCCTTGAGTTTTGGAACTCTTACGAAAAAACTCCTGTTCGGATTCGCTTGATTCCGTGTCTGAGTCTTCATCCGAAGATTCCTCGCTCGATTTTTCATCGTCTGTGTCCGAATCAATATCAGACACTAGTAAATCTGCATCAAACCTGTCTCGATGTAAAAGCTTCTCTGCAGTGATTGCAACTTTGTCAACTGGGAAGGCTAGCGTTAAATCTCTGTCTGGCTCGCTTGCCATAAGTCTGGACTCGATTTTAGTCCGGAGTTTTTTATTGATTCCCTCCCAGAAGTAACTGGCATATTCTTCGCTTGTAATTTTGCTAGCTTGCTGGAGCCAGCCTCCAATGCGGATAAATCCCCTTATGTACTTCTTCCAAGCCGTAAGACTAGAGATTCGCTTATCGCGCATTGTTTTCACATAAGAAATCAGATCCTTTCTCCTATATCGTTTAGTGTCCAGGTCTGCATCATAATACTTCAAAATGTCCGCCTTGAGCTTGCTCCAATCCGGAGTCCTGAAGCTCAATAATCCTTCGACAAATTCTGTGACATGGCGTGACATATACTGTGTGACAGATTCACACTTATCAGAGTCAGAGACTACATTATGATAGTCACATAACTTTTCGAAATGTTTCAGAAATCCTTTAACTTCTGAATAGCTCCCTTTGAATTTAGCCGGTGCCGCTTTGGTACCCGGGTTAGGCATTGTCAACACGGAGAGCGTCGTCATGTTGAAAACCTATACGATATGAACAATAGTAAACGATTTGGTGCTTCGAAGAAAATCCGATGTTTTATCAATTTTGCTCGAAGTCTTGACAATACGGTAGTTTCTTTTGCAAAGCCAAACAAATAAAGCCACCCTCGCGGTTGGGCTCCAGTGATGTCTTGTTACTTGAGGGTCTTATATAGAAGCGTGTAAAAATGCAGTGACAATCACAACTACACTTTCATAAGACTAAAAGTTGCCAGCTCCTCAAGTCCACGGTCAACGGATTTTTGTTACTTCTCGGTTGATAATGTGTCGTTCGTGGGTGGTCAAAGAGTAAACAAGTTACCTCTATTTGTTTGAAGAAACTATATAGAAATGCAACTGTGGATTTGTCGTGGATAGAAATATGATAGGTATGTTTCACCCTAGTAGGTCGTGTTTCAACCTATGAAAGTCTGTTTCAACTTTGTCGTGTTCTCCTGTTTCGTGTCTCTCTAACCGTAAAAGAGAGAGTTATTCGTTAAGTATACGTGGAGCTTAGCTCAATAAAATAGTAATAGCGAGCAACCTAGTTAATCGTATAACTAGCAGTTACTTTGTTGAAATGATACTTGCACCCTCACTATGTCTTGCCTTAATCTCACTCTCAAATAGTGGGATAGGTTTAGAGTGGAAGTTTGACTTAAATTCGTACTTCACCGGCACTTTGACTATGTCTTGCCTTAATCTCACTCTCCAAATAGTGGGATAGGTTTAAAGTGGGAAGTTTCAATGTCTTCTAGGCACCAATGGCCTGCACTTATGTGTAAAGTGGGAAGCTATATTCACAGGGTGTAAAATGGGCTCCTTTTATACCTTTTTGGAGGCCAGATTACTAAGCATGATTCATCACATGGATTGGTAAGAATGTGCTTACAAACCATACCATTTGGTGTGCTGAGTCAGCTTGTTTACTAAATACATTATAAATACAGTGCTATCTTACAAAGCATGATAAATCAAAGGTATGAGTCATCTCATGGATTGGTAAGATTGTGCTTACAAACCAAGCCTTTTGGTGAGCTGAGTCATCCTGTTTACTAAGAAGATTATAAATACAGTGAAATCTTACAAAGCATGATCAGTCAAAGGCATGAGTCATCTCATGGATTGGTAAGATTGTGCTTACAAACCAAGCCTTTTGGTGAGCTGAGTCATCCTGGTTACTAAGAAGATTATAAATACAGTTGCAAGTCTTACAAACCATGACGAATCAATGAGAAAACATGATGAGTCAGGCTGAATCCTTACAAATCACCTTATTTCCCAGTCACATGACCTGATTACAAACATGATCAGTCAGCTAGTGAGAAAGTCTGATGAATAAGCCAAGAAAAATAGAAAGAAATGGAAGGTCACAGAACAAAATAGAAATACATAGAAATCCCCGTGTATGATACGAGAAATGAAACACGAGAAATGAGGCTTCAGAAAACAGACTGATGAATCAATGGAAAATGATAGAATCACTTGGTGATATGGTAGAGTACACTTCATTATACCTTCCTTATCTTTTGTATAGCACACATGTCATGGTATGAACTGCATACCATGCATGACACCGCGTCAGAAGAAGGCGAGGCAGAACAAGTCTGCAGCAACAGCAGCAGCCGCCACTGACTCCCAGGACAACTATGCGTTCGCGTCAATAGATGGTGCGCTTGTGACTGGGGAGAAGGACTCACCTGCAAAGAACCGCACGGCAATCATAGATTCCGGCGCTACCTCCCATTTCTGCCCCAACAGAGCCGACTTCCTCCCATATTTCCCACTCAAACCGCCCCTGGATATAAGAACTGCAGACGGTTCAGTAATCAAGGCCGTAGGACGAGGTGATGTAGAGATAGACTTACCTCTGGGATCCAAGAGGACAAGAGTCACCCTCAAGGACGCACTACACGTGCCAGACATGAGCTACACGCTCGTGGCGACGAACCGGATCGCAGCAGCTGGGCTAGCTGTCCATTTTGAAGGGACGAACTGCAAGATCCTGTCAGTGGGCCCCAAACGGCAAGTCATAGCCGAAATACCGCACGTTGACGGCCTGTACACTGTGGCAGGCCAGCGTGAGCATTGCGCTGCATTGGCCAAGGGAAAAGTCACCCTGGGGGAACTCCATCGTGCGCTGGGACACGTATCGCACTCGGCAGTTAAGTCCGCTGTCGAAAAGGGCTTGGTGGAGGGCGTCGAGTTAGACTCCGCCTCAGAACCAGAGTTCTGCGACGCGTGTGAGAAGGGAAAGGCAGCGAGGCAGCCGTTCCCAAAGGAGTCCAAATGTCGAGCGCAGGCGTATGGCGAATTGATCCATACCGACCTATGGGGACCTGCGCAAACTGTTAGTATAGGTGGGAGCTCATATTACATGAGCTTCACCGATGATTTCTCCCGCGAAACGCACATTCTCTTCCTGAAACACAAGAGTGAGGCCCTTGGAGCTTTCAAACAGTATGAGGCGCGACTCACCAGACAACACGACACCAAGATCAAGACGTTGCGTTCGGACCAGGGAGGAGAATACTTGAGCGCAGAGTTCGACGCGTACTTAGCAGGTCAGGGTATCAAACGAGAACTCACCGTGCACGACTCTCCCCAGCAGAACGGCGTGGCAGAACGCCTCAACAGGACGCTAGTCGAGTTGACACGTGCGATGTTGCTGGCATGCAACGTGCCCAAGTTCCTGTGGACCGCAGCAGTTAGCTACGCAAGCTGGCTGCGGAATCGCTTACCATCGAAGGCCACGCCAGGCCATACCCCATACGACCTAGTCCATGGTCGTCGTCCAAATCTGGCCCAGGCCCACGAGTTTGGCGCCAAGGTGTATGTCCACCTGCAGGACACAGGGAAACTGGAGGCGAGGGCGGAGGAAGCGATCTTCATAGGCGTGGATGAGCAGAGTAAGGGATACCGTGTGTACTGGCCGGGTAAGCGCCGTATTTCTGTAGAACGGAACATTAGTTTCGTGCCCACGACAATAACCGTGGCTGCAGACGTACCGCTCGAGGGGGAGAAGGCTCCAGTGCCACCGACTATCGACCAGCACGTCTCTACACCCACTCCATCTACCCCACCAAAGGTCGACACTCCACTCCCAGAACCAGCTGCCCCCAGAGCGACACGTGTCAGGCCCCCAATAGGGTACTATAAGTCCCTACACCAGGGGGAGTCAGCATCGTTAGCGACCACGGATGACGACGAAGACAACGCTCCACTTACCCAGTGGGCTCTAGCAGCAGCAGAGCCCGAACCGACTCTCCAGCAGGCGTTAAACGGCCCAGACGCAGTAGAATGGCAAGAGGCCATAGACTACGAAATTAGTCAGCTGGAGAAGTTAGGAGCCTGGGAAGTGGTAAACGTACCACGTCATGCTAACGTCATACCCTGCCATTATGTCTTGGCTACCAAATGTGGTCCAAATGGTGAGAAACTCAAGCTGCATGCCAGACTCGTGGCAAACGGCCAGCGTCAGAAACACGGCCTCGACTACTTGGAGACCTTCGCTCCAACGTCCAACATGCCCACCATACGCACCGTTCTCGCCATGGCCGCTCAGAAGGACTGGGAAGTCCACCAAGTCGACATCAAGAGCGCGTACCTGCACGCCGAGATCAAGGAGGACATCTACATGCGACCTCCTCCCGGGTACTTGAAGGATGGAGACGAGGGGAAAGTGTTGAAGTTGAGGAGGTGTCTGTATGGATTGAAGCAGGCGGGATTCGAGTGGTCGGAGGAACTGGCAAGTGTCTTCCTGGAGTTGGGGTTCACGCGTTCGCAGATTGACCAGGCCGTCTACTATATACGCGAGGCCGACAAACACATGGTCGTCACTGTTTCGGTCGACGACATGGCCATCACGTCAAAATACCGGCGTCACATCACCGAGTTCAAGGACCAACTTCGTCAGTACTTCGACATCACCGACTTAGGGGAGCTTGGATGGCTACTAGGCCTCAAAGTTGAACGTTCTCGACCCGACCGTACCATTACCCTCTCCCAGCATGCCTACACCAGCACGATACTCGAACGTTTTCACCTACTCGACGCCAAGAACGTGCTTATTCCCATGGACGCTGGCAGCATGCTGACTATAGAGCAGTGCCCAGCGACCCACACAGCACTCGCAGATATGGAGGACGTACCCTACCAGCGGGGTATCGGGTCCCTCATGTACGCTGCAACTAGCACGAGGCCTGATATCGTGTTCGCCGTCGCCACATTGTCCCAATTCATGTGTAACCCAGGACGGGCGCATTGGGAGGCGGCGAAGCGAACGATGCGCTACCTCAAGGGTACGGCTGACTATGGGATAACATTAGGAGGGACGGATGGAGGATTAGAGGTGTACGTAGATGCTGACTGGGCTTCTCAGCCCCACCACCATTCGATGTCCGGATATGTGATTATGCTCAACGGTGGACCCGTCGCATGGAGCTCATCAGGAAAAGTGTCAAGTGGTCTGAACCACCTGAATGACCTGATTTCAGACTATTCAGGCTCGCAGACAGCATACTGGCGACAGATGAATCAGTCAGCGTCAGGCATGCTCGCGGGAACCAGATCGGACTCAGATAGCTTTCAGACACGACCCAGATGAATCTCAGACCATTCACAGACCCAAAACAGATTCATTGCAGACCATCCGAGTTGCATCACTGATACACGAAACCATTTAGTACTAATACCACCCACAGTTAACAACCATCTAAGTCTTCTATGGGTTGAGGACCATCATCCTCGCCGTCAGAGAGGAGGACCACACCGCGGATATCCATAATGTCATCATCAGAGTAGTAGTCTCCATCGTCAGACCTTGTATCTGTCCCAATCAACTCCGACAATGCCTCCTCGATGGAATCCCACTTGCTCGCAGGCAAACCGCTGGCTTGTTCTGCGTAGCGCATAGTCACAGACCCCCACGCTGTGTCAAAGTCAATATTTTTCGAGTTTTTCCCACCCGCATTGTCGCTGTTGCCGTGGCGTTTCGCTTCCTTCGCTGCCTCCTTGGCAGACTTGCCATCGGTGTATAGGGACAGCGCACGATGATACTGAATAGTATAATTTGTTAGTTCGAGAGATGTAGCTCGGGTGTGAGACTCGGACGTACAGCAGCAGCAGCCAGCCCTAGAGCACCAATCGGCTTTCCGAATACACCAAACGCCTTCCCACAGCGTTTGATGTGACCAGCGACAAGTTCCAGCAGTTCGGGTGACAACCAAGCACCTTTAAAGGCCTTTCAGCAGAAAGACAAGCTGAGTATCAGTTAAAGACTGTAGGAGAGAACGAAAACGCACCTCAATGTCCGCATAAATAAACGGAACACGTTTTTGATTATTGACTTTGCGTGGCAAGTGGTCGCGAACGAATTTGACGCGGGCCTCAAGGTCATGTCGAAACTCGGGATGTTTGAAGTGACGTTTGAGAATTTTGAGAGCATCCTTGCCGAACATGCTGCGCCATTCATTCAAGCGGTCGGTAGCCTGCCAGTGCAAGGTCATGTAGGTTAAATTAGCATCACATGAGTCAGACAAACGCACTATTTTTTTGATAGCTGGGTGTTCATTGATGTCCACAGTGTTATGTTCAAAAAAAACATTCCAGAGTTCTTGCAATTTTGGTGACAACTCAGGATGCTCGTTGGTGCCAAATGGGTCAGTAGTGGTACCAGCCCAGTCTATCACCGCACAAACCTGCCAATGGGTTAGTGGTGGTACGAGGCCAGTCTATCACCGCACAAACCAAGCGGTTCCAAACATCACGATCACTTTTGTCCTGCAAAGGAAGGTCTTCGAGCCTGAGTTTCCGGAGCGGCTTTTGCGGCTTTAACATTTTCACCGCTTTCACTTCTTCCGTCACAGCGTCGTCGGCACCCTTTTTATTGATCTTGAGGCCCATCTGTAAGACGAGTTTTTCGTCAATGTGATGTCGAGAGGTGGGAAATCATACTCCTGCAGTTGTGCGATATCTAGCTGAGGTCTTCACATCTTTGACCTTAGTGCTCTTGTGCTCTCGTGCAGCGGCAATCGTCTCCTCGGGCTCGTCCAAATCAAACTCTCCAACTACCAGGTCACTGCTAGTGTCTGGGGTCGAACGGCTGCCAGCACGGCTTGATGCTCGCGAAGATGGCTGAGATCGCTCCACCTGTGGAATAAGGCTCGTGTCAACTTCGTCTGTGTCAAGTGATTTCAAGTTCCTGCTCGCTGATCCCTTCACTAATAGTCCAACTGTTTTCTGCCAGTCTGGATTTAAATTACTGGCCAACTGAGTGGCCTTCGCACGCTTATGTTGTGGTACCCTGTGAAAAAAATCAGTATATGTCTGGACTTCCAAGCTTTGCGTACCGTTCACTGGCATTGACATCTATTTCACCATTAACGTTCTCATTCTTACACTTTCTCGCCAAACTTCCAGCACTTGCAACAGTCTTTCTATTAGCCGCCACTTCCTGCCTTAACAGCCTCTCTTTTCTCTATATCCGTGATTTGTAAACACCTTCATCAATCTGATTGCAATCACAACTGACCTTATTCCCCTTTGTCTTGTGTGATTTTGCTTTATGAGACTTCCTGCGAGCTTCTGACTCTGAACCGGCACTTTGATCATCACTGGGCAACTCAGAACTAACACTTTCAGAGTGCGCGCTGGATAATTCATACTCGCCGTCAGTGTCTTCGTCTTCGTCATGTTTCTCTGATGCTGTTTGTTAACCTTTGGCTTATCTGTGTAGGGTTCGCGCTCACCCAGGATCTGTTTTTTCTCAGGCAATCCTCTTGGTACATTCGTGCCATAAGCATGATCCTGTCTCCTGAGTAAGCCTTCCATGGCGGCGATTTTTCGTACACCTTCTTGACGAATCTCTGATGCTTTCTCTTCAATTTCAGCTTTTTTCGCTGCAGCTTTTGCGTCATCTGCCTGCTTTTGAGCCGATGTGCGTCGCGGTGGGGCGGCGTCCTTCAGAATCTGAGCAGGGTTTCTGTTAGCGTTGTTGCGGACAGGGCGGGTCATGATTGCGGTTTTCTGGGTGATATGTTTGTGAGTTTTCCAGATTTTTTTTGTTGTGGTCTGTTTCAAACTGGTCTGTGCGCTGCCTCTTCAAACTTATGTTCTCCCTATTTTGTCTGCGCTGATAACTCACACAAACTCACAGATAATGCTCAACCGCCTGCCATGCACATTTCCTGGCTGTCCGCGAACTTTTCAGGGACAACGAGGGCGCACCAAACACATTCGCACTGTGCATGGGACCATATTACCAGTCAATGCCGAGTCGGACCGGGCATCACCACCCAAACTTGAAGACCTGGTTGTATCAGAGTTTGCGGAGGATGGTTTTGAAGGAGGTTTTACCGATTTCGAACCATTCGTTCCAGAGCATCAGCCACGCCGCCAGCCGAATATTATCACTCACCCCCACTTACGAGGTATGTTAGTTGATCTCTGTTGAGATGTGCAAGTCTGACACTACAATACAGGTGACCCTTGTGATGCCAACGGAAATTACCTACCGGCAGGAACCCCCCCTTCACCTCGATTTGCTCAAGCGCCTGATGATTGGTTGCCGTTTACTGACCAGGCTCATTTTTTACTAGCCGACTTTCTGTTCCGTAAAGTTGAAATGTCAGCGCCGAACATCGATTTTTTAATGGAACTTTGGGCATTCAAGGCAGCAAAGTACGAAGAAGACAGTCCTTTCAAATCACACCGCAACGTGTATGCAACCATTGACACCATTCGAGCCGGAGATGTGCCATGGGAGTGCTTCACTGTTTCACCCCAAGAAGACCTTCCTCCCGACGCACCTGTTTGGAAGAAACATGAATACCAAGTCTGGTATCGCGACCCTGACGCCGTCATCACAAATATGCTCGCTAGTGCTGATTTTGACGGGCAATTTGACTATGCTCCGTATATCCAATACGACGAAGATGGTCGGCGCCAATGGAAGAACTTTATGTCTGGCAACTATCCCTGGCACAAATCCGTGTGTCAACATTTTTTTTTCATCATATGCTGTGGCTAATTTGGCTGGATGATTTGAGGACAAAATCCATGCCGAAGACCTTGATTCGTCTGATGGTGCAATGTATTGCGGTATCATCCTCGGGAGTGACAAAACGATGGTCTCAGTTGCCACAGGCCACATTGAATACCATCCATTGTATCTATCTATCGGGAATCCTCACAACTCCATCCGCCATGCCCACCAGAACGCGGTAACTCCAATCGGGTTCCTTGCTATACCTAAATGTAAGTCTAACTCGCTCCATTGATGGTGTGACACTGAACGTGAATTAGCAGAGCGCAAATATGATAATGACATCGAATTTTGAAAATTCAAGCGACAGCTCTTCCACTCCTCACTCGCTGCTATTCTGCAGCCATTGCAACATGGGATGACAACTCCTGTCGTGCGCCGTTGTCCAGATGGTCACTACCGTCGTGTCATTTACGATCTTGGTGCTTTCATTGCTGATTATCCAGAGCAAGTCATGCTCGCTGGTATTGTGCAAAACTGGTGTGCGAAGTCCGTTTTTTTCTTCTTTCGTGGAGTTTCCCCAGCCTAATATTATATGTCCTACCTCAGATGCACTGCGCTTCCTGAAGATCTCGATCATAGCCCCGCCGAACGTCGTACCTGTGAATATACTAACATTCTGGTCGAGAGCCTTACTTCCACCCAACTATGGGATCAATATGGAATCGACGATGACATTGTTGTACGTGATTTCAAGTCAGATATACTATCAAAGATTAACAACTATGCTAGCCCTTCACGAATGATTTTCCTCGTGCGGATATTCACGAGATGCTCGCACCAGATCTTCTCCATCAGGTTATCAAAGGGTGTTTCAAAGACCATTTGGTGACATGGACTTGTGAATACCTTACCGAAACTTATGGTGAGGCTCGAGCAAATGAAATACTCGATGACATTGATCGCCGGTAAGTCTTATGCATCTAAAATCAAATTGATTCTGAGGGAGAGGTTAGGATTGCAGCAGCACCTTCGTTTCCTGGTTTGCGTCGCTTCCCTCATGGACGCCGTTTCAAACAGTGGACGGGGGATGATTCCAAGGCACTTATGAAAGTAAGTCTTGATCAACTACTACGTTACGCAGGCCTTTAACTCTGTCTGTACAGGTGTACATCCCCGCGATTGTTGATTATGTTCCTGCGGAGCTTGTACAATGCATGAGTGCATTTTTACACTTCTGTTACTTGGTCCGGCGCTCTGAGTTGAGTGAAGAGACTTTGCGAGACATCAAATTGGCATTGCAACGATTTCACGAGACACGGGAGATCTTTCGAGACTCAGGTATTCGCCCCAAAGGATTCTCACTACCCCGCCAGCATTCCTTAGTCCACTATCTTCGGCTTATCGAGGAATTCGGAGCTCCCAACGGTCTATGTTCATCAATCACCGAATCTCGTCATATCACAGCTGTCAAGCGACCATGGCGTCGTTCGAACAGGTTCGAGGCTCTTGGACAGATGCTCCTCACCAACCAAAGGTTGGACAAGCTAGCTGCGGCACGAGTACAGCTGGTTGCACGTGGTATGCTGCCTGCAGCTTATTCTCCCCCTTCAATGACGAACTTTCCGACTGGATCACTGGGTGATGAAGACAATGGTGACGGACATGACTTGGATCCTACAGATATTGTGAAGGTCGATAGTTTTACAGTCTTGGCTCGTCGTTCTCGTGAGTGATGTTCTTACAATTGATATGTATATGTCTAATACCTACTCCATCAGAACGAGGCTACCCACGGAATTTACCTGACCTCGCTACTCATATCCATGAGCCAAACTTGGAGCTGCTCACCCGTCACTTTCTGTTCAATCAACTTCACATGGCGGATGACCTGGTTGCTCTTGAGGCAGCCGAGGATGACTTGCCTGTCATCCAGTCCAAGATATCTGTTTTTCACTCAGTGATTGCCACATTTTCGGCCCCTAGTGATGTTTTGGGTACTCATGGGATGCACCGCGAAATCATTCGCTCGACACCATCATGGAGACGACAGTACTCACGACATGATTGTGTGTTTATCGTCGCTGACGAGACGAAGTCCGGAATGAGGGGAATGATTGTTGGCAGGGTCAAGTTGTTCTTTTCCTTCGTGCACAACGGAGTTACCTACCCTTGCGCTCTAGTGGACCGTTTCTCTTGTATGGGTCGAGGGCCAGATACCATCACAGGAATGTGGAAGGTAAAACCAGAGGTGACAGTTATAGGGAGACATCGAATTCGCATCCAGTCCATCGAGCATATTGACACCATTTATCGAGCTGCACACCTCCTCCCCGTCTTTGGTGATGGTGCACTTCCTGTAGACTTTCATTTCGCACATTCTCTTGATGCCTTCAATTCGTACTATGTAAATAAATATGCTGACCATCACGCTAATGAAATTGTGTTTTGACCAGGTCATCTCAGATTGTGTTCAGGCTCGACAGAGTGCACAGGCAAATAGGATTGTCAGGTATCATACATACTAATAGTTTATTAAGCTCGCGGCAAATTTTTCACCTGTTGTGTTTGAAACTCATGTTCAGCATCGCATCGCGCTCTCTCAGCCTTCCAACGTGCATCAACAAGGTCTTGGAGAAAGTCCGCAGGGACGGCAAGGGTTTTGGCCTGAAAATTAGTGGGACTTGGAGATTCTGGTGTTTTTCGTTGTGCGGCAAGTATTGCAAGGTATTCTGGGGCTGTGTAATGTTGCCAAAGGTATGTTAGAGGAAAATTGATGGCTCATACTGTATTCCAAAGGCCCATTGGGATCGGCAGGTATTTTGAGGCGCCGAAATAGACGACTACTAGTGAAAAGGCTGTGTGAGTTTGGCACGAGAAACAGTTGTGTGACTGACCGTTTTTTGATCTGCCGCGCCGGTCCATCCAAATCCAGATTGGTGGTACCTTCCTCTGAGTCGAGAAGATGTGGTTTGACTGGGCTGGGGGGTCCGGAACGAGAACTAGTAGTATGCGATTGTGAGCTCTAATAGTAGCATAATAATGAAAATTTTGCTAGGCTTACCGTTTAACTCCAAAATGTTTGGGTGTTGTAGGGATTGAATCACGAGCACAAGCTTCAAGTGACATTACGGAAAATGTATGGTACACTGGTATGGTATGAGTAAGAGGTATACTACATCTTTTTTTGCTGCTGGTGATTCAAATCTGTCATGCGTGAGAATGAAAAACCTACCAGACGTTCAGGTTATCCAGGCTGCTGCCAGGCCAGTCAGGTGGTGACCAGGTCTTGACAGGCCTTTGCACAATTGCTGATGCTCTCGCAAACAGCCCATTATCGCGCTCTCGACTGCAGAGTCCGAGTATATCGCCTTGACATCTGCTGCCCGCGAGGTGCTTTATTTGCAGCTCCTCCTCGAGGAGCTGTACGGCGAAACGCACACGTCCACCCCCATCTATTGCGATAATCAAGCTGCCATTGCGTTAGCCACTAACAACAAATTCCACGCACGTACGAAGCATATCGACATTCGTTTTCATTTTGTCCGCGCTCACGTCAAGAACGGGACCTTCGAATTGCGCTACTGTCCCACTGACAACAACGTCGCGGATACCTTCACCAAGCCGTTGGCTCGCCCCCGATTCCAGAAGTTGAGACACCCCTGGTTGTAGTATTAGACCTAGTAAAATGGGAACTACCAGTTTTGCCATAGACACTTTTGACGGCAATTACCAACAGCGCAATTTGACCTAATCCATGGTATTTGTCAGGCCCTATTTTGCTGGGTGTTTTGGCTTTCACAGCCGCATTTTTTGAAATTTTGAAACTCAGCTATGTTTTCAGTCACAAATATGTTTTCCACATTTGTCAGATGTTTTGGTATGTTTTATTCCACAATTTTGGCCTCCCAAAGCGGAAATTCACAAAACACATCCTGTTTTGGTCACCTCCTCATGTCAGGCCTCCCCACATTATTCCCACACTCCGCATTTTCGCATTTTTAGCCACCTACTGTGGGAATTACCCCACAACACCCAAAACATCATCCCAATATGGTATACCACATAATTATAATTATTCCCACACCCTCCCCACCTCACTGCAGCTTCACCACTACACCACAATAGGTCCCCCCTTGTATCTAAGTAGTAGTTTGGTATATACATGTATAATATTATATAATAGACCACTTTTTTTGTCAATTTGTGTGCCTGCTCATCATCCAGGGCCTTTTTCAAACAGAGTAGGGTACAGAACATTTTCGCATTTTTGCCCCTTTGATAGGGGGGTGTTCCAGGACATTCAGAACATATTTATGAGCATATATGAGTATATTCCCATCTTTATTTCACCCCCTGAAGTGTCCTACATCAATAGATATAGCACATATGCAAGAAAACACAGAATATGTTCTCATGTGATTATTTCTAGGTGAAGAGCCTTGTAAAAATGATTCCCAGCATCTATTTAACAATAGGAACAATGTATCAGGAGCCCAGGACCATAGGATAATTCCCTGTTGCATGGTGTGCCCCCCCTCTCCTGGTGGTTTACCCCCTGTGAAAGTTTTTCCTGTAGGACCGGACCTCAATTGAGGTAGGGGGTCTATTCTTATGTATATTTGAGGTAAGTCTATCATATAGCTGGCCCAGGACACACATAGGATCCTGCTACAGGAACAAAAACATAGAAAATCGCATTTTTGACACTTTTGATGTTTTTTAGTCCCTTACACTTGCGCAAATGACCAGGCTTGCTCGTTTATGATCAGTAGTACATTCACAAATATGTTTTGTGCCAAGGATCAGCCCTACATGGGGTGGAAATATGATATATGATGTACAGGGGCTTTTTCTACTGATAAGAAGCCTACATAGTAATCAAGCCTGTGATAAGTAATCAAAGACCTTGGATATGTCCTATATATGCCCCTGATGATATATTTGAAGATTTAGAAAGATCCATCAAGGACTGACTGAATGACAAGTAAAACCACATATGTGTGAAAAGTGACAATTGACATCTTTCACACAAAGTTACATTTATATATGATACAGGTCAAATATTTCATTAACAATATGTAGGATACATTGTAGACTACTAAAGGAACATATACTACATACTGCCCTGAGGTTGAAGGGTGGTGGAAGGGATGTGGTGTATATCTGAGTTGACCTAGCATTAAAATGCTACTATTGCTCAACTGACCATTTTCGATGTTTTGGGTCTTTGAACTTTCCCACACTCAATTTCTTATCTATTTCACTTCCTCAGCACTCAATTCTTGTAGGATTGTTCTGTACATTTAGGACTATGATACTGAGTATATTTGAAATCTACTCCAGGCGTCTGATTATTAAATTTCGATGTATTGAAAGTATGGGATCCTTATCAGTAGAAATAGCAAGTATTCACACTAACTCAAACCTCTGGCCTATTTTGAGCTGATCCTTGTCACAAAAAGCAAGTATATATACTATGATAATGATATATGAACAAGTTGTATTATTGATGCAAGTGTAAGGGACTAAAAAACATCAAAAGTGTCAAAAATGCGATTTTCTATGTTTTTGTTCCTGTAGCAGGATCCTATGTATGTCCTGGGCCAGCTATATGATAGACTTACCTCAAATATACATAAGAATAGACCCCCTACCTCAATTGAGGTCCGGTCCTACAGGAAAAATTTTCACAGGGGGTAAACCACCAGGAGAGGGGGGGCACACCATGCAACAGGGAATTATCCTATGGTCCTGGGCTCCTGATACATTGTTCCTATTGTTAAATAGATGCTGGGAATCATTTTTACAAGGCTCTTCACCTAGAAATAATCACATGAGAACATATTCTGTGTTTTCTTGCATATGTGCTATATCTATTGATGTAGGACACTTCAGGGGGTGAAATAAAGATGGGAATATACTCATATATGCTCATAAATATGTTCTGAATGTCCTGGAACACCCCCCTATCAAAGGGGCAAAAATGCGAAAATGTTCTGTACCCTACCCTGTTTGAAAAAGGCCCTGGATGATGAGCAGGCACACAAATTGACAAAAAAAGCGGTCTATTATATAATATTATACATGTATATACCAAACTACTACTTAGATACAAGGGGGGACCTATTGTGGTGTAGTGGTGAAGCTGCAGTGAGGTGGGGAGGGTGTGGGAATAATTATAATTATGTGGTATACCATATTGGGATGATGTTTTGGGTGTTGTGGGGTAATTCCCACAGTAGGTGGCTAAAAATGCGAAAATGCGGAGTGTGGGAATAATGTGGGGAGGCCTGACATGAGGAGGTGACCAAAACAGGATGTGTTTTGTGAATTTCCGCTTTTGGAGGCCAAAATTGTGGAATAAAACATACCAAAACATCTGACAAATGTGGAAAACATATTTGTGACTGAAAACATAGCTGAGTTTCAAAATTTCAAAAAATGCGGCTGTGAAAGCCAAAACACCCAGCAAAATAGGGCCTGACAAATGCCATGGATTAGGTCAAATTGCGCTGCTGGTAATTGCCGTCAAAAGTGTCTATGGTAAGAATGGTAGTTGCCATAATATGTAGGTCTAATACTACAACTACGGCTGGTTGAGAAGCATGATGTCACTCGGCCCCGCTCGAGGGGGAGTGTTGGATCCCGTGGAAACGGAGACGTCGGATGGAGCCACGTAGTACAAGCGCGACTGATTGAGGATCGGACAGGTGACGTCGAGCTAGTGTGCAATGTCTCACCCCGATCCCCCGCAACGCTCATATTAGTATAGCAACGTTTTTAGCTTATAGACTTCGTACTTACCACACGAGCACTTCAGTCCCAATACCAGACTGAAGTGTGAGTACTTGATTACATTCAGATTTATGATAGCGCCCTAACATTTACTAGTAGAATTGTTTTCTATCTACTAGGTACAGTACTATGGACCTAGAGTCCCAATACCAGACTGAAGTTAGAATTGTTTTCTATCTACTAGCGCCCCCTCGCCCGATCCGCTCGCCTCTGATCTTCAGAGAACTCCCCGGGCTTTTCACAGCTGACTGAAGCACAGGCATACCAGTGGCAGATCTGGGTTTCCAAAGTGATACTGATCAGTGAGCTCGAAGCCGATTCCAGCTGATAGAAGCATGATCGTGAAGCACGAAGAAATAATCTGCAACGTCATGGTGAGTGGCTTGCGTGTAATGTTCTGCTTAAAACAGACCAAAGACTTGCCAAAGACCCAAATCCAGGAGCTTCAATAGAAATGCGCGAGCTGGGCAGTGGGCAGCTAGATCATTTATCATTCCCGAATGATATCATCCTCAGGCTGGGTCCTCGCCTTCTCGGAATCTGAATCTATCTGAATCAAGTTGGCACTGCACGTGACTCCATTCGTCCGAGAAAAATGTGCGAGCTACGCCGATCCGAGTTTCTGCAGTTCACCAACGTCACGGTTTAATACCAATTGCGAAGCCTGGTGATAATGATATTCGGTGCCTTGTAAAGGCGTGTACATGTGCTGGCAAGGCCACTGAAGGAACTGGAGGTCTGTCACTTGTCGATTTTCTCTTCGAGTTCTTATTGGTAGCTTCCGCTTTGGCAGGAGAACTTCCGGCTTCTAAGTTCTCACTGAACAGTGAAGTAACTTACATTGTCATGAGACACCGTCGGTCGTGCTCAACTCTGAGAAAAACAGAAGTTGGCAGCGCTATAGATAACGCACCTGATTACATCCGATCAATGTCCAAGGATTAATGTTCGCTGTCACCAACCGGCGTCTCTTCATCGACACACTCCCACCATCTTACGAATTGCTGCTTCCGAGCGCTTAGCATAACAGATAATGTACAGTGTCCTGCCATTCCCAATCTCTGCACTTTATGGGATATATGGGCTCTTCAAGTTACTTCGGGTCCTTTTGACCTTTTTGGTACCTTCGATTCCTGGTGAGTCTCCTTGGCTCTCATTCCTTTGCTTTCCCCAGTCTCAATTCGGTGTCCGTTATCTCATTACGAGCATCTCTCCTATGAATTATGATGGAATGCTCTCCAGAGGCAGTCATAGACCTTCATAGTCTGACTTACTTAGCATTCCATGAACTTCAAGTCTCCCTTTCTTGTCTTGTCGGCTGTGTTTGCGGAGGCTAAAGGGCTCTATCTTGGAACGACAAGGTCCCAATGATGGTATCCATCTTGCCGTTAGCCCCCAATGCGGTCCCCTGTCTGGCACAGTTTCGGACTTCAACGCTGGTCTAAATCTTCCTCAATTTAAGACCATCGTTTCATTCGGCGTTCGTAGTTATTTTCCCCTCAGTGAGGTATCAGCTCACTCATGAATTCACGCAGGACTCATTCACTGATGGTGGAAGGCATGATGGTGGCCCTCTCGAGCCTGCTGTGATGATCCCATCATATCCTCTAGCAGGCGGTCGTTCGACCAACGGACCGGTTTGGGTCGAGGGCATTGCCAGTGACATTGGTGCCAAGGTCATGGATTATGCCGTATGTTCCCCCTCACCATCAGTTCGTATCTTGATGTCTTGCAGTGGTCGAGCGCTGTTACAAACATCAGCTTGTGGCCTAGCAACCCATATCCCCGGGACTTCATCATGCAGAGTGCGCTCTTTCCTCACTTACGACAGAGATTATTTGAATGATCGCATCTCCAGCGACAATATTCATAAACCAATCTAATAAATTGGATCCGGAAACTACCCTGTATACAATCTTCTTTGGAATTAAGTGAGCATTACGCATTACAGTACGCATGCAGTCCCTGATCTAACTCTTTGTATACAGCGATTGGGGAGACTCCTTTGGTACTAGCCTGAAATCATGAAACCAAATCAATGATGACTGATGTGATCTTCCAGTGGACGGAAACCACCTACCACAAGCAGCACAAAATATCCTAGGCCAGATCGCTCTTCTTTCTTCTCCGCCCACTAATGCCCGCAACTTCCTCATCACTGACGCATACGGCCGCGGGCGTCATAACGCATGGGGCGAAGCATGGCTTCAATCAATTTTTGATGGGCTTGCTGTGTTCCGCTCGCAGGATCCCCCTCTGAATGTTGCTTTGGCCAATTTTGCGACGATTTGGGATGGTGTGCTTGGATCTGATCCAGGCTATGAGGCTTTTGGGTATACAAACCCGGGTTCTTGTTTTATCGATGGTAATACGTGCGATGACCCGGAACATTATTTCTATTGGTTTGACGGGTAAGTCCAGTGTAAATGCCATCCCGGACGATATTCGATGGAGTAACCTTTTTCTTAGGCATCCCTCCAAACAGACTCATAGGCTCATGGCGGACTATGTGGAAGAAGTACTGACGCAGTGTCGTGTATAATTTTGTTTGCTGTACTGTTATTGAGTAACATCGGACTTTGAGACGCCAATGTTGCGGGGCCGCATGCTTCACAAGTTCAGTTAAGCCCTGGCCAGGCATCCATATAGGTACTCCATTCGCTTACAACAAAAGCAAAAAGCGACATGCAAGCGGCTAGAGTAGTCCAGCGTCGTTACGTTGGGTATAAGTTACTTTCTGCCTAGCACCCGTCCCTTGCCGGGCGTGCATGTCCCCCATATAATCAAGCAAGGACTCAACCACAGCTACGCTATCAAACGTTTTTACATGAAATCACTCAGCGCTGCCATCTCAGGTCCTCCAGACTCCTTGATACCGATCTCCCAGTCTACAAGACAACCATACATCAGTGCGAATGTTCTCGGGGAACAAAGAGGCACTCACAGCTGTAGATGATCGTAACAGCCATCAGAATACCCGTCCCACTTCCGATAGCGCCCATGAGATCAGCTGCGACAGAAAGCAAACCCAGAATGGCGCCTCCGAGCGCAGCAGCGGTGGGGATGACGCGTTTTAGTTCCTTGTACATGGAACCCTCACGGTGACCAAGCATGACCATCTGTTGCTCCTTGAGCTGTTTCGCAATTTCACGCGGACCACTGCCTGACACCTCGATCCAGGTCTTGGAAAAGAGTGCACATGCCGAAACGATGAAAGTGATATAAAGGAACGTGTGGATGGGGTCGAGGAAAACTTCTTTGAGGGTGTGGGGAGGCGACATGTAGTATGCGAGACCTGCTACAGCGCGGAGCTGAGGAGAGTCTTCTAGAGGCTGTGATACATTTTCAGTACCTGCTAAAGCTAACAAAAAAAGGATAACCGACCTCCCAGACGCCAAGAATCTTGACCAAGATGTTAGAGGGGAAGCGCGTCGCAAGCATTTGCGACACAATGAACACGTTTGATGAAAGTGCGCTCTGGAGCATGATGGGCATGTTGCTAGTGTAGAATAGCTTGACGGGATAGTTGCCACGCTGACCACGGAATCTGTTGCTCTTCACTGGGATCTCAATGCGGAAGCCTTGCATATAGATAACAGCGGCAAATACGAGGACAGTCGCGAGGAGGTTCATGATATTTGGGAGGCTGTCACGCCAGAATGCCTCGCGGAGCGCACGTCCTTTGTCGTTCCACGTAAAGAGGAGGTGGAAGAGCGCGACGATGGCACCTTCGAACTCAGGACCACGGCCGGTGTTGATAGTTGTAGGTGAAAAGGCCTTCCAGATGATGGATTCGCAGATGTTAGTCGCGACGAATAGGGAAATACCCGACCCCAGACCGTAACCTTTCTGGAGAAGTTCGTCAAGGAGAATGACAATGAGGGCGGCGGCAATGAGCTGAATGATGAGCAGAAGGCAAACGCCAGCACCGAGATCGCTTGGTTGTCCGTAAAGACCTGTCAGGACGTAGACTGTAGCCTGCCCAAGCGAGATTATCAAAGCAAATACTGGGCTATCCGTCAGTAAATCTTGAAAAGCGTGCCAGCCGAACGGTTGGTTGAAGAAACACTCACATTTTTGTGCACCGCCGAACAGTGCCCGGTCTTCCTTCAAGGTGAAGTCAACCTCGATCAAATTTGCCCCAGCCAATAATTGCATGATCATTCCGGATGTGACGATAGGACTGATACCAAGCTCCATGAGGGTTCCGCGGTTGGAAGCAAGGATGACGCGCATCCAGTAAAGAGGGTCAGACGAATCGGAAGACATGATGCCATACAGTGGTACTTGAGAGCAGACCAAGAAAATCAGGAGGGTAACGGCGGTCCATAGCAGCTTTTGGTTGAAAGGAACCTAGTAAAAGCGAAAGGAATCTAATGAATTTTCCATGTTGTGAGCTACAAAACGCGTGGAAAACACGTACTTTGCGATCTGGGGAAGAAACCTCTGGCAGGAGTGGAAGGAATGGTCGGACAAGATTCAGAAACCGGACTGGAAGTAGCTAGTCAGTACCAGTCGACAATTAGACTTCTTGTATCAGACTTACAACTGCTCATCGTAGCTTAGAGTCCGGGAGCGGACAAGTGAAGTTTAAAGAGGTGACAGCGTCTGGGTGGTTGTTAATTATTGCAACCGATGTGGCACAACAAACACTCACAACCGGATTCGATCTCCGGAGCACCGTGACTTGACAAAATTCAGGTGGCTTCAAATTCATGAACGATCTCCAACCCACAACGCTCCGTCCCCCATCTGATTCTACGGAATAACGTTCACGTTCACGCAATAGATCTTTTTTCGTCGTAAACCCCAGGACGCACACAAGAGCTGATGGTGCATAATACTACAAACAAACTTCGACTCTGCCCCAGCGGCTTCTCCCGTGATAGAGGTCTAGTTTGCGACTTTCCAGTGGCCACGAAACCTCATGCTATACCTCTGTCAGCATATGGCCGCCCCCAAGGACCCCCATCCGAACCGCAAACAACCTCTGCTCAACCTCCGCCAGCCCTTATGCGCTCGAGAATACACACCGTTCAACTCAGAGCAAAATACCCCGTAGAACACATCATCATCCACACTTCAATTCATATTAATATATAATAAAGTAGTTGGGGTATCCTATCCATCAATGTTCTCCCTCGTCCTGATTATTTCCCATACAGTCCGAATCATACACTAGAAAACACAAAATATAGCATGATATGATTTTCACGTCGACCGATTACACGCTGCCAGGCGACTGCGGTATAGACACCCCTTTCACAGAGTCGCGCGTACCCGTCGACGTTCGGTCTTCATGCGTGAACTGCGCCACATGGACCTGCAAAGGCTTCATAGCGTACAGCTGTCTTGAGCGCTCCTGTTCCACCTCGCTCGCCGTCCGTCGCGGAATACTAAGACTCGTCGTCGAGACGAAAGTGCGGTCTTTTTTGTTCAGCGCGATGCGTATGAGCACCATGTAAAACGCGATCGACATGATGGGCATGGCCTGCGTTATTTAAGTCAGTCCCCGAAACTCAGTAGTTGGCGATAGTGGGGGATAAAGGCAATTTACCAAGTCTACGACAGCGTCCTGTCCGTTGTTTCCTCGGACGAAGAGTATCAGTGCTGTAAGGAGCGCCGCGGAGTACAGAATAGCGGCGTCCACGAGCACGCGCACTATTGGCATCACGGTGCTTCTCGCGGTAGTATGTACGCCAGAGATGCTGCGTTGGATTGTCCAGATGCGATATGCCAGTAATCCTGGACACATTCAGGGCTCAATATTGCACGCTCGGAAACATGCTCACCTGAGCTCAACAGATTAGTCGCGATTGTCGATGCGAAGAACGCCGTGACCCACTGCGCAAGCGCATGGAGGAAGATCCCGGAGCCAGTGCCGGCTTGCGAGACACTGTAGAGCGCAATGACGCCCGTCACTTCGATGCAATGTCAGTCAAAATGCACGACGAGCTGAGCATGATTGTAGCCTCACCTGCAACGCTGCACCACAGCATGATCGGCAGGACGACGATCCAGACGGATTGCCAAACGACATAGCAGCGATAAATCTTTTTTTACCAGACGAGGAAGGCGCTTCTATTAACCGAGAGGGTTTCAAGATCGCGCATAAATTCACGAACTCACCACCACCCCGTCGGCAAGGAGAGTCTGCAAGACATAAATCGAGTGTTTAATCACATATGTTTGTTGAGAAACGTCTGCAAAGTATGCCGATGGTCCGCCTAGGATGTTGCGATCCCTCACCAGTCCGTCTTCGGCACGAATTATATTCACTACCATGTGCTTCGGAGACTCGTCAGGAAATAGCTCGGGGCGTAAGTAAAGAGGGGAGATGCTAACCGCGGTACTCAGTATCAGCAGCAGAACTGCCACGACAGCAATTGGGCGATTCATGTCCTGCATGTGTCGTTTGTAGGTCAAAGACCAGATGGTACCCACGAACATGAGCACCGAGAAGCCTGCGGAAAATTACAGATCAACACGAGCTCCGACGACCGCATTGCAATTGCAAATTGACTCGCCATACAAAATGCCTTCCAGCACTGTCGACATCAACGCACCAGCGTCTAGTGGTATACCTGCTCCCATGGTGAATTCGGCTGCAGGGGGGTGTAAGGAAGTCGTGCGAAAGCGTGCGAAAGCGTGGGTGTCACTTTGTGTATCATTATATATAGAAACGGATGACCGTACAGATATGCATCGCTCCGAGGTTAGCCAGGGGCTCAAAGGGTGTTGTCTCTCATGCACATGATCAACATGTGTAACTGTCAATGATGCGGTGATCGCGGTAGACAATTCGGCGTGGGCCGTAGAAGGATTCCTGTTTAAGCCAAACGTAAGCTTGTGTGTGCTATGGATATATAAACTGCAGTGTTGGGCCTGAAACAAAGATGTCCGCCTGCTTGTTTCGAGCTATGGTGTATTACACTGCCAGCGATGTCTTGCAACAGGGGTATCCTGATCTCACGAGGCGCAGCATTATGTAGGTTACTTTGGTGGGACTACTGATCTGATTTTGGATCAGAAAATGCTATCTCTCGTCTCCTTCCATCAAACCATATCACGCATCAAGAGCACTTCCGATATGATACATGTCATGGGATTTACCCATGATCCGTGACATGAATATATATACTACAAACGGTTTAGTATCCAATAGACAATTCGACGAAGAGCTTACACAAAGAACCAAATACGCACGAGAAGTGCGCTTTCCATGACTTTGTTCGGATACTCCCGGAGACCATTTCATGAGAAGCAGCATTGGCAAACGTTTCAAATTCATCGTCGCACGGTCCTCAGAACCGTCCTTGGAAAGCAGCGTGGTATAACTAGACAAGGACCCCTGTTGGTGCCTATAAACCAGGGGAGGTCCAAGCTTTGCCCAGACAAATTTCGGGCAAATATATCCCGACATTGGACCGCGGGAAGTGATGTTTTACTACCGGAATAATAAAGACGGTAGGGATCGAGGCTTGTATCATTGAACAACAGGCATACTAATACACCCCCTCGTGTGTTCGAGGCTGGATTTCTATCACCTGGATGCCACAAGAGTCGATGCGAACATTCGAACCAACGACATCTATAACGTCGATGGACTCGGTATTTTTTAGTTGCCATGATCTGGCGTGGAAGGCGTTGACAAGAGGCCCAAGGTCATTGTTCTTCACTGCATGTTTACCCGCGGTTTCGTGGAGACGCGTGCAATCGGAGGGGTATGTATGGACTGGTCGTGAAGGTAACATTTGCACCCTCGTCACAAATATGGTGGTTTGCTAGAAGGAATCCCATGGCACCCTCACCGCGCGCCTGGTGGGGCAGAAGCAAGTAAATGCAAACAGTGGACGTTATCTTACAGGGCTTCGTGAACCAGTGGCAAATTAGTGAACACCTTACATAGGGATAGGTCTGAATGTGTCTGAAAGTCGGTGATAAGTGCATGAACTTAATATAAATGAGAAGAATGTCGTACTATGATGTTAATGGCTTTAAAGAACGTTCAAACTCGAACAGACACGTTCCGGCAGTTACCAGCGATCACGAGTCTGAGATAGGCTTATCTTCAAATCCTCAATTGCGCATTGTATGGTCCAATGAATGGGTCAGACGTATTCCCGTGCTGGCGAATATAGCTCTGGCGCAAGCTTGTACACCTTTAGGGCGTGGTATAGAAGAGAATCACTGCCTTTAGGCTGAGCATCTTACGTTCTACACATTGTGTCAGCCGAACTCACATCAGGAGCTGATGACTCGGTGTTGACGTCGTAAATAAAATGCTAGTTTGCGTCCGCGGGAGTACATGGTGAGAACTGGGAAAAAAAGATCAGTGGGCGAAGGCGCTTTGAAGTTCTGTCCCGCGCGAATTTACGACTGCCATCTGAATGGCTGCCGCCTTCGAGGAGACTCGCAGGAGGTCGTGTAGAAGAGCCCCGGCCAAGTGGCTGGGAGCGAACCTTCCTGAGTTAATATTTGAAGAATATTACAGCGCTCTTGGAGGTAATCTTGATGGATTCGAAACCGCGGGCAAGACGGCCCATCAGTATGGAGGTGACAAATAACGAGACTTTTTGATACGTATCATCGAAAGCTTCAAAGCATTGTTATCTCCGCTTAACTCCTATACTGGATGACACGTGCACATACCATCCCAGTCGGTAGACCGTCGATCCGTTCAACGTCCGGATATGCTTCGCAGCGCAGGAAAGGCAAAAATCAGTGTAGCTGGTCTGCGATGAGACTGAAGAGTCAAGTCATAGTTCAAAACTTCGCTCTCGTCTGGAACGTTGACGTTGTTGTCTATTGTTGTGCAAAGGCTTTGTTCCTGATTGAATTCGTTTTTCAGAACTTTAAATTTGAGCAGACCTGGCAGCCAATAACAAAATTTCGGGAACGGCAGACCTCTCCCTTACACCATTCAGACAACTGCAGAGGCGAGCTCGTTGCACAGAACGACCGCGACCGAACGTCGATGCCATCAATTTGGTCATCATTTCAGCATCGGCACTGTATTCTTGGTCAACAAAGTTCGATATCGAAATGAGATCAGTGTCTCTTTGATATCATCACCTCACGATGCTCCCATAACACTCATGCAGCACATGTACCATATATGAAGCTGCCGTTTTCATTGCTCGCCCCGCGAAGAAAACTGGTCCTTCCCAAACCAGCCTGGACCACCCTGTGTAGGCATCACAGCAATTGGTACCATGGCCAGGTTAGCACATTTTTTGTGTCCATCTGAGCCTTTAAATCTGTCTTTTTTTGCTTATCAATTCCAACAGGGAAATCCACGCGCATCCTCGTCATTGGCCTTCAATACCCGACCATCACTCTTGCGAAATTCAACCAAAATTGCTCAGCGGCGAACTTAGACCGACAAGTCCACGCACGGTGCAATCCATCAGCGTCGTCGTGCCTCCATGCGGAACAAACGGCCAGGAGCCCAATGAAAAACACCCCAGCCCCGGGGCTTTTCGCACTCCTCCGTGCTGTTTACCCACCATCCCCATAAAGCCAATCAATCTCGTCATCTTTTTCATCTGCCTAATAAGTGGGGCAATGACGCCTGTATTTCCATTCCTCCTGTCCTGATTTATCGTTTTAGTCTTGGCTGGTGGATTAGATGCCAGCATGTTCAACTCATATGGCAATCTTGTCCTCGGATTCGCAGCCTCGGTTCCAAAGTATTTGTTATGGAAACCCTCCGCGATGCGCTGGCTCACGATCCCATGTTCTGAGTCAGTACAAGAGTTGGTGCGATTGTCCCGAGAACGGCACATCTAGAGTCACCCAAGTCATTGTAAAACATGGCGATGGGACTTACATGTGGCGGTAGAGATTACCATGGTGTATTACGAGGTACGTTTTTTGATCGTCGTCTGATATGTCTCATCCTGTCCTTACTTGCTCTCCAGTCCATTCTCAATATACGCGGCATTCGTACTGTGTCTCTTGAGCCTGCGCGGCGTGTTTGTCGAGGGGTGCTCTTACGGTGTCGCCAGCGCCCTCGTCTACTTGGCCGAGGAATCTCTTTTCTACGTTGGCACCATTCTCATCGCACAAGGCACATGCACATACCTTCAGATGTCCCTAGTCCTCAACCTTGCCATTTCCACCGTCTCCATCGGCTTGCAAATCATGTCGTCTGCTCAACGAGTTGCTAAGTTCGTTCTAATGACACAATTTACACGACCTCATCAAGCTAGACACGACCGGCGGCTTCGAGTCTCAGGGTGTCATCCATCCGAGGGTCGAAGGTCTTATCTTCAACGTATCAATCTATTACCTAACCCGCCCTTATATGTCCGTCCTGAACAAGGTGTCAATGTGCATTATAGTGGTTGTGGGTACCTCGACGGTAGCATGTCTGCTTTAACGGTCTCTATGAGCCCACTTTATGCACAGTCTTGGCAGGCCTCAATGAGCTGAGCGCAACGGATATCAATTACCTTCGCGATCATGCGTATAATTGCTCCTAGTGCCGAACCTAGCCCCGCGTCCCGACAAAGGTTGATGAACTTACCCTCCGGGACAACTTTGCCTCTCTGGGTATCAGGTTCTACATGAAACATTCGGGGTCCTTGGCATCATATCACTTCCCATGCATATTTATAGCGCTGAAACACAAACGGACATAATTAGCAGCCACCATCTGACGAGGGGCTCACTGGTACATATAAGACACAGGCACTAATGATCGAGTAGTCTACACCGATCAAATGTCTCCCCCATCCCCAACAGAATTCGATATCATCTTTGCTGGAGGTGGATAATAACGTCTTTTATCGTAGACTATCTGAACATTGTGTTAACGTTTCGTGCAGGTGGTGCCACGGCGTGTGTCGTAGCAGGCCGCCTAGCTGAATGTGATCCATCGCTCAAAATATTAGTTCTGGAAGCGGGTGAACACACCCTCGACAAACCTGCTCATGTCCAGCCTTATCAGTATCCGTTCCATATGGCTCCGAACAGCACGACGCTCACATTCAACTTTGGAAATCCCTCTCCGAAACTCAATGGACGAGCATTGGTAGTTCCGAGTGGTCGTTCCGTCGGTGGAGGGTCGACTATCAATTGTATGTATTATTTTTGCTGAAACAAACAGCATGCTGATGTATAGCCCTGCAGTTGGGGCATACACCCGTGCACCTGCCTCCGATTACGATGATTGGGCAGTCGAAGGTTGGGAATCGAAGAATTTAATTCCGCTCATGAAGAAGGTCTCGAATGAGCTTACCATATTATGTTATATTTGCATTCTGACTCTCACATTGTGTAGCTGGAGACATTCGACGTGCAACCTGGTCGTCCATCTCACGGGTACGCCGGACCTGTCAAGGTGTCCCCTGGTGGGCATAAACTCGGTATCTGTGAAGAGTTCGTCAGCGTTGGTACGACCTATCACAAGAGGCCGTATTCCGACGACACCAATGATTTAGAAACGTGTAACACATACAGCGTTAGTTTTTTAATTTTGCTTTTCTGCCTGCGAGCACTGACTGAAGCTGTTTCAGCCATGGGCAAAGTGAGCATATCCTCGTAGTTTGTTGTGGATTGGACTCAGGTGTGAAAAGGTACATTGATGGAGCTACCGGAAAGCGTTCAGACGCAGCCCACTGCTACATCTACAACAAAACACACAACACGAACTTGCAAATTTGGGCTGGCAAGCGTGTAACACGCGTCATCTTCGAGTGAGTAATCTACCTGATATCGCACCCGTAACCAACTTTCATTATTAATGTCTTTTCCGAATCACAGGGACAAGCGTGCCGTAGGCGTCGAGTTCACCAACGACCCAGTGTCTTTCCCAGATGCAGATCGGTCACCGATTACTGCGAAAGCTTCAAAGCTCGTTGTTGTCTCTGCCGGTGCATTCGGATCCCCAGCCATTCTCGAGAGGTCAGGTATCGGTGCCGAGGCAGTGCTAAAGCGATGTGGCATTAAACCACTTGTGAGCCTGCCTGGCGTTGGAGAAAACTACACAGGTAATATTTCATTTGTGTATTAATGGGCTAAGGTCTTGGCTTACGAGTGTCAGATCACGATGTTGTTTTGGTTCCGTACTTGGCTGCTGACGAGGCTGTTACTATGGACCCGCTCTGGCGTGGGGAGGAGAGTGCTACGAAGGGTTAGCACATGGTATTGATATGTTTTCGGCACCTTTCGAACTGATCAACTGTAGATGCTCTTACTCAATGGGCCAGTAATGGCAAATCACTGGTTGCTTCGAAGTCGGTACAGCTTATTTGTCGTTGCTGGTACATTCTGATTGGAATTTCAGTGGTGTCGATGCGAAAATCAAGTGGCGTCCTGATGGCGACGAGCTGAACGCCATGGGTTCAGCCTTCCAACCACGATGGAACGAGTTCTTCCGGGACCGCCCAGACAAATGTGTTGCAATATTCTCCCTCATCGCAGGGTCTGTCAACATTTTTTTGCTTTGACGAGATATGGAAGCTCACGATGACCAGATACATTGGACCACTCATATTTACCCTTCCTCCGCGCAATTACATGATGGCTGCCTACTTTACAGTACTTTTCTCCACCTGTCCCGTGATTTTTCCCTGAACCGTTCGACAGCTTTACCCCGCATCTGTCGGTAGCGTGCATATCAAATTGGACGAGACCGGCAAGGAAGTACTCGACTTCACGACAGGCTTTCTCGATGAGTGAGTCGGCACTTTTCATTTGAGGCCCTTGCGCATGTCTGACTATCTATGATTGTTCGTCCAGTCCATCTGATATCATACCAATCAACTTTGCGTACAAAAAAATGCGCGAAATCTACCGACGCATGCCTTCCTACCGAGGTGAACTCGCTATCGGCCATCCTAAATTCCCAGAGGGAAGCGCTGCGGCCTGTGGAGAAGCGTCTGGGCCAGTGGCCTTGAATGAGCCTGACATCGTCTACACTGCTGAAGATGACGAGGCAATTGAAAAATACCATCGTGACTGCGGTATGTGCCGGTTTTGCATGTCCATCGCTATGGTTACTTACTGAATCAAATCATAGTGCAAACGACCTGGCACTCGGTGCGTGCAGCAGCTGCAGCTTAAAAGTTTGAAATGAGGTGTCTGATCTTTCTGTGTGCGTGCAGCTCGGTACCTGCGCCATGAAGCCGCAGGCAGAACAAGGCGTCGTCGATGCTCGACTAAATGTGTACGGCGTTGCGAACCTCAAGGTTGCCGATATGTCTATTGTGCCGAAAAATGTTGGCACGGTGAGCACTACACAAGATTAATTGAGCTTTGGTCTAATTGTCTTCCAAGAACACATATTCGACGGCGCTCGTCATTGGAGAGAAGGCTGCGATGATCATTGCTGAAGACTTGGGTATTGCTTACAATGTCTAGCTCTAAGCATCGGCAGAGTGCGAGGACTCTACTAAGAAAATTTGTATATTCCAGTTGACGAGAAAATATCCTTGTTAGATCTTTAGTCTCGGCCTGGCGGTTGTTATTCCTGAAAGATTCATTGACAAACAACACTGCAATTGCGCAACATACCAGTCTTCAATATAGCAGGAGCAGTTTCTTGTCTCGGAGAGGTCAACCCGGAAATAGCGGCGCAGTTAGAGCGCGTCCTTGGTATGCCTTGGGCGTATCTGAGCGCGTCCGTGGCGTATTTGCTTCTTGATACAGTGGATCTGGTGCCTACCCACACGCCTTGTGAGTAGGTGCCTTGGGCGTAGCTGCTTCCATTGATGCAACGGACCTGGTGCCTACCCAAACGCCTTGTATTCCCAACGCTCACCTAGCGCCACCGGAATGAGGACACAGGAAAGTCTCCTGTGTAGTCGGCGCTTTCTGAGCGCAAAAAGATGTCAAAAGCGTCTGGACTCTCCAGTATGTGCCACAGTTTGACGAGTGGCTGTGATATATTGATGTCTGCCGTAGAACAAGCCGGCGTATTTTCCTAAGCAGCGGGAGACTCTACGTGTCGCCCAGTCCAATTCAAGGCGATATGTTGTCGAACATCGCAAGAATCTGCATAAATCTGCTAATCGCTTTCACGAGGGAATGTGTGGTAATGTCGAGGAAACACTAATTTTGCTTCCTACCATTAAAGTTCAATTGGATGGATCGAAGAAAAAATTCACGAGCAAAAATCCATAAAGTTAAACATAGATCCAGCCCGAAATCTAGAGGGATGACGAAGAAGGTTGCAAAGCCGCCTTTGAATGAAATCCATTCCGGGTGTTGGCGCTTTCCCACGCCGGGTGAGGCAGGGTCCCAGTAACTTTAGTGTCACAATTTAATATTGTGGACACTCGTTTCTCCTTAGCTTGGACACTATCGTTGTTGTTGTCCGCAATCGAGACCGTGGTTATGTGCTGTTTCGCTTGTCTCATTCAGCGCTCATCATTGGTGGCTACCACTGGAGCGTGTTTTCAACCAGCAGATGAAGAATCATGCTGCCAGGTCATCACGATTCGAAGGCGGCCAATGGGTTAAATGCTTCTGTCGGTCACAGTTGACACGGTTTCAATAGTTGGAATGTGCTATTCAAAAGTAGAGGGAACGTGCGACCATGCATTCCTTTGCAGCACTCGACCGAGCTGCTCGAACGCCAGACCATTGAAAACTAGACTTTCTGGCGCGCTCGACACGTAGCGCAATTTCATCAAGAACGTATTGGCGCGCGATGCGTCCAATGCTTGTGCTGAGTATAGCACCAGTCCCAACATGATCACCAATGCAGATATCGCAAACAACTGAAATCAGTTTGGTATAAATTGACATTGCGTATGTAGCACGCAATCATGGACAGCACGCGAACTTCACCATCAATCCATGCGCAAACACCCGATTCGCGTACGCCGAGACTCAATAGTGTCAGGAATACATGTAGTAATGGGTGGACAACTCGTGAGTGGCGATATTTGAACCGTCAAGGTATTCCACAACGCCGTTACAGTTTACCCCGCGACCACTGGCCTAGATGCTAGTATGCTCTAGTAGGTGGCGAGGTCATGCGTGCGGCGGGCACAGGGGCCCGTAGGCCTGTTGAGTTGTCATATGCATATGATCGGCGAGTGCGTCTGCCGCATCCTTGGAATGTGAAAATTGGGTGAATAAATCATCATCATCATAGATCGAAGTCCACCAACACGTACCAGGAGGACTCGCAGCGGAGTGCATCCGGGACATCATTTCAAGCCTTCAATAAAATCATGTCACGGAGTTTGGCATCTGTTTCGTGATGCAAGCACACCCAAGTTGGCTGTCCCCTATACATTCTGTGTATAAAAGCCAGCGTACTCAGGTTAGTTGTTGATTCAGACCGCAAAATCAGATTTCAGCCATGAAATTCACTTCACTCACCACTATCATCATCTCTGCCGTGGCAATGACTGGCGTAGCCATCGCATCTGAGGATGTGAACATAACACCCTTGAACTTTCCCTGCACAGGAGTTGGTGAGCACTTTTGCGACCTACATGCAGACCTTGAACCACATGCTTATGCCTACCGATCGATCAAGCGGGGTGCTCAACCTTGGGTGGTTTCAATCACGGAAACGGGTTCGGTTATTACTGTTCCAATGACAAGATCTGGAAGTATACGCCATGCCCGATCGGACAAAGATGTCATGTCACCAGTCCGAGTACGTTCGCATGTTCATGAGTGCTGAGCCTTGAGCCTCGGTCAACTCCAGAGTGCCTGGGTGAGTCTCTCCTTTTTTTCCGTCTCCCGAATGTGAGTGTTGATGTGCCTGCTTTCACCAGTGCATGGCACAACGAGCATGATATGTCCATGAGGGCGTGAAGGAGTGCTGATGGCATGATGTTCTGCAGTTCGTTTAATCCGGTCCTCTTGATAAGATAGTAGGATTTGTGACATGTATTGTATGGTCAGATTGAGGTCAAATATGCTTTCCTGAGTTTCCACGCACTCTGAAGTTAGACCCGATGTCGATGAGTTGCATGTCCTATGTAGTGGACTTTGGGGGAAGGGCGGAACGGAAGTATGAAGAATTGCTGGGGCCTCTTAGGTTTCGGACTAAACATCTGATTGTCAGGAGTCAGCCGAGTGTACTCAGTGAATTGGAGCATAAAGTAGCTCCTCGGTCGTTATTGCGTGCTGAAAAATACCTCTTTCACGGAGTCTGCTGTGCAGTCGGTGGTCGGCCCTTCTTCCCTATTCCGTGTACAATCACTGAATAAATTGGAATACGTGAACCCGTTAAGGCTTCGTAAGAAATTGCTGCGAATTTCCTTGTTCCGCCCCACTCTTTGTCCTTTGACTGGGAATAATCGTCGAGAGGTGACCGCGGCTGTTTCGATTGACTGCGATGCGGATAAGCATGATGTATTACAGAATGCAATCGACATGATGGCCATGGCCCTACTAGTAGATCGAAGCTCAGTTTTTTCGGCAACTGGTGTTAATAGGCGAAATCACGATTCACCCAATGTCCACCACCACCACCTCTCCGTTGTTCGAAAAGATGAAACACATTAGTGCAGGGAAAAGTACCACTGAGGATAAAAAAAAATGACATTGCGTGTGTAGCACACAGTCATGAACGGCACGTCACTTCACCATCAATCCAAGTGCAATCACCCGATTCACGTACTCTGAGACTCAATAATGTCAGAAATACATCTAGTGATGAGTGAACAACTCGTGAGTCACAATATTGGGACCATCGAGGTATTCCACAACGCCGCTACAGTTTACCCCGCGACCACTGGCCTGGCTGCTAGTATGCGTCAGTAGGTGGCGAGGTCATGCGGGTGGCGGGCACATGGGCCCGTAGTCCTGTTGAGTTGTCATATGCATATGGTTGGCGAGTGCGTCTGCCGCATCCTTGGAATGTGAAAATTGGGTGAATAAATCATCATCATCATAGATCGAAGTTCACCAACACGTACCAGGAGGACTCGCAGCGGAGTGCATCCGGGACATCATTTCAAGCCTTTAAGAAATTATGTCACGGAGTGTGGCATTGATGCAAGTTGTTTGGCTGTCCGACCTGTGTATAAAAGCCAGCGTACTCAGGTTAGTTATTGATTCAAACCACAAAATCAAGTTTCAGCCATGAAATTCACTTCACTCACCACTATCATCATCTCTGCCGTGGCAATGACTGGCGTAGCCATCGCATCTGAGGATGTGAACATAACACCCTTGAACTTTCCCTGCACAGGAGTTGGTGAGCACTTTTGCGACCTACATGCAGGCCTTGAACCACATGCTTATGCCTATCGACCGATCAAGCGGGGTGCTCAACCTTGCGTGGTTTCAATCACGGAAACGGGTTCGGGTATTACTGTTCCAATAACAAAATCTGGAAGTATACGCCATGCCCGATCGGACAAAGATGTCATGTCACCAGTCCGAGTACGTTCGCATGTTCATGAGTGCTGAGCATTGAGCCTCGGCCAATTCCATAGTGCCTGTGCGAGTCTGTCCTTTTCACCGTCTACCGAATGTGAGTGCTGATGTGCTTGCTTTCACCAGTGCATGGAACAATGAGCGTGATACGCAGGCTACAGGAGGGCGTAGAGGAGTATGGCGTGAAGAGTTTATTGAATCCGGTTATGACGACGACTATAGGATGTGTAACAAACAATTTGTGGTTACACTGAGGCCACATATGCTGAAGTTAAAGACTCTGGTGGAGAATGGAGGACGTGGTGATATGCCCGCTCTTGAGATGGGTCTTGAGGCCGGCTGCGGACTGCACCGCGTAGGTTGTGGGGATGAGCGGTTCCCCAAGACTCTGCGTTCTGCTGCCTGGTCGATCGCAAGAAGTCGATCTCTAGCTCAATGAAACGATTCAATCTCTCCCGAGGATCCAATGAACCACTATCATACGTTAAGCACCTGAGACGAGAAGTTGCCTCGCTTACAGCTAGGAAAGCTTGACAGGAAATCAATCTGAACAGGCAAAATGCTTGCCTGATGCTTCGAACTGAGTGCATTGAGAACTGCACCTGATGATACGAGTGGCGTTAAGTTTCTTGCTGCACGGGCATGAAGATACAATGGAACTTAGCAACTGATCAAAGCTCTTGCATTCGTTGCGAGTGCGTTGGCCTGCTTGAGAGAATGTAAAAATTACACGATTCAGCATTGTCGCCGGCATGTTGAGCGCAGTTAGACGTGCCTTCAAGTTGAGAGCAGCTTCGAAATTAAAGATGAGCTTGCAATCGTGGGCCTCCATCAGTGAGTTCATGAATCCTTGAGATTGTAGCCGTGTAAACTATAGAAGAATACAAATTAATTTTCCATTGTGGGCAAGCCGGCAGGCTTCGGTCAATTGAAAATGAACGGACGGGGTAAAGGCGTGCCGGAGGAATCCTTTCAGTTTCAGATGGACTCGATGAATCACTACAAAATTAATGATCACATCGATACAAAGATGTAGTGCATGAAACACGGTACACACGTTGGGTTTCATTGAGGCACATGAAGGAAACTCGTTGTAACCATCACTTGTGGTTCTTGGATAGTGTTGTAAATGCAAACCTTCGATTTTTGAATGTGAGAAGCAGCTTGAGTGTTGCTCTCATAGCTCTAAGCTACTGACTGGCTGATGGCGTCTAGCTAGTGTCGTTTAGTACCGTTTTGAATGATTTGATGAGGAAAATAAATTCTAATGGCAGGTAAGGAGGTTCAATATGGCGGTTGGTTGGACGAAAATATACCTCGAGCTCGATGATCATCGAACAATCAATCAATTACCGACTCCCCGCGTCAACCCAGAATCAAGATGCAGTGGACGTGCGACGTCGCCGCTGGCACGGGTGCAATATATGGTACTCCTTCGCTAGGTCAAAATACACATCAACAATTCATCTGTCACTGGACTTCCAGTTCCCAGGACAAATCTCCACCACTCGATTCTCGCACATGACATATATATGTACAACAATTGGGACCATGATAGCATGAGACTCCTTGGCCCTTTTGGACGATGCATCACATATAGGACTACTATGGGAATTGGAGACTGATGTGCACCGCTACGAAATGGCATTTCCTTCAAGACACGCGAATCTTTCCCATTTGCAAACGATGCATGTCTGTGCCGATTATTGGTGCGCATGATCAACCACAACCATTTCTTCGATTATATTAGTCTTGGTCATAACAACATTCCATGGTATCATGTGTCGAGTTGGCAAATAACGTCAGCGTAACACTACAGGTAGGCCCAGGACAACCAGGGACATCCGCCCTGCTCAGCAACATTTGCTCCATCAATCTGGTACTAACATACTGCCAACTTGAAGGTGCATTCGTGATGGGCGAGTGTCGCTATGGAAATCAATGTGAGGTAAGGAAGAACTCAATTAACCAGTGGAGCATGGGTAAACAGGTATATGAATATTCCCTCTAACTAGGAGTTGAATCGTTTAACACGTGCATACAGTGGGATGGCTCGGACCGCGACTATTTCGTGATCTGGTTCTTCTAGGGGGGACGTCTCATACGTGGCTAAGGTGCCCAACATTCGCGTTCGTCAGCGCATATATAATGGGCCACTGAATATGGTATCATTCTCACTTTTGAGTCAATCATGTTCCCCGCGGTATCCTTGTTGACAACTCTCCTCCTGACCTTGTCAATCGCGGCATCGCTCGTTGAAATTCGCAATTCCCCCATCACGCTCCCCATCGCCAGGAAATTGAACGTCTCCAATGGTACCATCAACCTCTTGGAGCGTGATAAAGCTCGCGTGGCTGCCATTAAGGACCGCTCCTTCAGCACGCTCAATCGCCGTGCTGGTAGCATTCCCTTGATCAACGAAGCTGTCACCTACATCGCACAAGTTGGCGTCGGCAGCCCTGCTACAACCTGTAAGTTTAATTTTGAGAGTTCATGCGGCTATTAATGGATTGTTACAGATAACTTGGTCGTCGACACCGGTAGCTCGAACACTTGGGTTGGAGCAACCACTGCGTACGTGCAGACCAAGACCAGCGTCAACACCGGTCAGCCTGTGGGGGTCAGCTATGGTTCTGGCTATTTCTTTGGTATGACATACAAATATACCATAAGTTGAAAATATTTACAATAATATATAGGAACTGAGTACACCGACACCGTCACTCTCGGTAGTGGGCTCACCATTACCAGTCAATCCATCGGTGTATCTACTCCTTCTACGGCATCCGGCTTCAGCGGTGTTGACGGTATCCTTGGTCTCGGGCCTCTCGTTTTGACAGAGGGTACTCTGGAAGATGAACCGACGACGATGATCCCGACTGTCACTCAGAATCTGCACAGCCAGGGCACCATTTCTGAGATTGTCGTCAGCGTCTCTTTCGAGCCCACCACTTCTCTGACGGTTACCAACGGAGAGCTCACATTCGGTGGAACTGATGCCACCAAATACAACGGCTCCATTGCATATACGTAAGCTACTTCGACTCCTAGATCAATCCAGATTGACGGCAATTGTTTCAGTCCTCTTACCACCGCAAACCCTGCGTTATACTACTGGGGTATCAACGAGAGCATTACTTACGGCACCACGACGATCTTGTCTGCGACGGCTGGTATCGTTGACACCGGCACCACCCTCATTTACATTGCCACCGGTGTGTATTTAGAGTGCAGCGAGTGATCATAGTCTAATTAGCGTTTGATAGACGCCTTCGATAAGTACCAGTCTGCAACCGGCGCTACTCTGGATGGGACGACTGGTTTTCTCCGTATTACATCCACCCAGTACAGCGCCCTCAAAAACCTGGACTTCAACGTTGGCAGCGTATGCCGTTTCTATTTCGAGGTGTTATTGTCCCTTGCTTACCGGTTCTTGAGCACAGAACACCTACGTTCTCACACCCAACGGCCAGATCTGGCCCCGTGCCCTCAATATATATATTGGTGGTAGCAGCAGCAGCGTCTATCTCGTTGTCAATGACATTGGCACGACCAGTGGTCAAGGTCTCGACTTCATCAATGGCTACACGTTCCTCGAGCGTTTCTACTCCGTGTTCGATACCACCAACTCCCGCGTTGGTTTTGCCACAACCAAATACACTTATGCCACTACCAACTAACGTGGAATTGGGGCTTCCTGCCCGACTATTTATCGTACATAGGAATATTGCTCACACATGCCGACTTCTGAAAGCATTTCGGGATGTGATGTGACGGTCCAGCAGTCGGCAACAACACTGACTCTTTGACAGTGACGCCAGAGAAAATTTCGTACGACCTTTCCGATGTGCAAGTGTGGAGTCTTTGGATGTTCCCCTTGCCCGGTGGGCCCATTTCACGATGTTAAGCACTTTGGGTCATGTTGGTAGCTTGAAGTGATACCTCACTCACTCCAACAGCAGCGTCAAGCATGCCGGAAGGGCAGGTATCAGCGTTGAACATTTTGACGCTGGTGCTGGTGATTAGGTACATGGTGAGAGTAATGATCTTGACGTCTGTTGAGATAGAGATAGAGATGGACTTAGAAGGTGGTTTGACTTGAGAGCCGACCACAGAACCTGAGTGCATGAAGAAGCAACAGAATGACGGTATAATTGAACTGGCCTAGGAATGAAAGCAATACGACGTAGAACTACACACCGATATGAGTAAAAACCGACCTCTGTTCGAGTGGTACTTTCGCCTTCACGGTATGTGTAGCAAGGGTTGAACGTTGAGTGCCCAGGCCACCTTTGTACTAGTATAGTCCATGACACCACCATCCTTCACATTCTTGAATATATTGTCGTAGAAAGCTTCGATGATGTGTTTTGCGACAGCATCATCGACCTCCCACAGCATGCCAACGACGCTCTTGAACCCTGAAAATTGGAGTCCAGGTGCGAGGTGGAAGACTTCGTCGGGCATCTCCTTATTGCCAACGGCAGTATGACATGCCGACAAGAACACAGAATCAGCATGTGGAACGGAGAGCTGGGATATATGACTCCCTGTGGATAGAATTCGGCTGAGAGGGAAAGGAGAAGAGGTTCAGGGTTGTCGAAGGCTGTTCGGTACAATAGATGCCGGTATAATTACACTAAGCGCTGAGACCAAATGATGACCCGACTAGGGCTAGCGGGAGGGGCCAGGTCAACGAACGTTGGACCCGCCAGCCTAGCTCTCTAGAGTGATGGATGGAATGGATGAACCCGTCCTAATGTACATGTGTATGTATGCGTGTGCCCTAAGACCCCAGAACCCCGAAACCCCTGACACTCGCTGCTGCCTCTATGCCCTGGTCTGACCTTGCCTCATGCTCCTAAGCTGTGGACGGAGCTCCCCGCTCCATTTGCCCCTTCCCCAGAAGGCGTCACTCCGGGGGCGCATCTTGAATCTACTTGTCTTCATCTGTATGCTCTTCACTGTCTGAATCCACTGTATCCTCTAGCTCTCCCTGAATGGTCGCCCACGTTTCGTCGACTTCTGTTTCCTCGCTCCTGTCTCCGTCTTGTATTGCACTTTGTAGCGTGGCTAATGCGGTACCATTGCGCGGGATGAAACGACGAAGGCGTCTTGCATGGAATAGTCCATTGATGGGAAATCCTTCTAACGAGGTGAGAGTATACGAGTTGCTGATTCTAGAGACGACTCACCTGGGTGCTGACCACTTAGGTACCAATTTCCTTGCGCTTGACATCGTCATGTCCATAGCGCTCGCGTATACCTGGACCAATTGTCCTGCCTCGAATACAACTTCCCCCGCGTGTGATTGCAACACCTTTTTGTCGAATTTGTTCTTCCTCTTGATCGTGTGTGCCGCTGCATGATCCGCGCCGTCTGTTCTCTGTTGATCTACATATGCCATATGGATGCTAACATCCGACGTGCTGGGTGCTGTGCTTGCTTCCGCGATAGTGGTGTGACTGGTGTTAACTACCAGTCCGAGGAGTAATTCTTTTGGTGAAAATTTGAACGCTGGGATGAGTCGTTCGTTCAATTGACAGATTGTGGTGTCAAAGTGATCCGGCCATGTTCTGGTGAGGTCTTCCACTCTTGTACTCTCGTATTCGTATTCGTCCTCTCCTAATCCTGGGCTACACAATCGCTTCAATCGTCCCAACAACTTCCCATTAGCATTCTCCACTAGCCCGTTGATCCACGGGGAATAGGCTGCTACGACGTGGTGTTTCGTATCGTGCACTATGCACCACGCGTGAACATCTCCGTTATCAAAATGCGACCCGCCATCTGTCATAAATGTTTCTGGCTTTCGGAAGGTATGTGCGACTGCATCTAGTCCCGTTAACGTTGTCTTCGCGGTCCCATAGACTTTCAGCTTGAATCCCCAGACATACTGGGAGTACGTGTCGAGGATGAGAAGGGCGTTGTGGTACCCACCCTTAGCTTTGGGAAGTGATAGGTAGTCGGCTACTAGTAGCTCGAACGGATGACGTCGTGTAATCGGGTACATTAGAGCGTGCAATTGAGACGAACCGAAGTTTTTACACTGTGGACATTCGAGTAGCACTGTAATAATTGACTGATCTAAATGAGGACTCACTATCTGATCCATAAGCTGCAGTTTCGTGAGGTCCCTACCCCAATGACCGTTATTAGCGTGTACGTCTTTTGCCAACGCTATGGCCTCTTTCTGCGTCACGCATTCGACTTGTGCTCGCGCCCTTGTCGATTTGCCGTCGGCAATTCGCCATAATCGACCGTCTTCGATCATATAACCGAGCGCACGGTGCTGGGCTCGTCTACGTTCTCGTTCCGGTTTGTCGACGTTGAGGTTGGCTAGCGCTTCGATTACTTCGAGGAAGAGAGGTTCGTCCTTGAAGCGGGTATGTAGTTCCAACATTGCTGTTTCAGAAGTGTGGTTAGCTGTTTGAATGACGAATAGATCATTCACCAGGCTGTGCGTTGCTTCCCAATCCTCGCTCACCGACCATGCACTTCCGTCTCCGTCGACTCTTGGATATCCTGACGACCTCTGACTAAGTGCATCTGCCGCTGTGTTGCTCGTGCCCGCGCGGTGACGAATGTCCGTGATCTGGTAAGCTATGATGCCGTCCCTCCACCTAGCGTGCACGACTGACATCTTGTCGCTTAGCAGCGTGTCGCGTAGTGCGATACAATCTGTTTCAATTTCCACGGGGAACCCCCATATGGTTGTACCAAACTGGTCGAACGCGTACTTTAGAGCCGCGGACTCTAACAGGTACGGTTTGTACCGTTCTTCCACTGGTGACGTCCTTTTCGACACGAACGCGATCGGATGTACCTTGGTTGTCGGTTCGCCTGATGATTGTTGCGTGGTGAAACATTGGGCGAGTACCGCGCCAAACCCGTCCTTGCACCTGTCACTGATGACTATGAAGGGTGAACCATCAAACTTGGGTGCGCGAAGCACCGGTTCTGCTATGAGGATCTGTTTGAGTTTCATTAGTGCGTGTGAGTGTTGTTGTTCCCAGAAGCCTTCTAGCTTGTAGTCCCGTAAGAACTGCTTATACTTGCGTTTCCCTACCTTTGCATTGTGTGGTGGCCTGTCTAGATTGCGTAGCATGTCAGTAAGTGGGGCCGCTATTCGCGCATAGTCCTTAATGAGTGATCTAAAGTACCCTGTTAAACCTAAGAAGCGCATCAGTTCTAATAAATTCTGGGGAACGGGCCACTCAGCGACTGCGGCTATTTTCGCTAAATCTGGGTGTATGCCCTCACATCCTACTTGTGACCCTCCGAAGATAACGTTGCTCATGAATAGCTGCGTCTTCGTCGGCGATATCGATAAGTTCCGTTGTCTGCATCTATTGAAAAATATACGTAGTCGATTTAACAACTCGTCGAAGGTGTTTCCTGCCATCGCCCCGTCATCAACGTATAGCTCCATTAGTAATTTGACCAGGATATCGTACAGAGCCTGAGCTGTGAGATCACTAAAACATGACGGCGCACCTTGGACTCCCATCGGCATACGACAATACGCCTCGTACCCTCGACCCTCTGTGTAGAAACACAGGTAAGGTTGACTCTCCTCTTCTACAGGAATCACATAGAAGCCTGCCACAAAATCGAGTACGCAAATGTATTGATGTCCCGCTAAGCGTTGTTGCTTCGCCGCTATATCGCCTTGCGGTGTGGGTGCAACCTCTGATACCTTGTTGACTTCGTTAAAATTCTGGCAAATGCACCATTTAACCTTTGACGGATCAATACATTCTGGTACCGTGACTGGCGTTGAGTCTAAGTCGACGTCTGGGTCCGATTTCTCCCCGAGCGCGATGCACTGCTTATTTACGATATGTCGTATATCCTCCATTGAAAGGCTCGTTCCTGAGTGAGTCTTCTGCACGAGAACCGTAGAAGCTACCGCTTTGACTTCGTCCGATTTGATGAATCTCGTGATCCCGGCTTCTCGCATGTCATCCAGTACTGGAAACAGATATTCTCGCTGTGGTTTCATTAGTGGTCTTTGGTGCACCTTCTTGGTAAACATTGTCCCAGATGGAATCTGTAAGCGGAATTTAATAAAATCTACCGGTTTTACCTCTCGTACTGATAAAGCAAAAACATCTGCGAATTCAGCTACCAACGCCCGGGATTGGCCCAATTGTTCTTTGGTGAGTTGATCCCCGTACCGAACTGCTTTCACAATTGCCTCTACCCGCTCTGGCCAGAAGGGTCCGTGCTGCGTGAGTCTCGTGAACACGTCCTTGGGTAGTGCTGTGGGTGAAAGATCTAACACTTCGCCCATCAACGTTGGCTGAGCGTCATCCTCAATTCCAAGGATTGGTTGAGGTCCTTCTTCTGATGGTGGATGTTGGGTTGGTTGGGTGTGCGTACTGGTTAGCGTGTTCGTGTTACATTGAGTCGTTGATGGCTGATTAGGTGAGGTGCTGGTGAGGGTTGCTACATTATGTGCATTTGAAGGTGGTTGTGAAGTCTGTATGTGCAAAATATCATTAGTACTGTTAGTATCTGTTGAATCGATCGATGACGGGAACATTTGCGGATGGTTGAACTTAATGATAGAAGGGAAACGGATAGCTGAAGGTAGACATGGGGACGGTAATGGACGATACGCGGTGAAGTTCTGTGTTCGATGGTGTGTGCCTTCATGTGGTAGCATTATAGCATCACTGCTATAGTCGTGGATTGCACAGACTTGTTCTAACAGTGGTTTCCCTATCAACATGCGCCACGAGCCTCCACTAGGGAACACTTCGAACGATGTGTGTAGGTTGACCGGTCCCCATGAGAACATGCCTGTCCATACACCTGTGGACGGTACTAATGAGCCATCAGCCATGCGAAGAGTTCTGGACGATGTACTTAACGGAGAGAGTCTTTGCACTATTCGTTGATATGCTGCTGTGTCGATAGCATTGATCATGGCGCCATTGTCTACGATGGCTAAGATTCTTATCTTCTCTCCCTGCAGTCCATGTAGATGTGGTACCGTTACGAAGGGGTTACTTGCTTGTGTTCGAATTGACTTGCCGGTAGCATCCAACAGGTAAACGTCAGTAATAGAATTTCTAGATATAAGAGGGGGTACAACCGGGCTCGTAGTCAACAATGCATTCTCCAACGACATAGTCGTGTCCGTAGTTGAAGAAATAGAATGATCTGTATCGTTACTAGTGCCTGCTGGTACCATGTTAGCTTGTGAGATAGATGAAATGGATGCGATAAGCGAAGGAAAAATGTTCGTATCATATACAGTATGAAGCGCTTGGGATTCTGTTGGACTCGACGTGTGTGGGACTACTGCTGGTCCGGTGTTTGCAGTGGTCCCCCATAATTTTCCTGCATCCACTCATATCCCGTTTCGATTCCCCACACGTCGTTCTGATCTCCCCAATTGTGATCCTCCTGCGGTGCGATCGTATATACTGGCGCTGGTTTGGGGTTTCCGTATGGCTGATACTGAGGGTAGTTCGTCGGCATGATGTATTGAACTGGAGTTGGATATGGGGAACGTATTGCTTGCTGCGGTGTTGCTCTGCGTAGTAGTCCTGCGACCTGTTGACGCCATCTAGTCTCGTGTGGTCGCAGTGGACTAGTCGTCGTACACTGAGAGCTAAGGTGGGTTGGGTCCATGACCATTCCACAGTTGTAACATTCACCCGAACCCAGTACTGCTGTTCCAGGTCGTGCTGGGTAGGGACAATCCAGCGAAGGGATTCCTTCCGTACCGTAGGTACGGTGCCATAGATCGACGTCCGCTTCATACTGTCTCATGCCTGCCTCCGTATTAGGCCTTTGTGGTGCTACCGCTACTCTTTCCAGAATCTGGGCCCGCGTTAAGGGTGCGCGTGGAGCAAACATTCCTCTACCATTGCCATATCCCGGTGTTCCACCCCGTGCTGCTGCAAATGGGTTGATACTAGTGATGGGTGGCGCTATTGTCATCCCCACTAGTACTGGTGGTGCATTGGGGAACCTTAACGTCGGGCGGTATGTCGTTGGGGTTGTTTGCTGCATTCCCAATGCCATCTGCGAGAACGGTTGATGTAAGGATAGTGGTGATGGTGTACTCTGCACCTTGAGTTTCGCGATCTCCACATCACGAGCTCGTTCCTTCTCGAGGTCCTCGCGTCCTCGTTTGAGTTTGATGTTTGGGACGTTCTGTATATCTTCGACAAACTCATCCCAAGTGTTGTACACACACTTGAGATGATCCTTCAGTAGATTTGGGATTCCTTCTAGCACATACTCGATCATTCCACCATCTACGTCGCCCATTCCAAGCGCTAGTCTTGAGACATTGAGCACCCAAGTGACATGCGCATAATTGCCGGTTCGTCCTTCTTGCGTCCATTCGCCCACTTCTTCCTCCTTCAAGATCTGTGCCATTACACGCTCCTTCTGTTGCGCCCGTGTAAGCTTAGGTCGTTTGGGCGATGGCCAGCGCTTGAAGAACGCCGTTTTCAGATTGGCGAATGAACTGAGTTGATGTGACGTTAATCCTTGGTACCATTCCTCTGCTGCTTCTCCTGGTGTTAATTGCATACCGAATCGTTGGATGGATTGCCTATCTGTCCAGCTGATCGGAAGTGACAGTTCGAATTGTGCGAACCATGCCGCTGGGTTCTCTTTCTCTCCGTAGTCGCCATAGAATAGCGGTACTGGTTTGACAGTGTCAGCCATGACTGTCGGTTTTGAGCTCGGTTGGGTTTTAACGGTCACTTGAATCTTGCATCAGGGAAAAGCTCCCATGCGAAATTTGCAGAATTACTTGGTTTTAGTCAACTTTCTCAACTTTATCGCATATTATTACAGAAAGATACATATTCACGGAAAATATGGATGTATATTAACCTACATTGAAGTAAGTATATATAATACATGTTTTGTAAGGCATTTAAAAAAAACAAGGGGGAAGCAACATCTAAGCTCGTCCGTTTTGCAGGAACAGCTGCTCGCCACATCACAAACTCACCATTTTTCACTGCTGGCTGTGTGTGTACTGAGTTGAGTGTTTCGGTTGCGTAAGATCGAAGTTTGTCACACTCAAATTGCAGCGCCATATGGCAAAATCTGCATGCTGCAAGACTATGGCACTGGATCTGTTCAACTATTCTGCGCACGTAAAATTGACGCACATACAGACAACACACACACCAGTCACTTCAGGGTGCAGGTGATACTTGAGGTAGCTAAAGAGCAAGCAAGCAAAGTCAGTATGCAAACCCTCACTCACAGCTGATAAGCTCGTTGGAGAACGTAAGACCAGGCATGAGACCGTGTTCCTTGAGCCAGAATATAGACATGAAGGGACTCGGAGCCCAAGAATATGCCTTCCGCGGCAGTGAATGCGACCAAGCATGACCTGGACCTCATTGGAGAAATGTTCAATAAGGTTTTCATTGACAATGCCGCTGTCGGATGTAGTGAAGAAGGCGAGGACGTGTGAGGCAATGCGATGCTTGTTGAGACGCTTGTGTTTGTACACATTTGAAATGTTCTGAAGTCCAACATTTGCACTTGTTTGTTTACTTCCCACATGCACTCACATGACTTTTGGTTCGAACTTTCAAATTTCAATGTTCAATGTTCAACCACAACACGACATCGACCAACTTGTCGAATGTCTCCTTACAACGTGCTTTTACAGCTCGACTCATGAGCAACAAAAGCGAACGCACTTTCAGTCGCACACTCCTTGGGTGTACCTAGTTTCGTCCGTGTGTACTCCTTTTCGAAATGCCGCCTGATAGTCGATGTCAAAGATTCTGCTACTGTGGTTCAATTCCCTTACTTTCTTACTCGCTCTTTATCTTAAAAAACCTACTAACTTACTCTATCCGATAGATCGACTGGCAACCTGACTCGTTGACTTTATTGGTGGACGGAAACGTGACGCGCACGATTACAGCTGCTCAGACCATAAACAACGCGATGGGCATGGTTCAGTTTCCCAACACACCCAGTCACATTCAGTTGAGGTGGGTGTCGTCTATGCACGTCTCTTTACAATGCATCCATCCACGCCCGATGATCCACTCTTCCATGTCATCAAACAGGAGGTTAGTGTTGTTCATTGTCGAGCTCGAGCCTCGCTGACCAACCTTCACAGCTAGTTAGTGTTTTGACCCTCTGGCGAGTTTGAGGTTTGCTGACCACAGAAATCACTTTTCCGTCGAAGCTAGTCAGTGTGGCCATCCTTTAATCTCGAGCCTTGCTGACTGACACAATTATGATCCTATTTAAAGGTTCAAGTGTGCCCATTGTCTGTCAACCTCGAGCCTTGCTGACCGGATCAAATTGATTGTTGTTATGGTGTAAGTGCATTCCTCTGTTGATGTCGAGCCTTGCTAACTGCTCCTTCATGTCTAGTGATTTTTTTCATCTGTTGCTACTATCCGCTCCTTTATGTTCATTGCAATCTCCCCGTTCATTAGTAGTTATGTAGTATATTGTATATTGAGTTTGAATGACAATATAATATTTGTTTCACCTTCGTCATTGTGATATTGCTCGAGGATCATCTATTATGAAGATTTATTAATGCTGCACACTTTATTGCATTTTATTGCACTTTTGCCCACTTTATTCCAACAAAGGCATCAGGGGGCTGTTGGTTAGTTCATAAATGTCACTAATGTGAAACATGATGATAAAACACAATAAAACTCGATAAAACACCATCATTTACACAAATTCGCCCTATTTCCCTGAAGAGGTTTTCCCTGATGTGGTTGCGACTGATTGGTGTCTGGTTGCGTCTAGTGGCAATGCAGGAGGTTGTCGGAGAAATATTGATTGAGGCTTCAGCGTGGATTTCACTACCGGTTTGGTAGGTGTGATAGATGATAATGATGACTCTGTGGAATAGGAAGTGGAAACATTGTCGTCTGGGGTGAAGTATGCTGGAAAAAGACGGTATTCATTCTCGACTTCTCCCGAACGGTTGCGTTCAGTGTATTGCGGTACTGGGAGTGAAAATTTGCGTCTGGGTGTGACTGGTTCACTCTCCAGTGGATCTGGGGGTGAAGAACTAGAAGACTGCTGCTATGTCCTGGTAACGTGTCTCTTCGCTGAATGTTCCGTATTCGTGCGCAGTCGTCGATTGAAACATGTCTTGATACTTGTTCACGTTTGTTTATGTGGGTGCTCTCCCCACCCTCATCACCATATGGACCCGCCAGCCTAGCTCTCTAGAGTGATGGATGGAATGGATGAACCCATCCTAATGTACATGTGTATGTATGCGTGTGCCCTAAGACCCCAGAACCCCGAAACCCCTGACACTCGCTGCTGCCTCTACATCAGTAAATTCACACATTCCTTAGCTTCCCTTTTTCGTAACTTGCCGCCGGGTAGTTTCCCAAAAAGGAGCGGACAAGTGACTCATAAGAATGGTGACACCAACTTATTATCAGCTTGCCACAAGGCAATTATAAGTGGAATAAGTAGATGCCTCCTCTCGGCGGGACCTTTTCAGTCCTTATTGTTTCACTTTTGCGCAACTTTTGCGCACCTATTTTTCACTTTTTTTTCGCACCAATGCAGTACATTCACTTATTTTCTACTTTGTTTGTACATTTTTTCAGACTTATTTCACACTTGTTAAGAGAAAGCAACCACAAAACATTGCATTTCAAGCAGAAAGTACTACATGAAAGTACTGGTACTACTAGGAGAGATTGAAACGCCATCAGAAACGGTGCCCTCCATCACGTCAGTCCAACTCCGAGGGTGCACAGGTGCGCACGATGAATATCGTTTGTGACAAACAATTCCCTATAATTCGATAGTAAATGAAAGTTTGAGAAAACTCGTCCGATAGAAGTTCATACCTGAGTTTAATTGGATCTGCGGCGATTTTCTTCAGGGAAACTACCAGGATGCCGCGCGTTGGGGCAGGCCCATCTACTCGTGGTTTATCCGACATCCGTGGCCCATTGGACGTCGGTGGTCGAGGTCCAGGCGCACTCACACGAAGTCCAGTTCAGGCAAGGAGGGCAAACGTTGGACCGAAATGCTGGTGGGATCAGCGCTGGGAGATCCAAGGCGAGGTCGCCGCGCGGATCTCGCCACCGTTTTTCGAGTGTGGCACAAGAGCGGTAGAGGGTGTGCCAATTGAGGCAGAGAGGGCATAACGCAGCGACGATACATCCGAATCCGAGTCGTCTTCAGAGGAAGAAGAGGATAAACTGGGGACGGAATTTCGGGGGAAGACACCAGGCTGGTTGTGCAAGTATGTCGAGAACGTCTCCAATTTCTTGGTGAGCGGGAACACGATGGGACGGGGGGAGCCATTGAGACACGCTGCCAGAGTTGAATGAAAAAAGTGTTGCTGTGGTCACTGTGGAAGATAGATCGAGGTTGAGCGGGTCGGGTGGTTTGTCAAGTGGTTTGTCGGGTGGTTCGTGGTTGGTCGGGTGCAAAATCGAGGTCTATATCGGAGTCGTCTTGCTGCTTGGATGAGAGGAAGGGGAAGATGTGCCACCACGGGTGAGACATGGTATCAATGGATGGGTTGGAACTTGGAAGGCTGAAGAAATTTTAGGGTGACGTGACTGTGACGCTTGCTCGAAGGGTAATGCTTGAGTAATCGGCACAAGGTAAGAAGAGTCTTCCCACAACGCAATAGCCAGGTAAAAGTCTGGGTTGATTGGAAAAGAACTAGGGCTTCAGTACAAGGGTATACTACTTAAGTAGGTATTTAGTATAAAGCCCGTGATAAACAAATCATATGTAAGAAACAACAATCACAAGTCAAAATGGTATACGCGCTTCTCCGCTGTCATAAGCGCTCATCCGCTGTTCAGCTGATTTCGTCATCGTTATTTGTCAGCTTCGCCACATACTCCCCTCCAAGGGCGTTGCACGCCCTTCAAGCAACTTTCTTCTTCTTTTCAGTAGCACGTGCGGAGGTCCCGTTCCCGCCATCAATATCCATTCCGTG